CACATCACTAGCCACAGAATGATTCTTTCTAGAAGCTCAGCGCGCTGCCAAGACACCATGACGCGGTGCACGCGTAGTGGCGCTGTGGCTACTATTCGCAGAGCAATCAATTTCCCGCGTTTGGACGGCTCGGGAGCAGTAGATCGCAAAAGACGACGCTCTCATAGGGTGGCACAGCAGCAATGCGCGGGACCAGCTTTGAGCTCTCTCGCCTGATCGCGGAAGAGAAGTAAACACTGACGTCAGGCGCTCAACAGCTTCATTGCACATCGAAGCATTGCTTGCTACATCGTACAATTAATGCATGCCATTGACCAATATCACTAGCCTACTGTACCTACACCCACATTCGATGTATGTAGACCTTCCGCCTCAACTCAAGCCTTGTGGCTCATCGATCAAGGCCGGGGTTGTTTTAGATCCAAATCGCCGGAAAACCGCGTTAATGTACCCATGTCGTCGATTGGGGGTGCGATAAGCTCCGCTGCAGCTCGGCCCGCTGTGGCTTGCAAAGCAACAACAACGAACGTCGACCTTGTGATGACCGGGTAACATCGTGGAGAGACTGCAGGGTTTAACACAAGTGCAGTGGAGCAAGTTTGCGGGTTCATGGCTGCGTTGCAACATACGGTTTGTGGTCGCGAGAGTCGACAGCCTCCTAGTAAGTCCATTGTGAGCCTTGGATCGACACCCGCGCCATACAGTGGACATTTCGGTATGGGCCGAAGAATTTCCATAGAACCTGTTCGGCCACGATGCTCGTCAGTGAACGTGGGCCTGTAGTGCGACGATCGCTTCTACACGCCGGCATCGCTAAGCTAGGCTAAGCTAGGCTGCGCGTCAAAGGAAAGGGCAGGTTGTGCGCACGATGATCTCACACTGAACGAAGGTGCACCGTGATGAGGGGCAGCTCTGCTCCGAGTGCCACTCTCTCGTGGGGCAGCAAACAGTGAACGGCACCGGGATGACGTCTGCGCCTCCTCTTCACTGCCACACATTCACAGAGAAGGTACGAGGGGTACAAAACTTCAAGCCTACCTTTCCTACGCAAGCTTGCTTCCTCTCACAAACAAACTCCGTAATTCCCTCCGTTCAAACACCCCACCAACACCCACAACCCTACTCGTCACCTTTAATCAACCACCAATCAAAACATCAAGATGGACGCAGCCAAGGCAGCAGTTAAGGACTTCATGTAAGCTACTGATGACGATGAGAATCTGCCACCATCACCCACTGACTCACTTCGTTACAGGGCCAAGGCCGGCCACCATGACACCACTGTGCACGAGAAGGTCGCCCCAGCCGTCGTTCACGAGACGATCGAGCGTCAGCAGCACGAGACCGTTCAGACCGCCATCGACAAGGAGGTCCACCAAGATCACTACCACACCTCAGTCCAGCCCGTGACCGACCGCGCCATCCTTCCGGAGACGCACCACCACAACGTCATCCCAGTCGAGCACCGTTCATTCGAGCACGACAGCCCTGATCAGGTCAAGGCCCGCATTGCCGCCGAGCAGGCCAAGTTCCGCGACGAGCAAGTTCTCGTCGAGGGTCAGAAGACCCACTCCGTCGAGCCCATCGTTGCCGGCGAGCACATTCACCACCACGTCCACGAGACCATCCAGCCAGTTGTCGAGAAGCGTACGTATGAGTCGAAGTTTGTTTGGATGACATCATGCTAACGCGCGTTCAGAAACGATTGAGCCGCATGTCGTTCACACCACCGTCCCAATCCACGAGGTTCACCACAACGCTGCCCAGCACCATGCCACCTCCGCCCTCCCAGCGGTCAGCATGCAAGACTTCAAGAAGCAGGGCGGTGTCCTGTCTGGCCGTGAGGAGCGCTATGACGGCTTCCAGGGTGAGCCGCGCGCTATCGGCGGTGCTCTTGGTGGCTCTGACTCCTCTGCAATGGGTGCCGCTGGCTTGAACCACGGCTCCACTGACCAGTACGGCTCAAACACCCACGCGCCAGGCCATGGTCACCACGAGCACGGTCACCACGAGCAGGGCCACAAAGCCACTCTCGGCGAGAAGCTCAACCCCAAGGTCGACTCCGACCGCGACGGCAAGGCCGGTATCATGGACTAGGAGCCTGGTCTACATGTCAAGTTGACTCCCGCCACGGTGGCGCTTGCACGATCAGGCACGCTGCAGCCGGCGAATGGAGGTGACTTCAGCATTCCGAAACACTTTCCTCATCTGCAACACTCCCAGCACCGCCATGCCTCTCAAGGTAGTGTCGTAGACCTGCAACAGCATCAGTAATTGACGCCCGTTGGGTCGGGAAGGTTATGGAGGGTCATGATACCTACGATGTCTTGCGCGGACTGGGGTGGTGTACCAGTAGCTTATTCAAATGAAAGCGATAATATCCATTTCACCCTACCACAATGCCTGGGTTGGGCAATGATGCTTGCTCATGTTTTGGTATAAATCCCTGTAGAACAATGTGTGAGGTTTTAGTGGTTGTCACTCTCGTACGCGCCAGCCCTACCGCCTACAACCCTGCAAACCAACTTTTCATGTGTCATGTTGCATTCCGCTCCATAGCAACATCGTGATTTCCATTCCAGTACTTCCATGGTGAGGACATTGACCATTCTGCACCATGCGTGGTTGTCGTAACCTACTGGTGGCTGACCGCTGCATGAAACGGCCCCCAACGGCTAACCCAAACCCTAAACCCAATCATATCAGGAAGGTGCAGCAGGCAAGGCGCACTACATTGAAGGCATACAGATAGCCGTGGATTCCTTGGATACTATCTCACCTTCGTAGCCACGCACAGAGAGTATTAATAGATGGAATAAAGCCATGTATATTCGTTCATGTTCACAAACGAGCTAGCGTTTGGATTCCGCTCATGGGGTATATCGCAGGTAGATCAAGTAACAAACATGAACATCGTCATCAGTATCATCATCGTCCACAGCAAACCAGCACCGCTGCTCACGGTCTACCACAGGGGACGTATGGCATTACCGCACAGCCACAACCTCAAAGGTCCACATCCTCTTCTTGCTCTCCTTCCCGCCTCCAACTAGCCTCCTGAACCCCTCGCCCCGTCTCCTCCGCCACCCTCAACCGCACATCCCTCGCATGGCACACCAAGATCGCAATGGCTAGCGCGTTCCAGACATCGTAGTCCTTATCTTTCATATCGAAGTAGGCCACAGTCCTCACCTCGTTTGCGTCCTCCATCTCCGGCGTGGTAGTATCGCTCCGGTAAGCCACAATGGCGATGAGCGTGTGCGAAGAGATGATGCCGTAGATCTGCGGGATTGGGTATGCAAAAGTCACCGCTGAATTGCTGGTGGTAGAGGCTGGGGTTAACTCGATCGAGCGCTCGACGCGGAAGGCACGGGAGTAACGCGCGTGGAGACGCGCCATCCTGAGGCGAATAGCGGCGGTGAGGAGCTCGGCGGGTGTGTCTGCTGGTCTGGTTTCGAGGGCTATAAGTGGGATGCTGGTCCGAGGGTCCAGGTTGGCGTCTTGATCTGCCCAATCAAGGTAGGCTTTAATGATCCTGTGGGCTTGGAGGTCCGGTGTTAGCGGACCGCCGATGGCGATGCAGTCGCGCATTCTCCCGCCCAGCTCGATAAGGTGGTTGAGTGCTTTGATGGCGCGACGGTGGGAGGCGCGCGCGCTGTTAATGGGTGCGTCTTCGTCTTCGGCGGCGAAAAGAAGGTCGGGCATGTAGCGGTAGTCCCATTGCCAGTAGAGTGGTAGAAGAGGCTCGAAGCCGCGCATGGCAATGCGTTGCACGAGGTAGATGTGGTCATCATCCCAACCTGCTGCTCGTAACTCCTCGGTGGAGACACCTCTGCTAGATTGCTCTCCTGGGAGGTTGATGAGCTTCCGTCGGCGAGCGTTCTCTTGCACATATTCTTCTTCTGATATCACGATGGTGGTGTCGTTGACTAGGTCTACGTCATCCTCCACGTAGCCTTTGCGTGAGGAGCTGGGAGACTTGGAGAGGACATGGATGTTATCCAGACTGCTCGACAGGTCGTCCATATCCTCGTCCTCGTCTTCATCCACGTCCACGTCCTCGCCAGCATCTTCTCGCCCATACTGATCATCTCCGTCACGGTAGTCGTGGCTCGGAGCTCGCTCATTGTACCCCACCGCGTTAAGGTCGTCTTCCATAGGTGTGTCGTGCGCATACCTGTCCATCTTCGGCACGTTCTGTCGGCTTCCAGCGCCAGCGCCAGGTGTATGCGTCTGCTTCCTGTTCAAGCCTGCACTTCCTGTCCTCCTCGTGCTAACACGATTGCTTGGAGTCATTGATCGGCACTGCCGCACGGTGTCATAACCGGAGAGGCGACGATTACCATTCCTATGTCGTGGCTCGGTGTTGGCAGAGGCTTTACGTGTTTCACCAGTCTTCTTTGGTGATAAGAATGACCAGACACCGTCTGAGAGACGCTTGAGTAATGCCATTGTCGTTGCGCTAGTTCATGCAAGACAGATACCGAAGATCGGCGGCCGCCAGAGCCAGAAGTGGCTTGAATGTCACATGTCGTGCACCGACCTGCGGACAATGAACGACAATGCGCGTTCACTGCACCAATGGCATGTTTTGGAAACCGTGTTGGTCTCGGACGCACGGGCCATTGGCGAACGCATTCGCCGGATAGGGCATAGTGTCGCTAAGTGATGGTTCCGCTATACCAGAGCATTTTATAGATTGAATGCCAGCATATACGCAATGCTATTGGGATGCGCTCGTAGTTCGTAAGCAGCTTGACCGAAGGACTCATGCTCCCAGAACCCAAGGTCGGCCATACCAAAACATGCTGTGGGATTTCTAGCGGCATATCTGTGTAAATCGTCACTAGGATACAGTTATCCTTGGATGCCAACATTGCACTAAAAATTAGTGATCCCGAACTATTGTCGTCCGGTCGTGAGCACTCTATTGGAACATAAGCAGCGTGTTCGGGCACAGTGGAGTTGGGACGTGGTTACCAGTTTGGGCATGATCTAGCAGGATATACTAATGATCCCACTGCCGTTGGCTTGCGCAATAGCACGCTAACACTGCCATGGCCACCTGTATCTGCAGGGACGTAATCACGACGGGAACGCGAGTTGCGTCCGTTTTTGACAGTTTGCCGCCGGCATCGTATATCCCCGAAGCATTGGCGCGCGGCAGCCACTCCCAGCGCTCCGAAAGCTGCTCATATGCGCGGTCCAAGCTTTCGAGATTCTGACAATTCAACTTCTTGCCATTGGCCGTATCCTAATCACAACGTCGAGGTCATATGCTGACATTGGAGCTATGGCTACATGCATTGCCATGAGCAACGGAGAGGGGATCTTGATGGTGTTGTGATTATAGCGTAAACAGTCGCGTATATAAGCTGTTCGCGTTCCCAATCCCATCGTCTTTCTTCAGCGCTGCTGAAATTGCGGTAGCACCACTATAAGTCTTTTTGACACCAGATCCCAGAACAATAATGGACCCATACGCCGATGACTCGGCGATGATGATCGACAGCCCGCCATCCGGGTTGGGAAGGCGCGCGTCCCTCAAGCGCTCGGCGGACGAGATGTCCGCCGATCCCAACCCGGTGGCCGCCGCATGCGCTGCCGTGCCGGCCACGGCCCCCTCCTCCACCACCACCACCACCACCACCCTCATGGGGATCCTCGCCGGCCTATGGGCGTACCTGCCCTGCGGCCACAAGCGCCGCCACATCACCAGCACCACCACCCCCTCCTCCCCACGCCCTCCTCGCACCCCAGCCACCCTCAAGATGAAGCGGACCCTCCCCGGCCGCTTCCCGTCACCATCACTCCCCCTAACACCACCATCGTCGCGTCCGACCTCCTCCCACGCCGATGACGCCGAGAGTCCGATCCCTACCCCACCATCAGAGTGGATTTCACTTCTTGCGGACAACATCCCCTCACCCATCAAGACCCGCAAGCGGGCATCACCGGACAGCATGGCGGAGCAGCAGGAGGCGGAGAAGAAGCCACGCACGATACCATATGGTGACATCAACCCAGATTACGCGATGGATAAGTGGACAGGACCGGCGAGACGCGCATACTGGAAGGAGCAGATCGCGAAGCAGAAGGCCGACAGAGTCGCACGCGGCCTCCCAGTAGAGTCACCGCGGCCATCACCAATCAGAGACCCGCTGCCGAGAAAGGGCGACAAGCTCTACTCGTGGTGGACACTTCGACAACGCGAGTCACAGTCACAGTCGACCTTCGAGCAGCCGCAACAGACACAAAAGTCTGCGCATACTGCCAAGAGCCAGACGTCCTGGCCACGGCCCAAGCCCATCCCTGCAACCGTCAAAGACCAACAGGTCGACGCGCTCGTCAGCCGCGCGAGGCGGCTTGGCGTTCAGTCACCGGAGTGGAAGGGCTTTGCGCAGTACAAGCTTCAGCAGATAGAGCGCTGCGAGCAGGCGCGCATCAAGAAGCAGAGAGCGGCAGAGGCAGCCCACCAACTTGAGCTCGAAGCTCAAGCGGAAGAGGCTGCACGCAAAGCCGGCGAGGAGGAAGCGGTACGTCAGCAGGCAGAGCAGGAGCGCAAGGCTACGGAGGAGGTCGCGCAGAAGCAGCTTGAGGAAGAGCTTGCCGCCGCGAGACTTGACACCCGCACCCTCATCCGTCCGCTAGATGACGAATGGGCTGCGAAAGTCCAACGCGCCCTCGACACCAAGGATCCGAAGAAGACGCTCGCGACCAGCAAGAATGGCACCGAGCTGTCACGCTACGACTTCGGCCGCCTCGTCCCTACTGACCTTACCGCCGACAGCGACCCGAACAAGCCCGCCGGCTGGGTCAACGACGAGATCGTCAACGCCTGGTTCGAGGAGATCACGGCGAAGAAGGACGAGCAGACGGGCTGGAAGAAAGGCTCACAGAAGCCTCGCGCCATCGCCGCCTTCAACAGCGGCTGGGTCACCACCGTGCGCAGCAAGGGCGTCAAAGGCATCGAGACCTGGTCACGACGCATGGGCATCAAGGGCGCGGAGAAGCTGCTTGGCACGCAGCGCGTCTTCTTCCCGGTCAACAGCGGCGGCCACTGGACCTTACTCGTCATCTGCCCCACGGAGCGCCGGATCGAGTATCTCGACAGTCTGCACGGGGGCGGGAGGAAGTGGCTCGACTTTGCGCGCGAGTGGCTGGCCATGGAGCTGGGCAAGGCGTACAATGAGGAGGAATGGACGGAGGGCAAGGTTTTCAGCGAGAGGCAGCTCAATATGAGCGATTGTGGCGCGTTTGCTTGCCTGAATGGATTGGCGAGCGCGAAGGGGCATGGATATGAGGAGGTGCTGGGCGCGAGCATGGAGGATGGGAGGAAGTTGATGGCGGCCGTCCTGCTGAATGGCGGGTTCTCGGGCGTGTTTGACCTGTGAGCGTGACGTTTCACCGGCGTTTGGGGCAGCATTTGCGGGCGTTTTGTGGGTGCGGGATGGGTGCATTGCATGGCGTTTGCGGTTTCGAGGATTAGCGATGGCGCTGGTATTCCAAAGGGGTTGCGGCCACTTCAGCTGCTGGGATGGTGACGAGACCTTCGGGCTATGACTATACGACGGGATGACTGGCACGGCCTTGTACTTTCTCGGCACATCACTACTAACGCTTTCCCAAACCCCAGGTTTAGCTGGCAGGCCCCCGAAAGGGGGCGCGCCGCGGCCTGGGGGTTGGATGTGCGTAGTGGTTGATGTTGCCTTTGTAGTTTTAGTTCCGTTCTCCGAAGCATTGTCTTCGCATACAGTCTCTCGCTTTCACAGTACATCGTGCCTTTGCGATGCTCTTGGGATAGTGACTAGAACGTGCCTTGTGTCACAATTTCACTTTCGTCCTCTCTCTGACGCAATCCATCGCATAATCTCTCATGGTTTGCTCAACACCTCATGCGCTTGCCATGTTGCTGGGATGGTAAATGGCATATACTCTGTGTTGCCGTTGGACATTAGCGCTTTCCCAAAGCAGTGCCTTCGCATCACAACCTGACGCCTTGTCATCACCCTCTAGCTCAGGCAATGCCTTTGAGATACCGACCGACACATGGCGTTGTGTGCAGTTGATATTTACTTACTGTTCGCAACACTGCAAGCCAGGAATCAGCGATCCACACCCTACACGTGACCTTAATACGTTACGACGCTTGGGGACGAGCCCACTGGAACGGGAAAAAGCCCACTGGAACAGACATATCTGAAACGAAGTCTGTCTGCGGCCAAGGCAAATTGTCCGGCCAATTGCAACCACCGAGTGCAGTTTGCGTGGCTTTCGGATCTTCCCGTCCGTGCCTGGCAAGCGCGTTTGTGCTGCAGCTTCCCTAACCTCACCCCTCTCCTGCACTCCGTTATGGGGCCGAGGCCGCGTTGGCGAAACCACAGTTACTGCACGTCTTGGTGCACGGCTTGGAAAAGGACTACTATGGCTACCCGTGGCAGCTCTTAGAGTCTTCACGATCTGTCATGCTGATGCCGTCCGAGCTGTAGCCGCTCTCTTCCAGACGCTCAACGTGCTCGACACGAAAGGCGGTCATTCAATGGCCATCCTGAAGCGCCGGATGGGTCTAGCCGTTCTGTCACTGCTCTTACTGTGATGGATGAGCAGGTGTTTCAAGGCTGCAGGCGCACGCTGTAAGTCTCGCCAAGCTGCCTGTTTCGAACGAGAAGGGGTTACATCGTTTCATGCAGGTGTAGTGTACCCAAAGCCACACGTTTCGACTCGCGTGGTCAATGCACGTCACCTGCGTCTTCCATTGACCTCGCAATTGAATATCGCATCTAGATCCACTCCATCACGCTCTCTTCCCTTTCACTACCGCAGCCAGTCTGCATCGCATTGACCGGCGACACTTCCATTCGTTGATATAAGCATTCGCCTGGATCCTGCTCCTTCTTTCACCACACCATTACATTGGGCACGTCTTTGAGAGACGGTCGCCACGCTTAGTACCTTGCAGATCAAGGTGCACACGGTCTTTACGTTCTCTCCACGCTCCTTTACCCGTCGACAGGCGGCGGTGTAGTCCAGCATGCAGCGCATTCTTTTGGCCACTGTGGCCCTTATCGCAGCTTGTGCGCTGGCCGCACCCACATCAGACACGAAATCGCTTGCCAAGCGATCATTCAAGTTCCCCGCGAAGGGTCGTCGCGTGGGTATGGCGCGTCATCCTGCCAGAGACATGATGAAAGCGTACGCGAAGTATGGCTGGGAGATCATCATCCTCGGGTCCAACGGCCCAATTGCAACCATAAGTAATGGCACCCCGTCTTCGACACCCACACCAACAACCATTCCAACATCCTCTGTCACCTCCGAAGTAGCCGCCACTTCAGCTGCCCCCTTCTCTAATTCCAGTGCTTCTTCGTCAGGCACAAGCAGTGGAATGGTGGGCGAGGTGGTTGCCACGCCAGAGGAGAACGAATCCGAGTATCTTGAGCCTGTTACCGTTGGCGGCCAGGTGCTCAATATGGACTTCGATACGGGTTCCGCGGACTTCTGGGTCTTCAGCAGCAGTCTGCCTGCATCCCAAAGCCGCGGCCACAGCACCTTCGACCCCTCAAAGAGCTCCACCTGGCAGCCCTATTCCGGTGGCTCGTGGGACATCACTTACGGCGACGGCACCACCGCTTCCGGAACAGTCGGCTACGACGTAGTGAACATCGGCGGCGCCACAGCTACTCGGCAGGCAGTTGAAGTTGCCACATACGTCTCCAGCTCCTTCACACAAGATACTGCGAATGATGGTCTGGTCGGTCTTGCCTTCAGTAAGATCAACACTGTTCGCCCCCAGGCCCAGCAGACATTCTTCGACAACGTCAAGGGCCAGCTGAAGCTGCCAATCTTCACTGCCAACCTGGAGGATGGTGCTCTTGGCACTTACACTTTCGGCGAAATCGATCCGACCGAGTACTCAGGAGAGATCTACTACATGGCCGTGGACAGCAGCAATGGCTTCTGGGAGTTCGACTCGAAGACGTACACCATCGGAGGCTCGCAGAGGGCGTGCACCACCTGCAGCCCGGCTATTGCCGATACGGGTACCGTGCGTAACTATCCCTCTCACATGGTTTCTCACATGGCTAACGCGGTCACAGTCCCTCATCCTCGTCGACGACGACGTAGCCACCGCCTACTGGTCACAAGTAGCCGGCGCCACCCTCTCCAGTCGCATGGGCGGATGGGTCTACCCTTGCAGCGCCACCTTACCCACATTCGGCATCGCAGTCGGCGGTTACATGGCGATGCTTAACGGCACCGATCTCGAGTATAGCGCGGTGGGCGGCGGTAAGTGTTTCGGCGGTGTGCAGAGCAATCAAGGTGGCGGTTTGCAGATTCTGGGTGATGTACTGCTGAAGAATTACTTTGCAGTGTTCGATGCTGGTAATGAGCGGTTTGGCATTGCGGAGAAGGCTTGAAGGGTTGGGTTAGCCTGCGCATGTGGAGCTGCGTGGTCGAAGTGTCGTGGTGATAAGGAAGAGAGTAATGGACATAGCTTAACCGCCATGAGGCATGCATAGACGCTACGAATAGCGTTATGAGAGACGCCAACGGGCAAATCGCGTCGGCGATTACGGCTCTGTATCAGAGCAGACCGGCTGTATGAAGTCTACAAGAGCAGTGACGCTTGTACGCGGTGCACTATAATTTCCCCCTGTTCAGGTACTTTACAGGTAGGTCAACATGTTTCGACCGCAGGTACTCGGCCACGTTCTTGCCCAAGAAGTCATACGAAGACGAGCAGCTTACGCCCCGATCCAAGTGGTCATGCAGCAAGAAGTGCACAGCGTGCATATTGGGGAGTTCAAATCGGTCCTGGACACTGCCCGTCAGTCCTCGCATTACGATCAATTCTGGTGGTAAAGGTGGACCTACAATCTTCTTGCCCTTGTACTCATCGGCCAATAGCCGCTTGACAGTTTCAACAGACAATAACGATCGCAGCCACTCCCACTCATCTTTATGTCTTACCCAGAAGCCAACGTTGCAGTTACTACCCTTATCGCCACTCCTCGCATGCACAATCCAACCCAGCGGTCCTTTCACAGTCCCGCCAACATCAGTGCTCCTCGGGTTCCGGGCCTCTGGTTCGCTAGGCTGCTGCGCAGGATACACCTTGCTACTCGGAGGTGGCGGTATCTCAACGCTTCGTCCATCCCAAAGATGCACTCTATGCTGCACATCTGCCTGCGGCAACAGCGTAACGTAGTACTCCTGGATGGGTTTGGGGAAGCCGAGACGGAGATCCAGATGCGGTGTCGCGCCCGGATAGCCCTCCATAATCGGATCGATGCATGGCCGGAGGAATTTGGAAGGGTTGAGATCATCGGCTGTGGGCGCTTGAGCGAAGATGCGGAAGTCGACGGTGGCGGCGTTCTGGTCGCTTGCGTTCACAGCCGCGGAGCCGTTGATGGTGAACTCGAGTTTGGTGAAGCGGTGGGAGTAGGGACGCAGTAGTCGGCGGACTTGCGACTCCATCATTCGTGCTTTGGCGTGAATGTCGAGACCTGTGAGAAACCAGTGGACTTCTGCTTGGTAGCCGCCTAGTGCTGTTATGCCGACTTTAGTGGTACTTGGAGGAAGGTCGGCCTTCACGCCTCGGAGTGCTACTCGATCGGTACCTAGCTGTTCGAACCAAAGGTCGGTAAGGATGGCTGTCACGTCGCTGTTGAAGTACCAGGGCCCTTGGATTTCGTACAGTAGCTGGGACGAGCAAGTTTGCGTGCTGACTTCACCGCCGGAGCCTTTGTTCTTCGTGATGACGACCTGGCCACTGCTCGCAATCTCAGCAATTGGGTAGCCTATATCGTGCCAGCCTTTGAATTCAAGGCTCTTGAAGCCAGTGAAGTTGCCACCACAGACATAATTGGAGCATTCTATCAGATGGCCAGCTACGAACGCGTTGGCGAGTTCATGCAGTTGATCTCGTTGCCAGCCATGCCACCAGCACGCTGCACCAATTACAGGGCTTGCATCGCTTACACGACCGCAGACGACAATGTCGGCTCCTTTGCTAAGTGCAGCTGCAATGCCTAGACCGCCAATATAAGCCTGGGCGTAGATGGGTTTGAATCCCCAGTCCTCCAGGCTCTCGCCCGTGCAGATGTTTTCGAACTTACTACGGCCCTCACGAAGTGCCTTTTGCACGGCCGGAAACACTTCGTCACCGCTCACATACGCTACTTTTAGATCAAGACCTTGCTTGGAGACCATGTCTGTTACAACTTTATGTAACAGCGCAGTATCGGATGCTCCGGCATTGACAGCAACTTTGATCCGGTGTCTTGCGAGGTGCTTGAGTGCCGGCTCCAGACTCTCGATGAAGGTTGGCTCATACGCGTCCCCACCGTTTCCGGTCTTGAGGGCAGCTCGTGCGGTCATGTTGGCCTCAGACATCCAGTCCCCCATGATCACATCGATGGGGTCGTTGGAATGATTGGCCGCCAGCATCGCCATGGCATGTCGGCGATCTGTAGCTGCGCCTGAGCAGCCCGCAATTCGGATTGACCGCTCCGTTTGCGGCATGGTTGAGCAGCCTAGACCGGTACCGAGACAAGGGAGAGCACGAGATATCAAAGAAGCAGCACTTACTCACGAGGTTTACATCTCTCATTGAAGCTGCAATCAGGAGCTCGGGCTTGTGAGTTGTTTTGTAAATCGATGGAGGAGCGAAGATGCGGAGACGGGTGAAAGCGGAGAAAGCCGAGGCATATGGCAGCACGTGACGGGTGCCAGTATGAGCTGCCATCATTGCAGGCCTCGAATGCTGCTGGGTAGGCGGAGTCCAAGCCCTTCTACGACGAATCTGAGTGCCAGCATCGTCAGAATGGCAAGCAATGCGCCCACAAGCATTGCCTCGCGCTGCTGCGTCGTCCGCCGCATCCAGATCATGCAATCTTCGAGTAGCATATGCTCGCCACGAGCTCTCCGTGCTGCTTTGAGTCCGCCGCAGCCTACATAACGGCGAACAATGTCAGCGTTGTGTCTCTTCAACAGCGATTACTTGCTGTGAGGCGCTCACCATCATGCGATCTTGCGTTCATTTTTTGGTGGTAATCTTGCAGCGTGCCTGCTTCGACATGCTTGCCAGCCCAATGTCCCAGCGTCTTGCGGTCTTCCAAGTACGCTCGCGGACCCTCATCAATCTTCACGGGGTCGATGTTCGAGGAGACAAGGGGTACAGCGTAACCGCAGGATGTTTGCACTGAAACAAGGTCTGGTCAGCGAATCCACACTCTCTCTACTGACGCAATATACGCTGCTTTGCATTGCAGGCTCATATGTGCCTACCTTTCCAGACGTCAAATAGAATCACCGCTCGAGTACCCACAATCTTCTCCTTGCCCATTTTCTTCAGCCACCCTTCAAACTCTGGATCATCGTACTCCACCACGCGCCCTTTGCAGAACCAGCGCATGATCCGGGGACTCTTATCAAAAGAGCAGAACATGATTGTCGCCCGCCCATTTTCGTAGACATGGCTGATGGTCTCAATGCCAGATCCTGTAGCGTCAATATAGGCAACATGATTCGGGTCAAAGACGGTTAGAGTGCTCGCGGGCAGGCCTTTGGGTGAAAGGTTAATGTGAGAGCCAGTCAATGGGGCTGAAGCGATGAAGAAGACCTGCTGCTGTAGAGCCCAGTCACGGAGGTCGTCGGAGATAGAGTCGTAGAACTGAACCATCGTGACTGATGGCAAGCGCGTAATTACAAGAGCCTACAATGAGAGAGAGTTTCCTACCGTGAGATACGACTGTAGCGAGAAGATATCAAGCTACTGCACCAGCTCTCAAGTCGTTATCAGTGGGAAGCTTGATGCTGTGCTAATGCTGTGCTGATGCTGCAGGTCTGGCGTTCTGGAACTAGGAGTCTCTGTGACAGAAGTGCTGACTGTGCCATAAGGAGCGTGAATATGACTGCCATGGTAACTGCAGGAATGTACAGTGACGGTCAACGTGAGCGGTAGGGAACATGGCGAGCATCGATGAGCTATTTAAGAAGCCCAACTTACCGACCGGCAGCCTGAAGCGGAAGCTGGAGATACCGGATGCGCAGGAAGCATATAAGTCTACCAAGATCAATGGCCATAGTTCGCCCAATGGACGACATGCGAATGGCGGCGTTCCGGTAGAAGATGTGGCGGACGATGGTGAAGTGGAGGCCGGTCCAGACTTGCCGCCAGAAGATGGTGAGGAGGAAGAGCGCTTCTTTGGTGGAGGCGTCACAAAAGATGCTGCGGAGGCTCTCGAGTACCTGGATCAGCACGACGGCGGAGAGGACTTGGTGGAGGAGAAGATCGATTCTTCATGGCTCAGAAGACTTGCGAATACCTTCGAAAAGAAGGTGACCAAGAATGCAGAGCTACGGGCTCGCTATGAGACTGAGCCGCAGAAGTTCATGGCTTCAGAGGCTGATCTAGATGCTGAGATCAAGTCATGGAGCCTGCTGAGTGAACACCCAACGCTGTATCCGGAGTTCGCTCAGAGTGAGGCATTGCCTCAACTGGTCGGCTTGCTAGCGCATGAGAACACTGATATTGCAATTGCGGCAATTGAGATCGTCTCTGAGCTACTGGACGAAGACGTGCAAGCTGAGCAGGAGGACTGGGACGCCTTGGTGGCTTCACTGCTGGATGCTGACCTCCTGCAGCTGCTGATGAGCAATTTGACTCGCCTTGACGAAGACAACGAAGCCGACCGTAGCGGCGTCTACCACAGCCTTTCCGTCCTGGAGAGCTTGGCTGGTCAACAGTCTGTTGCGGAGCGAATAGGCCATGTAAACGTACTCCTCTGGCTTTGCAATCGCTTGAACAGACGCGAGGATTCCATCACCCAGAACAAGCAGTATGCGGCAGAAGTGCTGCAAGTGTTGCTACAGTCTTCGTCCTTGCTAAGGGTACGTCTCGCGTCGGAAGTTGATGGTGTAGATCTCTTTCTGCAGCTCCTCGCTGCTTACCGAAAGCGAGATCCGCCCAAGGGCAGCACAGAAGAGGAGTATGCGGAGAACCTCTTTGACGCCTTGACATGCGTCGTTGACGAGCCTCTTGGCAAAACAAAATTGCTGGAAGCGGAAGGTGTTGAGCTCATGCTCATTATGCTGAAGGACGGTAATTTCAGCAAGTTGCGCGCGTTACGGCTGGTAGATCACGCTTGCGGAGGCAATGGCAAAGCCTCAGTAGAAGTCTGCGAAAAGCTTGTCGACGCTGCCGGTTTGAAGACCGTCTTTCGGATGTTCATGAAAAAGACTGATGGTGCCACTCTTGAGCATATTGTCGGCATCTTTGCAAGCTTGCTTAGACTCCTACCCGGCGAGTCCGCGGCGCGTATTCGTACACTTGCGAAGTTCGCTGAGAAGGGCCATGAGAAAGTCTCCAAGCTTGTCGACCTTCGCCAGAGCTACGCGCGTAGGGTCGGTACCGTCGACAAAGAGATCCGGGGCGAACGAGCGGCCATGAGTGCCGGGGAAGTGGAACAAAGAAATGACGAATGGTTCTCGCGTCGACTCGAGGGCGGTCTTTATGTTCTTCAAACCCTCGACATTATCCTCGCATGGCTCTACGCTGAAGACCCAAGCGCCAAAAGCATCATCACGAAGCTCGTCGGCGTGGAGACGGTAAGCGACTCCTTGCGTGAGCAGATGGCGGAGCTGGGTCCAGCGGCCGAAGGCGTGGATGGAGACACACAAGAGATGCTGAGAACCCTCGTTGACTGCCTGCAGTAGCTGGAGGTCGAGCATATCATGTTTTACGCGTCCGTAATGGTAGGTTATTGTGAACACCAAACGTTGCTGGCGTGCAACCGGCTCCTTGCCACCTGAACTACACCCACTATGCACATCACTCGTTGTGCCATTGCACGGCGCAGATATATCGCCATATGCTTCCCTGGAACTATTCAAGGCTTCTCATCTGTCAACAGCCTGCAAGGTGGTTTTGCAGAACTGTCGTGGCTGCACTGCAAGGGCTTTCCGTGCGTACAATACTATGTTGACAGGCTTACAGGCTACTACATCGACTGCCTCCCAAACACCAGAAAACGTCCTTCTAGCTGCTATCTTTGGCCAGTCCTGCTGCGGTGGTGAGAACAAGAGCCATGTAACTGCTGAAGCCGCGAGCACCGCTTGGTTTTCATTGACCGGGCAACACCTTCCGGTATATGGGCACCTGACCGTATGAACGTTCACATCAACTCAACGCGTCGCGATCCAGCAGAAACACGTCACTTGCAGAACACCTTCTGCTTGCATTTTCTTCTCCTTCCCCCTACATCTTTTTCCCCACACCCTTTCTTCACATTCAACCAGAATCTTCCTCATCCGCTCTCAACAAGCCAACCTTGTACAAGAGCAGCTTCCTCCCCTTCACTGCTCAGCAGTGCCAACCAAGAACCATCCGTTTGACTCGGTGAGCTCCCATTGGCTTAACGCGTGCTGTCTGCAAGAACACGATCGGATCTCGCAAAGCTGTAGATCTGTGAGGAGGGCTACATCAAGCGCTCTGTGTTATGGAAGGGGGCTACAGCATGTATCCTCTCCACTTCAACAGTGAGGAGTCGTATGCTGCTACCAACGCTACGTCAATCAGCTCATCCAGCCTAGATGTTGTCGACAATGCTCTCGATCCTATGATGACGCAGTACAGCCCATTCTATGCTCACGACGACGGCTTCTCCCCTGACGGTGCATTGGCGGCATTTGAACACTCTACACCCGACATTGCAACTGACAAGGTGGAAGCCCAAGCACACGATTTCGATCAGCGCCATTCGTTTCCTGAGCAGCAGACACAATTCATGGCCTCGCCTGAATATGAGCAGCCCGTCTTCTCCACTCGTTCTGCTAACACCGTTGTGCCATCGAGCACTGAGAACGCCACACCAACCAGTGTTACAAACCCTACCCCTGCGGCGACCGGTAACGTCCAGGCTAGCTCAGTCGCCTCCAGTGCTGGTGAAGACAATACGGCGGCCTTGGAATACCGTTCGGAATGGGCTACTGAAGCAGAGGTCGACGTCTACGTCAAGGGTCAGAGTACCGGCTTCAAGACTCTGAATGTCAACGATGACGACATTGCCAACGTCACAATCAAGGAGAAGCACGATTGGTGTAGTAAAGCGTATGCTGCCCTTACTCATAAGCCGTGCGACCAGCCGACGGAGAGCAGGGGCGCCAAGTGGCAAGAGCCCGACCTAAAGGTATACGCCCAAACGCAGAAAATTGCACTCCAGCTGTGCCAGGGCAGGATGAACACTCCCGAGAGTCGCAAGCGTGCCATGGCCTACTGCGACAAATTGTTTTGGATCGCAAAGCGTGCGCATGAAATCGGCCTCCCGAACAATCTGCTGAAGCCCAAGGCCAGATCCATCACGACGCTCAGCGGCCATCCTGTGGAAGTCAAGCTGAAATTCACGGAGCGTCTCCAGAAGGTGAAGGACATCATCGGAAGCAACAAGCACATCGCCCTTGATGTGCTGAGAGGCGAGAGGTTGGACGACATCGTTTGGGCGCCGATCTCCTCCGTGAAGCGCAAGGAGTCGAACACCAAGGGCAACGGGCGGAAGAGCGTGGCACTTGTCAAGGCGAAAGACAAGAAGCAGGGTCTGGTTGGTGGAATCAAGGTCACCGATGCCACCAACGCGACTGATGGAGCTGATGCGGAGGACGGCGATGTTGAGGCAGTCGAAGAGGAGGAGTCGTCTGAGGACACTGTCGTCAAGAGTAGTGCCAAGCGCAAGCGCACTGCATAGAGCGTGTGACTTGCACCACGGACTGGCTGCGACCGTCCAGCAGCGAGCAGATGAGACGGAAGTCAGAGAGTGAGAGCGTTCTGTTTATGAGAAGACGACCTGACATTAGCATGGCGTTGGGATGCGGTCAAGGGTGCAAGGCACGAGGCGCCCATCACGGCCGAACGACTTGTTTTAAGCGCGTGTCTATTGCTTCCATGGAAAGACGCACACGCAGTACGCAGTGTGCTCAGCCTAGCTGTTTCTACGCAGCAGCATCTGCGGACGGGTTGCGGGACAATTCATGAGACGGTGGAAGATCGGTAAGCACGCTGATCAAGACAACCAGTCTGTAGCACATAGAACTGTACATGCTTGATGCTTTTGCACTGCTTCATGCCGCAGCTAGGAGAACAGAACTAACAGGTTTTCCAAACGTCCAACGCCCAGTCGCTATGCCGCAAAAAAATATGTACAGCTACTCTTCGTCTTCCTCGACTTCGGCGGTCTGCGCGATTGTTAGCATCATGTTGGTATCGCAAGCTCAACGTCATCACTTACGTCTTCATGGAAGTCTCTGCCTTCCTTCGTTGGCTTGATCATGCCTATTCTGATAACGAAGTCCCCAAATCTCTCGCCATCATTCCGCTCGAGAGCGTATCGCTTGAGGAGCGGCTTCATGATGTCCAAAATCTCCTCCTCCTTGATGCTGCTCCGGTATAGCTTATTCAGCCTGTTACCGTGATAGCCGCCACCGAGATACATGTTGTACGCGCCGTATGCCTTACCCACGAAAGCCACTTCAGCCAACCAAGGCCGAGCGCAGCCGTTGGGACAGCCAGTCATACGCATCACGATGCTTTCCTGCCGCATACCGTTCTCTTCCAGTACGCCTTCAAGCTTGGTGACGAGTTCTGGGAGGTATCGCTCAGACTCTGCCATAGCCAGACCGCACGTAGGGAACGCCACGCAAGCGCTGGAGGACAGCCGGAGACCAGAGAAGTTTGTGTTGTCGAGTTTGTACTGCTTCAGCATGTCCTTCATCGTGTCGAGCTGGTCTTCCGCTACATTCGCGAGGATCAGATGCTGATTGCCTGTAAGTCTGAACTCGCCCTTGTGGACCTTGGCGATTTCGCGCAAGCCCGTCTTCATCGGGAAGTCAGCCGTGTCCTCGATCCGGCCGTTCTCAATGAACATCGTGAAGTGGTTCATGCCCCGCTCATCCTTCTGCCACCCGAAGGTATCGATGTTGCTGTCAAAGTGGAAGGGCTTCGGTTCGCCAAACTTCTGACCCCACAGCTCCTCGACCTTACCCTTGAAGACATCCAAGCCCATGTCATCGATGGTATACTTTAGACGGGCGTGCTTGCGGTTCTTGCGATCTCCGTTGTCCTTTTGCACTAGCATAATCTTCTCGCAGGCGATATGGATGGCGTCCTTGTCACAGTAGCCCAGCATGCGGCCTGTTTGCGGATATGTCTTCTTCATATTGTGCGTAACGCCCATACCGCCTCCGGCTAGCACGTTGAAACCCTGAAGCTTGCCGTCCTCGCCCTTGATGGCGATGCAGCCGATGTCGTGTGCATACACGTCGGTATCGTTGTGCGGTGGTACGGCGATTGTAATCTTAAACTTCCTTGGCAGGTACGTGGGGCCGTACAATGGCTCGAAGTCTTGCACAGCATCACCTGCAACCTGGACATTCTTGTCGTTGTCATCCTTCAGCCAGATCTCATGGTACGCGGTAGTGCTCGGAAGCAAATGATCGCTGATCTTCTTTGCGGCTGCGTGTGCTTCCCGATGAAGTTCGCTCATCTCAGGTAGTGATGAGCACATCACGTTACGGTTGACATCACCGCAAGCGGCGATTGTTGTCATCAGCGCTTGGTTGATCGCTTGCATGGCTGGCTTGAGCTTGCCCTTGACCACGCCGTGGAACTGGAACGTTTGTCTTGTGGTAAGCTTCATGGTCTCGTTACCCAGGTGGGACGCAATAGCATCCATTTGCTGCCACTGATCCGGTGTCGCAACACCGCCAGGTAACCGGCATCGAATCATGAAGGAGTACGCGGGCTCCAGACCCTGAGCCTTGCGCTCGTCTCGCAGATCTCGATCGTCTTGCATGTATGTCCCGTGAAACTTCGTAAGCTGTTGGTCTGCCGCAGAAATGGCGCCGGTACTCTGGTCCTGCAACCCTTCTGCAATCGTCCCACGGAGGTAGTTCGATCCAAGCTTGATGTCCTCGTTGGTGATTGGTGGCGGCTCATCTGGAATATTCTCAACGTTGCCGACACCCATGGCATCCCAGAGCTTCGGCTCCCACTCGTTATAACCGGTCTGATACCCGTCCGGATCCTGATCGTCGCCCATGCCAATGTCAACTATCTGCTTACCACCGAGTGTGGTCAAGCGCACAAAGAGATCTTTGCCGGGCTTGTTGTAGTAATGCTTGTCTTCCTTGCGTGGCCAGTAGTGGCTGTCACCGAGAGCGAAGACTGTAAAGCTCACGTTCACCAGGTCGAGATCGGTGCTGTTCTTTACACCTTCCCAGAAATTGCGACCGTTCTGCGGGAACTCGCCCTGTCCGGCCGTTGAAGTGATACAAACCACGTTCTCTTCGTTGCCAAGATCCTCTAGCGGGAAGTCGTCCATTGCCATAACCATGGTCTTCAGACCTCGAGCTTTGCCACGCCTCCCAAGTCTTTTCGCCAGGTTTTCCGCGTTGCCGTTGTCCGAAGCGAACAGAATGGTCAAAGGCGCGCCTTGCAGCCCTTCAAGCAGAGCCTCGTAAGCATCCTTTGCCTTCCGTTTCTGCACTTTGCGCACCTCGCTGCCGTACGATTCTGACAGACTTGCGTGGAACTCTGGATGCCTCCGCATGAGCTGTGTGAGATGGTTGTCTCTTCGTAGGAACTCTTGCAGCTCTTGCTTGAGACGCTCAGAGTCAAGCTTGAACGGCTCCTCACCCTTGTCTCCAGCCTTCGGATCCCACCGGTACAGCGGCCAATACCCAAGATCCACAGCCTTCTTCGTCTCTTGCAGGACGTTGAGCGGACTGTCTTCCTCGTGATTGTACGGTAGATAGGCCATAACCACAGACGGCCCCTCGAAGGCCTCGGCTTCCAACATGGCCTGCAGAACCTGCGTGTACGAGCTGTAAACCGCCACGGAGGCCACGTACGCGTTACCGAAATTCATCGCATACAAGCCGATGTCCTTCTTCCTCCGCGCAGCGTCGTGTGCTGCATGCTCGCTGTACGGTGTTGAGTCGATGATCAGCATATTGACGTTCTCCCCGCTTGCTAACACATGATGCACGCCACTGTTGCCCAAATCGTACGACCAAGCATCGCTGCCAATGAGCCATTGCGATTCCTTGAAGAACAGGCCTTTACTGCTCAGGAGCTGGTTTGCTGCAGGCGAGCCGTCAGTGGCTAGCCGCTGAATGACATCCGGCGCCAGTTTGTTCGCCTCAACCGCGTTCGAAGCGGCCAAGGCCCATTGTGTTAGCCATTTCTGCGGCGTATTCGTGGTAAAGTCGTGTGACTTGGCCGCAGCTTGTACTTCGCCTACGAAGCGCTGACGATGCGCCTTTCGTGCAAGCAGTGAGCCGAATCCATACTCCGGGCTAGCACTTATTGCCTGGTCGCCAAGGCCAACGTTGTTCGAGCTTTGCTTGTTTGCAATGTACAGTCTTTCCGCAAAGACTTGATCCAAGATCTTCATGTATGCGTTCTCCAGCTTTGGCGGCGAAAGCTCTAGTCCCCTCCTTGGGCCTGGCTGTCGTGAGCCATCCGGTGCACCGACCTCGAGGTTCTGAATGGGTGACTGACCCAGCAGGTTTTGGAAGATGCCAGAGAGCGCTTGGACTATGGTGGTCTCTTCCAGGTAGCCGAGCTGGAAGCCAACAACAGCTGGAGCTTGTGGACCAGCTGAAGACTTCAGCGACATAAGCACGTCGAGCAGAACAGGACCCCATTTTGTTGTCCTCTTCCGAATTTGCTCGAGGACAGCCACTCTTCTCACGCTGCGTGGCAGGGCCTCGAGCAGACGCTCTGCAAGCCATGGCCGGTACAGCACGGGTGTTATTAGGCCAGCATCCCGGAAGAAGTCGGCGTGATGCGCAGAGGCTAGCTCTGATGCGAAGAGACCAGGATCCGAGCCGAACAAGAACAATGCTGACGAGGCGTTTGCGGGACCAGTGTAGTTGAACGGGCCGTATTGTCTGCCGGTAAAAGACCGTATCTGAGACCAAACGGAGCTGCAGATAAAGTCGATGTCATCCGAGCTCACAGATCTGGGCTGCGAGTCGACCGTGGTGGCAGACTCCGCCTCCGAGACTGCTGAGCTGCCAGAGTGGCGCTCGGACGAAGATGAAGATGCGCTTGACGGCTGTTGTGGGCCTGTCGTGCCCGGGGATGCTTGACCCGATGCTACTGGTGATCCATTGGCAAGTGGTGGCGCATCCATGCCGCTCAGGCCAATGTTTCGCGTGAGCGGCCTTCCTTCGCTGACGTACAACGATAGCTCCTCGCTTTTCACGCCCTGATATTGCCGTGCCAGTTCGGTGTTGAGCACGTTCATAACGAGATCTCGGCTCTCGTGCGCAATGGGCTGATCATTTTGCGAGTTTGCCGCATCGAAGAAGTGGATCACTCCTTTGCCGCTCCTGATCGCCAGAGCATGCGCCGTGAGCGCCAGATCTTGCGCTTCTTGCAATGAGGTGCTCTGCAGTAAGGTGAAGCCGGCATTTCGTATGCTTGTGATGTCGCTATAGTCGGGGTTGCCGGTTGGATGGAGGCTCACGTGGATGACTACAGGGTAGTTCGCTAATCGATACAGATGTGGTATGCTCTTGACTAGAATGCCGCTACCCGTCGTGACCGTGGCGATCTTGCCACTGCGAACGGGCTGGTAGAGGGACAGCAGCGGGTCCGCATTGTGTCGTACGCTCTGTATCTCCGGCACGCCTTTACATATTAAACCCGACGCTCTGTTCTCTGCGTACTGCTTGAAGAAATTGGAGAACTCGCTGTCGGTGGCGAGTGAAGGCTGGACAGACACAATGACGTCTGAAGAGAGGTAGGCAATCCTAGCGACTGTAAGGTAGAATACCAGTGTCAGCAAACCCACTGCTTTCGTCCAAACCCCATTCATCGACGGAGGGGCAACAAAGCCGACATACCTGCTTCTCCAGCCGTCAAGATGGAGGTCATCTTGCCACGCTATACGCTCAGTGCTGGAACCGCAAGCAAGGCAGCAATCGTTACCGCATGGTAGTTGCTAAGCAGAACGTAAGGACAGAGAGGCGACGGGAATGCGTTTTGCGATGTCGCCATGCAAACCTACCTCTAGCGTCGGCGAAAAGTTGCTCTCGGCTCTCGATTTCCAACAAGCTCTCGTTATTGGACCGACCACGCATCTTACCCCACAGACTCTTCGAACCCACTCAAGACTTCATCGTGCGCTGTATGGCCGGCAGTAGTGATGGAGACGCTTCCGCCAGGAACGTCATGCGCCAAGGTCCGGCACATTGACGTGCATCGAGTCTGCGCGTGCAGGCCACCTCTCCGTACCTCCAGCCAATTGACTCCATCGTCGCGGACATGGTAGACTTGAGAGCAGACGTATTCGCTACGATACTTTCGCTCAGTTAGTGGGTTTACGGAGACGGTCAAGGTCTCCGCTCTCTCTTTCTGTTATCTTCTTCTTCCCTCTCACAACTGTAGTCCCTACTGTCAACCGGCAAGAAGCCTCAAGTTTGCTCTACTTCATATGCTCCTCAACGAGCAGTAGTCACTATCAAGCCTAGCATGGCCGAGGTTAGTGGACCGCCCGTGGTTGACATCAGCAGTCTGCGGGAGAGGCTGCCGCAGAAACCAGACCAGCCGTTGAAGGCCGACTCGACGGATACAGCGCAAGAAGCTGTCAAGGCGCTCAACGATCACGAAGCCAACGATGACAAGGACGAGAAGGAGAAGAAAACCTTCGGTCGGACACCGGATGGCACAGGTGGGTACTCTCACGCATTCGCTTGTCGGGCAAGTGATGGCATGTCGTAGTAGTCCGTCGCTTTTGCTATCCATACAGTCCAGATACCGTCATGCGCCTAGTGAGCCCATAAGCACCAATGCTAATGATGTTCACCGGTAGTGTTCACTGTTCCTCACACCGAGGACATGGTATCACAGCTCTTCGACCCAAGGCAACCTAAGAATGCTTCAGACATTGCAGTTGTCACCGCATTGGCGTACTTGTTCGCGCTCTTCTACTTCTTACCGCCAGGCTGGAGAGTACCCGTATTCGCGGTGACTTTTCTGTTCTGGAGGACGTGTTACAACGTCGGCATAGGCTGGTTGCTGCACAACCAATCACACTATCAGCGTCTCGTGGCCTGGGCCAAGAAAGCGCGCATTTTTGAAAACCCGGAGACAGGCAACAATCCGCACCCATTCCTGTACAAGTTCTTGAAGCAGGAGATGGAAGCTAAGATACCCAAGGACTACAAGTTCGAAGACGCGCCGATAGAGTACAACACCTGGCTGGTATTTCGTCGCGTGGTTGACCTGATTCTAATGTGCGACTTCACGTCGTACATACTCTTTGCTGCAGCATGCGGAGGTCGTCCACCGAGCGAGAAAACAATGATGACTGTTGCACGCTGGGTCGGTGGCTGGCTCCTGGTAGCGTTCAATCTCTGGGTGAAACTTGATGCCCATCGAGTCGTGAAGGACTTTGCATGGTACTGGGGCGACTTCTTCTTCCTTATCGATCAAGAGCTTACCTTCGATGGCGTATTCGAGCTTGCGCCTCACCCTATGTATTCGGTCGGCTATGCTGGCTACTACGGCATCTCCATGATGGCTGCGAGCTACAAGGTGCTATTTATCAGCATAGTCGCCCATGCTATGCAACTGGCGTTTCTTGCACTGGTGGAGAGTCCGCATATCGAAAGGACATACAACTCACCACCTCCACCAAAGCGACCGGATGAAGTGCCTGCGACAATGCAGCGGCCACCGTACAAGACACGATTGCTTAGTGCCGGCGACAGTATTAAGCATCTGTCATCTGCGGCCGACCATGAGCCCTCTAGCGTTGTGCATCTAATAGGCTTGCACAACATTGACTTACACCGTGTTGCTGACGTCTCGGTGCTGGTGCTGCAAGTTTACCTCTACACCCTAGCGTTTATTACACCTTCAACAAAGGCATGGCAGACCTTCTTCGTCGTGAGCGCCGTAATATGGAGACTGTGGTACTCGATTGGAATTGGCATCATTCTTGACCGCCAGTCCAATGAGAAGAAGTGGACTCGTCACTTCCTCAAGTATGGCGACGGCACCGAAGAAGCTTGGCGCCAATGGAAAGGCATCTACCATCTGAGCACCGTGCTGTGTTACAGCTCGTTCATCTGCGCCAGCTACAAGATGTACGGCTTGCCGGAAGATTGGACGATTGGAATGGCGACCCTGCGACATGTACTTGGCGTTGCGCTCATTGCGCTTCAACTGTGGACAATCGCAAGCATTTACGAATCACTCGGCGAGTTCAACTGGTACTTCGGCGACTTCTTCTTCGAGCAGGCGCCGAAGCTGAATTACGATGGCATCTACCGCTACCTGAACAATCCAGAGCGCACCATTGGTCTTGCAGGTGTATGGGGCGCTGCAATCATCACATGGAGCAAAGCGATCTTTCTCCTGGCATTACTGAGCCACGCCCTTAGCCTGTGCTTCATCCAATTCGTGGAGCGGCCGCATATGCAGAAGCTCTACCGCCGAAGCATGCGTGAGACTTCTGGCGTTTCGAGGAGTATACACCGCTCCCTTCCGTCACCGCTGCAGAAGTGGACCGGAAGCGTTGATAAAGCGTTGGACAGCAGCATCGAGTATCTCGAGGATGTCATTGAGGCTGCACGACCGAAGCTTGCTGAAGGCTTAAGCACGTTCGTGACCGACTCCAGGACGTTGTTTCGACAATTTCCGGCGCGGATCAGCATCACACGACTGGCGCCAGACCTCGCGGAACTGGATGAGAAGGCTTACTCACTAGAGATCGATACGACGCAACCTGGAGTTGGCTACGATCAAGCCACGCGTAGTGGCAGAGAAGGCGAGGACGCGCAACCACCGCCGAATGATCCGGACAGCTTCAAGAAGCTTACGGTAGAGTACGGTACACCTATCAAGGTAAAATGGACAGCTCCGCTGAGGCATGGAAAGAGGGATTGGGTAGGGCTGTATATGGTGGGTGATAACCCTTCTCATGACGTGACCAGAGTGTCTTCACAGGGGAGATGGATCGCCACAACGAAGGGAGCGTGGGAATACAGCCATGCTGATGAGGGCGTTCTGGTTAGCGACCAGAAAGTTCCAGCCTCTGAATTGGCGAAGAGTGGCGGGGAAGACTGTGTATGTGGCGAGATGCAATTTAGCGGAGACAAGCTCTGGTGGACGCAAGGCATCTTCGAGTTTCGCTACCACCACGACGCAAACTACAACGTCATGGCGGTGTCGCAGCCCTTCGAGATACGCATCAAGCACTTCGAGGACGAGAACATCGACTACACCGCGGATGAGTCGGTCCGGAGAACTATTGAACAAGCGCTGCTGCCGGTGGTGCAGAACTGCTTCGATCGTGACCCCGACGTGGCTCCGCGCACCGCGGACGAAGCCTTTGGACCGACGCTGGAGCGGGAGGGGAAATACGCGAAGCGCGTCGTGTATGCTGTCCAGCAGATGTTCGGCATCGAGTTTGCGCCCGAGGTGGTGCAGGCGGACGGTAATGTGAAAAACCTTGCGTGGAGGTTGTGCAATGCGAAGAAAGTTCTGGCACCGTACAGTATGGGACATTCGAGAGGGCCTACAACGCCGCAGGGCAGTAGCGGATGATGCGAAAGGGATCAGTACATACAAAAGTTGGCTTGTACATACGAATGGCGGCTTTGGTATGATGTAAGCAAGTTTCCCGTTATATCGGACTGCGAATGAAGCGCAAGGTGGAGTGCCGAAGCTGCGCTCATCGGTCAAGAGGATTATAGCACATTTCTTGTTGCGCCATGCCGCTCACCATTGTATCGTCGTAGTCGTCAGCGGTAGGCGAATCTAGTGGTGCGAGCAAGCCTCGTATTGCACGGGCCGAAGTGAAGGCATGGCAAGCTGAGCATCGGTCGAAACCTCGAAACTTCTCTCTCTTCACTTCTTCTACCTCTGTAAACTACCATGCCAACCTACATCGTACAGTTCGACACAACTCTGAATCTTAACCTCCACGAGCCTCGACAACACGTCGCGCCCATCACAATAGCTTCGTGGCTTGCGTTCGCGGTCAAGTCCAGTGTCAACCGTTGGACCGATCCGTTTCGGGATAGTAGACAGCAGCCACACAATCTCATTGACTCCAGGAGTCCGAACCCAGACATGAGGATCTTCCAAGTACCCGCACATGCTTTCGACGGTGATGCATATTCTCTGTCCCAGACCAGAGCCTTACGGTCAAGATTCATGTTTTAATCATCTCTAGTTGTAATTTATTCTTCTGTCTACCGCGCCGATGCCACTTTCTTACAGCGCACGCCGCGCCCTTTCGGCGGCCTTCCTTCTAATTACAACCACAGCATCTCAAATCTGCTACTATCCTGATGGACAGACGATTTCCGACGACATTCCATGCGGCAGTAATGGAACAGTATCAGCATGCTGTCCAGCGAACTCCCTCTGCTTGGACAACGGTCTTTGCTACGCGGGCGGCATCGTGAGCAGGTCGTCTTGTACGGATGCTACGTGGGAAAGCTCAGCATGCCCCAGATATTGCAAACCAGGTGCGTGTAGAGCGTAGCGAGAGCTGGGCGTACGCCGCTAACCTGGTTGACAATGCTCTGCAGAAAGCCCGACCGGCTCGATAGCGATATCACCATGCTCTAGCGCGTCGGAATCGAACACTTTTGCATGCGGGGCGAACAGTACTGGCTGTCAGACCAACGGCGACACCTTCACCATGTCCGGCGGAAACGCACTGCAGCTCCGACCGACTCAACTCGCAGCCATTATCTCGTCAGCTCTTCCCACCACATCTTCGACGTCCTCCCATTCCCTGACGTCTTCAACATCAGCGGTCGTGGCCGAGAAGACCGTGACCTCTTGTCCGTCTCCGTCACCGGCGCTTTTAGACACAAGCAAGCAGTATACGGACACAGATATGGCCGCTCTCGGCTGCGGACTAGGCCTTCCGCTCTTCTTCGCATTATGTGCCGCACTCATCCTGCTCCGCAAAGAGCAGCAAAGGCACGCTAGGCCGAAGCTCATGTACAAGCTTCCTCTCGACCACGACGAATATTCCTTCAGGCCGCCGCCACCAGCTCGGGCAGCCTCGACGCTTTCAGCCGTCGACTCGGCCTTCAGCTCCCGCGAAGGCTACAGCAAGCGTGCCAGTCTAAAGACACTGGGAAGCCAAAAGCCAGCACACATGCAGAGCTTCATGGAGCGATACGAAAGCATGAAGAAGAGCAAGGTTCAAGTCCAAGAGCGGGAGACGCATGAGCTGGATTCAGTGAACGTCAAGGATGTGATGCGGCACGAATTAAGCGATGTGCGGATGTCGAAGCTGGACCACGCCTAGTACTGGATGGCATCTTTTTGTGTGTTAGCGCGGCGTTGTGGGCTGAACACTGTGAGGCCATTGCGGCATCGGCATAAGATAATACTAATGACTGTGGTACGAGCTTTCCGTGCAACGTTCCTGCCGTTTCTGGTGCGGCGAGCGGACCCTACCGCGCTGTCAGACCGGCACCTTCGCTCGCTTGCTCCTGTACGACTTCATGTCGTGCATTCACCCGACGCGTTACCTCACCGCATCCGGCAGCGTGGACCGCCCGCAGTCGACACTTCACGTCGCGTCCATGCGCGCTTAGGATGATATCCGGGCGCGTTCTTGTCTGCGCATGTCACTCGTTTCATCCTGTTCTTTGCGAGTAAACGATGATGTCTGTGCTAATACTTTCCGCTCTGCTACTTTTGCCTCGTACTTTGTACGCGCTGCCTCTTAATTCGCCGCTACTCCCGGAGTATGACTACATTGGTGAGCGTAAACCCCCTGCTTCGGCTAACCGTCGACTGCTCACTGAAATGTACATAGTCGTAGGCGGCGGTGTTGCTGGTCTGACAGTCGCTAGCCGATTATCCGAAGATCCGACCGTCAAAGTTCTTCTGCTTGAAGCTGGACCTGCTGATAATGGAGAGCTGTTCGTGGAGGTGCCAGGCATGATCGGAAACGGCATCGGCACCATCTATGACTGGAACCTGTCCACAGTACCGCAAGCTCACCTGAATGGCGCTCCGCGCAGTCTCCCCCAAGGCCGTGGGCTTGGTGGCGGCAGCCTGATTAACGGCATGCTCTGGAGTCGAGGCGAAATCGGCGACTGGGAGAACTTCGTGCAGCTCGGCAACCCTGAGTGGTCGTGGCAGGATATGCTACCTTACTTCATGCGGAGTGAGACCTACACGCCACTGTCGTCAGTTGAGCTCTCCGAAGAGTACTCGATTGAGGCAGACATGAGCGTCCATGGAACCAGTGGACCGATCAACGTTAGCTTTCCTCACTATTTCTGGACCAGCTCAGCAGACCTCTTCAGCGGACTGAATCAGCTAGGTGTCCCAACCGCATACGACCCCAATGAAGGTCTCATTGCAGGGGCTAGCTTCTTACCGCTCAGCCTTGACCCTGTCGAGGAGATGCGGGCAACAGCGCGCAAGGGCTACTTTGATCCGTTTGTCCTACGACCGAACCTGTACGTTACCACGGGACAGGCAGTCACCCAGATCATATTTGAGGGCCGCGGCACCGATTCCAATGAGACTGCCATGACGTCGGAGGGTATGTCCGTCGGTCAAGGCGATTCTGCAGGCGTGCCAGGTGGCATCTTTGGGGGCGGAACTACTCTGGATATCACAGACGCTCCGACTCAGCGTGTACGGCGTATGAGTGGCATCCTCGATACCGCTTGGCGTGCCATCAAACGTACCATCGCACCACGGCAGTCAGCAGCTGTAGCACGACGACAGGCTGGCCTTGTACGAGCGATGGGTGTAGAGTTTGCGAGCAATGCAGAGACATCAAGCCAACAGATAACGGCAAGTCGCGAGGTAATAATGGCTGCCGGTGCGCTCCACAGCCCTCAGCTGCTGATGTTGAGCGGTATCGGTCCGGCTGTAGCCCTGCGGGCGCTTCGCATACCAGTCAATGTGGACCTGCCCGACGTCGGCAGTAATTTGCACGACCATGGGCAAGTCTGGGCGTGGTATCCTTACAATAACTCCAACATAACAACGCCGCTTGACTTCTTCACCAATTCCACGTTCGCGAATGATGCTTGGACCGACTACTGGGCGAATCAAACTGGCCCAATGACTACTGCTGCGTTTGATGGTGTTGCTTTTCCATCGCTGCCATTCATCACAAATGGCTCGAACGCCATAGCTTATGCCGCATCGTTGCAGAGCGCTGGGCAGTACCTCCCCGTCAACACCGATCCAACAGTCAGCGCTGGCTACGCAGAGCAGCTGACTCTGCTCGTCGACGCGCTTGCAGATCCGACGCGAGCTGGCTACGAAATCATAAACGCCAATGACGGTGCACTGACGGTAGCAAACATGCGGCCTTTGAGTCGCGGCACAATCGCCCTAAATTCATCCAATCCTTTCGATCCACCAGTCATAGATCCGAGATACGGCAGCAACCCTATCGATGCGCAAGTCTTGCTTGCGGCTCTACGCTTCAACGAACGACTGATTGCAACGAACAGCCTAGCCGCCATGAATCCGATCCAGCAGTATCCGCCTCCAGATGCCACTGATGAGCAGCTTCTGCAGTACATTGCTGCAAACATGCAGACAGAGTACCATCCGGCGGGCACTAATGCGATGATGCCGCTGGCGCTTGGCGGTGTAGCTTCGCCAGAGCTGCTCGTGTATGGGACGTCCAACCTGCGAGTGGTCGATGCAAGCATCATACCGATGTTACCGGCAGCACATCTGCAGGCGGTGGTGTACGGCATTGCAGAAAAGGTTCCCTGACCCGTCCAATCATTAGTTTTCCGGCATGCTGACACCGCGCCTCAGGCCGCCGACATTATCAGATCAGCGAACACGGCTGCAAGGATACTCTCTCCTTCAAGCGCTGCAACGGCGCCGTCGACCTCGCCTTCGCTGTCCGTCACACATCAGATGAATGAGGCTGTTGATGTGTTGGTGTATACAGCAACCGTGACGGTGATGGCGACGCAGACGGTGTACATCTGAGCGAAGATGTTCGTCTTGGTCGATCCGACTGAGACATGATATCTGGTTATGGAGTGGTCATTAACGGCAAGCATTTGCTTAGACGACGGTGATGGTCAGCAGAATTCAACGTCCCCCATGGTAAATATCGATCCGTATCCCTAAACGAGCATATTACCGAGCTTCCACATTCTAATATACGCCGTGTTGAGCGTTTGCTGCCTGCACAGATTACGCACCGCTAACTGTGGCGCGTCCTCGTACGAATCTGCCATCCACTCAATATTTGTCATCGCGCAAACCACATAAGAAACCACTGTTCTACGCATTCCTGGTTGCGATCCTCATTCTTCTCGTTGCCTTGCTTACGGCATTCAGCCACTTCCTGCTATTTCCGACCTTCAGCAATCATCTGACGGGAGGACAAGACTAAGCGAACCGTAAGGCCGAAGTGGCAAACGAAGAACCATGTGCATACAACAACTCATCTGGTGTTCATGCGGGCACGGCGAGTTCCTACCAATCGAGAAGTGCTCGCAAGCCGTTAGGCAAGGCTATTGCTGGACGGTGGTCTGGGGCGATCACAGAGTCGTGGTGGAGTTACCATGTTCTTACTGCAAAGCTGGTCTGAACTGGAGGAGGCCGCTAGGGAGCGCGCGACCTACCGCGGAAGTGACCAGAACAGCTGGATCTGCACTGAATGAGCCTCCAAGTCGGGGCGGTAGCGATGAGTCAATGGTACCAACGGTGCCGGTGGACCCAGCACTTTATACCCGACTGCCGACACCGCCGAGTGAATGGGAGGATGTTCTGAGCACAGATTGGAGCGCCGGGTTTGATTTAAATCAGGACCTGTGGCAGTATGCGTGAGCAAAACACATCAAAAGATGACGTCCTCGTCACCTTCATCGCCAAGCACGTTCTTCGTCTCGCCGTCCTCACCGTTAGCTTGTTGGTTCTCCTTATCGCTTTCGCGCCGTGCCTGCTTCTTCCTTGCCTCCTCTTCAGTCGCGGCCGCGCGTTCTTTGACACCCTTGACTTTCTTAAGCCGGAAAAACTCTTCTCGATCCAGTTCGTCAAGCTCAGAGTTGATGTATTTGATCGTGTTTTCGGTGCGTGGGATAATGACGTGTTCGCTGCAGGAGGTAAGGTCAGCCGGCGGCTTCGCAAGCTGGACTGATCTTGCGTTTCGCAGACATACATAGCATTCACTCTGCGGTTCACCACCTTAATCACCTCATCCAGAATGACGAAAGCGGTCTGCAAGCTCGCCAACTCTACCAGCGTCTCCACCGCCCTGGTATACGTGTCCCTACACTTCTGCACTTGCTGTCCACCCTTGCCCAATCCGGTCATGCCAAACCCACTGTCGACGCCCTCTTGTTGGAAGCTCTCAAACTGCGGCAGAAACACACCGCTGACGTTCTCTTGTCTGGTCCGTACTCTGAACTTGGCCTGTCGCACACTCTCCGTGATTTGATAGCCAATCTGAGAGTTACCGACGGCGTAGGTGACTTCAGCGAGGGAGAAAGCAGCGATCTGCATGACACGACCCATCTTACGCTTGGCTTCGTCGATGCGGCGGGTGATTTCGCGAAAGCGCTTGGTGAGGGCTTCAGATTTGCGCTTTAGCAAGTCGTGGCCAGTTTGTGCGCCTTTGAGTTTGGACTTCATGGCCCCAAGTGATTGACGGGTAGGAAAGACGGGCTCGCGGTCCTACAGAACATCCAGCTGAATTAGTCGGGCACCGAACTGAGATAAGGAGGGCATGTCATACGCCTGCGCCGGACATGATGGGCGAGTAGGTGCAGGCTCAACGCCTGCTTGTTATGAGTCTTGATACCGGAATCAAATGCAATGCAATGCGATCCTGTAGCAGACTGTCTGGTTAAGCGTCCTAGAGTATTGGTATTGGTGGGCGAGATGAAGCAGCAACAAGCAAGCATTGAGAGCTCCCAGCGCCAGTGATGTATGATCGGCGCTACAACCTCACAACCGCCGATGCACGCGAGTCAGGGAGCGCTGTCGGTATCGCTTAATGTATTTTTGAAAGAAGACCGAAGGATCTCCATCAAACAACCTAGCGGAGACAACATGGCAGACGACGGGCTTTTGGTCAACTTTGACATCCCGACAGACGCCTTCACAATCAACCACACCACTTTCAAAGGTGGTCACTGGAAAGATAGACTAACGGCGAAGAAGGCCGCGGCGTATGGACGGCAAAAAGCTGCTGGAATCGTCAACTTCCAAGCATCAGATCGTGGAGAAAGCGACTTGCGGCCAGCAAAGCGACAAAAGCAATCCGAAGGAAACCACGTAGCTTCAAATTCGCTCAAGAGAGAGGTCATCTCATCACTCTTTACATACAATCCTGTCTCTTCAACCAAGCCTGTCGAAAAGCCTTCAAACGGAGAAGAAGTACCGATAGAGCCATCAAATGCTCCGGAGGCGGACGTCTTGTCCTCTTTCACGGGCCTGGGTCTTTCCACTACGCTCGCTAGCCATCTTCAGAGAAAGCTCAATATCAAGGCGCCCACTGCCATCCAACGTAAGGCGATACAGCAACTATGCGCAGACGACACGGATGCTTTCTTACAGGCCGAGACCGGCTCCGGAAAGACCTTGGCGTACCTTTTGCCCATTGTAAACCGCATCATGCAAATCTCGAAGCAGATGAAAGCAGCCGGCCAGAATTTCACCCGAGAGAGTGGCTTATTTGCAATCATCCTGGCGCCGACTCGAGAGCTCAGCAAGCAAATCAGCACAGTTCTAGAGAGCCTGCTGTCATGCTGCCCATGGGTCATTACTAGCACGGTCATTGGTGGTGAGAAGAAGAAGTCCGAGAAGGCTCGGTTACGAAAAGGTCTCAATATCCTCGTTGCCACTCCCGGCAGGCTTGCGGACCACGTCAACAGCACTGACGTGCTGGATTTGGGCAAGGTGCGCTGGCTTGTTCTCGACGAGGGTGACCGGTTAATGGAGCTAGGCTTCGAGAAAGACCTTCAAAGGATCATTGGCGCTCTCAATATGCGAGCTCGCAAAGCCCTCGAGCCACCAATTGCGGGCTTGCCCGAAAAGCGAACCACAGTGCTCTGCTCGGCCACGCTGAAGGCGGACGTTGAGCAGCTGCAATCAATTGCACTCAAGCAGCCAGTGTCGATTGCAGTGGGTGCTGATGAAGCTGCCGGCAATACCGATGTAGCATCACAAGTCCAGGCGTTCTCTGCGCCAGCCCAGCTCAGACAGGGCTATGCTATCGTGCCCGCAAAGCAGCGCCTTGTCACTCTAGTCGCCCTACTCAAGCAAACGTTCAAGCGGAAAGGATCTGTCATGAAAAGCATTGTTTTCATCGATGCAGCTGACAGTGTGGACTTCCACTTCGAGGTTCTGACTCGCGGCGCCTCGCAGCCGACTCTAAGCGAGAACGTGGCGAACCCAGCAGTGAATACTAAAGGATCAGAATTTCGAAACACGAAACCGAGTATACCTCAGGGCCAGACCATCGCTGAAAGTCACACGGAGGGTCGAGGCACCTTCTCTGGCAAAGACAATGAAGTTAGAGTATTCCGTCTACACGGCTCGCTTCACCAAGCGACCAGGACCAGCACGCTCAAAGCATTCAGCGACTGCGCTCAGCCTGCAGTGTTGATGGCTACGGATGTCTTCTCCCGAGGCCTTGATGTGCCCAATATCGACTTGGTAATTGAGTACGATCCGCCCGCCAGCAAAGATGACCATCTCCACCGAATCGGCCGTACAGCACGTGCCGGCAAGGATGGTAGGGCCATGGTGTTCTTGACGCCAGGCTGCGAGGAAGGGTACATCAACATTCTCAAGGAAGGCCGACCGAGGACACTGACTCGGCATGAAGCGGACGAGCTGCTGAAGAAGGGCTTCTCGCCGGCTACTGGCATTGTCTCGGCCAAAAGCTGGGCAGAGGCAGCAACCGAGTGGCAGCTGGACGTTGAACGGTGGGCGCTTGAGCATCCTAAACACCTCGAGCAAGCTCGCCGAGCGTACCAAAGCCATGTAAGAGCGTACGCTACGCATGTGTCTGCGGAGCGAGGTATCTTCGACATGCAACAGCTTCACCTCGGTCACCTCGCCAAGGCGTTCGCGCTGCGGGACAAGCCAGCAAATATAGGTGTGCCTGGACAAAGGCCGGGCAAATCGACCACTAAGGCGCGACCGAGGGCTGCAAGTGCTACTGTCAAGCGTTCAAGGACAGATGATGACGCGGATACCGGTGCAGCTGTGGACGAGGCGGACGCCAAGCGTAAGATGCGGGAGAAGATGAGAGCGATGGGCGGAGTCTCAGAGTTCAACCTTGGATAAGCGTTGACTCTCAGTAAATATCCCAGAGCGACACTTTGCCATCTTTGCTTCCGGCCGCGAGCCAGTGCGTGTCTTTCGCTCTCTGTACTCTGTGCTCTGATACAGTAAGTCCTCGCTTGGTAACCGGGTCGTCGTCGGCGGCCGGTTCGTTGGAGTAGTCGTGAACAGTTGCAAAAGCCAGTCCGTAGCATCCCTCCTTGTGCCATTTCAACACCGCGAGCTCCTTCATTGTCTTGGTCGAGTAGACGCGCACGCGGCCATCCCAGCCAGCCGTGGCGAAGATTCTTTCATCCGAACGAACGGATATAGATTGCTGGCCGGAATGCTTGGTTTGAATAGTTTGCGTCTGTCCAGTGCCTGATGCGAACGAGTGGCGAGCAATGATGGCATCTGCCGAGGAAGTGAAGAAGCACCCGAGGTCGGGTGCAACCGCTTGTGAGAGGACGGGCTGAGTGTGTGCTTTGTGACCGTACACTGGCCGCCAGAGCTTGCCAGAAGCGTCCTGCTTGAAGACGCAGACGATGCCACTCTCGTAGCCTGCCATGACGAGAAGTTGATCGTTGCTCCAATGCAAGCCGACTGCCATTAACATGCCTGTCTTGACATCTCTAGGGTTCGGTATGGTGGCGAATCGTTCTTCGCTGGGTAATGCACTGATCGCAATGCTGCCATCTTGCACACCGGGTACTGCCACAAGGATGCCCCTACCTGCTCCGTCTTGGCCTTCGCCTTTCCCTTCGCACATAGCAAAGCAGCAGAAGTTCAATGCGTTCACTGCTAGCGAATGGAGCAGGGCCGGCTTCTTCCTTCCAGCTTGTGCATCGTCGATGGGCAGCGTTTTTGAGGATTCAGCTTCTTCAAACTCTCCCATCCGCCAGACCTTGAGCTGGTTGTCCCTCCCGTGCCTGTTGACATGTCAGCACGAACATGGGGGCTTTGCGAGTGACTTGCGTGATTATCTTGTCGTCGTCCCAATGACCGAGACCTAATATGCTACCCTCATGCGGTTTCCATACTGCTACAGGTCGCTTACTTGGCACGTTCCATAACACGACCCAGCCTTCTGCGTCTCCAGTGATCAATCGAAGATTGTGTCTCCAAAAGCGGACCGAGTGGATTTGCGCGGTATGGCCTCGGAGAACGTATGCTGGTTGAGCAGGTGGTAGAGTTGAGGTTTGCAATAAGTGAGTGGAATGATCGGCCATATGAAGAGTCAGAGACCATATCAATCGTCGTTGTGGAAGTACTGGTGCAGAGTCTCGTATCGACACTGATATGAATACTCATATCTCATTGATGGAAGCCTACGGAGGGATACGCGGTAAGCTGTGCTTTAGGCAATCCTTCGAGCAGCTGTATGTACAACAAATATTTGCGACCATCTTTCGTAGAAAAGGAACAATAAAAAAAGGTGTGATTCACAGGTCGATCCCGGGTTCGACTATCAACAAGACAGTCAGCGATGCGTACAGTGCTGCCTTGTAACAGGAAGAGCACTTACACCGGGGTTGCCGGAAGATTTGAGTCAGGTCACCCAGAACTGGGCTTCCAGAGCAATCAAAATCCGGAGTGATAACCACTACACTAATCAACCAAATCGAGTTGTGAAACTCGACATGTCACGATTGTGCAATTTCTGGCAATGTAAGATTTTCCAAAATATATGAACAAACCAAATGCGCCGGGCTTTGGCCTCTCTCCTCTAATAGGCTACCATATCCCATATTCGCTGATTGGAGACATCGATCTACGCCATAGCATCGTTGAGTAACAGTTTCGTCACTTTCGTAACGACATCATTTCCAGTTAGTCTAGTGCGAAGAGCACCTCAATGCATCCTCCTCAGCCCCTCAACCATGCCCCTCAACTCCTCAACCTCCCTTCCCAGCTCACTCGCAACATCTACTTGCACCTCCACCGGCGCCTCCAAATACCGCTCCACCAACTCCCCATCGACAAATCTCGTAGGCCCTTCGCCTCCCATGTCTCTGACTTGACTTCTAAAACCTCGCCATTTGGCAAAAGGTACATGGCCCGGAGATTTCACCCGTTCTGCAAGTAATGCCTGCAGTCGCATAAGCAGGTCCTGTTTGCCGGGTGATATCAGCGCGAAGAGGTATATGCTTCCTTCCACTGTTGCAAGGAAAGCGCGAGGCACGACGACGGCGGTAGCAGTAGGTTGGACAGAGATGGAGCGGATGCGATTCACCATTTCCCCCAGTAACATCTCGCTCACGGGCCTTAAGCGGCGTCGATCCTCGTCGCTGTATCCGTTAACTTCGTGCTGTAGGACCACAAGGTTACCTTCAGCGTCAGCCTCGAGGTAGGTATTCTCGGCGACGTTTGCGATCGCAGTGCCCCAAAGTGTCTCGTAATGTCGCGCAATTTCTGACAGCGTGTCGGGCACGCCGCCTCGACCAGGTTTGTATGAGACAAGTGAGACGGACTTCATCAGGTCGGTAACGGCGATGGTGGAGCCTGTGACGCAGATGTCGATGGGTGCGGTGGAGGTGCGGTAGGCGGCTTTCTTAACGAGGAAGGGGTGGGAAGGGGTCTGGTATTCCAGGGCGTAGATGACGACCTAAGGACATGACGTTTGTTAGCAAGGTCACCAAATGACTTGGAGTCAGCATCTGCTTACCGTCTTCACCAAAGCCGCCACAATCCTCCCGAGCACCACCGCAAGGCACCGACACGCACCCTTCAGCCCTAACTCCGCCACCACCTTCAACCGCCGCTCCTCGGTAACCTCAAGAACCAATATCCGTCCCTTCGTTTGCTGCTGCGGCGCATCATCCAGATACGCCGTGCCCACCACGAATCGCTCCGCGGTCTCGCCCGTCCCACTGCCGTCGTCTAATTGACATCGCATTACGCATTCCACCAGCTCATCTTCATTCAGTGCAACAGTGTGAAGCTCCTGAAACGCTACCTCATCCACCAACTTGAAAGAACTGGTGACTTCTTCTACGCCCGCACGGAGGACACGCTTGATCGTTCCCAGCCCGAACGCTTTCAGCTCGGTCGAGTAAGCGATCCTTCGGACTGTCTCTCCAACCCGAAGAGTCTGAACATGCGTCGTCCGCTCCTCATCGACCATCGCCAACTTCAACTCCCCTTCCTCTGTTGCAATCGCAATCGCGCCTGAGTAGGCTTCGCTGTCGAAAGAGCAGATACTCTGTGCCGTCTCCGCCGTGACGGCTGAGTACACTGTTCGTCCTTCTTGCCCGTAGATGAGGGAAGGATGCTCGCAGGTCGCGAAGACGTTATCGAGCACTCCGTCTCCACGAGGCAGGAGGGTGAAGTTAGCCTGCTGTGTGCCGAGGATGGTGCTTTTCCGTGATGTAAAGGGTTGCTGCGGGGATTGGACAGTGTATGTGACCACATTGCCATCTGCTAATCCGACGAAGAGAGTTGGTGGTGCATCTTGCAGGATGTTGGCTAGGACCACACTGCGTGGAACGGCGGATGTATCGAAAGAGTCCGCTACTCTCTCGGTGGCGATTGGTTGCAGATCGTGCAGAGAGAGGAAGGCGACTCTACTCTCCTGCCAGAAACCGACGACACATACGTCCCGAACCGCCTTGGACAGAGCAATGCAAGAGACTTGCTCCTCGCTTTCGAAGGTTCTCCGCGTGCGTGCCTCCAGTCTCTCGCTGCTTACGTTGCTGAGATCGAGCACCACGAGCTCCGCGCCACCGATAGAGACAAGCAGGCTATCACCCTCTGCCGCAACCGCCGTGATCGACCTTCCATCCGGCAGACTCCAGCTGCTCGTAATCGTCCGGGTTTCTGTATGCGAAACAATGACAGCGGAGCCCGTGACCTGCACGATGCGGCCATCCGAAGTGTTGCCCGCGTACAGCGAAGCGGCCGCCAATTCGAATCCGCCCAAGTGATCGACTTCTTCCACCTCACCGTCCACGTCGAAGCGGAAGACGCGAGTGTAGCTTACGAAGCCGACGACCAGCGTGTCGACGAAGTGCGATTCCGGCGAGCTTCGTAGACTGAACATGGCGGAGACAGGGGCTCCCATCTCACCGATACTGCCAACGTCTTCCAATCCGACACCAGATCGTACGCTTCGCAGACTGCCGTCTTTGTAAGCGCCCGAGCCCGTCACAATGCGTGCTTGGCCGGAGGAGAACTCGTTTACGGGCGCGTCGGACGAGCGATTGCCCATGTCCATGATTGTGAAGTCCAGTATCGGCGCAATGTTTGCAAACGTCTGTACCACCTCCATGCTTTGCTCTGAGATCTGTATTACCTGGCTGTCGCCCTGATGGCTGCCCACGAAGATCCGCCCTGCGTCAAGGTAGACCAGAGTATTCGCCCTGCTCGTTTGGCCCAGTATGTCGAGCCGATGACCTGCATACTCACCGGTGTTGTTTTGCAGCACGAACAGCAGATACAATTTCCCATAATCATCCGCGAGCACATACCGCTGCTCATCCACTGCGCACCACGCCACAAAAATCGTCGCTTCGTCCAGCGGTTGCGTGTCTGTGATCCGATACTCCCACTCGTCTACGTAGGCAATCCTCGTCTCACCCACAACGAGCATACCGTACATCGGCGGTGGTAGAGGGATGAGGTGACTTGCGCCAAGCTCGATCTCGCCTTGTGCATCCTTTCCCTTCTCTAGCTCTGCGGTCGGTGGTTCTTCCGCTGGCCGTAGTGAAGGTGTGAACTCAAGTTCGCGGACCTTTAACCGGACCTTGTTCGTACTGTCCTCCCATAACACCGCTAGCTCCGGGTTCGCCAGTTTCGATCCTGCCTGCCGTTTGTGCACAAAACATGTACTTCGCACGAAGAGCTCGGGTATGCGCACAGGTATGGGGTCTTGAAGCTCGCCGATCTCATTATCGGCTGCCTTCCGTTTGCCCTTGCCCGCGTGGGCAATGGGTAGGACGTTGATAACGCCTTCGTAGCACTCCAAGCTTAAGAAACGGCTAGTGGGGTCAATGTGCACTCTGTCGCCTGTTTGACTGTCTCTCGCGCTCTTCTCGGCGATGTCGACATAGCTCTTCTCCGTGCGCAGTTGCTTGGTGGAGGCGTCCCATGAGAGGGTGAAGTAATGGTAGTGGTCGGTGCCTACGAAGAGATGGTCGGTCTGCGATGTTGCCGGGCGAAGCTTGTGGAGTAGCGTGACCTTGCCGTAGAGTGATCGGGTGTATTGAAGGGAGAGCTGGTCCGGTTGGTGCGGATTGGGGCTATAAATCTCAAGGCGGTTGGCTTTGGCGACGATCAGATCCGACGATGTTGGTGACAGGAAGGAAAGGTTGATGGCGTGACGGACAGAGGACGGACGATGTATGGGTGCTAGGTAGGCCATCGTCAACACCGTTATGACTGTTCCATGGGCTGAGTGTAAGCCGATGGACGGTATTGACTTGCTGCGAGGTTATGGCGTCGTTCGGCGTGTCATCGTCCCATTTCACGAACGCTCTCGTCGCCAGACCGTTCTTTCTTTGCCGCACTGTGCTTGTTCGCTACATAAATGGGACCGCGCTGTTCAAGTAATCGCTCTTCAATCAATAACCCGGAATTCGATGACGCTCGAGACACCCGAGCTTCACGGCGACGCGTCCAAGCTCCCAATCCTAATCAATCCCTCCGACCACTCCGTACAGTATATCGCGCAGACATACGATGCTGGTCTTCCTTACGCTGTGCTCGTGCACAATGAGGCAAAGAACAAGTATCATACCAACAATGCCAGGAACTGCTTCTTGACTTGATAAGAGGATCAAGCCGCGGCGTCGTCAGACAAGCGCGGGTTGATACTTGGGTTTACCGACCAGAGCAGCAGTGCAGAGTACCTGGAAGCAACACTTAGCTGCTATGAAAAGGCCATGGTTTGTACGTCTACTTGGTAGTAGGAAAGGGAACTTCTACTTCTCCAATGGGCTCGAACACAGCCGTTCGTTAATACGAGGCAAGCGTCACTGTTTACCTAGGATATCGATTTACCAACATCCCGTCCGTCCGTTAGGCTGAGTGCTGCAGGACCTCGCTCCGTCGCACTTCGCCACAATATTCGACAAAGACTTAGGGTCTTCAGATGTTCGCGGACAACCATCCTGGGCCGCACAGCTGCAAGGGGACAAAGCTGTCTCATCTTTAACATGCCCCCGAGTGTAGCGAGCCACACTACGTCGCGAGCGACATTTCAAACTTCGACCACGTGAAGTCGCGGCAACGAAGTTATACAACATGCAGACTGGTAGCGCTCTACGTCCATCCCTCCTTGCATTACTCGCTGCGTTACACGAATTATGGACTGTTGATCGCGTTGTCGCTTACTACAGTACATGTATGCCAATGTGGTGCCCCGCTTCTGAGCGACCATATCGTATTTAGTTAAGCGTCAGGCATCTTCGCTAATAAGGTAAGGTAGTCATTAATCGTCTAGGCCGTATAGGGCAATGTATTGTGGCAAAGCTCCCTTGTTCTGACACAACTCGCACGCTTCTGATTCGGCACAATATGATGCAGTACTGCGCTGCATATGTGTCGGTTTCACGCGCAGCGATACACCATTCACAGCTCATCGAATAAGAGCTGCACAATTTAGGATCCTATATTGCGCGGTGATGTCGGCGACATGCTAACATACAGCTAGTCACAACGTGAAAGTCTGGCCTTTGTGTAAAGTCTGCTCCGCAGCAATTTGGTCAAGGATCTTTGTGGTGTCGTAGATTGTTCTATATGGTTAAAGTTTCCGCTTGCAGCAAAAGCTTGTTAGTGCGAACAAGGCTTGACGAACAACGGCGGCACTACGAGCTTGGCATATTGTTTTCGAGATCACCTGTCAGTCGTCCAGGGTCGTGGTGCTGCGGCTGATCAGAACGCTGGATCTAACAGGTAGAATAAGCGGTCGTGCTTTGGGAGGCTAGAACCCCCTCGCGTAAGCCACTTCGAAACTCATCCAGCTGTCCCGTGCAAGGGTATCAGGAATCTCGTTTATCCGGAAGAACCGCAGCTTCTGTAAGATCAATCGAACAACGTCCGTTCGTCAGTCAGATCTTGCCATTTAGAACACGCTTACTCACAGATGATGGGCATCTCGCAGCGAGCCTTGATATCTATCAACATGCATGATGCGAGCAACGGATGAACGTTCGTTTCCCCCTCGAAACCAGGAAAGTAAGGCGCGCCCCAGCCTCCCAAACGGTGAGTCGGTACGTCGGCCCTATCGCATACCCTATGCCCATTCATCGGGCCAGGCGCTGACCCTTCTCTTAGCGAGCTACCACTACTGCGCATGTGTGGTAGATGGATCCAATAGATCCAATATGCATCATGCTGTAGGCATCTTCAGCTACGCCACGTCCATAAAAAACTGGTCAGTAGCCGCTTGTCCCTTGGCTAGCCCTCGTCTTATTCGAGCTCTTGTGCGACTTTGGCTGCTACATCGCTACAGAACGTGTAGTCAGTGGTGGTTATGATCCCCGCACTCCATGAGAAGGCAATTGTGGCTGCCTGCGGCGTTCAAGTCCCGGGGGGATGCGACCCGGCGAAGATAGCAATGTGAGGCTACGGCCAGTGTACGAAGAGATCTTATGAGGCTGAAAGGCAGGCATAACGTCTCGCATTCATCTTCACTCTCCTTACTCCTCCGGTTGCCATCAAGATGCTCTTTCATCGTGCTTCAGCAGCGGCTGCTGCTCTGATCATTTCCGCTCTTACAAGCCTCGTCGCTGCTCAGTGCTCGGAAGTCTGGACCAACTCTAAAAACGGTTGCACCTTCGACTTCACCAACCCGAATGCCATATTTGCTTATTACGAGGAAACCTACGATACTGATGGTAATCAGGCTCTTGGTATATGTGGACCCGACAACCAAGGTACAAGACCCTAATGCAAATACTACTAAGACATTTGCTAATTGTACCTTTACCTTGGTAGGCTTCACTGCTGTTTGTGTCTTCTATTTCGTTGGACAGGCCAACCAAGTTACCGCGACGGGCACCTATAGCACCAGCTCTTCCCAACCGAGTACGGATGTGTTTCCTTTCTCAAATGTACCTGCTACGAGCTTGGTTCCTGGCGCGCCTGTTACCTGTACTATTCTCCCAAACATTCCAGCAACGTACATCCAAGGCTTCAGCCTCGTCGAGACTTTCACCATTGCTCAGTCCATCCCGATACCACCAGTTACCTCGACTACTACAGTGGCGGTACCCACTGTAGCTGTGACGACAACGAGTAAGCAGCCCTACTCCTTTGAGTTCAAGCAAAGGACTTCAAACTAATGTGTCTTACCAGCCTCGACCTCGACACTCATCCAGCCTACAGCGACCACGATCACGCCGGCGACTGTTACCGCTACCACAGCAACCGGAACAAAGACAGTGTTAGCGAAGACGCTGGCCTTGACCACTAGCACGAGTAAGCAATCTCAGGGCGCCCAAAGCACAACCAGACAAATGCTAATCGACTGAACTTCAGTCACAATTACGCAGCCCGTTCGTACCAGTCAGAGGATTACCATTGCGACAACGACCACAACCTTATCCTGCCTGCCAGGGAAAAAGCAGAAGCGCGCAAGCCCGGACGTCCGCCGCGCCCAAGCCCTCCCTCAACACAACCCCATTTTCGCCCGCCAAGACGCCACAACTACCGAAACCCCAACCTGCAACCAACCAGCCCCAACTACACCCACGATCACTGCGACCGCTTTCTCTACAGTGACGACATCGACCTCAACAGAGACCGACGTCGTCTTCACAACCTCCACCTCGACCTCGACTGTTACGTTACCTACGCCCACCTCCTATCTTAGTGTCGAAGCCACCACGACGCGCACGCTGACGTTCACGCTATATACATGGACTATATTACCGGCCAGCACCGTCACTCAGACGAAGACGTTCACGAATACCAAGACGGTGCTGCCAAAGACGCATATCACGGCCTGTGGCGGTCAACCGGCAACGACGACTGCGAGTCCCGGGACGTGCAGTGTTGTGCAAAGCATGGGTGGCTGTCAGATCCAGAATTGTGCGAAGAAGTAATCATTTCAAGGAAACTATGGATGAAGCAAGACTGTTACAATGACTGATGACTTGGGTCTTGTGGGATGGCGTTGTTGTAAGCCGAAGTGTAGCACCTGTCGCTGTGTTTGTTCTGTTTATGCTGCTCCAGTGCTTGGTTCTACATTTCCGTAAATGAGTTGCAACATGAATCCTGCTTCGCTTGCCTTCTTAAACCGATACCGAGGCTATGAAAATGTAATAAGTAGAGGCTTAACTACCTTTCAGTAAAAGCTACTAACGCTAGGGCTTAGTACTAAATAGAGATTAATAACCACCCTTAGTTAGTGCACTATCATGACTTTAGTATTGATCCTCGAGGTAGGCGAGGCAGGGTCTCACTTGATTCGCTGGCAAAGTAATGACTAGCCTTGATTTTATGAACGTAGGCAAAGGAGCGGGCTCGAAGCCATAACGCCTATGGTGAAGGTTCCCTGACAAAAAGCGCATAACGTGAGATTCAGAGCGAGTCTGAGATCAGCTTCACCACTGCCTCATCCCCATTGTCTACTGCCCAGCTGAATGGTGTCCGGTCACCAGTATGCTGGCCATGACCCTCCGCCTTGCCCGTGTGAGGCAGCTGCTTCACTACTGCTTCACGGCGATTCCATGCTGCCAAACCGAATGGTGCCCGGCCATACTCCTCGCCGTGCTTCGTGCTCGGGTGTGAGCTCGCCTCCACCAGCAAAATATTCAGCATCTTGTGGTACGATTAAGGCGCTCCGAGCTTTGCGATGCTCGTATAGAAATTCCCCCGTTGCCAGGACCTCACTCCAGTCGTACACATGGCGGGTACCTTCGCAGATCTCAGGCGCTTCGGCGAAGTCATCCTTGCGACTGGAGCTCGCCACGGTTTCAGGACATCTCTGCCCTCTTGGGTCTCGCCCTTGCGCGACCACCCTGATGGAGAGCCCGACTCTTGTCCACCACCAGGATGCTAGGGTTGCACCTCTACTACGCCCGTGTCAGACGTCCTTTGTTTGGACGCGGCCCCCGATCGTTTCTGAACCTTCCAGCCCCCTTCTTGGCGTCCTTCGCACATCGCTGCATTCGTGCCCTCTCTAGGTCTTCATAACTCATTACTCTAGCCTTTCGTATTACTTCTGCATTGGTAGACCACCAGAGTTTTGCCTGGTTGTTGATAATGGTCAGAAATCCATTCTGCTCTTGCAGAAGGGTGAGCTCAGCAAACGACAATCGTGTGGATCGTCGACATTCCCCGGAATGTCACGAGGATGCAGGAAAGGAAGTGTCTGGAGTGTCGGGACAATGCTGACGTGGGATGCATCAGCTTTACGGCTTAGCCTTGGCAAAGCCATGGCTTCGACTTCGCCTCGTTCTTCAACTCAGCCGCATTATGCATCAGCACAGTCGACTCATGTCCTCCGAACCACTAAGTCGACAACTCATCACAGGCTTCTTACGGGATCTAGCCATCTGACCGAATGCGTCGATATCGCGTCGCATCCACCAACACAGGAAGTGTCCTATAGATATGAACGGAACCCGCACAGCGAGTCTGTCATGCCGTACGCTTCCTGTCTTACCTCAGCCTCATCGAGACGGGTGAAGTAGAGTCCGGAGGCCATGGAATGAGCTACTCAGATTAGTTGGTGTGCCGATCGCAGCTTCAGTGAGTGCGGTTCGAGCGTTGGCCAAATCAGGTCACAGCTACGAATATGCCGCAATTCCAACAATTGTTCACGTGAGGCTGCGCCGTCATGGTCTGGCTTACGGTTATGGCCGTACTGACAACCTGGAACAAGTCAGCACAACATGCAGCACGGCCGCAGCAGCCTGACCGCAGCGTCGGTCTGGGCTGGGCATGGTAAGAACATTCGCTAGAGTAATATCATATCTGCTTCGTGAGTGAGCCGTACTTGAAACCTTGAACTGCTTTTCTTGTTTCACAAACACACCCTCGCATTGTCAAAATGGCTACCCCACGCATGTCATGCCCTTCTGGCGGCTCTTTCTACGCTTGTAATGGCGGCAGCAACTTCGTCGGCTGTTGCCTGAACGATCCTTGCACAAATGGCTGCTCAGCGGGCAGTCTGGTTTCTACATCCTTTGACCCTTCGCAGTTCGGCGAAATCCCAGACCAGGCTTGCGGCGTCGGACAAAGTACTAGCTTCTTCACCTGCATCTATGCGTCGCAGAACAACGCCACATTCTGGGGATGCTGCTCCGCGAACCCTTGCGCCGCGGGAAGCTGCCCGAGCAGTAATCTGGTGGGCACCGTGCTCAACAGCAACCCAGCGCTCGCAGCGCCGTTCTTGATGTTGAACTCATCATATGCCACAACTGCATCGTCTTCCGGGACCACTGCTTTCGCGACCAGTACAGGCAATGCAACAGCTTCCATAGTACCAGCTTCGTCAGAAGCGCAAGATTCCTCCACCGACGTCGGCGCTATCGCAGGTGGCGTAGTTGCTGGCGTAGTGGTGTTGACAGCGCTGCTTCTTCTCTTGATCTTCATACTCCGCCGCCGACGGAAGGTAGCCACTGGGCCGAATGCCAACCCTCACCCACCAGTGGAGATGCGGGACAGCAGTCAAAAGGGTGCAGGTAAGTGTTCCGCATTAGGTTGAATTCTCAGCCTGCGCTTATCGGCGATTTCTAGCGGATCCGTATCTTTCGGCGACGAAGTCACCGGCCTTTTCATCTTGGACGGCAGGCTCCACGGCACGACCATATTCTCCTGGACCTCCAAGCTATGGAGGTCCGCAGGGCTACAATCCAGACGGGACGTATCAACAAGATGTCTTTGCCAAGCATGTATCTTATGAGTTGCCGGGTGAGCACGGTCAAGCAGAGCTACCAAGTAACGAACGGTTCCAGCATGGAAAGCCGGGGACCGGACTTGGTATTGTTGCTGAAGATAGACAATGAATGACAAGGTATGAAGGTGTGTTTGGATCCATACGATGCGCGGGCGGGTGAACGTCAGCAAATTGCTCTGGGTGTTCGGGTCCATCAGGCAGCCAACGCTGCGTGACGGACGAACGTATCGAAAGGAGTCTCCACCACATGCTGCTCGACTGTCCTTTGACGTGGATAGGAGCCTTCTGGGTTCGAGAACAGTTGCACCGTGAACGTGAAGACCCTCGCGTTCCACTCCCCGCTCAACCTCCGCAAGCGGCCCGTTTGTGTGTGGAGAACCTTGCGCAAGCGGACGTCCACATGCCTGTTCCGTGCACGTAGGCAGTACAAGTAACCTTGTACCTCACCTCTGCGACGCGTGACACTCGCTGCTCGGTAGACCGCAGCCCCGCAGTATCGCGACCTGCTTGGTAGCCTTGTTTACCCGGTCGTTCGCAGCGTCTGCAGGAGGAAAATGTACCTTCGATCCGTAACTCTAACTCGCATACGCCTGCGGCCTCCTGTAACGACGTTGCGGTACTTCGGTACGGTAGAGGCTGCTGATCGGGCTGATTCGATCACTGTAGCTGGAGACTGACCGCAGCTGCGACAATAGATACACGCCGATGATAACGTTCTTTCTGCCACAATGTGGCTGCTTACCACGCCGTCAAGGCTGCACCCACAGTTAAGCTCTGCCCACAGGTCGGCAAGCAAGTCATCTTCGGTAGTTGCTCGTTGTGTCCGAGTCTTTTGCTGCACGTCGCGAAATCAGCAAGGACAAGCTCAATCGACAGCATCAGAACCTGTCAATACCATTCCCTACAGCGAGCTCAGTATTGGTGTTCCCACCGAGGTACGGAGCGGCGAGAGGCGAGTTGCTATCACTCCTCAGAATGCAGCATTACTGTTAAAGAAAGGTTTCAAAGCTGTCCTGGTTGAACATGGCGCAGGATTCCAGGCTCAATTTCCCGCGCATGACTACGAAGCTGCGGGCGCAACACTTGTCAATGCCGCCCGTGTGTGGACTGACAGCGACATCGTTGTCAAAGTACGACCACCCAGACTACGAGCGACAACTCTCTCTCCGAATAACTTCATCCAAGGCTTCCGCAAAGGTGGGGTTATCATCAGCATGTTGCAACCGAATCTGGACCGCAGCAAACCGGTCATTGATACTTACGCGGCGAAAGGCCTTACTAGCTTTGCAATGGATATGATCCCCAGGATCACCCGTGCGCAGTCCTTCGATGTCTTGTCTTCAATGGCCAATATCGCGGGCTACAAGGCGGTGTTGGAAGCTGCAAACCACTTCGGCCGTTATATGACTGGGCAGACGACCGCTGCTGGCAAGGTGCCACCCTGCAAGATGCTTGTCATTGGTGCTGGTGTCGCTGGTCTTTCGGCTATTGCCACCGGTCGGAGGATGGGCGCCATCGTCAGATGCTTTGACACTCGGCCAGCGACGCGGGAGCAAGTGCAGTCGCTCGGTGCTGAGTTTGTCGAGGTTGACCTTCTTGAGGATGGCGCGGGTGGCGGCGGGTACGCCAAGGTCATGTCGAAGGAGTTCATTGAGGCTGAGATGAGACTCTTTGCTCAGCAATGCAAGGAGGTCGATATCGTAATCACCACTGCGTTGATTCCGGGCAAGCCAGCTCCAACGTTGATCACGGAAGAGATGGTCGCTTCGATGAAGCCGGGAAGTGTGGTAGTTGATCTCGCTGCTGAAAATGGCGGTAACTGTGAGATCACTGTCCCCGGCCAACTGTCAACGCACAAGGGTGTCACGGTCATCGGCTACACTGACTTACCATCCCGACTGCCGACGCAGTCCTCTACACTTTTCAGCAACAACATTACTCGTTTCCTGTTATCAATGTCACCGAAAGAGGGTCATTTCGGCGTCGACCTCAATGATGAGGTGGTTCGACGTTCGATCGTCACCTTCAACGGCGAGGTGCTGCCATCGCTGCCTCCGATCGCACCACCAGAACCCGCCGCGAAGCCTGCAGAAGCGGCAAAGGAGGCGGCGCCTGTGGCTCTCACACCATGGCAGAAGTCCACAAGGGAAGTGGCAACAGTGACGGCCGGGATGGGTACCGCGCTCGCACTCGGCAAGTTTACTGGTCCGTTATTCATGAGCAATCTCTTCACCTTTTCGTTAGCTGGCTTGATCGGTTATAGAGTTGTATGGGGCGTGAGTACATCCTAGAGGTCGCTTTGAATGCTTCAGCTGACTGTGACCGTACTAGGTGAGCCCTGCCCTGCATTCTCCCTTAATGTCTGTCACGAATGCCATTAGTGGGATGGTCGGTATTGGAGGCTTCTTCATCATGGGAGGTGGCTACCTACCTCAAACTATCCCGCAGGCTATGGGCGCTTTGTCCGTCTTGCTGGCTTTTGTGAACGTCACAGGAGGCTTCGTCATCACGAAACGCATGCTCGACATGTTCCGGCGACCCACTGATCCGCCCGAGTATCCGTGGCTTTACGCTATACCAGGTGAGTTTGGCGGGTAATGCGGGTCCGTACGAATGGTTACTGATGGTTATAGGCTTGTTATTCGGCGGCGGCTACATCGCAGCAGCCAGCACTGGCATGGCAGGACTCGTGCAGGCAGGGTACCTGGTCAGTAGCGTCTTGTGCATTGGCTCCTTGACAGGTCTGGCTGCGCAGACTACAGCACGCTCTGGCAACCTTATGGGTATGCTTGGAGTGGGCTCTGGCGTCCTCGCATCGCTAGCCGCTGTAGGCTTCGCACCCGAAACACTGATCCAGTGCCTTGCTGTTGCTGGTATCGGTAGCTTGCTGGGAGGGCTCATTGGGCGCCGTATCACCCCAACTGAGTTGCCGCAAATGGTTGCGGCGCTGCACTCCGTTGTCGGTCTCGCCGCAGTGCTTACGAGTATTGGGTCGGTGATGGCTGCCATCGATCATCTGGATGCACTGCACATGGTCACCGGCTACCTGGGTGTTCTCATTGGTGGCGTCACATTCACGGGCAGCATAGTCGCCTTCATGAAGCTATCGGGGAGAATGTCCTCCAGGCCAACAATCCTCCCTGGGCGGCATCTCGTCAATGGCGGCATGCTCGCCGCCAACATCGGTACGATGGGTGCATTCATCGCAGGTGCGCCAGGAGCGCCGGCAATCGCGGCAACCTGCTTGGCCGCAAATACTGCCTTGAGTTTTGCCAAAGGCTATACCACAACGGCCGCGATCGGTGGGGCTGGTAAGTGAGCGCCTGCGAATTGCCAAAACCAACATTGACTTAGACTCCTAGACATGCCCGTCGTGATCACCGTCTTGAACGCGTACTCCGGTTTTGCTCTTGTCGCCGAAGGCTTCATGCTGAACTCTCCGATTCTCACCACCGTGGGCTCGCTGATCGGCGTCTCCGGCTCTATCCTCTCCTACATAATGTGCGTCGCCATGAATCGCAGCCTCGCAAACGTCATCTTCGGCGGGATCTCTGCTCCGGCGAAGACGGATCAGAAGATTGAGGGCGAGATCACAAAGACTAACGTCGAGGAGACAGCCCAGTTACTGAGGGAAGCGCAGAAAGTTGTCATTGTGGTTGGCTATGGCATGGCTGTTGCGAAGGCACAGTATCCCATCGCCGAGATTGTTAATTCATTAAGGTCGCAAGGCGTCGAGGTCAAATTCGCCATTCATCCCGTCGCCGGACGCATGCCCGGACAGTGCAATGTCCTGCTCGCTGAAGCCAGTGTGCCGTACGATATCGTGCTGGAGATGGATGAGATCAATGAGGAAGGCTTCAATGATGTTGATCTTACGCTGTAAGTCACCTTCCCCTCCATACTTCTGATGTGCCTACGCTGGCTGACCTTTTACAGCGTAATCGGCGCCAACGATACCGTCAATCCCATTGCACTACAGCCTGACAGCCCAATTGCAGGGATGCCCATCATCGACGCTTATAAGTCGAAGCAAGTGATCGTCATGAAGCGCGGCATGGGCAGCGGGTATGCAGACATCCCGAACCCAATGTTTTATCAGCCCAACACCAAGATGCTGTTTGGCGATGCGAAGAAAAGCTGCGATGCTATCAAGGCGGCTTTGACTGCGGCGAAGTGAGATCTCTTCGTCACCAGTTTAGTTTCGTACCAGAGGTCGCTTTTTGCAGGCTGGGGCGCTACAAGCTATCGTCCACTGTCCTTTTCGGCCTTCTCAATCGTCGCCAACAGTAGACTGCTGTTGCGCACCACCATGTGCATCGTCCTCATCCTCGTCCTCCTCGCCATCCCCGTCATCGATGTCCACCGTCTCCCCCTTCTTGGTCTTCGCCACCTTCTTTCGCCTCCTCACCCCAGGCCCATCCTTCCTCGGCGCACTCATCGCGTCCGTGTACTGAGCCTGGTTCATTGCACTTTCTAACCTTGACGCACCATCCACATCGCTCACGAACATGCGCTCATGGAACTTGTCATAAGCCGCCTGATCATCTTCATCTACATAGTCGAGCCTACTCCACACTTCCGCTTCAGCGGCGAGAAGAAGCCTTTTCGTCCGATCTTCGAGGCGGTCTTTCCCGACTTCATCGAACACCTTCCGCTCACGTTGAAGTAAAGCACGAGCTTCGCCAGTCGGCGCAGGAAGATCGGCAGCTCGTAAGGCGGCTAGACGTGCGCGCTGATCCTCTGCGTCCAGATGATGGAACTGGGGCCGCATCTGCACCGTTCCATCCACTTTGGTCAGATGAAGTTGATCGTCGCGAAAGGCGCCGACGAAGTAGTGAGGTTTGCCGGCTTCTTCTGCTGCACTGTGGCGGATGATCTGACCTCCGAGCGTCTGCGTTTTGAGGACTTTGCTCTCAGCCTCAAGTTCGCCAAATCGAGTCAAGTCGTTCTCGTATTGGAGCTCGCGATCGGTCCAGTTCTTGTTAAGTATTCGACCGGCGCTGCGTGGTTTGGCGTTGCTAAAGCCGGCCGCTGGGCCGTAGGTGGCCTGCGCATTCTGGACATCGCGGGCGGTGTTCAGGGTGTCGCCCCATTGTAGGCCCTTGAATTTGTTGAAATTAAAAGTTGTGTTGAGATTGACATCGACCTCGAGGTAGCCGGAGTCGGGTTTGATCCGAATATTCTGGGGTCGCGCGCCATGTCGAACGTTGTATGGTCGGTTGCGAGTTCTGTTCGGGTATTGCAAAAGCAGTATCTGTTCAGCTTGAGACGGGGTTAAGTAGACGTCGTATTCTGCCGTAACGGGGTCGTCGTCCTCCTTAGCAATGCGAGCTGCTACACCTTCAGTGAGCGGCCGAGCGCAAAGATAGTATATATTCACCGGGGCCACTCACGCGCCATATTCGTGCCCGTGACGGAAGGATAGTGTGAGAATTGGTCCTCCGCAAGTTCTACGGTTTGTGAGTGACTGCTCATCGTGGGCGCGGTACGGAGTGTCAGTGCCAAATATTGTAGCCGTCCAACCGCCGTATATGGTTATGGAGCGCGCTTACTCTGATACGTGCTAACTCACATAAATAGCACTCGATCTGTTTAGAAACTACGTGATAGTTCAACTAGGGTCCGTAAAAAACCTGCTGGAAGACCTCGAGACAACACGCGTTGCGTACCGACTCTCATCGCGTGGCCAGTGTGGCTCCGCTTTGCATTAAGACTGCATCCGTGCAAATTTAGCAACTGAGTCTTACATTGATAGCTAGGGCTGCGGACTCAAGTTCATGTTTCTGCACCACTCAGGATGGAAGAGCAAGTGGTCTTTGGAGACCAGAGGACATGCACTTCTTCAGCTCACGACTGATCGCGGACCGGGCTTGGGATAAACTCATGCCATAAGCTTCAATCCCAGCCTTCATCTTCATCACCTTCATCAACCTTGATCGAGACTGACCTTCTCCGCACCCCGCTTAGCCGTCCACGCTTCCTCGGACTGGCGTTTGTGCTGGCAGACTTCCGTTTCCTCCCACGACCACCACCACTAGCAGGCAGTGACGGGCTCTTTCGGCTGGTGCCCTCACTCGGAGTATCTTCCGCCTGGAACATTTCCTCTCTATCCTCTTCATCATCGCTTGCTACTCTAACATCGCTATCAATGGAAATGAGTTCCACAAAGGAGCTGCAGATGGCACGTTGCGATTCTGGCGTGCTGTTGGCGTCCATGATCTCGTTGACGCGTTGAACATATGCATCTGTAAGCACTGAAGTGTTCGTAACACGGGTCGGCGCGCGGTTGCTATCCTTGCCTGAGTTCTTGGATTTGGCTACATGCCTCTGCATGTTCCATAGCCGCCGAAGGTAACTGCGAGTCTCCCATATTAGCGAGCAGACTTGTGCAGCGATCGCAAGCTGGAGCATGCGGGCTGGGATGATTGACGCCGTGTCAAAGACCGCAGCTTGCGACTCGGTGGTAATGTCACAAGCAGTCTCCGCACCACCAACGGTATTGAGGTGGAGCTTGAGGACTTCCGACTCAATCGCCTGTGCGACAGCAGTACCGGTCGAGGAGAAGACCTTCTCCATCGCGCTAAGAAGGAGTAGAAGTTCTTCGACCTTATCATAGTCAAAGAAAGCCAGGTTCTCAGCGCTGAAGCGTACGAAGTCAAGATGTGCTGTTTGAACATCGTACACATCGAGCGTATCAAGCTTGAAGTCGAGCTTCTGCGTAAGGCTGGTAAGAAACTTCTTGCGCACCTGCGCTTTGCCGGCTTTCAGCACATCCCACAGCATGTGCAACTTGGAGACTGGAGGCTGGCTGATATGGCCCGTAGTGTCCTGGAAAACATCTCGCTGGTACTCAAAGGCTTGCTGCACCGCCCGCATGTACTCCTTGTCGAAGAGACTCTCGTGTTTTGAGTGCTGAGCCTTATGCTCGATATATGCCATGGTCGCAATCGCTTTATCCGGACAGGTCTCAAGCGCAACGAGGGCGGGCCCGCTTTCTTTCGGATGCGTAAGTCCTTGGCGATTAATGCTGACGATGATGCGTGCGGCAATGGATGAAAGTTCGTCAGTGGATGAAAGCGCGATGCGGACGATCTGCGGCAGAAAGCGGCGAGTTAGCGAGATTGCTGCGCGATCCTTGTCGGCTGCGACATAAGTGTTGCCGAGTCGCTCCTGGCCAGCCTCGATACCAGTATCAGGGACCGTTGTGCCCCCTGTTTCGATCGGAGCATCCCCGGTGGAGAAGAAAGTGGCAAGGCCTGATAAGAGTACCTCTTCCAGGTCGTGATTGTGTTCGTTAAGAACAGTTTCGAGAGCGGCAACCACGTCCGCTCGAAGAAGCAGCTCCGGCCACGATTGACACACCATGCCGACTGCTTCAAGCGAAGCCTGGCGAATGGTTGATATTTGGCCCGGCGCTGTGAAGGGACACACGATATCCATCATAAGGCCAGCGACCGTCCCTCCCTTGTACCAAGAAAAGGTGGTTTTAAACATTGGCAAACGCTCGTCGAACTTACAGGCTTTGCCGAAGTGTCCAACTATGACCATGAGCTTGGAAGCCTTGACAACAGCCTGCGGCTGCGCTGCAAAGTCAACATTCTGCATGCTATAGATACCTTTCAGCGCAGATATCGTGAACGTGGCTAGGCGCTCGATGTTGTCGAGCATGCCGTTAATGGTCCAAAGACACGGTACAACTTCGCTAAGCTCTGACTTCGGCAGCTTCGAGACGCTCGATAGTAGCGCTGTCTGCAATTTCTGGAGGAAGTCGTGCTTTAGCGCAGCTTGATGCGGCATGACGTGACGCAAAATAGTGATGGCTGACCGATATACATCAAGGTCATCGGACTTGCTGAGATTTTGCGCGTAAGGCTCGAGACGCTCTAGTTGGCCCGCAGTGAAGAGCTTCGGAGAGCTTTTGGCAAAGACAGCCAGACACCTCAAGATCGAGGCTTGATCCGGTGAATCCGGTATATCAGCGTTGTCGATAATGCCGTCGGACAGAATCCGCACGAGGTGTCTGCAGACAGAAGTGTGAGCATCTGCGAGCTTCGGTTGAGATGTGACTCGCTTGATTAGACTTTGAAGTGTCTCGCTGCTGTCTTCGCTTGCTTCGGTCGTCCTGATCAGTAGCGAAGCTTGAGCATTGTACTGCAGTCGCGCGTTGATAGCGTCTTCTCCATTCAACTTGATGTGATGAAACGGAAGGAACCATATATCTTCCATAGTTTGGCGCGCAAGCTCGATGATGGATTCTTCATTGTCGTCGATACGTCCGATGATCGCATCTGCAATAGCAGCTCGCATGTGGACAGGTTGATTGCTTAAATACAGATCTTTGAGAAGCCGAATGGCTCGCTTTCGCACCCCGATCGAACTGTCTCTTGTCCGTGCAATGACACGCTCGTAGAGCATCGTGCTCAGAGTCGGTCGGTACTTGACGCAGTCTGCGATCAGTGACATTGCAGAGTCTCTTACCAGCGGAGACGGATCGATGGCACAGCGTAGTATGTGGTTGAGAACATAAGCGTTGCGGTCAAGGATCGATGGATCCTTCTCCAGCAGAGCTACCACGCTCTTCAAAGCACGGCTTTTCACCCTTGGGAGCTGACTACTCATGGCGCCAAGGAGGATGCCGAAGATTCTATTGAATGCTTTGCACAGCTTGGAGCTTAGAGTCACCACGATAGCTGCGAGCCGTCCCTGGGATGGTGAAACGTTAGGGTAGTCCTCGTGATCCTCGAGCCAGTGCAGGTCTTGAATCATGCTGCTAAGCTTGTCCTGTAGATTTTCGATTGGTTTCGATGTCCCATATTCAGAGTCGGCAGAGACTTCTCGCCCGCCGCACACGAGAAGGGCCCACTGCATGAGATGGTAACCTTGCGCGGATCGTAATTGGGCATCTTCCAGGTCTCTGGTCTGCAAGTACTCAACCACTGTCCGATAGGGCCCACTAAATGACGCAAGCGCGCCGACATCGACATCGCCTATCTCCAGGCGCTCCACGAGATCCACGAGGCCTTGGCCAAGATCGTTTCCTTCGCTGTCAACGGAGCGTGCTGTAGCTCGCGCCGCAATATGAAGCTCAAGGATGCCGGTACCCACGGTCCCCAGAAGCTCTAGAGCAAGCGTTCGAGCGGGTACAGCGCTTTTTGAGCCTTCCGCGATGTTTACCATATGCGAGATCAATGTACGAAGTAGCATTTCAGCTGCAGGCCAGTCACTCGAGCCCAGCACTGCCAGGAAGTCTTCGGTGAAGATGTCGAGAAGTCTTCGATAAGGCTCATCGCTCGACTTCGAAGACTGTAGAGCCCGCTGCACAAGCAATCTCACAATGAAGGATGCATTGAGTTGCGCGGCATCGTGCAAAGGCTTAACGAGCGGGTACAAATCCTCGGGGTGATTGCGTTTGTTCTTTGGCGTGGGTTTGATGGCATCATCCTCGTTTTCTTCTAATTCGGAATCTGCCCCATCATTGTCTTCGTGATCCGTCTCCGCACTGGTAGTACGCACCGACTTGCTCTTGTCAAGCTCCGCCTCTCCCTCGTGGATGGCGCTTGTCTGCACTAGGCGCATGAGGAGAGCAGAGACCAGCTGTATGGGCTTGGCATCCTGCAGACGGTAGTGTCGAGCGCTTTGTCGCGTCGCTGGCAGCTTGTCAATCGTAAGCAGAATGCTGTCCAGTATGGCTTGCCGTTGGTGCGGATACTTGGCGAAGTCCTTCGCAATCACGTCCATAGCGCATCTGCGCGTAGTCTCAAAACTCTGGATGCCGAAAACAGAGTCGCGCTCATGGCTTGCGTTCTCTGCAAAGAGAAGCCGGTTGCACAATGCTTCAACGCTTGACAGCGAGGTCTCCTCGACCTCGACCATCGCCAGGAAGTCACCTAGGATGCGGAGAGTCTTCGTGGTGGCATTTAGTAAGGCCTGTAAGGACAAGCGATGCGACATCGCAAAGGCGAATGAGGCGTTAGCAGGCAAAGCATCTTTTGAACCCTTGATCTTGTCGCCGTCCGCGTACCTGTCTTCTACGATCGGCAGAATGCAAGTCTCATAGACCTGGTGCACCGTGGTGATGGTAAGCCGCAGATACTCCTCCGACTGCAGCTCTTTGATGTATGCGCCTGCTCCCATGATGCGCAACAGAGTCCGTGCAGCAACCACACCCCTCTCTGCAACAGCCAATCTCGAGAGCCAATGCTCGACATCCTGCTCCGACATATCTCCGTCTATCCGCAGTGAGATACCCTCGGTAGCCGCAACGGCATTTTCACACAGTCGCTGTACTCGCACAAGACTGTCGGTTGCGACACTCTCCATACGACCATTAGCATTGACCTTTTGCAGGAGGGACTCGAGCCTCGCTTGCGCATCGGGCAGGAGTACCTGCTTGAGGCTGCCTTCGACTTCACAGAATGTGAAGAGAGGGTTGCTTTGCACCGCGGCTATACCTGAAGTGTCTGGCTGGAGCTGATCTTCCGTAGCGAAGATTTCAAAAAGCAAGTTCTCAAGATTTTGAACCGCAAGGTCACTTTTGTGCTTCTGGTCCACACTAACAGTGCGATAACCATTGGCCAGGTGCTCGTGGCGACCTTTGGAAGGAGTCGAATCCCCAAGAGCGCCCTGTTCTGAAGACATATACTGGTATTCCGCACGCTGAGCTGGGGTCAGCGACTTCGGGATAACGACGGCGTTCAGTACATTGATCTGGGCGCTCTGGGATCCCTTCGCCACCTCAACATGTTGATCGACAACGGAGCTGACGATGCTCGGGTTGGAATGTCTGAAATGAGCATCTGGAGTAGGCAAGGCTGCTGCTTCGTGTTCCCCAATAATGTGGATTTCCGCTGGCAAGCTCCGCTCCGGTGACTCTGGCGTGAGATACCGGTACGAGACATCCGTGGTTTGCAATACCATTTGGGCGAATGGTGTTAGCTTTGGAGTACATACACCGTCCGGCAAAGCTCTCATGGGCTTGTTCGGTCGCTGCGGGACCTTAAACTTGAACTGCGTAAGGTTATCGGGATCAAGCAGCCTCTGGACGTCACTCAAGGTTTGCTTGCACCGCTCTGATGCATGCTCAGCATTGGCTGCACCTGCGCTGAGTTGGTCAAGCGCGTGTCGAATACTGATAATATCTGGTGAGTCGCTGAAATGTGCGGTTGATGTTCTTGGTACGGCGACTGGCGCCGGTATAAGCTCTACACCATGATCTCAGCAATGGCGCCGAACATAGGCATGAATCGCACGAACATAGAGTGAACGCATGCGTACCGGGACTGAATGGGATGATCGAGCTGAATGGGGTATACGGCAGGGCTTCGTGGACGGAAGGCACGCGGAGTCCGCTCCGTCGTATCGCGGAGGGTGCGGGCGCATTGTTAGGAGCGGGATGCCCATTGGGCACTTGACGGCCGTCCATTTTACCGTCCTTCTCTCATCGACGTTCCGACTCTCTCCCTATGGTGCCGTTTGCACATTGCTGTGGAGCTTCCTTGGTGCTTTGGCACACTTTGACTCTGCGTGGTGGCAATTTAACACACGCACGCTTCGTAGCTCATTGATATTGGCGATTGTCGAGCTGCAGCAGTAGGAGCAGCTTCCGCGGAAGCGTTCATGGTGAAGCCATGAGGTGTAGTCACCAGAAGGCATCCGGGGTCGCCCAAAAGGTCGCGCCAAGATGCGGCCGCATCCCGCTTGTTCCCTGCAGCGGATCTGAAGCGTGCGTAAATCGCGTGCTGCGAATCCCGACTTTTGCCCACGGCAAGCCTTCATCTGCGGGAAAAGTGGCTTCACTTTGCCTCTCGAGGCTTTCACTCGGCTTGTAGATCGTCACTATCGCTTATTTGCGTTGAACCAAGTGATCAAAGATGGCTGCTATTGGTTCTCTGGTGTTTTGCACAGATTGCGGCCATCTCCTTGCACCGAATACTGGCCGCAAAGCTTTCATCCTTTGCGACGTTTGCGGCACACAGAACAAGGGTTCGTTCAATACTTCATCCTTGCAGACAGCACAGCACGAGCTGGTGCGGCTAACATGCGAGCAGATACTTCTTCCAAGATAGTAGTGACGATGTCAAAGCCATCTGCGTTCCCATCCACGCTCCGCACGAGGCTGAGATCAGACGTGCAGGAAGTCACTGAGTCCGAAATGCAGATGGATGCGACGATCAAGGAGACCTGTAACAAATGCGGTTGCGAGGAAGTGCGCTATTACACTCAACAGCTCCGTTCAGCCGACGAAGGCAGTACCGTGTTTTATACATGCCCGCAGTGTGGCAACAAATGGAATACGAACAACTGATTCCACGATCGAACGCTATGCTACATCTCCGGCATGGTCACGTATCGTATCGACCGATCCTAGGCTGCCGCCACTGCCTGATGCGGTGCGGGTATTATGGTGGCGTACTCTGCCTCGCCCGTCCGTTCGAATTGGGCCATATCTAGCGCCACAACGATACTGTCACGTACCACCTGTTCCGGGTCATTGATGAACTTCTTCAACACATCCTCCACGCCCTCTTCCTCGCCGAGGCTGCCAAGTGCTTCGGCAGCTTCATGGCGAACCATGCTTGCCTCGGTGGGATTGCTGAGTGTCTCAATTAAGCTCGGTATTGACGCAGGGTGTGAGAGCTGGCCGAACACAAACGCAATCTCGTGTCGAAAAAGCGCCGAGGTGTCCCGGAAGCCGTGGGCCAGAGCTTGTACCGCTGGTACCGCTGTGGGAAGGCTTGGTGGTGACGCAAGGTCACGCAGAGCGAACATTGCTCGATAGCGCATGAAGAGTGGTAGTGAAGCGTCTAAGAGAGTCTGCTGGAGGTCCGATATTGAGGGTTGCGATGCGGTCTCTGCAAGCGGTGGTGCAGGATCGATCGAGGCAAAATCGCTTTGTTTCAGTCGCTCGTCTATTCGGGCTGGTGAATGTTCCCACTCTATCCGCTCTATAGCGATTTCGCATGTTTCGCGCACAACCTCCTCCTCCGTCGCATCGTCTCTCCTTTGTCGTAACAGCTCGAGGCTGCTCTGATCGCCCAATGCGCCGAGTGCCTCGGCCGCTTCGTGTCGGCACATTGCATCCTCCTGCCTATCCTCGATCACCGTCCGCAGATACGGTACCGCCTCATCTTTTCCTGACTGTCCTAGACAGTACGCCAACTCATGCTTGAGAAGTGCGGAAGGTGATGAGAACGCGGCAGCTATAGCCTCGATCGCTGGAAAAGTCTCTGGGGTGGCAGGGGTCTGCGCAGCGAGATGCTTCAGTGAAAAGAGCGCACGAAATCGCTTCGCTAGAGGGGCTTGCTCCGAAATCAAGACTTTGCGTAGTTCGAAGACGGTAGTGTCATCACCCATGATATTGGTCGTGAGCTCGCAAGATGATATGACTCCTTCTTCGTTCTTGCGCTGCTCATCCAGGTGCTGTGTGTTGGCCTGCGACGTGAGATGAGATAGAGAAATCCACTACTAGTTCCGAATGCATATTCGACCTTCAAAACCTGACCCTGCAGCAACCTAGCAGTATGGGACTGCCCGAGAACGGATCGCGGTCCGGGCCAGCGGCTCCGCAGTAGTACACAGTAACGCAGTTTGTGGCAGGAGTTCGATCTTGGCCTGATTCTGCTGTGTTCAACCGATACATGGTCTCTCCGCATTTCCGTGGTCTTCTCGTAAATGTAAGCGTAGCGCCTTTCACGAAAGTCTCGAAGAAGTGTTCTGGACCAGTGGCACACGCCATTGTACAGGGCGAAAACATCCACATCGAACTGCCCATTTGCTCGTGCATCATGTCTGGAGGCGTTAGCGCGCCTCCGCGATGGACTCTCGCTGCGCTCTGGTGTCATGCATGGCTAGGATGTAGCAGAGAGAGTGCGGAAGGCCTACTTTACTCACACTGACCACGGCTTGGTAACAACATCGTACATATACTACGCCACCAGATAGCGCTATGGAATCACGACATCAACGCCGGGCTCCCACATATCAGTGTAGGTGTCGACTTTGCCAATGAAGGTGAAGCTTGGCAGATTGCGCGGAGCCAATTCAAGGTCAATATTGATGCGAAAAGGGATTCCAGCACGTCCGTTACGGCGTTTGAAACGAAGCGTGAACTGGATCAAGCCTTGAGCAAGCAGAACAAGACTACCGTTACCCACTGCTGCCTGTCACAAGTTGGACAACTCGTAGGCGGCATCAGCAGCATGCGGAATGCGATTGGTGCGATTTCAAGTGTGATCTCACACGGCAATTGGCAGCGTCATTTTGGCTACGGCGAAGTTCATCAGTACGGCGCAAGACTAGTTCCATTATCTCGAGGCCGTGCCGACAGAATGGAGTGCTTGGATTAGACACTGCGGCGACTTAAAGGGCTTCCCTGAACCTCTAATCCCGGTGCCTCCCGACTTTGTACGCAAGAGTCTTTCCCAAGTTATGGTTGGATATCCAAGGTTCTACAGTGCCGTCAAGACGTACCTGAAGCGCTGGAAACGCCTAGCGGAGAGGGTGAAACCGCTGTTCTCGAAGACTGCGATAAAGAATCCAAAGCTATCACTCCGCCGTCGCCGAGCTTCACGTCGTCACGAGAGACTCAACAGAGGTTGCGATGGAGTCTTGCAACGAACCGACATTATTACGGGCCGACGACGTTATCGGCTTATTTCGCAGCGACGACGGCAGGCCCAGTACGATAGATTCACCTGACCCAGGAGCGTAGGGCGGCAACGACATTAAAGGGTCCCGGGGAGATCTTAGGCTGGTGAGACGCACACCGGAGCCCAGGCGTGGCGCTACAGTTGAATACTCCTTGCTCCTCCCCGACCACGTGTCGTGGGTACCGTCAATGCGCCATTACGTGTTGCGGAGAATCCTCCCCTCAAAGCAGTTTACAAGCGACGAAGCATGCTACAGTTCGTCGCGAACTCGTCCACTTGAGCTCTCCCGTTGCACTATGTGATTGGATTGATATGGTGTGCGGAGTGGGGACGCTGAGTGGCGGCTCAGCCCATTTGCAAGGGTGCAGCGGGGTGGACGTCGACCTCACGACATCTTTCACTCATGGTCGGCCCAACCACAGAGATAAGGCAATCGCAGTAACACCCTCACATGGAAGTACGTCTGCTGCACTGCCGTGATCATTCTTGTGAGAGCCTGATGGAACCGTCCACAATGTCCAGAGCACCGTTGCTTGCTTGGAGGCGGAAAGACCCCTGTCGCCGGCGGTGAAAGTGGCGTGCGTACAGATCGCTCCAGCCGAGCGCAACGCTGCACCTCTCCTTGCAAAGGCCTTGCGAGCTTACACAACGATCGAACAGCGCCGCAAGCTCTGTAAAAGCCTACGACACGGTAGTGTTCGGCTTGCTGTGCTGCGGAGGCGGCTGTAGCTCCAGGCGTGTCCACTGCACGAAAGCAGAGCAGGCCTGTCGGGCTAGGCGAGCAATAGACACTTGGTGTGCGACTCACGATAGCTTTGGCTACCTGAGGTACGGACGTGCTGCGACAATCTCGAGATGGTTTAGGCGAGCCTAAGGATGATAAGATGTAGGATGTGTCGGTGTTGTCCCCTTTCTTTTCATTCCCTTTCTCGTCAGCATACCCCCAACATCCTCTCATACCTATCCTTATTCCTCGCCCTTTCAATGATCATGGAGGCTTTAGAAACCCTTCCGGCGACGGTAAGCAAGCTTGCACCACTCGACTTTCGCCTCCACGGCCCACCTACACCACCCGACGAAAGTACCATCCATTTCAGTCTTGCCAGCAAGCCGCATCACACCGAGCCGTTCCCGCGATATCATCCCTTCTACGAGCAGGTGAAGGCTGCAACAGATGCTTACATCCTTACGCGGTGGACGTTCTCCACCGAAAAGGCGAAGAAGAAGTTCCTAGCAGCCGACTTCGCTGGGTTGACCTGTCTATGCTTTCCTTCCGCGCCCCTGGACCAACGGATTGCGACGATCGCGAAGCTCTTCGCTGTTGCGTTCCTCATCGATGGTAAGTGTATGCTTTCTTACATTAAATGCAGAGATTGACGTGGCTCCGTGGCCAGACATGCTAGAGCAACCAGGCTTCAAAGGCGACGAGCTTCTCATGCACACCCTTGAATCGGCCATGCGAGGCTGTATGCTGCCCGAGGAGGGATGGCATACTGCTGCTAGATTGCTGTACGACATCTTTCATGATGCACGTCGGTATGGCTCCGAAAGGCTTGTGGAAGACTTGGTCATTGCCATGACGGGTTGGCTGAGGTATTGTCTCGAGTCACTGTGTGGCCCGCATGCATGCTAACCAGTACATAGAGCGGCGAACGCACAACCATCTACCAGTCTCGCCACCTTATCTGACTACTTTGACTTCCGGTATCAGGATGTTGCAACGCCGCTTGTTTGCGCAATTCCTCGCTATCTGCTCGACTGCGCACTCTCCGTATCGGAGATCGAAAGCATGCTGCCGCTTGAGCGCAACATAGGCCGTCATTTTACCGTAATCAATGATCTCCACAGCTGGAATAAGGAGTACGCCGCGCACCAGGCCGCCATCGCGCAAGGAGTGGAGCCTAATCGCTTGGTCAACGCGGTGTACGTAATGTCAGAAGAATGCGGCATAGCGATTGAGGATGCGCAAACCGTCCTAAGCAGTATGGTTGGAGCATGGGAAAGACGCCATGTTACGTTGGTCGGGAACATCGTTGGAAGTGGGGAAGACGAGAAGGTGGCAGCATATTTGGAGGCACTTGCAGAGGTGATGCAGGGGCACAAGGATTGGTGTGACCGAACTGCGCGTTATGCTGTATGCTCTGCTGGCGGTCCTTAGTCGGCTTCTCGATAATCTTGACGACGTGGCGGTGAGCGGCCGTGTCCGCCTAACCAGCATAAGAGGTCCGTCCCACTATGGAGAAGCAATACCGCGCAAGCCTTCCTCAATGGCCGAGGGATGCGATACCGAGCGATGACCAGCTTATTTATGGATCAACCTGGCGAGATGACCTTTATCTCCGTCACATCGCGCTTGCTTACATTAATGGACTTCAGAACCGCCTTGGTCTTCGGCCATGGCACTGCGAACAAACCGGAGTTGATCTTGCACATGCGCACTTCGCCTATACGACTGTCCGGCTTCGCCTTGGCGTTCCATGCGTCAACTTGCGACAGCAAGTCCTCCATCGCCGGACCCGAGACATCGAGGATCTTCGTGGGACTGTCTTTCCGCTTACCGTAGAAGCGCGAGGTGAAGAGGCAGCCTACGAAGTGTTTGCGCTCCGGCGATGATTTGTTATTTGATGGCTTGAGCGCGGTTGCGGCTGGTGGGATAAGCAGTGCTGTCCCTATGAGGCTTTCGGCCTTGTTCTCGTTGCAATGATCTACGTAGTCATGATATGCATCTCCATAACTGTCCTTGAACGCCTTAGCGATGCCTGCACCCCAGCTGCCCTGGCAATTGCAAGCGTGGATAAGTAGGGCATTCGGGGGCGCGTCGAATATGTCGCCGCTCTCCTCGATAAGCTTGAGACGTGCCTCAAGCGATCCCTTTTCGTCGAAGGAAGTCGTGACATTATCGGAGGCCAGGCACGGCTGTTCGTGTGTCTTCGCTACATCAGTCCTTGTTCGCTTCGCCGCTTGATGTTGCTGGTGAGTGTTGTCATCAGGGTCAGTAGACTTTCGCTTCTTAGTGGTAACGGCAACTCCAGACAATGCGCTTATTGTGTCTTGTCGCATGCCGGAAATGCTATTCTTCGGCATATCTTCTTCGATGTTGTCCTCTGCGATCTAATTGCGCCTGTCAACGGTATCGATCTGATGCGTGCCTTCTTCCTGCCTAAGGCCGAAGTGCTGAGTCGTGCTGAAACGTGATTGGCCACCAAAGCTCCCCATTGCCGCAAGCGCATCACCATCTCCTTCTTTTGCAACCGCGGCGACGACCATTAAGTCCCTTCCCGCCACTACTCCTCTTCACCCTTTGCGCAGGATGTCGCTCACCTCGAGAGCGGCCACTTCGGTCGTCCGCCATACCGCACGGCAGCAACTGCCAGCCATCCGTCAGTCCGCCGCTGTAGTCCAGCAACAACGGAACCGGGCAGACTCCGCGTACGATGTCTCCACTAACCACAGCCAATTCCACTCGCCGTTCCACCGCGGCACCCGCAATGAGCAAGACACGACGGTGATACCCAGCTTCAAGAAGTACCGGAGTGGCAGCGAGACGGGCAACAAGGTCTTCCAGTATTTCATGGTCGGCGCTTTCGGTGGCTTGAGCGCGCTGGGAGCGAAGGATACGGTACAGAGTATGTCGCCAAACCAAATCCACCAGCTACGGAGGTATACAAAGTATAGCCACTGACGGGCTTCCCAGACTTCCTCGTCAACATGTCCGCCTCCGCCGACGTCCTTGCCCAGGCCAAGGTCGAAGTCGATCTAGCCAGCATCCCCGAAGGCAAGAACGTCATCATCAAATGGCGCGGCAAGCCAGTCTTCATCCGCCACCGCACCGCCGACGAGATCAAGGAAGCCGAAGACGCCGATTGGCAGAAACTCCGCGACCCGCAACCGGACGATGCCCGCGTGAAGAAGCCAGAGTGGTTGATCATGCTGGGAGTGTGCACACATCTGGGTTGTGTGCCCATTGGTGAGGCTGGAGACTTTGGTGGGTGGTTCTGCCCGTGCCACGGTAGCCATTACGATATTTCTGGACGCGTGAGGAAGGGCCCGGCGCCGTTAAACTTGGAGGTCCCGGAATACGACTTCCCCACGGATGAGTCGCTGGTGATTGGTTGAGGATGGAGTAGGCAGAGGTTGAGGTGGTGATTCGAGAGGTGTTCGTTGTGAAAGTAGATGAGTGGTAAAAGCACTGCTCATTGTTTATGGGCTGCTGCTTTGTACAGTTACCAATGTAAGCGGGTTGACATACGTAGTGCCACTCTGATAGTATCAGCTACTACGGGACATTTCATCCTGTTAAAGGCTACATCGACGCAGGCTATACGAAGACGCCACACTGTGACTCGCAGCAGCGCCACGCGACGCGGCCCGGATCATTGCCCTGCCTTTTCACTTCGAAACAATATGCTGATGCGTGCTTCCCTCACCCAGCAAATGCAACTCGCCCTGCGCACTTCCGAAGAACGCCTCGCTTCCCACCTACACGCCGCGCTACCGCACAACCCACCGTAACCTCTCAGTAGCTCCGCCCAAACATAACCCACATCTTCGCGTCCTTCCCACACTTCGGATTGATACACTTCGTGCCCGCCTTGATCTCCTCCGGCTGTTCGTCCGGGATACACAAACTCTTCGCGCCCATACTCGGCGCCCGTACATCGACCTCCTGGCCCTCGACATTCCCAGAAGAATCCTTCTTGATCTCATCCTCACAGTCACCACCAGTGCAATGCGGTACAATGACTACGTTCTTCTGGTTCAGCTCCGGGACAAAGTCCTTCCAGTCTCGCACGATTTTGCGGTGGGCGGCGTACTCCTCGCTGGCGCGGCGGAAGAGGTCGGCTTGGATCGTCTCGAGCAGCTCTGGGACTTGGGTCGCAAGGTCGGGGATTGGGATTGTGTCTTTGCCTTCTTGGTCACGGCGAGAGTACGTCACTACACCGTTGGCGGAGTCCTTCGGTCCGAACTCGATGCGCAGCGGGACGCCCTTCATTTCCCAATCGTTGAATTTGTAGCCCGGCGAGTAGCCTTCGCGGAAGTCACACTCGACCCGCAGGTCAGCCCCTTCGAGCTTATCACTCATGTCCTTGATCTGGCCGTATAGCTTCTCGCGGTCCGTGTCTGAGGTCTTCGCGGTCACGCCGACGGGCACGATGACGACTTGCACGTCTGCGACTCGTGGTGGGATGACGAGGCCTTTGTCGTCGCCGTGGATGAGGATCATAATGCCTATCGAGCGCGTGGTGAAACCCCAGCTGTTCTGCCAGACGAAGAGTTTGTCGCGCGTTTCGCCTTCTTTGACTTTCTGGTTCGGGTCTTCAATCGTAATATCGAACATCTTGGCGAAATGCTGGCCGAGGCAGTGTGATGTCGCAGCCTGTACTCCACGACCGACGGCGGGGATGTAGCCTTCGACAGTAGTCGTGTAGTGTGCGCCCGGAAATTGCTCGTTGACCGTCTTCCGGCCCTTCACGACGGGGACAGCAAGAAGCTCCTCGTAGATCGCAGCATAATGATCCAGGATCTGCCGCACCTCCACACCCGCCTCTTCTTCCGAGAAATGCGCGGTATGCCCTTCCTGCCACAAGAACTCCCGTGACCGGATAAACGGCATGGCATGCTTGAACTCCCACCTCACCACATTATTCCACTGATTCATCTTCAACGGTAAGTCCCTATGCGACCGGATCTTCTTGCTGTAGAAACTGTACATCGCCGTCTCACTCGTCGGACGCACCGCCAGCCTCTTCTCCAACTTATTCTTACCACCCTCCGTCACCCACGCGACCTCCGCTGCGAAGCCTTCGATATGGTCCTTCTCCCGCTGCAAGTTCGCCTCGGTGATGAAGAGCGGGAAATAGCAGTTCTTGACGCCCATCTTCCGTATGCGCTTGTTGAAGAACTCCTGGATGAACTCCCATATCCGGTATGAACCTGGTTGGTAGATGTAGCATCCCGGGACGTCGGTGAACTCGAGCAACTCGCCTTTGACTATGACTTGCTGATACCATTCTGACAGGTCCTCGGCCTTCTTGCAGGTGATGCCCTTGAGCTCGACGTCTCCCTGCCCGCCCTTCTTGGACGCTTGTGACTGGTTCGTGCCTTTTGACTTCGCCGCAGCTTTCTGGTCTTTGCGCTCCTTGTCCTTCTTCTCGGGCTTGCGGTGAGGAGCACCGCCTTCTACTGTGGGAGTGTTGTTTTCGCTCTCGTTGACCTTCAGCGTCTCCATCTTGTTGTCAATGCCGTCCGTGGCCATGAGGACTGTTTGTTTGTGCCAATGGTTGCGCAGATCTGTAGCACACTCGACTTACGATCACTAGCACCGAGTGAGTCAGGTAGGGCGGGCTCGGATTACAATGTCTTCTAAGTGGCGGTATGACAGGTCAATCCTGTCAAGCGTAGTTACTGATATACGAAGCTCCAGCCTAGGCGGATCGTTGTTTGACTGTTTTCCAGTCATAGTGGGCTGGTCGCACACGACCCCTCGCCCAGTCCAGCTCGTACGCAGCCATGGCACAGCTGAGCATGGCCGAATTCCAGTATGGAAGGCACAGATTGGGCGGATGTATGGTATCTCGAATATAAGGCGTAAGGTTACTGACGCAGAAGGCTCGTAGTACTTACGGAGTTGCCACAAAACTTCTACATAAGGTACGTGCTGACCGTCAATGTGCACCGGCGCGAGTGGCACGCATGAGTCGCAACTGGTGATCTGGAGTTGACAAGCTCTGCATACGAACTGTCTATATTCTAGGCTTCTCATGCTCATGCTCATCCTCTTATTGCCATGGTAGCCTTCCATGACTAGAAGCCTATACCATCGTAAGCCCACTGCTACGGTGGGCGGGCCAAGCAAGGCACAAGAGCCGATGCCGACCAAACCAACGCTTGCTCCTACCCTCTGCTGCGCCAACGCTATGCTTAACTATCAATGCTCAACGTCCATATCCGCGCTATGCTGTTGCCTATGCTCCGCGAAAGGAAAAAAAGGGGTATCTCTTGTGTGTTTGATGTCCGACCGTGAGATAACTAGTGGTAAGTAGGGAAGAGTGAGGATGCGGCTCAGATCCAAAGCGTCCGCATGGTCTCGACTGGCGGTGTCTCCGTCAGACCCTTCGCACGTAGTGCTACTCCAATGGTGGACGGTGACTCGGTGCGGGGTTGGCTCTTAATGGCTGCCTGCGCTCGCACTTTGCGTGCGGCTTTCTGAGCCTGCTTCTGCATGCTCCGCTTGTCTCGAGCCTTCACTCGAGGACCGAGCTGCTGTTGCTGGGTCTTTCCAACGCCTTGTGGGTGGCCTGGGGGCTTGGGTGGCAATAGCTTCAAACGAGGTGGCTTCTTTGCCGGCGATATTGAGCGGGAGACGGCGATGGTGTCCTCGTCATGCTTTGGCTGAGGCTCGCCTTCTTCGACCTCCGTAGGCTGGGTGATGGTGCTCCGCTGCGAGCCGTCGGGCATGCTGGAGGCTTCGGACTCCCAACTCCCGATTGACTCCTGGCTGCCGTCGTAGGCGCTGAGGTTCGACAGAGCGTGCCTGCTCTCTGCACTGCGAGCCTTCAGTGCCTTTGACACTCGACTCATCCGCCGGTCTTGCTTCTTGTTTGGAGCATCATGCATGTCGTCATCACTGTCGTGATCACGCTCGACACTCGAGCTCTCCGGCTGCGATGAGGCGGAGCCGCATTCTTCGGCATCGAGCAGATTCGATACTGCCAAGTCAATGTTGCCCTTCGCTGCTTCTAAGGCGCGCTTGATGGTCGGCTTGTCGGCCAAATATGGTAGTGATCTGGAGACAACGTCCACCTGCCATGGCAGAACGTGTGACACGTGCTGAAGCTTCTCCCGTTGTTGGGCCTCCTCTTCCGGCGACAGCACCTTTGGCTGCACTCCAGGCATGCCGGTATGCGGTCCATCGAGGTTGCGTATGGAAGAGTAGTGCTCCCACATGTGATATGCGATGTGTGCAACGGGCCTCGCTCTGTACTCGGGACCGCCTCCAGTCACCATGTAGGCGAAGTCCCTTTGGTAGATCTTAACGTCGACATCGTACGCTGAGGAGAAGGCAGTGATCTCCATGTTGTCCCCGTAGGTGCCTCCTTGTGCCATGGACAAGAGGTGGCTTTCGAAGACTCGGTCAATGTCCGCCTCTGTTGGTGGAGGGATGTTCGCCGGTGTCGAGTAGGCTCCGGCATTCTTGCGTTTCGGATTCCTTCTGATACCACCGCCTGGGTGGACATCGATGAATTGTTTGTAGTAGGTTGCATGCTCTCGCATGTAGTCGATCACACGTGAACGAATGGCAGCGTGCTGATTCTGGTGCCCGTACAGTTGGTCGGAAAGGGCGTTGAAGAGACAGTTGCCTAGGAACGGACGACGTTAGTAGTGCAACGTGAAGGCAATGATTTCAAGACAGTAAGTCAACTATTCGCTTTGAGATGTGTGGTCGGGTAATACATGGGGAGCACATGTACTCACCATCACCTCGGATCTCAGCAGCGTACAAGCCCAGCGCCGACAGTAATGGGAATTCATTGGCCGACGCTCCCATCGCACTTCAACAGGCAAGAGACCGCTGAGAGTCGATTAGTGAGAGTCATGCCTTCGCGTAGAAGCGATGTGATGGATATTCAGAGCGAAGGCAAAGAGAGAGCATTCGCTCCATACGACTTGAGCATGTGCCTTTCTGAAGGCTGGTACTTGGGGATGCGTTTTTAGACGTACCAGCTGCAGCTTGTGCTTTGGGCCGGCAGAACCCTGGCGTACCTCCGTCCTGCGAGCTCCAGGAGGCGCTTCCGCCACTTTTTTCGGCTCTGCCTATGGCGTAATTGGCTGCAGATCAACTCACTTTAGGCTGACTTTCCTTCTGCGGAACCGGAGGTGCGGTAGTCGACAACGTTGTGGTCATGCAGAGTGGAAGTTGAGGGTGTGTTGTGGAGATGAATACAAGTGGCCAGGCGAAGTGTTCAAGCTGTTCATGTGTGGACTTTTCCTCACATGCGGAATTTGGAGCTTTCGCCAGGAACAAGCTTAGATCGGCTATGGACGAAGTGAAGATGACATGCTGACGTCGTGAACACCACCAAAAGAGAGGGACAACAAGGAGGGGCAGTCCGGCAATCATAAAGGCGTTGTGTCTTTAATTTAGGCAGACACTTCAGCATCCCTCATTCACAAGCCCGTCTTTCTTCGTGAACAGTGCCGGTCAGATGAGCTTGCTTTCATGTGTGAGTCAAGCCTTCATGCACGATAGGCATGGGCGCCCGCTCACCTGCGGCTTACACGCAGAAGGCAGGTCAACGTTTCGTTATTACAGGTCGTTTTGGTGACCAGCTCTCCATGTGATAGTTTGTCGATCGAACAATTCGTACCTGTAGCATTCTTTCTCCAACCATGCCCTCCGACATTGTGGTCGTCGGGTAAGCAATTTATGAGCCCGCGACGTGCCAGGGATCATGCGAAGCTTATCTTTCATACAGAGCAGGTGTGAGTGGACTTACGACAGCCTTGCTGCTGGCCCGTACGCACAAGTACAATGTCACGGTCATTGCGAAGCACATGCCAGGCGACTACGATATCGAATATGCATCACCATGGGCCGGAGCGAACTATCTACCGTATGTGACGGTCCTCCTTCTGTAAAAGCTAGGCAGCTCAACGACTTCAATGCTGACTGACCGCATACTCTTGTCCTCTAAGTCGCTAACGACAGAAAATAGCGTTGCGCAGCGAGGCACGCCTTCGGAGACCTATGAGCGCAACACCTGGCCGGAGCTTGCACGGTTAGCAAGCGAGCTACCTGAGGCTGGCGTGCACTTTCAAGGCGGGTGTAATGCCGTATGGCAGATGGAAAGCCTATGCTGACGGTCCCCAGACACCGTCATCTACCGAAGAGCGAAGGATGTCGGCACACCAACTGGCGACTGGTTTGCGGAACTAATCAAGGCGGACGCATGGTTCAAGGAAGTCGTTCCAAATGTGAGCCGAGCGATCGTCCGACATAGTCGAACACTTTTGCTGACATACCACCAGTTTCGGGCACTCTCACAGTCAGAACTGCCGGCGGGTGTTGATGGCGGAACGTCCTTCACGTCCGTCTGCATCAACACCGCGCTCTATCTACCCTGGCTGGCATCTCAGTGCCTGAAACACGGCGTCGTGGTCCGTCGGGCCATACTCTCTCACATCTTGGAAGCAGCAAACCTCCATCACTCCGGCAAGCGAGCGGACTTAATAGTCAACTGCACCGGTCTTTCCTCGCTGCGTCTCGGTGGCGTCGAAGACACCACGCTTTACCCAGCGCGCGGTCAAATTGTTCTCGTCCGAAACGATCCGCAAGTCATGGCCAGCATCTCCGGTACAGACGACGGCGGTGACGAAGCAACCTACATCATGCACCGCGCGGCCGGCGGAGGTTGCATCCTCGGCGGCTGTTTGCAGAAGGATAATTGGGAGAGTCAGGTCGACCCCAATCTAGCCATTCGGATCATGAAGCGCTGCATTGAGCTGTGCCCAAAGCTGGTGCCTGAAGGCAAAGGTATCGAGGCGCTCAGTATCATCCGTCATGGTGTCGGCCTCAGACCTATGCGCAAGGGTGGGCCGCGTGTGGAGAGGGAAGTCATTGACGGAGTGCCTGTTGTGCACAATTATGGCCACGGCGGGTACGGTTACCAGACCTCGTATGGCGCGGCGCAGGCGGCAGTAGCTCTGGTGGAGGAGGCATCGCAGCAGCCTAGAGCTCGCTTGTGAGTTGTCGAGCCGTTACGATAGCGTATCTCAACATGAGTAGAGGGGCGCCGTGGAGCCTGTCTAGCGATCATGAAATTGCCATTCGGGCGTGACAGGCACCAAGTCTCTACTCTCAGTCATCTTCATACGCGCAGGGGACGTGTGAACTCACCAGCACTGTGTAAGAAAGCCGTCGCCTCAAGGGCATGTCAAGGGTGTGGCTGGGCCATTACGAATGGCGTTGTCGGGGTCAAAGCTTCCCAGCTTAAGATTCAGGGAGAAACCGCAGGCTTCAAGAGAGTTACCTGAACTCTTCCGCAACCACATTGTTCTAACACCTTATACATCATCGGACTGCCTCTTCCGCAACGCACACATCCCGCGACTCGTGACCGGCATTAATCATGGACTTCTCCGACATCTTGTTAGTACCATCTCGCATGCGACTCGAGCACGAGACCGCTGCCTGGCTTCACACCCTTGCGCTGACAACCGCGACAGTCGGATAGTAAACCTCGCGGTCGCGGTCTTCATGATCCTGGGAGGCATTGGGCAGTTCTTCCCTACAATCGGAGTGTAAGCGGCTGAACCTGCGTAAGCATCCCTGTGCGCAGCGCAACGGCTGAGCATGAGGCGCAACAGGCAAAGCATCATCATCGCCGTATACCTCTTCATCTTTGGCCTAGGTAAGATTGAAATGCCACGCGTAGTGAGTTGTAGTAACGTCGCTGACCGCCTCTAGCAACCGGCATCCTCGGTCCGTAACCACAGCCACCAAACTCACATCCAGCGTCGCATCCACTGACACCTCCGTCACAGAATTCCAGATTCCGCCGCAAGTCACAAAATACGCCTCCTTCCTATTCAGCTTCGTTGGCCGCGGAACCTGTAAGTCGCAATACACCCAGGCAACAAGCTGGACATGTCTTCCGTACTAAGGCATCATACTCTAGTCTACGTCTTCGTCGGCTGCATAACGATGGGCTATAGGTGGTGGAGGTATACGGCCGGCTCGCTTATTGTCGCCGTGGGCCTTGCGTACATCGCGCTGCAGTTTGTGCCGTCGATCGAGCCGCCGGCGAATATGAGGGATGCGGATCAGGGGTGGGGTGCGGAGCAGGTGTAAGCTTGTACGCTGTCCGACACGGTAGGAGTGTAACAGTCAGTCGGCACGCTCAAGATGCAGGTTGATGTGCAGTTGAGCATGTGGGAAACGGCGGGAGTTGACAGGCAAGGGCCATTGCAGCGATGATGGAGCGGAAACCTTCTGCCATCGAGTCGCAGGCAGTGTAAAGATACGCTGTACGATCTATGGTATGAGGATAGACGAATGGCAACTGCTTACACAAGCGGGTTTCCATAAGAATAAAAGAGCTTCCAAGCCAAAGCTTTTACACGCCAACCTTCGAATTACCTGAGCTACTTGCGTAGTAGTAGAATGAACCTTGATATGTGGTTCCCTCTTACGGTACCTCTTGTACCCGTTCAGCATACATCAGTTGGCACGCACCGCGAGATCGAAAGTAGAGTGCGCTTATACAACCATGAATACCAACTCTCGGTGCTCATGCATTGGCCCGTGTGGAAGCCAATGAGAACGAGGCAGGATGTCGTTGCTTGACGCGCGAGCCAATCATAGCGTGGCTGTTCTGTGGTGCGACGCCCTCGCCTCCCTGTCCGCGTATAGTTGCACCAGGTTTGAGGAAGTCTACGAAGGTCAACAGTGCCTTTTTGTAACGGAAGAACTACACGAATCCAATGCTGGGCACACCACAAGCGTCGTACACTCCCTTTGAAATAGCAACTCGACCTGGAAACGGGAGCCTGATCATCCCACTGCCGACCTCGTAGTTCCGGAGCCGAAGTTATCAGATCCACCTCTGTATATCAGATCGAGGCGCATGCGGCAACCGCACCTCGCAAGCCTCTCCGCGGACCTTTATGACCTGCATTCTTAGCTACCATGCTCCGGTAGCACCGAAACAACCGGATCCGGCCATGATGGCAAGCACGACAGACGAGCGACACGAGGAGACGGTGGCGAACCGTGTGCCACAAGTCCGGGCTTCTGTGCAGCGCCTTCCATCGCAGGAGGAGCTGGAGATTGCGCGCCATCTTATTGAGCACTCTCAAAGTGCCCAGGCTCAGTCTTCGGTCCCGACATATCAGCATCCGGCCACACCATCGTTCTCAGCGATCAACGTGAATGTAAACGGCCAAAACGGGTACGCAAATGGGCACGCCTCTTCATCAAACGAGCAGCACGAAGCGGACGACGTCTCCCCGCAGTACCCGCACTTCTCCCCAGCACCAGCCGCCCAACAAAGAACACCATCCGGCAGCCTCACCCCAGGAGCGCAAAGCTGCAGCAACTGCGGCACGACCAAAACCCCACTGTGGCGACGCTCACCCACCGGCTCCATCATCTGCAACGCCTGCGGCCTCTACTACAAAGCCCGGAATCAAATGCGACCCGTAGGCCTGAAACGCGGTGCTGCAGCAACCAACCCGCAGCCCGAAGGCGAGCAACAAGTCGACAGAGGCACTTCGCCCACATCTTTACAAGGTAACGCCACCTATGTGACCGCCGACCAAAGCCTAAACGGCACCTGTCCCGGCGGCGGCCGCTGTAATGGCACAGGCGGACATGAAGGATGCCAAGGTTGTCCCGCGTTCAATAATCGCGTTTCGAAAACCGCGCAGATCGCTTTACAGCAGACACCCCAAAATGGCGGTTTCGACCCGAACGCGGCGCCAGTTCAGCAGGCACAGATCACGAATGTAGTTGTCGCGTGCCAGAACTGCGGGACGACTATCACTCCGCTATGGCGGCGAGACGAAGCGGGGCATACCCTTTGTAACGCCTGCGGACTTTATCAGAAACTGCACGGCGCGCATCGACCCGTGCAGATGAAGAAACCGGAGATCAAGCGGCGGAAACGCATTGTTCCTACCGAAGGGGTGAGATGGGGGAGCCCTGGTATGACCGAGATGGGTGAGGATGTCGCGTCAACCTTGCTGAACGACGGGCAAGACTCTGCACCCATCTCGACGCAGGACGAACAGCAACAGCAGCAGCGTCAAGTCTCGTTTACAGGCGGACCGATACCCGTCAACTTCACGGACTCATTCAGACGATACACTGCAGACTCTACTTCACTTCCACGGAAACGCTCACGGTCGGCAACGGCCGAGGAGCAAGAGCCGTTACCGTACCGGCACGCGCAGAATCTGGGGTCAGCGGTGGGTGGGGATGAGAATATCGACCCCAGTCTCTCCGTGCGGAGTTCGGCACCGCCTGTGGCTTCTACGACGACGACGACGACCTCGAAGGAGGCGAGACGGGCGGAGTTGCAGCGGGAGGCGGAGAAGATGCGGCAGATGCTGGTGGAGAAGGAGAGAGAGTTGGCTGCGTTGGGGGATGGTTAATTCTTCAACTTACTCTTCTCGCGGGGCGGGAAGAAGTGAGGTCGGTTGTATCAGTGAAGTAAGCGGAGCTCTTGGCTGCGTTTCCAATGCTCGACGCTCAATCCTCGAACCCTCCACTTCGCCAGTAATGCGAATATCCCCATCTCGTCAGATCTGCGCTCCCAATTCCACTCGCAGCCCCCCTCCCACCACCACTTACTCAATCTCATCCGCCTTCCTGACCAACACCTCCCCATCCTCCAACCCAAAGTACACCGCCACCGGCTTCTGCCCCCCCTGCAAGCCGGCCTTCTGCGTCTGATACCCATTCATGCCGTGAAACAACCCAACCTCCAACACCCCATTAATACTCTTAATCCGCTTTGCCAGCGAATCCACATCCCACACCCCATCCTTCCCGCCGCCGTCCTCGCCATTCTTCACATCCATACTCGTCAACAACTGCTTAAACGGCGCGTCAATGATATAAAAGGACTGATCCGTCTGGATCGGCCCCGTCTTCGCCAACGCGTGTTCCCTCAGCGCCGCGTCGGGGGAGCCGATGAGTTTCAGCTCGCGCAGGACGGAGGCGTGCGCGATCGGCGCGACTTCGATGGGGACCGTCTTCCACTTCGTACACAGCCGCTTCTGATCCTTGCGGTAATCGGCGATGCACACGAACTTCTTACTCCGACACGCGACCAGTTTCTCTTGAAACAGGCACGCGCCGCCCCCCTTGATGCAGTTCAATTCCTCGTCCACCTCGTCCGCGCCGTCGAAACAGACCTCCAACATTGCGTCGCCTGGCAGACTGTCGAATGCGATGGGCAGCAGGCCGGCGGCTTCGATGACTTTGCGGCTGTTCCAGCCGGTGGGGACGAACCAGTTCTGGTAGGGTTGCGGCGGTGGGTGGGCTTTGAGGTGGGCCGCGATGGCTTCCACGCCGTAGACGATGGTGCTGCCGCTGCCGATGCCGACGAAGCGCATGGAGGAGTTGAAGTGCTCTTCCACCGCGCGGAAGGCGGCTTTGCGCTTGGCGGATTCGATGGGGTCGAGGGTGGAGGGGTTGGGGGGTTTGTGGGGATCAGACATGGTTGGCGTGGAAATTGTGGTGGTGGTGGTGGTGGTGGTGGTGGAGAGGTGGCGGTAAGGGGAGTGTAATGTAGATCTGGTAGAGGTGATGTTGAGCCAGTACTTGTGTGGTGGTGGTGGTGGTCGGTGAGGGGTGGTGGAGGTGAAGGCTCGAGTCGTGTGAGACGGTAGTGAGGCAAAGGTATGCCTGTGCATGCAGGTGCAATCCGAGTATTGTGTATGTGGAGACGTGTTGTGTATATCTGACGTATCACCTCAACACGCACTCGTCAATTCAGCCGGAGCTCTGCGGTTATGCTTGTGCTTATGCTATGCCATTGGGGAATCTGGCGTCGTACCTTCCCTCGTTCCCACTGCCCCGCCAACCCCTCCATCGTGTGGCGTAAACACTGTGGCGCGAGCTGCACACGAGTCAGCATCGCCTGACGAACGAATGCAGGAACGACCAAACAACATCCCGCTGCGTCACGCACCTCCCCATCGCTCCTTCTAATGGCCTCGACAAACGGGCAAGAGGTCCCCCCACCCCTGCAAGACATCCCCACGGCGAAAGAGAAAAAGTACGACCGGCAACTGCGGCTGTGGGGGGCGGCGGGCCAAGTGGCGCTGGAAGAGTCGCACATCCTCCTCCTCAACAGCGGGGCCGGGGTGACGGGGGTGGAAACGCTCAAGAACCTCGTCCTGCCCGGCATCGGCCAGTTCAGCATCCTCGACTCCGCCATCGTCACCGAAGCGGACTTGGGCGTCAACTTCTTCGTGGAGGATGCGTCGCTCGGCCGGTTTCGCGCGGCGGAGACGGTGCGGATGCTGGAGGAGCTGAATCCGGGGGTGAAGGGGCATGCGATCACGGAGACGGTGGACACGTTCTTTGATGTTGGCAAGGGAGAGGTGGCGCCTTTTCAGCCGTATAATCTGATCATCGTCGCTGCACCGATCGAGCCGACGTGGTTGACGCATATCCTGCATTGCGCGCAGGCGTTGCACATCCCCGTCTTCTACCTGCATTGCGTCGGATATTTCTCGTCATTTGCCGTGACGTTACCCCCGGCATTTCCCATCGTCGACACACACCCGGACCCGACGGCCACCACCGACTTGCGCTTACTCAAGCCATGGCCCGCACTCGCGCAGTTTGCGGCGGAGAAGACGGCGATGTTGAACGAGAGTGAGAGCAGCATGGGAGAAGAGGATGACGCGACCAGTAAGGAGAGGGAAGCAGCAAAAGCCAGGCGCGCCCACGACAAGGCCCACATCCCCTACCTCTGCCTCCTCCTGCACTACCTCGAGCAGTGGAAACAGTCGCACGACGGTAACGTCCCTGCCACGTACAAAGAGAAGACCGCCTTCCGCAACCTCGTCCGCGCCGGCGACTACAACGAAGAAAACTTCGACGAAGCCTGTACCGCCGTCCTGCGAGCACTGAACCCTCCCACCCCACCTTCCTCCATCCTCGACATCCTCTCAGCGCCCGAAACCCACAATCTCACACCCGAAACTCCAGCCTTTTGGCTTATAGCAAACGCGATCAATCAATTCTACACCAAACACAACCAACTCCCCCTACCCGGTTCAGTCCCGGACATGAAAGCCGAATCCTCCGTCTACGTCCAGTTGCAGAATATCTACAAATCGAAAGCCCGCGACGACAGCGCCGAAGTGCTGGCGACCGTGCGGGAGCTGGAGAAGGAAACGAATCGGCCACAACATCTCGCCGTCGACGCGAAGGAGGTGGAGAATTTCTGCAAGGGGGCCGCGCATATCCATCTCGTGCGCGGTCGGGCGTTTCAGACGGCGCAGTCGGATGCCTCGTTGCGTTTTGGCGATGGGGCGAAGGTGTTGGCGATGGAACTGAGCATGCCGGAGAGTTTGGTGGGACTGCACCTGGCGTTTTTGGCGTGGGATAGATATATCGCCACTCACTCCACCTCCGCCGCGCCGGAAGTGGGCGGCGAGCGTCTCAGAGTCCCCGGCGGCGCTACTACATCTGGCGCCGACGACGACGACGAAGCCTACGAAGCCGACGTGGCGAAAGTCACCTCCATCGCGCACACCCTCCTCGACCACTTGATCACCGAGTCCGGGACGGGATTTCTCGAGGACCCCGAGTACAGCGAAGCTCGGGAGCGAGTGGGCAAGTTCGTCAGGGAGCTTGTGAGGGCGGGCGGAGGGGAGTTGCATAATGTTGCTTCGGTCACGGGGGGGTTGGTGGCGCAGGAGGTGATCAAGGTGGTCACGAGGCAGTATGTGCCGGTCGAGGGGGTGTGTTTGTTTGATGGGGTGCAGGGGAGGACGCAGGTGCTTAGGGTATGAGTCGACTCTTACGCCGGAAGAGGGTGCAGAGGCGCAGATGGGATCGGTTGGATGAGGGGTGTTATGCGCTCCGGCGTTATGGTTGCTGGGAATGCGTTTGCATTTGCATTTGCATTGCATTGCATGGCTGGAGTTCACACACCTTGGCCGACGGAAATGTTGATGTGCATGTGCCATGAGCATGGCGGCGTGGATGGGCGCTGAATGTCATTTTGCTGTCGTTCGCATGATCTGCCGCCGGCACCGCAGCCGAAATCGCTGCCGAGTCCGCGCGCAAACGCTGCGGGAAAGAGTGTTATACCATCGTCCCAAAGCAATCATTTGCTACCCGTCCTCCCTCGCTCCATTCCATTGCGTGGTTGAACCCATCGTGACGAAGGGTACTGCTGACCTCACCACTTCCTAGCAAAAGAGAGAGAGAGAGAGATCGCGCGGGCAACGGGAGTCGAGGAAAAATGAAAGACAACCCTCGACTGTGAAAAAAAACGTGCTGGAGATGTGAAACTTTTCAATGCCCCTGGTCTACGAGACAGACCGCTAGTTTTGTTACAATATCCGTGTGATCTTCCTGCCAAAGGCAAACGGAAAAGCTCATTGACCTACCCTTTCCCTCTCATGCACACCTTCACCCCCCGCCCGGCCGACACTTCCCCTCGTGACACCGCTCACATGTCCATTGGCCCATTCCTTCAGTCCCACGCACCACTCCAGCCCGGCCTCCACCCTCACCTCCACCATACTTGCTCAAAATCTTCTCCCTCACCTCCCCAAGCGTAGGAATTCTCCCATCCGTGAATACCACCACACACCTGTGCAACTCCTCTTGGCCGAAAATACCCCTGCGCATGCCGGTGTCGACGTAAACTCCCAAGAGCCAGTGGAGTTCCTCTTCTTCTGCATCCCGCTGCACGAGAATCATACTCCTGCAGCTGCCCGTGGGCATGTTGCGCAGAGCGGCGAGGGAGCGGAAGTGCAGTTCTATGGCTGCACCACGGCCTGGAGGGCTGGAGGTGAAGGAGTAGTCGCTTCTGTGATACCTCATAATCCCCATGTGACGTCTGCGGGAGTCGATGTGAGGGTTGAGTCGGTATGTGGGGTCTGTGTTTCGGAGGCGGGAGGACGGGGTTGGTAGTTTCCAGAGTCCGCGTTGGAGAGGGATGGATCGGTCGATGACCGCTTTGAAGAACGTGGAGACGCGTTGGGCGTGGAGGACTGTGAGGGTGTTGGTTTCTAAGAGGATGTCTTCGAGTAAGTCTGGGTGGTTGAGGACGCGGGAGGCGGCGCAGGGCGTGGTGTGTTTGTGGGTGCAGCGCTGGCGGTGGGTGGTGTTCGTGATGATGGTGTGGAAGAAGCGGTTTACGCGGTGGCTGCGGAGGGAAGTGATGGGGTCGAGGTTGGTAAGGATGAGCTCGAGGAGCTCCGGGGTGTTGAGGACGGCTTGGGTTACGACGTCGTGGGCCATTTTGATTGATGTGATCTTGCTTGTCAGGTAAGAGAGCCAGATCTATCGATGAACAGAGAGCGAGAAGCAGTCGTGTGCGCTGTCTGTCGAGTTTTGCGCGTTGTTGGGGTGGGAGAGGGCTTCGAGGTCCGTTTTTTAGCCAGTATCGCTTGCAGTGTCGTTGGTGGTGTCGTTGGAAGTTGATCGACAGAGGTTTCTTGTGGTCTGTGGCGGCGAGCAACATGGCAACGAGCTGTGAGTGAGTATTCATGACGTTGATCCCAAACTGAAAAGCGAGGCTGAGCCGGCCAGTGAGCGGTGAAGCGTTGTTGTGTGGAGTCAGTGCTTATTCGCTGACCACCGGCTTAGTGAAGCCCAGTAACATAGCTCGCAGACACTACTTGGGCCCAGCCGACTGGACATGTATAGTCGTGAAACATGTGCTCTCGTGGAAAATGCCTTGATTGCCGGCCAACTGTAAGACGCTGCACTGTGCATAGAGAGGCCTCTATATTCCGTTACGCGCCATTAGAGGCTGGATCATTAATGCATGCGTGGGGAAGCGGTTCGCATCACCACTTCTTCTATTCCAGCTCGATAGTGGCAGGCGGTTTGCTCGTCCATTCGTACACTACACGAGCGACGCCTTGCACCTCGTTCCCGATACGGTCGCTAACCCGGGAAGCAAACTCTTCGTCGAACCAGTAGGCCTTGGCGGTCATGAAGTCGGTTGTCTTCACCGCTCTCAACGCGATAACATAACCATGCAGTCTCTGATCGCCAACAACACCTACTGCCTTGTCGACGAACAGCGCGGCAAACGCTTGACTGATGTCTCGGTACAGCGAGGTGCCATCCTTGGTTTTGCCCGCTTTGAGCTCCTCCATAAAGATCGCGTCAGCTTCTTGTACTATGCGCACCTTCTCTGGTGTGACTTCGCCGATGATACGGATGGCCAGACCAGGACCCGGAAACGGATGGCGCCAGACGAGCTCCTCCGCAATGCCTAATTCGGTGCCGATGGCTCGGACTTCATCCTTGAAGAGCTCCCTCAGCGGCTCAATCAGTTTGAGGTTCATCTTCTCCGGCAGACCACCCACGTTGTGATGTGTCTTGATGGTAGCACTAGGGCCTTTGAAGCTGATGGATTCGATGACATCCGGATACAGCGTACCCTGAAGAAAGTACTCGATGTTGCCCGCTCGAGGCGTATTCTCGGCTTCCTTGGCAATCTTCTTCGCTTCCTCTTCGAAGATCTCAATGAAGGTATTGCCGATGATCTTGCGCTTCTTCTCCGGATCCTCAACACCTTTCAGCAGACTCAGAAAGCGCTCGCTTGCGTCAACCACGGTAAGGTTGACCCCAAGATTCTTGGTTAGTGTTTGCTTGACTTGCTTGGCTTCGTCTTTCCGCAGCACGCCGTTGTCAACCATGACGGCGTGAAAGCGGTCGCCGATGGCTTCGTGCATCAACTTTGCGGCAACGGTGGAATCCACGCCACCGCTGACTGCGCCAATAACCTGACCTTTCGGGCCGACGAGCTTTCGAATCCGCTCAACTTCCTTGTCACGGAACGCCTCCATGGTCCAGTTCTGCCGAGCTTTGCAGATGCTGACGGCAAAGTTGCGGATGACTTGGGTGCCTTTCGGAGTATGTGTGACTTCAGGGTGAAATTGCACGCCGTAGTATTCCTTGCTTTCGTGCGCAATGGCCGCGTACGGAGAGTTTGCAGAAGTTGCGATGGTGATGAAATCGTCTGGTAGGCGGGAGAGCTTGTCACCGTGCGACATCCATACGTCCATATCGTCAGGTAGTCCTTCGAACAAGCGGCTGACGTGCGCTTCCTGGCCATTTCGCGGGTGGATGTTGAGCGCAGCACGGCCGTACTCTCGCTTCTCGCCCGCCAGTACGTTCTTGCCGAAGTGCCAAGCAAGCTCCTGTAAGCCATAGCAGATTCCCAAAATCGGTACGTCGAGGTTGAAGACTTCAGGATCGACATGTGGCGCATCTGACGCGTAAACTGAGTAAGGGCCACCAGACAGGATGACACCTTTAGGTTTCCATGTCAAGTCTGCCAGCTTCTGAGTGCATGGCAGCATCTCGGAGTAGACATTGAGTTCACGCAGTCGCCTTGTGATAAGATGGGTGTATTGAGACCCGAAGTCCAGGACGAGGATGGTATCGAAGAGCTGGTGTGGTGGAGCGGGATCGTCCATCGCACCATGGCCGTTGGCGACGCCATTCGTCTGAGCCATCGTGAGCTGGTTCGGCTTTTAGACCACACTGCACACGAATGGTATTTGGGCTTAACAAGATCCGAAAACTTGTAGCGACGCTGCGTTATCGATAAGTGGTTGCGCGCAAGGAGGGCGCGGGTGGTCTGTGCCTCAGTGGCTGCGTTTAAGTTGCTACTCTGCACTCTCACCTGCAATATATCATCGTTACTAGTCATGGACATCTATGATTGATCGGCAAGTCTCCGTTGAGCATGTTGCTTCCGTTAGAGCCTCCACAGCGGGAGATGCATCCGCGGGTGATAATTCCGGCCATGGACACACTTTCGACTATGAGTAGCAGGCAATCCGCTCGCTTGTCTAGTTGTCGCAAACCCCTAAGCATATTGCGAGGCTTGGTGGCAGGACGGAGACGATAGACTAAGGACGAGTAGACACAATGCGTCGTCAACTTGTGCTACTGGAAACGACTGAGATTCCAGTACCCGGTCAGACCAATGCCGGGACAGGCTTCGTCGTCGCAGATATATACACAGCACCCCCTTTGCCCTAGGTCATAAGATGCGCAAATCTCTCACGTGCAGAAGCTAGGTGGAACGTTGAGTACACGATTAGCGAGTACGTTAATGCATGTTCAGTCGAAGGCGGCAGGTGCGCTTTCGGGCTTGTTCCAACCTCACTTCACCCCATCTCACTTCATCCCATCTTAATTCATCCCGCTTGAGCATCGTCCCTTGATGTTGGATGACACGAGACGCTTCTTTTCCCTTTCCATTATCTGCTCGTATCCCTCGCTCTCAAAGCGCGAGCAGCTTACGCATAGTCCGAAGAGGCCTGCAACATTGTCATGGAGGACCACGCATCTCCCACAAGGCTTAGCCTACATGATACGGAACAGCCATACCACGGCGACAGTACCTGGCAAATGACGGCTTGTCCGTCACAGACATTGCTGTCATTGAGGGAGAACAGCAATACGGCGTCAAGCCTAGTCGATTCAGACGTTAGCCAAAATAGCTTCGCCAACGCCACGCCGAGTGAAGCGGCCGATTACTATGAGCAGCACACGACAGCGACAAAGAGACCACGCATGAACGATGACTTTGAAGAAGCCCGTTCCTCGTTTATGGACCAAGCCTTTGCAGAGGGTCTTTTGCACGAATGCGTCTTCCCACACCCCTTTCAAAGCCCTTACATGCCGAGCCCGCCGTCAACGACATTAGGAGACCTCGAAGACCCGGCTGGCGCTCCGTCAGCTGGCTATGCAGCAGCTCTGGACCTGGTCACCGACGGCGAGAAGTGGGAAGTAGATAAAGCTTCAGCCGGCTTTCTTGCGTCCCTAATGGCACTTGGCAAACCTTGCAACGCTGACGTTCGATGCCGCGACGAAGATGTGGGATTCTGCGACTTACGTGTTGAAGAGCCACTACTTAGATGCGACCCGGCGCTGGAGCTTCAGGCTATTCGACGGCGTCACCTCGTAACTATAGCCAAACGTGATGAGAAGCCTATTAGACTTGACATGGAAAACGACGAGAGCCTTGAGTGGCCCACTCGTCTGAAGAATCTGCCTGCACAGTTCTACGCGCATGCAGTGTCTGAGAAGCTCGAGGTGGGCACCGATGTGCTCCGCTACCTGCGAGAGGTTGCGCGGCCAACAATGCTGTCGGAAGAAGAACTGATGGGCGAGTCAATGCAAAGCCTTGAGGCAAGTCTTGGGATGCATCTAAGTGTATCAGTATGCTAACATCGTCAGTCGCATCCTCTTCGTCCCGTGACGCCGCCACTGCTTCCGCTATCACCGGCGTTCAGCCCACCTAGACCGTCGCCTTCGCTGTTGGAAGTCCACTTCACTTCTACGCCCCAAGACCTCCTGGCTGCCGAGGCTGTTCGAGTCGAGCGTTCTCTCCGACGACAGGACGAGATCGGCGCCGATCGCACGGAACGATCTGCCATGGAAGCTGCAGCAGACGACTATAGCATCTCAGGGACTTTGCAAGACCTCTCGTCATCTACGGACCGCTATACTAGGCTGCAGGACCTCAAGGTAGACACTCCAATAACTCCGCACCATCCCTACGCCGTTTCGTCGCCGAGCACTGTTGGTCTGGCCGATGAAGTACTCGCCTTGCTCCCAGCGCCAGAGTTTGATCCTTCGATGCTTGATCCGCGGGTCGCTAACAGTGCGCTGGGTGCATTTGTTGATGAGTTCATCCGGCCCGCCGCAGGAGCTGCGATCGAACGAGTGGAAAATGAGAAGTTAGATGAGATTGACACTACGATGCGTGTCCCTGTTCCGGAAATCGCTGACGAGCTGCTACCGCCGCCTTGGCTGCAATACCTTGCCACTGGCAGCGTACTGAATGCCCAGCGCGGGCTGCTGCGCTACATCAAGCGAGAAATGCTCAAGGACGAGTGTCTGTGGGGTGAAATCTCAAAGCTTGAGCGGAGTCTTACGTGGGCACCGTTCCCGACGCGTCTCGGCAAGGTCCAGCTGACCGAAGATGTGGACGATGACAGGTCTGCTGAGCAGTACATGGTGTCGCTGACTGTTGAAGAGCCTGTTGACCTGCACGAACTAGTGGGCACAACCGCAAGCCTCCGGATACTTGATAACCAAGAGAGTGACGATGAGGACCTCGAAGACGCCGGCTACGAGATGCATACGGAACCTACATTGGCTGAAGCCACCCAGTCCAAACTTCCATCACTGCCCATAGGCGAAGCATTCGATGGTATTCCATTGTCGACACCGACGCATGCGCTCCTGAGACCACCATCCCCGAAGCAAGAACGCCGGCTAAACATGGAAAGCCTTTTACGGAAACGTAAACTGGAGCTCGAAGCGTCCGCTCAAAGCACAACACGCAGAATCCTGGAGATGGAGACTCTGCCATCGCCAGAACTTGTGAACAAGCTAGCAGGGGCGGATGCATCAGCCACGGACCGCTTGACATTCGATCCCAGCCTTGGCCACAGCGGTCTCATGGGCTTCTTGCAGACACGTGGCTACGGTGCCAGAGGGCCACAAGGCTGTGACTTCCACCTACAACGGCAGAAGACCGCTCCGGCTGCGATCATGGTGTCCCCTCTTATTCACAACGGCGTGGAGAAGCTAGCGACGGACCCTACACCTGTGCCCGTCCCTGAGCTTGTGGAGCCCGAGCGGCCAATGCAGATAGCAGTGTCCAGCAAGCTCTCGGCGAATCGTTCCTTCACCCGACGCCTGCAAACGCTGTTACCGAATCTTGAGCTCATTGAGCGCGACGATCTTCGCGGGGGGTATGCTATAGCTGACAAGCATGCGCAAACAAGCGGGCTGCAAGAGGCAGATCTTACGGTTTCTCCTGCGCTTGGTGTCGTTCTCACGACGCTGCAGAAGCTGAAGCAACAGCCGCTCCCTGGGCAACAGAACTTCTTCGGCGTCCGTGAGCGCATTGCTGTGATCGCTCTTCGCTACGAAAGGGTAATCGTAATCGTCAGTGAAGGGTGCGAGGACCTGGTGCATTCGCAATGTCTGGATGACCGAGCCTGCAGCGCACTGGCAGAGTTCATCAGCTATTCCTCATACCTCAGTGTCGAGGCCATGTACCTTCCGGGCGGCGAGAAGGAGCTGGTATCATGGGTTGCGTCAGTGATCTCAATCCACGCGGTCGACATGGCTCAAGACGGTCAAGGCGTGGGGCTGCTGCAGGACGAGACGCTCTGGGAACGCTTCCTGCGCACAGCGGGGATGAATGCTTTCGCCGCCCAAATCGTGTTAAGCAGATTGAAGAAGGCGCACAACGATATGACCGCGAGCGGGATTACCCTGTCGAGCATACATTCTGTCGATAGAGATGCATTCGGCCTCGCCATATTTGTTACAATGTCTGTGCGAGAGCGCATACAGACGTTTGCGCCGTTGCTTGGTGGTGAACGGGTGTTGACAAGAGTAAGCGAAGTCATAGATAGGCGCTGGGTAACCAATGCTGCGATGAGATAAAGAAAGAGGCCTACAAGCAGTGGCTCACTGCGCACGTGGCACTGGAGAGTCGACAGTTGATCGCATACAGCAACGAGCACCACGCGATCTGGCAGTTCGAAGCGTTGACAGGTGCCACGACCATCGTGGTCGGAGTACGCACTCCACGGTACCGTTGACACTGCCTCCACAATGTCATGTCATGCTGAACCTCGGCGGCCACTCCGTGAATACTCGATGCACCAGCCACAGCAGTCCAGGAGATGTCGACTCGGTCAAGGCTCCGTAGGGGATCTAGGCCCGCGGTCGGCGGCCGCATTTACAGCCACAGTCTCCACTTGACAATCTGGCAATCCTGCAACCATCTGGATGCCCCTGTCACTTTGCAAGGATGCCACCCGGTTTTGGGGTGATACTCTGTGGCTGGAGGTCATTTAGTGTGGCTTGATACACTTTCTCAGCAGCGTTTGCAATGCGCGCTCATTTTGTGTCGCGTGGACTCGCCCAATCGAGCAATCAGACTTCGGTATGCCTGTCGATTTCAGCTGTCAATACCAGTGTGCGAGAGTGAATATATATTGTCGAAAGGACACCCGATACGTAGCCAATATCCATCACCGATCACTGCGACGCGTATCAGCCAAGCGGTCATTTCCCAAAACCAGAGAGCGGGAAGAAGGCTGGCACATGTAACTGTCGACGTCATTGGGCCGATCTGCGACGCACCGAAACGGCAAGGTTTGCCGTTGCTCTGTGTTTAGAGCGCCTTACGTGCGCCATCTTGCAGCAACCACGCACCTACACCTGCGCTCCTTTCGAACGAGTTCCCATTCACTTCTACGATCAACAACAATCTTCGCAAATCTGGTACATTCATCTTACGTCTACTGACATCTTCAGTATCCAGCGGGAGCTCGAGGAGCTCGCGTCACTCCTGAGGCGCCTTTCTGGACGCGACCCGCTCAGTGATGGCTACACAAACAGCGGCCGAGATGGCCACGTCTATCCTCAAAAGGCAGGCCATGCAAAGCGGCGACGCGAACATTGGCTCGGCTCAGCAACCAACCCAATCCGCGTCGCAGCTCCTTTCGACCCTCGTGCCGGTCTTACTGTACGCCATAGTATGGTTCGTTCTTTTCCTCCTCCTTAGGCGGCCATTCAAGCGTTACTACCAACCAAGAACATTCCTGGGCAGTCTCCGTCCGGAGGCTCGCTCGCCGCCCCTCTCTGACAGCTTGTTCGGCTGGATTGGCCAGTACACCAAGCTTCCGGATACATATGTACTCAACCACAACTCATTGGACGCTTACCTTTTCCTCCGATTCCTCAAGATCGCGGTCATCAGTTGCGCTGTCGGATGCATCATCTGCATACCCGTCCTCTTTCCGGTATACGCGACAGGCGGCGCCGGCGAGCAGCAGCTCGACATCATCACTTTCTCCAACCAGGCCAACTACTGGAGATACTTCGCTCCATGCGGCTGCGCTATCCTCTTCTTCAGCTTCCTGCTCTATCAGATCACGCGCGAGTCCATCTTCTACATCAACCTGCGCCAAGCCTACCTCATGTCGCCATTATATGCCTCTCGCATCTCATCCCGGACAGTGCTCTTCACATCTGTGCCCATGGCGTACATGCATGAAGGGAAGATGCGCGCCGTGCTTGGCTCTGGCGTCCGTAGGATGTGGTTCGCCAGCGACACCAAAGAGCTCGAGAAGAAGGTGAAGGAGCGCGACAAGGCTGCTATGAAGCTCGAGGGAGGCGAGACCAAGCTCATCGTCACAGCCAACAAGGAGCGACTCAAGGCTGAGAAGAAAGGTCACCGCTCCGGCTCGGAGGAAGCTGCCATTGGCGAAGGCTCTGGCGCTCTTGCTGCCCAATATCTGAAACCCAAGCAGCGTCCTACTCATCGCCTTAAGCCGCTCATTGGCAAGAAGGTTGACACCATCGATTGGTGCCGATCTGAGCTGAAAAGACTTATCCCGGAAGTCGACCGCATGCAAGCTGCGGAGAAGGCAGGCGACAACAAGAAGCTGAGCTCGGTCTTTGTCGAGTTCGAAACCCTGTCGGAAGCACAGGCAGCATATCAGAGTCTTACGCATCACCAGCCTCTTCACATGGCCCCTCGCTACGCGGGTATCAACCCAGGTGAAGTCATCTGGAGCAACCTAAAGATCAAGTGGTGGGAGCTCGTCATTCGAAAGCTCGCCACGACCGGCTTCGTCTGTGCGCTTATCCTTTTCTGGTCCATTCCTGTTGCTGCAGTTGGTGCCATTTCCAACATGTAAGCGAAACATCCTCTGCTTTGGGATCTAGCTGACATAAGAACAGCAATTATCTCGAGAGCACTACGGCCTTCTCTTGGCTGCACTACATCTTCGACCCGATTCCGTCCGTTGTTCGCGGTGTCGTCACGGGTCTTCTACCTGTCATCTTGCTCGCTGTGCTCATGGCTCTCCTGCCCATCATCTTGCGATTGATGGCGAGACTCGGCGGCGACCCGACCGCTAGTGCGGTGGAACTGACTGTGCAAAACTCTTACTTCGCCTTCCAGGTGGTGCAGGTCTTCCTCGTGGCCACTCTCGGTTCCGCTGCATCTTCGGTCGGTGGCCAGATCGCCCAACAACCCACATCAGCCATCAGTATCCTCGCCAACAACCTACCAAAAGCCAGCACCTTCTACCTGTCGTACTTCGTTCTGCAGGGTCTCGGTGTCGTCTCCGGCACACTTGTCGGTCTCGTCGGCTTGGTCATCTTCATCGTCCTCGGCAAACTGCTCGACAAGACGCCGCGCAAGATGTACAAGCGATGGATCTCCCTCTCTTCAATGGGCTGGGGTACTGTCTTCCCGGTCTACACCAATTTGTTCGTGATCGCTATCTGCTATGCGGCGATCGCACCCCTGGTCCTCTTGTTCGCCACCATCGGCCTTTATCTCTTCTACCTCGCTTACCGCTACAACCTCCTGTTCGTGTCGAACCCCAACATCGATACCAAGGGCCGCGTCTACCCGCGTGCTCTGCAGCAAGTGTTTGTCGGCATCTACCTGGCCGAGCTCTGCCTCATCGGTCTGTTTGCGATTGGTACTGCCAAGTCAAAGGGCGCCATTGGCCCCCTGCTCCTGATGATCTTCTTCTTGGTCTTTACTGTCTTGTACCAGGTCAGCCTCAACTCAGCTCTAGCTCCTCTTATCAACTACCTCCCAAAGACAATCGACGCCGAGGAGCGCCGCTTACTTGAGCTGGAGCATGGCGGAGCCGTTAACGGTTACCAGAACGGTGCAGCGGCTAAGGAAGGCCACGACGCTGGTTTCCACCCACTCGATGAGAATCTCGACAATGGCGTGCCCCAAAAGAAGCCAAACTTCTTCACCCGCTGGTTACGGCCGGACAAGTACGAAAGCTACCAGGCGATGCGCCGCCTGGTGCCGAAGGATATCGCCATTGAGTACTCTGCGGAGGATGAGCGGAGTGCTTTCTGGCACCCAGCCATCAAAGGCGAAACTGCGCTTCTTTGGATCCCGCGTGACCCCGTCGGCATCAGCAGGCAAGAAGTCCGCGACACAAACCACATCATCCCGATCACGGACGAGGGTGCGTATCTAGACGACAAGGGCAAGATTGTATGGGATGCGCAGGATGGGCGTCCTCCGATTTACGAGGAGACGCCATATTACTGATCGCTGCGTATCTGGCTTCAAGAGTGAGGGTGAAAGGGGGGCAGGAGCTACGTGGTTTGCGTGTTACTGTCTTCGGTGTTGCACTGTTCAAGCATGATACCATACTGCGTTGAGGATGCTTTCGCATCAAGGGGATACACACGGATGGGTGTGGAACGGCTTTCTTCGGTACGACTCATAGTAATCATCAGAGTAATACAATCATGAGCATATCATCTTGTTGGTGCCAGTGCCACTGAGCTTTCGCTCTCTACGTGTATTGTTGCCTTGCGAGCATCCAGTCGCAACCTCCACCCCGAGGGCACCGACTCGTCCCCCCGCACTCGGCACCATTGATCCAAGACGTCACTTCTAGACCTTCATTCTATCTCTCATAATCTGCCACGCAGTAACCATTCAATATCGCCTCGTCCCATGTTCGCCAGACTCAATCAGATAGCACGACACCTGTCACGTCCGCTTCCCAACTATCTGCACAGCTCAGCAGCAGCCGGTGGACCGACAGCATTGACACGAGCAAGCATGGCCTCGGAGCGGAGCAAGAGGATGATACACACGGCGGCGTGTCTCATCATTGGTGACGAAGTATTGGGTGGTAAAGTCAGTCCAACTGCTGTGCTGCGACGGTATAGATGGGAATACTGAGTGCTGAGATGCAGACATAGACCGTCGACACCAACTCCGCATGGTTCGCCAAGTACTGCTTCTCCCTCGGCATCAATCTGCGGCGTGTGGAGGTCATTGCGGACGACGAGGGCGAAATCGTCGAGGCCGTGAGACGAATGAGCAGCAACTATGACTTTGTCGTGACAAGCGGAGGCATTGGACCGACACACGACGATATCACATACCAATCTATTGCCCGCGCCTTCGACCTACCCCTAATCCTGCACGAACCGGCTTTGGAGAAGATGAAGCGTCTGTCGAAACCACATCCAAGCCAGGTGAACTTTTCGTGGGACGAAGACACGCCGGCGCGGAGAGCGAAGCTACGGATGATCGAGCTGCCATACGACAAGAATCTTCCAGATGAGGACCAGGTCATTTTTGCCGCTGAAGATCTATGGGTGCCCATCAATGTCGTCAACGGCAATATTCACATCCTACCCGGCATTCCGCGGCTGTTCGAGAAGATGCTGACAGGCTTAAAGCCGCGGTTAGTGCCTCGGCTGACGGATCCAGAGGGTAAGGGCGTATGCAGGATTCTGTTCAGCACGCCGCTTGCCGAGAGCGAAGTGGCAGAGTACCTGACTCAGTTGGCGGGCAAGGTGAAAGACAAGGCTGTCTCGGTCGGGAGCTACCCCAGGTGGGGAAAGAGCAGGAATACTGTGACATTGGTGGGTAGGGACAAAGAGTTCATGGAGTCTCTCGTGCCGGAGGTCGAGCAGAACGTTAAAGGAAGGAGGGTAACCGTCGAAGGTAAGCAGTCTCGTTGAATGCGCGTGATTACAAGCTGCCAGTATGCTGATAATCGTAAAGGGGAGGACGATGATGAGGGCAGTGATAAGGACACATAACTCGATTATATGAACCCGACAGAAACCCTTCTGAGCCGCAGCACCTTCAGTCCATTCTACTAACATGCATGTTGCGAGGTAACTGGCACGGCATTCCACACTCACTTACTTAATATACGCTATCGAGTGGCCGATGGCTCCCGTCCCAAGGGATCGTTGCAGGGAAGACTGTACAATTTCGTAGGTTCTGCGGTTATTCACGAGCTCATACATCCGGCAGCTTCCAGTGGTCCACTTCGCCCCCACTCCGGTTGTGCTTCTGGTCAAACTTTCTCGAGCCATCCTCGAACGCGACCGCCACCGAATCTGTCCGTACGATGCCTTTGCTCGAAAGCGAGCTTTCCATTGACCTTCTCCGCTCTGCAACCTTGGCCATCGCCGGGTCGTGTCTTACAGTTGTGACGGTGGTACTGCGGTCCGGCCGCAGAGCTACTGGCCAGCGCTCCAGTCTCCGTCTATGCTCTCTGCGACCTCGCGAGTGCAAAGTATCCTGACTTGTTCGGTCACGGTTCAGGGGAGGTCGTCTGAGCCCCGTCGGACTCCGCGGAGGAGGCATGTGAAGACCGCCGCCTTCGAAGATGCTGAGGAATGGCTTGATGCAGGGCACAGTCGCCAGGATTATGCTCAGATTTAGCGTCAGAAGAGAGACGATGACGACAGGGACGCGCTGATAGGACCAGTCGTTGCTGAACAATGCCAGGTGAATGTATTTCAGCCGAGCCAAAGACGGTGCCAGAAGGCTAACAAGGAGTTAGTTGAAGGCTCACAATGTCGTTTAGTCCCCTGGATCACGCACACCAGACGTATACCGAACAGGAAGCAGACCTGCGCCTTAGGCTTCATTGGCATTTGCAAAGTCCATACAAGGATCAGTGCAGCGACTGTATTGGCGAGATCAAGACCAGTCTTGGAGACTTCGATCGATGCATATAAGGCCCACTACTGATGTCAGCCTCTGAAGCAGCGAGTGCCTTCAGCTCCACTTACAAGATTGATACAAAGCCTCGGCCTCGTTAGGTTCCATGGTGTTGGCAGCCTGCACTGGAAGGCGAAGGCGAAAACAGCAGCGAGAAGCCAAAGGTATGTGACAATCGCAATGCATCGCGGAGTCCAGACCTTGTTAGTCGGGCCGCACAGCCGCAGTATGAAGTAGCATACAGAAAGTATGGCAAGTTCGTGGCTGGTGGCGTACAACATATTCGTGAACCAGAGAAGGAACTGTGACCAGCCAATGATGTCCGGATTTAAACCGCTTGAGTGCTCGCCCAAACCATAGCGGATCTCAAGCAATGTCAGGCTGGAATAGAGCGAACCGAAGACGGTCGCGAGCACGCATGCCGAGTCATCGTGACCCCAAGGCTCGCTGATGCCGAAGCGGATGAATAACCGGATTGCTAGAGCCAAAAGAGTCCAGACGATAAGGGTGAGAGCAACAATAATGACGTAGGCGGTTGGAAGGTTCACACCGAAGGCTGGCATGAGGATCAGGTCGTGCAGAGAATACTGCCGAGCGCGGCGCCACTTGCTAAGTGCATGGGTCGAGGTCTGCAAGACAACATTGTTCAGCTCCTGCTTTGGGACGGCTGCCGAGACGTGCCTATGCGCTTGCCAGTAACACCGATGACCAAGGGTTGCAACACTTGTAAGGCACGCACAGAGGCACCTGACCTTCCCTGATGGGCTATTACAACGCATCCCTGACTACTGCACCTATTGGACTTATCGGACGGCCGCTCGCTCCCTGATATGCCTAGAAGTATCGTTCCGACCTATCCTAAACGACAATATGCTTGAGGATATGAAGCAGGGCGACCCTGCCGTTCTGATGAAGCCTCAGAAGCAGAACCTCGTCGGCGCGCCGTACGTGTCAGCGGGCCAAAGCTCACTGCACATCCTGCGACAGCCCCGGAGCAAAATGATCCGCAAGCACGCTGTCCTTTTCTTGCTGCATAGAGTACCTACGCTTTCAACTTTGGCTCGGGACACCTGGCGCAGGGCTCGCCACACCCTTTCGTGGCTGCGTTGAGGCGTACAATCGGATTCGCCAACGCTACGACCGGCTTAATCCTTGTCATCATTGTTCTGTTGACTTTGATCACAATCAGCGTCCTGTCGCTTGCGACTCGACAAATGATTGCGTTCGCGTAAGTGACTTCCCACTTAAATATCTGTCGCTCGTGACTGACCGTGGCAGGCGCGAGGAGGACCACCCGCTAGCGAGCTGGATCACACGGTAAAACGAGAGGACGAGAGCACCTTTCAATGCAATCCTCGTGTCGTCTATGTTACGGTTCTTGTTGCTGTTGTACATTTGGGCAGCGAGGCCGCGTTCATCACTACGGTTGGTCTTGCGACTGCAGGGCTAATGCTAAGCTATCTGATCGCTATTGGATGCATCGTGCAACGGCGACCGTGTGGTCGGGAGCTTTAAGCCACTTGCTGGTCGCTCGGCAGAGCTGGCCTTCCAGTCAACATTGCTGCAATGATATACAGCTCGTGGTGCGTATTCTGGTCGCTGTGGGCCGACACGATATCATGTCACAGCAAAGAATCTCAATCTCACTGCGGTGTTACTGGCGGGCTTCACGATTGCGGCATGTGTGGCTTACTCTTGGAAAGGGAAGGACTGCCATGTGGCACAGGCGCGGAGAGTGGAGGGAGACGCAGAACAATGGTAACGATTCGTTGCGGGACTGTCCAAGTCAATGATTCCGGGTTTATGCGCTCTCCTTCCAGTCATGGGTACCGGTATCCTGCTATGATCCGCTAATATGCGTGTGGCCTGCCTTGGTGGGGGTGGCCTGTTACCCCAGTACATGGTCTGGTGGCCGTCGTGCTTCATGCAAGCCCGAGTCTTCGCGGGATCCTGTACCCGGACTCAGCGTTTGGAATCATGCTAAGTGTTCCGAAAGGCAGCCCCGTGATCAAGCCTTTTTCAAATGTTTGGCGTACGCCTTCTCGATCCGCTTGCGCTCCTGCAAAACCATTTTGCGGTTCGCCTCATCCTCCTTCCAGTGCTCAATGCAGTCTGAACACTCCACATAGTAGGCTTGCGACCTAGCACCGAAACCCAGCATCTCATACTCCGGCATCGTGTCGCCGATGAGAATACTATTGTCAAAGTCCAAGCAATCCTCGCAGTATCCACGCTCGCACCAACGGCATCTGTAGATCATACCGCCCGCCTCCGCAGTCTTCGCACCGCAATCTCTGCAGCAGTGTTGTGGGCAGAAGAAGTTCATCTTGCCCCTTGCCAAGGCCTTGAAGTCTTTGTCGAGACACTTGATGTGGTATGAGCGCGGACAGCCGGAACAGAGCACTACCTCGCCGCCGTCCAAGCAACATTGACAGTAGTCCTGGTTAGTGATCGCTTCTTTCTTCATCTTGGTAGGCTCAGCTAGACGGGGATCCTTGCCTGCCAAAGTAGGAACAGCTTCCCAGTCGGCACACAGCATGCTCTCTTTGGCAATGGCGTAACCGTCAACCATCACTGTAGTGTTTTTGTTGATGCGTCGATCTGCTCGGACAAGATCGTGTTGCGCCTTTATGATGTCGTCGAGCTGGCGATGGTGTCTCTTACCCTCGAACACCGCTGTCTCGACCCTCTCAATATTGTTCAACCAGGCCTGCTCCTCTTCGCCCTTTAAAGCGTCGCGGTCACTCTCCCGGTTGGGATGCTCGACTGTCTTATCCTTGCAATGGGCGATCATTGTCGCGAAATCCCAGTCCAGCATGGCCTCGACGTCCACCTCCGCATGGGTTAAGGTCTGCGCTCCAAGCCGAAGCAGCGACTTGAGTTGATCAGTATTAAGCTTCGAAGCTTCGTCGGCGTAGTCTAGATCGGAATGCTTGCGCTTCTGCCCAGCAGCAGTGCCGTGAATATTGCGCATGCTCTCTGTGATTTTGACGGACAAGTACAGCTTCTTGCGGATTCTCCCGAGCATCTGCTCCTCGACGGTGCCTCGTGTGCAGATCTTGTACACTGTCACTGGTCGCGTCTGACCAATACGGTGCGCTCGCGCTTCGGCCTGCGCGGAAACCATAGGGTTCCAATCCTCATCCAGAAAGATCACATCGGATGCAGAGGCGAGGTTGATCCCCAGGCCCCCAGCGCGCGTGCTAATAAGCATGACACGGAAGTCGCTCTCCGGCTGGTTGAACAGCCTAATTCCAAGATTTCGGTTCGCACGAGCTGTACTTCCATCGAAGCGCAGATAACGGAATGTCGCATGTTGAATATGATTCGCACCTTTCAGGGCGAGTAGGTCTTCGCAGAGATCGAGAGTCTGAGTATAACCGGAGAAGATCAGGACCTTCTTCCTCTGCTCGATCACTAAGCGCTGCACGAGCTTGTCCAGCACAATGAATTTGCCGGACGCGGTCTTGACATGGTTCCCAAGATGATAAGGCTCAGGCAGAGCAGACTTCAGAAGGTATGGGTGCGAGCAGACTTGGCGAAGGCGTGTGATGAGGCTCATCAGCTTCGACCAGTGGCCCTTTCCTCTGTCAGAGCCTTCACGTTGCTCCTGTTCGAGGGTTTGCTGCAATATCGCACGACTCTCCTTCCAGTCATCCGAAGCGTCTGCGCTGATGTCGCGCTTGAAAACGTCCTCCAGCATCGCAGTGTCAACCTTCGTCAAAAGGCGAGTATACCAGAAACGTTGCATAGGAGTTAGAGGCACATAGAGTAGCACCTCCTCCTTTGGTGGCAGACCTAGGTCAACTCCTGGACTGGACTTCATGCGCCGGATCATCAAGAGCTCAAGAAGACGCCTGGAGTCGTCCATGAATGTTGTTGACACTTTTCCTTGAGTGAGATCGAAAGCAGCCTTGAAAGCCGCGGCGGTATCGCTTGGGAAAACGTCTGGTAGGAGCCCTGGCAGCGTTAGCTACTATCGATTCTTCGAAACGGTAAGCTCACAATGTATCAACGCCCACATCTCTTTGAGATTGTTTTGCAAAGGGGTACCTGTCAGCAGGAGCCTATATTCCGCCTGGAGCGATTGCAAAGCCTCCGAGACCTCTGATTGCTCATTTTTGATCTTATGCCCTTCGTCAAGGACGCAGTACTTGTAAGCAAAGGCACGCTTGAAGTACCCAGCCTCGGCCTTGAACGTGTCGTACGTCGTTACAATGATGTCGACATCCGTGGCGCCCAGCAACTCCTGCTTCACCTGGTTGCGTTCCACCCTGGGGCCGTGGAAACGCACGGCTTTGAAGTCGGTCCACTTCTTCGTCTCGTTCATCCACGAAGATAGAACACTGAGCGGGCAAACGATCAAGTGCGGCTGCTTCTCGCCCGAATCGGCTTCGTTCTCCTTAAGCCACTCAAACAGAGACAATGTTTGAAGGGTCTTACCAAGACCCATCTCGTCACCGAGGATAGCAGGCATACCATTGCGATACATGTGCTGGAGAAAGGACAAGCCTTCCATCTGATACGGTTTCATCGTTGCTTTGATTCCAGCAGGCTGCTGAGTAATAGTGGCATACTCGACAGTCCCAGTTTGTGCGATGCCTTTGACTTGACGTTTGGCAATGTAGTTTGACGCTGGGAGGAGGGGCAGGAAGTAGTTCTTGTGTTTCAAGATGAATGCATCACGCTTAGGTTTAGTGAGCTCGGCAATCGCTTGTCGAACCTTCGCACGTGCAGTCTCCGCTGGTGGTTTCGCTTTGCTTTCAGCAGTGTTTGAAACGAGAATCTTGGCGACCTTACGCTTAGAGCGTCCGGCTGACTTCTTCTCATGTCCTTTGACCGGCTTGGCGTAGCTTACCTGACTCCGCGTCGAGCGAGCTGGTAGATCCCTTGTTCCCGGAGTGCGTGACTTGACGTGTATAGTTCCAGATTGCAGCTCATCTTCGCTCTCGTCATCCGCTTGGAGCGAAGTCTTCGAGGAGTCAATATTGTCAAAGCTGGACGCTGACGTAGGCGAGTCGCTTGGTGAGCTGGGGTCTGCATAGTTGACCGTGATGGCTGTTTGCGTATCGCGCCCTGTCGACCGGCGCTGCATCTTACTAACCGACGAGGGCGACTTCGTCGCCTCAAATGCTGTCAGGAGATGCGAAAGCTGCAGTGCTGGTGAAGGTCTGATCTCAACAACTCGACGCCTTTTCAGAGGTGGCGTGTTGAATGTCTCCATAGTGACTTTCGCAATAGGATAGCGTGCGAATTCCCTGTTGAACTAGCGCATGTGAAGTTGATGCGTGCCTTCCGCGTTATATTTGCTTTCACTCATCAGGCTTCAAAGATCGGGTCTCAGTCCCAAAATGATTCCGATGGAATCGGCACATCGAACGTTACGCTGCGTGGAGACTGATCATCAAGCGGGGACAGCGCCGAATATGATACAGCAGTGTTATAAACCTTGTCGCTATGCTACGGAGCTATGCTGGTGGTACGCTGGTTTTCAAGAGGTGTCTGAGGGTCAAGGAGGACGCGAAGCGCGTTTAATCTGAGCACGGACCACCATTAGCGCGCCTGCCGTTTTGGGCGGACATGTACTTACGCTCTGCGACCACGGTCTTGCTCAAGAACAGAGATGTCTTATTGACGATTGCGCGGCTTTTGCATGGATGGTAGCTGGGGTATTGAACAACGAATCTAAGTAATTCGGCGCAGGAGATAGATCTCGTGCATGTGCAACCAGCTGTAGCGAAGCAATGGGTCGGTTTCTGCCACTATATTGCCGACGCAGTGACGGTAGACTTGAGGTAATCGGCAAGGGTAGGCGCAAGGAGCGCAACGAGCCTGCGCCTGAGCAGCTTGACATGACTCCCAACAAGCAGGGAGTCAGTGACTACTACCGTGAAGTTACCCCGGACGATGCCAAATCTCTCGACTGGCGAAGGAAGTTGGGTGGGATGCTTGCACGAGAGCTTGATTGGAAAGACAAGCCTGGTGGGTGTTTGTTGTATACTCCCATACTTGTATTAACCGATGTTCCAGATAGCGGGTACATGCTAGTGGCCTTTCCGGAGAACTACCGACTCTACGAGCACATCAAGAAGACCGAGAGGGACGGCAAGACCGAAATCAAGAGCAAAACGCATGCCGGTGGAGGCAATGACCGCCAGGATGCGTACCTCTACGGCCATCCTGCGGGACGACGGAAACGCTTCAGAAGCCCGGGCGACTTCTTTCCGCACCTTCTTTGGCTGGTAACTGACGAAGAAGGCGACCCTGACAACTGCGGCTGCAAAATCTGCTCACCGGAGGATCTTGAGAATATCGTACCGGGTGCCAAGGTCAAGGTCGAAAAGTCGATCAAGCAGGAGATTGAAAGCAAGCCTGCACCTGCTCAAACTGCTGCGCCCTCTCAAATGCCAGCACCGAAGCAAGAGTCAAATAACACAGTGGCTCGACCACGCAATACATCCCAAGCCCTTACTCCGACAGTGCTTCCCAAGCCAAGGCATCCCGACCAAGATCGTGACCGGCTCTATCGTAGTTTCATGTATCGGCCGGGCGAACTTGTGTGGTTCCAGCGAGGCAGTGCGTGGGCATTAGGCATCATTATCAGACGCTGGTTAGAGCTGGATCAGTATGTCTACGCTGTACGGCCACTTTCATACCCCGGCGCAGAGCCAGCGGTTGTGACTAAGAGTTCAGAATCTGGCTTTCGGCCGTGGCTGGCATGGAGCGTACCAAAGTTCACGCACAGTGGCTTGAATACTCTTCCTCAACCTTTTCACTACGATACCGCTGACTGGCAAGGACTGATGCAAAAGCGATACGGGGACGGCGAGCTGGAAGTTGACGCATCCATTCTCGCTGCGAAGGCTATCGATGCTACATATACCCCAATTGAGCCAGCGAGAACCGTCGAAGTTGAGCCCGGTGTCACCGAGACTTACTATGACGGACTATTCCTTGGTGCGGAGAAGGTTTGGTGCGGCGATCCACTGCGTTTGACCATCGGCTCAGGAACAGACATTGTGGTTGTTCACTCCATTTCTGAGCGGAAGCACGTCTCAGGCCCCTACACTCCACCATTGTCCTTGACTGGAGACGTCTACACACTCTCTTCCGCACCGTACCGACAAGGTGATCGCAACCCGAACATACCTACCCCTGAAAATACCGACATCCCTTTCGCCCACCTACCACTTCGCCTTGTCGAAGATCTACGCAAGCGCAACGGACGCTCTATAGCTCTCAGGAATACAGCTAGCTACTGGAAGCTAGTAGCGCCCCAATCGAAGGTCGCACTGGACCAGATCAAAGGTCGCTGGTACGAGGCTACCCTGCTTCTACCCATCCTCGACCAGAACCGCTTCGACGAGATGACTCGAAAAGGTGACATCTCAGAGTCATCGCTCTGGCTCAACTCAAGGCTAGACTGCCAGAATACTCACGCTCCACAAACTTCTAACAGACATAAGCAGAGTGTTCGCAAAGAAACACGCAAGGAGGCCATTGGTAAAGCTGTGCCGCCGTACACTGAGATACAGGACGGCGTTGAACCACCGGTTGCAAACAACGGTGATGCGGCGTTGGACCGACAGGCCGGTGATAGCAGCGGAACTATGGAGATTGATGCTCGCTTCTCCACGGCGGACGATGGCGGCGGCGGTGAGCCGGGCCAAGACGACACGGCCGGAGCTGAACTTGACGACCTTATGAATTTAGATGCAGGAGAGATGGCCGGGTTTGGGCAGGACTATATTACTAGTCAGACGACGCAGCGATCTGGTTATTTCTGACGAGCTTGATACACAACGCATGTTCTCGATTGCCGCTTCATGGATAGCTCATCCAGATCGGTTGCTCGCCCAGCCACCGCAACGCTTTGTGAACCTGGATGGCGTAATCAATGGACGGACTCCTTTCGACGTGTCAGCGGTCAAGGAAGGCACGGCAAACTGCGCCTACCCCATTTGGTGATACAAAGATCATGCATGACTCTTAAGCAATATCTTCGCCTTATGTGAATTCTCTACCTTGGCGCCGCTTGCACTTCTCGAGCAAGTCATCGTAGCGATACCAAGAGCAATGACGGCTGGCTAAGGCGTTAGTGCATGCTTCGAAGGCGAGCAGTCTCGCCGTGACTCCAGCGATGGTCAACACGCGCACTCACGACATCAACGCAATACCGAACGTGGCAGCAGACTTGCTGTTACCTCTCTAGCTAAGTCATGGGGACGCCTATCACACCAAGCTATCCTCTGGTAAAGGAAGTCAAAGTGCTCTGGGTAGCCGCCTTTGGGTTGCGGATCCTACTGCGCGCCTTGGCGTATGTGGCAGCGTGACGGCAAGAACGAAGGATATGGGTCGCTGGACCAAGAGTGAGAAGGACAATGCAGGGTGGGGGTACTCACCGCGGTCACGCAACCTCAAGTCTTGGTCAGACAGAGCATTAGCCATGGATCTGAACCATTGTCAAGCACATAAGTCGGAGACTAACCTCTCTAGGCCGCAAGGGCGCCGCTGATTCCATCAACGCCGTCATCCACTCATGTACCTCGTCCGCATACCCTGTTTCTGCAGTATCATGCCAGCCATGAGAGACGTGGCAACATACCTCCTACGTAACACCATCTCCCTTCTAGTACCGGTACCTGGTGGAGTAATCCTTGGGGCTAACCACCAAGCCGCGGCCCTTCTTCGCGCCCTTGTAGATCGTCTCGATGATATCAATGAGTTCCTGCTTGTCCTCCAACACCCAGTTCAGCTTGTTATTGTTGCCCGTCCCGAAATCGCACATCATGTGCTTATTTCGGAAGAAAAACATCAGCGTGACTGTATCGTAAAGTTCGTACATCTGTTTGAAGTCGGGCACCTGGTCGATGTCGCAAACGTAGATAACGGCAAAGTTCTTGACGCGGTCGGCGATCTTGTAGAGAACCTCGTCTTGCCGCATGCAGTCGGGATCCCAGTCGCGACCGAAGCGGATTACGACGAGCCGGTCCTCCTCGGACATGATGGCTTGGTCAACGTGCCAGCCGGTGACAAGATGGGGGATGACAACGGAGCCCATGTTGATTGCGCAGAGGGAAACCTACACCCGTCGCGTGCCCTCGTATCTGGTGGCAGTGTTCTAAGCTTTGGAAAGGCTTTTATGTCTGATATACAACGATGAGTTGATGTTTATCGCGAGCACGTCTTCGTAATCGCAGTAAGCTCCAAACAGTTGAGGTAGTGGGAACATGGAAATGGAAAGGCTTCGAAGTGAAGGTTGATGACCGGGGGGAAGCTCTTGAGTCATGCAAGTCTTGGCGTCTCGAAAACCTACATTCACATGATACACGTCGACATTGAGAGGCACGTGCTCATGTGCAGTAACTTCGCATCCTTTGTTGCGGACGCGGAGAGACTGCGCGGGAAGCCTTGAGCGCTCTGATTTGCATCTGCAATATTCGCGACTACATCTGCCGACATGCGGCTCACAGCGGAGCTGATTAATAACTCTCTCTCCTACCTTAACCCGCTGAAGGAGCGCGAGCTCGATCTTCGAGGTACGATGACCACCCAGCCTATGCCCTGAAAAGGACGGATACTACACTTTGATGAGAGCTAGTTGATACATAGGCGTAAAGGGCACAAAATACCGAGCATCGAGAATCTGGGTGTCGCCAAGGTGTGTGTAGCTCAAGAATGACCTTAAACGATCATGTTGCTGAGGGGTGGGATGCGATAGGATCAAGAGTCCATCGACTTCACCGACAATGACATAAGTGTACTTGGCAACTTTCCACTCTCGCCACGGTTACAGACTCTACTGTGCGCGCGCAACCGGATATCAAGTATACAGCCCGGCCTGTCGAAGAGCATACCGAATCTGCACAGTCTTGTCCTCACGCAGAACAACATCAGTGAGCTGGCGGACCTTGACCCGCTGCAAGGGTTCGTCAAGCTCACGCATGTCAGCTTACTAGAAAATGCGGTCACTGGCAAGGAAGTACGTAAAGCCCTGCATATGTTATGAAAGCTTGGTTGACGGGTATCACAGCACTATCGCTACTACGTTCTTTGGCGAGCCCCACAGATCCGCTACCTTGATTTTCAGAAAGTCAAGGATGCCGAGCGAGCCCGAGCGAAAGAGCTCTTCGGCACGTACGAAGCGCCCACCGAGCTGGCGAGGAGCATTGCGGCCGTGCGGTCTAAGAATCCACTCAGCTATTCCGCTGCATCAGTCGTCAATGGCGTGGGCAAATCTCAGCGCGTGAAGCTTACGGAGAAGGAACGGAAGAGGTTCGAGACGTTAGTGAAGCAGGCGAAGTCGCTTGCCGAAGTGCAGAAGCTCGAGAAAGCGTTCAGCGAAGGGCGTTTGCCAGCAGGTTTTGGTGACGGAGATGCCATGGACGAGACGTGAGCGACATTGTTGCGAACGGAATGCCAAGAACTGCGACGCCATCCGGACTGTGATGTTTGGCCGACTCTTTGATCCGCTCGACGCACCTGTGTCGCGACGCCCAGAACGCCTAATGCCGTTTACGCCGTGGTTCTGACGGGAGCTCGCTAAAGGTAGCCACAACTTGTATCATAGCTGTACAGAGCACGGACTGATGTCTTTAGCAGATTCGACGCCCAATCCCTATGCGGAGCCGCGTGTGATCTGTCGCTGCGCACGATGTTACTCTTCTAATGTTGCGTGACTTGCAGTCTTGTCGTGTCATAGAAGTCTCCGTTAAGCGTACATGTCACGGAAAGCAGGCACTCCTGCCAAGCGTACTAACACAAAGAATATCGAGTTTCAACTGGCAAATGCCGGTCTCACATGCATTCAAGCGAGATCGAGTACCGGACGCAAGACGCAAGGCACGTTACACAGCTTCCGCAGTTGGGTGTGGAGGAAATTGACTTACTTGCATGATTCGTGCAAGCATACTCATGTTCAGCGAGCGTCAGCGTACGGAACTATTGCAGTCACGTATGGCAGTCATGAGACGAGCTCCAGTCATCGCCATCAGGAGGAAGCGTATGGATGAAGAGCGGTGCTGCCAATGCTTCAGCGCTGGAACTATGCTCTATGTCATCGCATTCCAGCCGAGTGGGACCCGTCAGCAGCAAGAATGCAAACCAGTGCTCGAACTGTCCATCGCATTACGCAAGGACAAATGCTATGCCACGCGGGAGCTCTTATTGCTCAATTTCACGGTAGCAAGGACGAACGACCGTAGTCGGTCTACAAATCATCAAATAGATCAACACGAGCGGCTCTCTGCCCAAGTGCTCACCATTGTCACTCGTTCAGCGGCTCCATGCTGCTTTGCTGTCAGTCGTTGTTCTGCTTCTAATTTCAGCGTTCTGCATCAGACGGTGCTCGTGTCTTGAACGGCGAAGCAAGCGAGCGTCGTCTTACCATTGTCATTGTAGAATTGTCGCTTAACAGACTCAGCCATTGTCGAAGCAGAGACTTGTCTCAAACATATCGATAGCACCCCTTGGACGCCGATGCAATAAGGGGAACGTTTCCATCACCACACAGGCACGATGGGAGGCAAACCATTCAGCGACAAGATGGGCAACTTCTTCCGCGGCATAGTGGCGTGCTGCTGCTCTGAGGATGACGAAGAGGAGGCGAAGCCAACTCTACAGATTGTAGGCTCTTGAAAAGCCATCCGTGCTATTGCTGCCCACTGACTTCTCCATAGAGCGGACCCACCGACTTCCGACGAGAGGACATATCCTTCCCAGGCCTTGACCCAGAAGCGTACGTAAAACCATCTCCACAGCCTCCTGCAATTACATCCCATTGACGGACCACCCAGCCAACAATGGATCCGCGAGCAGGCCCGCGCAGATGCCCACCGCATGTACGAGACTCTCCAACCGCTTCGGTCCTCGCCATCCGGCCAGTTTGCCACCCCTCCGTCTTCCGCCCGCGCCACCCTACCCTCTTACGAACAGTTCGTCACACCCCGAACTGCTCCCACTCAGCCAGCTCGCACCGTCTCCGGTAATCGAGGCTCGCACGCGCTGGATCGCGTTCGTGCCCACGCTCGCAAAATCTCGAATAGTCTCAACAAGCCGCTAGGGTACCAAAGCGTAGGCGGTAGTGCTTTGACTGGTGGACGGAATCCGTATGAGATGCGGGCACTGATGGATGCTGGGAGTCGGAGCCAAGTTGATGTTGGCTTAGGGGGTAGCGGAAAGATGAGTGGCGAGAGCTTCTCGTTTAGGGGTAGTAATGAGGGTCGGAAGGTGGGACTGGCGGTATAGGGCGGGTCATGTCTGACCGGCTTCTGAGAGGGTGCCTGAATGGAATGTACGATGCACAGATGCAATGCAAGTATTGTTTGTTGCAGAACAATGTACAACAGCTTGGTGTACGACTGTTGCTTGTGACACCACACAGGTGGGCGTGGTTGAGCCTAGCGTATCGGTTGATGTTGATGACAGTAACGTGAGGTCTCGCGGATGTCAGGTTAAGATCGGAAGAGCATGTCGAGACACAAGTTCCAGTGGATATCGCTAACATTGAATTTTCAGCTCTTCGGGTAGTCCTTCACGTGCAGACTCTTTAGCCTGACAAATTGCTCAAAGCCAAACACACTTAAAGTCTGACCCTTTCCGCTCTCCTTCCACCCAACCCACGCCAGATCCGGGCTGGGATAGTCGCAGCGGTTTACGAAGACCGTACCGGCTTCAACTTCTTGGATAAGCACCTCGCCTTTGGCGACATCTTTCGACCAGATTGAAGCTGTGAGACCGAAGTGTGAGTCATTCATGAGCTCGATGGCCTCGGCGTCGGAAGACACAGATTGAACCGGAATCACAGGTCCAAACGTCTCGTCGCGCATGACGGTCATGGAATGGTTGACGTGGGTTAAGAGAGTCGGAGGGATGTAATTCCCGTCCTCCGGAGGAGCGGAGAACGTGCTGTTTTCTGGGGTGGCGTTAATGGCACCTTTGGATACGGCATCGTCGATATGTTGCTGGATCCTTTGAGCGGCTGCCTTGCTGATTACTGGTCCTATGTGCGTGTTCTTGTCGTTGGGGTCGCCGAGCCGATAGCCCGACAGCACCTTCTGCACGGCTTTGACGAAGTCGTTGTGAACGCTCTCATGCACATAGACACGCTCGATGCTGCAGCAAGATTGGCCTGAGTTGAACACGGCACCGTCAACTATCTCCTCCGCCACCCAACTCAGGTCCACGTCGGAACGGACGTAGGCGGGGTCTTTCCCGCCCAGCTCCAGCCCAACACGACACTCCACTCTTCCAGCTGCAGCTTTCTGCACCGCTAGCCCACCCGCAACGGAGCCCGTGAAGCATACGAGCTGCACTTGACGCGCTTGCACTACCTTCTCGATGGCGGAGAAGTCCCCGCAGTGGAAGTACTGGATGACATCTCGGTCCAGTCCTGCTTCGATGAAAATCTTTTGTACCTGCTCCACAATCGTAGGCGTTTGTGGGCTAGGCTTCAAGATCACTGTGTTACCTGCCAAGAGCGCTGGGATCAGACTGTTCACCAGGATCAAGTACGGGTAATTCCACGCAAACAGAATCAGGACGACACCAAGCGGCGTCTTGCGGATATACCGGTTGAAACCTTCTTGTGCCTCGCCGGGGGTATCGGCAAGCGCTTGGTCAGAGATCTTGAGCATGTACTCGCCACGCATAACGGCGGTAGTAATCTCCTTAGCAGTGTACGCAATGGGTCGGCCCATTTGCTCCGTAAGCTCGCGAGCGAGCTCATCCTGGCGATGGTTTAGTAGCTGCAGTGCTTTTCTAACGATCGTTTGTCGATCCTGAAGAGTTGTCTTGCGGTACCTCAACCAGGCATTTTGGGCTCGTTTCGGTAGATCTGCGAGCTCTACTCCTGTTGGCCCATGACGTTCCAACACTGGCTTGTTGGTTGTGGGTGAGATGGTGGTAATCTTCTCTCGGTCTCCCATTGTTGGCCACTTACGATGTCGATCTGTGCTCTGCAAGTGCATCTGTGCTCATGCGCAGACGGAGCCGACTTGCAGCAGATATGTACGCGAGTCATGCTTGATGATGTCACAGGCTGTTCATATATCGATGTATTCGACAAGCTTCAATGGCAGCAACACCCGATTCGAGCCGTGATAACAGTGTCATTGTCGACAATTTTCCCGCAGTGTCTTCCTCGTCGAGACACGACCCAGTCTTCGTGACCATGTCCATCGCTTAGTCCTACCCTCTCAACCCGCGCCCACAATGATGCCCGCCCAGCGCGCGGCATCAAGCTTGGCCCGATCAAACCTACAGTCACAACTCCGTCTCCTCTCCCACCAACGACCAAATGGCGTCTGCCTCAGCGCATTACACCTGCAGCGACACCACCTCAGCTCCCTAACGAGCCAGCACCTCCCCCGCGCTCTCCGCCGCAGCCTCCAACGACCCACTACCAAGCTCATCCAACTCCGCCTTGCAGTCACCGATGCGAAGGATGGCAAGACGGTCCATGTTCGGCGTTCGCGCATCTATCACTTCTTCCTCCGCATGTTGGCCTCCCTTGGTCTCTTCATCATCATCAGTGGCGCCATTGTCATTGCCTTCTTCATCTACGACGCCACAACCTACCGCGAGGACCCGGAATCCTTCGACCTGCCCGTATCGGAGTATGCGCTGAATCCACGACGTGGAGGACCGAAGAACTTGCCAATAGCCGAGCACTTCATTAGCGACGATGAGCCGGAGTTCAAGGGTCAGAAGCATAAGCCGAAGTTGGTGATATTGGGCACGGGCTGGGCCAGCGTGGCCCTGTTAAAGCAGCTGCATCCGGGCGAGTACCATGTCACGATGGTCAGCCCGAGCAACCATTTCTTGTTCACACCCATGCTGCCTAGTGCTACGGTCGGCACTCTGGAGTTCCGCAGTCTCGTCGAGCCCATCCGGAAAATCGTGAGAAAAGCCAAAGGCCACTTCCTCAAAGCCAGCGCGGTCGATGTCGAGTTCAGCGAGAAGCTTGTCGAAGTCCAGTCGCAAGGGCCTAATGGCGAAGTCGAGAACTTTTACATTCCATACGATAAATTGATCATCGGCGTCGGCTCGATCACCAATCCCCATGGTGTGAAAGGCTTGGAGCATTGCCACTTCCTGAAAGATATCACTGACGCTCGCCTCATCCGCAACCAGGTCATTCGCAACCTCGAGACAGCATGCCTACCGACTACGCCTGACGAAGAGCGACGGCGTCTATTGTCATTCGTCGTCTCCGGTGGTGGGCCAACGGGTGTTGAATTCGCCGCCGAACTCTACGACATGCTCAACGAAGATATGTGCAAATTCTACCCTCGCATTCTGAGGAACGAAATCAGTGTACACGTCATTCAATCTCGTGGTCACATCCTCAACACCTACGACGAAGCCCTAAGCAGATACGCTGAAACTCGCTTCGCTCACGACATGGTCGATATTCAAACTAATGCTCGGGTTAAGGAAGTCCAGGCCGACCGCATCCTTTTCACGCAAAAGGACGACGAAAGCGGCAAGATTGTCACCAAAGAACTTCCTATGGGTTTCTGTCTCTGGTCAACGGGAGTCAGTCAGACTGAGTTTTGTCAAAAGCTCGCAGCAAAACTCGGATCCAAGAATCAGAATAATCGCCACGCGCTGGAAACAGATACCCATCTCCGCCTCGTTGGTACACCACTGGGAGACGTCTACGCTATTGGCGACTGCAGTACCGTTCAGAACAATGTCAGCGACCACATCACCACCTTCCTCCGCACGCTCGCATGGGAGAAGGGCAAGGATCCGGACAAGATGCTGATTACGTACACCGACTGGCGCAACGTGGCGAAACGAGTCAAGTCTCGCTTCCCGCAGGCCGCTGACCATCTACGCCGGCTCGACAAGCTCTTCGAGCAATACGACAAGGACCGGTCAGGCACTCTCGACTTCGGCGAGCTCTCCGAGTTGCTGCGCCAAATTGATAGCAAGCTTACTTCGCTGCCCGCGACCGCCCAGCGAGCGAACCAGCAGGGCATGTATCTCGGACGGAAGCTCAACAAGATCGCGCACGCGGCTCCCGGCCTCAAGATCAACGAGATCTCTGACGGCGACATTGATGAAGCGGTGTACAAAGCTTTCGAGTACAAGCACATGGGTAGTTTGGCTTACATCGGAAACGCGGCGATCTTTGACTTTGGCGGTATGAACTTCGGCGGTGGGCTACTGGCAGTATATCTGTGGCGAAGCGTGTACTTTACACAGAGTGTGAGTTTGCGGACGCGCATGCTGTTGGCTATGGATTGGGGCAAGAGGGCTTTGTTCGGGCGAGGTCAGTTTGAAGCTCATTATTCTCGAAATTGATGTGCTTCAGGGAGATGGTATGCTAACTTGTGAGCCGCAGATATGATGAACTACTGATCCCTCGGGTGGGCATTGAGGCAACCAGAAACGACGACTGAATAGAGCGATAGACACCTTTGTGCTTCGAGTTACGAACGGCGTTTGCACAATGTACGTACATACTGGCCGAATACGAGTAAGACTACCCTAAGCACACATCGCGCGGTATTGAACGGTGCAGCAATGATATGAATGCTATCTTCATGCACACGTTTTGAGCACTCTTGGGAACCATCAACGTTTTATCTCGTTAAACGCATTTGTGATCACGACTTGTCGAGGAAGTGTCGTACACGCACTGCCTCCGGTTACGGGACGTCTCCAACTGTACTATTTTCTTCTGGTTTGAAGTTCCACCAACCGACATGCCTTCCTTGCCGCCGAGGTTGACATGACCCTGCTGCTTCTCGGCGCACCTTTAGAGGACCGGTCGCTCGGTGTCCACGGCGGCGTCCTCTTCTCTGCTGTTACAGCCTGCTGGAATTTCGGAGACCGCTCACTGCCGGGGCCCTCAGCTGGACGTGGCTGGGGCTCTATATTCTTTCATGCTGCAATGCCTAGCAATGTTGTGCGTCGGGCTTCAGACTCGTCATCGAGGGTCAAATCAAGGACGAAATTCTTTTTGTGTCGATGGTAGCATGTAGCAACCACCGCAGACGTTCTTGCTCGCATTCTTCGAAGCTTTACGACTTCTACAATGGAAGAAGCCTAAGGCGCAATTGACGTTGTATGTATGGTGTCGCAGTGAACACCAAGCCCGGTGTCACTTGCGGTGCAACTTTACTGGCTATTGCAGAAGCCACTCCAGGCTGCTGCCAACGGTCGCCGCGCATTCCTGGCACACCTAAGGGCTCGAGCTGCGAAGATCGCTAGCGTGGCATTCGAGAACGTCATGATGAGAGTCTGTGGGAGTCTGCGTAGTACGATGAGGACGAGAATCCGTATCCTTCCAATCGATCGCATCCTGCCAAGTCCTCCAACGAAGGTCCTCTGCGCCATCGCCACGGACCCGAAAGCTCACGACAGCCTTCCGGGCTACATCAGGGCCGAGCTGCATCTGAAAGAGCTTATAGCGAATGCCGGGAACGTTGGTCGTTCTTCGCGGCGGTACCGCAACTCTCAAGTCGATAAAAATTCTGGTGAGGCAGCGTCGATACGGTGGCTCAAGTACTGCAAGCCACTTTGCTGCGGTGGCCACACTGTCGAACTGGAAGCCTGCTTCGCTAGAGAAATAGGAGCTCGCGTAGATGTGCCTGAGTCTGGATGTGGACCCAAGTTGCCAAGGTGGACGAGTGCCCCGTGTAATGTAGTACAATGTCTGGTCTGCGGTGAAGACGAATTCGCAGATCAAGTCGGAAAGCTCTACCGGGAGAGTTTGAATGTGCTGCTGCAAAGATGTGCTGTGTGTCGATTCCGGAAGCTCTTCCATCATTAAGCACCACAGTTAGAGTAATACTAGACACTTGCCATGCGGAGGAGTGATGGTGATGGAGATATAGCAGGTCACCTTACCTATTGGGGTTGATTCACAACAGCGGATCTTCGAAACCCCCTCGGTCGTTCAAGCGAAGCGGAAGCGGCACACTTTCCAGTGTGACTCATGCTTCTTAGCACGAGTGAGGGTTGCACGATCCTGGTTTGCAGTAGGGCAGTGAAACATTCAGCTGCGATTAAGGTATATACGGTACATAAGAGCTCTAGCTCGCCTGGAGAAGCCCGGGAGCATGCACTTATTAGCTTACGCATCCGACTCCGCTGCTCAGCGTGCCTTCCCTGCGCTTATTCGCTTAATCATGCTTTCTCTCTCCACACGTCAGGGGTTGCAGAAGACGCCTCACATCCTACGTACCCGCCTTAACGCTACTCCCCTCGCCAGTCACTTTCTCATCATGACCATCAAGTAGTAAACCAACACTCCATATCAAGGCCACCGATCAGCTCTTGATATGTTCTCCAACGCACCTCGTCGCCACCGTCGACGAGGGTTCCCATGCAGAATTTTAGCGCCACGCCGACACCGAAAACAGCCTGAGGGAGAACCTGTTCTTCGGGAAAACACGTTGGCTCAATGCTGGCTACTTCCATATGACCGTCTACGAGCACTTCATGTAGTCTCGGGTGATGTGGGACCGATATTGCTTCTCAACAACGGCGGCCTACTTGACTGCAATCCGCATATCATCGACTCTGAAGCCGCTGTTGTTGCCGACGAACAACCTCGCGTATTGTCGCCTGGTCATTGAACTGCACTTTAGCTGCCACGGTTGAGGGTCGTCCGTACAGATGTGGAAGACGGCATGCTGATCAGGAGTGAAGACGAAGTCGCAAATGAGGTCGGATAGCTTTAGTGAAAGAGTCCTGACGCGAGGCTTCAACGACTCCCAGGTCTCTTGCAGCGGGATGGATCGAGAGGGACTGTCACCGACTCGACCATGGCTCGTTGCTTTTCGAAGGCTCAACTGGCAAGACGCTCGATCTGCCTCTGGGAGTATTGCTTGAACGGGCGACACAGTTGAGACAGTCTTTGATGCAGAGTCCAGTCAATGATCGGAAGCCAGTCCGCAGCGCCCAGCGAAGGCCACTCGACGAGCATTGACCGATGTTGAATCACAGCTCACGTGACCACTCAAGCACGCCTCACCTGCCACTTGATGTCTTTGATACTCACTTCCTCGCCCGCCTTCTCATCGTAGTCAAACCATTCGCCCTCCGTAAGGTCAATATCAGAGAATTTGGTGTTGGACTCGACTCCCGTAGCCCTCCATGCACCATCTGCCTTGAACTCAGTGAACTCGAGTCCTCTGCAGTCAATGATAACGACATTCTGCGGCTTAGCCGGACTTTGCTGCGGATACGCTTTGGGCGCTTCTACAATGTTGGCAGAATGCTCGCGCTTACAGTTGCGACACTTCCACACGAAGTTCGCCTCTCCCCTACTGCCGGATTGCTCGTTGGTCTCGAAGCGACTTACGGACACCCAGTTCGGATGCGTTTCGCGACATGATGTACATTGGACCTTGAAGGTGTAGTAGAACGGAGTGTCCTGAGTGTCCTCCGGTTGAAGGTCGGTCACCCTCCATGACGGTAAGCGACGCACAATTGTGTGTGGCAAGCCGGAGAGTTGGGACTTACCCAGTGAGCTCAGCGGTGATCGCTACGGCCAACATCTTGTTACGTTGGTGGTTGGAGAGAGGAGGCGTAGCGTATTGAGAATGGAAGTTACGCTCAGGGTTAGGGTTTGTTGGTCCCACTGTATACAATGTATCCATTTGCTCGCATTTGCTGCCTGGACTTTCCGTATTCACCCCAGCGCATTCTGTGTTGCCCGTTTCATCTTGGAGCGCCGAGTGCCTCTTGAACTGTCGTGATGCACAAGCTCCCAATTCAGCGGTACGGAGAAGGCTCACGGCGCAGAGCCGGCGCCAGCAACATTATCGACACGGGCTGAGAGTAACCTCTGCACGACATGCCGCGGACACTGCCATGGCTGGCACAGAAAACCAGCAAACCGCAAGCGAAGCCTCCATCCTCGTCGGCCCCCGCATCGAAGCCCAAGCGTGGGCGCGCAGCCACACCCACCTGTGACCTCGTAGACTCCGACCTCAACACGCTCGGCACAGTCACGCCTCGACGACAAAACAAGCGCCGCCTCGATCGCTCGCCCTCCACCTCACCGCCGCCTGCGCCACCGCCAGTAGAATACATGCGCGAAGGCTACGATGCGGACGACGTTTGGATGATGGTCGAGGACGAGTTCTACTCCACCGCGCAAAGCTTCACCCAGCACATCCACTTCGCGGAGTACGTACGGCTTAAGAAACTGGCGAAAGCCCGCGGACAGGGTTCCATTGCTGAGATAGCGAGACCGACTGATGGCCGTACGCCGCAGAGCAGTATCCTTCAGCTACAGGCAGAGGCTAATGCCAACTCGAAGCTGGCCAAGAAGGGTATGAAGACTTTGGTCGAGGATGGTGCGAACGACGAAGCGGATGAGGATGACTATATGGATGATCCGCAGCTGGCGGGGCTGATGATGGGCTCGCGACGAGGAGCTTCGCATGATCTTACCATGGTCGCGAAAAGTAGAGCCAACACGCGAGCCGCCGCTGGGTTCTCGAAGAGTCCGCAGAAGCAACGTGAGAAGGCTATATATGTGCGGAAGGAGCAGCGAGAGTTTAGCGCAAAGCAAAGCAACGAGGACAATTCTAAGCGGTCTTGGAGGCTGGATTCACGAGAAGGGTACAACAGCGACGACAATGGCGTGGACAAGATACACACCGCGAAAGCGAAGCGTGCGTTAAGTGGAAATTCTGCCACCGAGCAACCAGCAAGTGGCTTCTTCAAGCGCTTCGCAAACGGGTCGCCTGAGCGCAAATTGTCGCACAAGCCTCCAACGCCGCACACCTCATCGGAGATACTGGGTATCAATAACGGCAACAAGGGGATCAACGATGATGCCGACATCACATCAATCACCTCCGGTGCACGAAGTCATACCACTTCAGACTTCCTAGCCAAGCGCCGAGCCGCCAAAGCCGCGAAGGAGAAACAAGAACAGGAAGCAGCCGAGGGAAAAGGCAAAAGCGCGGTTGAGGTACCAACATTCCTGATCTGAGTTACCTCACCACTTCTCAAGCATCGGGCGGATGTCAATCTCATTGGTGAAGCATCGCTTGCTCTGCAGGTGCAGATTCCAATAAGTCTCCGCAATATCATCAGCTCCGATCTTCGCTTCCGGCGGCATATCCTTGAGCCATTCCTTCGTCCTGGGGATATCAATAACACCGTCGATAACGGCATGAGCAACGTGTACGCCTTTCGGCGCAAATTCCTTGGCAATGCTGGTGGAGAGGGCGCGCATGGCGAATTTCGCCGTCGCGAAGCTGGACATGAGCGCGTTCGCCTTGACGGAGGCGGTGGCGCCCGTAAAGATGAGGGTTGGCGGGTACTTGGCGCTGCTGTCTTCGGCGTGCTTGAGGAGGGATGGGAGGGTGTGTTGGGCGAAGAGGAAGGCGCCCTTGCTGCACGGCATCAAAGCTTTCCGTCAGAACAGCAAAGTAAACGGGGTGGAGCTCTCCCACACTCACCAGCTGACCTCCCAACTAGCCCCAATGTCCTCCACGCTCATATCCAGCAACGGCTTCCTCACAAACCTTCCACTCGCATTGAACACCGCCGCCGCAATCGGCGCTCCCTTGTACTCTTGCTCGATCTGACCGAACGCTTTCTTCATGTCTTCCGGGCTCGAGACGTCCGTACTGATGCCCATAGCTTTCCCGCCGGACTTGTTGATTTCTTCTACCAGACTTTCATAGTTCGATGGGTTACGGGCCATCAGCACGACGGGATATGCGGCGGCGAACTTGCGCGCGACTGAGGCGCCGGTGCCAGGGCCGACGCCTGCTACTATTGCTATCGCTTTGGATGCCATGGTTTAGACACTGCTATCTAGAGGAAGAGCAGTATTGCGATGATATTGAAGACGGCCCTCTACTTAAGTCGAGCTGCTTATGCAATTGAGGAGCTCTAAGCTTCGCGAGCGCCGAAGACGCGATTGGGATGACGTGACCGAGATCACAAATCCATCATTATCCGGGGGTGCGGCAGAGAAGTTGTGCCGAGCTCTTAGTCCTTGTCACGCGACAACGACATTCGTCTGCAAAGTGTATTGACGTGCTACCGCCAGTCGACGTTTCTGCAGCCTTAAGGCGTATCATCATAAGAAGTCTGGCGATCTGCTTGCACTTGATGACTTCTCGTGGTAGCCTTCTAGAGAAATCCCATCATCTGCAACGCCCTTCGCTATCCGCCCAGTACTCCCATACGTGTCGCACCTTAGATAACCCGGAGACTAATATCGATATGTGATCAGAAGCTCAACAGCGCAAACGTCTCTTCATTCACCGTCGAGTAAATCTTGCCCATCCCGTTGAGATCGTCCGTCGCCTTCAATACCTCGCTCACCTCCATATTGCCCGCCATGGCAATCTGCTGCACATGTACACCCTCATGCCCCTGTGGCAGCGTGGAGATCAATTGGTACACCTTCTTCGTCGCCTGTGACGTTCCGGCCGGCAAGCCTTCACCACCTACCGCTGCATGCCCGTTCGCCATCCCGTTCGCCTGCGCACCACCAGTCTTGCTCTGCTGGGCGGTCGCGCTCTCTGGCGGCCCGCGGGTGAAGAACAGATGTACCGCTGTCGCCTCGAGAAGGTGATACTGTATCTCGTTGAAGTCTTGTAGGGGTCTGATGATGTTCGCGCCTACATGCCGCTTGTTGTTGAACGCTTTCAACCTTCCCCATACTCGCGCATAGCCTTGCTCCACCGGTTTCGGTTTGGCTACTGCCTGGTTCTCCTCGCCATTGAACTCCTCGGCATCAATCCAGACCTTGACTTCCATCGTGCCTGTGCCATCGTCCATGCGATAGGTGACGTTGGTCGTCTGTGTGCTGATATTGCGTATTTGGCCGACGAACGTGACTTGGGTCGCTTCGGCACCGTCGATGATGAAGTATTCGGCGTCGGGGTGCGGATGTGTGGCGTCCTGGAGTTGTTTGATCGTGACTGGGCGCAGAGTATCCTTTCCGTACGAGCGTTTTGAATTCGGGCTGTCATTTGATTGTGAGCCAGGCATGAATCCTCCGCCGCCTGCGCCGCCTTGCGCGCCATACGAAGTGGTGGAGTAGTTGTTGCTGTAGTCCATCGTAGAAGTGAGCGCTGGCTGTGGTTGATGCAGTTAATCGCACTTTCGCCTTCAGTCCACTTCAACGTGGTCCTCCGGCTCGCGGCTGATCAAGCTCGTGCTCGGTATGTTGTTGTTGCCGTTGCAGTCGTGTGGAGGCCAAATGTTGCCTGGTGCATAACGCGTCGCACTTTACGCGCTCGACATCCCGCATAATGGTAAAGCCTATCGCCGGCGCAGAGTTACTGGCTGGCCCGAGCGCTCGCCGAAAAGTTCACGACAACGCAGTTTGGTCTTTCGATCGTTCTGCATAGGGCATTTTCGAGACTGGAGAGGCGATCAGGCATGGCACGGGCAGTGTCGCCGGCGGCGTCTGAAAACGGTGTCGATATATCAGCGTCGCTGTTCCGGGACGGTGTTGAGGAAAGCGACCAAGACATTACGCCGCCACCGCGTAATGCGCGAGATGGCGGAGAAAGGCAAGACGACGACGATGAGGACGATGATGCCTTCATCGCTGCCACACAAGCAGCCGTTAACCGCAAAGCCGACAGCCGGACTACTAAGAAGGCTGGCGCTTTTCAGAGGATGGGCCTGAATGCCAATTTACTAAAGGCCATTACCCGCAAAGGCTTTACCGTCCCTACTCCGATCCAGCGCAAGACCGTCCCTTTGATCCTCGACGGCCAAGATGTGGTCGGCATGGCCAGAACGGGCTCCGGCAAAACAGCAGCCTTCGTCATACCCATGATTGAAAAGCTCAAGTCTCACTCTGCCAAGGTTGGTGCGCGAGCCATCGTCTTGTCGCCGTCGCGAGAGCTGGCACTGCAGACATTGAAGGTCGTGAAGGACTTTGGCAGAGGCACGGATCTGCGCGCTACGCTACTGGTAGGTGGCGACAGCCTTGAGGATCAATTCGGCAGTATAGCGAGCAATCCCGACATCATTATCGCTACTCCCGGCCGCTTCGAGCACTTGAAGGTGGAGATGGGCTTGGAGCTGTCAAGCGTGAAGTACGTTGTGTTCGACGAGGCTGATCGGCTGTTCGAGATGGGATTTGCGGCGCAGCTGCATGAGATTATGCACTCCTTGCCCGCTTCGCGGCAGACGCTGCTGTTCTCTGCTACTTTACCGAAAGGTTTAGTGGAGTTTGCGCGCGCTGGCCTGCAGGACCCGAAGTTGGTGCGGCTTGACGCCGAGAGTAAGATAGCGCCGGGCCTTGAGAGCGCGTTCTTCACCGTCAAGCGGTCGGAGAAGGAAGGCGCTCTGCTGCATATCCTACAAGACGTGATCAGCATGCCGACAGGTCCTACAGATGCTACTACGAAGGTCAAGGAGCAGTCGGCAAATAACAGCAAGAAGCGGAAGCGTGGTGCAGAGGATCAAGGCCCGAACGACACACCGTCTCCGTACTCGACTGTCGTCTTTGCAGCGACAAAGCATCACGTGGACTATCTTGCTGCACTGCTCAAAGCTCACAATTACGCCACATCTTATGTCTACGGCTCGCTTGATCAAACGGCACGCAAAATGCAAGTCCAAGACTTCCGCTCCGGCTTCACGAACATTCTCGTAGTGACAGATGTCGCTGCGCGTGGCCTTGACATTCCCATCCTCGCAAACGTCATCAACTACGACTTCCCTTCACAGCCCAAGATCTTTGTGCACCGGGTGGGTCGTACAGCACGAGCGGGCAAGACGGGCTGGTCTTACAGTCTGGTGACAGGTCAAGATATGCCGTATCTGCTCGATTTGCAGTTGTTTCTAAGCCGAAAGCTGGTCCTCGGTCGGGCGAACAGAGAGTCTGACATGTTCAGCAGCGCGATCGTGGTAGGAGCCTTGACCACGAGCCAGCTCGAGCGCTGCTGCGAGGAAACTGCGAAGTTGATAGATGATGATACGGACCTCGCCGCGATGCGCGAAGTCGCTGGGAAAGGTGAGAAGCAGTACCTGCGAACGCGGAATGCGGCTTCGGCGGAGAGTGTCAAGCGTGCAAAACAGATTGCCGGCGACGGCGTTATCGGTATCAACATGCTGTTTGGTGAGGATGATGGTGCCGACATTGAGCAGCGAAGAATTGACATGCTTGCTCGCGTGAGCGGGTTCAGACCTCAGGAGACAGTGTTCGAGATCGGACGAAAAGGAGCGGCATGGAATGAGTCGGCGGAGGTGGTGAAGAAACAGAGAGCTCGGATTGAGGCCAAACAGCAGACGAGAGCTGAAGCGGAGGAGCAAGCGACGTCCGCCGGTGGTCCGCTGCAGAGTAGCACCGCCCTCGATCTTACAGCCGGGCAGTCGCTGGACGACGATTCAGAAGATGAGCTTGAGCTCACAAAGCCAGACGCATACGACATGGCAGAAGCCTCCGATACCGAGCTTGAGCTCACCTTTACCGCTCCTGATGCCTCGCCGGAGCCGTCACGCAACAAACGCAACAAAGACAAGCCAGAAACATGGCAAGACTCGGAGCATTTTATGTCTTACATGCCCACCAGCTTCAACGCCGCGGAGGATCGAGGCTACGGCGTTCATTCTGGCGGCACCAACAGCCACTTTCTCAACGCCGCCAAAGATGCGACTATGGATCTCGCGCAGGACGAAAGCAGTTCGTTCAAAGAAGCGAGTAAACCCGGAATGCGTTGGGACAAGAAGAGCAAAAAGTACGTTCGCCGGGAGAACGATGAGGATGGCAGTAAAGGCCAGAAGTTCATCCGTGGCGAATCCGGGCAGAAGATCGCTGCCTCCTTCCGCTCAGGCCGCTTTGACGCATGGCGGAAAGCGAATAAGATGGAGCGGCTGCCCAGAGTTGGAGAAATGGAACGTAGCAATGCTCATTACGTTGCTCATGGTGACGGGAAGCGGTTCAAGCATAAGCAGGAGAAGGCGCCGAAGGAGGCGGATAAGTACCGCGACGATTACTATAAGCGGAAGAAGAAGGTTGAGGCGGCGAAGGAGAGGCGGGTTGGAGAAAAGGGGAAGAACGAGCTTAGGGGTGTGGAAGACGTGAGGAAGGCGAGGAAGCTGCAGGAGAGAAAGCGGGAAAAGAACGCAAGGCCGAGCAGAAGGAAAGCTTAGCGCTGCGACGAGCCAGCCATGGCGATTGCGGCTCCTCTCTGTCATCCGTAGGCGTAAACGCAATCCGACCAAACGTAACTCCCACGACCACGGTACGGCAACCAATACGAACGCCGCTTAGTGGACATCGTCGGCCCCAGATGCCCTCGATCGTTGCCTTGTGATCACGCAAGCCCTAAACGTGATGGATGTGTAAACGCACTTGACATAAGCATTACTTTCGAACAGCGACAAGATCGCGAAGGGTGATTCATAACCCGCGGCGCCGCTTCAGCCATGGCCGATAGTATATACACGACTTCTTATGCTTCTGATTCCCAAGACGCAGCACGTTGTTATAAGAGGCGAGGCATACCCAGCAGAACTGGTGGCGGCACACTCTGCAGGTCATGTGGTCACAGCCCCTAGACTGTTGTCAGCTTCTCCACCAAATCTCTGTGGACCTGGGAGGGCGTACCCATCCTTCTGGATCTTCCGGCGACACCAGGGACACTGCTTTGCATACGTTTTGATCCATGACTCAGAGGAAATCTCAGCTCGCTGTCGATGCTGCTTTTGATGCACCTCTTGAGCCTCCTGAGTGCGAGCTTGGTACGCCGCGCATGTCTCTTCCGCGTGGAAGACGGCTCTACACGGAAGGCAGAATTTGCCCTTACACCCAGCGCACGTGAAAATATCGCCGCTGCCGGCATTCAACTGGCCGGAATCGCAGTCTGCGCCGGGACACCAAACGAACTCGGTATCCTGGGCAAGTGTTGCCTTCAGCTCCATAGACAGATACCTCTCATATACCGCTGGCGGAGCTAGAGCGCGGAAGTCGCTCTGCACAAGCCGGACGCGGCATTGCGCGCATTCGATCCGATCTGGCTGCTGGCTCCGGATCTGGTCTTCCAGCCATGCTGCGGTGCATGATTTGCAGATACCCATCGCATGCGTGCAGCGGCTGCCCTCCGGCTTGGTCGGGAAATCGTCTACGATCATCTGCTCGTCGCAGGAGAGGCAGGTCTGCAAGTCAGGTTTTCCTACCGTCGTCGAGCTTGACTGCCCGATACCGCAGGAATAACAGGTCCGTTTGTTATGATCCGGCACCGCCACCTCGACTGGCGGGACGTAGACATGCTCACCTGCGTGAAGAGATCTTGGCTGTTCGTCACAGTTGCGATGGTATTCAGTAGATGCCGGAAGCCGCTGCTCTGTAGAGTGGGCGGAAAGGGTTTGCGGTGTCTCCAGATTGGGGTCCCTGACGGTCTGATTTGGTAGTGCAGGTGACGTCCGGTACTCATCGCCGGTGTGGGAAGTGAGTAGCGCTGCAGTACAACGACGCTGTAAGGGCTGTGCTACCGTCCAAGGGTATTGGTTGCTCGGTCCCTTCCCAACGGTGTTGTTCTCAGGAAACCAATCCAGGCGGGTTGTCAGCGATGTCATGTCTCGTGCATGGGTCCAGAACTACAGTTTGAGAAGCTGTGTCGAGCCAGACAGTTGTTGTAAGGTTCTGGCGAGTAGTGATCGCAACAATGAGGCTGATGCGCTTTCAGTAAGGCTGGCGGCCTCAGTAGCCTCGCCCTTCGACCTCGCCACGCAGATTAGCTTCATGCTCACACGAACTCTGTTGCAGGCTGCTACAGTCTTTGTGACATGGTGCGACGTATCTCATAAGCTTAATGTCTGATGCACAAGCCCAGCTGGAGCCACTGCGCTGTGCCTGTACTAAGAAGATATAATGCTGCTTGCGGCTATGAGCTCTGCAAGTCTCCCAACAGCCAGCCAGAAGATAAGCGTTTCGCTCTGCTGCCTGCGTTCTACGTACTGGCTCGTGCAGAAGATACGCAAACCTGCGCTGACTCCGCTTCTCGCCCTCTCGGACAGCCAATTACAACAGTCGATATTGCCGCGATGGGAGCCACGCACGGTGATGCGGGCATGTTCTCTGATGTTTGTGGTTGCCCTCTTTGAAGATCGCAGTGTGCTCCGCAAGGCAAAGCCAGCAGAATTCGTATCGGCAGATCTGGCCTGGAGTGAGGGTCAGTACAGTCGCGCACTCTCCGCAATGATACTTACACGTCATATGGTCGCATCCACTGTGGTAACGTCACAAGTCAGCACTTTCCGTATCAGTTGTGCAGACATAGACTTGCCCGTTCTTCTCGACCTTGCTGTGGCACCCGGGGCAGGCCTTTGCGCACCATCGAACAAGGGCCTCCGACGCTGCCTCATCTTCTTTCACGCGGTATCGTTCGAGGTCGTCCGCCCAGCCAGGTATGATGCGGAACTCGATTGCTCGCGCCTTCGCCAGGACAATCTTTGCGTGATGGTCTCCGCAAGTTTCTCCGGCATGCCACACCACATCGCATAGCATGCAATGCTTATACCCGCAGGAACCGCATCGAAATATGTCATCTCCGGTGTGAAGCTGACCATGCGTGCAATTACCAGATTGACACCACACAAAGTCTGGGTTGGACGTGAGCATGGCTCTCACCTCAGCATCGACATACTGTCCGTACACCACATCCGCTGCAAGATCTTGTATCTCGTCGCGACCAAGCCTAGAGTCGCACTGAGCGCAGTAGATGTTACCGACATGCTGTGTGGCAACTTGTACCTCAAGCCAGCTTTGCCAGCACGGACCGCAGATGACCATGTCATGGCTACAGCGCTGCCTGCGGGCTTTGCTGGGAAGTCGGATGGGAGTAGAAGCTCGTCGCAAGAGATACAATTTAGCGTTGCATCGAAGTCGGCAATGTCTGCGAACAACGAATCCTCCTCAGCACCAGGTCCTAGCTCGAGGTCAGTGGACGATAAGCGGTCCTAGCACGGCACTCTCCACACACCCTCAGACAGCAGAAGACCGTTTGATCTCGCTTTGACAGGCATAGGGTCTGACACAGCACGATAGCTGCTGAATCTGTACGCCACGTCTTGTTTGCCTGGGGGGCCGGATCGCTTGACCAGTGAGGTGCCATTGCCGGCCGTTTGCTCGAAGCGAGCAACGAGTTGTGGTACGCTCGCACACCTTGCTCGCTGCATAGTAAGTCGGTGATGGTGACAACCGGACAGTACCTAACACTTGGGCCGCCGCATCGGCCTTGTTGGGTGGAGTTGTTCGAAAGGAAGTCCGCGCTCGGGTTCGCCGTGGCTTTCACACGTTCGTGAAGTGAGGGACGATTGGTCTTGTGCTACAATGCCGGGCTGCGAGTCCGAATATGCAGCCACTTCATCATTATCTTGAATAGACTTCTGCGAACCAGGCTGTGTAAGGCTTCAGCCTGACTGCAAAGCGTCACGTGATATGCAGCTAACAGGCGTAGGGCACAAGTACAATCTGCTCCAGGAATTAGACGTAAGATGCGATACTTACAGAGGTACTCCTAACCGTGAACGCCGCGCTATATCGCAGAAGCCTCGCTAGGCACTTAGTCATTCGCGGATCTTGGCCAATACATTAAATTCCGTCGGATCCATCTGGCTGGCCTGCTGGCCTCGTATAACCCACCTACTAAGCGCTGCAATAAGTCAGCGGGCAACATCCTAGGTTTGTGTTCCGAAGCCGTGGTTCAATTTGAAATGCCGGCCGCAGGTCCCGAGAGCTATCCGTGACTCGACGTCTGCCCATAGTAAAGTCCAGTTCATAAGGCTGAGCCAGATTGAGTGTTTAGTGTCCCAGCTGGCATAACATAAAGCTCCGGTGTCGTTCAAACGCCGACTCACCTACTTCGAAGACTCTACTTCGTCCGCGGCCGGAGTCCTCCTTGGTTACCACTCCGTTAAGAGTAAGGTCTGTGTAGAAGAAACGTCATTGTCGCGTATTCCATAGCATTCCATTATCATCCCGGGGTATCATCAGAAGCATTCCTTTCAATCCTCCAACGCCTCGCTACAGCCCAGATACAGGTCCAACTCCAAGTTCCAAGCAGACTCAGCACTCTACCAATTCCACGTCCTTGCAGCCGCATTGAATACCGGCGGCTTCCACCCTGCTAACCTCTCCCCCTCAATAACCCGCCTACCGCCCTTTAGTCTCTCCTTCTCCTTCTGCTTATCCCTCTGCTCAACCGCCGCATCCGTCAGCACGATAACATGGTTCTTACTCTGGTACCGCAGCATATTGAGAGTCTGCAACGTATGCAGGACGTCGTTAGTCGTCATGGCTAACGCCTGACCAATATCTTCAATACTAAGAATAGGTGTGCCTTCTGCTTCTCGATCAACAAGCAAGTCGACAATGACCTCTTGCCAGTAAGCGCGGTAACCAAGTAGTCCGAGATCTGAGAGAGGCTTCTCCGGTGAGCCGAGCTTTCCTTCGATCTTAGAGAGCTCGTACGAGAATTGGATGAGGAGCTTGCCGTAGCCCTTCCGTTGATGCTGAGGCAGGGTTAGGATACACGCGACGTTGTAGCCTTCGGCAGACTCCTTCTCCTTGCTGAAATAGCCCACAAGGTGGTGGCCGTGTTCGGAGCGCACGGTCATGCAATAGAACAAGAACGGATCGACGTCGTAATACAGCGTCTTGTGGTCCAGGAACAGCTTGCTGAGCAGACAAAGATTCCGACACCATGTCCGTTGTCTGCGCCCATCGATCTCGAAGAACGAAACGTTCTCGTCACGGTAGATCTCGTTTCCGGGAGGATGTAGAAGGGTGCACTTATGCCGGTGGCGCACAAACTGCGTATGATTGCCATAGTACGACAAGCAGAACTCGCAGATATAGACCATATCCGCATCAGCAAATTCGGCCGGATACGGTGAGAAATACCAAGGTTCTATCTCGTAATTTCCCATCTGTATGCGCTCCAAGTTGCGGACGCGCGAGATCTCTGTTTGGTTCTGCGTCATGCTGCCACCGGTGCGCAGCTTTTCAATCTCCTCTTCGCGGCTGTAGGGTGCATGTTGAGGTGCTGCTTTGGCGGCCACAGCAGCCTCCTGCATGTCAATGAGATCGATTGCAGATTCATCTTCCGGTTGGGGCGTGCCGCCTATCTCCTCGGTGGCGATGGTGACGGTGGGGTCGCGGTTCTCCTTACCACCTTGGTTGGACGGCCGTCTGCTAGACTTCGCCGAAGAGTCCAGGGGCGTCTCTACTTGCTCTCCCGTCAGCGTTCCGGAACGAGGTCGCTTTTGTGCCTTGGTAAGTGGCGCTTTCGTGTCAGTCTTGGACAGCTGCTGTGCCTTGGACTGCGCAGTCTTCTGCTTGGACTTGTTGTCCGGCTTTTCGGGAACTGGCCACTCGACCTCCTGTGAGAGGTCGAGGCGTTCAGCCGATACCCATTCATCGAGACGCTTGTTGAACTCTTGGTAGTGGACGTAGAAGGTCGGTCGGCCTTTGCGGGTTTGCATGGACAAGATCTCTGCTTTGCGCTTTTCGCCATCCTAACACATATCAGCAAGGAATTGCAACATCTGAATGCACGTCATGGGCGTGTAGCAAGGAGCTTCTGTCTTGATTGTATCATGTTCGTCTGCAGTGAATGCTGTGGCGCGCTTGAGGGACTTCGCTGACAAGCAACCTCAACTGACCTTCTCGACCATGACCTTCGTTCCTATCCTGCCCAGAGTCAGCATGCTGTTCTGTTCGCATACCGTGCAGTAGCGCGTTTTCCGGAAGGCTTCATACCGCAACGTCGCCAATGTGGCGTGGCCAGTCTCCGCCTTAGGATCATCCGCACCATCATCTTTGGCATCATTGCGAGGTGCCATGATGACGACGTAGATGAGGGTGGTCTGTGTAGGAGTTGTGACACGCTTTGCGGCGTTCAATCGCAGAGATTCGAATTGCGTCGTTGGAGAGAGGCAGATTGCGACCAAGGCACGCTGACCCTGAATTTACTACGAAAATGATACTTCACGCACACTATCAAGTATAACGTTAAGCCGAGCTTTTGTGCGACGAGGAGGATGACGGCCAGATAGTTAAATATGCCGGGACTGGACTACTCGCAGGTCTCCAACAATTGGAAGAAATTACAAGCGCAACTGAAGAGCGAAAGGAAACCGGAGGCGCAAAGCAATGGCTTGAAGCGTAGAAGGCAGGAAGAGCAACAGCGACCCATCAGCCAGATCAAGAAGTTCAAACCCGACTATGCGCCAGTAGTGAAGCCGCAGAGATCGAGGAAGATGGGTCTCGAGCAGTCCAAGCCCACCGCCAACGGCCACCAAGTCAGCAACCATGAGACTCTGGTCAAGCAGCATGGCATATCAGCATCCGACGTTTCCGCAGCCTACAACTCCACCGCTGGCAACAGCATCAAGCGCAGCGACGATGACATCAACGGCGGCATCCACCCAACACACAAAGTCGGAAAATACATTGCCGTAGACTGCGAGATGGTCGGCACCGGTCCACCACCTCACGACGACAACGTCTTAGCTCGCGTTTCCCTTGTCAACTACCACGGAGAGCAGATCTATGACTCGTATGTCCTCCCGCCATCCGGTGTGGTAGTCGAGGACTTTCGTACTCACGTGTCTGGGATCAAACCAAGCCATCTCACGCGAGACTGCGCTCGTCCGTTCGTGGAGGTGCAAGCCGATGTCGCGAAACTACTAGACGATCGGATGTTAGTTGGCCACTCCGTCCAGAACGACCTACGAGTCCTGCTGCTGTCCCATCCCAAGCGTGATTTGCGGGACACAAGTCGCCATGCCAAGTTCCGCGAGGCGAGTATGGGCCGCACGCCAGCGCTGAGAGACTTGGTCAAGCGGGAGCTCGGTCTTAGCATACAAACTGGTGAACACAGCTCCATCGAGGATGCGCGGGCGGCGATGCTGTTGTTTCGGAAGGAAAAGCAGGGGTTTGAAGAGGAAAACAGGAAGAAGTTTGGTGTGAGGAGGGTGGTGAAGGGGCAGAAAGGAGAAGCGAAGGTGCATTCTGCGACGGCGGTGGAGGGAGACGATGCAGACTCACCGGACGCATCCGACGACGAAGACGACAGTGAGCTGCTCGATGGCGAAGATGACGAGCTTGCACTGGACGGGGAGGAGGATGGCGGGCTGGGTGCCGCGGGCAAGCCTAAGCCTAAACGTAGGCGGAAGAAGAAGAAACGTACGAAGCGACATTAGCAGCTCAACCACATAGCCATTCTACTTCTATAGCCATAGCTGTATTATTCGTGCGAACGCTGTCCGCTAATGGAGCATAGGGTGCGGTGCACCGTGAGCGAGTAGCACGAAATAGTGGAACGACGACGTGACAACCAGTCAGTCATGGTAGGCATAGATGTATGTCAACGCGATGCAGTGAGTAAGTGGTAAGTACTTTTTGTCTATAGACTGCATGCCCACGCTTTCGGTTGTCGCTGAGTGAACGGATGTAAACCAAGTAGCAACGCCATGCTAACCCACGAACAACGTTTCGTGATGCATGCAGGAGGATCGTGCCAACTGAGGGCTGAGATGAGCGTCGTAGGATGGCTCAGCATACAAGGTAGCCAAAGTCGGTTTTCTTCTTTGTTAGGCCGTCGGTGCCGTCCGCCTTATTGGCTAGCAGCTGGTTGCGGACAATATGCTAGTCGGCGTGAGCGAGAGACATGCTGTCACCCGTGTGGGCGAGAGGCTTGATGTCAACACCGCGAGCCCACAGAGACGCCTCGGAGCGAGCCTTGGTATCAGTGTCTTCGTCGCGGGCGAGGAGGTCAGAGGTGCGAGCCCACAATGACACTTTGATGTTCTTGGCAGCAGAAACCGAGTCGTTTGTACGACGAGCGAAGAGCGAGCCTTCGTCGCGAGCGCACAGAGATGCATCAGAGCGAGCATAGGCATTCGAACCGCGAGCCCACAATGACTCTTCGGTGCGCTTGTCGGCAGGATTGGGGTCGGTGGTGTGATGAGTGGGGAGAGAGGCCTCGTCGCGAGCCCACAGAGACGCCTCTGAGCGCGTCTCGATATCGTCCTCGCCCTCGCGACGGTCGAGAAGACCAAAGGCTCTGGCCCACAATGACTCTTTGCTGCGCTTGACAAGAGGATGTGAGTCGGTGGTGTGGCAAGCGAGAGAGGAGGTCTCATCGCGAGCCCAAGGAGGCCCGCCGGGGAAGTCCTTAAGCTGGTCGGCACGAGCCCACAGAGAAGCCTCAGAGCGAGTCTGGACATCGTCTTCGCTCTTGGCCACCAGTACGCTGTCTGAGTCGGCAGTACCCATAACGTCCTTGATGAGAAGATTTGGAGCTATATCTGCCTCGCGCTTCGTAGGCAGAGGAGCAGCCGAGCTGGAATGGATATCAGGCAAAGCACTGCCGGCTGAAGTGGAGATGGGAAGAAGGAAGCAAGACTTACATGAGGGCGGACGAGGCCGCAAGAGAGAGAAGGATGATCTTGGACAGCATTCTGCTGGTGGGTGCTGGTGAACGAGTGTATGGTGGGTATGGTTGACAAACGGAACCTTGCTGGTGAGCGTACTTGCGTGTTTGAGTAGTAGTAACTGTGCTGTACGGTGATGATGGTGGAGATTTGGAATGGTGGATTGTGGTCGAGAAGAGTGTGTTGGGATTCGAACAGCAGATGGGAGGGCTTTCTTTTATGCATTCCCGACAGAGTCTTCGTTCACCTTCTCTACCTTCAGGGTCTATAACACCTACAAATGGCGTCACCTCAACAGATGATCGTCAAGGCGTTGAGGTGGAGTGAAACTGAAGTGGGCCGTGAATGCCCGCTCGTGGAAAGCGCGAAATTGCGCGCTGGATGAGGGTTCTGCGAATAGTACCAAGGAAACAGCGGTGGTACGCTTGAGCATGATGTTGCAGGTGTTCTGGGACTCGTTGGTAAAGCATACACGTTGGCAGATAGGTTTTGTATGGTATACTGGTACGCCAGACTCAGCGTTCACGTCTGGCGTGTTGCCAAGGCTCCCTTGAGCGTTCCTTCCGTCTTCGTCCTGTCAGGGTCCAGACCCACACCGCGTTCGGGTATGGCAGACCCCGATGCAAATCCGATCGTTGCGGCCGAGCAAATATCCCCGGAGATCGATGTTCATCGAGTGAGTGTCTGCACGTCGGTCTTCACTCGGTTTGTGAGGTGCTGAGTAACAGCTCGCAGTGTTGGTGACGTTTTGCCGATACTTTTGAACGCTACTTTCCGTGAAATGGTGTCTGACGAGGCATCGTGCCTGGAGTTGATGGCCATAGCAGGACTGACTTCCATCCTGACCGTTGCTAACCGCAATCTTTCTGGGAAGCGCAGTGACCGTATCTCATCAACCCATCATGCGCAAGCAGACTGACTTTCAGCAGCTCGGCATGCGTCATGTGAGCTCAAAGCGCTCGGCTGCAACGTTGCCGGGCAATAAGCCCGCAGTTAGGCTTATACCGGCATCTAGTCAACATGTCCAAACGACCGCTGCTTCATGCTGCCTGCCCAGCTATTGGGGGGTCTGAAGCTGGATGTTGCTGATTAGCATACTTTGCAACGCGGTGATCTGTAGCGTCACTGTATCAGTTCGTCTTCGGCTTTTTCGTCCCGTACTTGCTGCGACTTGTGATGCGATTGCCCACGCCACCCTGATGACGCACAGTCAGCCGTGTGCACGTGAGAGCGTCAGATGAGAAGCGTACCAAGTCCATTGCTCCTCTCACGAGATGATACTTCACACCCGGACAATCTTGCGAACGGCCGCCTCGGACAAGCACTACAGAGTGCTGCTGCACATTGTGGCCTGTCCTGCTGTTAGCGACACTGCCCCTGCACCTTTCGAGGGAGCTGTGATGTCGTAGCCATACCTTCACCAGGTATATATGCTGTCACTACCATCCCGCTACTCAACCGCACCCTTGCAACCTTCCGTTCTCCAGAGTTGGGCTTCTTCGGTTTCGTAGTGCCCACACGCAGGCAGACACCCTTCATCTCTGGCCTGCCAACAAGGGCAGGGGAGGTGGCTCTTCGCGCCTTCTGACCGACTCTACATCCGCGCAGCACCTGATTGTACGTCGCATTGAAGGAAGATGTGCTGGAGAAGGGTCGTATGTACTGCGGGCTGATGGAGAATGAGGCTGGTGCCAAAGCCTGCGTCAAGCAAAAACGTGATGCCGCCGGAAGTCGCAGCAGCGTACAAAAGATCTGGGAAGCCATGTTGCCCTACAGATGCTAGTGCAGGCAGAAGAGAATGACTCTCCTCGTCTACCATGCTGTGTTTCGCGGAAGAGCTGTCGGCCAGCTCAGCTTATGATTGGTCGACATTGCGACGGTGAAACAAGGTCGCAAATAGCCGGCAGTTCAATGTCGTCGCGGCTCATAGTCGTACGTAGGGGAAGATGTTCCGTCCGCAACAAGGCGCATGATGATTGCTACGCCTGACACAATGTTTCTCATGACTGATCAACGATCCCGGACTCCATCGTAGAAGTTGTAAAGATGTCCATAATCGACCCGGCCACCGGCCGCGAACTGCCCTCATCTGACTCCGCCTACCAACGTATCCTCTTCGTCACAAACAATGTACACGTCTACGGTATCCCGCCGCTCACGTCAACCAAAGGCTTCGCCGCATCGCTCTGGACACACCCTGTTCAACCAACAGCGCAACAGATCTTTACCGCACGCTTACGCATCATCGAGACCACAGTAGAAGCAAAGATTAAAGTAGACATCGTGCTCGAGGATGGCAACACCGGCGACCTGTTTGCCGCAGCGCCATACACAAGTTCTGTAGTGGTACAACAAGCCAACGACAGCTCACGGTTTTTTGCAGTGAGGGTTCTGGGGGAGGGTGGCATGAAAGCAACGCTAGGTATTGGCTTCGAAGACCGAAGTCCGGCCTTCGACTTCAGCATAGCGCTCACGGAAGCGAGGAAGGTGCTGGGGATGGAAGGTAGCGGTGCGGCTGGCGCTGCGGCGGGGCGAAGCTCGCAGTCGACCAGCAATGTCGCGTTGGAGAGCAATCAAGACTTCAGTCTCAAGGAAGGCGAAAAGATCCATATCCAGGTAGGCTCGAAGGGCCGGCGTGCGGCTGCTCCATCTGGTACGCCGTCTGCTAGCTCAGGCGACAATGCGGCACTGTTCTCGATCGCACCTCCTCCGTCGGCTACCAAGGCTCACGGTGACTCCACTGCTATTGCGCCACCATCGGCCGTGCAGGGCAAGTCGGCACAGGAGCTCGGGTTTGACGACGGTGAGTTTGGCGAGTTTCAATGAGTGACCTCTTACCAACCTGCCCTTCCTCGAAAGTGGACAAGTCATGCATGCTTGGAGAGTGCACTCTTGTTTAGAACCTACCTAGGTCTCAACAGGACGAAGAGCAAGCCCATCATCGCCACGCCAGTTGCCGCACCTTGCAATGCAACAGTCGTTAGCTCGACTTGCTTGATCTGGATCAGGCGCTCACTGAACAGATCGCGAATGGCCGCCCCGTAATTCTCGAGAACGCCGGTTTTTCTCGGGCTATGCAGCGGCACTTCCTTCATATCGTTAGCCAGGACTGCAAAGGCGTCTTGCTTTTCTGGCGTGGGAGCGGCTACTGCAGCCGCCGTGGATGCCGATTGCTCTGCCTCCCCAAGCAGTTCATTTCGAGGCTGACCAGCACGCTGCGCCTCTTCTACAGCAGCTTCGACGACCTCTATAGGCGTACCAGCCGGCTCAACCACTTCGTCAACCTGCCGCTCCGCCTGAGGTCGTGCTGGCGCATGCAGCGTTTTCTCATCAAGCGCCACCTTGACATCCCGCACAATCTTCCGTCTCCGATACGGCTCGAAGATCAATATCTGCGCCAACAACAACACAATGTTGACACCCATCAAACCGAACGTAACCCACGTACTATTCCGTCGAATAGTGTCGCTCCATATCTGCTCCTCATGGTACTGCTTCCGCTCCAACCTCTCCAGGAGCGACCGCGCATCCTCCAGCTCCCTCTCAGCAGCATCAAGGCTGTCTTTAGCGGCCTGCACCGCCTGATCGTTGTTGTGCTCAGATCGCACGAGGCTCATGTAGCGTTCCAAATCTGACGGAGACCAGCTGCTCTTCCGCTCCAGCAGGCTTACAATCTCCTTTTGCGCGGCTGCTTGCTGAGAGAAAGACTCGTGGTGCTCAGTCTTTGCTACGTCCACCTTGCGTTGGCAGTTTCTGACCGTCTGTTCCTGCGCGATTATCCCTTTGCGCAGCGTTTCGATGCCGGAGTAGTCGGTGCCGGTATGGACGTTGATGTATTGACCCGCGATCGACGCACGCGCCAGGATACCATCTACGAGCCTCGTCATGTCTTTCGAAAGCTGCCATCGTCTGTTTGCAACGTGTGAAGGTAGTTGGGCGCTGCTTGTGTCTTTACTATGGGTTTCTGCGGCAGATACGGTTCGAGTTGGGCTGACGGGCTGCGCCCGTGCTTCTCTATCTGGTTCGTAGCGAGCCACACTGGTTGTGAAAGCTTGTCTTCGGTCATGATACAGGGCAGCGGTTCTCCGAGTAGTGTAGGCACGGACTCGGCATGTTGGACAAGTCCAGCTGGTCAAACCTGACTTGGGCACTCTGCAGGCACCTGCCCATAACGTAGGCTGCGTCGAGCATTGTACTGCTGTTCGCACTAAAGTCTCGGCTTGTATCCGCATCATTAACCTTGCTGCTTGAGCAGCGATGGGTACTATGCCAGAAAGTCACTTTGCGGAGTTCGCGGGCATGACTTGGGCCAATGATCTTCCATTGAAGTTAGAGTCGGCAATTAGCCGCCACGGAGCTGTCTCCGTCATTGTTGAACGAAATCATTGAAAGTCAATCTACCAGATCCAAAGCGAAGTTGAACCTGATTGTAACGTTGCTTCAATCCTTGAACTGCCAGTGAGACACTCAGACGTGCAGGTTGCGAGCCTTACCAATAGAACCCTCTTTGAAAAGCGGCAGACATGGCTCAGAACGACGACCTGAAGGCGCTGCATTACCCATTCGAAAACCCAAAGTTCATCTTCTTCACCGACTTCGACGGCACCATTACTCTCCAGGACAGCAATGACTTCATGGTAAGCTTGTTGTTTCCGCGCAAGCGGGCTCGGTTGACCGACAAGCTAGACAGACAACATTGGCTTTGGTGGCGAAAAGCGTCGACAGGGCAACAAAGACGTGCTCGAGGGAAAAGACACCTTCCGGTAATTCTCCCTCGCGGATCGCTAGACTTGATGATGATTGCTAATCTGGATCAAGCGACTCGTTCCGCAAGATGATGGATTCGGTCACCACGCCTTACCCGGAATGCATCGACTACTTGGTAAAGAACATCAAGCTTGATCCTTACTTCAACGAGTACCTAGAATGGTCGCTAGCCAACAAGATTCCAACCGTCGTTGTCTCCTCTGGCATGCAACCCATCATCCGAGCCATCCTGAAGAATCTTGTGGGGGACAACCATGAGAAGCTCGACATCATCTCCAACGAAGTAGAAGCGAGACCCGGCAAGACAATCGACCAAGAAGGCGGCTGGCAGATCAAGTACCACGACGACAGGTGAAATTATTCGCTTGAATATTCACCCGCGCCAATCTGATGCTGACTGTCCGTAGCGGCTTTGGACACGACAAGTCCCTCAGCATTCGACCGTACGCAAATCTTCCTGCCGACAAGAGACCTACTCTGTTCTATGCTGGTGACGGAGTGTCAGACCTCTCGGCTGCCAGTGAGACTGATCTACTGTTCGCTAAGAAGGGTCATGGTACGCGCCACCCAAGTACTCTACTCCCGCGAACACAGCTAATGATATGTCGCAGACCTCATCAGATACTGCGTCAAGGAGGATGTGCCTTTCACCGTCTTTGAAGACTGGTCGACGATCTTGGAGAAGGTCAAGGAGATCGTGGCCGGCAAGACGACAGTGCAGGATGCTGCGCGCGAGGGCTACGAGGCGTACCAAAAGGGAGAGGCAGGGCTTAACGGGCAGGCCAAGTAGTGAGCTCTCACTTGATTGGTCGGCCGCGAGGTTACAGCGTGTATTTGTGAACGCAGAATAGAGATAGAGCTGTTGACCGCAGACCGCGGAGCAAAGTATAATGCGAGTCGATCCACAAAGTCCCAAATGGTACGTCTTCGTATTTCGCATGGAAGAGGCTTGCGTGATCATATATCTGCATGCCATGCGGAGTAATGGTTGCCATCTACGATGGCACAGCCGTGTCTTGCAGCTGGTGTAGTCGCTTCATACATGCAGCACCAATAGTAGACGCAATGCCTGACGATGCCTCAGACTGCCCCAACGCCTACGCTATAACATATATGGATCGCTTATTCCATGATGCATCACTTCCCACTCTGGTGTAAACGTGTGCACCTACATTCTGAGCCTCGCTCAAGCGCCAACTGGCACACTTTGATCATGGAACCTGTTCAACACTCCGTCAGCCTCTCTCTCATCACGGTCACTAAACTGACAACGGCTTACACATATTCCTCATAAGTCATACCCCTAACATGCCTTTCCCAGCTCTCGTCCTCCTGCTTCCGATACTCGAATGGATCTGGCTCATAGCTAGCCTCTCTCCATGTGCGGAACAACCGTCTCCAATAGCACGACTGTGCTGCAGCAGTCGAGTACAAGTCCCGGAAGTCAGCGGCCGCGCTGTCGGCGATCATCTTCGCCTTGTCAGGGTTCGACAGCAGGTCTTCCATCTTATCCGGTAGGTCAAGCCAGTCGTTCTGAACCTGCACGTAGTTCTGTCCAGGCCCGGACGGTGTGAGCAAGTGGTATAGGTGCGTGAAGTAGGAGAGATGGTGGATGATGACGACCTGGTGGCAGCTGAGCAGGTACTTCAGCCTGCCTGACCACGAGGTGCCTTCAGTGTGTACAGAGTACTTGTACCGACAGTGATCCGGCATGGAGATCTTGTGCTGTAATTGGTCCGGCGTCGTCATCTCCGTGTCCAGGCGGTGCACGTCCGACCACGGCTGGCCGGCCGTCTGCATGATCAGTGGCCAGCGGAGTTCAGGCTTGAAGCCTACGGTTCCGCGCCAGACGAGGAGATCCTTCTTGTCTTCGAACCTGTCCTGCTTGATCTCAATCGCTTGTTGTTGGTAGTCGGAGAAGGAGCCTGCTACGCGGGGATAATCCCAGAAGTTGAAGTCTGGAACCACCCATACTTGATCCATGACAGGGTCGCTGATGTTGCGCGAGAAGCCCCAAACGGTGACGTTAATGTTAGGATGCTCGTAGTTCAGGCCGAGGAGGTCGTTGATCTTGACGGAGAACTCAATGTTTGGTAGACGCTCCGGAGAAGCCAGGATGGCGCGCTGGATCTGATGAAGGGTGGCGTGTGAGCGCTCTCGCCAGTGCAGGAAGTGGTTCAACCCACGAGCGTGCGTAATGTACAGTTGATGATTGTATATCATCGCCGTCAAGCCACCGTCCGAGCTCCACTTCAGGTCAACCATCTCGGGCGAAATCTGCTCGTCGCCCAGTCTGTCCTTCCAATATGCAGCGGCTCGGTCGATCTCGTGATATAGTCTGGGAAAGGCAACGTCGCATTGCTCCTGCGTAAGGGAGTGATTGTCCCGGTCTCGTGATACGTCGAATGTCCATGTCGACTTTGGCGCCTCGGGTGGCGCCGCGAAAGTACGGGTGTGATTGATCCCGGATGCAGCCACTGTATGCGTTTGCATAGAGTCATCCGAGCGAATCTCCGCCGATGGCAGGTTGCTGTACTGGTTGCTTGATATCAGAAAGACGACCACGAGGAGCAAGCAGACCAACATCACGTTCCTCCTACTGCTCAAAGGCCTCCATGTCTCGCCCATTCTGGCGCCACTCCCGTACCGCGCACTTCTGTTGTCTCAGCTTAGTACCATACAAAGACCACCGTAAGTTTACAAGTGCGGGAAAGACAGTTCCGAAGCAAGGAAGGTGCGTTTGCATTTCCTCGATTCACCATTATGGAGCGAGTGGTCAGCTCCTCGAAGCGTACATGTAGTGTTGAGCTATTCATCTTCCCTCGCTCCCACCACCCTCCCGCACAATTCGGACATCCCTCCCTCTCACCTTCCGTGCTTCCAACCCTTACCGGGTGTACGCCGTAGCATCCGTTGGAAGTGCTTGTCGCTGCAACCAAGTCGGACGGACTGTGGGGTGATGCAGCCGGTTCCTTGCAGATGATCTGCGTTGGGCCGAGCCGACGCCACCCGATGTGAAACGCAGCTTGACAGAAACAGGCTTCGTGCATGAAGACTGCCAAGGGTGCTCTCTACGATCTGTAACTTGCCGGCGTGCTATTGGAGTCAGTACGACCAGAGTGTCGTGCAACAAGCGGCGATCACATAGTGGCAGGCGTCAAGAGCATGCGCATTGGGCGACATGTGACACGCTTCGCCATTCGAGCACTGGATAACTACGTGCTACGATATTCGCTTCCAGTCAAGCTCAATCAGACTATCCTGACCACCATCAGGGCCACCCCTCTTGACATAGAACGTCCTCACACTTCCACCACTGCCCTGTGTACTATATTCAAACTTCCAGCTAATCTTATCCTTCCCAACCTTCAGCGCTGGCCTAGTCGCACCAAAGCTATGCATCAGCTCCGTCTCCGGCGGTTTCACAACCACATTGACCTCCTCCGTAAACGTAAGCTCGGTCTTGTTCAAGTCAGGCAGTCCGTTCGGGTAATGAACGATACTGTAACCGTTGGTCAGGACAACGTTGTCGTCGAACAGATAGCGCTGCAGAAAGCTGTCAGGTCCTGCGATATCAGTGACTTCGTGAGCTAAAGGTACCGAATGGTAGTGCCAGCTCTTCCAGTGATGTACTGTGAGTACTTGAGTCCAGCCTGACTCGTACCATCCGGAAACGTCACCCCAGAGGTCAATCTGATGCAGGCCGGACATTTGCGTAAGCTTGACAGGTGGGCTCGTTATTTCGAGGATGCAGTCGCGCCAGAGCAGGTCTCCCCAGCCTCTGTCGAGCACTCTGCACCGTTCTGAGTTATCCGCCAACTTCTGCATGAGAGGCGGAGAGACGAAGAAGCCAGCGCCACCCCACGCCTTGAAGCCTTCTTGGGCGATGCGGAAAAGACCTTCGGTGAGTGCGCCAACGTACCATTCCCTTTCGGGGTTGTACAATGCGAGCGCGTCCAGTACAGGCGGCAATGAGACGAAGAAGGTGTCGTCGTCCATCACGCCAAACCACTTAGTGCTGGGCTGCCGGTTTTGGTGGAGGACTTCGGCGAGTGCGAAGTTCATGGTGCCCTGAGTTTCCCTCACTGTCGGCTGAAAAGACACGTAGATGGCTTCGATGCCAAGTGCTTGAGCTTTCGCTCGTAACGTCGTAATCTGGTCATTGCTCGTATTAAGATCGGGCACGTCGAGTAGCAGTACAAGCAGAGGAGTTCCGGAATATGCCAAGAATCGCGACATAGCGGGCAGACTTTCGTCGATCCGCTTGAGCGTTGTCGCAACTCCCAGCATTAGCTCGCTGGTGTCTTGCACGGGATGAGGGTCAAAGTAGGGTACATCGATGCGCACACTCGCCGAGCAAGGCAGTAAATCGCCGTCGGCTTTCAGTCCTTCAATGGTATTTCCATTCAGCAGCGAAGCTGACACCTCTTCCAGTGAGGTGCGCGACAGACCCTCGACCGGCCGGACATCGAAGCAGAGGCGTCGGTACTCGTAACCTGCACCAAGCTGTAGATCCTGCAGAATCTGCTCGTCTTGAGCTAGACTTCCCACATTTAGAGGCCTTGGACGTGACGGTTTGCCGTGATTGGGTAAGCTAACGAGCGGTCGATGCCATCGCGAAAGGTCAAGCTCAAACTTGCTTCGATCCGAGAGGAAGAGGAATGCAAGGCCAGTGAACGTTCCAAAGATCAAGAGCCAAAGCGGCCTTCGAGCCACCCCCATACCTTCGTTAAAGAGCGTAGTCTCTCGATGCCAGCGTGGAGAGTGTTGAGTGTCATGGTGGGTGATGGCGATGACAAGACTCGCCGTTGCACTTGCGACGTCGCTATCCGTGGTCGCGGCTCCCTTGTGCGATATATGTATGCAAGGAGGAGCGAGGCGAGGCGAGACGAGATGCAAGCGCTCGGGCCACCCCGCTAAGTCGATATCAAATTGACTCGCGAAGTTGTTCGATGCGCTGTGCAAACACGATGGCTGTCCGGAAGCGCAATGAATATCTGGAAGGCGATGAGAGCGACGATGATACCGCCCTAGATTATGACTCTACTAGTGCAGAAGAAACCAAAGGAAGATTGACTGGAAGAAACCCCAAGCGGCGTCGGACAGACGATGCATCTGATGAAGACTCATTGCAAAGCTTTGGCCCACAAAAGTACAACCGCAGCGTAGAAGAAAGACAGGGTACTCCAGATGCGGGTGGCGTACGAGGCGACTCCGACGAAGGTGCCGAGAGACTTAATGGGTTGGATCTACCAGCAACAGCACTGCCTTCTACGGATGCCAAAGCGAAAGCACGCCTAGTGAAGTCTGCTGCTGCTGCAGAAAAGGCCGCACGGCAATCTGGCGTAGTCTACATCTCACGTGTGCCTCCCTTTATGAAACCGCAAACACTTCGACACTACCTAGCCCCGCACGCAACAAAAGGGCTAGGCCGCATCTTTCTCACGCCGGAAGACCACGTCGCGCACACCCAACGTGTCAAGCGTGGCGGCAACAAGAAAAAGTCCTTCACCGACGGCTGGGTCGAGTTCGTTTCGAAGCGTGAAGCGAAGGTAGCCGCCGAGACTTTGAACGGCAACATTATTGGAGGCAAGAAAGGCAACTTTTACCATGACGATCTTTGGAACATTAAATATCTAAAGGGATATAAATGGAGCCATCTTACCGAGCAGATTGCGAATGAGAATGCAGAACGTGCGGCACGGTTAAGGGAGGAAATCAGAAAGACGAGGAAGGAGAACAAGGCGTTCTTAGAAGATGTGGAGCGAGGCAAGACGATTGCGGGCATTGAGAACAAGCGCAAGGCGAAACAGGTAGCTGCACCGCACAAGAGTCCTGCAGAGGAGGTGAGACCGGTGAAGGCGGGACGAGACTTCAAGCAGAGGAAAGCCCGTGAGAAAGATGGTCCTAGCCCAGAAGGCTCGTCTGCGGTGCAGAGTCGAGTGCTAGGAATGATCTTCTGAGCCTCAGCTCACTTTAAACACATGCTGCGTCGAAATCGCCGAACGTTATTGCATATTTCCAAACACCAAGGCAGGTCTCCAGCACGAAAGGAGCAAGCTACTCCCCGTCGTCTCCGTTGCCTTCCCGGCTAAGAGCCTTTCCCTTTCCGCGGCCAACAAGCCGCGCCGAGCTTTGAGATGCTGATCTGACTCTCCCGGATACGGTATGTGGCCCTGTGCTCTGAGCTGCCCGACCTACATCACAGCCTTCACAGCCGCGACCTCCTCATTCAGCGGCAGTATTGGTGGCTCAGGTCCAACCGGCGTGATGCTGAACGGATTGATCTGGTGATGCGACTTAGTGTAGTGGTTCCTGCACCATCATCCATTAGTCATACCGACCGCATACCTCAACGATACCAACATGTCACTTAGTGATCCACTCACTTGATATGCGTGAACTCCGTGGTCTCCCCAAAAGCCGGGTTCTTCCAGTAACAGAATCTCACCCACTTGTGCAAGTTCGGGTAGCCGCTGCGGATGTCCCGGATATTGCACTTGAAGTGTTGGACATAAACGGCATCGAAGCGAACGATGGTGGTGTAGAGGCGGACGTCGGCCTCGGTTACCCGCTCGCCATGGTAATACGGGCCTTTCGACTTGGAAAGCTCGGCTTCGGCACGGTCGAGGGAGGCGAACAAGGTTTTTACGTTCTTCTCGTACGCTTCTTGCGTGCTAGAACGTTGTCAGCTCGTGCGTAGCACGGGTGCTGCTGCAAGACTTGCGTTGCGAACCCGCTTTTGTAGACACCTGCCGTTCATCAGTCCTGTACTTTCCGCTCGTTATATCGAACAACGAACAACGACATACCGTTGTTGATGTCGTTGTACGTCCAATCGTTCGTAGACTCGATCTGCTCCTTCAGGTCCTCGGGGAACAGATCAAGCTTGGCGAACTTTTCCGGTAGCAGTTTATCGAAGGCATGGTAGAACATGCGGATGATCTCGCTGGACTCGTTGTTGACGATGCGCTTCTGCTTCTTGTCATACAACGTCGGCACCGTGAAGCGACCGCCATAGTCCGTGTTATTCTCGAAGTAGATCTCTCGCAGGTGAGTGTACTCTGGATGGAGCGGGTCCGGTGTGACGTTCTCGCCGGGCTCGTGTTCATCCTTGGTTGCAAATCGCCACCCTGTGAACTTGCATCAGACGGGTGGACCACGCATAGTCTCGAAGCTGCGACATTCTACGAACCTTTCTCCAGCATATGCCAATGTACGGAAGTGAACGGGATGAAATCTTCCAATCCCTTCAACTTCCGCACTATAAGCGCTCGATGGGCTGTACCCAGGATAAGCATACGATTCTGATCAACAACGGTGCCGTTGTGGCTCACCCCATGGACACGCATACGACACGTCTTTGATCATCAGTCAGTTTATCGTTCAGTGGATGACGGCAACCAGAACTAACAGAGATGGTATCGATCCTTTTCTGCTGGAAACTCTGCGCCTGGCTCACTCGAGACAAAGTCGCGGAATTGAGATTGCTGACGCTTAAACTCGCCAGTCTTATCTTTGGGATCTACCCAGTTTAAGATGTTCTTCTGGCTCTCCTTATCGGTCTGTCTGCCATGTCAGACGTTAACAGGCTTCCCATGCAGTGATGGAGCTTACAGCCATTGCGTTCGACGTCGAGAGGAAGCGCAGTCCGATTGCTGGGAAACTGAGAGTCACCTGTGGAATGTGACGAAGTGCAGTAAGCATTAACAAGGACTAAGATATACTCAAGTGGAATCGGTACGGAGGGTAGGTGCGTAGTAGGCACTCTAGAAGCATTTGCGCTACCAATGACATACGGCTCGCCCCCGCTGAAGTCATCATTACTGAGCGTGGACAAATCTACTTCCAATCTGCTAACCAATGCCCTCAATTCCGCACTCCAGGTGGTTGCTTAGCAACACTCTTCTCGTCGCGCTACATCGGTGCTCGGCCTCACTGAACGCGTTCGTGACATAGGCAATATGGTGACTGGCAATTCGAGTCCACACCGATGCCGAATGGCCGCTGAGACGCTTGGCAAGCATGCTGCTCTCTAGAGGCACGCTACTGAATCGTCTTTAAGATTGTCCGATGTGCCAGACGAGGCGGTAGCTGGATAGGCGGGATCTCGCTGTCCAGTCCCAGAGCAGTTGGCGCAAACGGACTCTGAGGCACCACACGCATTCTGTTGGCCTCATCGTAGAATGCCTTAAGCGCCGGCTCATCTCGGCAGAGTGCGACGAATCGCCTAACGACCTCGAATATTGGCTCAGACTCGGACGCTCTGGTGACGGGGGCTGATCGCTGGGATAGCAAGCGATTAGGCACTATAATGAAGTCCTTCTCCTCGTCCTCAATGACCTGCACGAGCAGCGATCCGGACTTGTGAACGAATTGTGTCAGCTCATAGTCCGGCTTGCCGTACGAATAGCGCACGTCCAGCTTGATTGAAAAGCTCGTTGCAGCTTCGAGGTCCAAGACGAAGTCAAACTTGCGCAGCAGGGCTTTCTGATAAGCTAGAGGGTCTTCGGCGAACCTCGATGCAAATGTATGCGCATCGAGCGAAGGCGTTACTGACACGTTGTCGGGTGGTCTAACGGCTAGCTTAACTGGCACGGGCTGGTCAAAGACGTGTTGTAGACACAACTTGCTTGCTTCGACCAGAGGCAGTTGAACGAGCTTCAACCCGTGATTCTCAGCAAGCGCTGTCCAGCGGTTGACAGCATCGCGCACGAGCATAACCGTGGTGTTAACCCATTCCACCTGAATATGGTAGCAGTTCTCCGGGTTGTGGATGCGATCGTAGTGAAGAGTAATAACCTCTGGCTGATCAGACATACCCCCAGGGTCTACGTTGAGTGTCATGCTGTCGCTTAGCAGGATCTCTGTCTTGTCACGTGGTGCGAAAACGGGTGTAGGCTTGCCAGAAGAGCTATCGTCGTCATGTAGCGCACGAAGCATCGGCGAAGGACGCGACTCTAGCATTGGCGTAGATGGAACAGATCGCGCAGTCTTGCTGAACATGCTTGCATTGTCCGGATAGAGTGTTGTACGGTACGTGCTCGCTATTTGGTAGAAGTAATTGCCGTCTCGGAACTCGTGCCTAGCTCTGACGTGCGAGAAAAGTCCGCGGTTCATGAGCTCGTTGCCGAGTGCAATAGCATCTTCTCTGCTCTGCAAGTCCTTGAACACTTTCAAAAGCCAGTTCACCATCTCGTCTCCTCGAAAGCACTTGAAGTGCATTCTCGCGAACCACCTCCGGTCGCGGACTTCGACACCATGTGGTGGAGGCTCCTGCATCTGTTTGACAAGCTTGACAATATCGAACGTGCTACTGTGGTACATCTCGGATTCCTGAAACAGTGGCGTCAGATGCTCCGTCCCGGTCGATTGACCGCTCAACAGAGGACCGTATGCATTGATCACAGCGCTTGGGTCCCGAGTTTGATATTCAATAGCTAGCGGATTGGGATCACGGGCAGTGACCTGAGGGGTCGACTTCGCGGTAAACATTGAGGCTTGGTGGCGCTTGTCTTCCTGCGACAGGTACCGGTTGCGCTGCCACAACTGCGTGAGTCGCTGAATGCCATCAATATGTCGCTCCTCATCAGACAGCCCTCGAGCAGGGCTGGGAGTGGCAAGACCGGGTCGTGGAGGCTCAACTGGAATGAGCACAAAACGCATCCTGGAGAGCGTCAAGCTCCTTGAGAGCAGATCTTGGCTAGTGAACTGGTCGTCGAGCATTGACCAAGTGTGATCTGGCCTAGTAACATTGAGCTGTACTTTCGCTGAAATAGATTTAGGCAGCGTGGCAGACCATATTGCGGTATCACATATTTCGGCAGCGTTTCCAGCAAGAAGTCCACCAGCACTTTCCGTGCTCTTAAGAGTGTACTCAATCACCTGTATCTGGCCGTCTGAGAGGCGTTGAAGGATGTGGTGGACGTTCCCAAGCGACATCGTGATAGGGTTGTTGCCAATAGCCTCCGTTTCTTGTGCGGCTGATAGCTCGACCGCGGAGATTTGAAAGCCGTGAGTAAGCCGGAGGAGCACGAGCTGCTTGAACACATACACGCTGTCGGCCTGGCACGAATATGGCATAGTTGGAATCACGAGTTGACGGATCCTCTTTGTGAAGAACTTTCCCAGCACACGTGCCGTTGGGTGGTAATCAGTGGTTAGCGGCAGAGAGGCGGGTGTGCACATTGAGGTCCACTTGAATACGGAAGAGCTGACTGCACGTGGGAAAATATGTTGCCACTTCCGGTATTGAGCCGCAACGCGCATGCTCTCAGGCTTTGGATTGGAAGGCTCGAGCAACGTGACCCACGGTGAGTCTGCCCACTCCCCCTCCTGCTCCGCAGCTTTCATCGCGGCGTAGAAAGGATCCGTCTTCGCTCTGGGTGTTTCAGACAGACTTGCAGCATTAGTCAAGCTAGCCTCAGAGACCGAGCTGAGCATCATGCGCTCAAGTAAGCGTCCAGGCTCCGCGCCACGCTCAATACCATTACGGTCGGCATGCTGGATATTGATTGGCTTGCTGATTTCCGCAGTTAGTACACGTGGATACGACACCAGGCTCTGTTGTGAAGGTTGCCTTGCAAGGGACTGTCGAATCTGCTTCGCAATGCCGCTTGATGTGTCTCCAGAGGGTAATGGCACGAGCTCTGTCATGCCTCTGTTGTGTTGCGCATGCTCTGCAGAGACGGTCGTGCTTGCAGTTCCTCTGCTGAGCGCCAGACCCTTTGGGCCGAGACTGATCTTGCGGGATGTCGACATTAGTGGGTGTGGTGGTAAGGAGTCTCTCTTAGCACGGTACACAGCTCCGTCAACGCTGGGTGAGCGTGCGGTAATACTAGCACCCGGGTCCACCACGTCGCTGAATGCGGAAGTGAACTGCGGTCGTGGTGCCATATTGGCAGTATACGCTGGAGCTCGATCCTGAGAGATGTCGATGCTTCTTGGTTCGCTCTCGAACGGAGCTTCGCGCACCTGATTGTCAGCGGCCGTTACAGTGGTGCTGCCAAACACTTCGTCATCGTACCGCGCCATCTGCCGCGCAGATGGCTTGTCGATGCTGTTGTTATGAAGTTGGATCAGTGGCAGTGCGACGTGAGTAACGTCGGGATAGACCACCGGCATGATCCAGCAAGGAGAGTTCTCGAACCCTGTGCCGTCCCAGAAGGAGATGTCAACCCAATGCGGCAACGCGTATTCTACAGCGCCTGCACGTGAATAGCTGAACAAGGGAACAGGATGGAGCGGCTTTGGTGACAAAGAGACAATGTCCACGCCGATACTGTTTCCCATGAGAAGATGCGTGATATTCTTGAGTGCTGTATGAGTTGTCTCGAACAAGCCGGCTCCTGCGGTCACAGCAATGATGGACGATCCGGTGCTGCTAAGTTGAGGGTCGATATTATCATTGGCGAAGTCCATAGCGGATACATGAAGAGCCTGCAGCATGTTGCCACTTGCTGCTAAGCTCACTAGTCTTGGCAGCGATGTACCGTTGAATGCACGTTTAAGCTGTCGCCGGACGTCGCTCCATTGGCTACTCATTGCATCGGTCGCGATGAGGTGGAAGAAGTCTCGAGATTCCGCTCCCTGCTCACCAACAACATCAACGACGGGGAGAACTTCGCGGCCAAAGAGAACTATGGTAACATGATGTCGGACCTTTTGCTCGTTCCAGCGACGAAACAGCTCAGTGAGGTATCCTGAGATGAGTCGCTCGTGCATGAGGTCGCCGTCCCGCCAGTACTGCAGCATCTCCAATGAGATTTGGACGAGGATAGTGTACCGAGCGCTACCGCTTCTGAAGATAGGTCTCGTCTTCGCCTGAACGACAAGAGCCGATTCTACTTCACTGCCGGAGATATATACGGCTCGAATCTCGCAGACTGCACGGCCAAGGTAGTGTATCTGCTGGCCTTTGTAAACCACCGTCCGTTCAAGCCGGTGCAATATGCGCCACATATCCGCCCTGGACAGATGAGTGTCACGGAAGGAGAGCTCTACGTGAGCCGCAGTGGCAGCACTCGCATCTTCAATCACGTCAATGATAGCCTCCGCTCGATTTTCGAGACCGAAGCGCGCCGCAAGTGAGACGTGAACAGAAAGCTCGCCTACGCCTGGAGCCTGCGACTTCGCCAAAAAGTAGAAGGGCTTCGCTGATGGCGTGCGCACCATGGCGAGATTATTGATGGGTAGGACGTCCAGGCTAGAGAGCACGTCGTCGGTCGAAACTCGATCGTCATGCAAGACCACAGTACATGGTCTCGAGATCGGCTCGGACGCCATATTCCCAGATCAGTGATCCTAACGGCTTGACATGCAAACGTCAAGGTCAGGTTAGCTCTCCGTTCTGCCACACCTCACGATTAGCGAAACATCCAGGGCGGTCTGGGAAGATCCTCATGGCTGCCCACGTCGCCGTACAACCGCAGAACGGTTCACGGCAGAAGCATATGCTCGATATAGTCCCGCGCCCCTCCTTGTCAACGTCTTGAGTCAATATCTCATTCGAGCACCTGATAGGTGGTGAGGTGAGATAGAGAGGCGGTTGTTTTTTGATGGGGCCCGAGGCGACTGGATGCGCTCGCGACGGGTGACTCAGCAGGAAACGGTGCGCGCTACTATGACGGCCTGTAACTCCTGTTTTGCATTCACCTTGGTGACAACAATATCAACCATGATTACGAGAATAGCATTGACCATCATAGCGCTGCTGGAGCTTGCGCTGGCCCACGGTGGCCATGAACAACAACCCATACCAGCAGACGCAGACTGGGCAACGCGGCATATGGCTGAGGAGCATCACATCACCTCCTTCGACGCCGGAGCTTTCTTCAACCTCCACGACTACGACAGCAGCAATGAGTGGACACGTGAGGATATCCTCAAGACCTACGGTCTCAAAGATGAGTCTACCCACCATATCTCGCAGGCCGAGAAGGACGCGGCAGTGGACAAGGTAATTGCGCTCTACGACCGAGACTTGAGCGGCTCCATATCGTTCGCCGAGTTCACTATTGGCGATGCGCAAGGCCTCAAGATGCCCGATTTTGGCTATGGCCCTGGCCATCACGGAGATGACGAGTACGAGTATGAGATCCACCATTACGAGAAGTACCACGGGGAAGACGCAACGGAGGAGGAATTGAATCATCCAGAAGACATTGAGCACTTTCGGAAGCACGACATGCTCGAGCAGCAGCAGGAAAGACAGGAGCAAATGGACCGAATGTCGATCGTGGAAGCCAACATTCCGGCCAAGTTTCGTCGCAATGGCTGAGAGCAACTCATTGACCATGAATGCCACGATCTATTTGGAGCACCTCAAGGCGAATGTGACTGCCCAGGATCTGCGGTTTCCAAGAAACTTCGCGTACATTGCGCTTGGCATACTAGCCTGGGGTGCGTTCTGGGCTTTTGCTGAACGCCACCAAGATAATCCTGCATCGCAAACCATGGCGTGGCTATTCGTCTTCGCGGCGGCCTGGCTTGCATATACTTTCTGAGCGGTCAACGTGCCTTGTGGAAAACAGGCAGATACGCCGTGTAGTGTACCGGAAATCAGCCAGGCTGCAATGGCGCAACCTGTATATCTATCACACAGTGGGTTACGCCGGGAGCATAGCTCTTAAGGCGATTGACGTGCAGAAGTGTCACCCGGGCCATGTCGGTGATGTTTCCGCACCTACGTTCGTTGACGAGTTCCTCAATCCGTTGCCGGACGTCCTCCGCCTTCTGTTCGATCTCGCCCACGGCGAAGTTTTCATGAACATGCAACCAGCCAGTATGCTCGCAGTCAAGTACTTCGACAGCGGTTTGCCAGCTTCCTTTCGAACTGGGTAATAGTCCGCAGTTTACATGCCTGACGGGTGGTAGCTCACGCCGCATATTCGCTATCCTCTCGCTTGCTCTCTCGTTCCCTTCGGAGAAGGCGAGTAGCCTCACCTCCTTGTTCTGGCAAGCTTCATCCATCTCCGCCTCGCTCGCAACGCGCAACGCTTTCCAGTTGTTAGCTCTCGCACCTCTCATCAAACCCTCCACACTCCATGAAGACAGATCCCAGCACACCACTTTATCAAAACCAGCCTTCAAGTAGCTGAACGCGAAGTAGCCAACGCCGGCATAAAGATCGACTGCTGTGCAACCGGTTCCTGCCTCTCCGTCCTCGATTGCGGACAGAAGAGAAGGTAAGGTTAACAGTCGAGCTTTTTCACTGATGTTGCCACGTGAGAACATGGTCCAGCGAGGCGCCCACGTTTGGTAGATGCCGTTCTGTTTCGCCGTGACCCAGTAGGCATTGTCGAAGTCTTCCTGGGTTGGCGGATCGCTTGCTGTTGCTGGGCCGAAGTCGCCGTAAAGTGTTGTGAAGTCCTTTGGCGAGCGCAACACGTTCTCCTCCCCGGCATCATCGCTGTTGAGGAGCGGTATGGGCTTGGTAGTAGCGATGTGAGTGACCTTAAGATGGCGGGAGATCAGCTTGTACATAGGATCCACGTCGGCCTGCAGCAAGGGAGTCGTACCGAGGGGTCCATCGAATGCGTTTGGAGGGAGTAAGATCATGTCACCGTAGACCACATATGACTTGCAAAGCTTCCTCGCAATAGCAGTCAATTCTTGAGAGTCTTCTCTCCCACTCAACCACTCTGTCACCGCTCGTTCCATCGTTACCGCACCATCCTCGTACTGGAAGGACACGTATCAGGCTGTCGCTACAGAAAGTGTCTCTATACCGGGAAGAAGCGCAAGATAGTGGTTCGGGCGCACCGACGGAAGGATGATTAAGAGACTTCGAACCGCTATTTGTGGCTTCGGCTGAACGCATATGTGACGGAAGGTTCTTTCACAGACAATGAGAGCTTTGAGTTTTTAACCGATCGATTGAGTAGAAATGTTATCAAAACCTGCACGACTACGAGGGTGATTGCAGCACACGCCCAAGCGGTCTGCTTTTTTGGCTCGTATAATGGCAGCTACCCTGTCTACTTTCAAGCACTGATCCATCGCCGTGCAGCATCCTCCCTCCCCAAGCTCTATTGGCTAGCATGCACAAACCTGGAGCTGATCACACAAGCGAACGACGTGCGTTACCAGCGTGAGATGCCATGCCTGGGCCCTCCCTCTTCGCAACGCAAGCATCGACTCCCTGAACCACGTGGGGCGTTTAACGTCTAACACGCTTCTTCCCCTGACGACGATCGAGCCACAGGCCGCCCGCCAACACCGTCATTGCCTCCACTTCCTTGGCCTCCTCAGCCGGACGCTTCTACCGCCCCTGTCCAAGCCCCCGGAATGCATCAAACCCTCTCCCGCCGCCACTAGCGCCAACAGGCATGCCCTCCTGCGGACTCCGCATCGGCATAAACCCCTGTGGCAAACCCTGCGGTCCAGCAAAGAAACCCGGAGGCGCATTAGGCGGCGATGTCGTCCGCGGCAGCATACCAGTGCCTCCTACAGCACCTAAACCGTTGAAGCCCATCGGCTCTCGCTGCGGCTGCTGTTTCGGCGGCTGGGGCGCAGAGAAGATGTTTGGAATATTGTGAATGCCGGGCGGATGCCGCGGCATGTGTGGGTGGAAACCTGGTGGTGGTACGGCGGAGTTTGGACTTTGCATAAAATCTCCTGGAAACGGTGCGGATGGCGGTTGCGCATGCGGCAGGATCTGCATCGGTGGTATATTGATTTGATTGCTCATGCGACGACTGGCTGCGGGCTGCCCGAATTGGCGTGCCGATTCGGTGAAGTTGCGCTGGTGGTGGTGGTGCTGCTGTTGTTGATGCTGCTGCTGCTGTTGCTGGAACAGGCCTGGCTCGTCGAAGAAGCCGGGCGGTGCACGCTGAGATGTCCGGCGCTGGACCATGTCATTGTTGGCCATTGACGGCTGCTCTTGCCTCGGTGGCTCTTGTGGATGGTTGCGGAGGAGCTGGTCCTCGAACAGACCAGGTGGCGGCGGAGCACGAGGCTTCGGTGCATGCGTCTCTGGTATGATTGGTGGCTGCTCGCGCCACAGCTGAAAGTCGGGAGGAGCCTGCCGGAGCTGCTGTGACGGAGGTCTCGACGCTCCCTTGTTTTGCAACAAGCCTAGCAGAAACTCGCTGTTCTTGTTATCTACACCCTGCTGGCGCTGTTGGTTGCGCTGCGAGGCAAGCAAGTCTTCAATATTCGTATCTGGCGTAGAAGCGCCGCGGTGCGTGGGGTCGAGGAAGATGTCGTTCATCCGGCCAGTCTGCGACCTTGGGTCTTTCGGCACGTTGGTTTGCAAGATGGAATCTGGCGACATCGCGGTGCTTACAGCTTGCGCTGTCGGACGCTGGTCTCTTGAGATCTCCTCGCCAAGGGTGCCGCCGAAGATGTTGTTAGGTTCTTCCATGAAACCACGACCGGTCTGCAGCATCTCACTCTCCACAGGCTTGGACGGAGCTTGCTTGCCCGTCGTTGGTGGTTGCATCCTGTCAGGACTTTTGGTTTGGTCAAAGAAGCCGGTGAACCTACTCTTCGGCTTTGTCCCATTTGACACCTGTCTCGGCGGCGGTGAAGCCGGCTCGTTCGGAGTAGCTTCTTGACCAACGCCAGTATTGCCAAGCATGCGCAAGATGTTCTCGAAGCCTGCCTTGTCCTCTGCAGAACCATTGACTGCTGTGGTGGCCGGTTCCGGCGAACTGCTCGCTATCGCTAACAGTTCATCCTTCAGCTCATCCTTCTTGAACATTGGCATGAACCTGCTCGTTTTGCTCTTGGCATTGCCCTTGGCTGACGCCGCAGACGTCTGCACTCCAGCGCTCTCAGCGGCACCGTCTGTACTCTTGCCTTCGTTCCAATTGCCAAAGGGCTTGTCCACGATGCCCTCGAGCTTCAATGAAGCTATGCTCTTCGCGGATGGCACTTCAGATGCTGATGCACCCGGAGGCGGCTCTGCCGGTACCGCCTCCGGCTCATCTGTAGACTTTCTGTATCGCGCATGCTGCGCCTTCTTCCACTTCTCGAAATCTTCCTGATTCTTCGGCATGCTCGTCAACTCGCCAAAGTCATCCTCTTGTACTTTCGGCGCCGGATCGTCCATCCATTCCGGCTCCTTGTCGTTGTGACCATTGTCGAAATCGCGGTCTCTCCGCTCCTTCTCGCGTTCACGCCACCCACCTTGACGCTCCGCGGTTGTCCGCCTTTCATCCCTGTGCCAGCGACTGTCCGGGCGCTCGCTGTAGCCATTGCGCCGTTCACCGTCCGTTGCATGGTCCCGTCTGCCGAACTTGCGCTCATCGCCCTCTGCTTTCTCCTCGTCTCCGCCAAGCGCACGTCGGTCGCGCACGCTTGTCCAGCTCTCTCTGTTGTGTCTGCCGTCCGTCTCGGTAGCCCCTAAGCTCTTTCTATTAGACTTGTCGCCGAAAGTGCGTCCGCCGTTCTTGCCATCCCTCTCCTCCAGCGCTGCCTCTGTCGGCGGCGTGGCAGGCTTATCTGCGAAGTCGGCAAGCCTCGAGACGGTGCGGCTCGAAGCGAACTGTGTCTTTGGCGGGCCAAGCGTGATGTCCTCTATTGCCGTTGTTAGCTCAACGTAGCACATCCCCGCCTCTTAAGGAAGTATGGCTGCATACCTCGCGACGTGGTCAACCCACTCCTCAACAAACTCGGCCGTTGACCCGTACTGAAGTTACCCATCGGCGAGCTTTCTGCCACCGTACTCCGCTGCGGTTGCCGTCCCACATTGGTGCTCTGCCTCTGTTGCTGCTGCGTTTCACTGTGCGGGATCCTTAGCTTCTCCCGCTGTCCATCAATCTCCAGGTAAACGTACTCTATCCATTGCTCGATTGCGGGAAGGTTGTCCGGCTTCTCCACCAGCGGAGAGTTGCGGAGGTGGAGGAGCTGCTCACGTGTGTAGTGACGGATGGCCATCATCAAGGCTATGCAGCCTCTCAGGCGGGGGTGGTCGGAGTATGAGATGACTATCGTGTACTTATCGAATAGCGCATTTATTGCTAGGACATGGGCGTCCGGGCAGTTTCGAGGGGCGGTTCCTCAGGTTTAGCTCGATGCAGCGGCCTAAAGCGCTGGCAAGTCCCACAGACAATGCGAGCGGTTGTCCTGTCGCGCCTTGTGTCCAATACAGCTTCGAGCGACGTTGTCGGGTATATGTTCGAAGGAATCACAGCGGCCAGTGGGCGGTGTTCTAGTGTTTTAGTGTTACAGGCGAGTGGGCTTTCAGATCGTGTGTAATGCTTCGGTGTTCATAACAGCTTTCCTGTTGGGTATGGCGAGTTAATATCTCATTGACCCGGTCGCGTATGTAAGCGGTGCAGCAAGCTGCGTGTTGCCGGGTGAATAGGTTTGGTGTTTATGTAGTTGTGATGTGGTTCTAAGAGCGCTCCTGCTCTTTTGGGACGCTCACGACGCTGCCCGCGATTTGGTGTGCACGGACATTGAGCTCTCCGTCATTGCTCGAGCGGCTCACGTGACAATATGGATGTTGACCTTCTGGTCGGTTGAGAGCGGTCAACAGCACGCATTCTCTATAAGTGCTCTACTGACATTCCACTCCACCGCTCAACCCTCTCCTTCCCAGCCGTCTCTAATATCCGAGCTTTCAAGAGCCCAGCAACGCCATCACCATCTCCGACCATATCAAGCCAGGCGAGCACACCAAGTCTCGTAATTAGCGTCGTACTCCCTCCATCAATACAAGTAGTGCGATACAGCATCTCCATGACCGTCTCCCTCAACCACTTCAACCTCTCCGCGGCAGGCGAGCTGTACAATGCCATCACCTTCTGAATCGTGCCGCTTCGCCGCAGAATGTCAAGATCCGTCGGACTCCGCAGGCCTTCGACAAGCCACTCTACTACCCAGCGTACCTCCTTCCAGTATGCATCGTCCTCCGTAGGCTGGCTCAACATGGTGTTGCTAAGCCAGTGCGCCGGCATGCGCAAGATTCGCCACTCGGGGTTCTTGTTCATGTATCGGTTCAGCTTTGGGTAGATGCAATGAGTCGGCTCGGCAAGAACCTTTAGCGCTCGCGTAGCGAACGTGCCTGCCAGGTGCGGTAGCGGCTTTTCTTCAGGCGAGCACTGCTGCTCAAACGTTTCAACCAGCTCGCCAACGAGAACACTCAGCTGAGGCGCGTCATCCAGAGAAGCGTCTCGTAACTGTGCAAAGAGGAGGCAGAGCTGGATGTGCGCTTGCCGGCGGACTTCTGTATGCTTACTGCAAAGACAAAGAATGAGCGCGGCAATGTCGCCGTCTTCGATGGCCAGACCAAGGTCCTTCTGCGCCCATCTCAGCAGTTCGGGATGGTCGTCAGATTCCAGCGCTGGGGCTGTAAAGGGTAGCGTCGGCGCTTCAGTGGAAGCGGTGCGGTCATGTTGGAGATTGGAGGCCGGATGCTGCAAGCGGATGTCTTCAAGCAACGCTTCCATGTTCATCGGCGTCTCTACGTTACCGTCCCTAATATGGGGCACTCTCAGGCCCAGAGCTTGTAGTGACACTGACGTCTCCTTCCCATGTCTCAAGAACTGCATATAGCGGTATGCCCATGCGACAATGATGGGTTTCTCCGTCACGAAAGCGACTTGCTCAACAACGGCAACAGCTAGGAGTCCGGGAAAGCTTCTGCCTCGATTGCTGCTCTCATAGCTTTCTAGGCCTCGCATCAACTGCTCCTGTGAGCCGCTTTCGTGACTTGATATAGCCTCTTCGAGTTGGTCGACATACTTCACAGGCTGTCTACTGACGCGAGCGATGCAGTCGTCCACGAACATCCAGACCGCGGCATACCCAGCATCGCCATTGGCCATCTTCAGGAAGCTTGCAAGAAGAGCCTCAAGCTCTCGGTCGTCAGCAATGATATCGTGAGCTTCTAGAACATGGCTGAGCAGCCGCCGAATCTGGCTATTCTGTACAGCGTTCATATGAATGCGAAGCAGGCTTACGATTGGCGAGTACTGAAGGCCACCGTGCTTGCCAAACCAGCGCATACCAGGATTGTGCCTGGCCATGACCAGCAGATGCTCAAGCTCAAGACCTCTCAGGCCCTTGCTTTCGCTGAACTCAGCTTGCTCGCCATCACGGTCTAAAGCAGCAGTCAATGCAGCAGAACCGTCAAACTGCTCTTCGAGAGCATGCACTGGGGTGACCTCATAATAAAGCCGGAGGAGCCTTGTCACGGCTTCGCGCTGTATCGCATGCTGGTCGTCGTCTGGCATCTTGCGAAGAGCGGCAACTACATCCTTCATACTAGGTGAGCGTTCCATAAACCTCGTCAAAAGGCGCTCTTCTGCTTCGAGCCATAGCGCTTTGCGCTCATTCGCACTAGTGCTAGCCTCACGCATGGCTGCAAGGATCCCGCTAAGTTTCTGGAACGCAATGATCAACAAGCGAATAGCAAAGAAGGTGATAAGGTCACTGCTCTGGTTCAGACACCTTGTCAGAATCTTCTGCGTTAGTGGCCGAGGCAGTATGTTCTCGATGATGATGCGGGTTTGAGGCGGTAGCTCTGCAAAGCCTTCAGCTTCGGTATTACCAAACCATGCCGGCGTCGGAAGCCTGATGACCTCAAACAAAAACGAAGCATAGCCGATCCAGGTGTTCGACAGCTTCGGCTCAAGCTGCATATTCTTCCCATCGAAGTAGGCGGCCACCAACTCTGGAGCAGCCTCAAAGCACGTTGTCACAAGCTCGCGTTCTCTCTGATCAAGGTGAGGACGGAGAGTCTGTGCCCAGCCAAGTAAAGTCGGATTACGAACTTCTGGCCGGTCATGACGGTCATAGAAATCCAGGCTGTCTAGCCCCAAATCGATAAGGCTGCCAGAATTGGCCTGCGTATCGTCAGGCGCAGTTGTGCCAGCTGGATACCAGCCGCTTGGTCTGAGAGCGCCGTAAGAAGACTTAGTGCAGACTGCTTTCAGCCATGCGAAGGCCCTATCTGCAGATGGATGGTCTGCCCGTGAGCGACTTGCAACCTCCACGACGCGCTCAAGGTTGTGCTGGACCAACAGAGTGGCTTTAGCTGATTTTGGAAGCTCACTGTCGTTCAGCACATGCTGCTCGGTCACAGCCAACAGCTCGTTGACGATATCCGAGGGATCATCTGGAAGGTTGTGGAAGACTGAAACACATAGAGGTCGACTGCGAAGGATATCAATCTTGCCTCCAACGTGTAGATACTTTAGGTGTGCAAGGACGTAGCGCAGCGTGAGCGTACGAATTGATGGTCTTCGTTTTGCGTCCTCGTCCGAGACACTACACCAGGTTAGCACTTAGTCATACATTGTAAAATGATATCACCACATACTCAGTCCTCACAAGGCTCAGATTGCGCCTCAACTGATTAGTATCGAAGGTCTGCTCCCTGCGCTTGTATACCTCGTTGGACAAGGCTCCACCATCAAAGCTCACGACTTCGATAAGCAGCCGCAAACACGGAGAGATAACGAAATCCTTGTGCTTGGGGGCATCTAGACATCGTCTAATGAGGCGTAAGTGCTGATGTTGCAGCACAGTCCGGCAAAGCAAGATTCCGTGGTCGCGGAAGTCTAGCAAACTTGACAAAGTCCGCAGCAGGAGTGTAACCACCGCGCTGACCGCGGACGCAAGGTAGTCATTGTTGTTCTGATTGGCGAAAGACCAGGCTTGCCACAGTTGGCTGAGAAACGGTCTATCTTCCAGGTTCTTCGGATCACTGGGCTTCTGAGAATCCAGGTATTCGCGCAGAATCGACAGCTCTCGGCCACGATCGTCCTCATTCTTGTGGTAAAGTATGCTCTCTAAGAAGGCTTTGAACGACGCAATACCGTTGCGCAGCTGTTGGACGCCATCCTGCCTGAAAGCAAGAAATTCTTGAAGTTGGCGGGCAAATTGCACCTCTTCAACCACCGGTGCACGTTGTGTCTGTTCAGGCTTCACTCTCTTGGGAGGCCTTGCGCCTTCACTGTCTTCGTGTGGTCGCTTCGCCATCGCTTGCTTTAATTTTATCAAAGCATTCTTGTCGCTGAACCCGGAGGCTTCGGCGTTGGCTAAGCTGAATGCTGAGTGGCTCGGCTCTCCCCGGAGCTAGCATATGGCACAGTAAAGTAAGCGAAAGTGAGTCAAAGGTACACCAGTAAAAGTAGGTAAGCAACAATGCTTTGCTTCGCAGCATGATATTAATCGGAACAGATCTCATCTTATTCGTGTCAAGGCGAACTGCTCAAAGCGTACACCATCTTGGCAGTACGCTTCCCGGATACGGACACTACACAGAAATGGCTACTAAACAACAGCCAAGTGGCTCTTAATAGTTTGAGGCTATGGACACGGCCATAGTAACTCGCGTTCTGGCATGAGGATGAACATCGTTCGATCGACTGTCTGTCGGTCTACATTGCAACAGCCCACTACACTGCCACCTGAATACGACCGACATGTACGGCAAACTTCCCTGCCTTTGGGAAGCCCAGCAGGCGCGTGCGGCCGACTTGGATGTTCTCTGCTGTTGTTCCAACCAAGTCCATGTCCAGACTGCTCGCAAACTTCGCGATGGTAATGTACAGCGCCGCATACGCCAAACTGGATTTGGTAATCAGTGAAAGTGCATATCTCTGGATAAAGGGCCGCTTACTTCATACCTAGGCAAGCGCGTGTGCCCTTGCTGAAGCTGACCATATATTTGTCAAGATGAACGCCCTCCTGCTCAGCTCGAAGCCAACGATCGGGATCGAACATGTGCGGATTCGGGAAGATAGTCGGATCATTGTTGATTAGGTATGTTGACTGGCTGACTGGTGTCTATGTCATCTGAGCTTCTAAATCATCATGCGTTGCAGGTATGCTCTAAACTCACACCAGGTGGGATATTGTACTCGTTGTACGCGAGAGCCTCTTCGGTAGCGATTCGAGGTATTCGGCTGACGATACTATAGGTCAGGCGCAGTGCCTCCTGTACAACGGCCCTCTGCTTTTAGTTAGCTTACCTCTCTTTCCGGTGTGAGTGCTACTAGTACCATGAATGGTATAGCTTCAAGCTCGGCGGCTGACCATGCCTTGTCTCTATCGTTACGCTGATCCTTCAGGGCCGCTCGAAGCCTACGAAGATGCGACTTGTCGTTCAGAAGGTGGAATGTTGCCACACTCAGTGCCCTTGCCGTAGTATCGATACCCGCGCCGATAATCGTCTCGCCTTCATCGAGCAGCCTCTCCACATCCTTCTCTGCGGCCGGGACCTTATCGTCGAGTAATGCGCTTACAATGACACCTCTAGACGCCTTCCCGGCTCTCTCCATTTGTTCTATCGCCGTCTGTACCCTCATCCTCTGCTCATTCCGGGCTGTCAGCACCGGAGCGAAGCTTGGCACAATCCAATCCAATACCGAGTTGGGGAGTCTCTTCAACAAGGCGGGATCGAACGGCAAGAAGCGAGTAATGTTATAGATGTTGAGCAGCTCATCAATTGCTTCTCGGTAAGGGAAGTGGAAGTCTTCCGCGCTGACGGTGTCAAGATGGGAGCCGTAAAAATGGAAGTTGATCACATCTCCAGCCAAAGCAGCAAATGCAGCTGTCAGGTTAATACCATCAGGCTTGCCCTTCAACTCCACAAGGCGCGAGCACAGAACCTCGACCCTCTCGTTGATGGTCGGCTCGAGTGCAGTCACCGCCCGTTTGCCGAAATACGGGTTAATAACAGCTCGCCGCTTGCGGTGCAAGTCGTGGTCGATTGTTTGCAGCGTAGAGTGCGGGAAAGTGTAGCCAGCAACAGAAGCCCATTCCTTGTTGGTCTTCCTGTTGCTACCAGCATAGACTGTCGCGTAGTATTGCGGGTCATGGATATGAAGACACCGTGAGTTGATTCGCACAACCGGTCCTTTGCCGGAGTCAGTATTCGACTGCACAGAGTGGATCCTGGGTGCCACGAACCATACATGCCGTGCATCCGCTCGATCTCCCAGAGATACGATCCGTCCCTGACGACGTCGAAGTAGAACTCGTACCATCTTCCGACAGCAGCCAGCCGGGGTCCTGGAAACTTGCGCAGAGGGTGAAGAAAGATGTCGTACAGGCATTGTAGGGCCAAACAGAGTACGAAGAGTATTACGACCAGCACGACTGTTTGTTGTAGAAGCGGTCGGCCCCCAGAAGACTCCATGCTGAGCGTACAGGACGAACTGGTGGTCGACGGTACTAACAGGACTACCACCACGAAGGGAGCATGTTGAATGATCTGAGATATCAACGCCAGAGCAGTATCTGCGTCCACGCGAGAATTGATTTCCCATGCGCAAATGCCGCTCTCTTCAATCTGAGTCAGCTGGCGTCAGCTCACTTGCATGGAGTGTCAACTGGTAGGACACTAAACCTCACAGATGGCTACACTCAAGCCTGCAACGGGATGCTTATGTGGCGACAATAGGCAAGTGTAAGCGCTTTCTTGACAAATAGCACCGGATCTGCTGCGGTGAGCGAAAGGCGCCCTCGCTGCACCACCTAGCTGACGTGATGTATGCAGATATGCACTTGCGCCTGTTGCTGTGGTGACTCGTCCACCATTTACAGCACCATGAGACCCGAAGCTCGGCTGCCATGAAGACAGCTTAGTAGAGCTGGAAGCCTGGAATGTTGGTGCGCATACTAGTGATGTAAGCTTGGGTTGTAATGAGCTTGCACTGATGACTCAATAAAGACATGGAGAGCCTGACCACGTATATAGCGCCAGCGTGCACATGGCATACCATCTGCGGTTGTTGTGTGGTTGATCTTCACACTGCCGCAACCATGGCCATCAAGGACTTCCCATTCGAAGCATACTGTCGCTCAATTGTCCGCTTTCTGGACGCCCTTGATTATCAAGACGACAACCTGACGCACGAACAGCGTGAAGCAGATCTCCAGTATGTGCACAATCAAGCGGCAGCATGGTTTGAGCAGCACTCGCTTCAGACGGCACTTCGTAACGTCAACCCAAAGCACATAGCAGCCTGTACGCGGACCATCACCAACCTTGTCGTCTGCTACCTGCCACGAGTCTCCCGCGAAGTACTGGTCGACGTGACCATCTACTTCTCCATTATCAATATCGTCGACGATGACGTTGTGATTGGCGGCACCGACCCAGCACCGCGAATGACCTCGTTCTGGCCCGACTTGCTGCAGGGCAAAGACCAGCAACACCCATACTGGACGTTGATGAACGCTCACCTTCCGCAATTACTCGCTCACTACGGTCCGTACTGCGGCTTCAACATCATCCGTTGCACCATTGATTACTTTCAAGGTTGTTGGATTGAACAGCATGACTTCGCCGGCTACCGTGGCTCAGACTGCTACCCAATGTTCCTTCGAAAGCTGAACTCTCTGGGTGGTGTAGTCGGCGCATCGATGTTTCCAGCCTCGGACTTCGATGAGCAAGTTGTGTTCAAGGAGATCACTTGCGTCCTCGCCCAGATCGACAACCCAGCAGGGCTTGTGAATGACCTATTTAGCTACTACAAAGAGTACGACCAGGCCGAGATAAACCTTGTGGCTAACTGGTGCGAGGTTGATGGCATCTCGAAGGAACAGGCGCTTGACAGGCTGACAGAGCTCACCACTCACTCCTGCACTCGGCTGCTGGAGCTTTTCAAGGACAAAGATCCGGCAGTGTTTGCGACTGTACGAGCGTTCATGCACGGATACGTCACTTGGCACTTCTGCGACTTGCGGTATCGTCAACATGAAATCTTCGCCAGCGCGACGAATTCACCAGATGCCACGAAGTTCCGTGAGTACCTTGCAAAGGCCGCGCGCTTCGGCTGGGTTGATATGAGCAAGTGGGCAGCAACACAGCAGAGCCCTGCGGTCTTTACACAGCTGAGTAACGGGCACGAAGTCCATGAAGTCAAGGTTGCATCATAACACTTTGTCGTCATTAAGACACCCTCACCCACAGTATCGACGAGCTTAGGCAGCACCCAAAGTCTTCCGTCTCAAAGAGCCCTTGCTTAATTGTCCGCTCTAGCCCTAGCTGTCGCTATAGTCTGGGAATGGTTTATAACCATAGGCGTAGGGATTGAAATAGGGCACATACTCCCACTCGCCATCGTCATTGCCGTACCAGCCTGGACCAACGCTACCAAAGTCGTCAAATTCCATAACCATACTTCTGGCCACGGCCAAAGTCTCCGTCGGCATAGTCGCTGCCCCATACTGTACTTGGTTGTCCCTGCCGTCGGCGAATTGTCCGGCCTTGAGTGCGACCACTAATAGTATATCCGATAGTCTCCGATGCCTCGAACCGACTAAGTCCGTCGTGCGACGTACTGCGGCCATTTGTCACCGGCTTTTTAGGAACCGTGACCGCCGGCTGGATCGAAAAGGGTCTGGAGAGGATAAAGCAGCGGTGGCACACGTCTGATCTCGTCAGGTTAACAATTGCAATCGTCGACGGTCCATTCAGCCATCGGGTCGTATCTTGTAAGGCTGGGGCCGTGGGTTCGATCCATGGTTGATGCATTGGAAATTTGTTACTGGTCATAAACTCTCCGGCGAATTGGCTGTTGTAATGTGACAGGTAGGCATCAGAATCGACGCTGGAACTTGTAGCACTGTGTAGCGATCATCACTATTTTCTAAGCTCTTCGTTCCATTTATCAGCTCGCCGTTGGCGTCACAAGGCGCCATTTACTGTCGCCATCACTTCGGACTAAAGATGTGTTTGGTCAACTTCTTCCACACAGCGAGTAAAGTCCAGCAGTGAGCAAATCTGGTGGCCATCTTATATAGTAGGTCCAATTGAGGTTCAGTCGACATTGCACCCTCGACAGACAATCATGAGTAGAACATCATGCCCAAGCCTAGCGGTGGCAAGATCAGCACAAAGAAATTAATCAAAAGATCCCTGTGATCAATGCCATATGTCACCGGAACCTATTATAGTCTGTTTGGATCACAAGCATTGACGGCATGCAAATCCGGAAGGTTGCGGTCGGACGAGCTGCCTACGCCACTTCAGCGAGCATATTGAATGCATACAGCTAAGAGAACCCTCCGTAGTCATGTCCGACCCGCCTTTCACAAGCCCAGGTGGTGTTGTAGCCGTAATCCACGTCTGGCGGGTCGCCTCCAATGCAGAACGGACGCTAGGGTGATAATCGTCCAAGGTGTATTGCTGATCATGGTGGTCATATCATCGTCATCGTAAGCAATGCCTCTCACTGGACATGCTGGCGGCGAACACAGCAGTGATGGGAAGGTCACGGATATCTGACAGCAGCTGAACTTACCTGAGCCTTGCATGTGTGCGTAATCGCAGGAGGGTTCTTGAGTTGCAGGGTAGTTCTATGTCGAGCAGTAGCAGGTCCTCACAACCGGCGTCTGCAAGAGAGTCGAATATGTCATAGCTTAGTAGGAGTCGCAAATTATAGGTGACTATGAGGTTGAGATCCGCGGATAACCGTCGTGTGCACCGTTCAGCCAGCCATTGTTAGCGTTCGGTAGTAGTGAACTAACTCCGAAGCCTCCCATCAAGCTTCAGCCCCAAGGATCTGACATCTCGGATTGCTGCGAGCGTCGTCAGGATCCGTTTGAGTGCCTCCAAAGACCAGCAAGAATCTTGTGTTATATTTGTGTATAACGCTTGCTGTGAATCGATCGATCATGGAAGGCTTCAACCTCAACTCTCTCCGCGACTTCATCCCGAAGAGGCTCCCCCGGTTACCCACGTGGCCAGCTAGCAACGACACCGATGACCTTCCCGGTAGCGTGACAGCCCCTCAATCTGACCTACCACTGGATGAAACATCCACCGAACCAGCCTTGACGATAGCAGAACCTATGCCCATCTCCTCCGGCCCCAAAAGCAACCTCGACCTTCTCAATGAATGCGACAACTTCCCTTACTACCAGAGTAACCCGGAAGCCTACTATGCACATGTCGACACCTACTATGCACTCTACGTCAAAGACTTCCCGGAGACACCACTCGGCTACATCCTACCCTCCGTCTCGCAGGTTTTCAAAGGCTTACCGCACTGGCAACTGAATGACCGAGAACGCACGCTCACTCTCACCACCGGCGACACGGAAGCGGAAAGGAGCGAAGCTGTGGCCATCACGTGCGAAGCTCTTCGCGCAACGGACCATTTCCGCGTCCTGCGTGGTTGGCGGAACGAGCTGTACCCGGTTTATGGACCAGACAGAGAGGTACTCTTCAGCATAGAGCGAGCTGCAAGCGCTTTATTCGGTATAGTGACGTATGGCTGCCATATGACTGGCTACGTACGCAGTAAACGGCCGAAGAGCGAGGCAGAGGTCGGCGGTGAGGCTGAAGAGCTGAAGATCTGGGTCCCGCGGCGAGCGGCGACCAAGCAGACCTATGGCGGGATGCTGGACAATACCGTCGCAGGCGGGATTGCTACGGGAGAAAACCCATTCGAAAGTATGGTCCGCGAGAGTGCAGAGGAAGCAAGTCTGCCAGAAGAACTGGTGCGCGAAAAGGCGAAATCGGTAGGCACGGTAACTTATTTTCATATCCGCGACCAGCGGGCGGGAGGCGAGACGAGGTTGTTGCAGCCGGAGTGCCAGTACGTGTATGATTTGGAGCTGCCGGATAGTGTTGTGCCGAAGCCGAGCGATGAGGAGGTTGAAGGCTTCGAGCTGATGAGCGTGGAAGAGGTACAAGTGAGATTGAGAGGTGGTGAGTTCAAGCCGAACTGCGCGCTTGTGATCCTCGATTTCTTCGTCAGGCATGGGATTCTGACGGCGGAGGAGGAAGGGTACGTTGAGCTCGTGGCGAGACTCCATCGCAAGCTCGAGTTTCCAACGAGATAGAGCGCAGCATGCGCGCACATTTGTCGTGTAATTAAGATACCCATGAAGCACCGTCTAAATGCTTGCAGCATTTGCGGACCACCAACGCCTGGCTAAGAGCAAAGCAACCAAGACAAGCCTCTAACAGCACGCTGGATTTGGCTCATCGCTTTAATAGCAGGTAGACATTGTCGATGCGCAGCGGCGAAAGCTTCTTGTAGGGTCCGTCAAGGCACATCAACAACCCGCCAAACGAGACATACACCTTGCTAAAGCACACAGTCAGCTATTATCTCACCCTCAAATTCACCAGTCCACGGAAACAACTCACATATTCTCCCCCTCTCCCGGATCCTCATGCCTATACACCTTCCCGTAACATACATAATCCCACAAATCGGCCAACGTCTGCTCTTGCCGTCCGGGCCTCCACCCTTTCTTCGCTACATCCTCGATTGTGCCATCCAGATTCAGCGTCTGCGCGAGAAGGAGCGACATATTCTCGCCGTTGCCAACGGGGAAGAGTTCGGAGTTGACATCAAGCGTGAGCTTTGTGGAGGAGTCGGTAGAGACGGCGAAGAGGCGCGCAACGCGGTCGTAGGTTTGGTTCTCCAGCTGGAAAAGGGTGAAGGTGTCTTCGTAGAGTTGCGCGTCAGACATGACTGAGTGACGGATGGTGCGGAGAATGAGGTCAGATCATGAATATGATGTGGTGATCTGCGCTATGGCGACGGATGGTCGGTCGTATTCTGCTTCCTTACCAGACCACTTTTCTCACTTTCGAAAGAACATCGAATGAGGTCGTCGGAAAGGTTCCGTGGGGGCACGAGTCATGGAAGCCTCCTGACTCGGCTCCCGTCTTAAATCGGCTCGACCAGGACGTTCTCGATATTTCGACCGCGCCGATATGGTTGGGTCATGCGAAAGGCAGGCAGTGTGATGAAGTCTGGCATGTTGAGCCATATCTACTTGCCAACACCATCTTTACGCTGAGTCTGAAGGACAACCAACATGTTCGGCCTTATCATTTCTGGCAGACCAGTCAACGCGGCGCCACAAGCTCTTACGGAGACTCAGTACGCGTTCAGTATTGTCCCAGAGCCCAGCTTCAGTCATATCGTAGTGTTCATTCTACCTGGGGTGCAATTGCCCGCTGATACAGCCGCTACGGTCTACGTACAGATCCCACCTTCCTCTGATTTCAAGTTGCTGGGCGCTGTCGGACCAGGCAAGGAGTCCGCCATCTTCAAAATCAGCGGTCTCAGATCCGCCAACACAACCGCAAATGGAGACGTAGACGCCATGACCGACGACCCTTCGCTCTCCGCGAATGGTGTCGCGCCTACAGCCTCCGGGGACATCATTGTCGGCATCTCGATCGAGCCAGCAGCGCAAGTCGAAGCTCAGCTAGCTCAGCTCAGGCCGGGACAGTCCTCGGCCGCTCAGCCTTCGTCTGCGCTGGTCAGATTGAACTCCGCGACAGGAGGCAGGGTCACGACTAAAGTGCTCGCGCAACGCATCATCGGCAATGCATTCAACTTCCTGGCCAGCTTCGGCAGCGACACTGTGCCTTTGAAGGCATTCCAGGACTGGTGGGCAAAATTCGAGAAGAAGGTTGAGCTTGACCCCTCTTTTCTGGAGAGGGAACAGGGTTGAGCCCCTCAGGCTGTTCGATCGTAGCATTACGCCGCACGATCGCCATCGCGAAGCACGTACTCCTTTTGAGGAGTTCGTACTGAGCCCGTCGACGATGGCCTTCTCAATGGCGGAAAGGGGTGTCATGAGGCTGTCTACTTGATCACCACCAAGCTAATCTGAGATGCCGAGATTCCCGCGCTCGCTCATACCGGAGCCGGTCCCTAGGGACCCTTACGGGCCAACGGCCGGTGAGATTTCGAGCATGTCAAGCTCACATTCGGAAGCTTAACCAGTAATTATGCCGTAGGACGAGGGAACATTGGCCTGATCCACTTTGATCTTTCGAGTGACAGAGCAAAACTCAAGTGGACGAGATAAATCCCGCTCCCGCGCTCGCAGAGGCTTGGTAATGATATTGCAGCCGACCTCGATTCGCATGCACAGCAACAACGATAACAGCGCGTTCGGGGTCAAACTCCCGTGCAGCCTTGGCTTGAGTTAGCGGACGTCGTTCCCATGCGGCGTCGCCGCATAGAAGCGACGAGATGGCAGGAAGTAGCATACAGCGAGCAATCTCCCACTGATGTTAGGGACTGCTGCGCAAGGAGCACTGAACCAGTATATGGCTGGTCGAAAGGTGTTCAAGAAGCAGATAAGAACTGGGAGCGGTGTTGTGATTGAATTGATAACTGATTGTAGCATCTACGATCACTCAGTGTGGCGTGGCCGCAGTATCCGGTGCGCTGAAGTGCATTGTGGTCGCGACGAAAGTCGTGTGTCGAGGCTGGCGAATACATGTATTCGACGTAATTGACTGTACCGCGCTCCACCATCGTTAGTACCTCTGATCGGTATCAGCCTGACGCTCGCGTACTGAATGCGCATCACGGATGCAAATGTTGATGTCCCAGAGGCCGTGCAGTTGCGGCAGTCACGCTCAAGCTTTCAGGCAGGTTGCGACCATAAAGAAGCCTCGGTTAATATGCAAGTTCGGACCACGAGACTCTCATTGGCTGATACTCTCTTGCTAGCGCAATCTGATAAGATCTTGGTCCAGCTAAATCCTACGTGTGTTCCTGTTAAACCGAACGTATTAAGGTAATGTATTTGGAGAGCAAGTGAGGCAGCGGCTCACATGGCCTTCACGAAGCGCAATGTAGCGATCAGACGCGATGTTGCACCTAACGGATCTGGAAACCCAGCTTCAGCCACCAGGTTAACAGGTATCCGTCCTTCGCCACTGACTTCACATCTGGTCACTTCAACCGGCACCCCGTCGCTTGACGACCTGCTGGGCGGACACTTTGGACTCGCTCTTGGATCATGCTTGCTCATAGAAGAGAGCGGTACCACTGACTTTGCCGGTGCTCTGCTACGGTTTTATGCTGCCGAAGGGCTGTGTCATGGCCACGTATTGCATATCGTAGGTGTTAGTGAGGCATGGGCGCGAGAATTACCGGGTCTAGCAGAGTCACGCAGCAATCGACATCTCGATAGCACCAAGAGTGGAGAGGAGCATATGAAAATCGCATGGCGTTATCAGAAGCCTAATCAAGGAGGCGAAAAAGGTGCGTTTGCACTCTATGGTGGAAGAAGTGGCGCATTGCGGAGCGTACTGAAGCCGCCACCCACCCAACGTCTTGTCACTGACGGTAGGTTCAGCTCTTCCTAATCACACTCTTGTGACCCAACAGACGGACGTTCAACACGAACCGTTCTGCCACTCGTTTGATTTAACAAAGCGTCTCGCAATTGCTGCGGATGCGAAGGTCAACTACGTGCGTCTAAAAGCAAATTTTAACCCTTTGGAGACCGTGGTCCAGTCTCTGCAGCAAGCTCTCTCTCAGTCGCAACCTGACATGGTTCACCGCCTCGTCATCCCAACCATTCTTAGTCCGGGCATGTACCCGCCATCTGCAAGCCAACCAGAAGTCTTCCTGCGAACGATGCACTCACTGCGTGCTCTACTTCGCCAACATGCTGGTCGCTTGACCGCAATGATCACCTTGCCTCTCGAACTTTACCCACGCAGCAGCGGCCTAGTCCGATGGGCAGAGCTTCTTAGCGATGGTGTTCTCGAGCTCACGCCGTTTCCGCATTTAATGGACGCTGCGACAGCTGAGACCGGCAACACTGCAAGTGGTGAAGAGCAGCCGCAAGGCATGCTCAAAGTACACAAGCTTCCCATCACCACCGAACGTGGCGAAGGCGGCGCTGGTGCAGTAAACAGCATCGGTGAAGACCTGTCCTTCACCCTTAGCAGACGAAAGTTTACCATCAGGCCATTCTCTCTCCCACCTCTTGAAGGAGACCAAGAAGGGCAGAAGGAGGCTGGTAAGCTCACGGGTAAAGATGTCGAGTTCTGAACCAGATGCGAACTGATCGAGCGCTGCTCAATCATTGTCTGCACCAAGGCGCTTGTCGAGCATATCCTCCATCTCGATATGCTCCCACCCTGCCTGTGTGCCGCCATGACCCATCACGCGCGCATACTGCAAGCCGTATGTTGTTGGGACTACGGAACGTCGCTGGCCGGCCCATGCGGCGCGGATATCATCACCTAAGCATGAAGAAAGCGCGAAGAAAGCCAATAAAAGAACCAGGAAGCTGACCAAGACGATGAGCAATAACAAGAGACCGTTCATTACGGCGAACGTGGATTTGCGAATCCAAAACACATATCGAGGACACATAAATCGAACGAGGCGATACGAAGACTTTTGGCGCCGACGCTGAATTGCCTCGGCTGTGTCTTTCAGAGCGTACTTGTAAAGGTCGATTGTGTTCGCGTTGTCATCGCATGATGTCCGACGTAGCCAGCACCTTCAACATCCATACTAAAGGGTTGCTTAGGAGGCGAGGCGTGGTGTCTGATATTCATCAAAGTGCACTCAATATCAACGCTTTCACCGCCACCGCCGGATCCTTGGCTGTATTCTTTGAGGTTGATGGCACCTTTCGCTCCTGGCGGTGACATCGTCCGTGTTCATCTGCTATGAAGTCACGAAAAGCCAAGGATGGCTCTGGCCAAAAGACTGAGGCTCCAGATCTCGCCATTGTTGGCGACAACATCAAGTTAACTACTGGCGATGCAAGCTCGCCAGGTCTCCTCCAGCCATACGCACGCTTTCGCAAAGCGCCTATCAATGCATTGCAGGAGCTTGGGTTGCATCTCACGGGCTCAGATTGGAGGAGCTACGAGTATGTTATCGGGCAACCGACATTCTATCCAGGCTTCAGCGAGAACATGAAGCGCTTGGTCATGGCGCAAGAACGGCTTCAGAAACGGATCGTAGAGCTTGCCCAAAAGCGGGTGGAAGTCGAGCTTCATGAAGGGCTTTTGGGTCCGAAAGGACTGGAGGGTGAAGAGCAAGAGCATAGGACGCGGAGATTCAGCCGGAGACGGCAACTCGCAGAGCAGCTGCGTGAGGTAGCCGAAGACTGGACGGACAAGATGATCTGTAAGATGGATAGTCGGTACTTCATCCGAGGAGCATATTACCTCGTTACGCAGCTCCTTACTCGAGCGTACCACCAAGGCATCCATGTCGGCAGCGAAGAGGTTGTGCGACTGAGAAAGGTTGCCGAAGAGGCAGCTGCGAAGCGGCAATCGATCATCTTCTTGCCATGTCATCGCTCACACGTCGATTACGTTGCGCTCCAAGTGGTCTGTTACCGCCTTGGCTTAGCATTACCGACCGTGGTCGCAGGCGAGAACCTCAACTTCCCAGTAATTGGGCCCTTTCTGCAACATGCTGGCGCCATGTGGATACGGCGGTCGTTCGGAGAAGACAAGCTGTACGGCACACTCGTGCAGAGCTATATGGACACACTGTTACAAAATGGCTTCAATGTTGAGTGCTTTATCGAAGGCGAACGTTCTCGGACAGGCAAGCTCCTGCAGCCGCAATTTGGCATTCTCAGCTACTTCCTCGAGAGCGTGCTATCGGGCAGTGTACAGGATGCGATGGTGTGTCCTGTCAGCATCCAGTACGACAAGGTGATCGAGGTCGACTCATACGTTAACGTACTGTTGGGCCAGCCTCAGCCGCGGGAAGATTTGTCAGGTTTCTTAGCACGAGCGGACGTTTTGTCGCTCAAGCTTGGAAGAGTCGACGTGAGATTCCATGAGCCCTGGAGCCTGCGTGGCTTCATCGATGAGCAGACGGTTCGACTGTCGCAAAGCGTAGCAAACAGCGACACCACCATCACACGAAGACGCCTGCTTAGCATGCTTGGGTACAAGGCACTCATGGACATCAACAGCGTGTCAGTAGTCATGCCGACGTCGCTTGTTGGTACTGTCCTTTTGACATTACGCGGCCGTGGCGTTGGCATGTCAGAGCTCATACGCCGAGTCGATTGGTTGAGCGATCGCATCCGCGCACAAGGTGGCCACATAGCGCAATTCGGTGGAAACACTACGGAAGTCGTTGTCGACAGAGCGCTTGAGGTACTAGGACCGAAGCTTGTGGGTCGTATCGATGGGCTGCCAGAGGCAACCTTTTATGCAGAGGACCGGTTTCAGCTTAGCTTCTACCGCAACATGACAATCCATTTGTTTGTACTGCAAGCACTAGTGTGCGTCGCTGTGTACACCGAAGCCAAACACGGCAGCCTAAGTGAGGCTCGGTGGGTATCCTACCAGGAGCTTCGCAACTATGTGCACTTCCTCTCCCAGCTATTCCGCGGAGAGTTTATCTTCCCAACAGCTCCATTGGAAGACACGCTAAGGTCGACTCTTCACGGCCTCCAAGACGATCGTGTGCTCACCACGGCCCGAAACAAGATCGTCAACAATGATATCGAGGATATTGCGTTGCATCCGGAAGAGCTTGCGTCAGGACGCGAGAACTTCGACTTCTACTGCTACATGATCTGGCCGTTTGTCGAGGCTAGCTGGCTCGGCACACTTAGCCTCTTCATGCTCGTACCACCTGCCGAGCATTCGGACAACGAGGCTTGGCTGAGACTGAGGGATGTCCAAACGCGAGCACAGCTCCTAGGAAAGACACTGTACCATCAGGGCGACCTGAGCTACTACGAAGCTGTGAACAAGGAAGTCCTGGCCAACGCTTATACGCGATCGCAAGAGGATGGCATAATCCATATCGTGCGCTCGAGAGATCGAAGGATACCTTCTACGGTGAGACTGGACCCTGCCTGGTTACCAGCGCGTCACGAAGGAGGCAGGCTGAAGCCGGAAGGCAAGCTTTGGGAGCTTTGTGAGCAGATCAGCCTCGCCAGGCGCGAGGGTAGAAACCGTCGCGACGGAGCCACAGTGCGGACGAGAGTGTTACGGTTGGTCGAGCTTGTTGCACAAGGCTTGTTCGCAGACGCCGCCGCCACGGACGTCAAGACAACACCACGCAGGTTACGGCAGCGCAAGGAGCTGCAGACGAAGGCGCTGCTATAAATACAAGCGGAGACGCATCTGTACTGCTTGGTACGTCACATGTACATCGCTAGAAGCTGCTCACAGGCCGCCCAGGACTCTTGTAGCACTTGCCACCCTTCCACACATGCGTGACGTGACTTGGACCGATCAACACCCTGATGTCGTTTAGCGGGTTCTCGTCGAGCGCAATAAAGTCTGCATCATAGCCCTGCTTCAACTGCCCTGCCTTCGGAGCCTGAGGTCCAAGCGTTAGCGGTCCGTTGGCTGTTGCTGCCTCTATGGCTTGTAGAGGGGTCATTCCAGCTTTGACGTGATAATACAACTCCTTCGCATTTGTACCCTGCCGGACGAGCTTGCTGAGTGGGTTGTTCGGCGCGAGGGTGCCAGTGTTGTCCGTACCAATAGCGCACTTTACACCTTTCCGAACGGCGAGTTGCATCGCTTGCCATTGCGCTTTCGCCACGACTTCGAGCTTGGCGTAACCGCGCGGTGAGAACCAGTCCTTCGACTGCAGGCCGGTCTCGACAATCCAGCGTGTAGCGACAAGGATGGCATCCTTCTCCTTCATGAGATCTGCAGCTTCGGCATCCAAGTAGCTACCGTGCTCGATGGTTTTGACGCCTGCCTTGAGACATGCCATGATACCGGGTTTGCCGTGACAGTGAGCGCCCACGTATCGTTGGGCGCGAGTGGCTTCCTGCACCATAGCGAGCAGCTCCTCTTCGGAAAACTCCTGATCGACCGGATTGTCGAGCTCGGAGCCAACGCCACCAGAGCCGCATATTTTGATCACGTTTGCGCCAGCACGTAGCTGCATGCGGACAGCTTTGAGGCACTCAGCCACGCCGTCTGCGGTCACAAACTTCGAGCCGTGAGAACACATGTCGTCGTACCACGGTTTGGGCAAGGGATGAAGATCGGCATGGCCGCCGGTAGGACTGCATGCCATCAGAAAGTCTTCCCATGGGTGGTCGACTGGCCGTAGGTCATGATGCTCACCTTATGATGCTATTTGCAGAGTATATGTTCGGGCCGGCAATCGAACCATCTTGTACTGCTTGGTTAAGCTGGAGCCCATACCCACCCATCTCGCGCACTGAAGTAAAACCAGCGTCCAAGAGACGCATCAGATCAATTGCCACTCGAGCTCCGGTTAATGCTTCGTTCTTGTAGCCCTCCAGTAGTCCGTCCCAGGACACTTTGTTGGCTCCGATGAAGTGGATATGGCAGTCCCACATGCCCGGCATGAGAACTTTGACATTGTGTTGAGGTAGATGGGAATACTGCGAGCGAAGGTCTTCGGCAGAGCCAACGTTGGTAATCTTTGAGCCTTCGACAACAATGAATCCGTTCCTTAACGGCTCGCCAGATCCTGGTATGAGTAGGTCCGCTGTTACGCAAAATGCATCGTCTTTGGGCTGCTTATCGAGATGCGTGGCTGAAGCTGATGATCCTAACGGCAGTTTGGGCAGACCGTGCACAAGGTCCATTGTGTTCTCCATGGCGTAGGAGCTACCACGCATGTCGAACACAGTAGCGCCGAGAGCGTAGGGTTGGCGTATGAGAGTGCAGAGAAGGGAGCGGTCTTCGAGGTAGGTAGGGAGATAGGACTCGACGAGTCCCAAGATCTTTCGTTCTGAGCGGCGAGTCTTACCTGGTCGTGATGATCTACCTTCTTCATTGAGTCAAGTTCGATGCAGGAACTGAATCCACAAACGGGCCGCACATGGTTCGTCGCTTATGGACTGTGACATCGCATAAGCACACGCCGAGGCAGGCCTCACGTTGATGTGGGGGTTCGTCGTAGGAAGTACTTTGTATTGATTGTTGAGGCTGTTGTGGCGACAGAAAGGTAGAGCAACATACGGCACCCTGATGTGCGGTTGCCGTGGCCCCGTGGGATCATAGCATCGTGCCAGAAATCTTGGAGCAGTCTTGGTCGGAGTCCATCGAGCCATCCTCCGGCCACATGAGTGACTCTAGCGCATCAGTGCGATGAACATAGCTGACTGTCTTCGTGGCCCGATGTCAATCACGGGTGTGAGAGCTACCAACAAACAATCTCATATGCCTCTGGTCCCACCATACGAGACGGCAAACAAGCACAGGAGTATGGAGCTTACTGTCGAAAGCAAGGACTACCTGACAGCACTTCCGGCAGAGCTGCTGTATTCTATATTCGACTACCTTGTACCGTCACATCAGCCAGACAATGCTTTCCATCCCGGAATTCCAAAGCCTCAGCCATTACACGAACTTGGCAAGCTGCTCTATGTCTCCCAGTCACTGCATAGCCATGTCAACAGTTGGGCCGAGCATTTTCACCGCGCCCATCAGTCCACCATGAGACTGCGGCTGACAAAGACCATCAACGCGCGACAAAAGCGCTTCTATTTCCACAAGGTGCAAAAGTGGGCCAGCCGTCACTGCATCTTCTGCGGCAAGACTTCCCGGCGGTCTGCGATTCTTGCAAGCAGCCTCAAGTGCTGCGCCAAATGCGACAAGCAAAGGTGGCCGGAGAAGATCACCAAAACTGACGCGAAAGCCGAATTCGACTTGCGCAACCATCAACTCCAACCGCACCTCCACCCTCGATTCGCTCACATCAATGGCCTGCCACGAGTCCGCTACGGGACTTACTTCACGTCAAACATCGCGACAACCATGTTTGTGCGCTCGGACGTCAAGCGCCTCGCTGAGTTCATACATGGAGATCTGGTAACGCACAAGCAACGCAAAAAGGCGGAGGCGGTCGAGCGAGAGAGGCGGAGGGCTGAGCGCGGCATGCGTCGCTAGCTTTTTGGAGTACCTACTGAATCACTGTCGGGTGTGCTGCTCTCCACAGGTTTCCAGTTGGTCTCTTCGATCCAGGTCTCAAATACCATCTCACCGGCGGCAACAGCTCGTACAGGCAAGGCCTTTGCCGACTTCGACACCTCTTTCTCATCATCATCAAGCCGCGGCTGAACAGGCACCCAGGGCTGCGGATGACTGACGGGTGCCTCTCTGTCGACTTTCAGTTCGATTGCTATGGTAAACGTACAGGCGTCGGGTAACGGTTTCAGCTTGGTACCGCAGTTGGTCAGCTTGCTCATAGTGGCGCGGAACTGCTCCTCCATGTCCACTTTTGGAAGAACAGGCATACTCTCGCCATTTGCTAGTCGTTGCATCGGAAGGTCCACGTCCTTGGCACTGAGGGATGGGAAGCGGGAGACATCGAAGACGTATCGTTCCAGAGGCTGGTTTTGTGGGGTGTAGATCACGACAGCAATATGCTTCACGGTGCACTTAAGTAGCTCGTTCTCGACTGCTGCGACAGCATCATTGATCCATTCACATACTTTTGGGTGCCGGTTTTGGCGCACTGGAAAGTTGTATTTCCGCGCTAAGAGGAACGATGTTTCCGGGTAGATCGCTCGCTCGTACAGGATAGTATGGATTGCGACAGTGAGGAAGTCTGTAAAGCTTGTGACGAGCGTTCGATATGTTGGTGCATCTGCCGCCATCGCCTGGAGGCTGAGACAAAGTGACTGTTAGGCGCCCCTCAGCTGTTGCCGGCAACTCGAGTCATCACCCGTTCAGTCATCACCCGTTCAGTCACAGCACCTCATTCTAGCGCTGGCGTCCGCAGCCCGTCGCTCGTGTTATGCCTGAACTTGTGGAACACTTGTCGAAGGTGGAGTCTTGCCGTCTCTGAAATTTGGTGCCTAAGGCCACTAATTATAAATCCTCGGTTTACGTAAAGCCTCGCAGGACACTATGGGCCCTCAAATCACTACGTTCTCCTCCACATCACAAGTGTTGGAGCCTACGTCGATTCGATGGTGCGCTGCTCATCGGACCATCTCAGCTATGGCAAATAGAGTCGCCTGCTTAGAAACCGTCAATGGCCGCTGAAATCCTTGTCAAGATCATATCCACTCCATCTATTGAGCGGTTTCACCCCAGCATATTTTCACATGCCGCCAATCTTCTCATACCAAAGGGTAGACGTACCTTGACCATGACCTCTGACCTACAGATCCATAGCCAGGAGGGTTAGCTACGTCTCAGACAATGCAAGAGGATGTACGCATCATTATGCTTACAGCAACCGTCGAGCAAGTGTTATTGGCATATTTCTGGTGAGCAGCGTGCATCTGCTGATGGCTGATCACCTTTCCGTAGGACTCCTGCTGCCATCATATGGCACCGATGAAATGCTGCGTCCTCACGTGAGGATGGCCCAACAGGTTCACGTCGGAGATCATGGCGACAAAGTCTTCCGCCAGCATGGCCTCCTACAGTCTGTTTTTGAAAAGTGCAATATAGTCGACCTGCAGTGCATGGGTCTCCGGGCGCGAAAGATGGATAGTATAGCGTAAAACCTGCCATCAAAGTGGGAGCGATGCACTGCCGTAGCCGCTGCCAATCCTTTGCATCGTAGCTGTCTGCCCACTCGAATAGAGCCGCTTGACAATGCATGACATCTAGGATCAAATTAGTTTACTATTAATGGTAGTCCGCTCGTATGATTGCCTTCGAAGCACGGAGTCTTCGCCGTGTGTGCCGTGTTTGTGAAACTTTATGCGGCTAGGTACGCATATAGAGATATCAGATCGGTGTGACTACGATTCCAGCCAAATTCTATCAAAACAACAACTTTAGGGTTGACGAGGGCCATTGTAGCCATCATAGTCCCGTGTCAAAGTTACTGTTCATTCCCGCACTGGGTTGGGTGAAAAGGGTGAACGCTCGTTTCCCCACGCTAATTGCGGTTTGTTAAGACCTCTGTCATTCCTCGTCCGTCCCGACTGTGGCGGCCACAGGCAAGTGTAGCACTCTGTTCGAACGTCCTTGCGCGTTTCAGCGTCGTAGCATGGTGGACTAGCATGCACGTATGTTGACGTGGAACGGAAGCACAAGACTTTGGACCCCTTAATCCAAGCTCACACTATCATCCGTGCGTAAGGCAGCAATTGATGCTGCCTGACAGTCACTCAATATGAAACAGCGAGAAGTACATCTGAGGACATCATGAAACCAATTGTAACGGTAAGCTGCACCCAGTGTAGCTACCACCCTGACCGAGTCTGCAATCTTCAGCACAGCGACAGCGGGACTGGTTGCTTCGCCGGCGCCATCTGCTCACTCCAGACGGCGAAGAAGGGTGATTTCTCCAAAAGCGGCCACAATCAGACCCTGTCAGATGTTGCCGCATGACCAAGTCCAACTAAGCTAGAACTCCCAGGTGCGTGGTGGTGTGAGGAAGGCAGCCATGGAGCAACAGCTCGTCCGGTTGCTCACGGAAACTCAATCCTCGCAAGAGGCGCCAAGGACGAACGCAGAGTGGCAGCTCAAGCAGCTCTATAGCAATCCAGAACTGCCACTGGCCCTCACCTCGATCGCTGGTCATGGCGATGTACCTGTGAACATACGTCAATCAGCCCTGCTCACGCTCAAACTGTTCGTGCAGGCTTGCTGGTCACCGCAGTTCGACGAATTCAATGGCCAGTTCTTCGCGGACGATAGCCGAAAGGTGCAGATACGGCAGAGATTGCTGCATCTAGCACTGAGTGAAGGGGACGAAAGAAAAGTCAAAAGTGCGGCAAGCCTTGTCGTAAGCAAGATCGCAACTGCGGACTTTCCGGACGAGTGGCCTGACCTGTTATCGACCGTACTCAATGTGGTCGCTTCTGGAACCGATCTGCAATTGCACGGTGCCCTGAAGGTACTGCTGGAGCTTGTAGACGATTGCTTCAGTGAAGATCTGTTCTTCAAAGTTGCAGGAGACGTGGTACGAGTTGTGCACGGCGTGGCGGTCAACGAACGCCGGTCACCTACCATGCGCGCACTGGCTGTGTCTGTTTTTCGATCATGCTTCGACACCCTTGAAATGGTGATGGAGGATCATAAGGCAGAGGTCAAAGGTTTCGCCGAACGGGCGATGGGTGGCTGGATGCCATTCTTCATCAGTACCCTAAAGGTCTCACTCCCACCGGCACCTTCAGACGAGGAAGAGGACCAAGTTACAGGTGCACCAGAGCTCTACCGCGGTTCGGTGGCGTTGAAAATGCAGGTGGTGAAAGTGCTCATGCGAATACGGTCGCTCTTTCCTGCAGCGCTATCGCCTCACAGTCAAGCGCTCTTTTCTGCGACCTGGTCTGAGCTGTCAACGTTGCAGTCACAGTATCAGCAGATGTACATTGATGATGACAGACAAGGTCGATTGGAAGACGCCGATGGTTTACCGTACACGCTGGACTTTCTGGTGCTTGAGGAGCTCGACTTCATGCAGGCATGCCTACGTGCGCCGCCAGTCCGAAAGGAGCTTGAACAGCAGCTACAGGACCGAAGCTCTGTGGCGGGCAGTTGGATGACCGAGGTGCTGAAGATCGCAGTTGCATATGCTCAGATAACCACGGAAGAAGAAGGACTGTGGGACATTGATGTCAATGTCTTCCTCTCCGAGGAAGCCAACGTGACCGCTAATTATACGCCCCGAACGGCTTGCGGTGACTTGGTGATCAAGCTTGGCGAGTGGCTTAATGCTGCAACTGTCGAAGGCCTACTTGCTTACACGCGTGCACTGTACACTGAGCACGCAAACTGGAAGTTGAAGGAGGCGGCGTTGTACCTTCTAAACCAGCTGCTTGGTGACTTTCAAGACGTGGAGAAGAAGATAGGCGCCGAGGCTGCAAAAGGCTATGTCGACTTCATTCAGCATGCTGTCCAGGAAGAAGCTGTCTTCCTCCGCGCAAGAGGCTACCTCGTGGCTGGCAGTCTTACACGCACATCTGGCGATGCGTTACAACCTGTTGCGGCGAGCTTCATGGAAGCCTCATTGCAAGCGATCAATGGCGACCCGTCGGAGATTGTCAAGGTCTCCTGCATACGAGCGCTGCAATACTATCTGGCTTCACTACCCACCACGATCACCCTGCCGAAGCAAGCTGCTATCATTGCAGCTCTGACCAACTTTTTAAACACACAAGATCTGAGCGACCTTGCAGATAGCGACGATTTACTGATCGCGATTATCGAGACACTGCGTGATGCGATACTGCAGGACACAAGCACATGTCTCTCCAATGGTGGCATTGATCTTCTGTTTACGGTCGCCAGCCGAGGCGCAAGTAATTTCCAGATAGCCTTGCTCGTAACGGAGACGTTCGAGGAAGTAGCGAGCACTGTCTCAGCCGCTGGAAGTCAAGAATTTGCTCTGTTGTCAGCGAAGGTCTTGCCCTCGCTGATGGGCGCCTTCGATGTAGCGACTCTGACGGAAGAGAATGGGCTCGCGAATTTGGCCGCAGAATTGCTCTCCGTGCTTGCGGCCAACGGCTCATCGCCTCTACCGCGAGGGATGGTGGCGTCAGTCATGCCAAGGCTGAACCGGCTACTGCTAGGTTCACAGGATGAGGAGCTGCTCAAGTCTGCAACCGCTGCGATCAAGCATATGCTGCACCACGACCCCGAGCAAGTCTTCAACTTCCAGGATGGAGCCGGAAAGCATGGCCTGGAGGTTGTACTCGTCATCATTGATCGTCTGCTGAACCCAGCTGTGGATGACAATGGCGCTGCAGAAGTTGGTGGTCTGGCTGCGGAGGTGGTGGAGAAGGCTGGTTCGGACAGACTAGGTCCGTATCTGATGCAGCTGCTACGGGCAGTCGCGGCAAGGCTGGCTACTGCCGAGCAGGCGGCTTTCATACAAAGTCTGATTCTTGTCTTTGCACGCTTGTCACTTACCGCGGCTCAGGATGTCGTTAGCTTCCTGGCAGACGTGCGTATTGGGGCCGACAGCGGGCTGCAGGTCGTCATGAGCAAGTGGTTAGAAAACTCCATCACATTTGCTGGATACGACGACATACGGCAGAAGTAAGCATGGTTTTCCAAGACAAGTACTGTGCATATTTTACTGACGAGTGAGTGCAGCGTGGCCGCCCTCACAAAGCTCTACAGCCTCCACGACCCCCGCATCGAACAGATCCGCGTCAAGGGTGACTTGATCGTGTCGAAGACAGACAGCAACCGCATCATGACCCGCTCCCGCGCCCGTCAGCAGCCCGAGCAATACACCATGATCTCTGCGCAACTTAAGATCGTCAAAGTTTTAATTGAGGAGCTGCTCTCCGCCTCCGGCTCCAGTCGTGCGTTGGACACCGCAGATGCTGCTGAGTTCGAGGAAGACGGAGACGACGAAGGCGAGTGGGAGGACGATCCGAATGACTTCGTCGATCTCGGTTCCGGTATGACGAAGGCGCAATTGATGGCGTTGGGTGACAACGACGAAGGTCCGTCGAGAGGAAGAGATGACGAGACGCAAGCGTTGCTGCTGCATTTCTTCAAGGAGCAAGCGTCCAGGCCGGAGTTCGGACAGGTGTTTCAGGCGCTGACAGAGGAAGAGATGGAAAAGTTGAGGAGTCTGAGCGCTTGAGCGCACGATATGCCGTAATGACCTGATGAGTACGTAGATGCGCGCTGCACAGCGCTGGATGGGTGACTGCATAGCGAGCGAAGACCCTGCTTAGAGCCGTCTTTCTACGTGGGAAGGTCCGACTGATAACCTTCCACCTTAACCACTGCAACCGCTACAACCACTGCTCGCTGCTTTCGCTGACCATATTCCTACACTGAAGCAGGACTCAATGCCGGCCAGTCCTCGACCGTGGTGCTTGGCGGGTCAACGCGTTGACGGACTCAGTAGTTGTCACCATGGCATCGCTGATAATGATTGATCCACTGGATCCTTCGAAAAGGTGCTAGTTTGCGAGCGCCTACCCAAACATTCGGTTCCTGGCGATGCACTCTTTCCACGCTCTACAGGGTTCGAGCGGCGCTGCGAACGCGCAGTCTTGGGCTGGTACAATTTCCGGTCCAGGCTTGCTCAATCATGACAGATTAGCGATCCTCGTGATTCACCTCGTAGTCCGGTTGATAAAGACCTCGATCAGATGTACCTGAACATGTTCGACTTGACGCTGCGTTTCATCGCAACTGGCTGGCCGTTTTCGTACTCAACGCCTGCTTCGCCACCGTCTCCGGCAATACCAGCAAGCTTCTGGCGGAGTTCTTCGTCCAGCTCCGCCTGGGTCTTCTTTTTCGTAGCCTGCTGTTTGACAGACGAAGCTTCTGCCTTCTGGTCGATCTGCTGCTTGTCCGTTGGAGCACGGGATTGTGTGCTTGCTGTTGATGAAGCACGGTAAGCCTGGCGGCTGAGCAGACCACGCGCAGCTGATCGCGACGCTGCAAGCATTGTGAATACCTATGGCTGAACCGATCACGCGTCCAAGTCACGTATTTGGAAGGGAAGGATAAGTCATTACACTGAATGGTGATCTTCAATGAGAAATGGATGTAAGTCTGACGCCATATATTGCATGACTCGGAACGCTGATCCTAACTCGAACCATGACTCAGCCGGACATCTTCCGTCGCTCGCTCGCTCTCGACTTCTACATCGCATTCACTGCCGGCGAGAGAAAGCGGGCTAGGTTGCGCTAGACGGAGTCGACAGGACAACTCTTTACTCACAGACCGATGCCTGACGACGTTCGCATCACACTCGTCCGTTACAAATTCTGCTGGGGTTAGCCATGCCCGTGGTAAAGGTTTGCTTGACGCCAACTGTTATTTGTTGCTCGCTATAACGCTGACAACTTCGCGATACAGGGCGGAGTGTGGACGAACGTAAATTCTCTACCTACATAGCTCTCCAAAACCCTCGCACTGTGCGCTGACTCTGTGGCCCAGATCGAGGACGAAATCCTAAAGGCCGCCGTCTCCAAGTATGGCCTCAATCAATGGGCGCGAGTGTCTTCACTGCTCGCCCGCAAGACCCCGAAGCAGTGCAAGGCTCGATGGTCAGAATGGCTGGATCCGGGAATTCGAAAGATCGAATGGAGCCGCGAAGAGGACGAAAAGCTGCTGCACTTGGCCAAGCTAATGCCGACGCAGTGGCGGACCATTGCGCCGATTGTAGGGAGGACAGCGACGCAATGTCTGGAAAGGTATCAGAAGCTGCTCGATGAGGCCGAGGCAAGGGAGACTGCAGCGGAGCTCGCGCTGGGAGGGCCAGAAGGTGGAGAAACGGCCGCGCCGAGTGCGGATGATGTGAGGAGACTACGCCCTGGAGAGCTGGATCCGGATCCCGAAAGCAAACCAGCACGACCTGACACAATAGATATGGACGAGGATGAGAAAGAGATGCTGTCCGAGGCCCGTGCGCGTCTGGCGAACACGCAGGGTAAGAAAGCGAAGCGGAAAGCGCGTGAAAGACAGCTGGAGGAGTCGCGAAGGATGGCCGTGCTGCAGAAGCGGAGAGAGTTGAAGAGTGCAGGTATTAACGTCAAGGTGGTGACGCGGAAGAAGGGCCAGATGGATTACAACGCGGACATACCCTTCGAGAAGGCGCCGGCACCTGGATTTTACGACACGCAGGAGGAGATCGATCAGAACGAGAAGCAGCGTGAGATGTTCGATCCGCGGAGGCAGCAGCTAGCGAACAAACGAAAGGGTGAGCCGGGCGATGGTGTTGAAGGCCAGGAACCAAAACGCAGAAAGAACGAGAAAGATGGCGGTGCATCTGCTTTTGCTGCGGCTGCGAAGGCTGATCAACTCCAACGAATACGGGAAGCGGAGCAGAGTAGCAAACGAAGGGGTCTCACCCTGCCGGCTCCACAAGTCAGCGAGGCGGAGTTGGAAGATATTGTGAAGATGGGCCTGTCCGGCGATCGTGCTCTCATGTCGGGAGAAGACGGTGACACAAGAGGCCTCATGGCCAACTATTCCAACACCATCGGTGCCACCCCTATTCGTACGCCACGCGCTCCGCAGGGCGAAGACCGTATTTCTAACGAACTCCGCAACGCAAGGGCCCGTACAGAGACGCAATCAGCGCTACTCGGTGGCGACAATACGATTTTAGCTGAAGATGACGCAACAACAGGCTACCAAGGTGCTGCCCCGTCCCAGAAGACTCTAGCTACGCCTAACCCACTTGCAACGCCGATGCGCAACGGTTTCAATGGAACCACGCCGCGTGGTGGAGCTGCTGCGACGCCATTGCGGACACCACGCGACAACTTCCGGCTCAATGATGACGAAGGCGGCATGCAGCTTGTTAGCCAAACACCACGCGACGTCCGTCTTGCTCGTAATAACCTAAAGTCGAAGCTTGCAAGTCTGCCTAGGCCTAAAGAAACGGAGTGGGAGCTTGAGTTGCCCGAGGAGCGCGACGAAGGGGCTATCTCCTCGTTGAAGCCAAGCGAGGAAGACGCTGCGACTCGCGACAAGCGAGATGCGGAAACTGCGCATGCGCAGGCGCTGGGGGAGCTTAGACGCCAAACGCAGGTCGTGCAGAGAGGCTTGCCGAGGCCGAAGGTTGTCGACTTTACAGCGCTGCTTGATCGTGCTCGTAGCATTGAGGATCCTATCGAAAGACTCATCGCCGAGGAGATGGCCAGCTTAATGGCACACGATGCGTTGCATTTCGGTGGCGCGCATGTGAGTGGCAAACCGCGGCCGGTGGAGATGCTGGACGAAGTAGCCTTGCAAAAGGCGAATATGGAAGTGATTCTCGAAATGGGTCACGACGCCAATCGAGCTTTGTTCGGCGGAGCTTTCCAGCAAGAGTGGGAAGCCACGCACGCTGCCAGCTTGTTGCCTGGACTCGCCGGTTACGCCGAAGACGAGGCTGACGAGACGCAACTTCTCAGCGAGAGTTTCGATCAGGTTCTCGATGGCCTCACCGTTTCTGCGGAGCGAGGCGCGGCGCTTGAGAAGAAGCTTGCCAAGATTCAGGGCGGGTATGTGATGAGGCAGAAAGTGCTTGTTAAGAAGATTGAGGCTGCGGCTGCAACCTTGGAGGATGTGAGGAGGGAGGGCGATACAGCAAGGTACGCGCTTGTGGCTGAGGAGGCCGGCGTCAAGGAGAGGCTTGAAGGTTTGAGGGAAGAGGTTGCGTTCGTGAGGCGGAAGGAGAGAGAGGCGCAGGAGCTGTATAGGGAACGGAGAGAGGAGCTTGAAAGGTTGGGCGCCGAAGCTTGAATGCTTGTAGCTTGGTGCTTGTAGCTTGTCGTTGTTTCAACGTCGATCATGCGCCTCTGCGCGCTTTGAATGATCGCCACTCCTATCCACCTGCTCGGACTTTGTGGGTTCGTCCTCGTAAATACACTCACGCCGCAGAAACGGCGGTGTCGCCTTACATTGAAGGTGGTGGTCTACGTTGCTCAACCGAAATGTGCACCCTCTAATTTTGGGCGTCGCCACTTGCGCCACGCGCACCGTCTTCACATTCATGTTGTCAGCAAAACAGGTTGATAACCGGGCTTCTCACAGGGGTCCAGGTGATGGGCCTGCGTTCGCCTGCAGCAAGACCGAGAGACTCGGCGTGCGTGCTGTTCAGTGGTCATGTACCGTATCGCCAGCGTCCGGTCACGGAACACTCGAAACCAGCCAAACGCCGATGGCGTGGCCATGTGTTGTCGATACATCGGTGAGCGCTATACCCGAAGGCTTCATCCGGGTGGAAGACATGCGGACCGCGGGTGTCGCGAGGATAGTCTTCAAGCTTGTATAAGCGGGTGGCGAATCCGATATAGAAGCTGTTTGTAGTACGTCTCGGTTGACTCGTTTGCTTCCTCTCACTTTAGTACTACGATGAGCAGGACCAAGATGAATATCAGTATCCCGATAGTGACCCAGCTCCAGTTTTGCCGGCCCTTGCGCGCTACGTTCTCCAGCCTCCGGCGTGCTCTGTCGAGTGTGCTCTGATGCCTGTCGACGCCGCTCTCCACATCGTCAAGCATGACATTATGCTCGTCAAGTTCGTCGCCAATCTGGATACCAAGCATACGTTGTCGGCTAACGCTTTGACCGAGCGTCTGCAGCTGCTGATCCTGATCCTGAATGACTTGCTTATGATAAGCGTGAATCTGCTCATTGTCCATCTGTGACTGATTGGAATCTTGCGGTTCGTCTCTGTATCGCTCGCCCTCAGCGAGCAGGGCCGTTCTGTTGGCTTGATGTTCGGGGTCATCTTCGTCAGGGTTGTCCCGGAAACGGACACTCTTGCTACGCCGTGGCTGTGGAGCTGCTATAGCGGCGTCAAAGTCTTGCTTAAGGTTGGCGTCGTTTGGCCGTTTCAGCTCGGATGAAGTAGGCGCTGTGCCGTGGAAATGCGCATAAAGCTCGTTATACTGTTTCCTGAGCCGTGACAGGTCCGAGTCATTCTCTTCTGGCGTTTCATGATCGCGAGCATGTGCTTCTAACTGCTCAAGACCGTCATGCAGATCCTCTAGTGAGCGGGTAATCTGCGCGTCTTGCTTGCCGGCATCGATGTTGAGGGAGACGGCACGCTGGCGCTCGAGTAGGGACAGCTTGAGGTGGTCCGCGAGGAGGAGTAGCTGGCGCGGAGAGGTATGCGACATCGTGCGAAACCTGGAGATCACTATGTGCAACGGATGGTCGTTATGCTTGGTGGTGAGCAAGGGACATAAGACATAAGCGGCATCGAAACCTATGCGATCCTGTACATGTAGTGATGCCTGCAAGCGATTAAGTTGCGGAGGCGCGCAGCATCCGCGAGCCGAGCACGTGGCAGAGTAAGGAACACATTCGTACACGGACAGCAACCACTCTCCTTCACGCATTGCCACCTACCCGCAAGCTCACTCAAGTATGACTGACCTCGACGACGATGAATACGAGATTCCTCTGCGCGACCAGCGCTACTTCGGCTCTGGTGTAAAGCGCAAGCGCATTCAGTTCGTACCCTCTACACCCGGGACTAGCATACGAAGCTTACCATCACCATCGGTAGCATCCGCGGCGGATAGATACCTTGCCATTGTGCTGAAAAGGCCACAAGTAGCAACGACTGCGCATGAGGAGAACCTAGTGTCACTCGAGGGACAGCAGTCTCCGGAGGCTACCGGGGGATCGCTAGAGAATGTCGATGGTGGCTCAGCAAAAGCCGTAGCACGAGACGCAGAGTGCGACATTTGCCACCTTCCAGTAGCCGTATCCGATGCCACCCGTCACAAGACTAGCATAGCGCATCAGGTCTGCCTCCAGCACTCGCACCCGCCATCAGACGTTGACCGTACACGCAAAGGCCTCGCCGTGCTCGAGAGGCAGGGATGGGATCCTGACAGTAGGCTTGGACTGGGTGCAGCAGGTGATGGACGCTTGCACCCAGTCAAAGCCGTCGAGAACGCAGATAGGCTAGGCTTGGGTGCAAATCGTGAGAAGGTTAAGAAGTCGGAAAGGCCTGCGAAATTAGACGCTGGCAAGGTGAAATTACTGGAGAAGGCGAAGCAGAAGGAAGCTGAAGCATTGAGGAATGCTTTCTATCGGAGTGAGGAGGTGGAGAGGTACCTGGGCCAGCAAGACCGAGGGGCCGAACTGCCGTGAAGGCTGAGGCATAATGACCATGGTGGACTGGCAACATGGGATGCCAGCCGACCTGGACGTTGAATCCAAGCCTGTTTGCCCTTCGGTGAGCTGGCAGAGGAATGAATAAATGGTATGTGTGTGTGCAAGATTTGCAATACCCACAGCAATCATTAGATGTTAGATGGTAGCTTGGGAAAGTCTACGATCTGCGGTAGATAGTAAGGCGACGGTGTTTCGAGGCGTAGGCGAAGCTCGTCTTTACGTGTTGCCCATCTATACTCTGCAATGCACAATGACTATCCCGGAATTCTTGTATGTAATGTGCCAAAGAGATGGAATAACTGCGAAAGTTGCGACATTGACCATGACTAATCAGCCACTTCATTGTTCTCGACTTTCCACTGAATTATCTTCCAAGATCTGCACCGAAGATACTACATCCAGAGCGTAGAGGATGCTACAATGACCCTCTCGCAAGGTGGTCAGTTATTGCCCTCCGAGGAGGCGGCCACACCGCTTTACGTTGGACACCACGACACCCAGCGAGACGAAACGTCGCCCAGCGTCTTGCTAGCCCAGGCACAGGAGGCCGGCTACGATCTGGTGACATTACCAGTCACCAATGGAGGCTTCCAGTCGCATGTTCTCTCGGTCATAGAGCAATATGTCACCTCATTAACGCGGGCTCCCGAGGCGAAAGGTGTCCCACTGCCGCTTTTGGCGCCACTGGCGCCTGATCATACTAATCTGAGTCCGGGAGAGGGCACATCTTCCCTTGTCGCTTTCGCAAGCCCGTGGATCGATGTGGGCTCCCCGGATCCATTGATTGCTCATATTAGTCGGCAAGTGCTCAATCTTGAAGTTGCGTATGCAGCCTTCTGTGGCATTAGCAATATTGCTATTCGCGGACCATTGAATCATGCAAGCATATCCCAGTATGGACGCGCAGTACTCGAGTTGCTTGGAGTCAGCCCGTACCTGCAGATCCATTTGTTGCTGCCTGTGAGCGGTGAGCTCGAGCAAGATATCAGTGATGAACACACCCATCTGGCGGAACTGGTCAGGCCGCAGTATGTGAAAGGAACCGAGATGGATGAGGATGACCCAAATGAGTACAATAGCTGGGACGTGTGGAATACGATCCGCTCGATGTGTAATTACAACTCAAAGCTCTCAATCGGTACGCGACAAGCCCCTAGTCACATCATCTCCTCTCTATTCTCCTCCTTTGCCTCACTCATAATATTCCTGACCCGCCGGCTCCGAGAACGGTTGATCTGCATGGCAAGGTATGACGACTAAGCTCGACGATGCCTCTATGATACACAGCTAACACCTCCGTTCAGCGCTTGAGTTGCCACGCCAGCTGCCACCACTGTCGTTGCAGTCACGCTGGTTTTCGGAGCCTGTTCGAATGCTCTCCTTGCCACGGACCAGCTTCATCCGTAATGGCAAAGGCTATCCCGTTTTGTCAAATGCCCTCCAACAGTATCTAAGCCGCTTTCTCCGTCTACGCTTCGCGCCATTGTTGCTGCTAAGCAATGTGGCACACTTATCTACAGCTGGAGACGGTGCAGCAAGCCAGTCACGGATTATGAATCCAACACCCGCGGAGGCCGCCACGCAGCCTGCAGGTCAAGAGGATCGTACTCTCCATCTGCAATATATGCGTCACTTGCAGCAGACCCAGCCCTTACGATCACCAATCGAACGTTTTGGACAGGGCTACCAAGACTACATGCAGTCTCCACTACAGCCGCTGACGGATAATCTCGAGTCCATCACTTACGAGGTCTTCGAGAAAGACCCAATCAAGTATGAATGGTACGAGCGTGCCATTGCATTGGCGTTGAAAGATCTGGATGCACGCTTCGGCAACCAAAGGGCCGTTATTGTGGCCGTTGTGGGTGCCGGCAGAGGGCCGCTGGTGACACGAGTGCTGCAAGCAAGCCAGAAGACAGGCGTTGCTGTTGACTGCTGGGCAGTGGAGAAGAATCCAAACGCCTATGTTCTGCTCCAGAAACGCAACAGAAGTGACCCGCTTTGGAACAATCAAGTCAATCTCGCCAAGTCTGACATGCGAAGCTGGTCCGGCCCGCCTGGGCTGGCCGGTCGGACAAACACAGTAGACATCCTTGTTTCAGAGCTGCTCGGTTCCTTTGGAGATAATGAGCTCTCGCCAGAGTGCTTGGACGGCGTACAACACGTTCTTCACCCAGTCCATGGCATCAGTATCCCGCAAAGCTATAGCGCGCATTTAACTCCTATCGCCACTCCAAAACTGCATGCGGACTTGCTCAGTCGCAGTTCACTGGATGTCACCAGTGACAAGTGGGAGCTGCCATACGTCGTCATGCTGCACCAGTACGATTACCTCGCTGTCAGTCCCGAGACAGCTGAAGAGCAGCACGGCCCAGATGTGCAGGAAGCATGGTCCTTCGCACACCCTGCACCCGCCACTTTACTGGTACAAGCCCAGAAGCGTGCGGGCGGCATGATCGATGCGGGCGGCGGTGTTGGCGGTGATGGTACGAACGAGCACAATAGTCGGTCATGCCAACTCCGCTTTAAATGCGACAACCGCGGCTTCTGTCACGGTCTGGCCGGCTACTTCGAAACGGTGCTTTACCACAGCTCCTCCACGGGGCAGAAAGTCGAGCTGTCCACCAATCCGGTGACGATGGCGGAGAAGAGCAAAGACATGATCAGTTGGTTCCCGATCTTCTTCCCATTCAGGACGCCGCTGTATGTGCCTGATGGCGCGGAGCTGGAGGTGAGTATGTGGCGGCAGACGGACGATCGGAAGGTTTGGTATGAATGGATGGCTGAAGTGCATGAAGAAGCGAACGGTAAGAGAAGAGGACTGGGGATGTCGGAACTGCACACGAGCCGCAAGAATGGATGCTTGATGTGAAGAGTGATAAGAATGATAACGCAATGCACGCATTTGGGCGTTCAATAAGTCGCTTCTATGCGAAGATTACTGTATGTACAGTCGGATTTCAAATCATGCTACATTAACATTAGCCATATGCGCCAAATGGAAGGCCAAATGCCTTCGTGGTCGTGATCATGGTTGTCATATCCGCCCTCAATAACCCGACATGCGTACCCTCCAAGAAGTAAGCGCTGTCCGCCTTCTAGTCTTACCGTTGTAGTATACATTGCTCGTTCAAAATGACATAAATGCTCACTAGGCGTCAGCTCTTAATAATGAGGCGTGCCCGTACCGCCGAAGATCTGGTTAAGCCAGCCGGGGTGACCATTTCCATCCTCCCGCGACACCCAATCTGCGATGGTACTCCCGTCAGTGAAGACTGCGATGTCATCGGAACCAATACTAGTCTGCAGGTTGGTCATCCATGCTGCCTTCTGATATTCGCTCCACGGCCGGTGCGCCAGAGGTGGCGCTACGGCTTCCTGAAGTAGAGATGCCGGATGGAGATGCTGTTGGCTCTGGTAGTATGATTGCTGCGGTGTTGGATAGGCTGAACCGGGGTGCAGTGGTGTTGGTTGCTGATTGGCGCTGTTGGACACCGAGTAGCCTGAGTTGGGCGTGGGAATGTGATATGAGCTATTGTTCTGAGGTGTCCAGCCGCCGTAGGCTGCGGAGGGATGACGTTCATGAACCGGAGAGCCATGTGAGGACGTCGTTACTGTGTGTGATGCTGGAGAAGCCATGCTCGGCGGGCCACCTGCGTAGGCTGAACTTTCTTTTGCGAAGGTGGGTCGAAAGCTATTGAGAAGAGGTGGGTGATTTGATGCTTGCTGCTGCTGTTGTTGCTGTACATGTGCGACTAGCGCTTGCTGGTGAGGTGCGGTCGAATACTGCGACGGAAAAGACTCGTAGCTGCGGAATTGAGCACTACTCGGAGTGGACGCGCTTGTCTGCCCGTTTGCTTGAACACCGTTCGTTGCGTTGATGGCGGTCCACGGCCCACCTTCTGCGCTTGCCTGTTGCTCGCCCTCCTCGCTCTTCGTAGTCGTGCCAGCACTACTATTTTCGTAAAGAGCATCAGCATTTCTCGCACCCGGCATTAGTCCTGCGTCAGTCATCTCCACATCCTGATCCTCAAGCTTTCCGAACTCAACCAGCGTTCGCTCGAGTAATCTCCACTCATCGAGGCCTCCACCCACGCCACCTTCGCGTAGACTCAGACGGCGCGTCGAGCCCGCTTCGTTGCCAGACGAGCTCGGCTCAAGATTGTGAATGTTCTTCCGATAATCGCTTTTCATGCGCCTCAGATACTTGTGCATACGATTTATCGTCGCGAACCAACCGTCCGCCATCCGTAATCTCGGTCGCATCTGGCCAATTATCTCCAGCGCCCTCCGCGCCGCTTCAAAGCCTTTACCCCCGCCAGGCCGGGAGTCATCGCCATAGGACTGCATTAATCCATCTGGTCGCGGCTGTGTGCACAGATAGCCGTCGGGATCCATCCATGGAAAGTTGATGCAGTACGAGCCAACAAAGGCCACGGTATAGATTGCGAAGCCCACAATAGGCGTCTCAACAAGCGCGTTCCATTCTTGGCAGCTTCTCACGAGATCCATAATGCCGCGGGCCGCCTTGAACAGTTCACGCGCGCTTTCGTCCCAGAAACCGGGCGGTATATCATATCTCTCTGGAGGAAACGTTGGCTGGTCTAGCGGTCCCTCCGGCCTTGAGCACTGTATTGGTAAGAATGGTACGTATTGTCGGTGTAACATTACGAGGCATAGAAGGTAGACAGTGTGTATCAGCGTGTATGGCGTTGATGTCTTTAGCGAGATGTGCGCTTGAGTGTTTTGTGGCGTTAGGGTGTGTTGTCGTGGTAGGCTTGCTCTGAAGTCGAGGCAGAGCTGGCGCAACTTGTGCCATTCGCATTGTGGATCCCACGGCGGCAGTCGCTCGATCCTTAGCCATGAGTTAGCATGAGCGCTCCGGAATTAGCAAGACGACTAACCTTCTGCCTCCCGCGCAGGACCACCGCATGACTCTCCCGTAGACCTCAAGGATCCTAACGTAGCGGCTTACCAACCCTTCGTCGGCGCCAGCCTCCAAACGGTCTCTGTCGTCGCCATCGTGCAAGGCGCCGTTGCTGAGCTTGCCTGAAGTTGCTCGAGACTCCTCTTCACCAAGCATTAACGTCCGCACCTTCTCCGCGAACATGAACGACCGTTCGCTAGCAGGAAGCTGTATCCGCAGCTCCTGCGCATGCAGCATCTGCGGTCGGTATTTGCCACTACTGAGATAGCGGTCCATGATGAAACAGCTCCAAAAAGTACGCCGTCTGACCTCTTGTTGCACAAATGCATCCTGCCCGGTCTTCGGACTATCGGCAGAATCTCTGCGGCCAGCATCGAGTCCCATGCGCTCCGCTTCTGTGTTCAACGCGAGCGACTTCGACAGGGGCTCATCGTCCAGATCAAGTTCGTACTGCAAACCCATTGCCTGCGCTGCCCTAATCGCCATGCCGACCAGGATCCAAGCCTTTGCACCGCGACACATGCCCCACTCGTGCAGTCCGAGCATGAGCATGGCCTGCGTGCGCTCAAGGTCGTTCACTTGATTGTCGGTGAAGCTCGTCGCCAGACGCTCGTTCGCCGCTGCAGCGTAGTATTCCGAGGCAATCAGCGGGTTGCTGGGCCGTGTTGCGGTCGCCGGCGAGTGGTGGGCAACCAGCCTAAGGTGATACCGTGCTGTCAATGCTAAGAAAGCAAGCAGGAAGTCAGGTGAACCGGGCGGTCTCGCGGCAGCCGTCGCTTCTGACAACATCGCCGAGGTTGGTGGTGGCTGCATGCTTGCTTGCCGCAATGGCTTCAAAAAGGTCGGTGGGTGCAAGAACGGTAGGTCGGCTGCGTAGTGCACCTGAAAGATGTCGAACAGCTCCTGCCACACCTGCGGCGTGAGCACCCTAGGATCCAGCGCATCGAGCAGTGGCCGTGGCGACTCCCGCAAGCCAATTGACGGGTTCGCAGCGAGCGTGTGCGTAACCTTCCTTGGTCTCTGCCGTCTCTCTCCATCCGCAGCACCGTCCGGCTTGCCGGGTGGACTATCCCTCCGCCTACTGCCCGTAGGTACAGGCGGAGGATACGTGCACTCTCTGCCCGAGTTCTCGCAAGACCGACACGTCGTCCCGACGCCATTGTTCAGACACTTGACTTTGCTGCGCCGGCAGCGAATGCAGGCTATGCTGGAGCGCATTCGGCCGGACGACGTCTGCGCTTGCCTGGGCGGCGAGGGCCCGGCAGCGCTGAAGGTTGGCTGCTCAGCTGAAGCGATAGTGCCGGGTATTGGCTTAGCGATCTCGGGTACTGTTGCGGGTAGCGACTCGGCAAGCCGAACGGGTGATTGATCCAGGATGAAGGCCAGGAGAAGTCCGTATTACTGCGAAGGAACGCAATGTGAAGTGCTTCGCAATCTGGAATGAGACGACTATTGCTGCGCGAACAACCCCGGAGGAAGGGCACTGGCGCGGGAGACGGGCAGGCGCATCTATAAACCCATCGGGAACAGCGTGCCGTGCGTTGTTAAACCATGCGGTATATGCCGGACCAGTGTCCGATCCCGATGAGCACACGGTCCGAGTAACGGGTCTTGCTGCCGTCGATCATAGAGTGCGAAGCTACATTGACTCCAGTGATCAAGGCGCGCAGTTCCCGGAAGGACAAATTGGCGATGCCGGACCTCCTTCACCACACGAGCCGTCTGAACAGCTCGGAAGGGGTGGGTAAACGGAAGACGCGGGACTATTTGCAGCCCCAGACTTGGACCTCGTTCTGGGCCTCGGCAGGCACGCGGCACGCTTTAGTCCGCGATGGAGTCTTCTTCCGGCTCAAGAACGCTTGCAATGATTGGTGGGAAATACGGCTGTCAGATGGATTGCGTTATTTCGTTCAGAGCTAGGAGCCGCTGACGATGTCATGCATGTCATTGAAAGCTGGGCGGTGGTGGACTGCATGACATCCGACTCAGATCTTAGGCCGGCAGTCTGCAATGTTGACAGCATCTCTCGAAAGGTTCATATGCGGCGCAATTGTTCATCATCGATCAGGTGTTGTCTACATACACTACGACAACGATTTTGACGTCAAAGCCGGAACAATGGCGCTGGAACGCGGTATATACTTCGCAATCCCGTGTCTTCAACCATGCCAATTTTTGTACCGGGAGCATGCCATTCGGAATATAGTTGGCGCCTATTGCTGGGGCCAGTGGTATAGAGCACAGCCTGAACTGCGTATATACTCGTTCTGGTGCCACCAGGATCAGTCGAACCCGCACACGACATGGAGATGCGGCAAAGCGTCTGACAGAATAGTCGCCACCGACACCATGGTACGCGGTATGCGGGAGCGCTTCGAGGAATGCAATATGGCATCGGTACCGACTCCCTGCGTATGGCCGGGCTCATGTACTGCCCGGACCGCCAAGCAGAGCAAACCTTCGCACAATGCTTGGTCCGATCTCTTCGTACTCTGCCTTGGTATGGCAATAACTCCTAAACTCTGGCGTTTGACCGAGCAGAGAGCCACCGAACCACGGACCGTGTCTTTGCCGTCTATGCGTGATGACCTGGACGTCCAACCCACCCGACTTCGCGGCATTGCCCGCTCTGGCTTCTGATGCTTTTATGCGAGCGTCAACGAGATGTCGGATGTCGCGCTGTAGCCGTCTGCCAAAATCTTTGTATAGCGTTGAGCCTCCAGATAACACAATGTTCTTGTACAGCCCTCTTCGCACATCGATCGGTGAGGTCTGAATGACTGTGTCCACGATGGTGGGTAGCGGCGTAAGGAAATCCGAGCTGTATATCTCCGGGTTGAAGAAGATCTCGGGTGCTAGAAACCGCTCGTACCCGACATCCAACACCACGCTGCGTCCACCCGGTTGCTGCACCTCGTACTTCTTGAACCTGTCATCCGGCTCGCGGTCGAAGCGCGCAAACTCTTTCACGATGTCCGGGCATACGTAGCAAAACTCCTCCTTTATCCGCTCCGCCGTCTTCAGCGAGCTATCCGGCTCGCCTCGATCTCGTAGTAGTGATTGCACGAAATATGTGATGTCCCGACCTGCGATCGGTATGCTCTTGATGCTGCTCCCAATCACATAGCCCTCTGCGACTGGTATGACGTGCGTTACGCCCTCACCACTGTCTATCACCGTTCCCGTCAGACTCCTGTCTTGCACCTTTGATGATGTCCATGATGCTGCCAATGCTAATACCGCTTGCACCGCGATGTACAGTCCAGCGCAGTTGAAAGACTCGAACATGATTTCGGCGGTATTCTCTCGGTTCTCCGGCGGGTTTAGCGGTGGCTCGGTGAGTAAGAAGTAATGATCCTCCGGCTCTACGCGCAGGTACTTGAAGATGCTGTTCGACCAGAACCGCTCCATCTGATCCCAATTCTCAATCTGACCGTGCCGTATGGGATAGTGTAAGCCATAGCCAGGTCCTGCTGCCGCAGCGAGCGCCTCGTCGCCGATGAAGAAGTCCAAGTCCTCTGTGCCTCGCTTTGCTGAGAGATTGCCACCTCCACCACTGCCGGCGCCCGTTAAGAAATTGGGTTTGCTCGCTACAGCTGGTCGTCCGGAGCCTGTCCCGCCGGCCCCGCCCGCAGGGCCTTTGGTTGCTATTGCGGTTGGGAAGACGAAGGAGGGTGAGTCGTTACCGGCGAAACCGAGTTTGGTGTAGCCTGTACCGCTATAGTAACGTTAGTAGGGACTCGAGTCGGTGTCACTACGGACGCATACTTGTCCATGACAACAGCCGGCGTTTGCGGCGCCATCTTGCTGTGTCTTGCTCTAAAGCAGCTCCCTCAAACTCCGACCGTGGCAGATCCGCTATGAGCGACAGGTGCGATGAAGCATCAGTGAGATGAGTAAGCCAGAGGATGCAGGCAGCTGCGCGAAGGGGTCGCCGTGGTCGCCGAGCGGTGGTGGTACGTAAGGCCAGACAATTCGTGGCAGCGACAGGCAGCATTCAATGCCCCGCCAAATCTGCCAAGAGTTTGTGTCGTCGCTTCCCCTTCCTCCAAACACCGCCGACAACGACAATAATCCCACCAGCAGTGACAGTTCGTCAAGCTCGCTTGCATTCGTGAGCATCGACAAGAACGTGTATCGTTACGGAATATCTGACAACAGAACTATGTGCTCTCGGGAGGTGCCGGTCGACACAAATACTCCATGAGGAGACCTCGTACCTTCCGTCTATCTTGCGGAGGGAAGACTACGCGTGACGGGCAACCGTGAACCTCATCTCTTGACACTTCATCCTGCACACTTCCCCTCAACATACGAACACAGTATATCCACACTCCCTCTCCACCTCTCCCGTACATCTCACTCACAGCATCTCACGCCATCACACATCCTTCACTCTCGTTCTTCAGCGTGTTTCGCCAACTCCACCCTTTCACCACCGCAATCAGCACTTCCACCGCTGCGCCCCAGTGCTCACGTGCTCATGCATAGACCGTTAAGGTAGCTGTTCCTTGCGAAGGCCTGGGCGAACAGCTAGCCCAGACTCTTCGGAAGCATTGAACCTAGGTCATTACCTACAAGACCTTCGGTGTTCGATATCACTACTCTTTCACTATGGATGAAGAGAGCTGCACGAACACCAATCCGCACGAACAGAGCGACAAGACGAATCCGCAATTACAAGGGGAAGGTGATATGTTTAGTCCCAGCAAACGCAACCGACAAGGTGGCGGCCTGGCGTGCATATTTGTTCATGCTGGAGCTGGATTCCACAGCGTACAGAACGAGCAGCACCATCTCGCGGCCTGTAACGAGTATGATCCCTTCACACCGTGCTGGATACAGAATTACTAACACACTATAGTGCGGCCAAGGCTGCCATGGCAGTAATGCGCGGCGGCGGGTCGGCCGTTGATGCTGTCGAAATCGCAATCAAAGTTCTCGAAGACCGGGAAATCACCAATGCCGGCTACGGCAGCAATCTTGCGATCGATGGCGTGGTTGAGTGCGACGCTATTGTCGTCGATCATTTCGGCCGTAGCGGAGCTGCCGGTGCAGTAGCTCGTATGTATCGGTTGCAGACATGATGGCGAGTGTGCTCTAACGACTTCACAGAGATCAAAAACCCAATTTCGCTGGCTCGCCTTCTGCTGGATCACACAGCGCAGACACTATCACTGCGCCGTGTCCCTCCCAATCTACTGGTTGGGCAGGGCGCCACAGACTTCGCGTACGAGCACAACATGCCCGTGTTACCGCTCGAGAGCATGATCTCACCCGCTGCGCGTGAGAGATGGCGGCGCTGGAAGAGCGATCTGGGTAAGGCAGACAGGGCGCGAAAAGCGAACGAGGCTGAACGGTACGGCCTGTCTCCTCCGCCGTCTGAGCGCGACCTTTCTTCTTACATGCAAGACGTCGACCGGCAAGAAGACATTCGAAGAGCTCACTCTAAGGCTATGCTGGCGGGTGTTTGGAACGAGGCACAACCACCCTCACCTCCACCTTCCAACGACAGATTGCTCACAGAAGACCCGCCTTCTCACGACAAAGTCTGGAAGGAAGACCCACCATCATCTCCGTCACGTTCAAGTTCCGAATTGATAATGGTGGATTATCACCACGAGCGCGTTAGGGACGGCCACGACGTGATGGAAGAGTGCAGCGACCCCTACGGTCCACCTGATCTGCAGGAATATACTCGCAGTCCGGACACGTCGCGGTCAGCGCGGACAATAAGCAACCAAGCAGTCTGCGGCGACGATAACTACCAGATCAGCGCTGACGGTGGCTTCCCATTCCATCCGTTCAGCAGCTCGAACATAGAGCTTGTTGATCCCGAAAGCTTCGGCTCTCACCCGTGCTTGCATATGCCTCGGACTGCGTCAGCGGGATGGCATGACGGCTCATCGGGTTCGGACTCTAGCTGTACTGCTGTTCTTGCGGGTCCGCCTGATCTACATGAGCGACCATCGACAGCCATCCGAGATCCTCAGCACATAATAATTAAGGGTGATGACGCTGACCATGCTCACGCTAAACGCGACCCTCACCGTCCACCTTTACCCTCAATCGCTGCCGATGCCACCAGGCCGTCCCCCACTACCCTGCCGCTAGTCGATGGCGCGCAAGTCGCGGACGATATGATTACAGACACTGTAGGCGCCATCGCGATTGATCTGTATGGCAACATTGCTTGCGGCGCCTCGTCAGGAGGTATCGGCATGAAGCACCGCGGCCGTATTGGCCCAGCTGCCCTAGTCGGGATCGGAGCAGCAGTCATACCATGCGCGGAAACCGACCCAGATAAACAATGCGTAGCGACTGTCACCAGTGGTACAGGTGAGCACATGGGTACTACGCAAGCAGCAAGCGTCTGCACAGAGCGTCTCTACCATAACACACGCAAGGTGCTCAGCGGCAAATACGAGGAAGCCGATGACGACCAAGCCATCAGTAGCTTTATCGAAAAGGACTTCATGCACCATCCCAGCGTCAAGTACAGCCACTCCAATGGCGCCATCGGCGTGCTCTCGGCTAAGAAGACCCGGGACGGCGTCTACCTGTACTTTGGCCACAACACGGACTCGTTCGCGCTGGCATCGATGCACTCGGACGAGCGAGCACCAGTATGTACAATGAGCCGAAACAAGGGCAATGGGTCGATCGCACAGGGTGGCCGGGCTGTAAGGTTTCGGCGAAGGAAGGCAGCGGCCGACTTTTAGCGGAGGGTGTCCTGAAGAGTGTGGCTATTTGCTCTTTCGACTGTTATGCGATCAAGGGCAGAGGATCTAAGACCTGTGGGTGCACATGAAAGCGTACAACCCGCTTTGTGCAGTCCTAGCGACCTAAAACATCTATTAAAGATACCGTTGACTGCATCATCATGTCGTGCTTTCTGATCTTCAGTTGTCAGAGAGTGCCAGCAAACCACCTCCACATCCCGACTTCCGACTCGTGACCGCATGAGCTGTGGGGTACCCCGCCCGGCGACCCCACAGGCTGATTTCTCCGCCTCATCAAGAACGACTGTTTCCGTGGATCGTCAGAGAAGCTGCCTTCCAAGGCCAGGAACACCATTAGTGACCTGTAGGTCGAAGGCTTTACGAGGTTTCGGAGCATATCATAGCGAGGGCTGCAGCTTGAAAAGGGCAGGTAGGTCGCAATGTAGGTAAACCTTTCTTCCACTCCTCTATTTCGCTGCGTCGATTGTTGTGAGAACTGAAGTCAGGATGCTGTTCGGTGCAATGTTGCGAACGGCGCTGCTGGCCGCGGCTGCGGTGCAGACGGCTGCGTTGACGCTTGGTGGCAAGCCGAATATGATGATCAAACCTTACAAGCGTGCGCCGTTGCAAGATATTGTGACTTGGGACGAGGTATGAGCTCACGATGGCTATTATCGACAGGATTGCTGATTCGGGTTACTAGCACTCCCTTTTCGTCCGTGGCGAGCGTGTACTCTTCTACTCCGGAGAGTTCCACCCGTTCCGTCTCCCCGTTCCCGGCCTCTGGCTCGACGTCTTCCAGAAGATCAAGGCGCTCGGCTACAACGGCGTCTCCTTCTACGTCGATTGGGCGCTCGTGGAGGGCAAGCAAGGCGAGTTCAATGCCAGCGGGGTCTTCGCCTTCGAGCCTTTCTTCCAAGCAGCTTCGACTGCCGGTATCTATTTGCTTGCCCGTCCTGGACCGTACATCAACGCCGAAGCCAGCGGCGGCGGGTTTCCGGGCTGGCTACAACGCAATCCGGCCCTGCTTCGGACACGTCAACCGGGCTATGAACATGCTACGGATAATTATGTCTCGCATATTGGTGCTATTGTGGCTGCTGCGCAGATCACGAACGGTGGCCCGGTCATCCTAGTGCAGCCGGAGAACGAGTATTCGCAGGGTGTTGTCCCAGAGTTCCCCGACCCGGTCTACTTTGGCTATGTAGAGGATCAGTATCGTAACGCTGGCATTGTTGTGCCGTTGATATCGAACGATGCGTATCCGCACGGCTACTTCGCACCCGGACCGCCGGCACAACCTTCGGCTGTCGACATCTATGGGTAAGTTAGCAGCCGATTAGGTGTCATGCTGGTTACGACGATCTAAACGATGCATGTACTTGGGTGTGGGCTAACTTGCGCAGTCACGATGGGTATCCGCTGGGCTTCGATTGCGCCAACCCGTACACATGGCCTGCTAATGCACTGCCAACATACTACCTAACGTTGCATCGCCAGCAGAGTCCAAGCACGCCATACTCTATCGTCGAGTTTCAGGGTGGCTCGTTCGACCCCTGGGGCGGTCTTGGTTTCGCACAATGTACCGAGTTGCTGAGTCCTGAGTTCGAGCGTGTGTTTTACAAGAACGACTTCAGTTTCGGCGTGACGATCTTCAACATATACATGACCTATGGTGGCACAAACTGGGTAAGCAGAGTGAAGTGAAATAGGATAGTTGACACCACTTAATTTTCTTACCTATTGCTAGGGTAACCTCGGCCATCCAGGTGGATACACATCATACGACTACGGCGCCGTAATCGACGAGATGCGTACCGTCACCCGCGAGAAATATAGCGAAGCGAAGCTGGAGGCCAACTTCTTGCAAGCGTCGCCAGCATACCTTACGGCTATTGCGCAGAACAACACACACGCAAACGGTAGCTATACTAGTAACAGCGCCATCGCAACGACTGCGCTCCTCGGAAACGTCACGAACTTCTTCGTAGTCCGCCATGCAGCCTATAACACCCTGGACACGACGACTTACAACATCACCTTACCAACAAGCCAAGGCAACATCACTATACCGCAGCTTGGCGGTAGTCTCTCGCTTCATGGCCGTGACAGCAAGTTCCACGTCACTGACTACGACATTGGCGGGATCAACCTACTCTACTCCACAGCCGAGGTTTTCACCTGGAAGCGGTATGGCAATGAGCGCGTGCTGGTTGTGTACGGGGGACCCGGCGAGGAGCACGAACTTGCAATTTCCAACGGCGGTCACGCTTGGGCAGGCAGAGCTTCCGGTGTGCTTATCGGCAACAAGCAGGGAGCGACCATCATCAATTATCAGGTCAGCTCACAACAGAAACTGGTGCAACTAGGCTGCGGTGTCACCATTTACCTGCTTGACCGCAACTCAGCCTACAACTACTGGGTCATTGACTTGCCGAACGATTCCATCTCTGGCAACTACACAAACCAGACACACTTCACTTCCGCGCCAATCGTGAAAGCAGGCTACCTTCTCCGCACCGTCGAGGTTTCTGGGAGCTCGATACACCTCACAGGCGATCTTAATGCCACAAGTGACGTTGAGATCATTGGCGGTGCGCCGTCTCACACTACCCAGCTCACCTTCAATGGCAAGAGCATTCCGTTCAAGCAGTCGCGGAACGGTGTCGTTACAGCTACGGCAAGCTACACCAACGCCACCTTCGCCGTGCCAAATTTGTCGAGTATTGGCTGGAAGGTGATAGACAGTCTGCCAGAAGTTCAGTCTGCCTACGACGACAGCCTGTGGACGACTGCATCTCTGACGTACAGCAACAACACCGCTCGCAACCTCACAACTCCTCGAAGCCTGTACGCAAGCGACTACGGCTACAACACCGGCAATCTCCTCTACAGAGGCCACTTCACCGCCATCGGCAACGAGACATCCCTGTACCTATCCACGCAAGGAGGCTCAGCGTATGCTCACAGCATCTGGCTCAATGGCTCCTTCGTCGGCTCCTTCTACGGCGCCGACAAGTACAGTCATTGGAACCAAACCTATACTCTCCCCAACCTGTCTGCAGGCAAGAACTACGTGATCACGATCTTGCTTGACAACATGGGTCTAGACGAGAACGGCCAGGCTGGCAGCAGCCAAATGAAGAATCCACGAGGTGTTTTGGACTATAGCCTTTCCGGCCGTAACAAGGGCGACATCAGCTGGAAGTTAACCGGCAACCTGCACGGTGAGAACTTCGTCGACAAAACGAGAGGCCCGCTCAACGAAGGCGGTCTTTTTGCTGAGCGCCAAGGTTACCATCTCCCCGGTGCGCCAACCGCAAACTGGTCGTCGAGTGCCTTGGGCCCGATGGACGGTCTCACCACAGCAGGCGTCATGTTTTACTCCACGACATTCAACTTGAGCATGCCGCAAGGCTACGACATTCCGCTGTCATTCAGCTTCTCCAATACCACGACCACCAATCAGAGCAGCGTACCGAGCTACCGGTGTCAGATCTATGTTAATGGGTACCAGTTCGGCAAGTACGTGCATAATATTGGACCGCAAGATGTGAGTTGTGCTTTCCCTAACCTCGGTGTGCGTATGTTTCGCGTGCTGACACGCTCGCATAGGCTTTCCCTGTTCCTGAAGGCATTTGGAATTATCACGGCAGCAACTACGTTGCTGTGTCGCTATGGTCGCTTGAGGCTGCCGGCGCGAAGGTCGGGAATCTCAGCCTAGTGGCTGGGTCTGTCATTCAAAGCGGGTACGGTCCGGTCAGCCTCAGTCCGATGACCGGATGGAGCCCACGTGCGGGAGCGTATTGATTAATTGAAACACGCAGCCGTGCTTCAGGCTGTTGCAATGGCAGATTTTGTAAAGGTGCGGTCCCGTCTGTCGCTTTTAGATGACCGCCCCTATCATAGGTATTGCGTTGAAAGCCTGGGCTGTATGCTGGAAGGAGCGCTGTCGTGTTGAAAGGTCGCTTCTCCACCTTCACCCAGGCATTGGCGTGCCTGCACCGCTTGCCGGCGTGTCTGTGCCGCTCTCAGTCGGTCGCTTCTTCTTTTTGACTTTCTTCTTCGGCACAACCACCGGCTTCCGTCCATAATTTGTCATGCTCAAGTGACTCCCGCAAAGCAGACACGTGCCGTCCGGAAGCGGCTCGCAAAAGATGCTAAGACAAATCGAACAGACGAAACCTATGTCAACGACGCGCTTGTGGCAAAAGCATGCCGCTCTGAAGTCTACTCCTTCGCCCTCGCCAGGCGCGATGAGATGGTTTCGCGCGGTCTGGTCCATCAGGTAGGCGAACATCAGATACTGTAGTAACCCTGCCCGTGCTGTAGAGGTAGACAGTGACATGTAGATGCCGCCGGTGGTGTCGGCGGCCTGCTGCAAGAATACGGGATCACCGGCGAGCTTCAGCACGTCGATGGGGACGCTCATGCGTTGGCATGCGAAGATGCAATTCATAATCTCAATGTATCTGTCTGCGAGGTCGCCGGAGACGGATACGATGAGGATGCGACTGCTTAGACCGAGGGCGTTTGCGGATTTGGTGGGGTCGGTGGTGAGCTCGTTGCCACCAGCCATTGCGGAAGGGTCGGAGTAGTTGAACTGTGTGCTGGACGTTGCTGTCGGTAGAGAGGCAGTCTGCTTGGAAATGTACGCGAGTGCGCGCGTGAGAGCACCAGCTAGCATAGTTGCTGGAGAGGAGTTGATAGCATCGGTCGTGGTCGTATTCATCATTTTGCGGAGGTTGTACATTAAGGTATGCTCGAGTTGAGCGAATGGTCGGTACTTGTTGGCATCGTCGGGCGGTTGGACTGGGCCTCCTCGATCCATGAGATCTTCATAGTCCCGGCCGTTCGCCAAAGCTCCGTTTGACTGTACATTGTCCGGGTGGACGTCGGTAGGGTACAGCCATTCTGCTCGCTCGGAGTGACTCGCGATCACAGCAACTTGGTTGGTGTAGTTGATTGCCAGATGCGCGTTGATGAAGACCAATAGACTGGCTACTGCTTTCGTGAGTGGCAAAGTGTCGTCAAGGAGAGCCCAGGCATGCGGGTTAGTGTCAATGATGATGGTGAGCAGTGAGGGTGGCTCGATATCTTGCTCCGCTACAGCACGATCGGTGGCATCAATGGCGTTCATACTGAAGCCGGACACATCTGGAGCGGTACCTCCTATGGCGAGCTGGCCTTCACTCCGCACTCAGGTTACACGGATGGGAGATGATAATACGTGTCGGAGAGACTGATGTTGGCGTTGGAGACAAGACCGGAGCCCACCGTACTCTTCCTGCCTAAGGCATGAATTTGTTGGCCGTCTGAAATTGATGTACTTTTCTCCCTTCTGCTTTGCTCACAGGACCTGAGAAAGTGACCATGGGAATTGGCGACCTCCAGCTTTGGTCCAATACTGAGCGGGAAGTACTGTACCATCACCTTCGCAGTTATCACAGTGCGGCTCTGCTCCATGCAGCATTCCCCGCCAACCACCGACTTGGCATGTAGAGCTATCGGGCCGATATCTCGGCGGACATCGCCCAAATCGTCCCATCCGACGGCGGCTTTGCTTGGAGAGGAATACTATGCTCTATGCCAAGGTCAACGAGTATACACTGCTGTCAGCCACCCACGCTTGACCATCATATTGTTTGCTGACAGCTGTTGATTCATCTATCTTGTCTCGACATCTTCTTATCTACTGTTGTTCATGCACCCACCCTTCGGCCAACCACACTATATCCGTTTCCACTCGCTTCTCATATCATATCCTTGTTTTGTTTAAGTTTCCAGGAGATAGTCATGGAGAGGCACAACGGAGCTTCCTCGACCGCAATCATTGAGCCCATCGAACTAGGACCTGTCAAACAGAAGCATGATGCTCTGAACCTTACAAGCAAACGGGCAGCCTCCATTGGCGGACGGAGCCTGAACACTCAACAAGCAATCGATGACCAAGACCGTAATGAGACGCTGCCATCGCCCACAACCGCGAACGAGCACGTGGAGAAATGGAACTACCCGCGAATCAATGTCTACAGGATCCTTGCCACCTTCTGGAGCTTCATCATCATGGGCGCGAACGACGCTACATACGGTGCCATCATCCCGTATCTGGAAGAATACTACCATCTCTCCTACGTCGTGGTGGCCCTAATCTTCCTCTCGCCGTTCGTGGGTTACAATGCTGCTGCGCTACTCAACAATACAATCCACTTGAAGCTTGGCCAGCGCGGTGTTGCCTTCCTGGGTCCTGTGTGCCATGTGATTGCTTATGTGGTCATCGCAGTGCATCCACCATACCCTGTCCTGGTCATCGTCTTCATCTTGGCAGGCTTGGGAAATGGGTTGGAGGACTCGGCGTGGAACGCATGGATCGGCGACATGGCGAACGCGAATGAGGTGCTCGGCTTCCTGCATGCATCTTACGGACTTGGCGCTACCGTCGCGCCTCTCGTCGCTACTACCATGATCACCAAATCGGGGCTGCCGTGGTATTACTGGTACTATGTTATGGCAAGTACTCTATCTGCAGCAACTGAATGATGCAACACTGACACATCCCCGCAGATTGGAGCCGCTATTATCGAGCTGGCTGTATCCCTCCACTCCTTCTGGAGTGCAACTGGTAAAGCGTTCCGCGACTCGCATCCTCGTACCAGTGGCGAAGGCTCTCGCTTGAAAGAGGCTACACTAAAGATGCCAGCTGCCCGCGTCGTTTGGCTCAGCGCTCTCTTCTTACTCGGCTACGTCGGCATCGAGGTATGCCTCGGGGGTTGGGTTGTCACCTTCATGATCAGAGTACGGCACGGTGCTGCATTCGCCAGTGGTATGACAGCCACGGGCTTCTGGTTGGGTATCACGGTTGGCAGACTTGTGCTCGGCTTCGTCACGCCTAGGATTGGGGAGAAGCTTGCTATCACTGTAAGTCTACCACCAGCAACGTCGTTTTCGTTTGCGCTTATGCAGGCTAGATCTACCTTCCCATCGCACTAGCTCTCCAACTCCTCTTCTGGCTCGTGCCGCAATTCTACGTCTCCGCCGTCGCAGTAGCGCTCCAAGGCTTCTTTCTGGGCCCCATGTTCCCAGCGGCCATGGTGGCGTGCACAAAGCTGCTTCCAAAGCATCTCCATGTCTCCGGCATAGGGTTTGCGGCGGCCGCTGGTGGAAGTGGAGGCGCGCTCTTCCCTTTCGCGGTAGGTGCGATCGCGCAGAAAGCTGGTGTGCAAGTGCTTCAGCCCGTGGTTGTGGCGTTATTGGCGGTCATCTGGCTGTTGTGGCTGGGGCTGCCGAAGATGAGTAGGAAGAGGGATTGAGCTTACCTCCCTGCTCTTCTGAGTTGAGCAGGCCCGGCTGGCCAATCGACCCATGCTGCGGAGCTAGTATGTGTGACTCACAGTTATGATGTTGCTCCGACAGCGTTGCGAGAGTTCAACCTGTCGATCGCACGTCCCGCGAAGCGATCCTAAAACGCGGGCAACCGACGCAGAGCTGGTCAGACTGGTGATTGTCAACCAAAGCAATCTCTCGAAGCGTATTCAGGTCGCAGGCAGTATCGCTGCCACCGCCAGGGTCGGGGAGACGAGCATCATAATCGATGCTCTACAAGGCTGCACAAAGACATCGCCGATCATCCTGAGGCACTCTCTGCTTGCTTGCAGAACTGCTATATGAACCCGACAGGAATCACATCATTGTGCGCTCGCTGCGAACCCGGCTCTGGAGCGTATGAACAGCGACGAGGTTGGCAAGCTCGCAAACGAGGAGCTGGCCGCAATGCTGAATTATGGCACTGTGCTCAACTTTGAGCCTTCTATCTTCCATGACAGAGTAATGCGCGTACAGTATGTCCTCAAGTACCCGCTGATCCTCGGCATACAAGTGCTCTGCCAGCAGGTCATGAACTTCGCGATGGCAGTGCCGACAACGATCCGTGCAGACTGAATCAGGAGCGGAACCGCATAGAGCGAGTTGACGCACCCATCTCCATCGTCCGCATTTGACCGCGTGTAGCAAAGTGGCACGAACGTGGCAGCAGGAATGGGGAGAAACTCATATGGGAGAGCGAACCCTGAGAGTTTTCGTGTGGGCAAGCTATGGCGCCGTTTGGGCACATTCATGGTATCGATTGCGCTCGGTGGCTTGATGCAGCTCAGCGTGTATATCGTATCCACAAATACAATCCTGCTCTCCCCCTGCCTTGGTGCATCTCCGAGGAGACTCACTGCTTTCCAGCATCGTTTCGGGCCTTCGGCACTCCTAGGTGCCCAAAGCGTGCCGCGTCAAGGCGACGCCATGCTTCTATCACTGCAACGATCTCCTCCGGAGACTCTCCTGCCCACGCCGCCAGCTCCAATGTTATGGCATCATACACCGGAGGTTCGCCAGCGCGGTCCACGTTGCTGTTGGGCACTGTTGCTTGCTGTGGGCCTGCCGCCGTAGACGCCCCTTGACGCTCGTGCTGTTTTGGACCTGGGCCCTCCGAGGCTCCATCCTCCACCCTGCGCTCAGGCTCAGCAAGCTCTCCCTTTACCTCCTGCTGTGCGTGCACGACCGCCAATCTTGCTTGACGCTTCTCGAAGTCTGTAACGATGTCGCGAATTGCTTGCTCCTGCTGCTGCTGGCAGTCTACACTGCCGGCAACATCAAAGGTGCCTTCCACAAAGGCGTGTTGTGGATGCTTCAGTAGACCGTTGTAACTCCGAAAGTCTTCGTTTATCTCGTCGAAGTGGTTGGGGTTGAGAGCCATTTTCTGCCGCAACTCGTGGCGGACTTGCATGAGGGAGCAGCCCACCAGGTTCGAGCCCCACTTATCCCGGTGGCTCTCTGCATGGCGGTACCCTTCCATGTCTGCAGCATTTTTGTCAGCGTATCCTGTGCCACAGATGCGGTCCTTCGTCGCCTCGACAATCTCCCGATTGCCCGTGCCAAGTAAGTACTGGCGCTCGAGCCGACATTTGTAGTATTTGTGGCGGGTGACCTGCAGAAGAAGATGGGCCTTGTTTTCCGCCCAAGCCTGCTTGCAGGCGTCATTCATGCTTAAACTTCGACCAGCACTCGCAAGTCTCGTCGCCGCTGTCTCGTTCATGATGACTTGGCGAACTTGGGAGTATGTTGGTCCGTTCGGGTCGGACTGCGTGCTCTTGTACTGTTCGTGATAGCGAGCTTTGCCCTCTTGATATTCCTGCTCACTGCACCAATAGTAGACGCCCTCATCGCTGTAATATGGCGCCGCATGGAAGTTGGAGAATACGTAGGTGTTCTGCCCGCTGCAACATCTGCTGCTGCTGCTGAAGTGAATAGTGGGCTGGTAAGGAGCCGGATAGGTGTATTGTGGTAGCACACATGGAAGCTCGTCCCTGGTGCCTTCGCTCCTACCGTAAGGTACGTCGTCCACAACGTTCATGTTGGGCGGTGTATGCCTGAATGCTTTTGGGGGTTTCTGCCTTCTGCGTTCACTCAGTCTGATTCGCTTCTACGTGTTGCCGCTCACCGTTGTTTGTGTCGACCACGCACTGCAGTGACGGTGGTGTTGGTGTCAAGATATTGATTGTCTGAATGGAGAATAAGTGGCAAAGGAGAAGGCTGATGGTTGAGATGCAGGCTCCTGCGCGAAGCCTATTGGTCAGAAACAAATATGAAGTGAAGTTGGCAAGTGAATGTTTGGGAGATCTCCGAGTAGTGATATGATCACGTGCGACTCTTTCAAACTTCTGACGGAGACTCGGCACCGTACAGCTCTTCATCGTCCAAGGCACGTACATGGCGCGGATGGAATAATTGCCAAGCTATTTCCGCTTGCTTTTATTGGGGCTAGTTTCAACAAGCTCCGCGAGCAAGTCCTGTGCCTTCTGTTCCCGCTTGTCGAAAACGGAGTTGTACATCTTCGGGAGGACGCGCTTCGAGTCTGGCAGTGGATTAGCGACCAGCGAATCATTACATCGAAAATAATATCTCTTACTCGCGTGCTCCTCAGAGAACTCAATGACTTCTGCGCCCTTCTTCTTGGCCTCTTTGACCGCCTCTTCCAGAAGCGCCGATCCGACGCCCTTCTTGCGATACTTGAGCCGAACCGTCCAAGCCTTGATCTCACCCCTCCACGCCTTCTTCCGTTTCTGGCGACCCTCGCCGGATACCCACTCCATGACCACCGTACCAATGACCTCGTCACCAAACTTCGTGATCATGACATCGCAATCGTCAAGATACTCCCACTTCATCGCTTCCGCATCAAGCACATAGTCCTTCGTGAACACGCGAGCCATGCCCAGGAACGCCATGATGATACCGAAGCTAGTGATACCAGCCAGAGTAATGTCGCCATCCCGGAAATCGTAGATGAACCGTGCCCACAACGCTACTATGGCCACGGCGCAGGCCATATTCAAGGGACTCGATATCAGCGCGTTGTTTGCGGCTTGACGCATTTGCGCCACACTATCAGCGACGAGCTTCAGCGCGGCAATCTTCTCGTCGGTGTCGGTGGTGAGATATGTCTTCAGCTCCGGGACGCCTTCGAGAGGGTCCTCGGGCTGCGCGCTGTCATCCTTGTCGGCTACTGAGTCTCCCATGACGGAGTCTGCGGGCTGGGAAAGCGGCGAGGGTGGTGGCAATGAAGAGGCACTAGCTCTCATAGACGGAGGGGTCGAAAGTGGGCTGGGCGGCGGAGAATCGTGCAGACGGAGGTTTGTTCGGAGAGAAGCAAAGAAGGCTGTGCGCAATTGCACCGAACATTAGCCATTCGAAGAGGTCGTGTGACATGGTTGACCGTCAGGGCGCGGTTATGAATATGAATGCAATGGCCTTACCAGCCGAAGTTTTGAAGCCCGGAATATTCCTGCTCACAAGCGCAGTCGCATAATGCTGCTCCTTTAGCCTCTGTCGCTGCAACTGTACCCTCGTCGAGTCTTCTCGCGGTGTCAAACGCAACGGTGAGATATCAGGCTTCAGATGCTGCTGAGGGGAAATGTGACCGTTGCCATTGGCAAGCTGGACGTCAAGAAAATGGTTTGGCGGATAGAGATGGGACCGACCCATCATAGCGTCTCGTGCTCCGCCAAGAGCAGAGAAGGGCAGACAGCATTTTCTAGGGAAGCTTGAGTGAGGACGGCCTCGTGCTTTAACATACACCTGTGTATGGTCCTTGGCTGCAGCCGCATGCTTTGCTCGCTCCCACAGCTAATCTGATAAGGATAAGGGCGAAGGCGACGATACGTCAGGCCCTGCTTTGGCGCATGGTTTCCGCGAAGATAGCGGCTGCGGAACGGGTGATGCAGGGATGCTTTTTGCGCGCTCTCGCCGACTCGTCATGGGTGGGACAGTCTCGCGAGGTGAACGTCCAATGACACTGTGCATATGGCATCTCACACCAACACAGCTTCTCCTCTTTTCACGACCTTTGACGAAGGATCCGCGCGACACGCAATGCAGTTATGGTGATGGAACGTTGGGGAGTAGCTTGCTGTATCGAAGTAAACGCTGCGTTTACCGCATCGAGTCCGGCAGGGCGGAAGCAATTATGTGGCACAGTCAATCGGGTAGAGCGAGCTCGAGCCCGGTCGACATCGGTCCTATTACCGGGTCACGACGGAATGCTCAGACCAACGATTCTCACGTGCTCGAATGGGTGTACTTCGCGGTCGAGGTTAGAGGAGACGGTCCAGGATATAGAAGAATGGGGCTGGAGCTGTGATGCTAGCCTGACGGTTGATATGGACAGCGATAGCGGTGGTTATTATACGGAGCACAGAAGGGTGCTACAGTTTTCTAGTAGTGGCGACTTTCTCCCCAACACGAACGCCATGCAGAAAGCAGTGATTCATCGCCTCAACACCAGCCTTGGTATCAATGTAAGCTTTATCGGTCCCGCCTTAACGCCAGCACAGTCTCGCTCCTCGTTCCATCTTAGCGGATCACCCTCTTTAACAAAGACGGATACTGAAGCCCCATCATAACGAGCCATCTCCCCGATGCCGGTACCGATGGGCAATCTGATCGTCGACTCCCCTTTGCTTCGCCACCGAGCTAGACCAAGAGCCTACTTCGTCGTCGCCGCCGCATTGCTCGGTTGCAGCGTATGCGTGTGATTCGGCGCCTTGAAGATGACTCCGTTCTCCTCCTGTCTGCACACCAGACTGTTCTGTACCCACGGATCCCGCAATATCTCGTCCATGTCCGCTCGCTTGGCAGGGTCGAGCTCCAACATGCGGCCAATGATGTGCCTAGTCTCACGTGGCAGCAGTCGAAGCAAACGCACCGGACCCTTGATGACCGGCTGTTGGGCCGGATCACTTTGCGTGCTTTGCCGGCTGACGGGTGCAGTGTTCGGTCCTTCGGCTTGATGATGGGCGGTGTCAGCAGACTCGTCTACGCTAGCATTTCGAGACGCCGGTTCAGACACGGCCTGTCGTTTCCGGCTGCTCTCTTCGACGATCGATGAAGCGCGTCTGTGCGCGTCAAGTATTCTGTCCTGATCGGGATCTGGCTGCGCAACAAATAGTCTGTACGAGTTGTCGGTTAACCTTGGCGCCTTCCAGGGGAAGCGTTTCAGCGTCATGCAGCAGAAGATGATAGCAATCGACCAAATGTCCGCTGGTCGAGGGTCGTAGCGAGAGTGGTCGTACACTTCCGGAGCAAGATAAGGATCCGATCCAACAACACCTGAAGAGCATCAGTCAGTATTGTCACCGCGCACTCTCTCTCTCTCTCTCTCTTGCGACGTACCTGTAGCAAGAACGACCTCGTTCTCGAAAGGATACCTGAACACGACCGCGCTTCCAAAGTCAATAAGCTTCATAATTCCATGCTCGTTGATCACAACATTGTCCAGCTTCAAGTCTCTGTGTGCTAATCCCATACTGTGCAGGTAAAGCACACCGCTCAATATCTGCAAAGTGGCACATGTGACCTCTTCTCTCCCCATCTTGCCGGTCATGACAGTCGCAAAAAGATCGTAAGGTGCATACTCCATGACTTCGTACCATTTGCCCTTCTCGTGAATAATGTCGATTGTTTCGATGATGTTGCCGTGATGTAGTGTTGATCCAATACAAAACTCAGCCGTGACTTTCTTGTTATATTCCTTCTCGCTTTCGTACGCATGCCGATCCCTGAACTGCTTGACCGCAAAGACAGTGCCGTCACCGGTCCGCTTCATCAGTCGTACAGAACCGCCTGCGCCAGAGCCAAGCATCTTCCCGAACTTGCCGTATTTGGAGATTAATCCGTGATCATCTGCAAACGGTATGCTGGGCTGCTGCATTGCGCCCATGCCTGTTTGGCTATGACCATTCGTGGGTTCTGCGGCCGCCCCGTTCGAGGCGCCGGAGGCGTGTTTGTCCTTGTGCTTGTGGTCGCCGAAACCTTTAAAGAAGCGTTTGAGATTCGACTTCGAGCTGTGTGTGTCCCTATCCACGGTAGATGAACTGTCGTCGTGCCTCTTGCTGCCGCCGAAAAGACCCGAGCGCTTATTGTCCGATGGCTGCAAACTTGCGCCGCTGGCACTTGAACGTGGCAGAGTTGCGGTAGTGGGCAAGGAGACGTTGGACTGACCGGAATTGGCATAGCCTACAGAAGGATCTCGGTCTCCAAATCTGTGGCTGCTTGCTGCACCAGTACTTGAGTGCCTCTTGTTCATCGATTGTGGATCGCTGGTCACGGAGTGCCTTGGAGTACCGGGTGTAGTGCTGCGTGGGGTGCCAGATGGGCTCTCTTCATGTGAAGGAGGCTCGGAGTCGCCGGATGGGCCTATCGAGAACCGCGGCGCCTGTCTCGGATGAGCTGGCACACCCCCAGCAGCTTCCACTGACGCTGCTGTCTGGCTGGATGGTTTGGCATCTCTCTGCGGCGAAGCGGACCGCTGAGGCGTCATGACATCTGAAGGCCCAGTCCGAAACTGTTGGCTCATGAGTATCGAATGCTTGCCATCTCTCGATTGCGTTGCGGCGGGTGTTAGAGGCGGCGAATGAAACGTCGACGTCGGCGGGGTTTCCCTCGGCGAGCCATGACCCGAGCCAGCAGGCAGATGCCTTCGACTAGGCGTGGTGGTCCCAGACGGCACACGTGAAACAGGCTGCGAGCCCGGTAAAGATACCGGCTCGAAAGCATGATGCTGCATCCGTGCTGACTGAATATTGTTTTGCAATGTGGTCCGCAGTTGCTGGAGTTCCTTCTGTGCCTCCGGGTTCAAATCGTCCCTGTTGTGCCCATCATGCCCTGTGAGCGTCTCGACGCTGTGCAGACTCTGCTCCGCTGGTATCTCCTGGTTCTGAGAAGCAAACCGGACGCCATAGTGCTCCATCTCTGCGTTCTCCATTGGCGTGGCCATGGCGGCGTTGCCTAGGACGTCTAATACTTAGGAGCTTGTAGTCGAGTTGATCAACCCCGCGTGCTCTTGGTCTTCTGACGCTCCTTGACGCGACTTGCAGTCTCCGTACTCTTCCGCAATGGGTCCGCCAGTATGCGCGTGGTGTATCTCCACGTTGCTTATAAACCGCCCCCCGCTATTCTTCTCCAGGCATTGCTCGCGAGACTGTCAATGATCGTGGGAATGGCGACCCGTTCTTACTTCCGCCGTCAGTATGCCGGATCCTGTCAGCCCTGTACGTTAGGATGAGCTGCGCTTGGGGGTGTTGACAGCTTGGTGACGCAATATCAACACTCCTCATTCAATCCTGCTCCGACTCCAACAGTGGCAGATCCAGGGCAAAGGCGCAGAACAGCAGTCTCTGCGCAGACAAGCCGTGGACTGCGGCAACACAAAGGTGAGTAATACGACGAGAGACGCTGCCGCAAGAGAGCAGCTACCTGGCTCGGGGTACCATGCAAAACTACAACAGCATCCGCAGAAAGCTTATTATTACCTGGCGCGGTGGGGCAGATGGTGAGACCGTAAGAGATCGTCCCGAGGCCGCTTTTGCCGCTTTGGTGGGATGTCTGAATGCAGTAATGCAAAAGTACCTGGTACATGCCGACCACCGAGGTTATGGCGGGCTGTCAATGTGTCTTTCTACATAAGGCTGAAAGGTTGGTGGCTATGAATGCCGGTTGGCGAAGGCACAAATCAAGTCCTTCTCCACTCCCTGACCTCATCAGGGTTACCATTCGCGCCGCACCTGGACTCGGCATTCCTAGCATTCATACCCTTGCTACGTCAGTCTCAGTTTCTAAGTTGCACGGAGCTTCTTCGACAGCCTTTTCAGGCCATGGCCGCTGTCCTACATAGGTGTCAGTGTGTTGCAACTCCAGCATTAGCAGCCCTGCATACCCTGCCTCTTTGCCTGTAGTGGCAATCCGAACCGTGTGCCTCGAACCCAGCACAGTAGTAACTGTCCTTCCCAACCCAGTCTACCATGCAGTATCTGCAGGATCGGTGGCCGCATCGCAGGCAGAGCTGGTCGCCGCAGCCCTCCGGAAGAGCTCTCACATCACACTTGGGGCAATTGATAGCCTTCTCCAGCCGCTTCGCAGACCCGTCCTCGGCTGTGCTATACTTTTAACATTTACGGAAGCGAACTCAGTATCCGATGCAGGTCTCCCCCGAATGCTCAGGATGATCACAATCAACGCAGGTATGCAAGCCGCAGTCCTTGCACGCAAAAACACGGCCGTCCTGCTCCCGATGGTACGGTTGAAAGGTAGTATCGACACCCTTACAGCGGTCTTGGCATTGGAAGTGGCCGTTCATGAGCATCGACTTGCGGTAATTCTCGCGCTGTGCTAGTGAAGGGTAGCCGAACTGGATCGTGTACCTGTTCTGACAGTCGGTGACAATCATACCCGTTCCAGTACTAAACGCTTACATTGCGCGTGTGGTAACTCTGGCCAGCCTCTTAAGTGACTTGTCGGACATCAAGCTGGGGCAGAGCATGCAGCTGATGGCGCGACCCGGTTTCTCCTTGACCTGTGTGCTAATGTGTAGCTCCCAGCACTCTCCGCATGCACGACCGGTGCTTGTGTGCTGAGTTGCGCACTCGTATGGACACGTCTCGAGTGGGACTGCATCACCGCATACAATCCACGAAGCCGTAGACCTCTGTGGTGCTCTTGGCACTTCCGGGTGCTCGTCCTTACTGGTTTCCATAACGGCAGATAGCTTGCGCTTTACGGGTGGCATCGTGACGCTGTTGGCTGACGGTGTTGGTTGTGCTCAGCTTATAGCTGCAGACCGCCGTGTTGTCGACAAGGAGACGATTGCATTGACGCAATCGGGTGCTGGTGGGCCTTTGTATAAAGGCGGTCAAGTCATGCGTGTCTCACTAAGGGCAGAGTGATAAGTGTGAAGCTGCTCAACTGAGTGCATGTGACCATGCAAGCAGGTATCTGCGCCTTTCATTCGTTCACTTCTCCGTCACTCTCGTGTAACGCTTCGCCTCGGTCTTCGCCTGGCAGTAGCACGTGGGCGTGCGCTTTGGTGGGTAGTGATTCGGGCAGGGGAAACAGCATTGTAGCTCAAAAGGCTACTTCGGCTGCGGCCTGTGTTTACTGGGTGCGCGTGGCCAAGCCCAGCAGCAGAGTGTACTTGGCAGGGTTTCGAAGTGAGGGATGAGTGAAACGCCATCAGTGGGCAAAAGGTGGCAGATCTTCAAGAGGTCCGGTACCGATCTAAGTAAGGTCAAGCGCTTCTTCTCCCTCCCTTCCCAATATGCTGTTAGCTGAGATCGCGCGAAACGACCTCCATCCTGGCGCTTGTTCCTTTGCACACCCTGCTTCCGGTGTCGACTTCACATTGGACGATCGTGGTGATGATGGGTCTGTGGAAATTACGTTGACAAGGGGCTTGGGTTACTGCAGCGAAAGCGCCACCACACGTCTCCCTTGGGCGGCTGTCTGGGTATCCATGGGCACTTTGCGCGCCAAGCTCCGATGCGAGCCCGTGGACATCGGAGATGGCAGTCTCTTGGACATTACTTTGACCTTGGGAGCCGTTCTCGACATTGCATAAACCTTACGTTACCGAAGGTACTCTGCTTTGCATTTCGCGCCTCTCGCGGCGATCTCATTTCGTACGGCGGCAGTGCATGTGGGCTTCTGGAAAGTGCACTCTCCTGGGGTTGTGAACCACATTCTCTCCAGTGGCGCCGGAGACATACCACCCCTTCTTGGCCGCTTCTGGAAGTCTGCTACGTGTTCTGTCTCCCATCTTCAACGACCGAGCCAGTGCACCCCCGAATTCTGGAACCATCCGCTGCTTTGGCAGTCTTGCGCTCCGCGCTCAAGCTGTCCGTAAACCCAACTCCAACGGTGGCGGTGGCGCATGCTCGACCAACCTGTGCCTCTTGCTTTCTGGAAAGTCAACCTTCTTATATCGGATTTCCCAGAAGTAGTCTACTTCGTCTGCTGCAAGCGCGGCCTCAGCAGAGCCAGGCCACCTGCTCCAACCCGGTCCGGACCAGCCGCTTGCGGGCATGGCAACAATACTGCCGGACGGTTCGGGATGAGCAGATTTACTTCCGTCTGATCTCAGGCTGGCGATGATGGGCACAGTGAGTCTGCGCTGACCTGGAGTCCGGAACACAAATGTGTCGAAGTTCCTACGTTGGATAGCATGCATGGCTTTTCGTACACTCAGGTCGCTAATCCTGAAGAAACGTACAATCACAGACAGTTCTTCCTTCAAACCCGGCCGTCGGTGAATACGAATCCAGTACCGGTTGTCCCACAGCCGCCAATTCGTCGACACGAACGGTGCTTCCTGATTCTGTAACGTGCCAAAGCAAAGATCCATCGATTGTTTGGCGCTAGCCACGGGAGGAGCACGATGCATTGTAATGAGCGTTGGTTCAGCGTCCCTCTCTGTTCGACTGAGGCTGACGTTTGCGGTATGAATGGTGCCCGTCTCGTACGCAGTGCCGAATAGAAACTCGGCTGCATGATGCATATCGCCAGTATGGAGTTCTTTGTGTGGATTCACCAGTGCCAACAACTTTCGTGCCAGTGCAATATTTACGCTGGCGCCATCGTTATGACTGTTCCTGATTGCGACATCGTCGGCAGAGGGTGTGATCGTAATAGAGCCGCTTGCAAGGTCTAGCTCTATCGGAAGCTGCGTATAGAGCTTCTCTGCTTCGCGCTCGATCGCACGCATGTGGTCAGCTATCTGTGCAGACAGCACGCAAAGTCTTCTTGTACGCAAAGCAGCTGGTAAGAGAGCATGGCTTAGAGCGTAGCGAACCGCGTTGCGCTTCGTGTAGGTGGTATCTGCGTTTGTCACATCTTCGAACCATTTAACATTAGTCGATTGGCAGTACGAGATCAAATCCTGCTTAGAGAAGCGTAACAGCGGCCGCATAACCATGACTCCTCCATCCTCAATTTGCATGTGAGGTTCTTCTGACTTTTGAGGGTTCATGGCATGGCGAGGTTGGCCGGACTCGGAGACGCCATAGATACCCTGGCAAGCAGGAATCGGTACGTTTTGTTTCATCCCCTGCAGTCCTGTACCATAGAACTTCCCAACAAGTCTCAGAAGTACAGTTTCGGCTTGGTCATCAGCATGGTGTGCAACAAGCAGCTGATTGATCCCGTGTGCATAGCATGCTTTGCCAAGTGCCTGGTAGCGGTGGTCCCGAGCAATAGACTCAACATGCTGCACTTGAGGACTATCTGTTCCAGCTTTGATGTTGACAGCCAACATATGTGACTCGATGCCCAGCCTCCGTAACTGCTGAACAACCTTTTGCGCTTCGAGAGTGCTTCCGTCGCGCAGCCGGTGATCAACAACGAACGCCACGAACTTAGGTGAATCGTTACGAGCCTGCATATGCTCGCTACAGAGGCTAGCCAACGCCATAGAATCCACCCCGCCGCTAACGGCCAGACCTGCTCTGGTATAAGCCGACATTCAAAACCATTACACGATTCTCGTACCTATCGGGCAAGTTGCAACGCGACGCCCCTGAACTGCGTCGGATAGGGCCCGCTGCAATACAGTATGCATGCTCTTGATATTGTCCGAGTATGCTTCGTGGTACGTTGCCATAAGACGTGCATGGCGTCTAATGAAAAGAGGTCGCACAAACGCTGGGGCTAATGCGTACCTCATGCACTGAGCGAGATGAGGGCTTTCCATTGTCGAGCAAGCCAGGAACGGCACTATTCGGCAGCGCCTGTCTTCGTCTCTTCTGCCTTGTCTTTCGGCGGTTCCTTCGCCATAACATTCTCGAACTGCGACCACAGCCCCTCAACCTGGCTGAATTCGTTGCCGACCTAACGACGACTCAGCTCCTTGCAGAGGGCCTGTGGGAAGACAACCTACCGCGATAACGCCTTCCAAGCTGCGATTAAGCTTGTTCAGGTTCTGTAGAACGTTCTCTAGGCTCTGCCGTATGTCAGTTATGGCTTCTGTGCCAGACTGGGAAGTTGACGTACCGTGGCCACGTTGGCAACCAGAAGCGCACGTTGCTGCTCAAAGTATGACCCTTGCAAACTCGTACCGTTCGCCGTCGCCATGTTGAGGCTCAGCGTGCCATCTCTTGATTGGCGACGCGAATGATGCTGTTCACCCGAGAGAGACGCGCAGCTGACCGCGAGCTGTGCCGAGGCAAATGTTTGCACAAGTCATGCAGACATCGCTCGCATGCAATTAGGACTCCGTCTTTCAATGCTACACGTCAACCGCATCTGTAGCGAATGATGGCATAGGAGCCTTTCTGCAGCGGTGAGGTTTCAACACCTACTCTGACTATGGAGTTTATCACCGCCCTCCAGAGCGGCCTCGATGAGAACAAGCCCTCCCTCTTCGAGCTGCTCTCGGAACAACAACTTGCATCTCTCATTCCCCCCTCCCTCCGCTACCTGCTGGCCGTCGCAACTCACCGTTACCCCCGCTACTTGCTCCGCGCTCTCAACTCGTTTGACGAGCTGTACGCCTTGCTGTCTTTCGTGGTAGAGAGGCACTACCTCAAGGTCTACGGAGGCGGCTTCACAGAAAACTTCTATGGCCTCAAGCGTGAGCGTGTACTGCGCGTGAAAGGCGGCGAGATCAGGCGAGCACAGCTAGGCGCCCCAAACGAAGTGCGAGAAGCTCTCAAACTCCGAAACCGCGATGTCTGGAAGAACCTAGCCATCATGGTGGCGTTACCTTACATGAAGCGCAAGCTGGACGAGTCGTATGATATTCACGCAGCGTCGCTAAACGTGCTGGGTCCGGCCTATAGAGATAGAGAGTTGTATCCGGCAGACGGCACAGTCAGACAGCGATTGTTCTGGGTCTACAAGTGGTTCCTGCGGAAAGTATACCCGAGCATAAACGCGGCATACTACTTTTCGCTCCTTGCCTTCAACCTAGCGTATCTCTTCGATGGCACAAAGTATCATTCACCGTGGCTGTGGCTCGTAGGAACGCGGATTCGGAGGCTGAATGATGCTGATCGCAAAGCGATCGCGCTGGCAACGGAGCCTAAAGCCATACCGTCTCCAAAAGCAGGCGCCAGACCGGGTCAAACGAATTCAATCTTTAACCCTGCGACCATGACTCATTTGGCTGGTCCGCGTTTGTTGTCAAGCTTGCGCATACTGCTACCTACATCTATCTTCGCGCTGAAGTTTTTAGAGTGGTGGCACGCTTCAGACTTTGCCAGGCAATTGTCGAAGAAGGCGAATGAAGGTCTTCAGCTTCCACCACCAAGCATCTCTGGTCTAATAGGCGCAACCGCTAAGCCGGACACCAACAGATCACCGGATGATGCTGCTGAGAAGCCGACTTCTCGCCGCGATTCCGGCACCGGCGGGCCTCCAATTTCTTCAACCACCTTCCTTCCAATCCTAACCGTACCTGCCCCAGCCCATGCAGATCCTTCCGATCCTGATTCGGCGAACACTACCTCGCTCTGTCCGATTTGCCTGAGCGAAGTTCAGACTGCCACTGCAGCCCAAACTGGCTTTGTGTATTGCTACAAATGTATATACAAATGGGTCGATGGTACTCATCCACGGCAAGAAGCGTTCATGGAAGGCAACGCTTCTGCCGAGGATAAAGAAGGTGCGCGAGGCTGGTTTGAGGAAGGCGGCGGTAGTCGAGAGGGCAAGTGGGAGAGCGGTAAGGGCAGGGATGCTGTAACCGGCCGCAGAGTGTTGGGTGGGACGGGAGGCTTGAGACGAGTGATGGTGTGAAGCATGAGGGAACAGTCTCCGCTTTGTCACACAACCATTCAGCTCGTCTTGAGCGTTCGACACCTCGATTAGAGCTTTCAAGGGCACCCTTGCCGATGGGCACATTCATATCTATGAGGTTAGTTTGCGTAAGCCGCAGCACCACACGATAGGCCAATCGCTGCATTCAGGACGCCGAGCTCGCCTCTACTGCAATTCATCGCAAGGCACCTAGAGCGGCATTGGCATACGAACCGTTGCGGCTTGAGTAATCTCCGATAGCGTCCTACACCGACATCTCAATGCGCTCAGCACGCGATAGCACCGTGCTCTGGCGCCGCGAGTTGGCAGTCCGGTATACGCACAGAGCTCCTTTCAGAAACACACATCTGGTTGGCGTCGAGGGAGCACAAGCACTCGATGGTTCCATGACTGCTCGCTTTCGTAGTATACGCCTGGTACCCTTCGAACCTGCCGTTGATGCTTCCGCGACGTTCAGTCTATGCACTGATATTCTTTATAAATCTCATGACGACGCTTCGTCTCCTAGGAGAGAGCTGGTCTGGGAGCCCGCTGCTGCGGACAGCGGCCATAACTCTTACATACACACTACATTATCTTGAACATGTGACGTCTGGCAACGCAATGGCACAGCCACCCCACACGTACCACAATGTAATCCCGCTCATTAACGCTCCCACGCAGTATCATTCGTTCACACAAGTACGCTGGTAGCGCATTACCAGTAGTCGTGAATGTCTTCGTACATATCTTCGTAAATGTAGTACATGCCATACTTGTCGTAGTGCTTCGCTAACTTGTGAGTCTCGCAGCGTCCGCATTTGAGCCGCTTGCAGATTCTCCTATGCACGTCGGCATAGTGTCCATAGCCGGAGTCGCTGAGGTCGTCTGACAAGTAGTCACCGTCTTCGTCGAGAGCCTTGTAGTGCTCGAGGCCTGAATTTGCGGTCAGCGAGGCTTCTATGAGGTTGGGTGTGGCAGTACGTACGCTCGCGATGATGCTCTTTCCTCGCCGGGGCCTCCTGTTCCTTCATAGCGTCCTCGTGGTAGCGAATCTTCATCTCACGCTTGTTTTGGGCGACTTTCTGGAGTTTGCGCTGCTTCCGCGCTTTGCGTTTCTGCCGCATATGAGAGGTCAAGTCGCCGTGCAGCAGGCGAGCAACCTGCTCTACGTCCCGCTTGAAGAACTTGTACGAAATGCAATGTCCAAGGATGATGGTTGTCCCGGCGTTTGCTGTGCCATACGGTATAGTTGGCAAACCTTTGACCTTGTCCTTTGACCGTGGACCTGGATGGCGTGTTGGAATGAGCATGTAGTCTCGTAAGTCGTACTCTTGCAGGGCTGTGGTCAGATTCTGGTCTTATGTCAGCGACATGTCAAGCCGACGTCTTGATCGCAACTCACAATGATGCAGCCGAACGCGCGTTGCTCGCAAAGACCGCAGCAGGCGACTTGGTTGTAGATCGTGCCACGGTGGTGTTGGTAACCATCACAAACTACGCAGTGGGTGCGGACGTACTCAAGGTACTCCTGTCGATAAACCCTTGGAAACTTCTGCGGCTGTGTAGCCAACCTCACGGAACGGCGAGTAGCTTTAGCTTCTGTGGTGGCTATGACACTTGTGAAGCCAGACCTTTCTCTATGGAGGTTTAGCTGGCGCAGGCAGAAGCTCTCCACCACATCGTGAAAGGTGTTCGACATAGTAGCAAGAGCGAGAAGCACATGCGGCTTTTTGGTCGCGTTGATCACACGTTCGGCGTCAAAGTCCAGAACGCAGAGAGAAACTATGCGGTCCAGAATCTCTGGTGGTAGGCGGCTAATGAAGTCCTTCTCAGGATCAACTGGGGTCCAGGAAGGGTCCCTATCTATCTTGTAATTTGCGCCGGTGTCGATGCCCTCGTGGGAGTAATCCGCCTCCGCCGGACTGGAAGCGGTGCTCGTAGCAGCTTTGGCGGCCTTTCTTTTCGCCATGGCTTCGATGGAGTCTGTGAGACAAAGACAGAAGTACTGTAAAGTGTAGATGTAGGAACATGCAGGTTCGTGATACGAAGTACCTGTTAAAGGCTCTCAAAGCCAAGAGGTGAAGTGCGATTGTGTTAGCGGTAGCAAGATAAAGGCAGACGCGGCAGCAATAACGCGTAGACGCCGCGCTACCACGTGCCCATCTCATCTCTTGGCAGGTCCGTTCACAGTGCTCCAGTACTGTGTGCACGCTTACGGGTAAGTCTGCTTAGATAGTAACTTTGCCCGTACCTCAATCCTACCTGGCGGCGGTAGTCAGGCTCGAGTTTGGACAGCGCACGTAAGTGGGCGAGCTGCGATTGCGGATTAGTCTTGAGCTCACTTTCTACCCTGCTTCTTTCTCCTTGAAGACCTAGGAGCATGTTGCACCTCAGCCTCGTCTCCGTCGTCTGCGTTCTCTGCATCAGCATCCTCCTCCTCAGCACCACCATCCTGGGATGGTCGCTCATCTATCAAGCCAAGCGCAGCTCTCGCCCGTGCACCGCCACGCTTCCGCAGCTCACCAGTGACTGACCTTAGCTGCAAGGGCACTTCTTTGCCCATCTTGAGGTACCACAGCTTGAGATTGCGCGCTTTATCCTTCAGCTGCACCTGATTCCGATCTTTGAGAACCTCACTCTCGGAACCGCCACGACCGTACCTAGAGATTGATAGGTGGGAGTGTCAGCTGTGTCTCGGACAATTACCAGGATTCGCATGTCACACTACCTACAGCGCTAGGATCTGCGACCAGTGCGGGCCATTCACCTTGTCCAGACCGGTTATAAGCGCGGCTTCTTCGGCCTTTGTCCACGGTTGTCGGACGGTCGTTGAAGGTGCATTGAGCCGCTTATCGCCTGAGCTGGTGTGCTGTAGCAGCGGAGGTAGGGTCGGCACGTCCAGGCCATCAACAGCGGGTACATTCGCTAGACCGTTTGCTTCTCTACCCGCTAATGTTCCTCGCCGGTCAATACCGGCACCAGCTTGCGTGCGTGACGTAGACACGTTGAGTATGCCATCTACATTCTTACTGATGCACGACGCAAACTCCCGCACAAATTCGCTCCACTGATACTTCTTCGGTAAATCACGAACTGCCTCCTCCGAGGCACCTTCTTCCAATAGGTAGTGTTTCCGCGCCTTACTCCGGTCGATGAAGTCTTGCTCACTAGGCGACAAGCTCGGTGCATCCGGATGTCGTGTAAGTATAAGTGCGTCCATATCATGTGGGAATAGCTCGTCGAGCATTGCGTCTGGGGTGCCGTCGCTGCTATTCATCAGGGCGGAGATGTATGTCTGCGTCTTCAGCTCAAGAAATATTGCGCCCTGCCATTTAAGTAAACGATGACTTAGCGGAACGAAAGTCTCCATGAAGAATTCATTAAGGTGAAAGAAGCTGACGTCGTGAGCGCCGAGGATGCTGGAGATCAAGGTGGCAATGTTGGCTTTGCGGATGACTTCCTGTTGGCTTGGCTGGAACATCTGAATTGCAATCGCATCGATAAACGGAGTGTCGCGGCTGTACACCTTGCGCGTCTGGTCGAAGAGATTCTTCAGCGCGTTGTATGCCTGGCCATCTTCGCTCTCCCTCGTGCCAATGATGTCCTGGATCTGTGGATAGCTAGCCCGAGCGATTGTGTGGATTAGCTGGGTGGCCTGATCGACGTCGTCAGCATCCCAAGACAATGCCATCTAGAAGCAGTAGCAAACGGAAGATCGGCTTGTGCGGCACGAAATCGCACGAAGAAGCAACAGCATGCCTGCAAACAATGCCAATGCTTGTTGCGTTGGCGAGGATAGCCGTGCCTGTCTCATCGGTTGCACCGCACAATCACGCTGGAATATTCGGCTGTGAAGTGGAAGTCCTCTGAGCAACACAACCTATACAAACGCAGTTGGTTGCTGCTTTCAGAGCGCACGTTGCATAAGTTTGGAGTGTTAACTCACCAAATTGTCCAGTATTGACAAGCTTTGTATCTTGAGCTGCATGCTGGCATCATCCATATACGAGGAAGAAGCATATTGTTGCAGTGCTCCACTTTGAGGGCCGACGTACAGATACTCGGCACTCGCATTAGGATCCGGATACGCTGAGATCTGCGCAGCTATACCGATATCATCGACCTGTTCCGTCGCAACTCCGGTGCTGAGTGGAAAGAAAGGCATGTTTTCTGATGTTGGCACAGAAGCGTTGTACCGAGCATCGTACGTTATAGGTGGCCATGGCGCAGTATAAGTAGCCGGGTCAGTTTGTTGAGCAGTGTAGTAAGGCTGCTGGTACGTAGCTGCATCCGAGTACATGGGATGCGGTGCAGAGCTTGCAGTCAGGGCAAGATCGGTCTGCCCTTGCTGCTCCACCATCTCGTCAGCGTTGCCAGCCGCCGTGGCGTACTCGCGCACGACGCCACCGTACGACGTTTCATCAACAGCAGAAGCATCGGCGTATAAGTCGGTCGACCCCTGGGCTTGCCCTCCGTTCCACTCAGCAGTCCTGCGGCGCTTCCTCATCCTGTCATCAGCGCCGAAGTTCTGCAAAGGCTGCATCCCGAAGGCTTCGGCTGCTGAAATGCCACCAAAGCCATCGTGAGATGCTAATGAGGAGTGCAGGACTAGAGGGAATCAATGTCAGTGACTACTTGACAGAATTCCTGGCACAGGATAGGGCACCGTCAGATATTCCCTTTCGAGGCACGCCATGTGAAAGTTCTAAAGACCTCGTGGCCGAGAACCCATTAGAGTGTTTCGGATGGGACGTACCGGACTGCATGTTGTCGAGATCCTTCAGCAAACCCTAACTGTGGCGTCGAGATCTCTCGTGTTGGGGCTTCCTGGCATTGACGGCCGATATCCGCCCGAATACCTCGAATTACGTGCGATAAGAGGTGGAAAGTAGGATGGGACTCACAAGCGACACATACATACTCTTACCATGCGGGAGCGAGTCTAGTGAATGCGATCGATCCTCCGACCCTCAACTTTGCGCGAAAGCTCCGGCCTGGTTCAGCGTAAGGCTGGGAGTCCGGCTGACAAAGACAGTTACACGCGCCAATCGCCCCATTTTCCACATCGAGGTGTCAGCGACACCTCGTCGCGGCTCGCAACTGTACTTTACAAACATCACAGACAATGTAACACGATGTTGCGCAATCCCGTTTACTTGCTACATGAGTGCGATAGCGGGAGTGGTACCGTAGTGACGAACATCGCTGCAACAACTCTAGCCTGATCGTACAGAGCAATGTTACGCACGACTAGCAAGATGGCACATCGAGCGTCGGACCATTGCGCATAGCTGTAGGCAATGAATTTCACGATCCGAAAGGATGACATGGGCCATAGAATGCTCGTACACGCTGGATCCGGCAGTTACAATTCTCAAGATTGTGGATGAGAGCTAGCTTTGGCACCCTCCACGGACCAATGCAACCGGGCCCGGCTGTTGAGCGGGTCGCTGAGTGTTTGTTAATGTCCATCGTCGAGCCGGGTTGCAGACAGGACGACCCAAAGCTTCGCCGGTTTGTGCCCGGATGGTATAACGCACGCAATACTCCCTGATTCCCCATTGATAAGTAAGAATGAATAGTATTAGGCGCCGAATGTCATGGGTACCATTAAACGAACCGCAGGTAGCGCGAGTCCACGGAAAGGTGAGAGTGCTCGATGCATGTGTACCGTGGTTAGTGACGCCTTGCCTTGGGCACGAAGGTGCAGTCTCCCTACTTCGCACCGCTTCCCCGATGTGGTGATATGACGTCGCCTCGTTAGAGGTCCTTCACCAGTCCATGCGATGTATTCCGAAGTGGGAAAGCAGTAAGCGGTCAGGTTTCAACGGCCTTGTGTCTACGTCTTCTGTCGCGTCACCACCAAGAGACGGAACCGTAAAGAGACTCCGAACGCACCACCGGTGCTTAGTATGCCTGCAAAACAAGTAAACAAAGGCTATACTCAAACATGTATCGCAGAGTTAGAGATGGTGGTAAATATCCCCCTACCATTGTTTAGCGCTTCAGCTGCTCAAGCATCCTACAGCAACCCAGTGAAGCAGCTCCGCAACTGGGCAAGCGTTCGTTTGCAATCTACTGGCATCACATCGTTCCAAAATCAGGATGAGCAGTTCGAGCCGCTCAGACGTTCTACAGCGCCTCTTCGAAGCCGTGATAGGAATGAAAATACGGTTGCATCTCCAGATGATTTGGCGGGCTAAGGTGCATTCTGGTTAATTGTCGCGGAGATTTTATGTAGCATAAGCTGGTCGTCTGGTGCCATGTGCGCTTCCCAGTCTGCCCTCGTACAAAGTACCGCATTCCTTTGGTGAAACACTATCATCGCAGAAGTGGATTGTAAGGATAGTGCAAGATAGAGAGCGAGAAGCGTCTCGTGCCTGATGCCGCGGAGAAACTGCGGCCTTATGCTGGCCTGCTACCGATAGGTCCACTCTCACATGGCTGTTGACAGCCTTCCCCTCAAGCTATTCTGGGTCTAGCCACCTGCAAGGAACACCGATCGCTCAGAGAGAGTTTCCGGCCGTTCAAATATGTGCTCTGACGGTTCATATTGTGCTTGTTACGCCCGGCTGTGTAGAAACAGCATGCCTTGGACAAGAGTCACACCTGGTCATCTCGTGGCCATCAAAGGTTGATGGTTGCACAGGACATGCCGCGCGGAGTAGGATGAGTAGGTCGCCCACCCGAAATTATGCCAACACTGTTGGACGGAGGGTCCACCAGTCGTTGGCATCTTGAAACACCACTGCCAGTGTGTGCTGACAACACTCTGCGTCTCAACAGCATCGCCGGCCCCAGTAGACACTCGCGCCCTGTTTTCGCTGACGTCCAGCGACCTCAGCTCCAGCCCTCCACCCGAGCCTCTCTTGGTTGCGCCGCCGGCGCCTTTCGCAACCTCACGCGACCATTCGGCAACCAGAGGGCGGGCGCTGAGTGCCACAAGTCCGCACAATGCATCACCACGAGGTGTCCCGCCGGCGCAGCAAGCACCACAAGTGTGGACGGCGAAGCAAAGTCTTGAGATAGATCGGAAGGCTAGTTTGTACAATCACCATCGCCAGACATCCATCGTCAATGGCGCGCAGCATTCGCGAAACCCAAGCCTGGCGGCCCCGACACATAGGAGTCCGCTGGGGTCGTACAAAGCTACAGCAAATGGCTCACCTGAGACTGCTACGGCAAATGGCAATGCGGTTTTGAAGAAAAGCCCTTCAATGACTACGCTCTATAATAACGGCACGAACGGCACCAGCGGCGGCACAGCGACTGTCGTTAGAGGATTGGAAAGTCATCCCTCTCAACGGCGGCCGCAACGGATGCACAGTGGCAGAGTGAAGACTAGCTCCGAGCATCAGCGCGCACAGTCCAGAGCACAGGCTGCGCAGGAACCAAAGACTGTTGGAGAGTATGCGCTGCATCATCTGTTCACCTCGTTTGTTGCTGAGGCGGACGAGCGTATTGAGCGTTGCATCCCGCGCTTTGGCGAGCTTGAGCCACGCATTGAGGAGATCTGCGGGCCTGGTGCAGACCCGCCTTTTGATCAACTTATCTCCTCCTTGGGTCACATCAACCGACACAAGCCAAAGTCTCTCATTGACTCTGTCATTCATTGGAGAAAAATGAAGGCTGATCTTGCTAACAAGATGTACAGTGAGTTACAGCTGATGCGCGAGCCTGCCCAAGTCACTCAGAGACCTGTGATGAATGGTATATCTTCCGCGCCCACCTCCCCGCCAGGTGGGCAAGAGGTCCTTCTGAAGGAGCATGAGGTGTCTATGGCTGACAGAAGGTCGACTATATCGATCTACCTGCTGTGCCGAGTACTTATAGCGATTATCAGCCAGACCACGCTTGAAGCCCTTAACGGCCCAGATGGGTTCCTCAACACCGCTGGAAGGCTGGAGGAAGTCATATATGGTCAGCTGCAAAGCGCAGATCCCGATATGCTTGCTACCTCGCCAGTATTAAGTGCCAACTGGGTGATTCGAGGACAGCTACTGGGTGTTATGAGCGGCATTCGCTTCGAAGCCGTCACTGACCGCTTTCTTCAAAATCTGGAGATCGCTCAGGAGAAGCTTTCGGTCAAAGGCCAGGTCGACCCACGCCTCGCAGCTAAGACCGCAAGACTTGTGCAAAGTATGCGCTTTCTTAAAGTCCAGTTACAGCCTCAAGAACTTTGGGAGGCGTCCTGTAGGAAGTTGCTTCGACTGGCGAAGTTCTTTGCTGCCGTGCATGGACGAGTCATGAAGCACGCTTACGCCGAGCTGTTCGAGCATCTCTTGCTACCTGTCGCGGCAAAAGCGACATCTGAATTTGATAATCCTTCGTGGAGAGAAGCTCTTGTTATACTACAGCTGCGTACCTCGCAGATGCTCTCAAAGGCAGATCATTGGCCGTACGTGTACCCACTACAGGCGGTCTTACTTTGCGTTTCACCGCAAGAACAGTTCGCCAGCCAGTGGCTTGCGCTCGCAACTTCCGTACCGCCGAAAGCGCGCGACAGAGCTGGCCGGTCCCATATGCTTAAGGCTGTGTGTCGACTTACCTGGCGGTATCTCTATCGTCCGCACTTCACCGACGAGCCGGCCACCAAGAAGCTGGACGACATTGTTAAGCTAGTGTTTCAAGGTGGCAAACGAGCCTTCGTCTCCACCGACCCTGCAATTGCCGACCCACTAATACAACTCATTCGCATTATTGGATACAAGCATCAGGACATCTGCTTCCGTACGATAATCTTTCCGTTGATGAACTCCGAGCTATTCGAGAAGCCCGAAAAAGACAGAGACAAAGACCTTCGCATCGAGAGTCTTGATCCTGAGAAGACTGTCGTTGCGATCCGTGCTTTCCTGGCAATTATGACTGACTTAGAGAAGGGCCAGGCGCCTCCGTTTCCGACGAGGTATGAATGTGATGATCTCATGGATCCGGCTTCACGCTCTCCCATCACCCACCGCCGAACACGCTCCCAAGGTTTCGCTGTGTCTGCTGGCCGAACCGAGCGACTCTCACGACCAGTCATGACAACGAACTTCAACGACGTGACGAAAGAGTACTTTGACAGATTTTGTAAGATACTTGGCAAGATCACCACGCTTTGCGACGAGGCATTTGGTGGGCAGGCAGTGCTCAAGGAGAAGACTGCCTCGCAGACGCCCAAGACTCCTATGGCTGAAGCATTCGCGTTCAACAAGAAGGAGGACCTACTCAACCCTACCGACGCGCGACAGCATTACTATGATTTGCTCCACGTGGCCGTCGAGGCGCTCCCACGCTGCCTTTCACCGGTGATGTCAATGACATCGCTCGTCAACCTTCTATGTACCGGCACCGCCCACGTACAACCGCATATAGCCAGCTCGTCAGCACAGTCGCTGCGATCGATTGCACGTCAAGCGCATGCTCAGCAGGTTACTACTGGCTTCTACAGATTCGTGTTCAACTTCGATGATCCTGATGCCACAGCACCGGGTCGTAGCCTGCTGGGCCCAGAGCATATCGAGAACACGCTCAAATTGTACGTGGAGCTTCTGCAAATTTGGGTGGAGGAAGTGGAGCACCGCACACGTAAAGCCAGAGCGGACCAATTAAGTGGTGAGGATGTTGTGAAGAAGTCACTACACAAAGACTCTGCTGGATTGCTAGCCCACGTGGACGAGGTGGAATCGCATGGCTTGTTTCTGCTGTGTTCGCCATCACGAACTGTAAGAGCCGCCGCAGTGGATGTTCTGCAGTTGATTACCAAGTTCGATACAGCCATCGGCAAACCTGGCTCAAGGCTGATCAGCATACTCCAGGGCGGCTCGCAGCAGGTGATAGATGTAAATGATGAACGCTTGTCGCTGGCTGAGAGGAGTCGCTTACAGAAAGGCCTTCGGAGAAGCAGCATCAACAGTACGCTCGTCGAAATGTGCAGCAGTGATCTTGCCCACGACACGAACCTGTGGTTCAAGCTATTCCCGAACCTCATAAGGCTGAGCTCAAAGGTCAATGCACGCGTCGTTGCATTAACACGAGCTCTAGTCTGCAAACATCTGTGGCTCAGCAATAAGACGATTAAGGCTTTGTCTGACGGATCAAGCTCAAAGCTCGGGGTGAACTCCATGGTCGAGTCCGCCTCTGTTGCTGGTAGGCCGTTTACACACTGGAGCACGTGGGCGCCTGACATGTTCATCGAGCAGTGGAGAATACACCTAGTGTTCGCCTGCACGACACTGACCGAACCTGAGGTCAGCGGCAATGAACTGCCATTGCCTTCACAGAGTTCACAACACACACGCAAGAGCTCAAGGTCCTCAACCAAAAGCCAGGCTAAGATCACAACTGCGCAAGAGCTGTTGAAGACCGCAGTGCCGTACTTATCAAGCTCCAACGCCACGCTAAGAGATGCAGCAACTAGTGGACTTGGATCTATCAATGCAACCCTATATGACACTCTGCTCGATTCTCTCAAGAGTGAGGTGGGAAGACGTAGCGGTGAGGGCGAGATCATCCATCAGCGGAGTCTGACCAGCCTGCGACGGAGTCCTCAGACGGACTGTCTACGCACGGAGATTACGCGACTGCTTGGACTTACCTGCCACCATCTCGCCGACCTAGCAGCCGTAGGAGACGCAACCCGCGAGATGTGGTTCGCACCTATTGCAGAGCACGGCAAACAGCTTCGTCTGTTTCTTAGCGAAACAGATATACAAGGCGACCTAGAGTTTCAGCGACTTCGCACTCACTATTGTGTCTTCATTGAGGCGCTGTATGATAGCATACAGAAGCTGAAACGACCATCATATAATGTCGCCTTTCAGTGGCGTCAGGCTATATTCGCGCTTATGGAGGACTGGTGCGGCTTTTCACCACACGAGCCACAGCTGAGAAGGCACGAAGCTCATCTGCGACGGTCAGTCCTCGATCGCGAGCAAGATCTCCGCAATCGTGGGATCATGAGCTCAACAATGGAGAAGGAGCGTAACGATCTTCAACTGGCAGCCCTGAGTGCCATGGCGACATTGTGTGCAGGCCCACTCGGCTTCTTTGCGGACAACAAGATCCTGATGCAGTTTGACGTTCGACGCCTATTGGCATGGGTTGGTGCCATCTTTGAAGCACAGAGCGACCGTATGCATGCGATTGGAAGGCGTGCGCTTCTCAACCTCATTCTGCACAACCAGGACCAACCATACCTTATGGCCCAAGCAATGCGGATGTGCTACATTGCAAGGACGCCCAAAGCGCTCACAAGCTATTTTGAGGTAGTGACGAAAGTGCTCACGGACTGTACCGGCATGACAGTACCGTTCTGGAAGATTCTCTGCGCAGGCCTCTACACACTAGGTAACGAAGACAGCGGGATACGAATGAAGTCTGCACGCTTGTTGCGAGCTCTCGAAGAGCGCCAGAAGAAGACATCGAAGCTGCAGGACCTGGACATCAGCGTGTCTGATAAGACGACAGCGGTATACAAACTCGCTCAATTCGAGATCTCACGCCGCCTTTCGAAGCAGCATCCGGAATTGGCGTTCCACGTCTTTTCCGAGTTCTCCATGTATTTCAATGAGCTGCAGCCGGACCATCAACGCAACATGGTGTCAGGCATGCTTCCTTGGATCCAAACCACTGAGCTGCAAGTTGATCCTAGCGGTGCACCCACGGCAACGTCACACATGCTACTGGTAAATCTGTTCGAGATCACCATCAAGAGCAGCATTACTCTACATAATGAGATCCAGGCTTTGTGGCAAGCTCTCGCCACAGGACCATACGCCGGCAATGTGCAGGTCGTCCTGCACTATATCATCGGCACATGCTTGGAGAGAAAGGAGCATAACTTCGTGCTGTATGCCAAGCAAGTTGTCGTCTTCCTCTCCAAGACTCCTGCAGGCGCTCGAGTCGTGGAGTATTTGTTACTGCAAATATGCCCAAGGACCATGGTGCCAGAGCAGCGAGAGCCAATACAACCGCCCGTGGACATAACAGGTCTGCCGTACATCGCGGATCTGAATGTGGCTTTGCCAAGTGGTGCAAGGCAAAACAGTCTCTCCCTCGGTCAGCTGAGTATGATCCTGCTGGTTGATCTGATCGTCTCGCCAATCAAGCTTCCACCTGAGAAGGTGCCATCTTTGTTGCAAGTGGTTTTGGTGCAGTGGGACCAATACGTACCGATAGTACAAGAGCAGGCCAGGGAGCTGCTTGTGCATCTCATCCATGAACTAGTCATCTCGAGAATCGAGCCGGGCAGCACCAAGCCGGACAAGAGGGCCATCGAGGATTTCATTGAATCCGTACGACGTCACGATCCCAAGATTGCTTGGTCCTATAGTGATAGCGAGATCTCATCTGAGTATGACAGGAGTCGGTCTGTCTCAGACACTATGAATTATGTGGTGGACGAAGTGGTAAAGATCTTTTGCGTGACCTACCCAGGCCTGCGTGAGGAGTGGGGGCGAGTCACCATGCAATGGGCTACTTCATGCGCGGTACGACACATCGCCTGCCGCTCTTTTCAGGTGTTCCGGTGCATACAGACGACACTGGACCAGCAGATGCTTGCAGATATGCTGGCTAGGCTCTCGAACACCATCGCTGACAGCGAGAACCCGAATTACCTCATTTTCTCGCTCGAGATATTGGCAACCTTGCGCAGCATCGTCGATGCCCTTACGCCAATCGCACTCCTTCAGTATCCGCAACTGTTTTGGACAACGTGCGCCTGCTTAGATACCATCTTTGAGCGTGAGTATCAGGAAGCGTTGACAATTCTGGACATTATCCTACGCAAGATGGACCTTACTGATCCCGCAGTCGTGCGGATACTCAAAGAAAGCCAACCAAGCAGTGACAATCAAAGTGGCAAGTGGGAAGGTGCCTTCAACGGGCTGCATTGTCTGATCTACAAAGGCATGCGCTCTAGTCGCAGTATGGATCGTTCTCTTGCGGTCATGGAGATCCTTATCAAGCTCCCGTCGAATGAAATTCTAGGTCTTGACGACCGTTTGGCATTCACAGTACTCGCTAACTTGCCGCGCTACCTGCACGCTTTCGAAGAGGAACCCAACAACGTAGGCATCTTGGACTCCGCTCGCACACTATCCATAGCGTCAGAAGGCCAGGGTTGTACAACGCTTGCTGGTGCACTTGAGGCGTATGCTTCTGGCCAGTACCGCAGTAGTAAGGACTTTCTAGCGCAGATCCTGCAGGCGATCCGCCAGGCCTTCTTCCCAGCCTTGGAGTTCCGCAGCCTAGTGTTTCTCCTCGGCATGGTGAACAATCAGACAGACTGGTTCAAAGTCCGGACTATGCAGATTCTGAGCGTCATAGTGCCAGAGATCGATATGCGCAAACCAGAGATTGCCAGTCAAGGACCTGACCTTATCTCGCCGCTGCTGCGCTTACTGCAGACCGAGCATTGCCAGCAAGCCCTTGATGTGCTGGACAATGTTATTGAGATGACAGGTACGCCACTAGACAACAAGCACCTACGAATGAGTATGGCAGGCTCCCACTCGAGCCGAGCTACCCGCAAAGAGTACGAAAGCACGAAGAGCTTGTACGGCATACCTGAGGATTCTGGATGGTCAATACCGATGCCCGCAATGCACGCGGCGCAGACCAGAGCCAATGTACATGCGGTCTTCTACACCCTCGCATATGCTGGTCTAGACGGTACACAAGAAGCAGCCAGGACGCCGGAGATTGAGTTCCACAAGGATGAGTATCCTTTCGACTCATACGCGGCGGACAGAACTGCCACCATGATGTCTGATGACACACGTACGGATGGCAACATGGGCGAACTGGCTGTTAAACTAGACAGCCTCGATGATTTCTTCGGCTCGGACGAAGAAGGCATTGACTCAACGTCGCCGCTTCGATCCGATAACGTGCGGCCAAGATATCCCAGTGGTCGTCCTGGTGAACGCGAGGATTTGTACGAGGAGCAAGTCCGCCCTATCTTGCAGTCGCTGCAACGCAACACGAGTGTTACATCGTTCCAGCGTGGCTTTGCGTCGTCAGAGGTCCGTTACCAGCCTGGTCGAGACATGGTTATGAACCCAGCCGCCTTCGCCCAGAACACTGCACTCCTAAGTCGCCCCGGCTTGCACAACCGAGCAGTGACCTCGCCAGTCATGACGTTGAAGGACCATGAAGCACGGCAGCCTCTGGCAGAGCCAATGTCTGGTGACGAAGGTGACAGGGAGACCGACACGTTCTCCGATGATGACCTTTCGATTGGAAAGGCGCACACGGGCGAAGACCGCGCGCTTCCGCAGCACAACATCAAGCCATCCCGAGGCTTCAGAGGGTGGTCGCAAGGACTACGCCGGCTTACTTCGAGCAGTGGTACTCAGCAGGAAGCCCTGAAAACGTTGGCAAAGTCGACTTCGCGTAGTCCGCAGGTACCGAGAATGCCTGCGCCATGGCTACGGAATCCTCAAAGCGCTGAGCCCTGATCTATCGCGTGCTGTGTACGAACCGTCACGACGTGTTCGCAGGCTAAAGTCCTGGATGTGTATCACTATCAGTACCGTGTAATAAGACGTCTCAGACCTTTTAGAGAGACACAAATACAGTCAAGTACGATTGTGAGCGAAGTACGTGTATTCCCATTTAACACGCCTTGCCTAAACCCCTGTCGCACCTTACTCGACGTCCCCGGTTCTTTCGCTGCCATGTATATGTGCGTACTACAACACCAAGTCAATGTGGCGGAGCTCGACACCGCCTCCGGCACGTAGCCATAAGGGAAGGCTGGAGAAATGGCCTCTGCGGTCATTTCTGGTCAGCGCGCGCCGTATGGCCCCGCAAGCAGTGTCCAATGCCATCTGTTGCTTAATGGCAAAAACCGATAGCGGGTCGGGATTACGCTGTTTTTACTCGTCCTACGGCTCTGGACCTCGTGTTTTGTTTCGAAGCAAGGCTACAAGGTGGCGGGGAGGCACCGACGTTTCTGGCGCGGACACAGTAGTGGGCACGTCGAGCAGAGCGGCTTGTCATGGTCGGACTTTGCATACTGCACATACGCCTGCGAACCGGATACCCTGTGCAACTCGCTCATGCCGCTAGAAAGCCTGCATCGACTGGACGGGAAAGCTGACCGCATGGTGCTGTATCCGAGACAGTCGAACTTCCTGCCCTCAATGAAGGCGCTCCTTCAGCAAGGGGAGATCAAATATGGCGTGAAGCTGAAAGGCGTCGAGCTCCGTAGCTGCTGCTGGCAGATGTGTGTAGCCGACACAGGAAGCAGGTTTCACGAAGCTGCTTGCTTTCAACCCAGACACAGCACAAGCGGCTGCTCGTTCTGGACTGGGATGCTACAGTTCTGAACACAATCAATGATCTCTTCCTCACGCTGCCTGCGCTGGTAACACTCCCCCGAGCGTACTGGCTGAGCGGGGCCAGAATCACAAACATGATCATGCTGGTCACGCCTTCAACCAAAGCAGTCGCAATGGTACATGCGAGGACGGCCAGTAATTAGGTGGAAGAATATGACACGGAGATTGTGAACTTACTGTACCTCGCAAGCTGCGCAGTGCTCCTACACCGACCGTACACCTTGCTTAGTGGAGAGTTGGGAGAAGGAAACCACACGATGTGGCTTGGTAGCACAAACAAAGTGTGGGATACGGAGAAAGTGATGAACGAGGTACACGATGTTCGTTCAGCGATTGTCCGGTTCTGAAGCCGTGGCAAGGGTGGGACCGGGGATCGCGGAAGCATTGGATCCATCCTGTGCGGGTTAGAGCAATGCAGAGTGAGCGGAGAACAAAGCGTGGAAATGGTTGTACCAACACTTCAGGGATGGACGGGAGGTAAGCTGCGTCATGTAGATCCATCGAAGTGTTTCGCCTATAGTTCGCTAACCAGTTGGCTAGAGGTTGCGGTACGAAGTTCATTGTTCAGGAGCAAGAGGAGGCCGAAATCGAACTCAAACGCTTGCTGGACAAGCCCAACCCAGTGCTTGAGCAGATGCTTCAGTTGGGCGCCGCATATTTGGATCAGTGACTGCGTTCGAGAGAGAAGGGTGCAGCGGCATTGCTGGAGTCTTGTTACTTCTTGGAGAAGAAAGACATGATATTGCCTTGTCCAGGCTTGCCACCCTTCTTACCGCCAGCGGCTTTGGCAATGTTGACTGCTGGTAACGCAGGGGTGACTTTGACCTTCTTGGGCGCAGGCTCCTCTTCGGAGTAAGACTCCCATGCTGGTTCTTCTCGTGTCACTGCGAACTGTTAGCATAGAGCGGCACGCACGGAGAATCTTAACCGACCAAGATAGCCATCCTCGTCCTTGACGGTCTTCTTCTTGATAACCCTTCTCCTGCCGCGGCGGCGACCATTCTCGACCGCTACGCTTTCCTTCGTTTCATCCTCTGTCTTAGCCTCTGGCTTGTCAATGGCATCGTCCTCGTCGTCCTCGGCGGAAGCACCCTTGTCAGGTATTGCATCTGCAGCGTCCTGCATAATCTCGTCCTCCTGCTCCATCATCGCCTGCAGCTCAGCTTCGCGATCGCTCTTAGACTTGCCATCGGTCACCTTTGGCACCTCCTCAACAATATCTTCGCCGTGCTCATCCGCTTCTTCGTCAGAAAAGTCGGCCATGGGCTCATCCTGCGGCTTCAGAGCCGGTGACGCTTCGGCAGAGCTTTGAGACTCCGCCTTCCTGTCCTTCGACTTGCCTTTTGCGAATGACTTGAATATCTCCGACGACTGTCGTGGAAGAGACCTTTTGTTTAGCTCAGGATTTGCTTTGACGGGGGGCGGCTGTGCGGCAGTCTTTGAGTCCTGCGAGTCTTTGGACGCTTGCCTTTCGACCGCTGCAGGTTTCGGCCTTGGTCTCGCGACTTCGGGCGCTGGTGCAGGCGGAGGCGGTTGCCTTTTCTGAGATCTGCGCTTGACGTTCGGATTCTGAATTGTTCCGTATTGCTTCCAGCCCAGTAGCGGGTCCTCTGACGCGTAATCCACAGCTATTTTGCGGTTGCACTCCGTCAGAGAATGTATGTCACTGAGACCCTTGGCTTGCAGACTGTAGATATGGATGCCGGTGATAGCCTCAAACGTCGCCTTAGCCTGTTCCAGCTGCTCCTCCTTCACTAAAAGCATGGAGCGGACGACGATGCGTTCAGCCTCGTGATTCTCCTCCTGCGGCATTGAGCTGCTGGGTAAGGGCGGGCTGCTCTGCATAGCTGTATCCTCGCCGTCATGATCCGCATAGCCATTACTCTGCGGTGCTTGAGCATGTTTGGTCCCACTGATAAGGTAGGTGGCGTGGACCGAGCCAGGCCTTTTAGCATTCTGCTTGCGATGGAAATCATACAGCATCTGCTTCGCCAAATTGCTGTGCACCTTCAATGCGCGGCTCAACGACCGATAACTGATGAGGTGCTCCTCGTTGAGCACATTGATGGCCAGCCATTCCGAGTAGTTCGCTGACATTGTTGGTAATGTTGGGGATACAGCGTGCAGATGGCATCGTCGTACCGAAGACGCGTAAAGTGGCGTGGAGCGTGTCGTGGGGGCCGAAAGTTGTGCGCTAGCCACGTCCTACTCCAGACCACGACGGCTAGTTGGAACAAGTCATAACATCATGGAAAGTCCGGACGAAGAAGACGACGTGAAGCTCATCAAGGCCTCTGCCAGCCTATTGTCAGATCTTGAGTCTGCCTTACCGCTGCTGCTCTGGCGGCCAGCCGCAACCGCAGCTGGCAAGCAACGAGTACACACTCGCGTCAAGCAGCGAGATCTTGACTATGTGATCAAGCTGGTACGACTGTGATCAGTCTTGATGTAGGTATAATGCTCATGGCTCGTAACAGATTGAGCCGTTTCAGGGTGAGCCACAGCTGCTGGATGCTCGCCTGAAGTACCTGCTCCCACCACTCGTCGAGGCCTACCTTGCATATCTACCTTTGACTGGTGGCAATAGGGCGGACCGACATGTTGATCTGGAGACTGCTGTTTGCACCATTCTCTACACCCTCTGCAAGGTCAGGGGCCACAAGGTTATCGTCCGCTTCTTCAGTAACGAAGCCCGCTATCTCGAACCGCTTGTGGAACGACTCGAGCGGACCACTGCGCCAAAATGCGACGTGGATGTAGCATGGCAAGTGCATTATGTCCTTTTATTGTGGCTCTCTCATCTACTCCTCACGCCCTTCGATCTTTCTTCAATCTCCGAGACCAAACCTGCAATATCGCAAGCGCTCAATCTAGAGCTTCCAGCAGAGCTGCCTCCAGTAGCAATTAGATGCGTGACGGTTGGCCTGCATCATCTCCCTTCGGCGACGAAAGCACAGGATGCCGCGGCTGCCATGCTTGTGCGGCTGTCTGCCAGACCTGACATGCAAAAGCTCCATCTCGGCGATTCTTTGGTCCGCTATGCAATACAATCCCTAACAGCTGACGGCAATGAGTCTACTACGATATACCAACAGCTCGCTCCGCTTCGCTTTCTGTCCGGCATTGCTGCATCGTCTGAGATGGGGCATCTGGTACCGCAAATCTACAGGACCTGTCTACGACTATCAGTCAATGAAGGTAGCCCTGCCACTGGTAATGCAGTGGCGAAAATGCTCGTCATCAAGACGTTTCGCAGCGTTGCGATCCTATCATTGCGGGCTGTGCCTGCAGAAGGTCCGCTGGCGAGCTTTCTGCAGACGACAAGCGTACTGGAAGACGTGATCGACTACCTTCTGCGCTCGTTGCGCGATCGTGATACCCCTGTTCGTTATGTTGCTGCAAAATCAATCAGTCTAATCGTCCTCGACCTCGACCCAGACATGGGCCATGAAGTCATACAAGCCGTCCTTGACTCATTCCTTGAAGATATGCCAAGGACAGGCGGAGTATTAGACGTTCGTGCAGCAGATCCCCTGAGGTGGCACGGCCAGACGCTCACGCTAGCACATTCGCTGTTCAAGCGCACTGCATCGCCAGCACAACTTTCGAGCATTATCAACACGCTTATAGCAGCGCTGCAATTCGAGCAGCGGACGACTACAGGCAGTACGCTTGGCACAAACGTACGCGATGCTGCGAACTTCGGCATCTGGTCCGTGTCGAGACGGTACACTACAGCTGAGCTGCTGAGGGTTGATGCGACGAGTCTACACTTTTCTTGCGGAGAAGTCCCGGTGTTGCTAGCAGTAGCAACGCAGCTCATCCTTTCGGCCTGTCTCGACCCTGCAGGCAACATCCGGAGGGGCTCGTCTGCAGCCTTGCAGGAGCTTGTGGGCCGACATCCCAATCAAGTCCACGAAGGCATCTCCCTTGTACAGATCGTCGAATATCAGGCTGTTGGTCTGAGACGGAGGGCCACGATCGATGTCTCTAACAACGCTGCCGTCTTGCGATGCAACTATTGGGAGGCACTGGTGGAGGGTTTGCTTGGCTGGCGTGGCATTGGATCACCTGACGTCGCATCCCGCGAAGCCGCTGCTACCTCACTGGCCAAACTCAGTACCATAGACGGCCGTACACAAGATGTGATAGACAGACTCGCTGAGCATCTCACCGAGTGTCCACCAAGCGAGGCGGAAGTACTGCATGGGCTCTTGCTTTCGGTGTCGAACGCTCTCGATACAGATTACAAGGTCAGTACTGTCGGCTTATGGCCATTAATCGAGCGTCTAACGCAGTTCCTGAGCAACTTCACGCCTCGTATTCTGCGTTCGGAGTTGCCGGCAGCCGCCGCTCAACTGATAACCTCGCTATGCCGGTGCAGACTTCAAAATGGAGACAGGGACGAGGCAGATGACCAGATACCCTTGATAGAGTCGCTGGTCGAGCGCTTGACGGCCCGGCAAGAGGAGTCCGTCTTGCGTCATCTACCTGCGTTGGTGCAGGCGCTGTTAGCGCTCAGGCGCGAAGCCAAGCAGCCCCTCGGCGCCATCGGAGTGCAGACGCTTTGTAAAAAGGTCGCCACCGACACTTCCAAAACCACGCTTGGTGGCGCAGGGAGATTGATTGCACTGGGCGCGTTAGCTGCAGCCTATGGGAGCGGTTTACACGGTGAGAAGGCGGAGACAGTCGTTCGAACTCTTGCTGCCGTGGTGAACAGCGCAGGTGTTGACTGGAGAGTCATTGGCGTTCGGGCATTGCGGCTTGCGGTGCAGAGTACTTCCACGAGCTCGACCATTGACGGAAACATTGCAAACACCATCGCACAAGCCTTGCACCGTGGACTGCACGACTATACCATCGATGAGCGAGGCGATGTCGGCTCGCTTGTAAGGTTGGAAGCAATAGCTGCGGTGGTGGACATACTTAGTAGTGCTGCCTTCTCACAACAAGCGGAGTCGGTGAGACTTCTGCAATCTGGCATCTTTCGATTATCTTTGGAGAAGCTCGACCGAGTCCGCGTGCAAGCTGCAATGTGCCGACGGCGCTTCCTACAGTCTAGGGAACCTGTTACAGATATCGCAAGTGTCTCGACGTATGAATACTTCTGCGATGCCATGAGCCCACTTCTTTCGAACAGCGCAGACGCAAGTGAGCAGCGTGCCGTGCTTGAAGGCTGCATATCCTGCGCTGGCGTTTGTGCTGAGGCTTTGCTGCAAGCCTCGCGGGCCGCGCTGGCAAAGACGCTGGATGCGGTAGATGACGAGCTACTTGCTGATCACCTGACCGCCTTTGCAGCTGTGTTGAAAGCCATGTTGATAGCACGGTCCGACATGCACCCAGCGCTTGAGCTTCTGGCCTTTTTGCTCAATATGCAGATACCGCAGCGGCTGGCGGATACAGACTTCAAGTGGCGTGGTCTGCTCTCAACGATACAAAAGTCCCACCACAAATCGAACGACATTCCGAAGATCCTAGCTGCAGTCCACGTCTACCAAGGGCTGGCGGATGTTGCTGTGTTGAGAGGAGATGTAGTCAGGAAGCTGGCGAGTATGCTCAAGACGAACCCATATCCGAGGGTGCGGGTGACTGTGGCGGAAGCACTCTTCCTTGCCACAGGGTACGAAGAGCTCAAAGCGAAGGACTGGACCAAGCCGGTCAAGGAGAATGCGGATGTGGTTGAAACACTGCTTCAGAAGCATGTGATCGATTAACGATCTGCCATTTGAATCACTGAGGCAACGAATACACACCACGATTTACTAAGCATCGTTGAACTCGGGGCAGAATGTAGTGAAGTTCAATGTTGATCATAATAGAATACTCGCTTAGGGTAAACGACCTATCGTGAAACTGCCGTGAGATGCAAGCCTAAGGCTGCAAGCTGCCATATTACTAGATGAGGGTGCGGGCCCGAGCTCTTGCTCCTTAATATTCATTCTCCTTGCCTTACATGCGATTGCGGCCCACGGTTGCCTGGTGGCAATGCTCGGCCGTCCACATCTTGTCAAGGGTGACGGGAGCTTGCAACAAGCTCGTCGCCGATGCAAGTGGTACCTCTAGCCTTCCGCATCTGGCCAGCCATCGGAAAGCCAAAGTCTGACCAAATGTGATACGTCTCATGGGTGTTCTTACAACCCGCGCATCGGGCCACATTACAGGCCGCATGCGAGGGCGAGCTATTCATATATGCGGCAGAGCAGTTTTGAGGTACGAGTCGCAAACAGACGCACCTTGACGATCTAAACCCACACCCTCCCATTGCTATGCTTTCGGTCCTCACCTACGCCAACATTCGTGGTTCCGCAATGTCCGCTCGTTCTGCAACAGCTTCATTTTCTGCAGCCTAACCTTCACTTCCGTGAGCAAAGCCTCACGGCTCTGGCTAGTGCGCAGTGCTCTAAAATTCGCAGACAAGCCCTTTCACAACTTGCTCACATTCTGCCGGAACGTACGACCAATGGCGGCCAGGCCGGCAGCTGCAGTCAGTCAGGCTGAAGTCATCGACCTCTTGAGCGACGAAGATGACATCCAAGTCGGAGCAGGTGCTCCTGACCATGATCTCCATGTGGCAGACCGCGTGCCGCTTGTGCTTGACGAGAACGGCAATCTCTTGCCCGCAAATGAGCTGCCATTCGATTTCTTCGACGCCATCGTTCATCCGGGACAGGCGCCCCTGCTTCCCGACAACCCACCAGTGCGCGGACAGCTTATGGTCATCAACGGCGAAGAAGTCTTCATACCGGACGAGGAAGCACCGCGGCCGTACACAGCGCCTCCCGCTGCTCCTCCCAAGGATGCGCCATTCACTGTAGACACATGCCTGCAGCGCGTGCTCGAGATCTTCCCAGACATTAGCCATGACTACGTGCACGAGCTTTACAATGAGTTCGACGCTAGTGACGAGTATGAAGTCCTGCCCGGTTCAGCACGGCTCGATAACATCATTGAGAACTTGTTGTCCAACCTTGACTATCCACGGTATGCGAAAGGCAAACAAGCGGTGCGGAAGCGGAAGCGGGGAGACAGTATTGATGAGACTAATGCGAACCGCTGGACCGTCGAGAGTCGTGAACTTGCACCCTCATTTCTGAAAGGTATGTGCATTACATTAAACTACGCTTCTATGGAGGCTGTGTTGCAACCCCCGTCCCTAGCGCCATGTCTTGAGTGCTGATACTTTGTTACAACATAGGATCGATACAAGCTATGCTAAAAGCTGAGTATCCTGACATACCCGTGAGGTTCATCAACGATACGCTCGCTAGAGACAAGCACTTCTACCAAGCATACATCACCCTCGCCATTTCTCGAGACTCTAACGATCCTGCTCGGCCGACTTTTAGTAGGGGTCGTCCGCCAAAGAACCACGAGCTCGCAAGCGCCGACGTTATCGCAGCAAATTGCGGCTGGCCTACCTTGACAGAAGAGCTTGTTGCTGCACGTAAGCGTGCCGCAGTATTGCGCGCCGAGCGTGCTGCGGAAGACGCGATGAAGACATCCGAGCAAGAAAACCTGCGCCACGCTATGGAGCAAGGCGAAACGGCGGAGTGCCAAGCCTGCTTTGAGGAGTTACCAATGAACCGCCAAATCCACTGTGACGGAGCAGTAGCGCATTTCACGTGCTATGAGTGCCTGGAGACGTACATCAAGACCGAAATTGGTGACGCGCGGTGCAATGTTTTGTGCACCGCTGGCTGCGGTTCTGGATTCGCACCGGGCCAGCTGAACCAACTTGGCAACCCGCAACTGCTTAAGAAATTGGCAGACCTCGAGCAAGAGAAAGCCATCCGTGACGCCGGCCTCGATGATCTGGAGGAGTGCCCGTTCTGTGACTTCAAGGCCATCATGCCTCCAATCGACGAAGACTTCGAGTTCCGCTGCGCCAATCCGGAGTGCGAAAAGGTCAGCTGTCGTCGCTGCAAGAGTATTTCACATATTCCTGCATCGTGCGAGCAGCATGCCAAAGACAACAAGCTCAGCAGCAGACACAAGATTGAAGAAGCCATGACCGCCGCCCTTGTCCGCTCCTGCAATAAGTGTAAGAAGCAGTTCATCAAGGAGTACGGCTGCAACAAGATGACTTGTCCCTCGTGCATGAACATACAATGCTATGTCTGCTCAGAGACAGTGCAGAACTACGACCATTTTGATCAACAGCATAATCCACTCGTCGATCGGCCCGCACCAGAGCGGTGTCCGCTTTACGACAATGTGGAAGAGCGTCACGAGCGCGAGGTGAGGGAAGCGGAAGAGGCGGCTCGCAAGGCGTTGCTTGAAGCAAACCCGAATCTTACTGAGCAAGATGTCGAGATCAATGTCTCGGATGCCGTAAAGCAAGCGACTGCCGACCGCGTTCGTCGCGGTGCTGCTGCCGGTGGGTACGGTATGAACATGCTTTATCCCGCCAATAACATCCTTGGAGGAGCCCAGCTCTTTGATGGTGTTGCTGACGACGTTCGCATCCCAAACGAAGGTCTTCTAAACCTCGCAGCAAGGCGGAGACAGGACGCATTACGTGCGAATCTGCTCCACCGTGCCGCTGAAAGAAGGGCAAGACAGGTTGCGAACGCGCGTAACCATCCGTTCAATCTCGCTCCCGCATTGGTTCGCGATGAGGCTGTCCAGCCAGCCGCAGCGCAGCACGTTCACCAATACCACCCCCCCGGGCGCCCTATACCGGGCGGTCTGGCAGGCTACATGGCCGCATTTGGCTTGCGTGGTGGACCGCCGCCGCTGCCAGAGCTACAGCTGCCTGTCGAATGGGTCAATGAAGACATGCCACAGGCAGCGCCAGCAGCACCTCTAGGGCCTGCCGGTCTGCGCATCCCTCACGCCAGAGCGAGACACAATGTAGTGCCACCCGCGCCTGCACCCGCAACCCCACCTGCGCCCCCACCTGCACCTGCGCCTACACCCGGGCCTGCACCTGACGTACTAGGCTATTTCGAACACCCTTTCGATCCGATTGCCAACGGCGGCATCGATCCACTTCAGCGGCCCGCTAACAACCAGCGAGAGTCCTACGTCCGTCAGCACATGCAACGACCCAACCCACACGCCGCCGAAGCTGGAGCAGAACGGCATGGCACGGTCGATCTTCCGGACGTACGGCAACAGCGCGAGAACTTCGAGCACCTCGAAGCTCTGCGTACCCTGCACAACCGCTTGCTGCGGGAACGGCAGATGGGTATGGGGCTGCATACGGAGGTGATACGCGATGCTACTCGAGCTTCGCGAGCTGAGCAGGTGGAAGCACACCGGCTAGAGATACTGCGACGTCGCCAAGCGGCGGCGGACCGTGCCACAGCAGATGCACTTCATCGGCAGTCTCATGTCGCTCGCGGTGCATTTCATGGACCATGAATTATTCATACGAGCTGCCGATCGTGCCTGGTGCGGAAGCGAAACCAGGAACACTGCTTCTGTTTTTGCGGCTGCATTTCACATAGCTCATGCTTATGCTTTTAACTTACAGAATCGTCGTGGGAACTCAGAAATGTTAGCGAGGCGTTCTCGTAAAAGTTTAGATTCTGCGAGATTGGCAGTCTGCTCACATATCTCTCATACTACGGTTCATGATTTGTCTTAACGACACTCATTATTCATCTCTCAACTACCTTCACCCTCCCCTTGCGATCCACTCTCTCGTCCCTAGGATCAAACCCACCATTGCCAAACGATGCCCACTCGGCTGTAGGCGGCCCAATGTAATCCTCCGGCCCAAATGTCTCGCCACCCTCTAAGCACCGGAAGAAAGCCGGATAATCTATCAGAGTATGCCACCTCTCCGGCCCACCGTCCTTCGCGGGCCGGAAGAACCTCGTCCGATCCGCAAGCAAGATACAGCACGAATGTGCATGCTCGGCCGCGATGCCATAATCCAGTCCTCTCCTCTGCAGCGCCGCTTCTAGCGAGAGCACAAAAGCGGTGACTTCCTCGTAAAACGGAACATTCTGCATACTCAGTCCCGCGCCCGCGGCGGTAGAGGTTCCACAGTAAGTGACTCCTTTCACCTCGACAAAGCCGGGCAGGGCACGCTGGACTAGGTCCGCGTACCCTTCCGCTTCTTCCTCGATGTTGAAACCCTTGACCAGTGTCAGCCGGAAGACTGTCCGCTGTGTGAAGCGCTTGGAGCGAAGGATGTCCATGCACCGCTGGAAGCGTTCCCAGAAGTCACGGTGCAGCGGCCGGTCAATGCGGCGAAGGGAGTCTTTGTTGGAGGCGTCGATGGAGACGTAGAGTTGGGTGACTGGGGCTAGGGCGGCGAGTTGGTCCGGGTGCTGCGCGTTGCAGACGAGGAAGGTGCTGATGTGTTCTTTGTGTAGGAGAGCCAAGAGTTCGTTGATGTGAGGGTAGAAGATCGGTTCGCCGACGAGGCTTAACGCGCAATGTCTGATTCCCTGGCCTGCAGCTGTGCCCATGACTTCGGCGTAGCGTTCTGCTCGCACGCCGGGGACGCCTTTCATCATCTTGATTTTCTTGTAATGGCCTTCCTTCATCCCGGCGAAGACGAGATCAGGTGGATCGACTTCCCACCGCCATGTAGTGCCGACGGGATTTGTGCCGTGGCGCCAGCAGAAGACGCATTTGTTGCTGCAGGAGAGCGAAGGCGTGGCTTCCATGCAGAGATGGGAGGCGATGCCGTAGAAGCTGTATTTGTAGCATGAGCCGCGACCGCGAAGAGCGGATTTGGTCCAGCGGCAAATCTTCACGCCGGAGTGCGTTCCGACGATAGTGTAGCCTTGCTTGGTCAGGGAAGAATAGGTTGGTGAGGTTGGTGGAACCATGGCTCTTGGTGGAGGTGCGATGCTTGGAGACTTCGAGGTGGTGAAGTCAAACGGGATGGGCGCCTTGAGGTCTTCCAGATCGTCTCCAGTTGAGCGTTTGGTAAGCCTCGTCTTTCTGGATGCCTTTGCGGAGGCTACAACATTCATGTCGTCTACTTCATCCGCTTCGTCTGCGCTCTCTGCTGCCCCTCCGCTACCAAGCACACCCTCACCCAGTCCCTGCCCATTCGCCAAGTCGCCCATAATCGCTCCCACGCCTCGTGCCCACTCAGCCAATCTAAGCTCTACGTTACCGCTCACATCTCCCATACCCAACGGAAAGGCTCGCCTGCCTCCTGTCAATCTTGCCATCCACTTATCCACCTCCACGGCCTGACTGCAGAACCCCTCTTGCTCCGTAGGCCATTCCTGCTGATCACCAAAGCCGAAGACGCTGTAGCCAGCTAACGCAGAGAGTGGAGCTGTATCGATCCGGAAGTCGTGGTGCGTTTCCTCTAGGTGGGAGAGAAAGTTGGAAAGCTCGGTGTCGATGTTGTAGGTCGGAAGAACAATGATGTAGAAGAACGAGGTACGTGGCTCGACATCCTTCGGGGCAGAAATGAAGTAGTCATCGTAGTCGATCTGCGCAAGATCACGCAGTTGAGGGTCCAATACACTGCTGGAAGAGTCTGTCTGCTTGAGAGCGCTGGCAAGCTTTTCCGCGTATGATTTTGTGGTGCCGCCGAGAGTGTAGTAGAAGATGACGGGCTGCACCTTGCCAACCACAGCTTCGGAATGCGCATCTTGCGGCCTCGTTTTCCGCCTACCAGTTACTCGCTTTGGCGCAGACGGTGGACTGACTTTGCGCTTTGTTGATGACGCTTCTGGCGGTTTCAACAGCGTGACATTCTCCGGTACTTGCTTCGTCTCTAGACTCAAGGCATGCCTTGCAAGCTGCGCCGTCTTCCTGCTTCGCCAATACAGTGCCAATCGCACAATCGCTACCAGAATTCCTCCCGTCAACACGACCTCGGTGCGATGAGCGTGCCAGAGATACAGCAGCTCCCCCGGAAGGTCTACAATGGTGCGGTAGTCCATCTCAATGGACGAGTGTTGTGTTTTATATTCACGGGTCGCAGCAATAGCTCTGGATTTCACTTATCAACCCACAACTTCCTATCTCGGAGAGTGGGGCTGAGAAACAAGCTTTCGGGCGTCCGCCGTGCTACCGCGCCGTTGGCGTCACGCAAGAGTGCATTGACACGCGACAATGAGCCGCAATCCTCCAGCTTGAACATTGTTGCCTTATTCGTCAGATTGCTGCTGAAAGGCCTGGCAGCACACATCATGATCCCGCGATAGCACCCACTCTCTTATCCCTGAGCAGCGACAATGTCAAGCCGCCCAACCAGCCGTCGTGGCCCTCCCGCCAACGACTCCGACGAGCCACACATTGGCAAGCTCGACTATCACCCAGGCGGCCGTCCACTCCAGCCTCACGATCACCACCATGGCCCACGCGATGCGTCCGCGGCCAGTCGCCGCAGCGAAGAGCACAGCTACGCCGGCTCCTTCTTCGAGGACGTCGCTGAAGGCATCGCAGCACAGCAACGCCAACGCCTCAGCCGAGCGGCAACACGATATCTAAGCTTTATATGGGCACTGATTAACTGCCTCGGGGCGGGAAGTCTTACGGCGTACAGCCTCTACGCCCCCTTGTTCCAAACGAAGTTACACTATACCCAATTGCAAGTCAATGGCATAAGCATCACGGCGGAACTGGCGATGTATCTTCCGGTGCCGCTATTCGGCTGGCTGTGCGACCGTACTGGTCCTGGTCTGCCATCCTTACTGGCGGGGTGCCTGTTCGGAGTTGGCTACATCCTCGCCGCATTTGCGTATAAGAGCGGACCTCCCCCAAGTTCTGGTGGAGACGGTTGGCCGTACTGGGCGATGGTACTGTCCTTCATACCTATCGGCTGCGCGACCAGCTGTATGTACCTTTCAGCGGTCACGACGTGTGCGAAGAACTTCGGGCGAGGAAAGTACAAGGGTCTGGCGCTGGCTCTGCCTATTGCGTGCTTTGGACTGAGTGGCATGTGGGAGAGTCAGGTTGGCAGTAACCTGCTGTATGAGACGAATCCATACGACGGCAAGACGGAAGTGGATGTGCATCGCTTCTTCCTGTTCCTTGGCTGCTTACTGCTGGCTTCTGGCGTTGTTGGTTTCTTTGCGCTACGGATTGTAGGCGAAGAGGAGCTGATCGATGAAGCGGTCGATGAGTTGGAGAGAAGCGGGCTCTTGGACGAGAGCGAGTTCTTCCAACAGAATGGCAATGGCTCGCAGTCAGGTTACGGCACAGTCTCAACAGGAGAGCGACGACTCTCCGCCGAAGAGGTCGACAATTTGCACAAGCAGGCCGAGGAGCACAAAGCACGGCTCCAAGAACAAGAGCGCAAGAAAGCCTGGCTGCTCAACGAAGAAACAAAGCTTTTCCTGTCCGATCACACGATGTGGTGGCTAGCTGCCGGCTTCTTCCTCGTCACGGGTCCTGGTGAAGCCTTCATCAACAACCTGGGCACCATAATCGGCACGCTTTACCCACCGCCCACATCAGATGATTCAAACCAGCCTATGACAAGCGCCACAACCCACGTCTCCATTGTCGCCATCACCTCGACCCTCGCGCGCATATTAACCGGCACACTAACCGACCTTCTCGCACCAACCTCAGTCCCGCACCAGCACCGGCGTGGCCCGAAGAGCCTCGCCAACAGCGTCACCTCTCTCCCTCCCGATATCAACCAGCCCGTCTCCCAATCCCAGAAGCGACACTTCACCCTCTCTCGCATAACCTTCCTAATCGCCTTCACCCTCCTAATGTCCATCGGCCAAGTCCTCCTCGCCACCGGCATGCTCCAAGGCCACGGCAACTACTTCTGGCTCGTAAGCGCGAGCATCGGGGCAGGCTATGGCGCCGCATTCAGCCTCACGCCTATAATCATTAGTGTTGTCTGGGGCGTGGAGAACTTTGGTACGCATTGGGGGATTGTCGCTACGGCGCCTGCGGTTGGGGCGACGGTTTGGGGTTTGGTGTATTCGGGGGTGTATCAGTGGGCGGCGGGGAGGACGACGGAGGTGGGAGTGTTAGGGGAGGATGGCTTGTGTCATGGAAGTTTGTGCTATGCGCCTACGTTTTGGGCGATGGCGGTGAGTGTGTGGGTGGCTTGTGGGCTTTGGATGTGGGCTTGGAAAGGGCCTGGAGGCTGGACGAGGAGAGGGGTGGCAGTTTAGTAGCAATAACAATATCACGAAAGTCTATCTCAGATTGAGCAGTGTGCTGATTGTAGACTGGCAAGTTTTGGTTCTCTCATTCCGTGTGCTATGCCGCGATCCTCTCGATAAGCAAAACGAGTGGGCGTCATCGTCGCCGCCGTTCCTTCAGACTTCGACATAGTAAAAGAACAAGCTCTAAGGCCGTCATGTCGTCGTGAATCAAGCAAAAGAAAACGTACAGGGACCGGGGTTTGAACCCGGGACCTACTGTGAGCTGAACAATATATGAACATTGTTAGACAGTCGTGATGACCAACTACACCATCCCTGCAGAATTAGCTAAATTGATTGACTACAATCAATATGTTCCAAAACAAAACCAGCCGAGGCTTTTCCGACTTCCCGGCTACGCTACTAAACCTTCCCCACCAATTGACAACTGCGTTGTGAAAGCCGTGACGATTCGGACATTCTCGTGACAAGCCTAGGGCATTGGAGAACGAAGGGAGTCCCAGCTGAGGAGGGCAGTATGTCCGCACTCATTGCTCTACGCAGCTCGAGGCCGCTCAGTGCCTGGACGTGAAGGTCAAGAATGCTTGGAGATGCAAAGACGATAGCCAACATGCCGAAGAAGAAGCAGGCAAACAGTCCAGAGTCGACAGGGTATACTTTCAACCCATCTGACTTCCCCACGCCAGCCCTCTCCGACGAAGCTCTGCGCATGTCCTACCGCATAGCGCGCGGCGAACAAGGCGTGCTTACCTTTGAACCGTACAAGTCGATCTTGCTCCCTCATTGGCGCTTCAAGACGGTCCCCATAGCGGAAAACTCCTCGTCAATACTGTACGAGGCTTTCACGCACTATGTCAAAGCCGGCGACCTCGTGGGCGCGGACATGGCTCGCAAGTTCATTCAGATGGGGATGACGAGGGCGAAGCGGTATGCTAATCACAAGGGTGGCAAGAAGTATGATCGTAGTGCGAGGGAGCTGGAGAAGGAAGGTGGAAAGCGTGTAGAGTTGCCGAAGAGTGAAGAGCATGCGGGGAGGGAGGAGAAGTTGCGGGCTAGTGAGGTGTTTCGCGAGCTTTGGCGGCGGTGTACGGGCGATGAGCGGTATGTGGAGCTGAAGGCGGAGTTTGTCGCTGAGCAGAAGAGGTGGGATGGCGGTAGCAAAGACTGAAATGAGGTTGTGGAGCATGAGTAGTCCTTGACTGCCAAGAAAGCCCAACCCAGCGTGGTCGACGGTCGACGAGTCCAATTGTCTTAGTCAATATGCCAACTTGTCCACCACGCACATGACAATGCAGCTGTCTCTCGCTCCAGCCGTGCCCAGTTCAACGTGGTGAGGCGGGCCTATCGTCTGACTCCTTGCCACCATTTCCATCGCAGCCGAGCTGACAACGGGCTCATTCCGATCACCCTAAAACATGGCTAGGGCTGGCCTGTAACCTGGAAGGTTCCTGGAGTGGTACCTGCAGCTTTCTTCATGAGCGGAGTTACCGATCGTAAGGATTGGGCTATAATGAGCAAGGCATGACCAGCAGAACTCATGCCGGCATATCTGACCTGTAAGCGCAGTATTCGTTAGTCGCATACCCTAATGGGAATAGGTTGTATAGCCTACATGTCATATGATCGCACCCACTGCACACCACAGAACCCGTCAGCTTGTCTCTTCCCACCGTACTGAAACCGATCACTCACCCATTTTTCTCCAGCTTCCTGCCGCAAGCTGGACAAAGCTTAGCAACCCTCTCCACCGCCTTCGCCGAATCTTGCTCCTCCACCACTTGCCGCCGCTTGCGCTCCCCTTCATTGATGCGGTCCTGGTACGCCTCGCACGTCTCGCCTTCATGCCACGGAGCATTGCAGCCCACGCAAGCCTTGTGCCCGCATGACGCGCACGTGAAGATGTCGCCGTCGAAGTGAGCTTGGCCGGACTTGCACTCCGGGTTCAGACACCAGCGGAAGGACTCTTCGGCGGCCATCGTGCCTCTGATCTCTGCTTCGAGGTATCTGCGATATGATTCAGGTTAAACTCATACATTCGCACCAAGCCGTAGTCGCTGTCGGCTTTACTCACTTGGTATACACAGCCGGCTTAGCAAGAGCTCTGATATCCGCTTGCCCCAGCTTAGTCGGACATTGCGCACAAGTGATCTGGTCCCACTGCTTTGTTTCGAGCTGCAGGGCCAGCCACTGGTACCAGCAGCGTCTGCACGTCTCGCGCTCGTGTTGACATTCCTCATTGATCTTGGGGAAGGCGTTGGCTGGTAGGTGGCGGTCGCAGGTCAGGCACGTCTTTCTCTTCATCTTGACCTGGCTTCTCAGTCGAGCAGCCCGCAGTGCGTCTCAATTCTGTTGCAAGTACTTTGATGGGGGAGTGCCAAGTGCAGAAGGTGAAGTGCCGCACAGTGCCTCTTCGTCTGTTGAGAAGTGTCACATGGGAGGAGCGAGAGGTGAAGGAGAGAGCCTAGAGTGCAGATATAACCTCACCAGAGGGATCACATGACGCTATAGCCACTCACCTAGTGTTTCACTGCTCGCCGAATGTGAGGAAGAATCTGGCATTTGGTTCCAGTGACGTTCCTCAGGCTTTCGTGCCTTCCGAACGGTGAAGGCGTTCTTCTTTGTACCGGATTGAGAAGGACCGCATGCACGTGACTGTGGATTTCGTGCGTCAAGCTCTTTCTCAATCAACAACCCAAATACCTCTGCTCCACCCATCTCCTCTCCAAATCCTCCACAATCCTACAAACCACCACCCTGATCTCGGGAAACACACTCATCAACCGCCTCAACCCCATCTTCCCCGCCATATACACGACAAAAACAATCCGCTCCTCACTCACGCCATGATCCAGCAACACCCTCACCGCCATCAACGCCGCGCCTCCGGAACTCATCTGCGGATCCAGAAGGAACACACACCCGTGCTCCGCGATATCGAGCGCAAGCTTGTAGAAATGCAGTTCCGGCTCGCCCGTGCGGAAGTTGGTCTGGATGAGCATACGTCCTGTTCGACAGTCGGGGATGACGCGTTTGAGGCCGGTTTCGAGGCAGGAGCCGCCGCGGAGGATTACGACGGCGGAGACTTCGCCGTCGAGGGCGAAGCCGCGGTAGGTTTCATTCGGGACTGGGGTGGAGATTCGGCAGGGCTTGAAGGTGAGGCCGATGTCGCAGGCCTTTTCTATGAGTATGGCCGTAAGACGGTCGAAGTAGAAGATGAAGTCTTCGCGGTCGAGGTCCGGGCGGCTCAGAAGGGTATTGATGCCGCGGATTTGGTTGGTGTGGTGTAGGATTGAGACGTTGGCGGAGAGGGGGTCGTCTTCGGAGACTTTGCCTAGACGTTTTAGTTCGACTTGGTGTAGACGTGATTTTTGCGCGAGGGTTTTGTGGATACGGTCGGTGACCATGCCTGTGATCCGTTAGAAATGTTGCGCTTTGAAAGCGGGTAATGTTTCCTTACTGATTGCGACCTTGTTTTCTATGCCTCTTGGGACGATGATATCTGTCAGTCGCTGTCAGTATTGATAAGACGTGCGCCGCGGTTGAGAATCATAGCTTGAAGAGTTGCAGATCAGACGGAAAATGGTGATGGTATGTTGTCTCACATGTTGGTTCAGTTGAACTATGCATTGATACTGAAGTCATCACGAAAACGAAAACAGACAAGGGCACTGACTCACCAGCAATATGCCGCTGCGGCTCGACAAACTTGTGAAAGTTCGGCTTGACGAAGCGGAACCATTGCTTCACGCAGCCCTCGATGTCTCTACCGCGCTCACGGACATCACGGAGCACTTACTTGCCGCATTGATTAGCTGGTGTTCGTGTCGCATCAGGTCGGATATGACTTACGTCGTCGCGACAAGCACAGATCAGCATCCGCTTCCGCGAAGATTTTAAGATCCAGCAAGTCCAGCACGCGCTCATCGTGCAAAGCAAAGATGCCCTCCAGAATCATAACGTGAGGCGAGTAGATGGTCGTCGTACGGTCTAGTCTGGCATGCTTCTCGAACGAGTAGAGTGGTATGTTGGCCTTTTGGCTTGCTACAAGTCAGCGTATGGCTGAAGTATCAATATGCGTTTGGCATGGATTACCCAGACTTGACCTGACGGAGCTTCTCCACCAGGTTATCAAAGTCAATGGCTTCGGGCGCGTCAAAATCATACTCGTTGCTGAACGCAGCCGCGGATTGCTCGGGCATAAGCGGCCGGTAAAAGCTATCCATGGACATGATAACCACCCAAGGCAGGTTAAGCTCTCGGATGATGGCGTGAGACAATGAGGTCTTGCCAGAGCCTGACGACCCGGCAATGCCAATGATGGACGTATTCGCCCATGGTGGCGAGTAGTGGGCGCGCTGGACCCGGTGATCACTGGCGGCACTGGCACGGCGAGGAGTACATTGCAACGTGGTCGGGCTCAGTGGCGGTTCGGGATTGGGAGAGGTCATCGTAGACGCATGGATAGTACTGCAGCTGACACCTCACCAGTCGACATGATGGTAACCAATCTCAGCGACAAAGTGCAAATAGCATATATTATGAAGCAGCGTGGCTATTTACTGTACTTGATGTACATGTAGCAAAGTCTGCCAAGCACTTGTGGCCCCCACTTTCGACCATTCACTTCGTGAAGCTGTCTCGCACACAGCATACAAACCATCTCGGCAATATCCCTCGACCTCTTCATATACCATAGCCGGGTCTGACAACGCTCCTCGACCTTACGGGAGCCATGTCCAGACTCCCATTACCTCTGAGTGTACAGAGATGGTACGTCTGTCCCGGGTACACAATCGCACTTCATGCCTCTCTTCACCAGCATGGCAGCTGCAAGTCTATAGTCACTATCTGTGCTAATCCATCTTCCGCATAGAGCATATTGTCCAGCACAGGCCCTGCAGCTTCCACCATGCGCGGCTCGCACTCTTTCGACCGGAAGGTGGAGGAGATGAAGCCCAGCAAGAGGTAAGCCCGCCGCTTCCCTTATATCGCTCGCTTGCTTGCTTGCTTGTCATGATGTCTTTCAAACAAGTTGGGAATCTCTCTGAATAAAGATTGAGGAGAACTACATCTACTTGTGTATCTGATTGCAGCGTTGCACCATTCAACATGGGTCGCCGGAATGTGGTGCTGCCGCACTGGAAGCAGCAGCAGCAGCACCGTCTCTTGGTTACTCTACCTGTCGCAGACACCAGGATTGCAGAGTTAAGGGCTGACAGACATACCGCGCAACGCAGTGACATCAACTGGGTCATAATGGACTACCTCGTCTCGGAAGGGTACCCGGGCGCCGCCGAGAAGTTTGCGCAGGAGACGAACATGGCCAGTCCTGTCGACAACGAAAGCATACGCGAGAGAGTCCGAATACGAAATGCCATACACGGCGGCCGGATCGACGAAGCGATTGAGATGATCAATGAGATCGACCCGGAGGTGAGTTGCCACCACCTCTGACCCTACTCTCGCATGATTATACGAGTTTCATGCACCACTCAGAGCTGCCTCGCAAGAGGCCATGTTGATGCACACTCACACACACTTCAGTCCTCAGTATGATTCGACACACATACACCAGCCCTCATGATAAATGTTGCCGCCGAACACACTACTAATTCTTGTTGTCCGGCTAGATCCTCGACACCAACCCCCTCCTCCACTTCCACCTCCTCCAACTCCACCTCATCGAAATCATCCGCGCCATCCTCTCCGCACCCTCCGGCGCAAATCCCATAGCCACCGACTTCCTCCCCGCCATCAAGTTCGCAACCGAACAGCTCTCCCCACGCGCTCCAACAGATCCAACCTACCAACAAGCCCTCGAGCGCACGATGGCGCTCATGATTTTCCCGCCAGAGAAGATGACGCCGGAGTTCAAGGAGTTGTTGGACGTAAGACTAAGGGAGAAGGTGGCCGGGGAGGTGAACAAGGCGGTGCTGGAGAGTCGCGGTCAGCGGTCAGAGGCGAAGATCCGGCAGTTGATCAGGGCCAGGGCTTGGGCGGAGGGGGAGGCGAGGGCGGCGAAGGTCGAGTTGCCGGCGTTTGTGCCTGTGGGGCTTGACGCTGAGGATGTGAGTGGTGGGGTTGGAGGTGGGGATGGGGATGCTATGGTGCATTGAGCGCGGTCTTCGGGAGTGGTAACAAGTCACTTGATTAGCGTAGGCGTTGGGGTTGAATATGAGCGACATCGTGATCGATCCCCGATGGGAAACACTTGCGCCTGCTCCCATCATTGCAGGTGTTGAATTATCTATCCCAGTCGAAATTGGACTCAAACATGAGCTAAATATCGTGAGTGCTCTTCCCCCGTGCTGATGTTCCTATTCGCGAGTCAAACACTAGTCCACACAAATATGCACGTTTGCGTGATGGATCACGACAATCACAGCATTGCAGGCGAGCTCTGCGTGAGGAGCGGTGGTGAATGCCGCTCGTCGCCCACAAGAACCACATAGCGCTCCGCTGGGACGGTGAGTACGCGTACATTGCGTTGCGTATAGTCGAGCCTAAGATCTTATCTGCAGGTTATGGTATGACACAGTAACGAGTAATGAAATCCTCCGTACGTCGATACACTCACTCACCACTGTTCGTCTATACACCGTCCAGCCGCCACGCCACGCCATCCCATGCAAAGTCCATCCCATTAAGAAGCGCTCAAACAACATCACGCACAGTAAACGGCTACCACCACCCCTCGCCTGATTCTCTCCTACCCCTGCGCATCAGCTCTAGCCTCCGCAACAGCCTCCGCAACCCTATCCTTCTTCTCCCTCTCCCTACTCCACTCCTCCAACCCCGCCATCGGACTCTCCCTCCCCATCCCTTCCATCGCTTCCTGTCCTGCCCCTCCCACTTCCTCCCCTTCCCCTCCCACCCCCTCCTCCACCTTTACCCCCATCATGTCATCCTTCTCCTCCTCCCACCCAACACCAAGCCCACTAACCCCATGCCCCCACAACCTCCTCTGTCCCCCCTCGGGCACAACCCCCTCCGCATCCCTCACCCCCGCCTCCCCATCAAACCGCCCCTCCGCCTCCTCAGCCGCCTCAACAGCTTCCATCTGCTCCCTCGACCTCTCCCACGCTTCCTCCCGCGCGCCCTCGGTTTCGGGCGTTTGCGGGGTGAGTGGTTGCACGTTTGTGAAGATTTCCGCTTCGCGGGCGGAGTCGGCGGCGCTGGGGTCATCGATGGGTTTGGGTTTGGGTTTGGGGGCGGTGTGTTTGACGGGCCTGCTGTGGGAGGGAAGAGTGGGATGGTTAGTTTGTGGGACATGACATGACCATGACATGACATGCTGAAAGTCTTTGTCAGGGAGGTTGGGAGAAGGAGGTGGGAGTTGAGTGAGTGAGAAGAAATGGAGATAAATGACGAGCGCTACCTACACTTCACCACCCGCATTTGAACCGGCACTCGCACCCACACCCTCCCTCGTCTCCCCCGTCACGCTATCCCTCTCCTCCCCACCACCAACAGCAGCATTCACACTCGGCTCCGCCTCCGCCAACGCCCTCTCCATCTCCGCTTCGCGCCTGGCCGCCTCGGCCCTTGCCCTCGCCTCCTCCACCGCCTTAATATCCGCCTTCCACTGCTCCCCGCCCTCCTGCGTCTCAAACTGCGTCTTGATCTTCTCCTCCCGCTCGCGTCTCTTCCTCTCCTCCTCCTCCCTCGCCACCCGCTCCTGCTCCATCTCCTCCATATGCCGGATATCGTCCACGCTCGGCTCGTACAGATGCCAGATGGTGTAGTGTGGGAGGCCGACGACGGAATATTGCATGCGCTTGGCCATTTTGCCGAAGCCTTCCGTTTCGGCGTGTTTCTCGAAGGAGAAGGCGGGGAAGTGGACGCCGGAGCGGAAGACGCGGGCTTTGGCCAGGATGCTCACGCCGCCGACCCCGTCGATTTCCATCTCCATGTCTGGGTCTCCGTAGGGGTCGCGGAGGTAGGCGAGGTGAGGGCGCCAAGTGGCGTATTCCGCGTAGCCCTCGACGATGACGGCGTCTTCATCCAGAGTGTCGGCGAGGGCGAGCGCGGTCTCGGATTCCTGCCAGCTGTTCAGATCGTAGGGTTGTTCGCCGCCGAGCCAATCCGGGAGCGGACGCCAGACGTTCGGGACGATGACATCCTTGTTGTGCCGCATCAGGTCTTCGAGGATGGTGAAGGGGGCCGTTTCCACGTCGACGTCGCGCCAGTAGACCCAGCTGTGCGTTGGGCGCAGGGCGGCGGAGAGCAGCCAGTTGCGCGCTTGGGCCATGGACTTGCGGCGGGAGGCTTGGGCGGCGAAGCCGTGGCGCGATTCGACGTCTTGGTTGACTTTTTGCCCAAAGTCTTTCTCGATCACGCTGATTTCGCCAAAGGCTTGGCGGGAGTCTGGGGCGGCTTGGAGGTCGGCGAGGAGGTTGCTCAGGAGCTCGATGGTATTATCTTTGCTGTCGCCGACTAAGAAGGCCAGATCAATGAGGTTGTGCGGGTAGGTGAGGTTGCGGAGATGGCTGAAGAACATGGGTAAATGCGGTGCGGCATCTCGGAGCGGTGCACATAAGAGGATGCGCTCTTCGCGTTCCCAGCCTCTTGCTGTGCCGCCGACGTTGGCGAGGTCGTAGTAGCGAACCGTCTCTATTTGGAAAGCTTCGCTGTTGCCGCCGAGAAGCGAAAGTGACAATGCCGGTAATAGCGTGGTCGGTCGTAATGATGGCAAGAAGATCATGAGAATGAACAATATGACACCAAGAACACCTCCTAGTCGCATGAGTAGGCCTTTCCGCCGTTGTAGCGTGTTCCGTGCATTTCGCGGTTGGTATCTACACAAAGCCACATGTCAGCTGGTCTCCTCCCATCCGAGATTGTAGTTCGGGCAATGCATACTTCTCGTACTTGTCCGGCCGTATGCTGAACGTCCTGCCTCTTGACTCGACAAAAGTCGGACTCATGGGGTATGCGCCATTACTGCCTGCGTGGCCGTTGGCACCACTATACCCATGCCGGTTCATCTTTTCCTGCTGTGCCGCATGCAGTGGTAGCATATGATGGGGATTGCCCGCGAGTGGGCTGCGGCCGCTGAGGGAGCGCAGTCGCTGTGAGAAGTGTAAGACCCAATACACTCGTACTCTTCTTTAAGGGGATGTGGTTGCGATAGTCTTCCACAGGTGGAGCTTCACGGATCGGAAGTGGGTACGGGGGGTGCCAAGAGACGGAAAGGTTGTGTGACAGTGACAGTGGTCAATGGTCAGTGAGAAAGAGTGCTGTCTTATCTAATTGAGAGATGGAGATGTACGCTGTGTATGTGCGTGCTTGTATAAAACAATTGTACAGCAAGAGGAAAGCCGAGCAAAGGAGATGCACGCTCATACTTCTACAGCACACACCACGCAAGCCTCTAGGGTCTTCAGGGAACCAAGTGGGAGCGTTGCGACAGATTTAGCTCCCGAGTCTTCGGTCGACTGACAGCTCGTTTTTAAGTGTTTGTCGATGCTGGCTCTCATCTCGTTGGAGACTACATGTACATATATTGGTATAGTCTTCGGCTTGGGCTTGACATGGACGGCTTACTATCAATGTTCTTTACCCTCTAAACTCCCCCCATACTGGTATAAGACTGGAGTCTTCGCTGCTGCTTCTCCCCAAAATATTCGTCAGCGCCACATCCGCTTCCCGCACGAAGCTTAGCGCATCTGAAACGGCACGCAAGGGGCAAGTCAGGGTCGCAACCTCTTTTTCTTCCCAACTACACTGCTTCGCTGCAGAGGGTGCATGTAAACGGGCGTCAAGTGGCCGTTGTGCGAAAGGCCATAGTATTTAGTCGGCCAACGTCGACGTCATCATAATTATTGGCGTGAATGAGAAAGCCTCTTCCGGGTCACGCATCTGCAGCCTCTTCACACGGAGTAACACCACTTCAGTACTGTGGAATATTCACCTCACACGCCGCACAACATTGCATGCACATCACTGCCGTGTAGTCTTGTAATCTCTACGATCCATCTGAACCGTGTTGACGGCCACGAACATGGCCGCAACAACAGCGCAGTACTCGACTGCCTCACTCTCAGAGCAAAATGCCCAACCCTACAGCAGTATGGCAGGAAGGCTCCAACAGCCTTTGCTGAAAGCGCTGGACGTCATGGGCTATCAGTAAGATTGGAATTGCAGCGGCCTCCTCTTTCAACCAGTGGCAACGGTCTGCTCTTGTAATGCGTGACTGACTTCGCCTTCGCAACAGATACATGACGCCTGTGCAGCAAAAGACACTCACAGAATTACCCAGCTTCTCCGCAGACTGCTTGGTGCAAGCAAAGACCGGCACTGGCAAGACGATTGCGTTCTTGCTACCTGCGCTACACTCTCTGCTTACGGAGCGTACGGTGCCTGTTGGTCAGGTCGGCATCCTCATCATCTCACCGACCCGTGAACTCGCGCTACAGATCGCGAAGGAGTGTGATGCATTGACGTCTCAGCTTCCCAGGCGGCTAGAGTGTCACACTGCCTTCGGTGGGACCTCCAAAGATCGACATCTGAAGGAGTTCCTCAACGGCAAGCCTAGTGTGCTCGTAGCCACCCCTGGCCGACTGAACGACTACCTCTCCGACAATTACGTCGCGGAGAAGTTCACCGACATTCGCACAGTCATACTGGACGAAGCAGACACCATGCTAGAAGCTGGCTTCCTACCCGCCGTCGAGCAGATCCTCCGCCGTTTGCCACCCAAATCGAAAGGCTGGCAGGGCATGTGTTTCAGCGCCACCATCCCCGAAAAGATCAAGACCGTGCTCGGCAGAGTACTGAAACCCGGCTATACGCACCTCACCACTGTCGACCCCAACGAAGTCCCCACAATCGACCAAGTCATACAATACTCCGTCGTCATCCCCGATGTCTCCCAAACCTTCACTGCCCTCTACACCCTCCTCGAACAAGAACGACAACACTCACCGCACGACTTCAAAGCCATCGTCTTCGGCTCAACGGCAAACGGGATAGCCCATCTCCACGCCCTCTTCGAACAACTCCTCGGCAATACGGTCAAGGTCTACCAACTCCAATCGCGTCTCAGCCAAAGCGCACGTACGCGAACGACAGAAGAATTCAAACAAGCCTCCTCCGGCATCATGTTCGCCAGCGATGTCATCGGCCGTGGGATGGACTTCCCCGGTACGGGCCTCGTCGTGCAAGTCGGTCTGCCGACGGATAAGGAACAGTACGTCCACCGCGTCGGTCGTACCGCACGAGCAGGGACCGACGGACGTGCGGTGATCCTACTCACGCAGCAAGAATCGTACTTCCTCCACATCAACAAACATCTCCCCATTCAACCTTATCCCGTTAATATCCCGGCTACAGTATCAGCACACCCAGAAATCGAGCAAAGAGTGCACAACGCCGTATCAGCGGTCGATGAGAAGACAGTGCAAAAAGCATATCAAGCCTACCTAGGCTTCCACAAAACATTCATGAAACAACTCCGCACCGATGCGGCTGGGTTGGTGGAGATTGCAAACTCGTATGCGCGTGCAATGGGGTGTGCGGAGCCGCCGGTGATTGATAAGCAGGTTGTTGGTAAGATGGGGTTGAGGGGGGTAAGGGGGTTGAATGTGGGAGTTGTTGAGAGGGGTTCGACTGGAGGGAGACGGGGTGGCGGTGGCGGCGGTGGTGGTGGTGCGCGTCAGTTTTCGGCGAATGGTGCGCAGCGCGGTGGTGGTGGTGGAGGTGCACAGAATCAGAAGCAGGGCGGTAGGGATGGGCAGCGAGGTGGGTCGGAGAGGGGAGGGTTGGGGCGGGGGCAGGGGCAGAGGAGAGGTGTGGGGCCGGGGAGGAGGGGTGGGAGGTCGAAGGCGCATCAGGGCTTGCCTGGGGGTGAGGAGACGTGGTAGGAGACGTTGTAGACAAGGGTGACTAGACGTGCGTGCTTGCGAAGCTTTCTCGGTGGAGCGGCGAAGCTTCGGCGAAGAGTTGCCGAAGCCTTCGAGAGCATAGAATATCTACGCTCGGTGCCGAACGGGACCGGCTTGGAATATGGTGGCGCTACGAGAGTTGGGCTGTACTTTTCGGACTGCGGTCGAGTTGCATTCACATTGCTTTCGAGAAAGCAAAGGTGCACGAGATAGCAAATTCCCAGCACGAGCGTGGACGACCACGAGCCACATTCGGCCTGGACAATTCCCCGTAATGTGCACCGTGGCAAAGGTCTCGATTTCATTTCGTACATGTATATACTCGTGACGGAAATGAGGGTGGAGCTCACATCGGTAGCGCTTTGTCGGAGACGGGGTGGAGCGGGCACATGCTTTCCTCGTGTTTGCAAAGTTTTCGAGGCCCATGGAGAACTTTAACAGTAGGTAAATCCAGATCCACTTCACGCCTTTCGACATGTGACTGAGCCGAGGCTACCATAGACAGTGCTTTTCTGACAACAAACTGTGCGAGTATAATACTCGCGACGTCCAGGGTCTGCACATTGCAAGCTTCCATCGTCGCCATGTCGAAGGATCGCTGGCTTGTCAAGGACAAGCTGACGTCCAGCGGGGGGAAGCATATCGAGGGCTCCTCGGCACATCACGGTGCTCGGCGCCAACCGCAATGTGCCGACCGTCTCGGCCTGCAGAGTCACGCAGTGTATTTGCGCTAGCTTTCCACTTCGACCTATCGGTGCTGCCGAGAGCATGTGGAAAGCCGATGACACTGTGTCATCAGCGATGGCGTTGCGAAGCAGCTCGTGACCGATCAAAGCCTAAACGGCAACGGGAGGCCTGACTCGCGGCGGCACTCGCCATTCGGACGGCCATCATCATCGCGCTGGCTGACTGAACATGTCGATCCTTCGCGCGGTGATCATCTTCCTGATACATGCTATGCATGTATGTGAGATGACCCTTCTCCGCACGATCAGCCAAGGACCGCCTTGCTGATCTTCTTGGGGGAACGCTTGGGAAGCGGGCAAGCGCTGCGAGGGATGCGTATATCTCTGGTTGCCAACAAGCCTGGCACGTAATCGTGCAGGCAGCGACGGCATGTGTTGACCGCGCACTGTACTTTGCTTAGCTTAGCACACCATAGCGACGGCCACATCCCGAAAGGTAAAGGTGGGTCGCAGGGTCTTCGCGCCGTGTCACATGGACACTGCAATCCTGCAGCTCCACCACAATGTTCGGCTTGGCATGCGCGGAGAGCGAGGGGAGATGCGGTTAGTGTGAGTGGAGTGGAGTGGAGTCTCTGGCCGTGCCCAGAAGGCTATTGCAGTGGCTTTCTGCACGTCTGGAGCAACAATGCTGGGGGCGAGCTCTCACATGGGCTGCACCTGCTCTGTCAGGGTAGTGTTTCACACAGAGATCGACAGCATCGTCGCCCATTCCTCGTCCCGAGGATGCTGCTAGTGCTGTAGGATGCGGTGAGTGTGCGTTAGCAAGCCCCCTCGGGCTTTGTATATGAGGAGAGCTTGTCCCTTGGTTGCATGCGAATGTGTTCCCTTGCTTCCTCTCCATTCTCTTGCTCTGCTATCGTGACAGCTAAGTAAACAAAGCGCGCACGATGGCGGATATCAAGAAGGAGATCAACATGAATTCGGAAGGCCAGGCTCAACATGAGAAGCAGTTCGTCGATGAGGCTCTCGATAACACCGACCTGAGCAACAACCTCAGCGCCAAGATCAAGAACCCGCTCGCGGGCATCCCGCAGCAGACTCTGCTTCGCGACGTCGAGGAGTTCGCGGCCGAGTATGGTCTTTCCGATATCGCGCCATTGCTCAAGAAAGGCGCGCTTGTCGCTCAAAATCCCGCCGAGTTCGAGAATGTCGAGGGCCTTGACGAGACCGAACGCGGAGTTCTCCGTGACGAGGTCGTGCGCAAATGGCACCAGCCCGCGGCGCTGTACATGACCGTGATTCTCTGCTCGATTGGTGCGGCCGTGCAGGGTTGGGATCAGACCGGCTCCAACGGTGCAAACTTGTCGTGGCCAGTCGCCTTTGGCATCCCAGACAACGACACCACCAACCCGAACTACACCCGCAACCTCTGGCTCGTTGGCTTGGTCAACGCTGGCCCATATATTGGGTCTGCCTTCTTCGGCTGCTGGCTCAGTGACCCGCTCAACAACTACTTCGGTCGGCGTGGTACCATTTTCTTCTCCGCCGTCTTCTGCTTGCTCACCGTCATTGGTTCTGGATGCACACAGAACTGGTATGAGCTGCTGATCTGCCGTTTGTTGCTCGGTGTCGGCATGGGCTCCAAGGCTTCGACGGTACCGATCTACGCCGCTGAGAACGTGCCCGCCCTCATCCGTGGTGGCTTGGTCATGTCGTGGCAGATGTGGACCGCATTCGGCATTTTCTTGGGTTTCTGCGCCAATCTCGCTGTCTACAATGTCGGCGACATCGCGTGGAGATTGCAGCTTGGATCCGCATTCATCCCAGCCGTACCGCTGGTCGTCGGCATCTACTTCTGCCCGGAATCGCCACGCTGGCTCATGAAGAAGGGTCGCTACGCACAAGCCTACAAGTCGCTTCTGCGGCTGCGAAACCATCCGATCCAGGCTGCTCGTGACCTCTACTACGTTCACGCTCAACTTCTCATTGAGCACAAGGTCATTGGCCAAACCAACTACGCCCAGCGCATCATCGAGCTGTTCACCATCCCGCGTGTGCGCCGGGCTACCTTGGCGTCGTTCGTCGTCATGATCGCGCAACAAATGTGCGGTATCAACATTGTAAGTTGTGATTGTATGTCACCGCGCAACATGACATGCTAACACTGTGTCAAGATCGCCTTCTACAGCTCCTCCGTCTTCGTGCAAGCCGGCGCAGACAACCTGCACGCTCTGCTAGCCTCCTTCGGCTTCGGCTTGGTAAACTTCGTCTTCGCCTTCCCAGCCGTCTGGACCATTGACACGTTCGGTCGTCGCGCTCTGCTCCTCTTCACCTTCCCCAACATGGCCTGGACGCTTCTCGCCGCAGGTTTGTGCTTCCTCATCCCAGAGACAAGCCGCGCCCATCTCGGCCTTGTCGCATTCTTCATCTTTCTCTTCGCCGCATTTTACTCGCCAGGTGAAGGCCCCGTACCTTTCACCTACTCCGCCGAAGTGTTCCCGCTGTCTCACCGTGAAGTCGGTATGGCCTGGGCCGTCGCCACCTGCCTGTTCTGGGCTTCCGTTCTCTCCATGACCTGGCCGAGCATGGTCGCCGCCATGACGCCAACTGGCGCCTTCGGCTTCTATTGCGGTCTCAACATCCTCGCGTTCATCATGATCTTCCTCTGGCTGCCGGAGACGAAGCAGCGTACTCTGGAGGAATTGGACTGGGTGTTCGCCGTCCCCACGCGCAAGCACATGTCCTACCAAGTCACCGAATCTCTCCCGTACTTCTTCAAGCGCTGGGTGGCGATGAACAAGAGCGCGACGCTCAAGCCGTTGTACAACTTCGACCACGTGGCGTCTGATGCGCAGAGGTCTGCCAGTGTTACTGCCTACAACCAGGAGCACCACAAGCCGGCCGCGCAGCAAAAGGTTAACTTGTAGAAGGAACACGCACATGCGAGCAAGCAAGGCCTGCTATGACTGAAAGCAGGATACGAAAACCACGGGGTGTTTGGCATGATCTACGCAGTATACCCCTGGCATTAGTGCGTCGGCAGATATTTACGTCAAATATATAGACATTCTGAATGTCCAACTATATCTCGCAAACGCTCATCCTCATACTGCTGCAAACCAAACTGCAGCGAGCGCCGTGTTGGTACAACAAGCATAGGTATTCTCTTGTGCTGTTCGTGAATATCAGGTTGTCGTGGCTCCAAAAGCGCCGAAGTCACTGAGCTTTGGATCGTGCTACAGTAGGTCAGCCTGACTAAAGCCGCGGCATAAATCCATGCAAGCTCTTGCGAAATGATTAAGTGTGAGGTCAGAAAAGCCGGATGACGCATGCCCAACCGCCGGCACCTAGCCTATGTCGTCTAAGACAGACGACATCGACTTGGTGCTCTGAAGCCACGATGACGCTGTAGTCCGAGGACCATCAGCAACTCCACAACTGATCATCCCAAGCGGTGGCCAGGTACAGTATGAGGGAGGGTGACTCGACGGCATAGGCTACCCGTGGTGAGGTTCGTGGAATGGATTGACTTGGTGTCATCTTGGTGATGTGTGAGGGATGAGTGTGGGAATTGACTTACCCGCACGCCAAATACGCTGCAATTACAGCTCATCTCGAAGACTGCCGCACGGGAGTATTGATGCTTGCGCCGGTTGCGGCCGAAATACCTGCCCTTTGCGTGGTTGTCAGCGTGAGTCTTACACTATTCGATAGAACGGTGCGGAATATCAGGCTAGGGGTCAGACAAATTTGGTAAGTTGGTATATGTTGTCGACAGCATGCTTCAGTAGCAGAACTGAAATGATACATTCATCACAAAAGCCGGTAATGCGGGATATTAGGTAGACTTACAGTTCGACACATTCTAAGGGATGTAGCGTCCGCGCTGCCCAATGCGCGCAAATATGATCTGAATTGCCGTTGTGGTGAAAGCACTGCGTGAGCGTGTCAGCAGCCTGCAGATGCGGCTGGTCGTCGGCTATAGAGGAGTGGAGTTGATGGGTCAGATGGTGATGCATGTTTAGTTCATGGCTCATGCAGAAGTCGCCAGAACAGAGAGTGTAGGTATCATCGTCGAATGCTGAGCCTTGCCGTCCTTGGGAAACGCACCTGTGTGAAGATTGCCAGAACCTTAGCGCACGTGCATTGGCCAGTATTCGAGCGGCGATAGATGCATCATCAGCGCAGCCAGCCTTATCAGAAGAAGGTCATGCGGACGGCCGGGCGAACCGCTGCTCTAGTCGACATGATCAGAAGTCAGGATATGGCCGCCGACCACTAATCCACGCCATCCCAGAACGACTGCTGGTGCGGTAGCAGCAATTGTCCCTGCGTGCGTGCAAAGGGCTCCCATCGACGATATTCGGATGGTAGCATTGCCATCGTGCTTGGCAAGACTGAAATCCGGGCCTTTGCGAAAGACTTGAGGTTGGGCAGTTAGAAAGTGCTTCAGGCGGAAAATTGAACAGCGACGCTGACTAAGCGCTCCACGGAGTCACTTCCGCTGGCATGTCACGTAGCGATTTCTTTGAACTTCCCTCTTACCCGTCCAATCGAGGGAAACGCTCACTATGCTGACTGCGAGTGGATTGCGGCTTGTAGACGATCTGGTAAGTACGTATTCTTAGTACTTTGCGCTTGCATGATTAATACTGTTTACAATCTGTCAATCCACTGAAGCCCGCTTAGCGGGCATTCCTTGACGACAAAGAACTGTGTCCTTATGATTCTTTCCCAGACCAAGTCCATGCATTGAGCCCCGAGATGAGGCTCTATGACTGACTAGTACGTACCAGCCGCAATACCATGGCCAATAGCGATGCGCCAACCGTCTCCGAGCCGTTTCCCATCTTCGAGCTTGCGAATCGGTATTTGCTCTACGACGTCAACACGATCACGTACATCCGAGCCAAGTACAATATCCCCGGCGTGCTCATAGGTGGTCTTCCGCAAGCTCCTCAACAGAATGTCTTTTCCGGCATCCCTCTGGAACTTATGCCAGAGGAGGCCCGATTACTGTGCGAGAAAGGCGTAGCCTACGTGGTGGACGATGCGCGAGCCCACAAGCAAGGCTTCCTTGACCGTGGCCTGAGTGTGGAGGAGAGGAAACGCTTCGCCGAGAGTTTGCGAAAGCAAGGACAGGCTGCTGCGAGCAAAGTCAAGGAAAAAGCGGAGGATAAGAAGCAAACCGCCCTGCGTCAAATTGCGAGCGGTGGAGATTGGAATGACCTGCCAGAAGACATGCTGAAACCTCCAAGTAGACCTACTTCGAGGGCGGCCAATAAAAAGAAGGCAGGGAGACCACCACTTGGTGAAGCCACTAAGCCTGCTGACGAGCACAAAGCAGAGACTGGCGGCCTAGACGAAGACGAATCGCTCTTCGCTTCGCCAATGAACTCTTTTCCGAAGCCGGCGCCCACAAGCGGATCGCGCGTGAACCCTCCCGCCCCTTCGCGAGGCCTTGAGCCGCACACAGTTACGCCAACGACTTCATACCCGCCTCTGACTGCGGCGCCACCTCCACTGCAATCAAGCCTCAGCACTTCACGGCATTACAGCCTAGGCGTGGACAACAGTGCGGCATCTGCGCGGCTTCCGGAGGCACCATCCTCGTATCCGTTGTACAAAGATCTGCACGAAAAGGGCTACTTCATCCTGCCCGGTATACGGTTCGGTTGCAAATACATGGCTTATCCAGGAGATACGTTGCGCTTCCACTCCCATTTCTTGTGCAACAGCAAGGAGTGGGACGAGGAATTTGACATGCTGGACCTTGTCGCAGGCGGCAGACTAGCAACAAGCGTGAAGAAAGGCTGGCTCATGGGTGGGATGGAACGGCCGTCTAAAGGCGGGGCGGGACTTAATAAGCCTAAAGTCAGATCGTTCACCATCGAGTGGGGCGGCATGTAAGAAACACCGGTCGGTCAGAACTGTAGCTGGGCGAATATGCATGACAAAGAGGGCAACGGTGGAGACTGCTCCTTGAAGTACGAGGGGCATGCTGCTTGGCCGCCGGCGAAAGGTTGTTCCAGAACCGAGCGCCTCTTCGGACCTCCATTCTTCGCATCAGCGTTCTGTTTCGCCATCACCACCTTAATGTCACAAGATGTTGGCTCGCAGCTCAACATGCCTGGAGATATGGCACGCTCTCCGAACGTCGCGGCCACTTACGACCCGACGTACTAAGTCATATCTAGCGCCTCCATACCTGCTGGACGACTACATACCCCGTTATCAGCTATTGAGTCCTCTACAAGAGAGTAAGAAGAGGACCGAGGCTTATGCCCATCTTCGCAACTGTAATCTCTGTCCAAGGCTCTGTAGCGTCAATCGGTATGAGAAGCGTGGCACCTGCCTCATCGGTGCAGACGTTGTAGTCAACACAGTTGCGCCTCATTTTGGCGAAGAGCCATGTCTCCAGGGTCATAATGGCAGTGGAAGTGTCTTCTTCTCTGGGTGTAATCTTCGATGTGTGTTCTGTCAGAACCATGATATTGCTCACCAGAAGAACGGCTTTCATCTCAGTCCCGAAGAACTTGGTGAATGGTATCTCAAACTACAGGAGGTTGGCAACGTTCACAATATCAATTTGGTCACTCCAGAACATGTCGTACCGCAGGTTGTACTCTCGATTTTACACGCCAAGACCTTGGGCCTGCGCTTGCCGATCGTCTACAACACGAGTTCATTCGACTCGCTAGCTTCAATTGAGCTTCTTGACGGCCTGATAGACGTCTACTTACCCGACTTCAAGGTGTGGGACGCGGCTACCTCAAGACGCCTGTTGAAAGCGGAGGACTACGCCAAAGTCGCTATGGAGAGTATCAAAGCAATGCATGCTCAGGTCGGCGATCTCTGCTTCACAGCTGATGGCCTGGCGAAGAAGGGTGTACTTCTCCGCCATCTAGTCATGCCAGGCCATGAGGACGAGGGCAAGCACATTGTGCGCTGGCTAGCTGAGAACGTGAGTAAGGATCTATATGTGCACATCATGGAGCAGTATCATCCTCGTGCGCATGTCGGAAAACCGAGACGAACCACAAGCGGGCGAGCGCGGGATCTGGTGACCGACATCGTTGAACCTGGAGGTGCTTCAGCCGATACTGCAACGAACAAGCAGGTCCGTTACGAGGAAATCAACCGACCTGTTAGCCTCGACGAAGTGGATAGGGTGAAGACAGCTGCTAGAGAAGCGGGCCTCTGGCGGCTATTGGAAGTTGCCGAGCACGGCGGCTTCAATATCTAGACCACTGAGTGTGATTGAGTGTTCCGACGAGCCGTTGATTGCGCGATACTCCGAGTGATAATCGAAGTCTTTGTGCAACAATGGATGGTCGCTTCCGGACTTGTGAACAAAGAGCGCTCTCCGCCAAGCATACCGACCCCCATGGTCCGCCAACATGGGGTAGCTGCTTTGTTTGATATCGGCACGATTCTGGAAAACCTGTTCGCCATCATCATCTACGTTGGCTGGATGATAGATTTTCATATTTTAGCCCTGCGCAGCTGGCGGAGCTCTCACCACTATCCGTTCTCCGGCCACTACGACTGCCATAGTTGGTACGACTATATCCCGGACTTGATAGCTGTCCGTGACATCAGCAGATACGCATTCAGCTTTTCGCTCGATTTGTTGCATCTCTCGACAACGCCGCAGCGTGCGGTTTGGGAGCACAGTTCCATATCTGCTCGCCATGTCCGCTCTGACTGCAACGCTTGCCGCGATATTAGCAGCCGCCACAATCGTGCTGGCAGACAATGGGTTCGTCAAGAGAACCACATCACATCCCATTATGGGCGGCGCGAACTTTCCAGACCCGTCTGTCATCCGGGTCGCAGACGGATGGCATGCATTCTCAACGAACGCTGTTGTCAACGGCAAGCTAGTACATGTGCAAAACGGATACACTCCAGATTACAACACATGGACTTTGCGGTCCGGCGTCGATGCAATGCCCGATCTTGCGCCATGGGTTTATGCAGGCAGCCCTCGGGTGTGGGCTCCCGATGTCATCCAGCTGCCGGACGGTTCCTTCTTGATGTACTATACAGCCGCGTACAAGAAGATGTCCAATTTGCACTGTCTCGGTTGGGCGAAGAGTCGATACGTCGACGGGCCGTACATCGATACTAGCGCGACGCCGTGGATCTGTCCTACTGCGCAAGGCGGCGCTATCGATCCTGCTGGCTATCTGAACAGTGATGGGACGCGGTGGGTGGTATACAAGATTGATGGCAACGCCAGTGGACACGGCGGATCGTGCGGTAACACCGTAGCACCAATCGTGCAAACTCCTATCATGCTGCAGCAGGTCAACGCCGCCGATGGACATACCTTGATCGGCGACCCCATACAGCTCATCACGAACGGTCCTGCCGACGGCCCGTATGTCGAAGCACCTTCGCTGTCGTACCTCGGCGGCAAATACGTACTCTTCTTCTCATCCCAATGCTACCAAACACCGCAATACGACGTGTCGTATGCGACCGCGCCGAGCATTACAGGCCCGTATACAAAGTATGGCCCACTATTGGTGACCGGCTCAAATGGGATGACAGCTCCTGGAGGCCTTGATCTTGCCATCAACGGCAACCATGCGATCTGGCACGCGTACGTTAATTACACCCTTGGCCCATCTGAATGCATTGCTCGGCATCATCGGCACGGTCACGGATCGAATCAAGACGCTAATAATTGTCGCAGGAACTACGGCAGTGGGCGCGCCGCTTTCACGGGCTTCGTTGCATTGAGCGGCAATATCGTTACAGCGTCGACGTTCTCCTAAGTCAATACAATTGCAGATATTGTTTATCATGTGGATACAGTCATGATACTCCCCCCAAGTCTCCAGTGCTCCATCAATTCCTGCCTCCCCATGGCCATATCTGGCAAAACGAAGACGGTTCAGATGCCAGGACTGTAACAATGTACCAGGCGACTCGTGCTCAATTCCCACCCATTGAGTGACGTTGAGGTGTAGTACCGGCATCTACCTCGAGCCAGTCCTCGAAGCGCAGTTGCTGCTGATTTATGTCTGCTTCGGAGTTTAGGGCAGAGCCGGAGGCCAGCGGATGGCGGAGCGATTGCGGCTGAATACTGCACTCTCCCCACAATATCTGAAGTCAATGCACAATTGTGCAAGCCGAAACGCGTTGCCGTCAATCTTACCCTACCGACTCCATCTCAGGGCCAGATTCAGGCGGGGCTCCCGCATCATGGCATCTCGCGGCAGCATGTCATGGGAGCTGATTCCAGCCTTAGCGTATCTTCTAAAGCCTCCCGAACTGCTATCCGTGTGAGAGCCTGCCCTCTACAGCCATCTCGTGGCGCATAGCTGTCGAGCTTAAAGGTAGGTCGTTTAATCCGACAGCTTTCAGTCTTGTCAACTCGCAACGGGTTATCTCTCCTCTTTTATCTCATCTCTCATCTCGACCTTGTTACTTGAGCTTAGGCCTGCTTCACCACCAAAGCATTGGGTGGACTGACCTCCTGTAACCCTACCTCTCGCATCTGATTATACAGCATGGCTATCGAACGTTACGACATCGTAATTGTGGGCGCCGGACCCGTTGGCCTTCTATTGTCAACCTGTCTGGCAAGATGGGGCTACAAGATCAAGCACGTCGATATGCGACCTGTGCCCACAATCACCGGACGCGCAGACGGCATCCAGCCTAGATCACTAGATTTGCTCGAGAACATGGGCTTGAAGCATGGCATTATGGCATACGACCCTGCGAAAGTCTACGAGGTCGCATTCTGGGATCCGCAATCTGGCGGGAAAGGCATACACAGAACCGGGACTTGGCCGTCTTGTCCAAAGTTCATTGACGCACGCTATCCATTCACAACTCTTCTGCATCAAGGTCTCATTGAAAGGGTATTCATTGCGGATATTGAGCAGCATGGCACGAAGATTCAGCGGCCGTGGGAGATTAAAGGCTTTAGCTCGGATGGCGTGGATAAGGAGTATCCGGTCGAGGTCAGTTTAGCACACGTCAACGGTGATGAGCAAGAGACAGTACGCGCAAAGTATCTGTTCAGTGGGGAGGGGGCTCGCAGCTTTGTTCGGGAGCAACTGAAGGTGAAGATTACGCACAAGGATCCGATTGCGCACGTTTGGGGTGTTATGGATGGTGTGGTGAAGACGAACTTCCCGGACATCAAGATGAAGTGTACCATCCACTCCGATGCTGGCTCAATCATGGTGATTCCACGTGAGGCGAACATGGTGCGGTTGTACATTCAGATTGCGTCTTCAACCGATCCCGACTGGCATCCGCGCAAGACCGCAACGACGGAGCAAGTGCAAGAAGCGGCCAAGAAGATCTTGAAGCCTTATACTATCGAGTGGGAGCGCGTCGAGTGGTTCTCCGTCTACCCGATCGGCCAAGGTATCGCAGACAGATACACGCTCGATGAGAGGGTATTCATGGGCGGTGACTGCTGCCACACTCATTCGCCGAAGGCGGGTCAGGGCATGAACACGGCTTTCCTCGACGCTCAGAACCTCGCCTGGAAGATTCATCACGTTGAGTCTGGTTTCGCAGACCGCTCCATTCTCAAGTCTTACGAGAGCGAGCGGAAGCTCATCGCAGAGAACCTTTTGAACTTTGATGCGCAGTATGCGAAGTTGTTCTCGCAGCGACAGCCGTCGGCGGGTGAAGTTGGCTCTGCAAACATTCAAACCGCCGGTGAGCAGCAACCCGCGGAGGACAATGAATTCATGAAGACGTTCAAGGCGTCTTGCGAGTTCACCTCCGGCTATGGCGTTGCATACAACGAGAACATCTTCAACTGGTCACAGAATCACCCGGCGCAAAGCCCGCTCTTCTTGTCGGAGAAGCAGGGCACAACCACTCAGCGCACCGGTAGGATCATGACTCCGGCGACGGTTACGAGAGTATGCGACGCGAACGTCGTCTTCCTTGAGCAGGAGATCCCGCTGAATGGCTCCTACCGCTTGTACCTCTTTGGTGGCAAACCTTCCGTGACGAAGAACGCTATCAATGACTTCGCCGCAGGGTTGACACAGAAAGGCTCCTTTTACTCGTCCTACAAGCGGCCCGACGTTGATGCTGTCAGTCATCTCGAGAAGCACAACCCGCACAGCCTGTTCTTCTCCATTGCCACAATCTTCAACGCGCACAGGCCCGAGATTGAGATCCGGGAACTGCTGCCAGAGGTGCTTGCGCGTTACTTCGACCATGTGTATGCGGACGATATCTGGGACCAGCGCGTGCCCAACGCCAAGGCTGCAGCACACGCGAAGATGGGTCTCTCGGAAGATGAAGGTGGTGTGGTTGTCGTGCGGCCAGATGGCTATGTGGGCTGCGTGGTGAAGCTTGTTGACGGCAGCGGCACGGTTGATGCGCTCAACAAGTATTTTGCTTCCTTCACCGCAAAGAGCCTGGGCGGCAACCGGGCACAGCTGTAGAACAGTATTATGTATACCCGGCCGATGGCGATTGCGATTGCGATGGCGTTTTTGGTGCAGGACATGTAAATATGCCGGCTTCGGCTGAAAGACCTACAAAACTCTTGTAGTGACAGAATCGTGGTCAGTCTCCTACCATCTCAGTCATCCAAGTTTGCGAAACCGACATATATATGCATCTATACACAATGTAGTGTGCAAGAACTGGTTGCTTGGTATTGGATCGGCGGTTGCTGAAAAGGGGTCTGCTGTCTAGCAACTAGTCCCCGCCACCGTCTGGGTCCAAAATGCTCATCACACTTCACGATCAACCTCCGAAAGATGCCAACCTTGAGCAGGCATTCAAGCAGACATCCGTTACTGCAGCCGGAAGATACTAGTTCGCTTACAAGTTTTCCGGATCCTGCGACACCATCTCAGGAGACCTTGTCCGGACCGGAACCACTCCCATCTCCAGTCAATGAGTCGCACAATCACGTCCTTGATAGTCTGCTCGATGGCCACAGTACTACGTTTTTCGAGAATGGCGCTGCGGCAAACAGCCTTACCGAGCCTCAAACGCTGTCTACAGCGCCGTCTCATATCCTGCAAAGTATCATAGACCGGGACGGAGCTATTCCACTCGTCCGACGCCTGTCTAGGCTACTGGCAGAGCGCGATGCTCACGTTACGGCATTGACGCGACTGGCGGAGGAGTATAAAGTGCCACGGCAAAGCATTGTGGAGACCACTTCCCGTGTCAAAAGGTCCGAGGAGCGCAGATTAGCTCTCCATGTGGCCGCCGAGGAAGACATTGCCCCGTTGAAGAGATCTAGTAGTGCTGTAAGCGTATCTTAGAACAGATTACCATGAATGGGAGGTTCGGTAAGACTGATCGACGACTTAGAGTTCCAATGCCATAGCTGCGTCTGCCGCCACAACCACGTTAACTAGAATCTTCGGCGGCACCATACGGGGGGCTCGGTCGGCGTCTCGGTACGCACTTCAATCCACACATCTGCGCTGTCATTGCTGACACGGTTCACAGGACGCCTGCTGTGAAGCAGGAAAGGCAGTCGCTCAGTGACGCGCAAAGTGTGAAAAGTGTTCAAAGTGCCCAGACGGTTCAGAGCACTGACAGTATAGGCTGGACGGCCGGTCTTTTTGGAGCCTCGCGCGGGAAGCGCCACGACTCTGGTGCGTCCCGGGAACCGGTTGAAATGATACCTCAGATTGATAAAGACGAACTCCCTCCCACACTGACTGATCGCCGGGACGATCCACACGAGGCCGCCTGGAATAAGTTCTTACTCAACATTACTAAGGCCCGCTCGAGAGATGGGAAGCAGGACCAGGCTGACGACGGTGGTGGTCTCATCGGACCGTTAGTAGGCCAGCAGAAACTCAAGGCACTCGGTCAACTAGTCATGGCCGGCATACCAATGCAACTACGTCAATATATATGGCTTGAATTGTCACATGCAGACAGTCTGAAGGAGCCAAGCGCTTACGAGTCGTATATCAGGGAGGAGGTCGACCCTGCTGAAATCGACGCTATCGTCAACGATGTCCCTCGGACATTGACACAGTCACGCAGCTTCTACACCAACAAAGGCTTCGAACGCCTCAAGGAGGTGCTCGTCGCTTTCGTGGCGAAGTATGACAACTTGGGCTACACTCAAGGCCTGAACAGCATTGCTGGCTATCTTCTCCTTGCCATTCCGCAAAACGAAGAAGCTTTCTGGATGCTGTGCAAAATGGTTGACGAGTACTTTCCGGAAGAGTATTTCGCCCGTGAGAACGCGATGACTGGTCCACTTGCCGATGTTATCGTTCTCCGCTCCTATGTCAGAGAGCTCATGCCGCAGCTGGCGAAGCACATGGACGACCTGGACATAGGCCCTCAGCACACCGTCCCCGTTCGCTGGTTTTTCACCGCCTTCTCCAACGTGCTGGGCGAAGATGCGCTGATGCGTGTTTGGGACATTTGGCTATGCTTGCCGGGCCAGAAGACGTTTCTTTTCAACGTGGCGCTTGCGTTGCTCATGCAGAACGCAAGTGGTTTGCTCGCTTGCGAGACCGAAGGCGAGTATTGGTCGTATATGGACGACAAGGATCAGTGTAAAGTTGATGGCGACGCTGAGTGGGTCAACAAGCTGATCAAAGCGGCCGTTGAACTGCGCAAGGAGCTACAGAAGGTTGGTGAGCGGCGAGCTTGGGAGGCTAAGCTCCTACGTAGAAAGGTGGGAAGCTGTGAAGCTTTGTACAGTCCAGACGAGATGCGGCCAGGCAGTGGCGGGCATGCTCCTGATAACGGACGATGAGAGTTCGGTGCGGCAACCTAATCATAGTGCCCATCTACTAAGCGATCAGTCAGGCACTACAGAGGCCTGGATATGCAGCCATCGTCTCTTCACTGCGTCCAGGCTCAATGCTGTCGCTTGGCCCTGTCCAAGAGACAGCATTTCAGCTATGCATGCCCGGGCTTGGCCCGGCGTGCCGCCTACAGTCTGATCGAAGCTTGCTGGGAAAATTCCTAGCTTCAGCCGCTGGATCGTTTCGAGCCGTTCCATGCGTGTGGCGAACTTCCAGAGTAACTCAAAGCTAATGATGCCAAGCGCGTACATGTCCAGATCCGCGCTTGTGTTTGAGATGGCAGTGAGTGGCCTGTATAACTCTGTTCCGACTGGTGATCCTTGCGTGCCTGTTTCATGCTCTGGTTGTGCAAGCGCTGCGACGAGGCCAAAGTCTCCGATTCGCACCTTAAGCTGAACTGGAGTCGCTTCTCCGTTCTCACGACATGAATGGCACAGAAAGAGATCCACCGAACCTCGAGTCTTCCGGGGATCGCTATTGGTAGCCATGAAGACGTTGGCAGGTTTGATGTCCCGGTGAACGATGCCTTGGCTGTGCAAATACTCCACGCCGTCCATGAGCGCCAACAGTACGTCGACAGAGGGTTGAAGGTGGAAGCAGTGCTCAACCGGAAGCACGTCATGCGTGTTGTGCCCATTAGCGAGAGGGGTCAAGAAGTCGGCAAGCGTGAGAGGATACAAGCCCATCTGCAAGTGGAGCGCTAAGCATGGCCCAATTTGTGCCACTGCATCACTCGCGGTATACGCGTGGGATGCGGAAGGAGCACAGGAAGCACTCCATCCATCAATATGTCTTTCCACACGCAGTTCTTGGCTAGACTGCTCACAGTATGATGGCCGACCAGGCCGGGGCAGACTGTCTTCAAAAAGAACGCCATCACTGTCGCTTTCGGTTTCTGTTATGATGCGGCCTAGGCTCGGTAGATCTCGGGAAGCCTCGCTATCGTCCCGTTGACCGGTTTCGTGAACCGCTTGGGGAGGCAGCGCAGAATTGTCTGACCATTCGATCCACCCTGTAAAGTAGCGGACGATGTTCGGATGATCTAGCCTTGCAAGAGTGCGGACTTCCGAGAGCAGCTGGTCTAGCTCGCGCTGACCATGGGACCGTATTCGGGCGATGCGAGCAGCGCTGATTGGAACCTTCTTAACTGCATATTCGAGGTTGTCAAGCCGGTTGCGTACCCGGTAGACGACTCCGTATCCGCCCCTGCCGAGTATACTAAGCTCGTCAAAGTCGCGAACGTAGCGGCTTGATTCCAGTAACGGGTGGGTTGCGGCTACGCCATCGAGGGTTATAGACGACAGCATTCCGCCGAAAGCAAGAACCTGCGGTTGAGCTGCACCTTCCGCACTTTGAACTGGTTGAGCATCTGACAACAGTTTTGGCATGCGAGCTGCATCCCGTTCAACTGTGAATGTGCCATCTCGAGACAACAGGTCGAGACCAGCGCGGTACTGTTGTCGAGTCGGCGCGAACTGGTCGTGTTCCAGACCAGATGCAACAAGATTGTGCGAAGAGAGCAAGCTGCAGAGAGCTTGATATTTCGCTCTTGCCGTCTGCCTGACAAGTACTTCGTCCTGTCTGCGGTTACCGGTTGACTGGTGCTCACGGACAGCTTCGTTCATGCAGCGTTCTTCAAGGAGTGCGTGGAGCAGCACTTGGCTGTGTAGACTAGTATCGACTGTGCCTGTGGCCGGGCTGAGACGAGCGAGCGTTGCGGCGGCGTCGCGAGTGCCATCGTCTGACGGCTCCGCTCCAGCATGAGCATCGGGCTCGCCGGGACTGTCCTTGTCTGAAGCTCCATCGGACGATGATGAATCTGAGCTCACCGAACGAAAAAACTTAGACATGCTGTCATCTTACAGAGATATCGTCACTGGGATAAGTACGCATTGAGAATCAAATGAGCCAGTTTGACACCGAGGATACGGAAAGATAGAGCATGTTCAACAATGGCAGAGGCAGGAACAAGTGGAAGTGCAATGGTCAGATGCAACGGATGACCATGAAGGAGTCTATACACTGCGTAGGTTCTCGAAAGTTACAACCTAGATTTGCCTGCAATCCATACAGTCCACGTAAAGCTGGCCTTTCCGTTGAAATTAGAGTCGTGACTTCGACTCATTCCAGCATCTCTTGTGGCGCTGTATCTCAGATGTGGCTGCAGCGGAATTCGCCGATGCGGAACACATGCAGCAGCATTGACATTGGACTGCAGCTACATCCAACATATGCGACAGTAGCCGTCAATTAGGACGAAGTAGGCACCGTATCGGCACTATGGCAGTTTAAGGATGCAGACACCTCATCCATGCAGACAGTCTGGTCCCGTGTCGCGCAAACGCGAGGCACCTGTAACTGCCCCCAATGCCTTCAGACTGTGCATGCAGTTAGCCGCAGGGCGACAGCCTCTGCGACGAGAAAGATCCCGAAGTTTCTGTACTCGTCAACGCTGTTCTACTCGGGAGTATTTGCCGCGGCTGCCACCTGGGATGCTGCGGGAAAGGAAAGGCGAAGGGAGCAGTGGGACCGAGCCATTGCGGAGGTGAAGCAAGAGTTATCGCAGGTCGCGGATACAACAGATCGGGGCGCGACAAGTGCAGTACCGTCAAAAAGCGCGTCGCGACAGACGTCAGACAATGTCAGCGGTGTTCCGTGGACCAAGGGGAGGCCGCGCTGGCCCACGAACACCGGCCCAGACCTTATGATCCATCGCTTACCGCCAGAGTCAATCTACGCTACTGATGAGCGCAAGGCGCGTGCTGACCTACGGAGATGGACGCCCAAGAAGCTGGAAAATGTAATGCTCTCAGTTGACATGCTGCAACTGAAGATCTTCTTGGAGCTACAGACAAGGTTCAGCGGCGAAGCCTGGGCTGAAGACGCTTTAACGTGTGTTCCAGCTGCATATCGCGAGGTCATGTCTCTACCGCCTGCAAACTTGCGCGCAGTGCTCGAACGGAAAATGCAAGACACGGCAGTACTTGCCAACGCTGACTCGCAATTAAGCGAGTGGTCCCGTTCGCCTACCGATAACGCTCTCTGCACCTATCAACAAGACGATGCTGGAGACTATCATCACGTCGCTCGCGAGCTCAACAATAGCCTGCAAAACCTGTTTCGGCAGCATAAGGCAGGAGTTCTCAGCACGCCCTCTCTGCTTGCAAAACTAGCGTACAATCTGTCCATCTCAACGGCGCCTCCCAATGTAAACATATATAACACGCTGCTCGATGGTCTGTCCGGTCCGGAGCATCCTCGACTGATGCGCGCTGTCATAAAGTCTCTCCGTGAAACTCATTTGAGACCCAATGAGAACACGAACGTTGCAATTTTGGAGCATTACACCACAATCAACGACGTCAGAGGCTTCGCCAGATGGGTGGAGCGCATGCGCGGCAAGCATAAAGGCCTGAGTCTAGCACGGCCAGACATTCACATAAACCCTGCCGGAGAGATTAGGCTGGTTAGAGTTGAGAGGGAAGGCAAACCAGACAAGGTCATCCAATTACCATACCCGACACCAGATGTCTTCGGCGCGCTCATCAAGGGAGTGCTCAAACTCAGCGGCTTCGATACAGCACTCGCTATCTGCTCCGGCATGGGCCAGGAAGGCTGGGGTCTTTGTATGGCAGGACTGACTCCGCTGCTCATCGACTGTGCAGACCGAAGCGATTGGAATGCTGGCATGGCGGTTTGGCACCAGATTCAGGCGCTACGGGCCCGCGGCCGGAAACGAACCGATTGCAGGTACTGGGCAGCGCAGGAGGTCAACCCCAACGCGTTCGCTGCAATGCTCCGTCTGTGCATGCGCAGTGGCGACAAGAATACCTACAAGACCATATGGCAGCAGGCGATGAGAACGAACCTCCAAGCACCACAGCTGCTTGTGGATCTGGTGAAGGCGCAGAACGCGACCGCAGATGAGGCTCTGGCCAGACAGAGCAACGTTGCCGCAACTCCGGTGTCTCAGAGACCGAAGGATGGCTCAACCCAGACAACTCGCGCAGACACAGATCACACGAACTCACATCCTGTCGAGCGCTTAGTACGGCAACATCTTGACGATGAGCACAACGTTGTTGGGATGACGCCGCCCTCAGCACGACGGTCGCGGTCTCGGTATATCATCCAGCGTGAGCAGCTGGAAGGCTCGCTTCCTGCTAGTGACGAGCTCGACGACTACGAGATAGGCGAGAGGCCAATGGCGTTCAGTAATGGCTGATTATAGCACAAGCATCTGATGCTTACATGATGATGGGGTGCGGGTAGATCGCTTATTCCAATGCTGCATAAGGTAGCGATGGCGTTAGGGTGGCGCTCTTTCGCCCAAGCCATGTGCGGTTTGCAGCAGCCGTCTCGTTGATGGCGCTCTTTTGCATAGCGACGCTTATGACGACATTTCCGCAATGAGAGGCACTATAGAGTAAACCGAGGTTTGTTCATATACCGAGATGGTACAGTGTCCATACATCTGAACAAGGCGAATTACTCGCTACTTTTGTCCGCTGGCTTCTACGCTCAACGAGCCTTGTTCATTCCGATCAACTGCGATCCGAAGCCTGACCATGGCTACATGGCCCCATCAAGGAGAATACTGTCGGTATGAAAGCATGGTGACCGGGTAACGAACAGCCAAATCTTGAAGGTGGAGGCTGAGGGCACGTGCGGATGCTCTAGCTTCGAACAGTGTGACCACATGTCTATATTTGAATCATATCACATAAGGCCCGTGTCGTGGCCGGGGTTACAGGTAGTCGCAATATGGTGCGAGCTGACATCAAACCGAGATCGGACTATATGCCGAATGGACGCCGTAATGACCATGAGTTTGAGAGCGAACACGCTTCCCATCAGTATCAGTGTGCAGTCTTGTCATTATTGCCATGCTTATGTTAGTACCCGACTAAGCTTCCGAAGTCCATGATAGGAACGATCCTGGTTCTAACCTTTGGGCCGAAACAGCCCTCTATCACTGTCTGGCTCGAACTTGTCCCAGCAGACACGTCGGAGGACGACAGCATGACCCGCGAGTACCACATACAGGATGGTCCTTTTCGGATATTTCGCTTTCGGCGTATGCAAGCGGCTTTCCGTCTTCGCATGGTGCGAATGAAGTGTGAGCTTGCCGTCAAGTGCAACGACTGCGTAAAGACCATTAGGGGTTCAGCCAGGCGACAAATGTTGGCGAAGTCCTCTTCGCCAATGAATACGATGTTGCGAGCTTTGAGTAGTACGACGCAAGGAGATTCGTGATGGATGTGTGACCCACCGCATGTGTCAACCCCACTGACCATGGGAACATTATTAGGCATACCAAAGCGGCCTACTGCATCCAGACCCTTCGCAATCATACAGACACGGTCGTTATGAAGCTCGACTCTTCACCTACCGTCAGCCTTTAGTAGACGGACGACTCTTAAGTGAAAGGAGACCTTGACCTGAAGAGGCTCGCCATTATACACGCAGACCTGCAGATACACTTAAAGTTAGTCTGTACATACTTCCCATCGAAGATGCCTTGGTAGGGTTCGTTTCTGAAGGGTCCGAACACGGTGGATGCTGGTTAGCAAATTTCACAAAGCTGACCGAGGGTTGTGCGGTGAATCCGCCGAAGATGTATTTCTGGCCTACGCGCCACCGACGTACATGAGCAGCCTCCAGAAGCTCAAAGTTTGCTAGAAAATGGACCACGAGGTAGGTGGACGACGCCAGGACGCCCTGAATGCCTACGGAGTAGTGTCAGTGGGGGCCACGTGAGTTGCCTACTCTCGGCAAGTCGACCCCGATGACTGCGAGGTCAACATGAGTGCCCGTATATTTCTGCTTCTTCCACCCAATGTGGAAGTCCGCTGGTCGATGCAGGAGAAGTTTCGAAGATCTGAAGATTGCAGCTTCACTATGTCCCGACATGCAAAGTGTTTGATGTGATGTTCCTGTGGCATGACAGGCGGAACTATGCTCTGGCACTTTGAAGGCCAAGCAACCATCGCGCCATAGTGTCATGGCTTGCTGTTGGTCTCAACAGCGCCGAGGGCAAATGATTTAAAAGCAGAAAACGCTTATTGAAGCTGATTGTAGACCGATAAGTGGAGTGGGACGGCCTGGCTGACATGTTGATGGTATGTTGCTCTGTCATGGGAAGCCGCGTAATACTGCCTAGATGTCATCGGCTGAGGTCTGGCGCTCTCTTCGAAGAACATCGATCCGTCCATCTTCCTAGGCATGAGTATGAGCTGCACATACGCATGGCTGCCCTTCGCTCGTTGCACGGGGAAGTGTTTCGCATTTGCTTAAGCTTCGGCAGATTCAATTTCCACCTCGAGCGCACTGACACCCAGTCACGCCGCATCTCCCTGTCCACCAATCATAACCCAGTCGCGCTGGCGGTACCTTGCAGGCAGGATGGCGCCGTCGTGGTGCTTGCGCAAGGCCAGATGAAGCTCCGGGCCAATGCTGCGGCCGTGATGGCGGCCGCGGCTTTTGCATGGTCGTCCTGGCCGGCAGTACTTCGCCGACGAGGCAGCTCCTACCCTTACTCGTGGTTACACAAACAACGATAGCGACGGCGACAGTAACATAGCACAACAGGTGCACCTTCTCTTCTTCCACGATCTTTGACAGCGTTCCTGTAATTGCAGCGAGATTTCGTGTATCCACCACATAAACCATCGGACTCCGACGACCACACTTCTTCCGGCGTACCTACAACATGCTCACGATGCGTATTGTGCGTTCGCTTTGAGCGGGAGGCGATTACTGGAACTGTAGGATCAGCAGAGTGGCGAAACCGGGCATCTGAACAGTCAACTTGCTTGTTAGCTAACCGATCGCGGGTTCGAGACCGGAGACCCTGGGCTTCGTTGGAGGCGGAGCATGTTCGCAAGAGGCAGCTATGGAGGTAGGAGAGACGGACAAAGCAGCCAGACGTTATCTGGTGGAGCGCAGAATGCGGTGAATCTACCGTCCAACGTTGTAGCACGCCGATCAACGCAGACTTCGAGACGACGGCCTTCGAAACGGCGGAAGACGTCGCATAGCAGCTCCCGCAGCGCGGCGTATGCATTGCTTGCCAGTACACTTCCGGCTGCCATGGCTCAGAACTGCATATCGCTGGCTACTTCACGAGAGTGTCCTTCATTCAACGCCTCGTCTATCTCGACGAGCAGTGCGCTTGTCGGGTTGTTTCCTTTCTTGTCCTCCGTGACAGATACAGCTTCGTTTGACTCAGGACTCCAATCATACATTACCGGAGGTTTTACACAGCTACGGTATGCAATACCGACACAGTCAACACTACGGTCGCGCTGACACGGAAGACAGATATCAAACACTAATAGGGTGCTCGAATATCGACCTTGATAACACAACAGCATTCTACGCTCGCTACACAACAAGCGTCCTCTGCAACGCCATAGTGCAGAACTCGATCACGCCTTGTGGCCTGACTGGTAATGCCACTCGGCCACTGTGCGCAGACAGTTGTGCTACATACGCGCAAAGCGAAGAGCAGATTACTAGCAGTAATGTCTGCGGCACGGCTAGCAGTTACGCGCTCTCACAGATCCGCGCAGACTTCACCAACTGTGCGCTACCCGCGGATTCCTTGTCTGGCCTTTGCATTGAGGGTGTACAAAATGAGCCGGACAACTGCGGCTTTTCCACCAATCTCGGTGGTCTTTGTTCCTATTGCGCAGCAAGCTCGCCAAACTCCACAGACTCGTGTTGCGTCTTCTCGAATACCACATCACGGTGTGCTGGCGTTACCTTACCAGTTGTGGCGTCGTCCTTACTACAACCGGTCACGATGACGATGACAGCGACAGCAAGTGGTACCTCCTCCGCAACTGGGGGCGCCGGAGGCGCTGGAGCTGGTGCTACCACCAATCGTGGCCTCACTGGAGGCCAAATTGCGGGTATAGTAATTGGCTCAGTGCTCGGTGCGCTATTGCTCTTGGCCTTGCTTATCGTCGGCTGTCTGCTGCTTAGGAGGCGCAGAGATCGTAGCCCACCGACAAGCGTATTTCATCAGCCGGCGACGACACGCTCACGACCCGAAATGGCCATGAATGACGGCGCGCGCGACCAGGAGCGCGCCGGTCTCGCGGTGCTTCCGGGCGGCAGAGTCGCACGCATGTCCGCGTTGGAAGGGTCTGAGAGCTCGGAGAATAATGGCACCAGATATGCACCACTGGGCTATGGTGGCTACAGAAAGTCGACGTCAGACGAAGAAGATACGCCCCAGTCGCGAGACCCCGGGCTCCTCGGGCTTGCGCCGCCACCAAAGCGAAGTGCGTCGCTGTCGAGCGGTTCGCAGCTTGCTGGTGGTGGGCCAGAAGACACCTCACCGAGTACCAACAACGACTACACGTCGCCTGAGTCGCAAGGCCAAAGCGAGCAGCTGCAGTTCTTCAAGGACTACTACTCGCAAGATGAAATACACCCCTCCGACCTCGTGGCTACACTATGGGCCTACGAACCACGAGCCGCCGATGAGTTCAGTCTCGAGCGCGGCGACATGATCAAAGTCCTCGGGATCTGGGATGATGGGTGGGCAACCGGTGTACGTGTCAGACAGAAAGCTGAGGACTGGCGGCCGGAAGGCAAATTGCAGCGAGACAGCGGCATGAGCAACGGCAGCTCGAGACCGTCGGAGTCGCCGCCAGAGGGCGAGGTCAAGGCCTTCCCGCTTGTTTGTGTCTGTCTGCCTCAGCACTGGCGCAAAACAATCGAAGGCGACTCGACTGAAGGCTCGGCCCCTGCGTATCCTGCTGAGCTTCCTTGAGCGGTACGGTACGTTCAATTTCCGCATCATGACTCACGGTCTCTGGCATGGCGAGGCGTCTCTGGATTCAGCTTGGGAAATTTCAGCGCTCCGCGTTCTTTTCACGGCCACTCTGCGTCTTGTTCTGCACGCGCTAGCATTTTCGTCGAAAAACCAGCGTCAGTCTCGTCAGCATACGGCGCGATGCTTCTGTTCTCGCTATGCGGATACCCAGCCAGTATGGCTACTGTTTGGCTGCTTTGATCTGCATTGGGATAGGCTGCTCGGATTAGAGCACAGCAATGTTGCTAGGTGAATGCGCGTACTGAAAGTTGGATATCGGCGACGCTCATAGTGTACATATATACTAATGTATAGAATTTACGTGCACGAATACCATGCACACGCCTCTCACTCTCATGTCTCGAGTGTATCTCTCGCCTTGCCGAGACACTCGGCTTTGACTGAGCGTCCGAGGTCGCGAGTGTTGATAAGGAGAGAGATAACACCACTAATTAGTCTGCATGAGTATCGCAGCCGTTGAACGTATTTGATCTGTTAGCCGGATCACGAGTCAAGTTCGTGTGCATTAAATAGACTATTCTTGTAACAGATCGCCCGGATCTTCGCTTCATCTGCATCCGGCGACTCGGATCTGGCAAAATGGCGCCAATATTCCCCCGACTGCCTTTTCTCGCAGCGGCAAGTTCCCGCACCACTTCTACCACCTTCAAGCTCGTATGATTCTCTTCGCCACGATGTCGGCGCATACACATGCTTCGCTTGCTTGTCGGCGGACTTCTTCTGTCTGCGATCCGCCGTCCTCTCGCAGTAGTAGCGCATTCGTCGAGCGTCCTCCTCCATAATAACAAAGCGTTAGCGGCACCGACTTCGACGTGCCGGAATCTGAATACGATGGAGCAGGCATTTGAGAAGATGGAGCAGGAGGGTGTGCCTAAATGCGATGAGACTTCAAAGGCTGCGGCGCCGGAGAAGGAGGAGCAGGATGTTCCGAAGATGAGTGCACAGGAATTTAGGGTGTATAACCGGATGGCGGAGCATATGGATTATTTCGTACGTCTCTCGACATTTGTTTTGTATTCGGACAGTCGCTAATGAGACTGGTCGGACAGCACGAAAACTTCCGCCAATCCTGGAACCTCCTCTACGACGCCTGCAAATCCAACAAACGACCACAAGGGATGTCAATCCGGTCTTTCCTCTCCGTCGGCGAGCAATTCGCGCACCACCTCACCATCCACCACACCATAGAGGAGGAACACATCTTTCCCGTGCTCGCGCGAAAAATGCCGGCCTTCAAAGCGGAACTGGAGCTGCTCACGCAGCATAAGCAGATACACAAAGGTTTGGATAAATTCGAGCTTTATCTGAAGCAGTGTCGGAGTGGAGAGAAGGAGTTGAGGTTGGAGGAGCTGAAGGGAGTGATGGAGACGTTTGGGACGGTGTTATGGCAGCATCTGGATGATGAGGTGAAGCAGTTGCGGGCGGAGAATATGAGGAAGTATTGGAGTGTGGATGAGATGAGGAGGATGCCGATGTAAAGGAAGCTTCTGGTCGTTACTTGGCAGAAGCAATGTATAGGCGCTACCCGAATCAAAATGATTACGCCTCATGCAGCTTTCTTCGAGGCGCGGAATTTGTCGTGCCATTTCCGCTTGGCACCTAAGGTCGACTTCGCTCGAGGGGCGCTTGATCCCAAGTCTGCATTGGTGGATGAGGCTCCGTCCGCATTGAGAGCGACAGAGCCGTTGGACAGCGTCTTCCAGGAGTCCGGTGGGAGAAGCTTCTGCGACACCTTCTCCCGCCACCTTTCCGGCATGAGATCTCTCCAGGCGTCAAGCCAGTCAGATAGAGCCACTGAACCTCGGGCCTGACTCAAAGCCGCAAGCGAGTCAACGCCTATGTTTCGCAAAGTGCGCGCTTCATCGAGCAGGATGTGCCCTTCTGAAGTGCCCGAGAGGGACCGCAGTAAAGCGTGCGACAGTTCTTGCGGCCAGTCCTCATCGTTGTCGACTGATCTGGCCAGATGCTCTCCACTGATTGGCATTGTCAGATCGATATCTTGCGCTGTGGCCTGTCGAAGTATGGCATGCCATGCGGCAATCTTCGCTCCAGCACTTGGGAGGAAGCAGTTGATAGGCTCGACCGTTTCGAAACAAGCTAAATCAGTCCACGCTTGCTCGCATTCAGCCTGGCTCAGCGGTATGTCGTCGAACACCATTTGCTTCGATCGGGGCTCCCGGGATGAGGAAGCTTCGATTGGTGAGTACAATGGCAGGGCAGCCTTAAGATACGAACCCGCAGAAGCGTTGCTGTGGTGGCTCAGCTCCAGCGTGAAGCCGCATTTGGCTACAGCTTGCAGACGAGGCGAAGTCAAGCCGCCATCGCCGTCGTCCGCTGCTTGTTGGACTGGTTGACATATGTAGACGGAGTTGGAAGTGTTAACTTGCCGGATATTGTACGTCTTGTCTGGCGTGCAGATAACGGCACCAGCACCTGCAGCGAGACTCGCCGTCGAAGCTGCAGACTTGAATTGCAGACTGGTCACAGCATCAGCGGCTATGCATGGTCAAGGACAACATAACATTGATCGCACACTGGAGGGTTGGCTGAGGTTACGAGTTGCAGCAACTCAGGTGGGAGTTCGAGGAGGCGGAAATGGTCTTGACTTTCCTCCGATCTGAGGCAGAAGGCGATGCCACTGCCATTCTGCGACGACATCTCTATATTGAACTTTGCAATTGTTATGCAACATTAGAGAGTCTCGAAGAGATGAACAGCCTTGTCGAAGCGCATGTGCTCGCGTGTCAGTCTCGCGCTTCGCCGGAAACGCCACACTTCCCGAACCGGACGAGTCACCCCACCTCGAACCAAGCTGGACCTTGTCTTGGACCCGCGCCTGCAGCCAAACAGACTCCCGCGGTGTAACATCCATTGCTTCTTGGTGGTCGGCGTGCGGGTCACGGTGGCTTGCATCACGCTCGTTATTGCCGTCTTGGAGCAAGCTTTGTTTATACCTGTAGCTGCACTTCCCGAAAGCGCGACTGCCACCCGGACGATGAATGTTTAACGACGCGACGAGTGCATAGGAAACGCGACATGGGTTGTTACAACTGTACACATACCATTGAAGAGGCATTGGATAGTTAGACCGCCATGGCGGTCGTTGTACCTGCGCCGCCAGCGCTCACTGGCGACCTTGCGCTCTTCCACACAACCGATCCATTACTCGCCAACTCCCCGGTCCTCGTCTTCCACGGTCCGGCCGCGACCATTGGCGCAACAAGCTCGCGAATACAGGTCCACGTCTTCACCGCTGCAGGTGTCGGATCCTACGCAAGACTGGCCGTATCACCGACCTCGCCTTTCTACTCTGCTGTCAGCAATCTGCCCCGTGACGAGCAAGGCGACGAAGTGTGCCGTGGCTTGGCCTTTGGTCTGAGAAGATACTTCGCCGAGCTTCCGGAGAAGGTGAAGAAGACATGGTGCGCACAGGCCAGGGCGCCTTCGGCGGCCATGCTGTTTGGCGACAATCATGTTGCCGTCTTGGCTAGTCGGATGACTCGGATTGAGAATGTTGAAGAGGTCATTGAGACCTTGTCTCAAGCTTTGGGTGAGCAGCGACAGTCGTGGCTGGATGTGGACGTTGTACTGCCCACCGGCGCGATTCGGGAAGCTCCAAATCGGACGGACTCTGTAGGCGCTGAGGGCCTCGACGACCTTGACTCGCTCAAGCAGCGCTATGGAAAGTACGCGGACCTCATCGCCGGCCTGGGTGATGTTACTTTCATGCCTACCTCGAAGCTCAAGCGTGCCCCGTCCAAACCCACCTCGTTCGGACGAGGCACGACGTTCACAAGGCAGCAAAAAGAACTGGCCCGGAAGGAGGTGTGTGAGCTGTCTGATACCGAATTTACCTACATTCAAAAGCTCGATGAGCTCTGTGACATAGCTGCCAGGCTCGAAGAGCAGTTGACAGCATCAGATTGGCAGCTTGTGGAGCCTGCGTTTCCGGAATGCTTGTGTCGACTCCGCGACATGGCCATTCGGTATCGTGACGCAATTAGTGATATCGTCCATGCAACTACTGACTCGGCGGCACAAGATATCGGTTCGACGGGAGAGCAAAGTGCAGCGTTGTCCACTGATGCACTCGGCATCAGCGCCATTGGGAAGTGTCTCTGCGAATGGCTGCCGCGACTGTCTGACGCCTACGCTATCTACATGCGGTCCCAGCCACAGTCCAGTCAGATTATCCATTCTCTCATGCGCATCAGCAATTCGGCAGCGTCCTCCGCCCTACAAACCATCGGCGAGCAGAGGCTTACGTCGCTTCTGATCGAGCCGGTGCAACGATTGCCGCGCTATACCTTGTTTCTCGACAGTATCTTGAAGCAGCTACCGCTCCGTCACCCCGCCACCAAGCATTTGCTCAAGGCTCGCGACATCATCAGCGACATCTGTGCTCAGGACGACTCTGCCGCATCCACTGCCAAGATCGTAGAGAAGCTTCGCTCCAGCGTCGCTGACTGGCCAAGAGACTGTACTGTTACGGGTCGCCTGGTGGCCGTCGTAGATTATGCGGAACTAGCTCCTCCCTTCGCACTGATAGGCTCTGAGCAGGACCCGGGCATGCTTATCGTGTTCACTGACGCCGCAGTCTTGCTTAAAAAGGACTCAGCTTCTGCAATCTCGGCCAAAGTACTTCAGACAGAGCTTGAGAGCGGCACCGCGCTTGGCCAAGTCGCTGCGCCCAAGGCTAATAACCTCCAGGACCTGAGCTTTGTCCGGAAAGTGTACCTTGATGCCGTCGACTGTACCGACAGCCATGATGGCGCAACAGTTCAACTTTACGCTCGGTTCTCAATCGATACCGCTGCTCGCGTACCTCAACAGCCCGTCGTCGACTCCTGCCATACTTTGCGGCTAGAAGGCGCGTACGATCGAAAGGCGTCGCGCTTAGTGGAAGAGATCATGAAGGCTAAGATCGAGCAGCGCTTCAGCGAAGAGGAGCGCGAGGGCCCTAAGTGGTCTGTTCGAGCGACAGACCGCGTGCCAGACCGCGCCAGCCTTCTCACAGCCGTTTTCGAGAATGCTGATGCCGAGCGTATGAAAGCCAGGCGTGGCTGCGCTGCTGTCAAGGTCGTGGTAGATTCCCAACAACACCACGAATTACCACGTGCAGGCCAAGACGGTGTCCGCACTGTCGTCACTTTGTCTCCACTACGGGACAGACTCTGGCGCCTGGTCATTGACTCAGATGACGGCGAAGCGACCCAGGAACAAATTGACGTATCCGAGGTTGTGCAGACCCTCAGCAAGCACCTTGCTTCGCTCTCAGCGACACGCTTTGCAATCCAGGACCCGTCCATGACTGTATGCCTCCTTGGCAGATACGTCGAGATCTTGAAATCGATCGACTTACATGCTCATGTCGAAGAAGAGCAGGATGAGCAGCCGCAGAACGACCCACACGAACGCATCCGCAGGCCGAAGTCACCTCGGAAATTACTGTCGAACCTGCTGTCAAGCACCGGTCCTGGAAGCCAACCGCCTGCATTCCTGAAGAAGGATCTACCACCATTGCCGCCGGCCCCACTGCTACCTAGGGCACGTCCGGCTCCTCCAGTGCTTTCCAAGCCGCCAAGCAGGGAGGACGGACCTTCGTCAAAGGACCAGCCTATGCCGAAGTCTGTGACGTCGAAGCCTTCCATGGAGATGCTTGGCAACCCGCTCAAGAAGCTCGAAGGCACTCTTTCAGCGTACATCCTTGCGTTACAGGCTCGCAAGGGAAACATTGTTGGACGCAGCCTTAAGATGCGGGCTACCGCCGATGAACTTGCTATCAACGAGCTGTACAACAGCATGCTCGAGAATCCGAGCCAAATGCTTCTCGCCGCTCAAGCATCGGTTGACGTACTATTCGCCGCATTTGAGAAGTTCCTGAGCGTGGCTTGGAGGGAGCAGATTGGGCAGGTCCTGCCATATTCGACTATTCAGCAGATACAGGTTAAAGCAGAAACGCTGCTTCCCACAGACTTCGATGACTACTTCCGATCAGCGATTGGCAAACTACCTCTGCAGAATCAGCGGGCGTTCAAAGCTATCGTGCAACTGCTCGCCGAGCTTCTAGACGGCACCGGTAACGACGGCGACCGTGGCATACTCACGGCTGCGTTCGCCGAAGTGCTGGTGACGGAAGGCAACCCGCACGACTTTATTCCGCTCATCGACCGCTTCGTCGACGATACTGAAACGTACTTTGGCGAGCCGCTTGAGCAGGTACACAAAACCGGCGAGCTGCCTGGTGGCATCCACAAGCGCGCAAGATCTGTCAACTCGGCCTCGATCAGCTCCAATACCTCTTCGCTGCGCAAGAAGTTCGGCTTTGGCACGTTGACACGGGCGAACAGCAAGACTGAAGAGGAGTCGAAGGTAGCCTCTGTATGGCGCACGCTTAGCAAGAGCACGCGTGGCGATGCTAGTCCCGGTAACAGCATTTCGAAAGGTACATTGCACCGATCGCAGTCGACCGATACGCCCGTACTTGGCTTGCAATGGAGACCATCTTCACAAGACGGTCCGTCTGCCAGCAAGACGTCCCTTTCTGCGGAGCCGTCATCGCTTATGGGTCCACCTTCTACAACCAGCCTTGGCTTGTCAACCATTGGCGAGCATCCTACGTTTATACCTACCGGGCCGCCGAGGAAGAAGAGGCGTAGCTCGCTTTCTGACCTCAAGGCGCTTAATGTTTCGCAAGCAGCGTCACCTGTATGGATGTCACCTGGGTCGCGTCGTTTACCTGTCACTCAGCAGCGGCTGGATTCATCTTTGCCGGCGTCACCGATACCTTCGACTCCATCTTCCAAAGGCGGTAGTGGGAGATTCGGCTCGCCCACCAGAGAGACGCCACGGTCCCGCCTGCCGGCTTCGTTCAGGACAGAGAACTCCCCCGGAGCGGACAAGGCAATGTACGTTGCGCCTTTGCGGCCGAGAAGCAGCAGTAAGCAGCCCGACGAGGTCACCATTACGGCCAGGCCAACGTCAAGCATACCCACCCTGGCGCCTAGGAGCAACTCGCCTCAAAAGGCAGCGTCACCAACAGCACCTCGCACAGGCCTGTCTGAACGTCCGGGAGCCGGCAACATCGTGAAACTACCTTCACCGCAACCCGAGAAAGCGAGCAAACCTGCCGTCTCAACCGTTGGTTCAGAATCCGCGTCGCCTCCAAAGAAGCTCCGCATGCAGTCTCCTCTGAAACTCCGCGAGCGCCTGCAAAACGAGCAAATCGCTCTTAACACGATGCAAAGCTCCCTGCAAGACGAACTAAGTAAGATCGGGGACGAGCTTACAGCGACACCTAGCCGGATGACCTCCATCCGCGGCGCCGCCACTACTAGCACGCCCAAGTCCTCCGCACCTTACTCGCGTACGACTACTGCGCAGAACCCTCACCACCAACAACCAAACCCCACCCCCGACCTACCCCAACGCCTCCAAACCCTCTCCTCAACCCTCGAAACCCAATTAACCACCCTGCGCACCCGCATCTCCACCCTCGAGCGCGACGTCGCCTCCTCCCTGCATGTCTCTGAGACCAAATGCAAGAAGCTGGATGAACTCTACCGGGAGGCTAATGGCGAGAACGAAGCGCTTTATGCGCGATTTAATGAGGAGTTGGGGCGGGTTTTGGGGGTGGTAAGGGGTGGGGATGGGGTGGAAGAGCTGAGGAGGCAGTTAAGGGAGGCGCAGGAGGAGGTGGGGAGGGAGAGGAGGGAGAAGGCGAGGTTGCGGAGGGAGGTGGTGGGGTTGAGATGTCAGATTCGGGAGGGTTAATAAGCAACACTGTTGATGAGGAGTGGGTAGATGGGGTGCAAGGCGTTTTGGGTGGGTAAAAAGTACTGCTGCTGATGATCAGATGAACCGTTGGCTGGCTGTCTGTCTGTCATTCTTACGTGACATAACCTTGTATCTTTCGTAGTCTGTACTGTAGCATAAGCACATACATGCACATCCTTGCCATTAATGGCAACGCCATCGCTCAATGCAAGGAAGCACCGTACTCGTCCTCAAGTGGTAGTCAGAGGAAGCTTACATATCCCCATGCCCGTCCTCCCCTCCACCGCCTCCCCTCTGCTCCGGGTCAAGCTTAATCAGCGTATCTATCCTCATAATCGCCACACAAGCCTCCACCGCACTTTTCAACTGCTTGACTTTACTCATACTGGGTTCCAGCACGCCAGCTTTCACGCAGTCGTGCACGCGTCCTTTCGTCAGGTCGAGGCCGTAGTTCTTGTAGCCCTTGGCTTTTGCTAGGGCTTTGGCGTCGGCGTCGTAGACCTAAATGTGAAACTATATGTTAGCGAAAGTGCAGATAGCGAGGACGGACGAATTTGAAGGGTTGGGTTTTGCGTACCTGTTGTGCCGATGACGTCCGTTGCGGATTCGGCGGCGTCGCAGCATTCGCAGGTGCATGTGATGAGGGCGCGGGATCGGCGGTTCGTTGGGAGAGTGCGTGGCGGGAACGGAGTTGGGCGACGAGTTCCGCGGAGTCTTTCGCGGCGTTTACGGCGAGTGTGGTGGGGACGGTGAGGAGGGCGGCGGCGAACGCGGCGATGGAGAGTTGTTCTCTCGAACCCTAAATGGTCGCTCAAGGTCAGTATAGGTGTCAAACGAGGAGGAGATGGGGCGAGGAGGTTGCTTACGACGCTGGTAGCCCACTCCTCGAGATATATGTGTAGGGCCGTCTCCACCGCGCCACCACCTGGCACAATCCTCCCAGATTCCAGCGTCCGCTTGACGGCGGAGAGGGAGTCGTGGACGGACCTCTCCATCTCATCCAACGAATACTCATTCGGTCCTCGCAGAATAATCGAGGCGGCTGTGTGTACTTTCGGTCCCTTGACGAGAATGCATTCGTCGTCGCTGATTCTTTCTTGCACCACCTCCTCCGCAGACCCCAAATTGCTCTTCTCAAACACCTCGTCCCCGTTCATATCCGCCAACGTACTGACCATCGTCGCCCCTGTCGCCTTCGCAATACGTCGAAGATCCTCCTTCTTACACCGTCGCACAGCCATCGCGTTCTTCTCGACGAAATGCTTGAGGCAGAGGTCGTCGATGCCCTTGGTGGTGAGGATGACGTTGGCGCCGGATTTGAGGATCATTTCCACGCGTTCGATGACGAGGGAGGATTCGCGCTCGCGGATTTTCTCGAGTTGCGCCGGATCGTCGATAACGACGTTGACGCCCATTTTCATGCGTTCTTTTTGGAGATTCATGTCCAATATCGCGATCTTGGCGTCGGTGATTCTTGTCCTCATGGCCTGCGACGCAACTGTGCAGTTCAATGCGTAGCCTTTCACCAACACGGACTCGGTTGCGGATTTACCGTGCGCTTTCAGGACGTTGACGGCTTTGACGGGGTATTTGACTTCGGCGCGGGCGTTTGTGGTTTTGACGCTGGTGATGGCGTCGACGACGAGGTTGGCGAAGAAGTCGGAGTCGGCGCCGATGATTTTAGAGGACATGCTGGTGCGGGCGATGTTAAGGAGGGATTCGCGGCCTAAGGAGTCGACTTTGAGGCTGATGTTGTCGTTCATGTACCGGACTGCTTCGCGGAGGGCAAGGCGGTACCCGGTTATGACTGTGGTGGGGTGGATGCGCATTCGCATTAGCTCGTTTGCTCGGCGTAGTAGTTCGGCGGCGATGAGGACGACGCTGGTGGTGCCGTCGCCGACTTCTTTGTCTTGTTGTTGCGCGAGGTCGACGAGGATCTTGCCGGCCGGGTGGTCGACGCTGAGGAGACTGAGGATGGTGGCACCGTCGTTGGTCACTGTTACGTCGCCGATATCGTCCACCATCATCTTGTCAAGCCCGGAGGGGCCAAAGGAGGACTTGACAATGTTGGCGATGGCTTGGGTGGCGAGTACATTCTGGTCACGAATGTCCTGCCCGGAGATCTTCTGGCCGCCGAGGAAGAGGGTGCCGGCGTTGCGCGGTTGCTCGAAGATGCCCGCCATGTTGCCTCGCTATACGATGTGGTCGCTGAATACAGAAGAGGTTGGAGTGAGGGAGGAAGTGTACTTTGTTCTATGGCGGCATACGATATTCCATACGGCTCCTCGTTGCTGTGCGCTTTCACTAAACTCCAGTATCTGGTCGATCACAGACGGGAACTTCACGCGTCGAGATATTCCACGCGACTCATGAAGAGCTTTTGGGCGGAAAAGCTCCGCCAACGCAGTCCCGCACGACATGACTCAGGCCCTCCATACACCCTCCCACCCCTCCTCCCTCAGCACCACCATGTAGACCATTACTAACAGCTCTGCGCAAGCAGACGCACTCCAACATCTACCATGGCCATTCCGCCAGACCCGAGCACCTTCGACATAGCCGGAACTTATCATCAACTCCTCACCTCCGACCCCGATCTAACCATGCCCGTGGCAGCAATTGAATCCCTCATCCACGCACTCTCCGCCCAAAACCCCACCACCGTCTCCGAAACCCTCGACCTCGTCCAGAAGTTAACCACCCAACTCAAATCCTCGGTCCGGAACCCGATCTCACTCTCCGCGGGAACGGATCTCTTCCAGCAATACCTTGTCGCAAACCTTCAGCGACCTACAAGCATCACGCGAGGACGGGACATAGATTTCGAGGATGTACGGAGACATCTCGTACAGAATGGCCGCTTGTTCGTGCGCCGAGCGAAAGAAGCCCGCGAGACGATCGCGCGATTCGGGACGAGGTTCGTCCGGGACAGCGACGTCGTGCTCACGACGGGCGGGAGTAGAGTCGTCGGTGCTTTGCTCCGGCAAGCAGCAGAGGCCGGCGTCCGTTTTCGGGTTATATACGTCGTCTCTACACAAAATGACAATGGAGAAGGACATCCCCACATCTCCACCCTTCGCAAACTAGGCATCCCCGTCGCCACCATTCCCCCCACGGCCATGGCCTACAGCATGAACGCCGTCACGCAGACCTTTGTCGGTGCCGAGGGCGTAGTGGAGAATGGCGGGATCGTGAGTCGCTTGGGGACGTATCAGCTGGCGATTCTGGCGAAGAATGCGGGAAAGCCGGTGTACGTTGTTGCGGAGAGTCATAAATTTGTGCGGTTGTTTCCGTTGGGGCAGTGGGACCTGGGGATCAAGCAGGATATACTTCAATTCAGCACGGGTGGGGAGGGTGCCGGGAAGGAGGGAGGAAAGGAGGAAGACGAGGGGGTGGCGGATTTGGAAGGGAAGGACGGGGAGGAGGTGTGGGTGGATTATACGCCGCCGCATTTGATTTCGGGGATTATTACGGAGAGTGGCGTGTTACTGCCAAGTGCGGTTAGTGAGGAGTTGATCAAGATATGGTTCTAGAGGATGTCGGAGTGAACGACGTATGGCAAGTGCATAGCGACGGCGTTCACCCCACCCAAACGTGCGGGTTTGCCGTCAAGGATGGTAGCGCGACGAAAGCGCTGTTTCGGGGAAGGACAGAGACCGCTTGACGCTCTGCTGTAGCCCGTCCGAACAAAGCAGACGATTCGCAATCTTTGGACTTATTATAACGTTTCACAGCAGTTACTACACCTATTGGCGCCGATGAGGCAGCGCTCCAGCCTTGAAACGTTCCGTACGTGAAATTCGTCGAGTCTCCAGCACTGAGACAACAAGAAAGTCAATTATGCTTCCTCTGGCCGAGAAAGCTTCTGAGAAGCATTCACCGTCACAAGGCTTCCGTTCCCGGGTAGAGGGCAGGCAAGGCCATGGGTAGCACAGCACAAAGGACTATCTAACAACCATTCCCTTCTGGCGCCACTACTCGGCTGCTTGCAAGCCTTGGTGTCGTTGCCGTTGGACGGCTCTGTGTTACATGTAAATTCTTGGCGCGTGTGGTTGGTAGATACGACCATAGGTCGCAGAGAACAGAGGATCCCAAGATATCTATATTCATTTCCTCCTACAACCGCCGCTTGTTACCCTTTGTGCCAGGCCTTGCTCGCCTTAGGCATCCCAATCTTTTCACAAGACCGAAACCCGACTTAATCCGTCCATCTCCGCCACAGAATCTCCACACATTGACTATGCTCGCATTGCCCAAAATCTGGACCGCTGGTCTTTGGTGGAGCACAAGATGATGTCGATGCCAAATCCATTGCGTCCGTTCCATATCACACGCCTGTGATAGAGGAATGGCAGGTCGCACGGAGTTAAGGTATGAGCATTAGTGCACCGCGTAGTGCATATATAGACAAGATGCCACCTCTCCTCCATCACCCATCCCCATCTCTCATCCTACCTACTCTTCGTAACCATCACACCTCATCCAAAATGGCAGCTGGCAAACGTATCGTCCTCATCACCGGCGCCAACACCGGTCTCGGCTTCGAGATCGTGAAAGCCCTCTACGCCTCCTCGCACCCTTACGAGATCCTCCTCGGCACTCGCACCCTCTCCAACGGCGAAAAGGCCCGTCAAACCCTTCACTCCGAAGTCTCTTCCTCCCCCGGCTCTAGCAACGTAACCGTGGTGCAAGCGGACGTTTCCTCGGACTCTTCCCTCGAACAGCTCGTCAAGGATGTAGAGAGCAAGCACGGCAGACTGGATTGCTTGATCAACAATGCAGGTGCCAACTTCGACCAGGATATAGCCAAGGGCACCTACTCTCTCCGTGAAGGGATGAACAAATCTTGGGACGTCAATATCACCGGCACGCATATCCTCACTACGCTAGCCATGCCGTTGCTGCTAAAGTCTGACGATCCGAGGCTCATCTTCATGACCTCCGGCACGTCGTCCCTTCACGAGACCGAGCGGTTGGATGGCCCTATGTTCGGACGTCTGAACGCGGCGCCCGCTAAAGGGTGGCCGAAGGCACAGGAGGTCAATCCGGTCACGGTTTATCGCAGTACGAAGGCTGGACTGAATATGTTGATGCGGCAGTGGGAGAGGATCCTGAGGGAGGATGCGGTGAAGATATGGGCGATTAGTCCGGGGTTTTTGGTTACAGGGTTGGGAGGATTGGGGGAGGAAGCGTTGCGGAAGGTATGTGAATTCGTCGTTCTGTGTGGTAGAATATGAGGTTTGCATCACTGACTCTGATACTGCAGATGGGTGCAAAGGAGCCGCATGTTGGTGGCGAGTTTGTTAGGGATGTTGTGGAGGGAAAGCGAGATCATGATGTGGGCAAGATCATTCGGTCTGATATGATTCAGCCCTACTAGAACAGATGCATCGTGCAGTGTACATTGACGACTTGGAGTCTGCTTCAGGGGGTGGAAGCGAGGAAATTGTACTTCGGCTTGAAGCCAAGGAGTCAAGAGCTTCCCCTGCAGTTCATCTGATCAATCGCAGCACTCTCATCTTCGTGTGGTTCATTTGGTATAGACGGTATTGTCAAGACCGCGGAGGCGTGGCGATGCCGTGACATCAACAGAGTGCTTGTGGCATCGAGAGCAATGCAAGCGACCCAGTTGTTCATTCAATTTTGCCCCTATCGGCCCAGTTGGTCCAAGCTCTCCATCTCGCTTCATCCGTGAACACAACCAACCTGTGTGCGAGATGACACGCTTGTTAAACATCAGTAATGGACTTGATACGACAAGGCTTCAATATTGCCGTGACGCCAAAGCACACCAAATGGATATGCCCACTACTCCTACTCGCAGACACCGCGCTCTGCGGAGTTGTTGTTTGGAAGATCCCATGTACGTTTCCTCCCTGAACCTCAAACCTTCGCGTCCCACCAACGGAAGCACTACAGACACCGAAATCGACTGGAAAGCCTACATGCAACAGGTTTCTCAATATGTCTCCGGCGAGCGCGACTACGTCAAACTCCACGGCGACACTGGACCACTAGTCTACCCAGCGGCGCACGTCTACATCTACCGCCTCCTCCACTACCTCACGGATTCAGGACAGGATATCCGCCTCGCTCAATACATGTTCGTTGGGCTGTACTTGACCACTCTGGCGTTAGTAATGCAGTGCTACGGTCAAGCGAACGCGCCACCCTACGTCTTCCCCCTGCTGATCTTGAGCAAACGAATGCATTCCATCTTCATGCTGCGGTTGTTCAATGACGGCTTCGCGGTCTTCTTCCTCTTTCTTGCCATCTACTGCTATCAGCGACGGTTATGGACTGTAGGTTCACTGGCGTACAGTTTCGGACTGGGCGTTAAGATGAGCCTACTGCTTGCCCTGCCCGCCGTCGGCATGGTGTTGTGGCAGGGTATGGGACGCGATCGAGCATTACGGCAAGCCATGCTTATGGGGCAAATGCAGGTAGGTCATTTCAGACATCCTTAAAGCGCATAATCTTCGGTAAGTTCACACATGGTAGGTACTGCTCGGATATCCTTTTCTTGCTGCCAACCCCCGAAGCTACCTCTTCCGCGCTTTCGAGTTCAGCCGCCAGTTCTTGTTCAAGTGGACAGTCAACTGGCGGTTTGTGGGCGAGGAGACATTCCTTTCACGTTCCTTCTCTATCAGCCTGCTCGCCGCACACGCCACTCTATTGGTCGCCTCCCTGAACACACGCTGGCTGAAGCCTATGAATGCGTCGTTACCCGGATCTATCCGGAATCTGCTCACCCCACCACCAGCACAAGAACAAGCCAAGATCGAACGCAGAGTGACGCCGGACTACATCCTAACGACCATCCTGACCGCCGTCATTATTGGCTGCCTGTGCGCGAGAAGCTTGCACTACCAGTTCTACACCTACATCGCATGGTCCACACCTTTCCTCTTATGGCGAAGCGGCATGCATCCAGTGCTGATGTACGCCATCTGGGCTGCGCAAGAGTGGGCGTGGAACGTCTACCCTAGCACGAACGCAAGTTCCTTGGTGGTTGTTGCAACACTAGCCGTTACTGTCCTTTCAGTCTGGCTGGGCACGGGTGGCAGGATCGACAACCAGCCCGCAGAATCAGGACCAAAGCGCGACGGCTGAGCGTCCTTCAACCCTGCTCGTCCTCATCATCCTCCGGCGGCATTTGCGGGCCCTCATCCTCGTCCTCATCGTCGCCATACGCAGCCTTCCTCACCCCGAACTCGGCAGGCCAATACGACATCTTCCGCCACGCCTTCTCATCGCCCACCACATTCACGATTTCCCCACCGAGCTTATTCCCACGATCCGCGAGCGCCGCGGTGTCCAGCACGACGTAAGAACCCCGCTTCAGCCAGATGGTCGACCGGAACTTCTGGTTCAGCTCGGCGAGCACGATCTCGCCGGAAGCAAGCTCTAGATGGTAGAGGTTCTTACCCGCGGCCTGCTTCAACCGAGCGATCTGTTGGTGCGGCGGCAGTACATGTGGCGGGTTGAGCGTCTCTTCGACAACTGCGTTGATGGTGCGTTTGGGCTTTGGCATGGTTGTTGTCCGTCGTACCTGCAGAGCATGCGTCAAGGGCACTTAGCTATGCACATCGACCAGTCAACTGCCGGCCCACCAGTCCTCTGAATACAGTTTTACGGATTCGCCGATCGGTCAAATTTCGCAGAAACCTTCACTGCGTTAAGCTCGCAGCTTACCCCAGTCACGTCACCATGCATACAACCTCAATCCGACATATTGCGATACCGAGGCCTTACAAGCATAGATTATTCATCCTCGGGAGTGCCTTCGTCTCCAGAACATATATCTCATTGCATCGCAACCAGGTGCACACCGAAAACATCGTCCTATCCGCCAAAATGCCCATCTACAACGTCCAACACCACATCCTCCTCACCCCCTCCCAACAAGATGATCTCGCGGCGGCCATCACGCGCATCCACAGCACCAAGTTCTCCACCCCGCGCATGTTCGTCAACGTCGTCTTCACCGACACCTCTTCCACGCGAACGTACATCGGCGGCAAGCAACGAAAGGGCAACCACATCGTAGCAAACGTCCGTTCCGGGCCCTCGCGGACACAGGACGACTGGAATGAGGCCGCTGCGCAGATCGCGAAAGCATGGGATGAGATTATCGGAGTCGGACTGCCAAAGGTGAAGCGGAGCGATAAGGAAGGTGTGGATACGAAGTTGCGGAGTTTGATCTTTCTGGGGGGCATGATTGGTGGGTTAGAGGCTGGGTTTGTTCTGCCAGCGGCGGGGCAGGATGTGCAGTGGATGCATGAGAACTGGGATGCTTTCCAGCAGAAGGCGCGGGAGGGGGATGAGGAGTTTGCGGAGATGGTGCAGGAGGTGGAGGAGAGGGGGTTGTTGGGCGCGAATGGCGAGGCGGAGAGGGATAAGCGGAGGCAGGACAGGCTGGAGGAGATGTTGGGGTGGGGAGAGCATGCTTGATATAGCGAATTGATTGTTTGCGGACTGGGAGTCACTTCCATGTGCAGCTTTGACGGGTCATTAGGCCGTACTTATTGCTGCCCATGCCACGTGACACTACGCTATTAGTGATGAGTGCTTCGTGGTCTGCTCACACTAGCTACGCGTGTGTTGCTGGGAACGACGCTTTGGTGACCGATAGCTTGGTTGAAGTGAGGTGTACGGCTGAAATGGGTTTAACGTCCGAAGAATCTTCTCTGAGTACGTAGGTGCGCCTTGCTCGGAATGACGCGTGACAATCAGCGTTGTGCTGGTATGCACACCGTGATGGTCGAGTTCGTAAGCAAGTACAGCACACGCTAAAGCACAGGCCAACCAGACGCCGTGCCTTCCCGAACGAGCTTGCTTGCATGCACTACCGGTGGACACACCGACCCCACGCCGGAAGTCCACAACCAAAGCCAACCAGCAGGTAGACCAGAAATACCAACACAACCGCTAACAGCACCATCAACCGCACATTCTTCCACCACATCTTCCTCCTCAGCCCTCGCGACCGCACCCGGAAATCTCTCGCCGAGCCGCCCAACCGATCCGTCTTATCCACCAATAAATCAATCCTCTCCCCACGCTCCAGGACTCGCTCGATATTCTCCGTCATAAAACCGCGCACATTGTCAATCTCGTTCTGCACATTCGTGAAAGCGTCTTCCTGCCCAGCTTTCGTGGTCCCGTACTCCACCATCAACTGTTTCAACGTCGCGTTAAACGCCGCCGCACCGTACGCGGGTAGCGCGGAGAAGTCTGTCCGTTCGGGGTCATAGCTGCTGCAGAAGCGTTTCTTGATCTCGACGAGGAAGCCGAAGGGGAGCCGTTTGGCGAGCTCTGAGCGCGCGACGACGAGGTAGGTTAGGCCGCCTGCTGAGAGGTTGGATGGGTTGGAGGAGGAGGGAGGGGCGTCGGCGATGTAGTGGATGAAGGTTTGGTTGTGGGTGTATGTTTGTTTCGACGGGGATGTGTGTTCGATTTTGGGGAGGATGAGGCTGGCGATGGAGGCGGCGTTGGAGGCCGCGGAGGCGGTGTGTTCGGTGAGGATCTGGGGGGCGGTTTAGCAACTTTTCTAAGAAGGATGGACGACTTCGACATACTGTGTTATGGTATGCTATAGCACTATACAGGAGTGGAGTTGCTGGTATCGACGAGGAAGCCATGCTGGCTGGCTGGCAAGCGTCCCTTTGAGCGTTGGAGGGTGTGTTATAATGGCGTGCTTATGGTCCGTCAAATATCGGCCTCGCCGTCTCACGCCGTTTGTTGTTGGAGTGTTGTTTTACTTTCGCTGTAGACATATGGACATCTGGACCTGCAGCCTGCACGTACCGCGCAGCGTCGCAGCTTCATGATGATCTTGGCCTCGTCATTACGCCACAAGTGGCAGTAGAGCGATCCGATGGAGCGGGAAAGTGTGGGGCTCTGTTTGCGGGGGGACGTGGAGCGACAAGATTAAAACCACAAGTCGAGAAAGCACAGTTGGACTACTCTATTAGCATGGGCAGTCGTGCTTAGATCACTCTGGAAGGCGGAGTTGTTAGTCGTTGAAAAGGCCTTCTCACTCACTCTCCCACTACCACTTCATAAGCTGATTCACGACCGCAACCCACTCCGTAAGCAGAACCGCTCCTTCAGAAAGGTGATCAGTATGGGCTGGATCAAGTGAGTATTCATGCCATCTCCAGACAAGCAAGCACTGATCAGCTCCTGACTAGCCGTCGGAACACTTTGCTCTTCAGCGGTGCAGCTCTGATCTCGTCATGGCTTGCGGTGCGATGGCGGCAGGAGGAGCAGAAGACACGTAACTTTGGAACGTATCATGTCGAAACCTCGCGATCCGGTTCGCATTCCTCTCGGCTTGTCAATGGAGTTTGCTGACCAGTTGCTAGGCGGGGGAGTCTGAGACACGCCTATTGAAGGTAGAATTGAAGTCCTTTGGGCTGCAGTCTGGCTTCCTGTGGCTCGATGCCTGTTTGGGCGAGGTCAGAAGGTCGAAAGCCCAGCATAACACGACTCATTCGATCCGCTGCATGTGCCGAGGTCCCTAACGCCACGCTGATACGCCAGTCAATCTCAAACAGTAATCGCAAGATGCTCGCTCCAACCAGACCAGTCCGCTCGAACGCTGCAAACGCCCACGCTACGCTGTGCTGTGTGCTCACCAAACCCAGACAACTCGACCCTGAACGCAAACGGAACGCTCATCCAACCACTTACTCCCTTCCATCCTCCTCCCCACCATCACCCCTCTTCAAAGCCGTCCCCGGCCTCTCAACCTCAAGCCCAGCACCAGTCACAACATTCTCCCTCCTCCGCTCACTCTCCGGACTCGTCCCCACCATCTCCGCCTGCGTCAGCGAACTTCCCGGCCTCTCCGCCTCCTTCCCCTTCCCACTCCTCCGCTGAATCTTCCTCGGACTCTTCCTCGGCCGCCCATCATTCCCACCAATCCGGCCAAACGGCGTCTTAGGCCCGTCACCTCCTCCACCAACCTGAGTCAAGCGCGTAAGACTGTGACTGCTATTGCTCGTCTCGATCTTCGGCCGCCGAGAAGACGTGACATCCGCCTCGCTATCCCTCCTCGAACTGCCCGCGTTATGCGAGGAGAGGTCTTTGATCTCTTTCAGGACCTCGCGGAACCCTTCCTCCAGCGTATGCATGCGCGCGAGCATGATCCGATTCACCATCCCCTTCTCCGCCTCCTCGCTCTGCCGTCGCTGTTCCTCACGTCTCCGCTCCAGATCACGCTCCCGCATCAGCTGCTCGCTGAACGAGGCGGGCATGCCGGAGATTCCGCCCGCGTCGATGCCGCCAATGGGTCCCCATCTGTTGTCGCCGATCTCGCTGGCGAGGTCGAGGGCGCGGGCATTGAAGGATGGTTGGCGGTAGGGCCGACGGGCGGTATCGATAAAGGACATTCCGTGGGCTTCCTGTAAAGGCGCGGTATTCTGCCGAGGAGGCATGATGGGACGCGCTTTTGGTGTAGCTAGCGGTTTCATCTTCGGTGTCCTTGCCCCTGCCGCTATCGGTATCGGCGTGGATGTGCCGCCACTGTTGTTCTTCGAATGCCCCGGCCGTCGAGGAGGATTCGTGGCGGAACTGTCGTCCGCTATTGGCGCATGCAGGATGGTGGCGCTGGAAGGGTTGCGGGAGTAGGCCTGGCGCAGTACGTTTGCGCGCACTTGCTGGGACAGACTGCCCGGCTGTAGCAGGTCTGGTGCGTCTTGCAAGCGGGCCTGGGCGGCGGACGACATGCGTATGAACGGTGACCGCCCGGCTGTTGGGGTATGGAAGTACTCGGCATCGCTGTCGTCATCCTCGTTCATACGCTCATTGCTCTGCTTGTTGACCACGGATACTGCGCTCTCGCCAAGCGCGGGAGTCGGTCGATCATTCTCGTCATCGCCATCAGCATCAGTCTCCTGCGGCTGCGTACTGGAACTGATTTCGAGCGGTTCAGCTTCCTCATCGATGCGGTGCGGTATTCTCGACGGTGCAGCGGAGGGTGGATCCGGATCGCTGACCACACTCCTGCTGCTCCTTGAGAGGTCTCGACTGCGCTTCGGCCTAAACTTATCCGTCGTGATTGCGCGCTTCATATTGGGTCTTCGAAGCTCAAGCCTCTCCACAATATCCCTAGGCTGCTCCAAAGGCGGACTCGCGCCACCTTCATTCTCAGCGAGCTGCATCCACTTGTCAACCGCAGTAGTGGAGTTCCGACGCTGATCGTCCATATCCTGAGTCGTGGTCCGCATAGTGTCGCCTCGGTACGGCCGCCTGAAGACCTCGTCGAGCGCAGCGTTCTTGTGAAAGCTGACTACTGACGGCTCGCGCAGCCTGTGGCCAGGGCTGAAGACCTCAGGCATCTTATTGAAACTGAAAGCCAACGGTTTCGCCTGACTGATCGCGGGCTTTTCCACCAAGTCTGTCGGCTCATATGCGAGTCGTGAGAGTATAAGCCGTTCATATGCAAAGATGACAAACAGAACCGGAAGATGGGTGAACTTGATGATGGTACGATTGAGCTTGACGTATTGGCGAAACGGCATAAGATAGCGCAGCGGAGTCAGGACCCAGCCGAGAACGTTAGTCGGTGCGATGTAGCTGAACAGCGCGTCCGACTTGACCATGGAGATGGTGTTAACGGCGAAAAGAAACTGATGTTCCTCGTTTGCGTTCTGTACGATGGCCATGAAGCTGTTCGTGAGGACCGTGATCAAGATCGTCACGATCAAGAAGTGACAGATGATTAAGAAGATGCTCATGATAGCCTTGCCGAGCAGGTTATAACCGGGCCATTTCTCCCAAGCTGCGGGTGTGAAACCCATCAAAATCTGGAACAGCGCATAAGCCACGGCATTCCCGTCAGTTTGCGCGTCCGAGAAGCTGAGCGTGAATGCCACGAAGAAGCCGGAGCATGAGATCAGGATGAGGATCAGAATGGCCATCAGGTCTTGCGCCATCATTCGAAATGCGATCAGCAACTGCGAAAAGTACCGATAGTGGTCGAGCACGCTAAACAGCCGCGGAAACAGCAGAATAGCAGTTGAGGCCAAGGCATCGTAGGCCATGTTTGCGATGCGGTGTTTGCCACGGTCCGCCAGCACGATCCCATACAGTCGCAGACAGTAGTACACCACGAAAAGGCCGAGAATACCAAGGTCGAAGGCGTTCCAGAAGCTCAGAATGTACAAGCCGAAGCCTTGTTCGGTGAAGCCGACCACTTCGTCAAGCATATAGCCAGCCGACCAGACCCAAAACACGACCTCGAGCGGAGTGATGTACAAACTCCGCTCCACCAGGACTGCAAGAAACAAGCCGAGCATGATCGCGAAGCTGATCGTGCTGAAGACTTGACGGTATCTGGGTACGCGAAGACGGCTGAGCTTGAACAACGAGGCTTCATGCGGATCATACAGCGTGACGGTACGTCTTCCGGTAGCTTGCTCGACGAGCTTCCTACCCATTTGAGACGTTTGAGCTTTTCGCGACAGGACAGAGTCTGCGGGCAAAGCGCTCGGAGAATGTTCGCCAATCGTGCCGTAACCGGCAGCGTCGGCACCGCGCTGCTTGCCCGCCGGCTTGCGGTGTAGACTGTCGGCTTCGGCATGGAACACCACCGTCCCAGCCCAGATGGCTTCAAGATGTTGCACCACTAACGGATGAGCCAAGAACTTCTTCGCGCTCGCCCGGATGCTGATCTCGATCGTGCTGACTCTCGCTCCTCTAGCTTGGATTCTGCGCGATTGCAAATCCAGCAGCATGGTCGTCGAGAATCGCTGATCATCCCGGCCTGCAGGCTGGCTTGAAACCCTCCCTTGTAACGGGTCGAAGTCATACGACAGGGCATCGATCAGTTCGCGGGTCGTGTACTCCTTCACCAAGCGCATAGCCAATAGCTCGCTCAGCCATGCTCTTGTCTTCGCGACACCTACGCTGCCGGGATGCAGTTGGCCCTCCTTCTGGAATTGCAGACAGTTCGCTATAAGCGCACATAGCGTTGCTCGGTTGAAGTGATTCGCTCGTATCTCATTCTGTATGGGCTTGACAAGGAACTGGCTAATCTGTGGGCTGCGCAACTGGTCCCATGACAGCGTGGTCTCGCAACGCTGCACTATGAGCAGCCGGATAGTATGCGTGATATTGTACAAGGGCAGCTTGTCCAGAAGCGCTGCAGAGAAGATGGGCAGCAACGGCGTGTCTACCGCATCCTCATTCTCCTGCTCCTCTTCGTAGGGCTCTTCATGTCTCTGGTCAAAGTACGATGCGTTACCGGGGCGCTCGTATCTCGAGAAGTCATCCTCATCCTCGTCGTCATCGTCATCATCGACGCTCTGTCCTACTCGCCGTTGTGAAGCCTCTGGCGGGCCGGACAACGGCGAATATTGGCCGTCATGAGGCCTGATCTCATCTTTCTTGCGTCCTCCGAACTTCCAGAAGGAGAACATCGGCCAGGCGTACCGAGATCGAGCTGTTGTTGAGGGAGGGACATATACTCAGCGCTCACACGCGGTGTAGATGCGCCCAATCAAAGCACTATCGCGTGATGGAGGAATCAATCAATGCTGCACACGCGAACACCTTGCCACCCCAATGCAATATGCAAGACATCACCCTCGTCTGCGTCCCCGAACCATTACTACCTTAGCGAGGCAGCCCCTCCTCCCGTGGATGCGACAGCTAATCTGCCCGTCCCGCATGCGTGACCTTGGGGATGGTGACTACTGCACCTTGGTACATCCAGCCAATCAACGACCGCCTTTCGCGCATGAGATTGCCTCCACGCTAAGTGAGACCCTGTGGAGACTTTGGAGATTGCTTGCATGTGATCCGGAGCGATACCAACCTCCACCGCTGCATGTATTTTTCTGCCATGTCAGGCTTTACTGGGACGTGGCTCTTATGGTTCTGCCTTTCTGGCTATGGCAACATGAACCTGGCGGACGGGTGATATGACCAATGTTCTGCCTCCGTGACGGACTTTCAACATAAGCGTCCCAAGAGCCCAGCATGGATACCTCAGCAGTCTAGGGTACATGTTATGCATCCCCGTATCGTTCGCTCTTGAGAGCTGGTGCGGATGCTTCAATAGCATTTCGTGCGGCTACGGTGTTGGGATTGCGTGCACTCATGAGCGGCAGGGCCACACTCGTCCCCATGAAGACACGGGCTTATTAGGTTCGGTTGTATGCTACAGCACTTTTCGCGCGCGCTACCGTCATGGGAACGCGTACCCTCAGTTATAGCTAAAAGTACAGTCATTAGGTTCATCGCCCATTACCCATCATTATAACGCCAAAAGCAAAACCCCAGTCTGTATGCCGCCATCACCCGCCTAAGCCTCATTGCCAAGATCCTCATCGTCCGAATTCGCAATCCCCGGATGGTCGTCATCTTCACCCGACTTCTCAGGGAAGATGAATGGCTTCCCGTCATCATCCTCGCCAACCGGACCGAATAGTCTCATGAGCTCGTTCACCGTCAGGTTCTGCCGACGCTTGTCGTCCATCACCTCATCAATCTCCATCTGCTTCTTCTCCTTCAAGTTGTGCATCGCTTCGTCAATGCTGTTGCGCACGCAGAACGACGTCAGCTTGGTCTCCTTCACCTGGCCAATGCGGTAGACTCTGCAGAACGCCTGCTGCGTCACGGCATTGTTCCACCACGGGTCGACGCAGATGACCCTTGAAGCCATAGTCAGGTTCAAGCCAAGCCCACCGCACTTGAGCGAGGCTAGCATAATCTTCTTCGCCGGGTCGGCCTCGAACTCGTTGATCGCTTTCGCTCGGGAGTCGTGGCTCATGTTTCCGGTATATTCGACCACGGCTTCCTTGCCCCAGTCTTCGGTTGCGCACATCTTCTTCAGAATCCTGCGCGACAGTTAGTGGTGGGTCAGCATGTACTATGGAGCAAAGCTTACCTTATCATGGGCAGGAATTGGCTGTAGATGATGACCTTGACCTCGGGATCCTCCTCGAACCAGTTGAGTAGCTGAGCTTTCGTAGCGCGTGTCTTCGCACTTGGCAGCACTTCGCCATCCATGCCGATCCAATCTGACATATTTCCAATATCATCCCTCTTCTTGCCCTTCGTCCGTGTCTGACTTGCCGCTGGGGTGGCGGAAGCGCGAGAGCTTTCCGACCGCACAAAGTCCGTGACGTCTTTGCAAGCATCGAGTGAGGTGTAGGCTTCACCACATTCGGAGCATTTCGCCTGATCCGAGCCACGACGGGCGGCGTAAGCCTGCAGATCAAGGGCGCATGTGGCACAGTAGATGTGCAGGCAGCTCGTTACATGCGGGTCTTGGGGTGGCTGACGGCAGGCAGCGCAGACTGTCCGATCTCGAATTTTCTCCCACTGGTCGGAATGCATCAGATCTTCAAGGTATCTGCGGAACCGGAAGGTTTTTCCGTGTCTGCCACCACTGTCCTCATCGGGATCCATGTCGATCCTGCCGATGTGCGCGGTATCGTCTTCCGTGATGATCGCCCCTGAGGTCGCACTGTTGCCAGCAAGAGAGCTCTTGCTCTTCTTGAGTACTTCGCGTAGGTGGAGAAGGATGTTGGTGCCGTCTTCCGCATCGTCCTCGTCAGTGGTGATCCTGTCCAGCTTCTCGAAGTCGGAACGCTCCAGCAGATCACACACCGTGACTTGGACGAGCAATATGTGATCCACAATCTGCCGCAGACGAAGAATCATGGTCCAGATGTGGGAGTACTGCTTCTCCAGGCCGTTACGACCACCTGCTCTGGAGATGCTGTTGATTCGTTCGATAAAGCGACGCTTCACGATTTCATAGACTTGACGCTCCACATCGCTGAACTCGAGCCACTGGGTGTGCTCTGTTGGCGTAGGCAGATCCAGCAAGCGGGCATTGAAAAGCCGATCGAGGTGAGTGCGGCGGATCATGAATTTCCTCAAAAAGGCCGACAGCTTGACTATGCCGTCCGGGTCATCAGGACTGCAGAAGTTCTCCTTGAAAAGCTTATAGCTCCCCGTGTTCGGCTCTTGTAGGAACTTGAAGTACGGGTAGAACTCCTTGATATTGTTCATGATAGGCGTTCCAGTAATCGCCCAGCGATGCTTTGCGGTAAGACCACGGCAGGCATTCGATATGTGACCTTTGTGATTCTTGATTGCATGAGCTTCGTCCAGGACCACGCGATAGAACCTGGCGCGGTGTAGAATACCACGGTTCTCTTCGTAATGATGCTTCCACCACTCCTCCTTTTGCTTCGATGTGACAAGCTGTGGCGGGAAGATGGCCTTTGGATAACTCTGCCCAACCTCGTGGTAGGTCGTCAGAACGATGTCTGCTTGCTCAAGCAATTCCTCACTGTTATTAGATTGGAGACGACACCCGGCCCGCGACTCAATGATAGTGCCGATGCCATGCTTGTTTTCGCGCTTGCTCCACGAATGCTTCTCGATCTCGGCTCGCCACTGGCTTACCAGGGCTGGGCTGGCAACGATCAGGGTTGCTCGGTGCTCCTCCTTCTCTGGCGGCTTGCCATTGATGATGTTTGCCAGCATCATGATAGTCTTACCCAATCCCATCTGATCGGCCAGGATGCCGCCCTTGGGCTCATAGCTATCCCTCTCGCGACGACGCATGAAAGCTACGCCCATGACCTGATAGTGCTTCAAGGTGGTCTTCATTCCCTTGAGCTCCCAGTTACCGTCAGGAGCGGCCTTCACCGAACCTTGGCCGGTGAAGTCTCGGATCGCATTGTCGAGGTACTTCTGATCTTGTTTGCCGATCTTCTGATCGGGTTCGGGGATGCTTGCAAGCAGCGCTGCAAGAGCCTTGTCCTTCCGGCGGACGCCAGAATGTACTGGCTGGTTCGCCAGACCGCTGACAGCCTGCGCATCGTTGAAGACATTAGTGCCCATAATGCTGTTCAGATTAGTCATCGTGGCCTCGGACTTGCGTTTCTGCGTTCTGCCCTTCGCTGCAAGCGCTGTCTTCTTCTTGCCGGCACCTGCCGCCTTCCCCTTCTTCCCACTGCTACGGGCTCGGTTGAGGACCTCGTCGATGTCATCCTCTCCTACGTCCGCACCCATGAGCTTGGGATTCTTGCCAGCTCTCCTTCCCTTAGGACGCCCACGGCCGCGCTTTGGAGCTGGACGATCGTTGTCGTCGTCATCGTCGCTTACATCCCTGGTACGAACACCACGCTTGCGCTTCTTGCGCGGCTCTGGCTCGTCGTCCGAGGCATCGTCATCGCTTTGCGGTAGGCCTGGAAGCTCCTCGTCCGACATAAACAGGGCACTCGTGGCCGTAGCCGCGACTGGGGATGGCTGACGGTCGTACTCTTCGTCGGCTTCGAGCTTGCGAAGACGCGCGTCCTCGGCACCCTCCAACTTCATGAATTCGATGTCTTCTTGCCAAGTGACTGTGCCATCACGCGTCTTCTTCTCGTATGACGCACGAAGCTTGGCAAATATCGCTGCTGCTGCATCTCCGCGACGCTGGCCACGAGTATGAGCTACTGGACGGAACGCTGGAGGGCTATTGCGCGCCGAATCGACTGGGGAATGGCGCCCTGACTCGGTTGCCGCCTTCTGAGATTTGGCCTCTTCCGCGCGCATCTTGAGAATACCGGCCATCTTCCGCTGAGCAGCCAGCATTCTCTCGTTGTTGCTGGCAACTGACGGTGGGGTTTCAGGCACGAAGAGCCCGTCTTCGCTTTGGGCTGGGAACTGGCCTGGCTGCGGACTCCCGCCCCCGGTACGAGCCATGTCGTTCTCGTCGTCGTCGCTAAGCAGGTTGATGGACTCGCCAGGCTCGAAGTTGGTGATTTGCATAATGGTGTCGTCAGAGGGTTCTTGCTTGATGTTCGCCGTGTCTCCAGTAGGCAAAGCCATGTCGGCATCGATGTCGCCACCGAAAAGGCTAGTGTCGCAGGCTTCAGACCCCATGTTGTCGCCTAAGAGTGTTTCAGTGTTGAAAGATTCTTGCTAGGTTGACAGGGGCAGACACAGACGCCAGTGGAGGTTGTGTGCGGCAGAAACACGAAAGTGTCGAGGCTGGATGGTCGGTTATATAGCTCTCAAGCAAGGTGTTCAAGGCATCAACAATTTCATGTGATAGTGGTGTGCCGGCAAGTGAGTGGTGCAGTGAGTTGTTTTGACACAAATTCTCTGCACGTGATGAGTTCGGAAGATGCGTAGCTCTGCCTGACAAGTGATGATGGATGCAGTAACGTCTCAAAGTGAAGAACGTCGCTTTGTTGGGTTTGGGAGCATGAATTCACTGAGCTTGAGTGTAGTGATCTTGCTGTCCTGACGTGAAGGTTGGCTGGGCTCAGCCTGGTCGTAGATTGCTTCGTGAGATCCAGTGTTCGTTGCTGCAAGGTGGAAAGCCAAAGTTTGGTGCCTTTCGAGCTCGGCAATGTGCACGTGCTTAATGGCCGCAGCCAGAAGTCGGATGAGGAAGGCACAGATTAGCACGCTGCCGAGCTGAGGACCGCGCGCAGGCCTAGAAACAAAGCTAAGAGGGTGTAGACGCGCCTACCATGCTACTTCCAACCTCTTGCGCCGGTGTCGTCGAAGTCTTTGCCCTCCCGTTCGCGCGCTAGCCTCGCATCAAAGCTCTTCTGTGCCTCCGATTTCGCCAGCTGCCTTTCCGCATCGCTGGATGAGAAGCTGAAGCTGTCCCCAAGCGAAGAGCTTTCGCTTCCTCTTGCAGAAGACCTCGCACCCGCAGACTCCGACGGCAAGCTGCCTATCGTCGACACGTTTGCCTGGCCTGAAGCAGCTTCGCGCCTTAATCGGTCCCACGCGCTCCCCGATTGCTTCGTCTGCGACTCTCTGGACGCACGCGAAGACTGCGATGTGTCATCGTTCGTTGTTCGACCAGCCGCTGTAGCAGACGCGTCTGCCCGCTCTTTCGCCCTTTGGACTCTGGCATCTGCTTCGTGCTGCACTTCCTGCTCGCTCATGAAGCCCTGCTGCTCAGCCGGATACATGTTTTCCTCGCTGAACACGCCGCCAGTCGGAGACGCGTCCTCGACATGCTGTCTTCCTCTCCTCTCCAGATCTTGTACGCTCCTTCTCTGCCTTGCCATATCATGCGTCTCCCAACCCTGTCTAGCACCCGGAGCTTCTTCCTGCCTGTTCGGTGTTCTCGCTTCTCTGGCTTTCCTTTGCGCTGCCAAGATCTCATTCATGTCTTTCAGACGCGGATCTCGGAGAAACCCTACAGCGGCTACGGTGGCTCCGTAGCTGCTAAAGAAGATGGCCCCAATAGCCATGCCAACGGTACTGTATGCACTGAAACGCGCCGCTTGCCATAGCACCCTCGCTTGGAAACCACGGAAGAAGAGAAAGACGTCTTTGTTGAACCAGCTACCCTCCTTGAGCGGCGACCATAACGGGAATCGGTATTCCTTACGAGTACGGTATGCTTGCGCCACACCGAAAGCGAAGCCTATCGGAAGTCCGTACGAAGATGTGCGACTTGCTTGGAGGATGTAGAAGGATTGTGCGGCAATCTCATCCTCCCTCAATGGTCGATGGATCCTGTTGGCCATTTCCTGACAGCTCTTCGACAGAGTGTTACCGAGCCTCTCTGGACTGTACCGTCCCACAAGAGACTGCGGGAGGCTTTTGTACTTCAAGAAGATGGGAGGAGCATCACGTTGATCGATTCGTATCCGACCAGGGATAATAGTGGTCTCCGGAGTTCTGCCCTCGTCAAAATCTGACCCAGACGCATACTGCGGGTCGTTGGACACGAATGGTTCGGGAGAAAGATGTGCGTCGTCGGCAGTAGCGTTTTCAAGGACCATCTTTGTAGTGACCCTGCTATCCAGTATTGCGGATGTTGAGTGCTCGACCTAAGTAGACAGCGAGACTGGTATTGTGTGGAGGTGTAAGAAACTCATCGCAACGTGACGTCGTGATTGCCATTCTCGGAAGTGGCACGTGCCTGGACCCCACAATCAGGCGGAGGCGGAGAGCAATGGGCAATAACTCCGATGCGGAAAGCATACCATGTCCATACAAGGGCGACACAGAGTGGCAGCGGTAGTACTTACGGGAAGTCTACACGGACCGCGAGCAAAAGAAAACTCTTTTCGATGCTTAGCAACACGGTCGTATCTCACGACTTCTTCCTTCTCAGAAGTCTAGGCTTGCCGCCGATGTAAACGAAGCACAACGCAGATGTCGCCAGGCATATGCCCGCCAGCACAGCGTTCATGTTACCGTAGCCAATCCTCTGCTTCAATTCACCTGCCAGCTCCGGCCCCAATGTGAGACCTAGGGAAAACACCATGCTGTTCAATCCGTACAGTTGAGCATAGGGCCCGTCTGCGCCAAAGAAGTCAGGATTGACTTCGTAGTACTTCTGCACCACTGCTCCCGCCTCGACGATCGATGGTGCACCAATGCCTGCTAGTCCAGCGCCGGAAAGGGCGAGCAGGGCACCATACAGTATGGCTTGGTTTTGGCCACCTGGTTGCGGCAAGCGAAGTAGAATTAGAATTGGAACGAGATAAAGGTAGGCGATGACGGCAACAGCTTTTGTTCCGAAGCGATCAACACACCAGCCGAAGACGGGTCCCAAAACTAAATCCGAGGCGCCAAGCGGGAGGAAGAGTATGCCAGCCTTGAGCGAGTTAAAGTTGTAGTATCCTTGCGCAACGGTAGGTATCGTAGCATCAAAGTTGCCGAGGAGCAACGCTTGGATTAGCGCAACGAGGAAGGCCGTCAAAAGGCGAGGGTCAGCCAGGCAAGGCAGAATTGGGATCATGCGGGCAATCTTGGGCTGGTTGTCAGACAGCTTGAACGCAGCTTCGTCCTCCTCCTTGCTGCCGAGGAGTGGCTGTTGCTCGTCGTCATCGTCTTGTGCTTCGTTAGCGTTGCCGTCTTCCTGGTGACTGGGCGTGGTGTCAAGGTCGCTGCCCGCCTTGGCACCCTGCGCTTCGTATCTACGAGCGACTTTCTTCTCAATAACGAGCACTCGCATAATGAAGTCGATTGCGAGCACAGCGAAGCCGATGCCGAACACGCCGGCGTAGCCTGCCTTGTTGTATAGCACGCCACCAAGCAGCGGAGCGCAGAGGTTGCCAACGGAGATGAAGCTGAAGATCTACTCAACCGTAAGCGGCAGACTGAACGATGGTGTAGAGGTTAACGAACCGATCCTATCGTCTTCCCTAGATTCTCCTGACCAACAGTCTCCAAGCAGAGCGCGAGTCCGATCGTCCAGACGAAGGCACCGCTCACACCCTGAAGCACGCGTGCCAGAGCCAAGACTGGGATACTCTGCCCAACAAAAAGCAGTACGGTAGCTCCGAGCAAAGCGGTCAAACCCAGAAGAAAAGGCGACTGTCGTGAGCTCATTCGGTCGGCCAGTAGCCCAGCAAGTGGCGAGCACACGACCGAAGCTCCAGCGTAAGCGGCCAGAAGACCGGACACATTGCTTTGAATCTTCTCAGGCGGTAGGCCAACTCGATCTGTAAGCATGTAAGGTAGTATGGGCACCGTTAGCGCGTAAAGGAAAAGGTCAGCGAACAAAGCTACCGCCACTGTAGCTATGATGAAGTAGGTGTTGCTTCGCCATGATAATCCCGCCGGCTTCACGGAGTAGTCGTTGCTGAGCTGCAAAGTGTTGAGGATTTTGTGTCCTGTTTTCTTTGCCATGGCCGGCGGCTTTTCGAAGACCGACTTTAAAGAAGAGCCAGGGGACAGAGTGGAGATGGCATGCAGTTGTAGATGAAGCAGTCCGGATCACTTTTGTCTCGCACCTACATTTGTCCATTGATTTATGCATCTTGTGAACGTCATATGCAGGAACCATAAAGCCTATCCGCTAGTGCAAACCGGGGTTCTACATAATGGAGTTGATAGAAGTAGATGACCCGACAGTAGGCAGGAAAGTCTATTGCCGGCTTCACATTCGACCTATCGCGTAGAACCATGGAACAGCCCATGAGATACTTTGAATTGAAGAAGGCAGCAGCCGAGAGCAGCGGTATTGTCTGGAGGAAGAGGCAAGTTAAGAGCTTGGACAGGCTTTCGGTACTTGCCAAGAGCCGGACAATTCCGCATTGCTTCACGACCACAATCATCCTTCTATACAATCCTACCGTTGAGCGGCTACCAAGTGGTTCAAAATATCCAGCCAAATCAAGCAGACACCTGCTTCAGGTCAAGTAGAGCGCTCCCATCATGTCTGATGATGGAGATGAGATACCGCCCAGCGCAACGTTCGTACATCGCACATCGTACGAACAAGCGACGAGGCTGGGTATGAAGCTGACTCTCGCCACAGGATCTACGTAGGCAGCATGCGGCCAGCTTAGCCTACTCACTTCACTAACACCACTGTAGATCAAAAATTTAGATGAAGATGTTAAGCTAACAACCCTCGTGCCTGCCTTGCGCGAGCTGTTTGAGGACTTCGGCAACATTATTGACATCGTGGCTAAGAAAAGCGTGAAGCGGAAGGGTCAAGCCTTCATTGTCTACGACAGTGTCGACGCGGCTCAAGACGCGAAGGATGAGATGAACAGCTTCGAGATCTTCGGGAAGCCTATGCACATTGAGTTTGCCAAGACAAGGTCCGATGCCACAGTGCTTCGAGAAAATGGTGAAGAAGCACTGGAGGAGCACATGACGGCGCGCTTGGAGGTGAAGAAGCGCAAGCAGGATGAAGAAGCGGAGAAGGCGAAAGCGGCTGCGAAGCGTGTGGCAACCGAGACGCTTGCTGAGCGTCCGGCCAAGGCAGCCAAGGTTGCACAGCCAGCGGGTATCGTGCCCGAGGAGTACCTACCGCCGAACAAGATCTTGTATTTGCGGGACCTGCCGGAAGACTACGGCAAGGATGCGCTTACGGCTATCTACAGCCGCTTTCCTGGGTTTAAAGAAGTGCGGACAGTGCCTACGCGAAAGACCATTGCGTTCGTGGAGTACGACGACGAGAGTGGTGCGATTGCGGCGAAGGATGCTACGGGTGGAATGACGTTGGGTGAACAGGCGATTAAGGTGACTTTCCAGCGGAAGTAGCGGAACAGTAACTATCGTGCTTATTGGTTGACCCGCTACAACGCGGACAGGTGCGCTGCCAAATGCCCATTCTTCCTTACCTTACCTTCCATGTTTGTTGGGGTTTCCTGCAACATTAATCACAACTCTAGGGGGCACTTCTGCGCAATGGTTGTTTCAGCGGGGGTACCAGACAATCCTTCACCATATAATTGTGGACAAAGACAATGTCGTAGGGTTGGTCGGGAGGGTCGTGTTTAGAGTTCAACTTCACATTGGAGCGGAAGGCGCGGATGGCCGTACCTTCCTTGGAAAGTAGGTGTCTGTGCGCCTTTTTATTATTGTTGCAGCCGAATCCGCCGTCAATGGCGCGGGCCAAACCACTTTTCATAACAAACATCGACCCGGCTCTCGCAGCTTGCAGGCCTCTACCTACCCAGCTCACCCACCAAGAACACTACATGGCTTCAGACGTAGAGCAACCTGCCAAGGGACTATTACAGTCGGTGCATCCACCTGATTCGCTTAGCTGACAGCTAACCAGATTTTTAGATCTCTGAAGTCCGATCGATTGGTCAAGATCTACGTCGGAGATGAAGCGCAGCCATACTTTGTGCAACAGCTAGTCCTCGAAGAACAGTCGAGCTATTTCACGAAAGCACTGCAGGCTAATGCTTTCTCGGAGGGACAAACCGCCTGTCTTCGCTTCCTTGACGACAGTGCCGTAGCCTGGACGTACTTCTTTCATTGGACATTTAGGTCTCTTCTCACAGACGGCGAAGACGGCAACTACAAGGAGGAAGACTTGATCCAGTGCTGGATCTTCGGCGACAAGTACGACATTGAAGAATTTTGCGATGAGGCGATGTTAGTTCTGCTAAGTGTCTACGATGCTAGGCCGGCGACATGGGAATGCCTCAAACATGGCGTGCTCAACTCACCCCCAGCTTCGAAGCTCCGGCAACTAATGGCCGAGGAAGCCGTCAAATACGTCATGCGTACCCCAGCAAACAGGATGAGCATGCTAGATCAATTCGATGGAGCAGCAGGATTTACCAGCCAGCTTTTCCAGGCTTTAACGAGCTACAACGAGGGCGCTCCTTGGCTCCATGGTAGGCTGACAGCATGCGGGTCCGATGGATGCACGAAGGTATGGCGGGATTACATCAAAGGCGAGCCGCCGTACAAGCATTGGGTGTACGATAAATGAACCTTACCATGACGGCTCATGAGAGGACGTGTCGGCGGCGAGTGGTAATGAGCGCATCGAGGGAGAGAATGGTATCGATGCAAAGTTGTCGTAGGCAGCAAGCCGCAAGATTCGCGCTTTCTGATTTAGTGATGACGGAGCATGGCCGGCAATCGCTAAAGCCAACTTTAAAAGGCTTTGGGAGTCTATGCGTCCACCACATAAGCCTTGGCTCCCTCTCCGAATAGTAGATGCGGTTTTCGCTCCGCCAAGTCTAGGATGGTCTGCGCAAACACACTGTTCGCCCAAGCGAACCAACTGCGCGTGTACTCTTTTACCCTGTCAACGTTGACGCTCTCATGGATCAAACCGAGCGGACTCGCCCGCTTGACATTCTCCAGCAGCTCCTTAATCTCGTTGTCGTCGTTGCTCGTCATAGCCTGTATCAGCAAAGACATCGGCCATGCATTCTGCGGTCCTATGTGAGGGCCTCCGATGCCAGAGAAAGCCTTGCCAGTAAGGTAGTAGGGGTTGCCGGCTCTCGAGAGGATCATAGAGCGTGTATTCTGATAGGTGCGCTCGTCCTTCGCAACAAAGCCAAGGTACGGCAGCGCGAGTAGGGAGGGCACATTCGCATCGTCCATCAATATCGTGCTGCCGTAGCCGTCAATTTCAAAGGCGAAGACCGTGCCGAACTTTGGATGCATGACCACGCCATGCTCCCAGACGCCCTTTTCAATCGCCACGCCTCGGGCCTCGAGATCAGCAGCGAGCTGAACCTTGCCCGCCGCGGACAGGATCTTAGCCGCACGCTTCAGCTCAACGGACATCATGGCGTTGGCGGGGATAAAGTAGCCGAGAATGGTGGAGTCGTCACTGGGGCGGAAGGCTGAGCGGATAAGGCCTGTGCCTGAGCTCAGAGGGTTCCCGTTGCCGCCAATGTTGAGTGTCTCCGTGCCAGTATTGGTGTTGCGCTGGAAGCGATACGTCTGACGTTCGAAGGCGCCAGATTCCGAGTCAAAAGTGCTTTTGCTCTGGTCTTCAAGCACTTGCAGTAGCGAGACGAGAGCTTTGTACCAGCGCGGCGTGAGGAACGCTGTGGAGCCCGTATGTGCGTGGAATTCGTTGCCAAGGCGGAGGAAGTGGGCAAGCGAATCGAGTTCGTACTTGCACTCGAAGACCTGACCTGGCTCATACGCTGGATGGACGTTGTCGGCTTGTCCGTTATCTGACGGCCTGAGTCTGCTCGGTGGCGGCGGTTGGAAAGCGTTGCAGTATGGCGATTTGATCACATACTCCGCTTGGGTGCTGATGGCGCCCAGGATAAGGTTGAAGATAGCTTTATCCTTCTTCGCTAAGCGCTGGTACTGCGCAAGCTGGTTTGTGCTGTCTCGCAACCACTCCGCATTGATATCGCCCGTAACGATAAAAGATTGCGCGCCTTGCCAGGCTCCGTCGGCCGCCCATTTAGCCATGACATGCTGCTGATTCCGCTTATCCACCTTCTCGTTGCCGTCCACGTGCCATTTCACCGTCGTATCGAGCGTATTCGGAAATGCATTCTCGAATAGCCTCGCTAAGTCACGATCGAGCAAGGTTGCGTTGAGATCACGGATGATCTTCTCGACGAGCTCTGACTCGAACGTGCGACAATACGCGGAAGGTCGCTGATATGGTAATGCCATTGGGCCATTGCTGTAGGGTTGACTGAGCAGCAGTTAGTGGTGAGCAGATCGTAGATGCTTAGCGAGAGCTACTGTGGGAAGCGAGCATAGTGCTCATACGCCGGGCATGCGCCTTGGTATTTCGCCTTGCTATCTTGATGCACCTGGGCGAGACAGAATGGCTGGTCGAGGCATAGGCTGGCAAGCACCAGTAACGCTGTTGATGATGGAGCGCGCATGTTTGCCTCTCGATGTATATGTTGATGCGACTCAGTTCTGTGAGCGTCTGTGACTACGAAGACGACTGCTTATCGGTCTATAAACGACTGTAAACAAGGAACGGTAATTGACAGGGGCACTTGGTGACATTGCAGCGCGGACCTCAGCCCGACCCATGCTCCATGTCGGACTTGCATTGCATTCACTTCACTTGCCCCACACCCCACCATCCATGTGGAATTCACTTTGCTACTTCCTAACTGGGAAGCAAAGCATCTCACCATAAGTCGGATGTCATAGAGATGGAGTCGATTTCGCGGATAAGCTCGATGCTGGAAACAGGTACGGCACAAACACCTCTGTACCCGAGGAGCTGTCTCACACAATTAAAGCACGCGATCTCACACTTGAAGCCGCTCGAGATGCCGGTCCTCGCAAGTCGACTCGCCCACTACCGGCACCGCAGATCAAAAAATTGCTTGACAGCCGCAACGAACGAGATGTCCTTGACGGGCTGCGGCGGGTCATCGCCATGCAATATGCCAATCCGCCTCAACCCACCTTGACCTTCTTCGCTACTGTGCTCAAAACATTATCGAATCCCTTCCCGTCGACGAGGCCGCTGGTATACAATTATCTCATCCATCATGCAGAAGCAGATCCAGATACCGCACTTCTGTCAATTAACACGATCCAGAAGAGCTTGTCCGATAGTAACCCGAGAGTCAGGGCGATGGCATTGAAGACAATGGCTGGCATCAAGGTCCCTGTTATCTCGCAGATCGTGAGCTTGGCTATCAAGAAAGGTGTGAGCGATTTGTCGCCAATCGTACGGAAAGCGGCTGCGCTAGCATGCGTGAAGTGCGTACGTCTGGATCCTACCACGAAGCCCCAGGTTGAAGAGTACCTTGCCACGCTTTTGGCGGACAAGCAGTACTATGTCGCTGGTGCAGCCGTTCAGGCCTTTATGGAGATATGTCCGGAGCGACTAGATCTGATACACTCAGCTTACAGACGCCTGTGTCAGATGGTCGTGGACATGGATGAGTGGGGTCAGCTTGCATTGATACGCCTCATGACGGTCTATGCAAGACGTTGCTTTCCGCAACGGAGCAAGCGTGTTAAGAAGATTCAGACGCAGGAACAGAAGACCAAAGACTTCTATGAGGACATCGAAGCCAAGGATGAGGATGACGAGGCCATCTTCGAGGATGTGTACGTCGACGACCCAGATTTGGATCTATTACTGAGGTCAATCCAATCACTATTACAGTCACGTAACGCAGCGGTCATTGTCGCTGTAGCTCGGACCTACCTCTATCTGTCCCCAACGAACTATCTCCACCATGCAATAGGGCCGCTGGTTGCGCTTCTACGGTCGCCGCAGGACGTACAGCAGGTGGCGCTGTACAACGTCGTACAAGTCTGTCTACACGATCCGATACTGTTCGTACCCTACTTACGACACTTTCTCCTCCACCCTAGCGAGTCACCAGACGTGTGGCGACTAAAGCTCGAAGCGCTGACACTCATCTTCCCGCATTGCGGAAGTGACGAGCAAGAACTTGTCCTTGCAGAACTCGAGCACTTTTCGCGCGCTCATGATACAGCCTTGGTGCGTGAGAGCGTACGCGCCATCGGAAGATGCGCTCAGTCTCCGAATGCAACGACCTCGCGGAGATGCTTAAGTCTGCTACTCAAGCAGATACACAGTCCGGACCAGAATCTCGTCGGCGAGGCCATAGAGGTGGTACGGCATCTCATTCAGCGCTCCCCAGATGACCACCGGAGAACGGTCATTCGGCTTGCGAAGAACCTCGATACGCTCACGTCACCCATGGCACGAGCCAGCATCATCTGGCTCGTCGGAGAGTTCGCGGGAGCGGACGAGGACAACAACATCGCTGCGGACGTCTTACGCATACTGGTGAAGGGCTATGCGGACGAAGACGACGAAGTACGAGCGCAGATTGTCCTGTTGGCCGCCAAAGTTTACCTCCATTATCTCAACGCAAAAAACGCTAAGCAGAAAGCGATTGGTGCACTGAATGGCTCGGAGGATAAGCACGTTGAAGGCAACGGCAGTCTGATACCATCCGCCGAGGAAGACATTGAGGGCCTCCGAGAGAACACCTTTAGCAACACAACACCCAATCAGCAGCGCGAATCTGCGTCTAAGAAAGCCCATCCCATCGAACTGCTGTACCTACACACTCTACTCCTCGCGCGCTACACCCCTTCATATTCCATTCGCGATCGCGCCCGCTTATTGCGCGGCTTACTCGCTGTTCCCAGCAGTACCGAACTGGCATCTCTTCTCTTACTCGCACCCAAACCCGTCCCTCAAGCGCCGTCACCCAGCGAAAGCCGCCGTGGTTACGCGCTTGGCTCTGCGAGCCTTGTCATTGGCTCCGAGTCTGGCGTCAGCGGACTGCGCGGATATGAGCCTATACCCGAGTGGGTTAAGGAAGGCAGGGAGCCAGATCCGAAGCTCAGAGATGACAGTGGTGAGGCTAAGACGGAATACGCGCCAAATAAGGCTGTTTCAGCGGGACAGAGACTGGATGATGCGTTGAAGGCGGAGACGGTAACGAGGAAGGAGAAGACATTGGATGATTGGCTTGATGAGGAAGAAGGTGAGACTGAGGAGGACGGGGAAGAGTATGAGGAGACGGAGGAAGAGGAAGAAAGCGACGAGGAGGAGGAGACAGATGATGATAGTGACTAAGACGCCAGGCAGAAGAATATGCCGCACCCACGATCCAGCCGCCAAGAGCTCTTCAAGTGTTGCCCTCTTGGTCAGTCTCGCGCCACGCTTTACCAGCACGTGAAGGGCTCCAATGAGGTGCAAGCCTCATCACATGTGAGCGCAAGGACTCTCTGGCTTGTGCTTCAGTATGCTCCCAGCCTCGACTTCGCTCAAACAAGGCGACCAGCCAAGTCCAACAAGCCAACGATGCAAATAGTGTCCTCCACTGTCGAAGTGAGAATGGCTGATCCTACCAACGGCGCCCGTACTACGGCAAGCAGCCAACTGCTCGATTGCCGCTTATACGTGGGGCCCGTCAACACGGACATGCTTTCTGCGTGGCTCAGCGGTCTCCGCATCGTTCCTTTCTTTCTGACTGTAGGTACTGCCATCCTGGAACTCGCCGTGACTGCGCTTGCGGTTGTCCGTTCCGTTAACTTTGGCATTTGGCGTTGCGTCTGCGTCCTGAAAGTCGGATCCCGTGATTGTACGCTGACTAGCAGCTGATCCTGGGCGCTCGATTGAATGACCATTGCTCGCAGCATGCACCGATAGCGGTGGCGGCGATTGCTTGAGACTGTTAGGTACGCCGTTGAGAGAGCCTTGCCTGCTGTTAGTCGCACTACTCTGCTGTTGAGCCTGCAGCGTCGCGGCAATTGCTGGCCCGGGAGTCTGAAAGACCATCTTCGGCGACCCCGTCACGCCAAGAGCGGCTAGAACGTCTTCCTGTTGCTGGTCCCTCACGGGTGCAAGCGGCGTAGGCCTTGTGATTCTTTCTGTCGCAGTTGACGTAACCGAAGCTGATCTGGAGTGCGATCTCACTCCATTAGCGACCTTTGCATCCCTGCGTGAGTATGTATTGGTAGCGAAGAGCGCCTGCTCTAAGTTGCCAAGCATGTCGTTCTGTTCCTGAGACTCATCACCTCCGGCAGGCGTCTGTGATCTAGACTCTGGACCGGGCGATGCGTATTCTGCTGTAGACCGCTGCAACCCTAGGCGGGGGCGGTAGCGATACTTTTCAAGCATCGCCGACAGAGGCACAATCTCATTAGGCACGGCCGGGAAGTCTCGGTAAATCAGGTCGTTCTTCACGTGCTCCCACTCCTCTGTCTGCCTAATACTCAGTAGCGCTTCGTCTTTATTCTCCTTCGTAAAGTAATCCGAGACTGACGGCTCGTCCAGCGGTCGCGGCTTACGAGGAGCTATAGCTTCTAGTTCAGCTTCTGCGTAACTGGATGGAAGTGGAAGGTTAGTGGGCAGCGGTGCACGCCATTCGATTACTCCCAGGCTAAGCTCTGGATTGATCTCGTCCGAATGTCGACCGAAGTAGCACTCGCCATCAAACTCTTCGTCAAGTGCATCATCACCATCACCAACTGTAATCAGGGGCGGCAGTGGATCGCCGTTGCCGTCTAATGGGCCTATAGAATTGTTGCGGCCATGTGGAAAAGGAGCTGAGTTGTGTCGGCGCTTGCTCGGGTCAAAGCCGTTGTTTTGCGGGTGCCATGGCTGAGGTGGCGCATTCGTTGGCGCTGACATGGGTTGCTGCCATCCTGGATAAGTTGTGGGAAAGGTTGGGTTGGTTTGCTGATAGTAGTTTTGTGGACCACCATAGCTGGTTCCAGAATATTGCTGATGCTGGTAGCCAGGCCACTGCGGTTGCGGGTAAGGCTGTGGCGCAGCAAACGGTTGCTGAGGGTAAGTTACGACGCCTGGCTGTTGATAGCCATAGCCTTGGAATGTCTGATGTGGTTGTGCTGGTCCTCGGTAGCCAGGGGGCGGTGGGTACCGGGTGATGACCGGGTTGCTCCTTGGCTTCTTTGCCGGAGGTGGGCTGCCACACGTGTCAGATGGGTGCCCTCGAATTCAAGAGCGAAAGAATGATGACACGGAAGACGACTGACCCGCTGTAGCCTGGTCCGTGGCTGAAGCCTTGATGCTGGATGCCGGACATGCTATAGACTACGGAATATGCTGCGTTTGGAGAACGCGCAGCTCTGAGAGGATTGAAGTAAGATGGCTGTGCCGCAGACTACGGGAGAGTCTTTCGAATATCAAGAAAGAGCAAGCATATCAAAGACTTGACCTGGTCCACAGACAGTGGAAAAGAGACGTCTGGTGGGCGTAAGGTAAGGTTGTTTCTTTCTTGGCTGGTGAACTGTAAAAGAAACAGAACTGCCAGTAGCTTTGGAGTCAGGGAAAGGGATAGCGCCTGTTTGCGGGAGACCGTTGCGCAACCCAGGTAGAAGAATGCCGTGGGCTTCCTCAACTGCGATCTGATAAGCGATCCGTATCCAAGGCGATGGTGACGGTCCGGAACTGGCAGTCCAGCAGCATGACTTGATGATGCATGGCAGACGTGTAGGTAAATGGAAGTGCAAGAGTCTCGAAGGCGAAAGGTTGGGGGCGAACGCAGGCTGTGTGTCAGAAGTCTTAGATATACTCGTCGCTTAACGACGCCATATCGCCGTCGAGCGATCAGCACAAATGCGCCAGTGGCCCTATGAGCACTTCTTGCACCGTCTGCCATTAATCTTTCGTTGACTATGGTGGCGTCAGGCTCTCCCTGTGCCTCTCCAGTGCCGCATCGCGACCCTCCCTAAGCGCCTGCTATTTTCTACATGCAGGCGCATCTCCTTCCGGTAGCAGCAACAAGACATGCCAGGTCTGCCGTGTATGTATTGGCTCGCCATAACCCACAAAGCTCGCTTACTGATGGTGAGCAGCCAGCGTAGACCTTGACGAATGCATTTCTCGCTTGTACAAGAAGGAGCTCCTCGCCGACTCCGTAATCGAAGCGATATGCGCCAAAACGAAAGAGCTGCTGATGAAGGAGAGCAATGTCGTACACATCCAAGCGCCGGTCACTGTCGTTGGCGATATACACGGGCAGTTCTTTGACATGATAGAGATCTTCAAGATTGGCGGCTACTGTCCTGATACGAACTATTTGTTTCTGGGTGGGTCACGCGAGCTGGTGGAACCACGCCGTAGAAGCTACACCAGGTCCTATGTGCTAACGAACGTCTGCAGGCGACTATGTTGATCGAGGTCTCTTCAGTATCGAGACCATATCGCTCCTCGTATGCTTGAAGCTACGGTATCCGTCTCGAGTCCACCTTATCCGCGGCAACCACGAGTCTCGCGGCGTCACGCAGTCGTACGGCTTCTACACCGAATGCTCACGCAAATATGGTAACCCAGCCGTCTGGCACTACTTCACCGACATGTTCGACTATCTCTCCCTCAGCTGTGTCATAGATGATAAGATCTTCTGCGTCCACGGCGGGCTAAGTCCGAGCATCCACAGCATTGATCAGATCAAAATCATTGACCGCTTCAGAGAGATACCACATGAAGGTCCGATGGCGGATTTGGTGTGGAGCGATCCAGATGGCGAACGGGACGAGTTTAGTCTGAGTCCACGTGGGGCAGGATACACCTTCGGCGCACAGGTGGTGAAGAAGTTCCTTGAGGTGAACAGCATGACGCACATTCTACGAGCGCATCAACTTTGCAATGAGGGTTACATGGTCATGTTCGATGATCGGCTTTCGACGGTCTGGAGCGCCCCGAATTATTGCTACCGTTGCGGTAATCTGGCCAGCGTCCTTGAGGTTGGACCGGGCGGCGAGCGAAAGTGGAACGTCTTTGATGCAGCGCCAGAAAACGAGGCACATCGTCTAGAGCAGCAACAGCAGCAGCAACATGCGGGCAGCGATCCGGTGCGAGACTATTTTCTATAGATGCATGGTGACGGGGCAAACTGTCAGCATTTCCGGTGTTAAGGAGTTCAGGACGCATCGATGATACCCGCCGACTAGGTGAGCAATTTTGTAGCGCAACGAACAGTACTCTGTAGTATAAACCCATCGAAACATTGCATTGAGCCCTCGAACCCTCGAGGTCAAGGCGCCTTCTCAATATCCCGCCAAGACGGCACTTGCCACATTCATCCGCAAACGCCTGCACTCTTGAATGCGTTTCTACCTCGCTTGACAGGTACGAGAGGCGAAGTGAACGCTGTCTACGAAGTTGCAAGAGATGACCATTCGTCGGAGAGAGCCCCCATAACGGCTGTCTTTGCTTCGTGAATCGCCTTTTATCATGATCCGGCAAGGCAATGGCAGCTCCGCAGGCATGTGTCCTGGAAAGCATTTCCTTACTCGATTTCGTGCAACTCGTGCTTGACCAGCATAACGCGCCAAGCACCATGATCGTCTGTGGCAATAGGGATGCGTTTCTAGAACAGCTCACCGCAGCAACACAGCCAGCATCGTCCGACGAAGCTTTACCGGACCAGTCAGACACCCGCGAGTTTTCACGGGAGACGCCGCCTCCTCATGCGACCCAGCGCTGGCATGTACCTACGTTGAGGCTGTTGTCGAAGTCCAGGACTGTCAAGCTGGCGTTCTGTCCGGATATTACGCACTTGCGGGCTTACCTTGCCACCTACACGCCGTATGGTTGTTACTCCGACGCAATTGTGTCACGCGAGGGTAGTGACTCGCAGCGCATTCTTGCCATTGTCGATCTTGTACAGCTGCATCGACCTACGTCAGCTTTCTCCGCTCAAGGTCTTAATCGCACCTTGTCCATATCCATAGAAGCTGCGCATCGGACAAAATCGGCGCTTCTGCTCGCAGAGTCTACCCCAGAAACACAGGTTGCAACAACACAGGCAGATCTGGCTTCGACCAGCCCGGACCTTGAGCGGCCATCAGCAACCAGTATCTGGGACGAAGAGGTGTCCATCCTCAATGTCACGACTAAAAGCTTCGGCGTGGGAGAGCGAGGCTGGGTCGGACGGACCGTCAAGCTGAGGACCATCGCTGCGAGATGGTGCACTTTTCGAAAGATGAACGACTAACAATGCACGCTGTGACCAATTGCCATGCGGTGCTACGCAGCCGTAGGCCGGATACTGGACGATGCAGAGTAAGTTCGTTCGCTACCTTCTGCAATTGCAGTGATGAAAACAACACTTCACAGACCTGTTCTGAACATTCGTGTGGACCAAACTTTCAAGCTCAACCGTCTGATCGCTAGCACACCTCGCTTGTCGCACCTGTCACCGCGCCAATGAACTGTAAGCTAACAGCTACACGTTATTAGGATTTGTGTTGCTGGGTTATCACACATGAACCGCATGATCGTGCGAGGCATAGCTGCTCAATGCCGGCGCCTTTGTCATGTCTCATATGCTTTGCTCCATCTCTGTGATGTATAGCCGTATATGGCTCTCCATTTTCATGTACTCATCTCGAGCACTTTGCACCTCATGCTCGATGTTCTCCTTGAGATCGGTCATCTGGGTTCAAGTCAGCTCAGCACCAAGCTTCTACGCAAAAAGGACGGATTCACCTTCTTCTCAGTCTGCTCGATCCTCACTCTCCGCTTGTCCACCTCCTCTTGGCGGTCCTTTCGCTCCGCGGTCAATGCGTGGTGCACACTCCGCAGACCCTCCATCTTCTCACGAGCATTGCCGATCTTCGTTTCAGCATCTCGCCTTAACTTCTCCGTTCGCGATTGCCACTGGTCGACCTGCTTGCGCAAGATCTTCTCCTGCCGCTCCACCTCTCGGACGTTGTTCGATTTCTCCGCTAGCGCTTCGCGGTTTTTGGCCGCCGCTCGAGCCTCTTCGTCTTCCTTTTGCAGCTCGTTTTGCAGATCGGTGAGAAGTCGTATGTGGGAAGCAATCTCGGTCTGCAAGGTTGTGAAGGTGTCGCAGCTGGTCTGGAGCGCCCGTGCTCGCTTGTCAAGACGGTCAATCTCCGTGCGGTCATTGGTCAAGTTACTGCTCAGCTCGCGCAAAGACTGCTCGAGTACAGCCGGCGATTGCTCAGCATACGGGCGCAGCTTGCTAGCCTCTTGCCGCATGGTTAACACTGCCGTTGTTTGATCTTCAAGCAGCGCCTTCAGGCGGTTCTGCTCAGCTTTCACGCTCCGAACCTTCTCTTCCACCCGTGTCTGGGCCTTGCGCAGCTCGAGCAACTTTGTCTTCATTTCCGCTTCACGCCTTCCCTTATCTTCTAGTGCTTGCTCTACATCCTTTCGATTTCGCTGCATCTCTTCTAGCTGCTCCTCCATCTCCCGGTTCGTGTGGTACAGCTGCTCGATCGCATTCTTTGTCCTCTCGGAAGAGTTGTAATGCTCATCAATGACACTCGTCTGCGATTCTCGAAAGCGGATAAAGTTGATAATGTAGCTGAATATCTTCACCAGGCGTGGATAAGTAGGTCGGTAGAGGTCGGAGAAGGTGAAGTCCTTGATGCCGCACTCGAGCAGCAGTTTCCGCATGGTAATGAAGAAGCCCATCAGTTCGCGCGTATCGGCAGTGAAGATCCGGTCTGCATCTTCACCGTACATCTCTTCGGCTGCTGCGCGCATGGCAGGCGCAACAACTTCGCGAGTGGTGTTCGTGAGCAATTCGGCAAACCATTCGAACACACGCTGGATCTGCTGCGGATTCGGTTTCTTCAGGTCGTCCACGGAGAAGCTGATCCCTATGTCGCTGATACACCCTGCGATCTCTCGATCGCTCTATATTCTGTTAGTGAGCACGCGCTCACCTTGCGATTGTCAATGCTTACCAGTTGCATGAATGCGTCTCCGTCGTCCTGCTTCGGCTGCTTCTGCTGACTTGACTGCTGCGAGATGCGCGCCATGCTCATGCGCCCGTTGAAGTCCATCTTCGAAGCCAAGAACACGCTGTTGTATGACGGGAATTGTACGGTTGCGCGCGATTATACCTAGCTGATAACAAGCGCGGTGTCAACACCAAATGTCGCCAGTGTTTACTGTAGTGTTGGCGGGGTAAGCACAGACCCTTCATGTCCGGCACTCTCCGCGCTGGACTTCGAAACATCAGCTCCTCCTCCAACCAACAACAAGCCCATGCTAATCACAAGGTTCCCAACATGTGGGACCATCCAAGCAGACAAGGAAATGCCACAGCTTGCCGGACGATTTGAGTAGCCTGTCACTGCGTACAAGTCGGCGGTCTCGGGGTCCCGCCACATTCCCACGATGTTTGCGAGACCGTCATGACATCGAAACGTTTCTGAGTATGCACTGGGAAGTTGTCATTCGGCTCGTCAGCCGCAATGATATTTGACAAAGCCACCAGGGTCTTTGACATGACGGTTTTGCTGCATGAGTAACAACTTCTCACAACGTGCGAAGTAACTTCCCCACCATAGTCATTACATGGCTTTAGTATAGAATTCATGCTGCTATATGTGGCAACCTGACTGCTAGAAACAGCTTCGCCTGCAAATTCAGCACCTCCGGGAGCTGGTAATCACCAAACGGGCGAAGAATGTCCACAATGGTTCCGCCAGCGTTACCTATAGTGGCTTCAATTGGACGTCCCGAGATACGGAGGCCAGCATTCATCTAGAAGGTTTTCAACGCTTATACATGGGATCGCCGAGGTCAAGTAAACCACAAATGTCCATTTCACGCTCTGAGATTCCTTTTCCTTCTCCCAGGTCTGCTTCTCGAACGTCTCACCCTTCGTCCCTCGCTTTCCAGTCGTACAAGATGGCTTTCAAGGCTTTGGCGCTCACGCTGTTGGCGTCTACAGTCGCATCCCAGAGTTCGCCAGCTGCCATCCCCTTGACTACCGGCTCACAGAATGACACAGACATGGTGCCAACATTTGGTGAGCAATCATGGGGCAAACGCGGAACGAGGATACAGCTGACGGCCTGCAGCCCCGGCTACTACCCGGACAATCACAGACTTCTCCTCGGTTGGTAATAGCACCAGCGCTGTAACACAGACGGTGACCGTCAGCGGTCCGCCAAGCAGAGAGACTGTGACGGTGACTGGCACGCAAAACGGCTCGGTCGAGACAACCACGCAGATCGTGACAATCAGCGGCGCCCCCACTGATGGTCCTCTCAACTCTACCGTCACCTTCACGCAAGCCACACCCAATACTACACTCACCGCCAGCAGCGCCTTTACCAATGCACCTCGCAATACTACCACCATCTTCGCGCAGGGTACGCCCAATGTGACAATTACCGCCAGCCATACTTCAGGCATGACTCTGAGCACCGCTACGATTAACGGAAACGTCGTCACCGTCCTTGCCTCGAACTCGAGCTCTTCGGATCCGGTGCTTAGCGGTCCTACATTCACGTTCTCACCCATCAGCACAATCGCCAGCAATGCTAGCTTCACCGCCGTTGCATCTACAAGTGGCACGGGTGATGCTGGTGTCGTCAACTCGAACGGCACGATAGTCAACACTGCGTCCGCTAGCGGCTCAGAGGCCGGTGTCACTACTGTTTTCACCACCATGAACACGCCGATTGTCATGCAGGCCCCGACCAACACTAGTGGAATGGTGACCAGCACGACTGATGTTAACGGCGCTGCTTTCACTATCCTCGTCTCCAACTCGAGCGTTGCAGCTGCGCCAACCTTCTCCGGCAACAACTCGGCCACTGCCGGCGTAACAACCGTGACCACCGAAGTCACGCCGATTGTCACGTTGTCAGCGACTAACACCTCGGGCATGGTCACTCAAACCACGGTCGTTAATGGCAATCCCTTCACAGTTCTCGTCTCCAACACTAGCGCTCAGACGGTCCGCACAACCACCATGGAGACCACAATCACGCCTATTGTCACCGTGTCGGCAACCAACACCTCAGGCATGGTTACTCAGACTACCGTTGTCAACGGCAGCCCATTCACGGTTCTCGTCTCCAATACGAGCTCTGAGCAGATTGAAACAACCACTATCGAGACTACGATCACGCCTATTGTCATGCAGACGCCTTCAAATACGTCGGGCATGATCACACAGACTACGACTGTGAATGGCAACGCTTTCACCGTGCTCGTATCAAACTCTAGCTCCATTGCGCCCTTCACCAACACGGCCTCCTCCCCCATGGCTACCACTACAGCTACTGTCACCCCGACCGCTGTTGTCATCGCCTCTCCGACAGCGAATGCCACGAGTACTAGCTTTGTCAATATCACAACGGTCGAGGTCACTCCCACTGTCGTGGTGATCGCTTCTCCGATCACGAACTCCACCGAAGCGAACGCTACACCTCCGGCTAACGAGTCTGTCACCACTGTCGAGGTCACTCCTACAGTCGTGGTGATCGCCTCTCCGCTGTTTACCAACTCCACATCTGCTTCGAGCACTATCTTGCAGCCGACTGCGCCAATCCAGGGTCCCGTGGGTACTGTAGGCACGACTTCCTTTGCCTCAACGGTCAGTGTGGGCACCGCCGTAAGCGGCTCGACCGCTGAGCCACTATTTCCCAACTCCACCTTAAGCCTGCAAGCCTCCGCACCCATTCAAGGCACAGTCTTCGCTACGGGTTCGTCTTCAGTCAACCTAAGCACCGTCGCCAGCACTCCCTCGGCGCCTGCCCCGAGCGCTTCGGTGTTCGATCCATGCAAGAGTACTAGCGGCAACTACACGGACGCTCAGGGAGTGACGTACTACATCTTCCCGAATGCTGACAATAGCGTCGCTTCGTACAACGCTACCCCAGCGGCTTCCGTTCCTGCCTGCTTCGCTATCTGCGACAGCCAGACTAGGTGCCAAGGCTTCACTTTCGTCTACTACTCAGCCAACGGAGACGGCTCCGGCGTCTGCTACCTCAAGGATCTTGAGGGCACTTCCATTGCAACGGCAAACATGTGCTCGGTGTTCAAGACCAATGCCACGAGCGCCAACGCCACGACTGCCGCGCCAGTCACGCCAGCTACCTCGTCTGCGCCTTTCGCGAACAGCACCTCGGCGACATCGAACTTGGCCTTCCCCACAGCTGCCAACGGGCCAGCTAATGCCACGGCTACGGAAGCAGTCAGCCCATCTGCAGGCACAATCACCAGCGTTGCAAGTCTTGCGTCCAGCTCTGTCCTTTTCCCGAACACAACTACGACAGCTACCGTCTGCCCAACTGTCTCCGGACCCTGCGGTGCCTACGTAAGTTGCCCTGGTATCCCGGCGCCAGTCTGCACGGATGGCTCTGTTTTTGCTACCCAAACACCTGAGATCAACGCGACAACGTCAAGCGTGCCCATCACCATGCCATCCGCTGGGTTCGGCACGCCTGAGGTGGGCACGAGTAGCTCCATCACTGCGCCGTTCGCCAATGAGACATCCGTCACTTCGTCAGAAGCTTCCGGCACTGCGGGTTCAGTCACCGTCTCCGTCAGCACCTTCAGCACGCCGGCGCCGGTTGCCAACATTACAACCTCAAGCCCCTCGCTCAGCGTTGCCACGGGCGAGGAGGGCACTCCGGTGGCCTCGAGTACCTCGGCGCCTTTCGCCAACATTACCACTTCCGCAACGTCGCTCACCATTCCGAGCGCTGGTTTCGGAACCCCGCCTGTTTCTTCCTCTGACCCGTTCGTGAGCAGCTCGTCAACCGTGCCTTTTGCAAATGCTACGACCTTTACCGCCTCGCTTACAACGTCAAGTGGTGAAAACGCCACTCCAGCCGTGTCCTCTTCCGGCTCCACTAAAGCCGGTGTCTCCAGCAGCTCAATAGCGCCTTTCGCAAAAGAGACCACCTCCACCGCCTCGCTTACCGTCCCCAGTGCTGCATTTGGAACTCCAGCCGTCTCATCCTCCAGCTCGATCGAGGCCGGTGTGCCCAGCACCTCAGCAGCGCCTTTCGCCAATGACACTGTCTCCACTGCCTCGCTTCTGGTCTCGAGCACTGACTTTAGCACACCAGCTGCCTGGTCTTTCACGCGCACAGCTGTGCCCAGCGCACCCTTTGTCAATGCTACGACGTCTGCACCCTCCCTCACCACTCCGTCAGGCGAGTTCGGCACGCCTGTTGTATCCGTCACCACGCAGATCGTCACCACGACGGCAACGAGCTACATTCCGGTCGTGTCTGCATGCCCAAGCTGCCCCGGTGGTAACATTACGGTCATGTCCACAAGCCTCTGCCCGGCGACCACGTCCGTCGTCATCACCTCGACGTCTGCCGAGATTCCGGTCACCGTTGTCCCCATCACCGTCACGGCTACTACGCTCATCACGGCCTCGTGCAGCGCCGGCTGCGGCGGCAATGCAAGCACTGTCCAGACGCAGACAACGCAGTACATCACGACTACAAGCTGCACGCCGATCTCATATATCACTTACTCGCCCTCCTACACCACACAAACACAGGGCGTCGATAATACCCCCAGCGACCAGATTGTGAGTTCCGTCCAGGGCGGTGTCTACCACAATTTTAGCTAACGTTTGCGCAGTTCACCATCCCCGCCTCCACAGTTCCGGTCTATCCGCATATCGACTCCAGCGTTCCTGTGGTTCAGGTGTTGACCACTAAGACAGTGTATGCTACGAGCTATGCCACCGTCACCGGCTGCGCTTCCTCCAGCCCAACATGCTCCTCGCCTACAAGCGCGATCGTAACTTCAACCATTCCGGTCTCGACGACTGTTTGCCCGGTGACCAACTCAAGCTCTCCTGCTCAGACGACAATCTCGAGCTCGACAGCGCATATCACCACCTCAGGCCCTTCGGACCAGACAATTGCCTCGACCTCGCCAGCGCAAATTGCTAGCTCGAGCTCTCCGGCCACAGTCACACCGAAGACCTCCTTCAGCCATTTCACCAACTCGACAGCCGTCAGGACCACGAGCACCCAGCCAGGTTCCGTGTACAGCCAGATTAGCACCGCACCTATCAGCATCTCCACGAGCAGCGCCCCGGCCAGCGTTGACACGAGCACTACGCCTGTCGGTCTCCCCACGAGCACTACGTCTGGCAGCATATCAACCAGCACCACGCCTACCCATAGCACTACCGTCACCAGTGTCGGCCTGTCCGTCCCAACGACGACCTTGACCACTCAAGTGACTACTTTCTCCACGCAGCGCATCACCAGCGTCGACATGGAAGTAGTCACTTCACAGAGCAGCACGTCGCCGGATTCCTCGCAACTGCAGGTGTCTTCTGCGCACTCGAGCTCAGCGCCTGCGCAGAGCTACGGCTTCTCCACTCCTGACACTACGAGCACGGCGGTTGTCAGTACTACATCGACGACCCTCCAGCCGGTCACTGTCACGAACACTGTGTCCACGAATGATGCGCAGTCTTGGCCGGCCACTCCACTCGCCGGCACACCAGCCAGCAGCCAGCCTGTCGGTGCTTCCCTGCACTGTAAGTTCTCCACAAGTCCTTCATCAAGACTTCACGACACTAACATCTACTCAGCTTCTGCCAGCGAGCCAGCTTCGTCTTCGCAGCCTACCTCCCCGCCTAAGCCGGTAGCCACATCTGGGGCCAGTCGCAGCATGCAAGCCAGCTGCCTGGCCGCTGCTGTTGCACTGATCAGCATGCTGTTCCAGTAGACGCATAGGCTACGATCGACGCAAGACACGACGCATGACCCCGAAAAGTTCAAGATGGTTCGGCTACTGGGCCAATGTGCAGAAGCGCGGCGTTGCGGCGTCGGAAAGCATTATAATGTGTAGTGGAAGATGGATCTGATCTGATGATGACTATGATTCGGCAGGGTTGGATGGTGAAGATAGGGTTCAACCGCATCGTAACGTACATACATAACTTGACAACCCTCCCGCATGGAAAACGTTGCGTGCACCGGTATGGGAAAGCCACAACGTGACCGTGGCCTGCATGCACGGGTCGAGAAACAAGCTTGACGCACGCCACCAGTGCCCATGCACGGCCCCTCATGCAATCCATTTCATCAGCCTGCATCAGTGCATCTTCCACAAGCACCACCCGGGCCGTTAGTAGCGCGAAAGACTGGGAGGGTAGTGTACTGCACTGTATCTCGGTTTCACCGCTCTGTAGCCGGTTAACCAGATCGAGAGTTCATCGCTAAGTGTCGTCGATGACTTTCCCGACTTCGTCTTTGACCCTCTACCGTCTTACAGTACAATGGCTGGATGTCTCACCCACTTGTCTCTCTCTATATCCGGACACATGTCGGCGAACCGGTGTTGAGTGTACGATCGTTACCCTAAAGTAGCTTGCATTGCTGTCAGCGTTGTGTACCGTATTACTGCATTGGAGCTTCATCCTGCTATAGCTCTCGCGTTGGAGAGCATCCTGGGACGTTAGGCCAGCAACACTAGATACTCGACGAAGATACAATCATGAGCCAACCCATCCACCACAGCCGGCAGCGGCCGTCCAGCTCGAGGCAATCGATGGACTCGGCGTCAAGAGCCTTGGGCACATCATGGCGAACACCGTACGGCGAGCACTCCGTCGCCTCCATCGCCGAACAAGCCATTGCCGCCGACATCCAGGCGACAGAAGGCGACCACGAGGCGGTGGAAGATGGCGACAACACGCTGGAGAACATGAACACACAAGAGCGGCATGCGCATCTCCACGCCCACTCGATGGTGGGCAACTTCCGCAGACCCAGCGTCTTTGCGGCAACACCTCGACCTTTCTTGGGTGTTCAAGCGCCGGAGACGTTGGTACCCATCGAACAGGACTACGATGCCGGCATTCGAGAAGAGAGGAGCTTGCTTCGGGACAACCATCTCATCCCGCCCAAACATCCACGCAGGAGAGAAAGTGAGCCCTCCAAGCCGTCGGACAGCACCGTCCAGCGTCTCATACACCGCATGTCCATTGCCGCCCTGGGCCAGCGCAAACCCAACCACCAAGCCGTTGACGAAGAGGCGGTAGCGGACGAAGACGCCAACGGCCAACCCTCCGAAACCACCGCACTCCTCTCCAACGGCGCACCCGTCGGCCGCGATCCCTCGAAGCCCTACGGCGGCGAAGACGACCCGGAGAACATCGACGCGAAATGGGAAGAAGCCGTCGTGTCCGGCAAAATCACGACCACCTGGCAACGCGAAACCAAAACGCTCCTCCGCTACTCCTTCCCGCTCATGCTCACCTTCCTCCTCCAAAACAGCCTAACCATGACCTCCATCTTCACCGTCGGCCACATTGGCAAGATCGAACTCGGCGCCGTGTCCATCGGTAGCATGACGGCCAACATAACCGGCTACGCCCTCTACCACGGCCTCGCCACCAGCCTCGACACCCTCTGCGCCCAAGCCTACGGCAGCGGCAAGAAAACACTCGTCGGCCTCCAACTCCAACGCATGGTCTGGTTCCTCTGGACAATCACCATCCCCATCGCCCTCATCTGGCTCGCCGGCACCCAAATCCTCCTCGCCATCCTGCCGGAGCCCGAAATCGCCATCCTCGCCGGCCGATACCTCAAAGTCCTCATTATCGGCGCGCCAGGGTACGCCTGCTTCGAGAGCGCGAAACGCTACGTCCAGGCTCAGGGCCGCTTCGACGCGACAATGTACGTCCTCCTCATCGCCGCGCCACTGAATATCTTCATGCATTGGCTGTTCGTGTGGAAGTTCGAATGGGGTTTCATCGGCTGCCCGATCGCCGTCACCATCACCGAAGTCCTCATGCCCTTGCTCCTACTCGCCTACGTCCGGTTCGTGGGCGGGATGGAATGCTGGGACGGCTTCACCTGGACCGCCTTCCAGAACTGGGGTCCCATGGTCCGTCTCGCGTTGCCAGGATTGGTGATGGTGATGGCGGAATTCCTCGCCTTTGAGATTCTGACTCTCGCTTCCGCCCGCTTCGGCGCGACGTACCTGGCTGCCAATACGGTGCTGCAGAGTCTCAGCGTCGTGGCGTTCTGTCTGCCCTTCCCGCTCAGTATCGCCACGTCTACGCGCGTGGCGAATTTGATCGGGGCGACGTTGCCGGAAGCGGCGAAAGTTACTGGACGTGTCAATCTGGTTATCGGCGCGGTGATTGGGTTGTTCAATGCGGCGATATTGTTGGGGTTGAGGAATCATATCCCTTGGCTGTACACCAACGACCCGGAGGTCGCGGAGTTGGCGGCCAAAGTCTTGCCCGTCAACGCCGCGTTCCAGCTCTTCGATTCGTTGGCGAGTCAGATGAACGGTCTGCTACGCGGGTTGGGGAAGCAGGAGGTCGGGGGGTATGTCGGGTTGTTTGCTTATTATGCTGTAAGTCTCCCCTCCCCCCTTCATCACCCTACACTCATCCCAACGGGAGGAGAAAGACGAGCTCGCACTAAACTTTTGTTTCGTTATAGGTCGCCATGCCCATCTCCTTCGGCCTCGGCTTCGCCCTCGACACACGCCTGTACGGTCTCTGGACCGGGCCGGCCATCGCGTTGGGCATCGTCGCCGTTGCGGAGGGCGCGTATATCTGGCGTTATGACTGGAGTAAGGCGTCGGATGAGGCTGCCAAGCGGAATGCTGCTGGTTGATAAAACGATCCAACATGCGGCGGATGGTGGGTTCAGAGTGTGTAGGTTATAGATTGAGGGCGTTTTTGGGGGAAAAGTGTGCGTGTCTGTATGGATATGTGCGCCACATGTCATGGGCTCGGCCTTATGGGGTGTACAGTACAGATGGCATGTGCGGAGTGATCTATCGGCTCTGGAGGGAGAGTGCTATTGGGACGACCTGAAGCACGCGCCCGTTGATGTTTGCTGTCTACCGTGTCACTACCACTCCTCCCAATCGATGTCTACCTACCTCAACTTCCAATCCTTATAACTCCACTTCTCCGTCCGCTCCGTCCTCCGCTGCCGCCGCTGCCACACCTTCTTCCGCACCTCCACTTTGCCATTGACCAGCAAATTGCGATAGCGGTCCGTCAACAGATTCCCCTCGGGTTTGAGGCGTAGGAGTGAATCTTGCAGTTCATCCGGTAGCACGACCTCGAGTGGGGCGTCGGGGAGGGGGTTTTGGCCGAAGCGACGGCGTTGGAACATCACTTCCTCTTCTTCCCTGTCTCCGTTGTCTGAGACTGAGGCGGATGAGTCCGCGGCAGTTAGAGCAGGACGTGACGTCTTCTTCGCTCGATCACGGGCAGCCATCTCCTTGGCGATCACCGCAATCCTCTTTTCTTGCTCATCACGTTCCCTCTGCTTCCGCTCCCACTTCTCCCTCGCCTCCCGCTCTTTCCTCGCCTTCACTTTGTTCCGCTCCGCGGGGGTTTTGCGTCGCGGCTGCTTAGCCACATGATGCACCTCCCCATCCTCACCCTCACCACCAGATTGAATACCATCCCACTCGCTCTCCCACGCACTCTCATAATCCGTCCCGTACGCATCATCTCGGTCTTGCGCATCCACCTTTTCCGCCTCCGCCTGCGCGCGAGCAGTTTGTTCCGCTTCTGCCGCTTCGAGCGCAAGGCGGCGTTTTTCTGCGTCGACGGCTAGCTCGCCTTGGTGTGTGAGGAGGGCGGACCAGTCGGTCACGAGGGGGTTGTAGGATTTCCCGGCTGCGGGTTTGGGGACGGAGGGGTAGGGTTTGCCGGTTGCGGAGAGGGGGAGGGGGGCGTGTTTGAGGGTGCGTGGTTCGCGGGTCGGGATGGGGGGGTCGAGGTAGGTGAGTGTTGGGTCTTGGGTGACTTCGGTCGTCTCCGCCCATGGGTCGTGGAAGGTGGATGGTTCTTCGATGGTGACACCGCCTGCGGCATTGTCTGCTACGCTGCGGAGACGCTGGAGGTCTTTGTGCGAGACGTAGCCGCCGCTCTTGTACTTCTTCCTCCCTTCAGACGGGGCGAGGGGGGGATCGTTGGCCTTCCTCTTCCGCCCCTCCAGCCCAGGAACTGCGCTTCGTTGCCCGAGGATTTGCTCGCTTTTCAGCAACTTCCGCGGCTTCTGCTTCTTCTCAATCTCCGCATCGCCGACCAAGTCCGTAGCGAAGAGTTGGTCGGCCTCTTTCTCCGCCACCACCCCTCCTCTGATTATCTCCTCCCGCACGTTCTCCAGCCCGGATTGCACTTCGGTGATGTCCACATTCTTCCGCCACGCCTTCTTGCCTTTGCGGGAGGGTTGGTGATAAGACGCCGGCGCGGTCACTGCAACGTCGGCCATAGTTGTAGTATTTTCCCACACAAGCGAGTTGTAATGGTGGACGAAATCCGGGTTCTGCAGGAAATTCTACACCATCGGCGACTCGGCCTATGTGCTTGTACAGTTGGCTAGACAGTACAACAGTCCCGCGCATTCGCATAATACATACATAATACTCCTGGTACACTTTAGAGTAAGGCGAACTTACTCGGCTATACTAATAACCCCCTCGACAACGCCAGCCAACACCTCCATCTCCATTGCAAAACAGCCCGGCATAGCATCGCGCATCCAGCCAAGATCCAGCGGCATAGGAGAAGGCGACACCGTTCCTCAAATAGGATATCGCCATTGCAAGCCCGTTGGACTCGAAAGCAATCACCGAGCACCACCTTACCCCTTACCGCCGCCATGGCCGCCTCAAGCGCCTACACCAACCCGCTGAAGAAGTTCAAACTCGTCTTCCTCGGCGAGCAATCCGTCGGCAAAACCTCCCTCATCACCCGCTTCATGTACGACTCCTTCGACTCCACCTACCAGGCCACCATCGGCATCGACTTCCTCAGCAAAACCATGTACCTCGACGACCGCACCGTGCGGCTGCAACTCTGGGATACCGCGGGCCAAGAACGCTTTCGCTCCTTGATCCCCTCCTACATCCGCGACTCGAGTGTGGCGGTGGTGGTCTACGATATCACGTCCCTGAAATCCTTCCAGCAGTGTCGAAAATGGGTGGACGATGTGAGGGGGGAGCGGGGCCAGGATGTGATCATCGTTCTGGTGGGGAATAAGACGGATCTGGGGGAGAAGCGGGAGGTGAGTGTGCAGATGGGGGAGGAGGAGAGCAAGAAGTTGGGGTGTCTGTTCGTCGAGACGAGCGCGAAGGTGGGGCATAATGTCAAGGGGTTGTTTAAGAAGATTGCGCAGGCGTTGCCGGGGATGGAGGGGGAGGGGGTGCAGGGGGCGGCGAATAGTATGTCCTCCATCATTCTTTTTTCCCTGTCGCAGGAGCAGATGTGGTGTGCGAGAGTGGGCGTCTGTGCTGACGTGATTGGAACAGCGATCGATGTCAACGTGAACCCGCAGAAGCCGGAAAGTGAGGGCGGGTGCAATTGCTGAGGCCTACACTCCTAATGGCATGATTTTGGATTCCGGTACATATTGCGTGAAAGGAGTCGACCGCATTAGCGACGAAAAGCGAGTTGCTCGAGCATGGGGGGAGCGGCATTTGCAACATTAAAGGCATGGAGCGAGGCGTTAGGAGCACGCGGTGTCTTTGAGAAACGGTGGCGCAGGGCATATGGCGGGACGGAGTTGGTGTTGGCGAAGGAGGCAAAAGGAATTGGCCACTGCCCTCTCGCGGGGAATCAGACGGCAAGGCAATACAGGTCGACTTGTACAGAGGTGGTAGAGTGAGATCGGCTGCGATGAGCAGGCTGATGGCGGCAGTACCGCAGCGCGTTTCATCGTACACTAGCTCTACAAGCACACGCAAGGGTCCGAGAAGCACAGACGGTTCGACTGCGGACTATGAGTGACCCTTCGCAACAGCCGACATTGGCGGTCCCGTACCGCTTCTCGCCCGCCTCTCACGCTCCCCAACACCCTCACTGGGTACTTGCAGCTTCATGCCTTTGGCGCCCTCGAGTCTGCTCGAAGTCTGCCTCGCCCACTCGTTCTCGCTCTCATCCCGCCCGAGCCAATACCGCTCCGAGGGCCACCGAAGCATCACGCGCCCCAGCTTGCCGCGCCAGCCTTCACTCTCCGCTCTTCCGCTCGCAGGTTGGAATGGGTTCGCGCCCATACTCGGGTCTTGAGATTGTGATTGGCTGTATCCCGCGCTTGCGCTGCAGCGTACGATGTAACTCCGCAGAATACTCCGAGCGAACGACAGCACGATCAGGCAGGCGTAGATGCGTACCACCCACAGCAGGACGAGGATGGTAAGACTCATCATCGAGCCGGACTGGAAGACCGCTTCGCCTAGCGTTCCCGCGCTGCTGGTGTTGTTGGCGGTACTCGCATACGCCGTCGCTTGCTGTCCCGCCATCATGCTCGGTGCGGGCGTGGCCACAATCTCGACTTTACTGACGTTGTTGTATTGCGGGTTGGTGAAACCGGCCTTATCGTTCATCATACCCATGCCCAGCCCGTCTCCCACTGCGCCGGCGATCGTCTCTTGACCCATCTGCCTAGCAAGCAACACGAACCATCCCGATGCGAAGAGTAGAGTATACACACTACTGACCACCGCATCAACCACGTACACCCACGCCAACGCCAACGTCTTCACCACTCCGTTAACATGATTACCGCTACCATCGTGGCGCGGCGCACGGATCGCGGAGCTCAGGTAGCAGACCAAGACTAGGATTACAAGGTTGTAGATGTAGTGGGAGAGTTGGAGGAAGTTGAGGTGGTAGCCGGTGAAGAGGGCGAGGATGCCGTAAAGGCCGGTGACTTTGTTGATGGCGAGGGCGAGGAGGAGGAAGGAGGTGGCGGGGCGGAGGGGGATGAGGTTGAGGAAGGACTGCAGAGACTATGGATCAGTGACCTGGGTGTCTGGTGGCGGTGGTGAAGGGATGATGTACTTACTCGAGGGTGTGGGAAGTGTGATATAGGCGCCATTAGTGATCTCGGCCTTTGGATGGGTTCAGCAGTGTGTCGCGTGTGGTATCGCGTGACCTGGTATTAATGTCGTTACTGCGGCTATGTTCCCGGCTTGTTACTATCCATGCGGCATACGATGATGCGAGCAAGTAGTCTAATGTAAATGGTATAATGTATAGAGTCGTGAATGTTGAAGGTTCGCCGCCGGAGACGTGCGGAAGTTGCGCTGCTGCCATGCTCGAACTTTCTCGGATGTCAGAAAGCCGAGATTGGCGAGTTCGGTTTCGCTTCGGTCGGTGCCGGAAAGGAACATGAGAATATTGCGAAGCTGATTTAATGAACATCACCTCGTCTCTCCAAATGCTGTTTGAGTTCCGCTTCGTTCATGTTGTTGTTCCCCTTCGAGCTCTGTGAGCGTTCTCTTTCCCTCACGCCACGTCTCCTTGGGTCTCAAGGCCTTCCAAAGCAAGGCATAATCCGGCCGAGCCTTGTCCTTCTCCACGACGACGACCATGGTTTGTCGCGTGTCTAGAACTGTGCAGCACTTTGCAATGGCCGCATCCACAGTCGTGTTGAGCTTTTGCACTTTCAACCTTCATGCCACTGCAATGTGAAGCATTTGCGAACGCGCCGCTACGTCCAGACCTCATATGAAGCTTGCTGCTGTATCTCGTGACAAGCGAGGTGCTCACCCCATTTCACTCTCCACCATCACGCCTACGGGAGGAAGCGTCTCTGAAGCTGCGGCTGTACTCGTAGTGGCAGATGTTGTTGTCGCCTCTTCTGCTTGCGCAGCGGCCGCGTCGGCCTTGTTCACCGCCTGCTGCACAGCAGAGGCAACAACCTCGGGTCCAAATAGCGAGTCCCTCTCCGCGCGTTCACTGTCCAAACTCAACTCCATACCCGGCAGACAGAACAGATCATCCGTATTCGCGATGTCCGTGACAGCGCGCTTGCGAGCGGCATCTTTGGCATCGCAGCCACCGGCGTACTGACGGAGTGTGATAGCGAACTCCTCAGCTTGAGGTCTAAGCTCAATCGGGTTGAACAATACTCCGCGGTAGGAGAGATGTGGCAGATGCGGCAGCTCGAGGAGGTCACCGTTGAACGGTAGCAGCTCGTGCAGTGGCACGTAGCCTGCCCCTTCTCTTTCGAGATGAGTGGCAAGTGTAGGCGCATCGGGCCCAAGCAAGAATGGCTCCTCTTCCGGGTGGTTCGACTGTCGTGAGACTTCCGAGCCCTTCTGCCCTTCAGTCTTCTCTCGCAGAAACTCTTCCGGTATCTGCGAGAGGTCGTTATGGACGGTTGCGAGCGGTACGGGCGGACATAGCACGTTCCAGCCTCTCGCTCGCATCAGCTCGAGCAGAAACTCCATCCATGCCGGTTCCGTCTCCGCAACCACCTTCTTCGTCTTCTCTGCTTTACCGGTGTGGCTCGCGGTGATGCGGTTGCTTACGAAGTTATGCAGGGCAGCCCACTTGTCACCGAAGATTAAGCAGGCTTTGGAAGAGGGCGCCTGGTACAGGAAGGGAGCGCTGCTGGATTGGTTGTAGCTCTTGTTGTCCACAAAGCGCGGCGAGTTCATGTTGGCGACGATTGGCGGGTTAAAGCCGTCACTGCCGTTGATGAAGTTGCTAGGCACGTCCAGCGATATGCCTAGCAAATGCTCGGCTTCCGGTATGGCGTAGGATGAGTATTTGTACTCCAAGATGACATAGTGTAAGTATTGTAGGTATAGAGGACTGAGTTCGGCTTCGGCGGAGAGGACAAGCACATGATGGTCATTCAGGTTCTTCGGATAGAAAGACTCCAAGAAGCGCACGGCCGCATGTTCGGAGCTCAAATGAGCGCTGAAGACGCGGTGCCGTACGGTCAAAGTGCTCGGTGCCAGTGGAGACGCATCATCGACTGGAGGCCAATTGACGGATTCCAAGAACCTTCGAACGAACGACGTGACTTCTTGAGGCAGCTCAATGGACAGCTTCGGCACTCGCAGCCCACCATAATCCGCTCCTTCTAGACTCTTCACGAGCCGCAGTAGCCCTCCTGAGCTGTCCGGTGGTGCGTGTATGAGGATGTCTATCGTAGGCCTAAACCAATTGCGCAAACCGCCGGAGTCCAAGCGTGTCATCCAGAAGAACTCCTCGTACCGGCCAGTAGGTATCTCGATAATCGGCCGGCGCATCTTCGCTCCTTCCAGCCGCATAGCTCGAACGAAAAAGTCGTCTTCCTCACTACTGTCGTCCATGATCATGGCTTGCGGGTGCATGAAATCCCATACGTGCCGCATTGCCGCATGCACCGAGGCTTCGGCGCGGTCGTCGGTACTGTAATCGGTGTAATCCGGCCGACCGTCGTGGAAGTATACATTACAATCATCAAGGGTCACGCCGTTGATCGTCAAAATATCGTCTAGTGACAACGGATCGCGGCCGAGCAATATCATGTGGACGTAGTTCCTGTCCCAGCGAGCCATCTCACAAGCCATGGGGATGAGGTTGGCCGCGCTTTTAAGCGAAGACACCGCGAACAGAATGTTGCGGTTGTCCGGCTTGCCGCCCATCGTCCGTACAATGCCGTGCAAGCTCGCCGCCAGCCGGTAATACTTGAGAATGCCTTCATAGTAATGCTTGTCCGAGCCCTCGCCAGATCTTGCAACTCGCTGCCTCGGAGGCGGGCCTATGGGCTCTTGCAGCTCTGATCCCGGTCGTGGAGCTGGAAGTGGAAAGCTGGGCGACGCGCGAATAGCGTCTAAGGACGGGATCCATCCCGTCGACAGCAGATGAACACCATAGCAGAGCGAAGCTGTCACCGCGACGGCCCACAGCAAGCGCCTCTTGCGCCAGCGCCATGGCTGCAGCAGACTCGATGCCGTCGGACTCCTCCTCGGCTTAAGATCGTCACTGCGCTTCCCAAGCTCTTCGTCTTTCTCGTGGACGCGGTCATGCGGGTGCATACTGTGCTCCCTGGACACGGCTCTACCTCGACTCGTGGGGCGGAGGATGCCGCCTAGCATTTGGGTTGCGATTTCCGCTAAGGCATCGCCGCGGGTAGAGAGTGACACAAAGTAGGCAAAACAAACAACTCGAGCAGAGAAGAAGTGTATGTGTATAGAAGCTTCGAAAAGCTCCCTATCTATCATTTACATGTTACCCCATGCAGGAGCGTTGTTAAATTGGCTTAGCGAGGAGATAGCCTTTCGAGCCAATCTGGGAGCCGTGTGGGGCTTGCGGGACGGGTAGGCATGTACAAGAGGGCAGTCTTCGCCATCCGCTATTCTGCGCCTTAGCGAGCATAACATGGCAATGTTCTTGCGAGGCTCTTCGGGACACTTTGCGAATCGTGCAGGATCACTCTCCGGGTCCGTGGGAGTAACGTTGTTCGATCGACAGCCTCCCTGAGCGTCCGCAGTCGAGGCACTCAGCAAAAATGGATTTCACCCTACCGGACAAGAGCTCACCAGACCTCCGCCTGGTCATGGCCACAACCGAGGAGCATCTTGCACAGCAGAATGCCAACAGTGAGGAATGGCGGGGTGCTCTGTCACTGGAAGCCTACCTACGCCGTGAAGACCATCTACTGAACCAAGCATTGACGCAAGACGGCGGGCTTACTCCGTGGATGCTTGTCTATCAACCTCCGGATGGTGGTCCTCGACATTCACTATGTGGTTGTGAAAGCATAAAAAAGAAAGCTCTGGTTTCCACACACGGCCGTGTCGAGGACGTGGTAGCACACGGAATCGCCAGCGTGTTCTGCCCACCAAAGTATCGCGGCAAAGGATATGCTGGGCGGATGATGACAGAACTTGGCAAACGACTGAAGACATGGCAGGTTGCCGAGGGCTCGCATAGTGCGTTTAGTGTACTGTATTCGGACATTGGTAAAGACTTCTACGCTGCTCGCGGCTGGCAGCCTTTCCCATCAGCGCACATCACTCTGCCACCTCTGGCCACGCCGAGGATAGATGTTGAGGGTATTCAGACCCTGCAAAGTGAAGACCTTCCCAACCTCTGTGCCCTGGACGAGAAGCTGCTCAGAATCCGGCTATCGAAGCTGAAGGGCTCCAGCCGAACGACCGTAGCGCTCTTGCCAGATGTCACGACATTGAATTGGCACCACGCACGTGAGGACTTCGTCTCGACAGAGCTTCACGGTGGCAGGCCGGGCTTCATGGACGGTGGTCGTGGTGCTCTCGTCCAGACCAGCTCCGGATCACGCGTATGGTGCTACTGGACGAGAGTCTGGACGAATCCGCAAGAGGAAGCACCAAACACGCTGCACATCCTCCGCCTCGTGGTCGAAGACGAGCAGTATTCGTCGTTTGAGCCAGCATCCGAGCAGAAAGCGGTCGAACTCGAAGATCGAGACTTAATGATCAAGCATGCTCTTGCGCGACTACTGTGTATGGCACAGCTTCAAGCTCACGCATCTGGGATGAAGGAGGTGCAGATTTGGAATCCGACATTGCTTACCCTCGCCGCGGCACGCTTAGTGAAACCAAAGGCCGCAGTTGAGAACCGGGAGAAGGAGAGCATCGCAAGTCTGCAATGGTATGGCGGCGGTTCGTGGAAGGATATCGATTGGGTGTGCAATGAGAAGTATGGGTGGTGTTGAACATGATCCAATGCACGAGCAAATGCTGTCCACGAGGTCCTCGAGGTTATTCCATCGTTGCTCGTTGTCCGCGTTTGTGCGCGCCCAGCTCGTGTCACTCACGACTCCAAATGAGGGCTATGTGTTTCACGTTTTACGTTGCGATCTTTGTCGGACATCAGGCGCAAGAGGTTGTAAGATATGCCGCCGTTCATGCGTTTGTTTGTTGAGAGCATCAAGCCTGCCCACGCCACTTCGCGCATTCACCCCCCCAACCCCACCCACTTTCCCGGCGAAGATTCCGCTACTTTCATCTGAACCTCCAGCCAGACCCACTACCGTGCATGCGCCGAACACATCGCTGTCGTAATAGCTTGCTATCACCGCCGAGGGGCGATACGAGACGTTTCCATTCATGGACGGCGGCCACTTCTTGCCACCGACATCCCAGCAACCTTCGAGCGCGCCGCGTGGCTGAGTCGAGCCCACCTACTCCCACGGCCCAAGGGTTGCCCGCTAGCAGCAACTCTCTTCTGACATCACACACGCCTTGGGCAGCACAGAAAGCAGGCCAATTCATTATACTTCGCCGGCAACGGCTGAAAAGCCGACGACCACCTGAGCCCCCTCGTAGACTATTCTACCGAGTAGGAGCAGGCTAGGGTTGCAAATTGCGCAAGCGTCGCCTATCAACTTGGTGGACTCGACGTCCGGCTTGCTGCCGTGACTGCTGGCTCTGCCGACGCCTTGACTTTTCCCGGCGTGCCCTCTGCTTCTCGACCACTTCTCACCACTTGCTATTTCTAAGCGGACGCCGCGTACTTGCCATATCCGGCAAGCGGACTGTGCTCGATATCTTGTTTCCGCAGCGCTGCCGCTGCGCAGATTGTCCGGCCCAAAGTGGATCACCCCACGTGCTCGACCTTGTCGACATCATTCTTCTTGATCACGTTTGTAGGAACCGTCAACGCCGCGCCGACTCAGCGTCAGGCCGGCTTCTCCACGGCTGCTCGTTGTGAGCAAGCCGTGTCGCCAAGATGAACGAGGATGCAGCGGTACAGGAAATATACCGCAAGATCGAACGGGAGAAAGCCATCATCAATGCCGCCAACTCGCTCCGGCAGGCCACGAACAATGCGTCTGTGCTCTCGCGTGGTGAGTCGCAGATACGCGATGCACGAAGGAACATCCAGTATTTCGAGCAGAGACTACAAGAGCTGCGGACCCGGAAGATGGGCGGTGATATGAGCAACATGTCAATCTCTGGTAATGGAGGTCCCCCACCGCCACAGCATGGCGGGTCGAGTGCTCCTGCACGAACGGGAGCGGGCATGAACAATCAGCAGAACTACCATACCCGACAAGCCGACTACGGCGCACCGGCTGCTGGCGGATACAGCATGGGTGGAGCACCTGGCCTCATGCCACCAAGGGCACCATATGCGCCACCCGGACCTGGAGACAGGTCACCGCGAGCTCGACCTAACTACAGCAAACTCGAGCTGATCAAGTACGACACCCAACACCTTGGACCGCGAATCCAACTAATGCTGTCGCAACTGGAATTCAAGCTAAGCGTGGAGAAGCAGTACAAGGACGGCATAGAGAAGATGGTCAAGCTGTATCAGATGGAGAGAGATCGCAAAAGTCAGGCAGATGCCGAGCATAGACGTGTGGAGTCGAACCAGAAGATACAGCTGCTGACACGTGCGTTGAGGCGCTACGAGGACCTGCACGTCGGTATTGAGGACTCTGCGGACGCAGCTGATGACGAGAGCTTGGACACTCCGACCCAGCGAAAGCCATTGACGGGTCACTTGACCGTACGGATACACGCCGTTGCCGATGTGGATCACGCATCGACCGGCCGTTTCCAGAGAGGGCCCGAGACCTTCGTGATCATGAAGGTTGAGGACGCATTTAAGGGCCGAACGAAAGCCACGCGGATAGATCGCTGGACGGACGAAGCTCACGAGTTTGACTGTGATAAGGCGAATGAGATTGAGTTCACAGTATACGACAAGTCTGGCGAGCAAGCAGTGCCTATCGGTCTGCTGTGGATACGGCTCGCAGATCTAGTGGACGAGATCAGACGGAAAAGGATCGAGACAGAGTTCAACCAAGCGGGGTGGACCACGGCGGAGAAAGTGGACGGCGGGCAGACTCGACCTGACTTACAGTTTCAGCCTCCGCCCAATGCACAGAGCTTGCAGGGTGGCGCTGGTGTAACGGCAGCAGCAGCTGGTGGTCCTCCGGGTTCGGGCCTGGCGCCGCAGACTGGCCCTATCTTCATTGACGCCTGGTTCTCTCTTGAGCCTGTTGGACGGATCCAGCTGACCCTGGGCTTCGTCAAGCAGGTCAAAGATCGAAGACCATTCGATGTTGGTCTTAACCGTAAAGGTGCCGTCAGGCAGAAGAAGGAGGATATCGTTGAGCAGTACGGCCACAAGTTCACCGTGCAAACATTCTACAATATCATGCGTTGTTCGCTATGCGGCGACTTCCTCAAGTATACGGCCGGCATGCAGTGCGCGGACTGCAAGCTCACCTGTCACAAGAATTGCTACCAAAAGGTCGTAACGAAGTGCATCAGCAAGTCTAACGCCGAAACCGATCCGGACGAGGAGAAGATCAACCATCGTATTCCTCACCGCTTCGACTTCTTCTCCAACATGGGCGCCAACTGGTGCTGTCACTGCGGCTACATACTACCTATTGGGCGCAAGCAGTCACGGAAGTGCTCCGAGTGCAAACTTACCTGCCACGCCAATTGCGTGCATTTCGTGCCCGACTTCTGCGGCATGAGCATGGAGTCTGCAAATCAGATCCTGGCTGAGCTGAAGGTAGCGAAGAGCAAGGGCGCAGGCCAAGGAAGAATGTTGCAGAATAGCAGCAGGCTGAGGCCGCCGTCCGGGGCTACATCAGGCCGGCCGACGCCGACGCCGAGCCAGCAAAGCTTCGTGCAAGCCCCCGGCCACCAGGAGCAGATCACGGCTGCCGCTGCCGCTGAGGCCAATAAGCAGGAACGCTTCTCGTATGGCAAAGAAAGAATATCCGATCAATTTATGGATCCGCCGCCGCCACGAACGTCTTCTTTCGGCCCGGGCGTGGATCCTGTAGGGGCGGCGAAGGCTTCAATGAACACGCCACCTTCGCCCGATAGCGCTCAGAGACCAGGCGCGCATCGTTCGCAGTCATCGCAGACCTCCGCTGCGCCAATGACGGCCGCTGCTGCCGCCCAGGCTGCCTATACTGGCAAGCGTACTTCTGCGCAGGACCAGCAACGGCCTGGATATCAGCGAGGCTCGACCGACTATAATCAGACTGGCTCTCGGCCCGGTAGTGGCTACGCTGACGGGTACCATGAAAGCAAAGGTTACAGACCACCTCCGCAACAAGCACAGCAACCTGGACCTGTGCCGTACGAGCCTGCAGCGTACGCAAACGTAAGCGGGTACGGACACCCCGCCCAGCCGTCAAGTCCTATCCAGCAACAGCCCATAGCAGCGCCGCCGGTGAGGGCGCCGTATCAGCAGGCCCCCGCGCCTGTGCCGCAAGTACAACCTCCGGCGGTACAGACGCCTGCTCCGCCGCAGATAACAGCTGCGTCTCAAACACCCGTGAACGTTACTACACCGGCACAGGAAGAGCGGAAACAAGCACCACCCGCCAACACCGCTGGTACTGGCAGGCGCATTGGGCTCGATCACTTCAACTTCCTCGCCGTGCTTGGTAAGGGTAATTTCGGAAAGGTCATGCTAGCAGAAGCGAAGGCCTCGAAGCAACTCTACGCCATCAAGGTGCTAAAGAAAGAGTTCATCATCGAGAACGACGAAGTGGAGAGCATCCGATCGGAGAAACGTGTCTTACTTATCGCCAACAAGGAGCGGCATCCCTTTTTGGTGAACTTGCACGCTTCATTCCAGACGGAGACGCGAGTCTACTTCGTCATTGAATACGTGGCTGGCGGAGATCTCATGCTGCACATTCAGCGCGGCCAGTTTGGCACCAAGCGGGCCCAGTTCTACGCCGCCGAGGTGTGCTTGGCGCTCAAGTACTTCCACGAGAACGGCGTCATCTACCGCGATTTGAAACTCGACAATATCATGTTGTGTCTTGACGGCCACATCAAGATTACCGATTACGGTCTCTGCAAGGAGGACATGTGGTATGGTTCTACTACCTCGACCTTCTGTGGTACACCCGAGTTCATGGCGCCGGAGATCTTGCTCGATAAGAAGTACGGCCGCGCTGTCGACTGGTGGGCTTTCGGTGTATTGATATACCAGATGCTGCTGCAACAGTCACCTTTCCGCGGTGAGGACGAGGATGAGATCTACGATGCTATTCTAGCTGATGAGCCTTTGTACCCGATCCACATGCCAAGAGATAGCGTGTCGATTCTGCAGAAGCTGCTGACGAGGGAGCCCGAATTGAGGTTGGGCAGCGGACCGACTGACGCGCAGGAGATCATGAGCCATGCTTTCTTCCGGAACATCAATTGGGAGGATATCTACAATAAAAGGGTGCCCGCGCCGTTCGTTCCGACGGTGAAGAATCGCGCGGATACTAGTAACTTCGACTCGGAATTCACGAGTGTGACGCCGGTTCTGACGCCGGTGCAGTCCGGTAAGTCTATCGGCGTGGTACTAGTTTTTGTTCTGAGGTGCTGACGTGTGCTGCAGTTCTTACGCAAGCGATGCAAGAGGAGTTCAGAGGCTTCTCTTATTCTGCGGACTTTGTTTGAGGGTATGAATGATCGGGTGGGTACGACGGGAGACTGCATTGATGCGTGCATGCATTCGAGAGCTGGACTGCCTGGGGTAGGAATGGTCCATTTGAGATACCCGACGTTATACACATTCAGCATGGTATTTCCACTTGTTCGGTTCTTGCAAGTCAGTGGGTGGCTGCTATACCGGTACGCGCCGCGTGTGTTGTTTGAGCTGGAGGCTCGCCGTGGTTTGGCAGTTGAAGCCACAGCAAGGTCGGTGAGGATGTTTTGGAGGGAAGACGACCACGGAATCACCTCGGATTGACGACTATGAGAGTCCACGAAGGTACATGCAAATGATAGACCCTATGACCATTCTCGAAGCTGCTTCCTGCGTATGATCTGTGCAACCCTACCACAACATGACTGCGGGTCGGTACTACTCATGGCAAAGACTAATTCTCTTCGTTTTCGAATATAACAGTACCTTAGTGATCCAAGCCGCCGTTGACCTTCCTCGGCCTGTGTAGGGTCCTTGCAAACAGACCTCCACCAACATGTGACTTCCTTCCCAGAGCGTCCTAGCGTAGTGACATCACTGTGCCTTCCGTAGCGACGCGAAAACGCGATTCCCCAGCGTGCCGGATGTACTCTGGCAGCTGCAGCACCGTTCGCCACGATGTTCGAGTATCCACAAAGACAACACGCTACCCCCAGCAAAGATGTTCGACTGGGCGAAGCACGCCGTCGGCATCTCAGAGCCAATATATGGCCCCTCCGCCATTCAGAGTGTGGCCGAGCAGGCCAAAACGACGCCTTATCGCGAAACGACCAAGGATGATCTCGCCTGGGAACTGATCGATTCCACCAACGTCGAGACCAAGACCTTTTACATGACGAGCGACGACGGCCACATTGGACTAGTGCAAGTCATCTACAGCAACGTCCTGGGCGTGCGCAAAACGGCGCAATTCAGCGCGAAGATCTTTCGGCCCGATGGCAAGCATCTCTGGGCATCTGACAGCCTCAATGACTTCGCGTTCTCAAGCGACAAGCAGAGTTTCAAGTCAAAGGAGGGATGCAGCATGGACATCAGCGAAGACGGCAAGAGCTACGTCGTAAAGTCCACAGTCAACAAGAGCAGTGTGGTCGACTTGAAGTTCACGCAGTCACTCCCCGGCTTCGTGGCGGGCGAGAATGGTACGTCTACTTTCGGCACGGATCCGAAGAAGCCTTGGGGTCGCATGAAGCACATCTTTTGGCCGCGGTGCCAAGTTGAGGGTTCGATCATAACCGCGGAAGGCCCGGTGGACTTCAGAGGCCGAGGCATGTTCGTGCATGCGTTGCAAGGCATGAAACCACACTTTGCGGCGGCTAGATGGAACTTTGCCAACTTCCAGTCGCCCTCCTACTCGGCGATTGTGATGGAGTACACAACACCCAAGTCGTATGGCGAGACTGTTGTCGCAGTTGGCGGCATCGCGACAGAGCTGGGCATCTTGATCGCAGGAGCCTCACCAGACATCAAGGCGGAGCACACGCAGGTGAAAGGCGATCCCGACAATGCCTGGCCTGAGCCCGGATCAGTCTCGTTCAAGTGGAGCGGCACGTCAGCGGAGGGTAAGGTGGTGTCGGCAAGCCTGGATGGTGACATCCACCCGCGTACCGACAGAGTGGATGTCATGGGTGAGTTGCCCAAGTTTGTGAAGCAAATCGTCGCTGGAGCGTCGGGAACGAAGCCGTACATTTACCAGTATACGCCAAAGCTAAAGATTCGCGTCCAAGTTGGAGAAGAAGTGCAGGAGGAAGAAGGTCAGTTACTCATGGAAGCGACATTCATATCTTGAGCGTGGTCTATTAGAGCTTGTACCACAGCATGCCATAACGATGTATGTATATGTGGGAAAGGGGATGAAATGCTGTCAATGCCAATGTTTACCGTTAACCCGTTTAGCAACGCAGGGTTAGCTCGGCGGTCCGAGCGTCTTGCAGCCTTACTTCACAAACCAATGTTCTGCTTGACATACTGAGCAGTGAAGTACATTTGTACGACACAGATATGGAACATCCATTCACTGGCGTGTAAGGCAGCGATTGCTCTAACGGATTTCCGACTTTGTGCGAGACATGCTTCCGTTCCATCGCCCACCGTACACATAGTCGTCGCCGTCATCATTAGCCTGAAGATATCCCACACTCCCAACAGATCAATATGCCAAGCCTAGCTGGTCTGAATCTCCTACGCTCCGATGTTAGCGGTAGTCGAGCATTTGCCCGCAAAGGACCCATCGGCGGAAAAGGCGGGAAGGGAATAGGCCTCGGAAGAGGCAAGACAGCTGCCCGTCACCGGTATGGTTGATCCACCTTGCACTTCTGCCTGACAGCCTGCTGAAGTCTTCGTAGCAAGGTTCTGCGTGACAACATCCAAGGGATCACCAAAGGTGCGATCCGGCGCATGGCACGTCGAGGCGGCGTCAAGCGTATCTCTGCGGCCATCTACGATGAGGTTCGCACCACGCTGAGGGTATTCCTAGAAGGCGTGAGACTTGACATGGTATCATAGTTATCCCGAGACAACTGCTGATTACGCTTCTTCAGGTGCTCAGGGACACGGTTGGAGTGGTAGAGCACTGCCAGCGGAAGACCGTTACTGTTCAGGACGTGGTCTTCGCTCTCAACCGTCAAGGCAGGACGCTTTACGTATGTACTACGTTCGCGAGTCGTAACGTGAGGTATACACTGACATGATGCAGGGTTTCGGTGACGCCGTGCGGTAGTTTAAAGCGGTTTGAGGGCTCCGTTGTCGCTTTCGGTTCCATCAAGATCGACGGCACGGCGATGTCACTAAGCGCTCGTCAGGGCGTCGCGGTGAGGGAGCGCCGTGCAGGCACAGTCATGCATTTTGCGGCGTAACACTTTCGTCACGCTTGAGCGGCGCTGACATGCGATTGAACATCAAGGATCGGGCGTTAGTACTTGGGTTGCTGTTTCATGATACCCACCGCGTTCGACACCGTACCATAGCATTGCGCAAAGGCAGGCAACATGCACTTATTGTACTGTCAGACTGAGACCTACCATCCACGCGGTGATCATGGCTATAACACTCGTCAAAGCCGCCATTGAAAAGTTCACCCCGTTGTTCGTGAGTAGATCCCAACCAGTCTGCACTCTGGCCCCACCTGCAGCAACCTTGACTCTTTGCCCACCAGGTCCTTCGACGACTTTGCCTGTACCTTTGTCCGTCACGGTAGCCTGCATTACAGCACCGAGCAATGAATCGATGACACTTCCCAGGAGGCCCATAACCGTGAGTAGGACGGCAGCCGGGACGTTGATGGCTGCGTTTGGTGGCAACGAGTACAAAGCAGGCGATGCCGTTATGACAAGCAAGAAGCCACCAACAAGACCATACAGCAATCCATCAACTGTCACGCCTCCGTTCGTCCCCCGAGGTACTCGCTTCCACGGTGCGGTGATAAGGAAGGGGGTCGTCTTAGCCAATATACCAAGCTCCGAGCTGAATGTGTCCGATGCGACGGCGGCGTATTGCGCAATTATACCCACTGGCAACACTCGCTTCAGGCCCGGCATATATGGACTGGGCGACAACGGTAGGTGAGAAGAGATGAATGGCGTGCTATTCGAAAGCCACGCATGCAACAAGATCAAAACGCATGCGGTACCGGAGTTGGCGAAGACTTGCGCGCTCGTCCTTGCACCCTCGCCGCCGCCACCCCCAGAAGATGACTGCGTCAAGTCCGCTTTCGCCTTGTGCCCGATGCGTGTCACTAGCGTACCGAGCAGGAAGAAGATGATGAGTAGCCAGAAAAACGCGGGCCAGGGGTGCAGCATGTGTACGAAAGCCACTGCGATTCCAGCGATGATGCCGCCAGGTGTGAGTTTGTTGCGGATCAGGGCGTAGCCGACGAGACCTGCGGTGGCGGTCATTTGCGGTAGGTGACTGCGACCAAAGGCTCCGATGTCCATGATGTCCATGGTCACTGTGGCTGTGGCTGTGGATCGCTCAGGAGGGATTGCAGCTTCACCTGAGTATGCAACAAGGTGCTTCAGACGCGATGCACTTTACTACTGTCACTGTGAGCCTGTCGACGTTATTGTTGCTGCCAACGTCAGGATGCCATGCAGTCCCTACGTTCAATATCCCGGCGCCGGCACCATGGATCGCACCGCCTCGATCCGGCTTCCGACGATCGCTAGGGCGAGGGGCGGCCGCGGCGGGCTCCTGCATGGTGCAGTTGCATCGGCGTCGAGACCGTAATAGGCGCAAACCTTCGAGTCCCTTCTCCACATCAACAGTTCACACCTCACTGTACAGAGACGTTCGCTTTGGAGCAGACTTCAGACCCGACTTCCTGTACTTGAGCCTGTCCACAGGGGCGACTTGCAAATCAAAACCGTCTTCTCCTGTCTCAAATCAAGACGCGCTGACTCCGCACGCTACGCGAGTCACAAATATAAGCGCTTTGGGGCTTTGCCAAAGCATCTGTGCTTTCGAATGTTGTTGACTTGTGGGCCAAGCCAGGATCAGGGGACTTTCAGCCGGCCTTCCTAGCTGTTCCAACATCACGCTCCGCCTTGCTACCTGTAATTTGGAGGAGGATTCGTCATTCACTGATCTCGGGCTGAAGTGCTTCACTACCGGTTGTTGACCCGAATCCTCTAACTCGGACGGTCCCAAACTCGACAGCGCGACATTTCGATTCTCCGGCACTAAATCACGTCTATATTTCATGAACAACCCGACCTCCAGGGCTTGTATTGCTCATAAGAGCACTACCGCTTATCTGCTTCTCTACCAGATATGCCGTCCCGGTCACGCTCAATCTCGCGGTCACCGCAGCCTGGCGAGAGGTCATCGACATTCGGCTTTTTCATATCTTCGAGGCCTTCGCACGCCAGCTCGCGGTCGATCAGCGTAGTAGACGTGCCGGCCCAGCGAGCAGATATGCAGAGAAGCCTCTCCACAGGCTTGTCTAGCCAAACGGCTGTTCGTAGTATGCGGAGACTGGAGGCTCGTCGTCAGATGGAAGAGAACAACTTCCTGACTTCGAAGGCACGCACGCAGAACCTCAACCCACCAATTGACATGCGATCACTGGAGTACGCCTTGCCGCCCGACGAGAACCTCATGTGTCCAATCTGCCGGTGTCCCTACGTCGACCCTGTTGTGCTTGCAGAGTGTGACCACTGCTTCTGCCGCGATTGTATACGGCAGTCCTGGGCATCGACATACAACCCAATGGGTCCTCGGGGAGACTGTCCAACTTGCCGTACGCCCGCTAAGCTTGGCTTGCGTTCTTCTACCAACAGGATCCTGACGAACATACTTGATGATCTACTGGTGCAGTGTCCAAAGAGCGAAGACGGCTGCACAGCTGTCGTCAAGCGGGGCGAGGTTCTAACCCACATCAATATCTACTGCGGTTACGCCTTGCAGGAGTGCACAGGCGATGACTGTGAGTTGCCCATACGACGCAAAGAGGCCCCCCGAGGCTGCCAACACTATGGTGTAAGTTGCATTGACTGCCACGAGTCTATGTACAAATCAAATTTGGAACTACACTGGCGATCGATGTGCCCGGATCGCAGAGTGAGATGCGACCTTTGCAAAGGAGATGTCTTCTACCGCGAGCTTGACGTGCACAGCAAAGAAACCTGCCCCGCAATCAGCATACCATGTCCTGGCGCTGGGCTCGGCTGTACGAGTCGCAGTAAGCGCTCCCTGGCTGAGGTGCATGCCAAAAGTTGCACTTTCGCGAAGCTTGCGCCAGTCATAGCAGCACAGAGCCAACGAATGGATGAGCACGAAGCGGCGCAGAGAGTCATGGGGAAGAAGCTAGAGGTACTGGAGACTGGCTTTGCGGCGATGGAGCAGATATTGTATCCTAAGTCGAACGCGGATGAGGGCGACTCCAGGATGGAAGAAGCAACCACCCTACCCGAAGACATGGCCGTCAGTGCGGCGGCATTCGTGTTTCCATCTCCACCACCGAGCGCAGGGCCAGAGTCGGGATTCCAACCCAACAATCGAATGACAGCAAACCCGCTTCCCGTTCGCAGTTTCCACGAAGCGTTACCCACCGAATTCGACACCGCATTCCCACCGCCTGCAGCAAACGGCCCATACACCTCTCCCTTACACCACCTTCTCTCTATGCATGAATCGCTGCGTGACGAGATGTCCCGCATGTCGTCTGCCCTTTCCGAGCTTGATGGCCGCCACAGCATGGCGACGCTCAACGAGAATCTGCGCACACGCGAGGAGATCAGCTACCTAGGCGCACAGGTGGCGGGGTTGAGCCGACAGGTGCATTGGTTGACTAGCGCGCAGTTGCAAAGACAACAAAGTGCTTCTGCTGCGAGTGGGAGTGGAGCGAGTCTTGTGGCGGACTTGGCTGGTGCCGGTGCTGGAGTAGAGACAGCGGTGAACACGGCTGCCACGGCTTTAAGGGGCGCCGCGAGAGTGATCAATGTTGGACAGGGTATGAGGCGGGGGTTGAGCGAGGAAGGGCGGACGAAGCTGTGAAGCGTAGCCTGCCGCGGCATGGTGTTAAGAACACGGACGGTCGTGGTCAGCAAGCTGCGCATGCATGCATTTCGAGACTCGCGTGCTGCCTGAATGGTGATGTGTTACGCGCTTGCACCCCCGAGTCGAAGATTATATCTCAGAAGCGACACGCCACATGCGAATTAGACAAACCATGGAGAACAAGTCAGGCGCCACGGCAGGACGAAGGGCGAGTCCGCCGACTGAGCCATCGGTATTACCATGCTATTACCTGAAGCTCACTCCCGGGCTCTGGGACGAGGTCTACGAGCTTGTCTTCACCGGCAACACCACCGCCGTCAGCTTCTGCACGCTTTTCAAGCCGAGTCCACGCGCGAAACTTGATCGGGCACCCGAATTGGTGCTCGCCGACCACCAGCTGCATTCAAGAACCCACTTCATCTACTACGAGTTGACTAGATTCAACATCCTCGACAATCTTACTACCTGTGGATGCTACTGGGAGATGTTTACCTCCCAAGATTCAGGGGCAATGCGCTACGTTACTGCGGATTCGACAGTTTCGCCGCGTAACTGCGTCCCATGGGCAATGAGGGAAGCTTCGAAGCAGGGATTGACCAAGACGGCCAATGGAAATCGGCCGTAATTCAGCGCACGCGGTGCGTGACACGCTAGGCGACAAGATCGCGACTGTTAAGGTCACTGTGCGCCTGCCCAACGGACAGAGAGTGTGGACTACAACACCGGAAGCGACGTTCGAGCGTCTGGTAGGGGTGAAGAGATGCGAAGATGCTGTGCTGGTCGGAGACGAAGAATGTGCTGATCACATTGTCCCCGCTGCAAGATGCATAGATTGCGAAGAGCCCACGCACTCACCACCGGCCCGCTGGAGGAACTGGAAGCCCCTAAGGCGGCGAGACTGGACTTTGCCCGCTTCATTGCCTACCAGCGCGCTTGATCATAAGAGCATAGTCACTGTTCCACCACTCCAAGATATGCTTGCTGCTACGCGTACGTATGAGCTCATCATCGTGCCTTTCCTTACTATAATACATGGGATACCCGCAGTTGCTCGCTTCGTCCGTGCTTCCAACGGCCGTACTTATTCTTCGGGCTCTTCCCTCCATCGTCACCCGACGTGCAAGCATTAACACCAAATCCGTCGAAGGCCAAGCCATGGGATCTATAACAAGCACATTAAAGCCACCATCACGGCCTAGAGGAGCATGCCGTCTCCTGAAGCTTCCATGTGAGCTACGGCTGCGCATCTACAGATACGTCTTCGCTGACAACACGGTGTCCGTCACCTTCTCGCTCGACCACCCGGCGTGGCCAGAATCGGCCTGTGGGGCGCCAGGAATCTTTCCGGCAAATAAGCAGGCCTTCGAGGAAGCAACCGACATCTACTACGATCTTACGGCGTTCATGGTGCAGTCGGGAAGCCAACGGTTCAACCAGTTTGATCAAGCATTCTATATGCCTCGCAATCTCCAGATGTTGAAGAATGTTCGGTACGACACCTATGCAGACCTCGAAGAAGAACCTTCTAGGGATAGGTGGGTGCGTGAAGTCATCTGGGATCACGAAGGCGCCGTGGGCTGTGGCGAGTGACACTGTTTCGTCGACAACACGCTGACGCTACTGGGGGAGCGCCTACGGGGCACTGCTGCAACGTTGCGAGTGAGCCTCAAAGCGAAGGATGATCAGAAAGTCTGGTTTGCTATGCCGATACAGACGTGGGACCGGCTCGCTGATGCTGCGTGGAATACGGCGGCTCTGCAGGGTGATGCCTTGGGGGAGGAAAGGGACGTGCCGGAGCAGATGGAGTGGTTCGAGCATGTGAGGGACAAGGCGGAGCTGGTGAAGCGGCATATGAGGGTTCAGCAAGTCCTGGTGCAGAAGCGTTTGGGCAGAGGTTGAGCTTAGCGAGCCTAGTTGAAGCGATGCAATCCGAAGATCATGCTGCTGGATGCCTCAACAGGTACCATCCAACGCGCGGGCGTACCCTGTCTTGCAACTTTACTTGTAGAAAGCCAAGAGATCTAGCTTTCGTGTGCCTTCCTCATCTGCACCAAGAGCGGCATGCGCCGTATGACTCATTGACGCTTCCAGTGAAAACGTCCTTCTGCAACTCTCCGATTGACCACCACCATCAGCAGTACATTCACGACACGCAAGTCACCCTGTCAAGATGGCGACCACATCTACGACAGATGACCCACCTCAAGCTCCAGAACAAGCAGGTACACCAGTTCCTCGCTGCTACATGCTCGAGCTGCCTCGCGAGCTTCGAGATATGATCTATAAGCTTGTCTTCATCGGCCAGACCGCGTCCACCACCCTCTGCGCCTATAAACAGTCGTCGGAGGGAACTGCACCGGGCCGTGTCGTCGCCAATCGTTAGCTAGAGTCCGTGACACTACCCGTATACTACGAACCGACAGTATTCACCGTGGACGAAGATTGCTTCGGGAGCGGCATGCCGTCACTGTGAGAAGCTTGCCTGAGCGCCGTAGCAATGCTAGGCAGCAAGCTATGCGCGACGTTCGGTACGACCATGCGTTCTATTATTGGCCATGGTTCGAGGACCGCTCTTTGAGTGAGAAGGAGCATGACCGGGTTGAATGCGACTTTGCTCAAACTACGCTGGAGCAGATGCAGAGAGGGTTGGACGGGACACGTGCGACGGCTAGTGTCATCATTATGCTTGGTGACATACAAGCGACGTGGACGACTAACCAGCTGCAGGCATGGCGGAGGTATTATGGGGAAGATACCTAAACGAAGCTTTCGTGGCGACATGTCTCAAGGTATCGGGTATGCTGGGGTGGCAGAGAAGCCCTTATCAGCGGCAAGCGTATGTCACGGGCGAGCGTGTGAGGCTGGCAACCGCGGCACGATGGTTTCGAAAGACGCCGTGGCAATGATGATTTGCAGGTGCGGTACCTTGGTCTTCAAGGTCATTTACTAATTCTTTATGCAAGCACGTGCTGTCCCTGCCAATGCAATGCCTCTCCCATCGCCATTGCCACGAGCTGGAGCACGTGGTGCGTGCCTCCCATCATGGCACTGCTTGGGACCCAAGCGCATGGGCTTTTGCAGCTTCGTTAGTGCAGGGTCAAAATCCAGTCAGCTCGGCTTGCAGCTTTCATTGAGTCCGACATGCTGTAACCCTTCTCGTACATAGCCACAATCGTACCTCAATCGGGTGAGGCAGCCCGAGCCCATAATCGTCCATAAAGTTCAGACCATTATGTCTCATCCCCAACGTTCCCATTTGGCTCGGCGGCCACCTGCGGCATCTCGCCTCCATTGAGCTGAGCCAAACGCTCCTCCTCCTTCCTCTGCCTCGCCGCCTCCGTCTCCCTCCTCAAGGCCTCCAGATTCCACGCACCATCATCATCCTCATCACCATCGTCATCATCATCATCCTCATCCTCACTAGCCTGCCAATCGCCCTTCTCAAACATCGCCCTACCAGTGGCCTCCTTCATCTTCTGCGCCTCGGCCTCCGCAGCCTTCTTATCCAGCCGTTCCTTCTTCCACTTCGCAAACGACTCTGGGGTAACGGGCGTCAATGTCCCCGTCAACTTATGTCTCTCGCTCTCCAAGAAATCCTCCAACGTCAGCGTAGCCAACGGACTTTTATCCATCAACGCCTTCTCCGCCGCCCGCTGCTCCTTCGTCTTGAGCACAAACCCAGGCGGCAAACTATGCTTGTACATGCACTTGTCGCCTCCATTCGGACACGTCCAGAACCAACCATACTTCGCATTCTCCACGGCCTCAATGAAGAACTTGCACACCTTATCCGTCGTCGTCTTGGGATTGCCGTGTTTGCTCATCACCACACTGCGCAGCTTCTCCTCGTCCCAATCGGCCATATCGTCCTTCTTCTTCTCGTCCTCCTCTCCACCCTCGCCATCCTCGTCGCCTTCCCGCGTATCGGTGTACAAACTCCGCTTCTGCGTCTTCCGCTCTAGTTCGAGATCGTGGCTGAACTTGCATTTGCGTCCCTTGTCGCACATACCCTTCTTGAAGAACTGGCATACCACCGTCTTCGGGTCGACGCCGAACGGGACTTTCTGGTTGTTGACGGGTTTAAAGAGTTCGGCGGCTTCGAGCCTGGCTTTCTCGGCAGCGAGTTTCTCTTTCTCACGAGCGAGCTTCTCGGCTTCCTTCTTCTTCTCTGCTGGGCTGCCGGAAGCGGCCTGCGAGGCGGCGATCTGTTTGATCTGTTTCTGTGCGGCGCCACCTTTTTTGTTTTTCATGCCAAAGGTTTTGTCGTCGACTGTCGGCTTCTTCTTCGCTTTCTCCTGTTGGGTTCCCTTGGGCGCCATGGTGGGTGATCGTGGGCTCGTGAGCCTCGTATCCGGATATAGTTAGGAAGTATGGCTTCGTCGCCCCGGTATATACTAAATGTTTCGTGTTGCCGCGAATGGCCGTACGCTTCAGACTGCTGGCGAGGGAAAGCTCTCCATCTGATCCCGTCCTCTCCTTGCTGTGTTAGTGTCGAATGTAAATTGTGAAGTGAATGAAAGTTTCAAGACGAGCCCGAAGTGTGACGCCAGGGCACGTGCAAATCGTGGGGATGGTGGCGGTGGTTGCTTGGCGAGCGAGCGAGCGCTCGGCGTCGGCCAATCATTGACCCGAATGCCAGCTTTGGCAGGCACAGACTGCATGTGAACGGCCGACGGAGCCCTACCAATGCATCCAGCAGACCGATGACTGTGTGTGTCTCCCAAGTCTGCTCAGTATGTCGCATGAACCAACAACTTGTACAATCGGAAGCTGACATCCTCAAGTAGTAACACTCATCAGCAGCGACAATGATCTCCGACAACTCCCTCTACACCCTCGCCGTCTTCCTCGGCAGCGCCGCCATGCTACTCATCGTCCTCTACCACTTCCTCGAGATCAACGCCAAAGACGATATGAAAGCCGCGCCCGTTGTCAGCAACGAGCGGAAAGCCGATGCGCTGCCGGCCAAGGCGAGATGAGAGCAAGCTGAACAGGCTCCGGAGTGCTGCGTATGCAGATCGTTGGTGGGCCTAATCAAGCAATGGCTGTGGCTATGGTTGTGCGCGGTGAAAGAGGGAGAGGCCATGCGACGGCAGATACACGCACGCGATGGTTTGGGAGCTGAGGCATGCGCCGCAGGAAGGCCGAGCAAGCGAGTAGATTCATGGCCGGAAACCAACCGAGATCCGCTAGTACGTAGTCATATTGAGTTCGATTCCGGACAGGTAGCGATACTCATAAGATGCTAGACCTGCCCCCAAACTCAAAGCTGCACCGCACGAGAACCTCACTCTCCACCCCCTCGCTGCGAGTCCTCCCACCGCTCCCCCTCACTCTCAACCTCATCCTCAAAATCCTCATCATCCAAGAACCCCAACCTCCTCTTCCGATTCTCAAACACCGCCCCCGTCCTCCCAAACACGACCCCCACATCTTTCTTCCGCTTCTCCAAACCCTCCAGCTCCGCGTTCGCTTTCCGCTCGTCCATCGTCAAATGCATGCCGTGAGGCCCACGTATGGCTGCTGGCAGTAGGCTCGAAGTTGCTTCGGGTAGTCGGTAGTCGTCGAACGAAGGCCGGATGATAGGCGTGACGGATCGGCCGTGCGCGTCTGAGAGGTAGGCTTCGGAATCCGTGGCGTTATAATCTAGGTAATGCCGTTTCTGTCAGCCGTCCATCAGTACCAGCATCGAAATGGTACACGTTCACGACGGCTTGACGTACCAGAAGTTCCGCCTTTCGGCCCATCCCCCAACTCCCACGCCACAGGCATCAGATGCTTCTGGTTGACATGCTCCAGCCACGGCTCCAACGCCGCAAAAGTCGCCACATTTCCTTCATCATCCGCCTTGCCTTTGCCTTTCCCCTCTACATCCGGCACACACCCTGCCCATAGACATTCGAGTTCGCGGTTCTGGTTCGGCTTGCCGTGCACCTTAATGACATGCTTCTTCAACGTCTCAAGATTATGCAACTCCGCTTTGCAACCTCGCCACTTACACCTCCACACCTGATACTTCGGCTCGATCTCCACAACGGTCTTCGGTGGTTTAGTGTCCTTCGATGGCTTAGAGCCCTTCGCAGGGTCCAGGCCATTCACTTCCCGCGAATGCACGGCCTTGCGCCACCCGACTGGCCGGCCTTTCTTTTTGATCACGTTGCCGTTTTCGTCAACTTGTCGGAAGGCGGCGTACCCAACAGGTGTGCCGCCTGGTGCAGGCACGGATGCGGGAGTCTGGCGAGGCTGGTTTACTGTCTGCCTTGGGGTATGTGCTCTGCTCGTGGGCTCGGCTGTTCCGCCAGTAAGCGTAAGGGTGCCGGTGCTCGGAAGCGTGCTCGTCCGCGGAAGGCTGCTCTTCGGCGGCCGTCCTCTCCGCTTGATGTGCGGTTTCATCAGCGGCTGGTCGCGTACGGAGGTGTAGCTGACGGTGCCGTCGCCATTGTCGACCGCTTGGCGAATCATGCGCGGTTCAGGCTCGGGATCAGGCTCGGAATCATCGCCTTCGTCATCAGCGTCGAGCGCAGCGTCATCGTGGGGCACCCTCGCATCGGCTTTGACAGGCTCGAGCGGGTCAATGATATCCCAGCGGATGGTGGCTAGATCAGCACGATTACCGCGCTGTCCGTCTACCTCGAACGATCCACCGTGGTCTCCAAGCAGCTTAGCCATAGTATGCAAATGCGAGTTCAGCGCCCGCATGTCCGGATGTCGACCCGTAGCAAGCAAGACGTCCCGCGCAATGGTCCGGTTGTCGTACTGGTTCTTCCTCGCCACGCGGTCACGCATGACAGGTTCGACAAGCATTCTGCCCCGGATTCGCTCGCTCTGCTTCGATTCCAATGGAGGGCCCTTGTGCTTGTGCTGCGGCTGCTGCTGCGGCTGGGGTTGATGAGGCTGCTGTACCATTTCCGCCGGTGGTGGTGGCCTCGGCGGTTGAACTTGGACGCCTGCGGATCCCCAAGGAACTGCAGCGCCTAAACCGAGTGCCGGTGTCGAACGGTGCATTGGATTGTAAAAGTCTTGCGCAGTCATTGGCCGGCGGAAGGTCGTAGACATCTGGGCGGTTGGTGCGGGAGGCTGTGGCAACTGTTGCGAGCTTTCAGCTGCGGACGGTGACGGCTGGAAGAAGATCTTCTTCGGCGGCGGCTCATCGTCAGAGTCTTCCGCAGTCAAATCAACAAGGTCATTGAAGGTGCGCTTACGCGCTGCCTCTTCCTTATTGGCTGGAGGACGGGGAGGCGGCTGTGGCCTGACTTCGGCCTTGACTTCTGGTGGAGGTTGAGACACGGATGGCGCTCGGACTGGTGGCGGAGCATGTTGCTGCGGTGTCGCAAAAGGTGCAGGGTAATAGTGCGGAGGCTGAACGGGCCCACCGGGAGGCATTGTGTTACCCATGCTGTTGACGGCACGAGCGGCAACCGACAGACTTGTGAAGGAAGGAGCCTCGTAGTCGACTGTAGCAGGCGCTTCTACATTTTTCTTCGGTCCAGCTTTCTTCCTGGGAGTGTTTGGCGAAGTGTTCGTTTGCGCTGCAACGCCATTAACCGTCGGCAAAGGGGCTACAGCTGTCTGCACCGCAGATGCCGATGGCTGTTGCTGCACCTGCGCCTTCATGCTGTCAGGGACGGCCTTGAGAAGCTCTCGAGCCAATGCTGAACGCTCGAACTTCAGGCCAAACTTCTCGAGCGCTTCGCATAGCCGGACATAAGACGGATTGCCGTCGAGGATTTTCAGTATATCCTCGCGTGCTACCTTTTTGCCCGCGGCATCGTTCTCTGCAAGGTTCGACAACCACTTCGCGGCCGCTTCAGACAGGATGCCCTTCTTATGTGGAGGCCACAGTGAGGTACTGGCTTGCGCATTAATCGGCATAGCTGCTCTTGGTTCGGGTTTCTCAGCTGCCTTCGATGCTTTGGCACTTGCAGGCGTTGACTTCGGCGTTTGGGTAGCTCGAGGCGCACCCGTGTTTGGCATCGCTGGAGTCTTCGGCTGCTGTGTTGGGACTGTTGGTACAGACGGTGGCGCATTCGGTGGCGCATTCGGTGCCGCTTGCGGAGACTGAGATGCTGTATGCGACGTACGTTCTTCCTCCCATAGCTTGGCGAGCATAGCAGGATTCTTTGCATTGAACTCTCGCATCTTCTTGAACATTGCACGCATCTCTGCCTCTTCGGAGTTCAATGGTGGCGCTTCTTCGGAAGCCACAGCGGCAGCCGAGCTCCCAGCCGCACCGCTTGCCGCCATCTTAGCCAACGTAGTAGCAGCAGACTTACTTTGACGTATTTCCTCGCGGGCCTTACTGCGTGCTTCGGCCTGACGAGCACCTGCCGCCTTCTTCGTTGCAGCTTCCGTCTCGGCATTCTGCTTCGCCTCTTCTTCTTTACGCCCTTCCTCCGCCATGCGATCTTCTTCAGCTGTGCGAGCTGCAAGCTCTGCGTCCCGCTTTCGGCGCTTCTCTGCTTCAATCCGCGCCTTGCGTTGCCGTTCTGCATGCTCATCGTAGACTTGCGACGGGTTCACGGTCATCGTGGTTGCTGACTGCGGCTCCGCGGATCCACTGGCCTGTCGGGTGTGTGTCCGTTGTACGTTCTGTAGACGTGGCGATGGTTGATGAGTGGTCGTAGCGGCAGGTCGTGTGGCTTGAGTGTTGCGAGTCTGCTGTGGTGCTTGCGCTGCATGCAATGGGCTATTGTACCGTTGCGGCTGCTGGACCTGCGATGGCTGTGTCGGAGCTGTGTGATGTGACTGCTGGGTGGCATTATGCTGCCGTGTCGTCGCCTGGTAGTTCTGTGCTCCATACGTAGAGTTGCTCCGCGTTTGATCGGGCGCACTGAGCCTGCCGAATGTGCCCGACGGAGCCTGACTTGCTAAATTCGTATCGCCGCTGGTATTATTATGGTAAGTACCGTAGTTGGCCGTGGTCCACGACGAGCCATCGTAACCGGCACTGCCAATGGCTGTTCCTGCCGTCTGCTGATTGTACCCTGGTCCGCTCAAACCGTTCGACGACGAAGCGGCTTGGTATGAGCTGTTGCCTGCTCCAGAGTTGGATCCATACTGTTGATTGTTGTATGTGCTGTTGTGTCCTTGGAAAGTGCCCGAGCCCGGCGCATTCTGATACCGGGTTGTGGCAGCAGAGGGATAGTTGGGCGCCGAGCTTGTCGAGGTGCCATACGTATACCCAGTGGGCTGATTTTGCTGACTGCCGACTGGATCGTAGTAATTGCCATTGCTGTTTGCGTTACCATAATTGCATCCTGACATACTGCCGCATAGGCTATGTTTCAATCCAGACTGTTGCGGAAACGCCCATTGCCGCTGTTTCTGTGAAGACTAGAGTGCATGCTCATATCGGCACCGTACGCGGGTTAGAGGCCAGCTCCAGAACCTCGCGACCACTTCTACGACGTATGGACACTCATCGAGCGCATTAGTGAAGCAGCTGCAACGCGCAATGAACGCCAATAAACGCGGTGATGGTCGTTGGAAGTGAGGACGGAACCTTCCGCCGCGGCATCGAGCCGCGCCAAGCAGTGGTCCGTGCGCTGTTGCGCGCTTCAAGCGCACATGAAATTTGAAGCATGAGACTGTCAAAAGTTCGAGCGGGCGACGACGACAACACCAACTCCGCTACACCACCCTCAACACCGCCACCATGACGAAGATCAACAGTCAGACACACTCCAGCCGGAGAAAGAGCCGCAAGGCTCACTTCTCCGCCCCGTCAAGCGTGCGCCGTGTGATCATGAGCGCACCGCTATCGAAGGGTAACCATCAACATATCCCTTTCCTTCGCCCACGAAACCCACCCACTGACATTTGGCAGAACTCAGAGATAAGCACAACGTACGTTGATCGCAATGCACATGATGTGTCCCTCCCTCGCCACCGCCGGAGAGGGGTCCCTAACACATCTATTGCAGGTCCGCGCGATCCCCATCCGCAAGGACGACGAGGTCGTCATCAAGCGCGGCAGCAACAAGGGTCGCGAAGGCAAGGTGACGTCCGTGTACCGTCTCAAATATGTCATTCACATTGAGCGGGTGTCGCGGGAGAAGACGAATGGACAGAGCGTGCCGATTGGCATTGCGCCGAGTAAGGTCGAGGTGACGAAGTTGAAGCTGGACAAGGATCGGGAGAGGATGATTGAGCGGATTGCGGCGGGGCGGGAGGCGAACAAGAAGAAGACGGCGCAGAAGTGATTCGGTTGTCGATGTAGCAACGGGGGAAGGCGCAATGTTTAGCGGGCGAAGGGTTGCCCATTGAGGCAGAGCTCACGCCAATATCAGCAAGATGTGAGATCACGAACCGCATGCTTACTTTGCTTGCACGTTCCCACGAGCCTCCAATCCCACACACCCTGCACCTACCGCCAGGATATCTACTTTCTAGCCTTACCCCATGGCTACTGCAGTTATACGACTAGCGAAGACTGACAGCTCAGGGGCTGGCCTTTCGTGCCACCCTTTTCTCGCCTGCAGAGCGCTCTTTGATGACCTTGCTGAGATGCAGTGCTTTGATGGCGAGAGACAGATCTCCATCGTGAAGACGACACTGCTGCGAGTCGACGCAACTAATGCCATGGTTCACCAGCTCTCTTTCTTGCAATCACGAGTCAGGGTTCCAAACTCAGCCGCCTTCGGCAGCGAAGCCTTCTTCTCCCCTCACCCGTTCCAGCTACATAACCTACAAAACCCGCTGTAATCCGGCTTGTCGTGCAAGTCCCGATGTTCTTACGGCTCGCACGCGGCACACCGCACAAAGGGATTAGTAGATGACCCCCGTGCGATGGTTCATGCTAATTCCGTAGCCCTGATCACGACGCCCGCGGCAGAACCTGCTCGGTCAAACCTTCCTGTGCGAAGAGGTTCGCCAATCGCGCGCTCGAATGAACTGGGACGCAGCACGCGGTTTGGCTCTCGAGGTAAGGCGGCTACTCTGATCTCTTCAGGTATTGTCTTTAGGCTGTCCCCTGCTCGGTTTCGCTTCCTTCCTACCGCGAAGAGTGACTGACAAGGCACTTTCCTCGCCTTCCTTTGCCTGCAGCGGGGAGAGCGAAGGCATGTTAGAGAAAGCTTTGCAGACATTGAGACGGTAATGTCCCGGTATACTGACTGGGCAACGTGTGGAGAGGTTTGAGGGTGCGGACTCTGCAAAGCAGACTCTGTTCGACAGCGAACAAGTTGGCGTCGCTTGCGGAGCTAGCGCCTCATGGTCATTACTTTGACCAAGTCTCATCTGGCACCATGAAACTATGTCGCATCTTGTGCCTCGTACTCGCAAAGCGGGTTCGGTGACTGGCGTAACTAGATATACACTTCCCCCCTTTCTCTCGAGTGTTTATCTTAACCACTGACTGCATAACATGGATAAGCCATGCCGTGAGCATGACCGTGACAACCTCTTCCAGACGCAAGGCTGAAGCACAAGCTGGCATGCCGTTGGGCACGATTGCGAGAGCGAAGGCGGCCGGACAACTCAATGAACGGCCACGCGCGCGGTCCCGGCCATCGACAACGCTCCGCCATCTCATCGTACGCACGAAATGCGTGCCCAGCGATAGACGTCATCCCTCTACGCAGCACCACCAACAACCACCCTCCTCTGCAATCGCGCCGAGTGGTGCTTTCACCACCCCGCCCTTCCCCTCCCCCCATAACCACCACTCGAGATCCCCCCAACAACCTCCCCCAACCTGCCCAAAACCAACTCATTAACCCCCTCCCGACACTCCCCCACCACCCCCGCAACCGCCAAAATACTCTGCTCAAACCCCCTCAACGTGTCCGCCAGTTCTCGCACAGTCTCCTCTCCACCACCACCGTTCTGTCCACCACTCAGGCCCGCACGCTTAGCAGCCAAGCTCCTCGCCCGCCCTACCGCCGCATCCTCCAACACGCGCATGTGGCCCTCGATTTCAGCAAGGTTGGACGTGTATTTGCCGAAAGTGGCTTCCAGATCCGAGGCGAGGGGGAGGAAGTAGTGGTTTACTAGGTCGGTGTCGTATTCGTCTTCTCCCAGACCCGTTCCTGGTTGGCCGGCGACTCCGACCCTGCCCATGCCGCTGCCAAGGTACGATGACGATCCGACGCCGGGAGCCTGGTAGCCGGGGACGGGTAACATGAGGTTCTCGGCAACACGCTGACAGCGGGCAAAGTCCTTCTCGTCCCTCCCCAACAGCCCCTTGGCGCTGTTCACTTCAACCGCGTCCTGAGCCAGCATCATCTCCACCCCTTCCGCTTTCTCCCTAACCACCGCCACGCTCGCCGGCACAGCCTCGACGTTCTCCCCATGCTTCGGCATGAATGCCTGGATACGGCGGCAGATTTCTTCCTGCTCGCGGATCATCTTGTCCACACGCTCGAAGTCATTCTTGACCTCATCCACGCAGTCGGTGAAGCGGGTGGTACCGCGGAGGTCGTTGAGGTGGACGCGTACGGCGCCGGCTTGTTGCTGCTGTTGGGCTTGTTGGAGGTTAGAGGCGGTATGTTGATGCTGCTGGCCCATGGTCAGTTTGCCCATGAATGGAGCGGGAATCTGAGAGGCGCGGAATTGGGAGGCGGCGAGGAGGGAGGCGTTGAGGGCGGAAGGGTCGACGGATTGCATGCCGAAGACCGAGGCGCCGTTGGGTCGATTTTGGGTGTTGGTTAGGGAGTTGGAGAAGAGACTGTTTGTTGTGGGTTGGCTAGCGGTCGGTTTGGCGCCGAAGAGTGAGGAGGTGTTGTTGTTAGTGTTGCCGAAGAGACTCGTGGTGGGCTGTTGTTGGTTTTGCTGGTTGAGGTTTGAGAACAAGCTGGCACCGGTGGTGTTGTTCTGCGCGGTCGATGCGCCGAAGAGACCCGTACTGGGCTGCTGCTGGGTAGTCGTGTTCCCGAAAAGGCTAGTGTTTGGCTGCTGCTGTGCAGTGGTGTTACCGAAAAGGCCGGTGTTGGGCTGCTGCTGAGTAGAAGTATTGCCAAACAAACTGGTACCGGGCTGCTGTTGCTGCTGAGCAGTACTATTACCGAAGAGGCTACCTCCAGAGGGCTGAGCGTTATTCGTATTACCGAACAGGCTGCCGCCAACGGGTGCCGCTGCATTCTGCGTAGAGTTTCCGAAGAGACCGGTTTGCTGCTGCGGTTGGGCAGGCTGGGTATTGTTACCGAAGAGACTGCTTCCTTGCTGCGGCTGCGACGCGTTTGCCGCGGCGCCACCAAAAAGGTTGCCGGCTTGTGAGGGTGGATTCTGTTGCTGCTGCGTGTTTTGTTGGGAGCTGCCATCACGGTTGAGTTCAGTCAGTAAAGCTTGCTCGAGGGCTTCGTCATGGGAGAGTCGCTGCACACGAGGAGGATGCACTAAACCCTGGGCCGAGATGGATGGTTTGGCAGGGACAGCTGAGGCACGAACAGACGTGGTGAGATCCTGGCCAGTCGGTAACCCACTGTTTCGAGCGCGTTTCGCAGCAGAGGGGGCTACTGCAGCTTGTGCATAGCTCGGATTCGCAATGAAAGCTGAGCCAGAAGCCGTAGCCGGAGTCTCGGGATGTGCAGAAGCAGAAGGTACGGTCAGTTGGCCGAGTGAATGCACGATTTGGATGCTGAGAGGTGGAGCATGGCTCACGACTCGGCGTGGAGCATTCATGGCCTGCTAACAGTCCTTTCGTGTGGTCCTGGCCGGCAGTTGCATGTACGTATTCCAGTCAAGTCCGATGCTGCCGCCGGTAGACACTGGGCCGTTTGCTGCGGCGTTCCCCACAGGTCCGGTATTTTTGCTGGAGATAGGAGAGCGGAAGTTTACGTACAATAGAGAATTGGTCGCGCCCGTGTTCAGGCTGAGCGAGTTGGAACGACCGAACGCCATTTTGCTGCTCGTTTCGCTATTGCCACCTTTGCTGTATTGTCGAGGCTAGCGCACGGGAGGTCCTGTATCACGTGAAGACGAAGGTTAGGTGAGGTGAGGTGAGGTGCGGTTCCAATGCGCGTCGCTTGAAGTCGGAGCGTGTCGAGCTAGCGGAGCTTGCCAAGAAGCTAGGACTACTGTAGCGCGAGTCATGGGCATGTACCTTCGACATCGACTCCATTGAATAGTTCTCTTCCATATACGACACTTTCAAGCACGACTTCACATCAACATGGAGGAAGAAGATGATGACTTCTATGGCGGTGTTGCCCGAGCAGAAGCCGAAGAGCACGTGACTGGGAACGGCGACGACGATGAGGTCAAAGGAGAGCAGATGGATGTCAGTGAGGATGGGGAGGACGAAGAGGATGAAGATGTACGGCGCGACATGTCCCATAGCCGAGGCCGTGGTTGTATAATTGATACGGCTAGATAGGATGTACAGTTCACCCTTGACAAGCCTGCAAGCACGAAACCCGAGCCGACGAGGTAGTGTCCCTTCCTTCTCTTTCCATCACATATCTTGCCGCCTGACACAAAACCCCACAGACCACCACCCAAATCAGCATCGGTAGAACGAGCAGTCACCGCGAGTGCCAAACCAGAACCCAAATCCAACGCCCCCAAGATCAAGTCCGAGCGCGCTCCCTCCTCCGCCCCTTCAGCAACCACAACAACAACAACCCAACCCCCACCCACCACCCACACCACATCCCCAGGCACAACCCTGACCCACAACTCCCTCCCCGGCACCTCCTACCCGGCCCCCCACACCTCCACCCTCAACCTCGACCTCATCCCCACCTGGCCCTCCACCCCCACCGGCCCCAAACCCCTCACCCACCTCGACATCGACGCCGACCTGGCCGACCACACCAAACCCTGGCGTCTCCCCGGCACGGACCAGACGGATTTCTTCAACTACGGCTTCGACGAGTATACCTGGACGCAGTGGTGCGTCAAGCAGCAGAGTATGCAGCGGGATCTGGGCGAGATGCGGGAGGCGGATGCGAGGATGAAGGCGATGTTTCAGGGAGGTGCTCCGGGCGGTGGGGCTCCTCCTGGTGCTGTTGGTGGGGGTGGGGGTGGGGGTGGGGGTGGGATGCCAGGGATGGCGGAGATGGAGCAGATGATGCAGGCTATGATGGCGCAGCAGGGGGGGTTGGGTGGGCAGATGCCGCCGGGGATGGGGTTCGAGCAGTTTATGGCGGGGATGATGCCGCCGGGCGGGTTGCCGCCGATGGGTGGGATGGGGGGAGGGCCGGGTACGCCGTTCCAAGGCGCGCCGCAGCAGGGTGGGTTTGGTGGGAATCAGCAGGGTGGTGTTTCGCCTGCTCCTGGAGGGCAAGGACAGGGGTTCCAGCCTCCGCAGGGACCGGGGGGTGGGCAAGGGCTTTTTGGCGGCCCGAATATGGAGGGGTATAGTGCGCAGCAGTTGGCCATCATGCAGGGGGATGATGGAGGCGGGGGTGGAGGCGGAGGTGGTGGCGGGAGGGGAGGTAGAGGAGGGAGGAGGAGAGGGTGGTAGTAAGCACGTTGGCCAGAATTTGTTTGCTGATCCGGAGGAGTGGGAAGAGCTTCATGCTACGCAAGCTTGAACCCTGCGTCTCGTCCAGCTAATCTGGAGTCGTGGAGGATCAAGCCACGCGTCTGATGTGAAGGCAGCATAGTACGTATTCATCCAGTTCTCACGGCCTGAAGGCGAACTAATAGTACAAAGGCTGATGATAGCAGACTAGGGAATCTATCGTTGAGCAGGCAGCTGGCTTTCCGCGGTGTATCCGCGACAAGAGCGGCAAGTGACCGCGCGACCGCACGAACGACAATTAGCTCAGGTGGTAGTATTGTCAGCCACCCTATCCGCAGAGCTCCTCGGACGATTAGCACATTCGGGAAGTACTTCGAGGGCAGCGGTAACCGGGATTACTCGCCGAGTCGCTTCGTGGTCGAGACGGCCTTGTGCGTCGCGGATTCTCGCTACTCGAGCCGTCTGGGCGGCAGGGTTGAGCAGATAGTCGTGGGATGGTTCTCGAGGGTGGTAAGGGAAAGGTCTAAGATACTGAATCCAGCTTGCTTCTCAGATCATACCGTTTGTGAAGCGGCAAAATAATCACTGCCCAATATACATTGCCAGAGAATGCTGGGTCACGCGAATGAGGCCAAACCCCGTACCGCATAATCCACCGTAATGGACCAAACCAAAGTATGGAAGTGAATGCACGCTGTTCTCAATCGCCGACGAAGCTAAGCAGAGACCTCTCCCCTCTCCATCGTACACGAATCTTCTCAGCCGCCAAGTCAGCATCAGCCTTCTCGAAACGCTTCCTCTGCACGCCCTCAAACGTCTCCGCCTGCACCGTGGAGATCAGCTGTATCAAAGCCTGTGTCTCCCGCGCATACACATACCGCCGCTCCGACGGGTCGGCCTGTGCGTCGAGCCGTCTGTCCCAGAGTCTGGTGTCCGCATGCGCAACATAGAGCATCCGCGGGTACTGCTTACCGTAACTTGATGATTTCCTCAGGAGACGGCAGGACGGTGCGAGGGTGGCGGTCACGGCACGACCTGGGCCGGGTACTGGTAGTGGGATCGTCGGCTGCTGAATTCGTGGTGCGCGCCGGAGCAGTTCGATATGCGCTCCCGGTAGCTCTGGGAAGCGTAGATGCCAGGTTAGGGTCACGACGTGGTAGCGTAGTCGGGACTTGTCTGCATAGGGGGCGTGCTTCTTGCCGTCGATGTTCGCGGGCCCTTCCCAGTTGAACGTCTCGAGTTTCTCGTGCAGTACGAACTTGGTCCTTTGCGGCTTGCCGTTGATGATGTGCGTCTCCTTCTCCTCGCTGTTTAGATCTCTCAGCCGCTCAACGATCGGCTTCAGCTGGTCGACTTTGTAATCGAGGGTTTCCAGTTCGAGCTTCAACACCTTGGTGCTGCGAAGGTCCGGAGTGTTGAGTAATGCAACCACCCACCGGTCTGCCAGACGTAGAGGTGCTTCGCGCTCCCAGTACCACCAGTCCGTGTGGCGGATAGTAACGTGGAACACCCTCGGCTGGAAGTCGCCGGCTTGCAGTCGCTTAGACAGGAAGAACTCTCGCAAAGCTCCGGGAGTGGCAGTAAGTCTCTCAATATTGCACATCTGCGCATACATGTGCAGGTGCCCGAAGTTCGCCCGATTGTGGTCGGAGAGTTGAGCCATCCACCACTTTGTCCTCTCGTCAGGCGCCGGACGGTAGAAGTAGTAAAGGTGCTCCGCTTGGAGCATTGGCATTGCGTTCGCTTCCAGCCATATTCGGCGACAGGTAAGTAGTAATGCGACGTCTGACTTTAATCGTGCAATATGGCCAGGACGGCAGTAGTACGCACTCTCCTCGAACTTGGCTTGAGGGTCTTCATAAGGCGCAGTAGCATACGCCCAAACGATATCACGCAGCTCCCGAGGCAGGTTGAATAACGAGCTTCCGGCCTGCTCGTTGTACATGTTGTGAGCTTGGTCCTCTCGGAAAGTGATCTGGATGTCACGATGTGTCCGTCTCTCGATAGTCGTAAGACGTCCATAAGGCTGCTGCTGCTGTTGCAAGGCCATCTTACGTTGCGTGAATCGCTGGGGTATGCGGAGCTGAGACCACGGCACAATCAGTGATATTGTCGTAACGATAACTATGCCTGCAAAGAGAGCTTGGAGGGTGCTAATAATCAATATGAAGGCCATGGAGCAGGCGGGGTCAATTAATGACTACAGTATGGCGGAGCCTGCCTGCTTTCATCCTGAGTCACTGGACTGCCGCTTGGTTTGCGGTGATGCCTGAAAGGAGCGAGCTAAAGTTTGGCCAACCCTATCGTCCCAATGATGTACAACGTGCCGCCGTGGTGATCCCGGCAGGCATGTAGCGAAGGATCCGTCTGTTATGAATGGAGTGGTCGCCTGAACGGCATACGGCACGGCTTAGTGTCAAGGTTTGTAGTCGCCAAGTGTTTGTGGTGCGATGGAAAAGCTAGATACTGTTTATTTTCGGAACAATGCTGAGGACATGTGCATCCATCAAGATGCCTCAAGTCAACACCGAGCCGCAATGGCGCTTCGCACATCCCTTTTTACTAAAACAATTGAACAGAGTATTATGTTGTTGCGACAACCTGAAAAGTCACCGAAGCTAACGTAGGCGGAGAAGGCGACCTGGGGCGCCTGAGGCACAACGAAAACATGCCTGGCCGTGGCCGAGGATGCCCAGTATGAGACATGATGATACAGCGGACGGAGCATAACGGTTTAGAGGACTCAATGAGGCATATCGTTCGAGGGCAAGCAATGAGGAGATACAGTCAGAAGGACCGGCTGCTGAATCTCAGAATCGATCGAACCGAAACACAGCACTGATCGGATAGCCTCTTCTTCGTTACCCAAGTCTCAACCAGGCGAAGCATGCGTCATCTTACCAATGGTGTCGCCATGAGCCACGGAGCAACGACGACAAGCATCCAGGCCTTCATGCCAGTGCCAACATATAGCGAGCACACGGCTTGCTAGACGTCTCGACCATTTTCTGCATGTTCGGCGGAAAGGTCGAGACCGCTTCGTTAACTCGCATACTGCTCGGCTGGTCCGCATACTACAGCAACGGTCGGTGGGTATTCGAGCGAGATTAATGCTCATGCAACCTATCAACATGATTCTCAGCCACACGAATATCGCGGCTCGCACGCAGATGCTCCGATAACATAGGGCCAACGGAGCGGCATGACCTGGGCAGAGCCTCAGACCTCCGCACTCAAGGTTCGGCAGCTTAACGCTTCCAAGTGTTGTTCCCCAGAAACACGAGGCTCCGCACGCCGCCTAGACCTTTCCAAGATCCTTGTGTGAAGTCAGCTGCACTCTCGGGTCAAAGAGCTCCGATGGCGTAGGCATGCGGATGCTATCCCCGCATACTGCCCCATGGGCGAGAATAGCCCAGGCATCTGGCGATCATGCATAAAGCCTCTACTAGATCCCACATGGCGGCCATGAGCGATTACCCTTCCAGTCACTGATCGACAAGGCATATCCCATCCAATCCAGGGACAGCTTCGCTCGTCAGACCATATCGGCACCCACAAGCCATGGCAACTATCGAGAAGACCCAGCCTGAACAGCTAGAGGCGGTTCGCGTCACCTCTCATGAGCCTGTCGACAACTTGCGCGGCCGTGCGTTTGCAGGCCGTGAGCATACACGTAGCTACTGGCAGACGCTTCGGAAAGATCCCAAACTCTTATTTTGGATTGGTGTCATGCTCTTCACATTGATCACGAGAGGCTTCGAGAATCAATCATCCGGTTCTGTCATCAGCATTCCAGCATTCAAAGAGGAGTTTGGTGTCCCGAACGCTCAAGGGCAATACTTCGTGGAGACGACGTGGCAGTCAGCGCTTAACGGTGGATCGAATGGTGCTGCGATCATCGGTGCCTTCTTGGCTTCTTACACCGCCGACATCTTTGGCGTTCGACCCGTTGTGCTCGCATTCGCCTGCCTGAATATGATCTCAGTCGGCATCGAATTTGCGACGACCTCCATCGGGATGTTCTTGGCCGGAAAGCTGCTCAATTTCGTCGCCATCGGAGCCTTCCTCAATCTCTGCACTGCCTACGTCGCCGATGTCGCACCTATGGGCATCCGAGCATCTTGCATTGGTTTCTGCAACCTGGCTCAGTGCATCGGACCCTTCATCTCCGCCATCATGTCGAACTTCACGTCCAGATGGAGCTCGGCCTGGTCATGGAAAGCTCTTGTGTGCGCACAATGGGGATTTTGCGGTGTAGCCTTCATCGCCCTGCTATGGCTTCCTGAGTCTCCAGTCTATCTCGTCCGCGCCAACAAGATTGATGCTGCCCGTAGGTCACTAGGTCGGCTATACTCCGACCCCGCGGACGCCGAAGGCCATCTGCAGGAAATCCACCTCACAATCGAAGAGTCGGAGACTCAGAAGAGGTCATCTTATGCTGAATGCTTTCGCGGCACCAACCTTCGTCGCACCATGATCGCCATCCTTGTTTTCCTCTCCGAGCCAATGGCTGGCCTTGGCTTCGTGTCCAATTATGGTGCTTTGATGTATCAGTACCTTGACATTAGCGACGCAGCATCATTCAGGATCCAAATCGGCGCTCAAATCTTATCCATGTCTGGAGCACTGATCGCTATGCTCATTGGTGACTTCTTTGGTCGTCGTCCCATGTACCTTACAGGATGTCTCGCGCTCGTCGGCCTGCTCTTCTGCATGGGCATCTCTGGATCAATCAACACTACAGCTGCAGTCACTGCTTCTGTCGGCTTCTACACAATGTTCAATTTCTTCTTCAACGTCGGCGTCGGCTCGATCGTGTACGCCATCGCTGGCGAAATCCCGACATCCATTCTCAGACAGAAGACACTGGCAATCGCACTGTCCGTCTCGGCAGCAGCCAACACCTTCTGGTCATTTGTGTCGCCCTACATCTTCAACCCCGAATATGGCAATCTGAAGGCTAAGATTGGCTTCGTGTTCGGAGCGTGTATGGTCTTGTTCTTCGTCTCCGGCTACTTCTATGTGCCCGAGACACGCCGAAGGACCTATGAAGAGTTGGACGAGCTCTTCATGAATCATGTTCCTGCGCGCCAGTTCAAGAAGCATGTTACTGTCGCAGAGCAACAGGCGCACGAGGCTTATGAGATGGTTGAGGCTAAAGGAGGGAGGATGGATAGCGTTTGAGCATACACATGGCTTTGCAGGTTGTGGTTGTAGATATCTTCGTACTGGACTTATCATACCCAAAATACTCCCTGCTGTGATCTACGCGCGGCAAACGTAGGTATCACCTCAGGTAAATATACATGGCTTTGTGGTCTCTATATTCACTTCCAATGCTCTATATTCAGTGTTCAACGGAGGATGGCCAAAGGGTCACAACAGCAGGGCACTCGGACTGCATAGCGAAACTTCAATCGTCAGCATCTTCCAATTCGACTGCAAGTGTCGGCACTATCTCCTCGTTCTATCTTGCTACGGGTCCGTTCCCAAAAGCTAACCAAGCAGCTGACGTCTACTCACCGCAGGATATCCGTCTCCTACCGACTCGGCTTCCACACCTCTAACGGCCCGTCCGCTATGGTCGGTTGCCCAGGCCTCAAATCAGCGGACAACAGCGCCTTGGGAGGCCACGGCGCTGGCTCCCACTCGCAAGTAAAGACATGTCTGCCGCTTTTGACCACGGTCTGCGTCTCCTCGCCCGAATCGGACAGCGAACGCTTTAGCTCCGACGGCAGTGTCACAACGGCACTCGAGTTAGGTGGCACGGTCAGTTCCATTTCGAAAGCATAGCTCTCCGCCGCAGCGGAGGAGGAGGACCCGTCTTGGACCGGTCCGGCCTTCGAGGTAAGCTTCCAAGAGCAACTCACCAACCCATACGGTCCCTCGAACGACACCGCGGCGTGTGTCAGATTCCCACCAGGCACAGGTCGTACCCTTATCACCCTCCACCCTGGCTCAGCGGGTGATATGCCCCCAACGGTCTTGTGCAGCCAGTCCGCTACCGAGCCCAAGGCATAATGATTGAAACTCGTCATCTCGCCCGGATTAACCGAACCGTCTTCTAGCATCGAATTCCAGCGCTCCCAGATCGTGGTTGCGCCCATCCGGATAGGGTATAGCCAGCTAGGGCACGTAGTTTCCAGCAGCATACGGTATGCTAGCTGTGTCTGGTGGGTTTCGGTCAAGGCATGGCTGATTATTGGCGTGCCGGCGAAGCCGGTGCTGATGTGGAATTTGGCGGATTGCACTTGTGTTGCGAGTTCTTTTGCTGCTACGGCAAGTTGGGTTGTAGAAGGGTAGAGATCGAAGTGAATCGCGAGCGCTAGGCCGGTCTGAGTGTTGCTCATCAAGTACCCGGCAGGCGTGATGTATTTGTGTTGGAAATGAGAACGCAGTCGCTCGGAATCCGCCGTGTACTTCTGCGCTAGTTCTGTCCTTCCGAGCTGCGAGCACACTGTTGCCATGGTTCGCGTGACGTGGATAAGGTACGCATCAGCCACCAATACGTTGTCCGTGCGGGAGGCACCAGGATCCTCCGGCGGAGCCCCAGGGTCAAGCCAATCGGCCAGTTGCCAACGATCTCGCGTCCACAGGCCGTCCTCGCCACGGTCAATAGCTTCGTCGAGCCAAGCCTGCATACTCGGCAACTGGCGTTCGAGTATCGCGGTGTCCCCAGAATAGCTGAAGACATCCATGGGCGTGAGCACGGTGACATCATCCCAGACGGCTTGGGGCATGTGTGGCCAGTTCCCTAGCGGAATGATGGGTACGACAAGCGGTGGTATCCCTCCTTTTCCTTCCTCCAGCTGCTCCGCCATGACGTCTTCGAGCCAGCTGCTAAGAAAACTCGTTGTGTCGTAAAGGAAACAGGCCGAAGGCGCGAAGACCTGGATGTCGCCTGTCCATCCCAACCGCTCGTCTCGCTGAGGACAGTCGGTGGGGATCGAGAGGAAGTTACCACGCATGGACCATAACACATTCTCGTGCAATTTGTTGACCCAGGAATTGGAGCAGGAGAACCAACCACGACGTGGCATGTCACTGCTCATCACTACCGCAGCGATCTCACTTTCTGTAGGCTCCCAGCCGTCAATCTGGACGTAGCGGAAGCCGTGGAATGTGAACGCCGGTGTCCAGTCCTTGCACTCTTCACCGGACGAGATATACGTATCTTCAGCTTGGGCTTGTCGTAGTGGGCGTGTCCCGAGTTCGTCGTGCTCCATGACCTCGGCATGTCGTAGTGTGACCGTGTGGTTCTTAGGCACACGCATCGACTTTATGAGTACTTTCCCCACCATATTCTGCCCGAAATCAACAATAGTCTTTCCACTAGGAGTTTTGAAGATCTCCTTTGGTTGTAGTGTCTCCGTGACTCTGACAGGAGGCATTTGAGGGCAAACCAGCTTCGTTTCTGGCCAACTAATTTTCCGAGTCCCGCGCCAGCGATCATCCTGCGAAGCTAGAGCGGAATTCCAATTCCATTCTTGCCTCGCATCGTACGTCTCCCCATCGTAGAACTCGCTACGTTCTATCGCACTGTCGGCACATCGCCAGGTATCATCTGAGCATATTCTGAGCGGCTCAGCCTCGCCATTGTCGAGTGTAACTTCCAACTGTGCTAGTAGCGCCATAGTGTGGCCATACAAATATCGCTGGCCTCCCAAGAATCCGAGTCGTCCGCAATACCAACCTTCGGCCACCTCGACGCAGAGCGCGTGCTTGCCGGTCGATTTCTGCAAAAGGCTCGTGACATTCATCGTCCGATAAGTCAGGCGGTGCTTGTAACTCGTCCAACCAGGCGCCAGTAACTCATCAGTCGCACGTACGCCATCTACATAAACATCGAAAACCCCAAGAGCGGTTATGTATAAGCGGGCCTTGAGTACTTTACTCCCTGAAGCGGGCAAGTCGAAGGTCTTCCTGAAACGCAGTGGACGAAGGGGTCCAGTTGGGGGATGGCTACGGGAAGCTGATGTGATGAACTGGGCTTTCCACAGGTCCGGCTTTAGTAGTGCTGTCTCGACTTGCGCGCTTTCAGACCATTCCGTGCTCCCTTCATGGTCGTCACTCTCACGCCCGCCAAAGCATCGGACACGTACAGTCGCCGATTGCTGCGGAAGCAAAGCTGCTGTTGGCCACGGCACTAGTACCGATTGCGAGCTCTCAACTTTGAAGACATTTGCACTGTGGTCGCCATCGAGCAAGACCTCGATTTCGTATCGTGTCTGACTCCATGCCGAGGGTGGTGCGGCCTGTTGTGGCCATGTGAAGCGCCATGAGATGCGCGGACGCGCGCAATCAAGGCCTAGGCCGCTATGGTGATGTTCAAAGGTTGGCTTAGAGAGACTGGGCTGGGACATCGTCTTCAAAGTTATGACGCTTGCACACGTGATTCGACAAGCCCAAGTGTATGCATGTTGAGCAGCACTATGTTGCCAGACAGCTTATATGGCTGTGAGCTTGCGCGTAATGCTAAGGTACGGTAGGTCATGGTGTCTCGGCGCTCGCGTCAATACTACCCGAGAGGTTGCTTGGCATTGAAGGCGAGATAGTTACTCGCCCTTCCGTTGGCCCCATTTGCGGTTCTGTGCAGCTGCTGATGAACTATGCTGGTACACAGGGAAAGGGGATGAGACTTCGAGCAGTACATGTTGGCTTCGCGCTGGTGGCATCTTTCAACCCACGCTTAATCTTGCCATGCCGGAATAGTATGTACGATTCGGCATGCAAATGGCAATGCGGTTATCTGAACTTGGTGTGGTCCAGGAGAGTTAACGGAGGCAGCACAGCTACAGAGCGTTCGAGAGCTGCACGCCTTGCCGGGAGGGACCGCTCAGGTGGGATCTGAGGAGCCAACAGTATAGCACGGATCTGCTGAACAAGAAGAGAGCGCTCGACGAGTACTTTCTTCCTCCCTAGGCCAAGCCTAGATCGGAAGAAGGGTGTATGACAGGCGTGAGTAGTAAAGCAACACTTTCTAGTTCATCGAAGCGATGGCTGGGATGGTGTATTGAGCGCCATGTATGTGCAACATGCCAAGCACGGGAGCCGAGGTCGTCTTAACGAGGACGGCTATCGAGTGCTTCTAACCGGCGCAGATTAATAACACCAGCACCGCCAGCGATTGTCGGTCATACTGGGGTAGTAATGAAGTCCACCGAGTCTACTCCTTCCCAACTGGGAGAAGTGGCTGAAGCGTACAATCCAATCGCACAAGCGGATCATGTCTTGATCGATAGCGCTTGAGCGTGCGACGACAATGGTTGTGGAAGCGCCTTCGATACCGTCGTAGTTGCAGTGAGACGATACAACGTGGAGTGACATTTCTAGCGCTGATCACCATGTGGAGTCTCATTCACCTGGATGGTTCACTGCTGCCGCAACAATTACCGACAAGGGATGCAGTGCGATCAGCACATTGGCCTGCTTTTTACCGGGTCGCACGACAGGCAGTAGCCTTTCACACTTTCGCGCTGCGCTCTACGCGCTCGAGGTGGCGGTATCGAATGCGCATCGGACAGTTTGGCTCCGCTGTTGTCTCCAGGTATTCATACTGTACACCGACGAAAGGACTTCAACAAAGTGTAGGATGCAAGCTGGATGGTCAGTCAAACGGACCAATCAGCAGCTTCGTTTGGCGGCCATCCGGACAAGGAGGCCCGATGGAGGCGCAGATAGGCACACTTTTCACAACGACACCAGAAGGGTAGAACAGCGCTAGAAGACGTGCCGTGACTAGAGGCGCTCAAGGCGCATGTGTTAGTGCTCGCCTCAACCTGCAAGCCGGACAGCGTCCTTTTTTCTGTGTGGCCAGCCTTTCGAACCAGGGGCGGCGGTGCGTTAGATCTTCAGAACCCTTTCTTCGTCCCTTCTCCACGGTTGTATGCGAACGGCTCCACTTTGGAAGATCTGTAGCATCTCATCAATCATCTCGCCGCCCAGGCACCGCTCAGACACCGCCGCCGCCGCCTAAGCGCACTGTCATTGCGATTTGATTGACCTGCTTCCACCCCATCGGCACTAGTTCAAACAACCGCCGACTAGTGCAAGGGTTTCTGCAGTCTGGCCGGCTTGTCACGACCGCGCACACACCACCCACGCACCACACAGTAACCCTCCCTTGCCTCACACCGCAGGCGAAAGAGCATCGCCATTCCCTTCGTTTCTTCCCCTGTGGCGCCACTGAGCCTGTCATCCCGTTCAGACCTGCTCGTATTTGCCATCGCTATTGTGGCCACTGTTGACCCGCAATGGCTTCCAAGGTCAGTCCGATCTCATTGTGGCACAAGATGAGCCAGCCGTTTGCGCTTTGGGCAATGGCATGCTAACGTGGTCTCAGTTCCTTCGGGAATACAAGCTCGTGGTGGTGGGAGGCGGTGGTGTGGGGAAGAGTTGTTTGACCATCCAGCTCATTCAGTCACATTTCGTGGTACGTAACTGCCGCGATCATAGCTACTCTTCTACAAACATGGCTGACAATGCTGCCCTTCGCATTGCAGGACGAGTACGACCCAACAATCGAGGACTCATACCGCAAGCAATGCGTCATCGACGACGAGGTCGCGCTACTGGACGTGCTCGACACCGCCGGCCAAGAAGAGTACTCTGCGATGCGCGAGCAATACATGCGCACGGGTGAAGGCTTCCTATTAGTCTACAGCATAACATCGCGGCAAAGCTTCGAGGAGATCAGCACATTCCAGCAGCAAATACTGCGCGTCAAGGACAAGGATTACTTTCCGATCATCGTGGTGGGCAACAAATGCGACCTGGAGCACGAGCGGCAAGTGAGTACAGAAGGTACGTATCTCGTGTCTTCCTTTTTGCGCGCGTGCGTGACAGGCCGGTACGGCAGGCGGTGGAACATGTGGCAGGCGGGCGGGCAATCGTTGGGCGAGGTGGCGTGGCGGGCACGTTTTTCTGCCATGTCGCACCTTCCGTTCCACATGAAGTTGCTAGAAACGTTTACTGACGCACAGACTTCCTCGTATCAGAAGGCAAAGCCCTCGCGCGCTCATTCGGGTGCAAGTTCATCGAGACGTCGGCGAAATCGCGCATCAACGTGGACAACGCCTTCTACGACATCGTGCGCGAGATTCGAAAGTACAACAAGGACATGTCTGGATACCCCAGTGGCAGCACGCAAGCGAAGGGCGGCCCGCACGATAAGATGGAGATGGATGGGCAAGAGCAGGACGCAGGCTGCTGCAAGTGCACGGTCATGTAAAGAATACCACATATGCGATCAGAAAGCGCGCGTACACGACAGCATTGCGCTATGAGCTTGCATTGGGTATCTGCGATCGCGACGGACGAAAAAGGAAGCTACCACAGCAGAGACCAGGCCTGTCAACAAGGCGGTTGAAAGCTCGGACTGGTGGGAAGGGAAAAGCCAGGCAGCTGCTGAACTGCTGCCACTTGCATTGTTTGCGCATGGCGTACATTATTCTAAGCCCAAGGACGGTTCTATGGAGACGGTCTTTCATATGCGGAGCCTCTGGCGTAAGCGGCGCACTCGGGGGCGCAATGCAGGCGCAAGAAGAAGGGATGGGAATGTCTTGAGCGTTCATTCTCTCAAGGGTGGGGCGACTGCCTTTCGGTTGTGGATACCGAAGCTGCTTTTGTACGCCTGTTCTAGCAGCACGGCCTCTTAGCGAGGTCAAAGGCTTTCGAAGGATTCTTCAACTTCCACACTTCACACAATTTGTCTCTACTGACCCTGCAAGCTGCGTGCTTCGCTGAACCTGTTTGCACTCTTGCAAGCGCGGGGCCCGGAAGCTCACTCTTCGCCTTTCAGCCTCTCCTCAATCTCCTCCAGATCATCCGCAGAGTCTATCTCGATAATGCGCGACACCTCAGATTGATTCCTGAGTAGCTCCTTTGCGCCAGCGTATAGCATGCGCATCTCCTGCGAACATGTTGGTGGGAGATAGTTGATCATCACGTATGGTACGGATAAACGTCCCGATGCCTGCCACAACTCTGTAAGCTTACCATGGCATCTTACTCGCTTCTGCGTAGTCCTTACCATCGTCAACGGATAACTCAACAACACATATCTCGGTGAATTGTCCGGCAGCTCATCGCTCAGCTCCGTCATGCTCTTGTAGACCTCAGTATCGGTTTGCTTGATCTCCATCGTCGTTTTGTCAATCAGGTCTTCTCTTCGCCATCGTCAGCTTGCTAGCTGGCTAGCTGGTCCTTGTGACGACCGTGGAGTAGGCGCTATCTGTACATATTACTGCTTGTGGATCTTTCGCTCGCGACGTGCTGAGCCGGAACTTGCGCAGCTTGTCCTTTGTCTCTTGCGAGAAGGTGTAGAGGCGTGATTCTCCGGACTGCGCATGCTTAGTATGAGGTTCGCTGGGTGGAAGGAGGTGTCTCCTTACCATTTTGGCGGGAACTGCTGGTCAAGCCTGGATCGAAGGTGAGAAGAGGGTCAATTGCTGATCGCAATCCATGTCTTGATGGATGTCATGATGCTGCCCCACACCGGACCCGTCTCCGGAGCTGTATCATTTGTAGCTCCATTGGCGATGGCGACATCAACACCCCACGTTGTTACGAACGAAGAGACATGCTTGACTTCATCGTGTGAACGAATTCCTCCGAAACGACCACTTCATTAGGTCGCCGTCATGGCTCGAGCACCGAGTCGTAGACCTTCCAACGCAGAGGACGACTTTTGGCATCAACACTACAACCCTCTGTACAACCCGGTACAAACCAAGCCGGTATTAGTCCACCAGTAGGTGCAACTTTCTACCTGTCTAGCGATTTTGGCGCTTGCTGAAGCTAGATGGCGAAGGCGGAACACGTACGACCGCCATGTTTTCGCAGAGCGACCGTATCTTGGAGCACTGCTGTTTGACAACAATGACTCTGATGCCAGAGACCATTGCGCTGCAGAACGCAGTAGGCAGCACTCATGCTCTGTATTAATTTGGATCCAATGCTGACTACAATGCCTTTGGAGCTTTCTTGTCGTGGTTAAGGCTGGCAACATATATGGCCATCGTGGCCGTAGCGATTCTCATCTCTTTCCACTTGAAGCACACCCCGACACCCATTGAAAGGCGAGTTGCCCTGCCATTCGGTGTCGTCTTCTGGCTCCTCGCACTCGCTTGCCTTGCGTCCGGCGTCACCAATTACATCAAGACGGTTAGTCGATACAGCAGGCGGCAAGCACTTGTGCAGAGTGGCGCCGGAACGCAACTGGTATGTACTAACGGAGCACTTGACAACCCGGGGGAAAATTGCTGATATTGTCTAGGTGTTCACAGTTGTGGCCGCAGCCATCGTAGCTGCGTGTATTCTGTTCTTGAGTACGAATGCAAGCACAAAGTGATTAACGCAAGTTCCACATTTAGTCCGCAGCGGAGCCGTCAGGATCGTCCAGCAATCTTAATGCGCATCTGCGTGCCTTCCGTCTTCAGCGAATCCGCCACGGAAAGTCCCGTGCCGGATCCGTCTCCCCGCAGCTTTTGCGAGCTTCATCCTTCGAATGGGAGAAAGCTGAGTTGATACGTCCTCCGAAACTGTGGGCCAATTGCAAGATGGCAACTACGAACGCAGCCCCGGCAGTCCGCAGGGTCAACCATGCCACTTGCTCAAGGTTCCATGCGAGCTGCGGGACGCCATACACGACTCCGTCTTCGAAGGCAATGTCGTTGACATGAATACCTTCAACGGACACCTAACGACGATGCTGGAGCCAGTTCTCTTACTTTTGTATCGTCAGATTTACGAAGAAGCATATATTGCCTACGACGAAAGATTGAAATTCATGCTTCCAACGCTGATGGCGGAAGGTGTGCCACACGCCCGGCGATCTATACCGCAGAACAAGCCCTGGGACGTACGAAATGTTTGCTACGACACTTGTGCATTGTGGGCGAGCAAAAACTTGAACCACATGCAATGTCCACCTTATCATGCTTGCGGACGGCCAATGGATGACAAGAAATGATTTGTTGTACGCTCCGCCACGTGGGCGATAAGAGCCTTCGTACGGCGACTGGAGGGCCTTCCAGCCAAGGCTCGGGTCAGCATCAAAATCAGGGACGGGTGTAAGGTCTGGACGTCCATACCATGCGCGACATGGCAGCAGATCGGATTGCTGGAGCAGGAAGAGGTGCTTGTGTGGTGTTCGGAAGAAGACTTGGCAGTCTGAGTGCTGGAAGGTTAAGGGCCGCCCCTTTCCGAACTTTACGTAGCAAAGGCAGCACTATGAGCACTGTCCATTCTCCACCTGATGGGATCGGTTAGCCGGCTCAGAAGGCCCTGTGGGAAGCAGCAATCCAAGACCGCTGAGGCAGAAGGCAGATCATTATTGCGCTGTAATGACGCTGCGCTGCATGACAGTCCTAGGTTCAGACCGGAGGCATACCAGGTGCAGTCAAGCTTTCAGGTTTGCTCCGTACATATAGTCACTTGCTGCCGTGATTCCCTACCTTGTCAGGGTAGGTGACAGCTTCAATACTCGGTGCTGTAACTTACCCACCCTCTGGAAGGGCTCTCGACTGCGTAGCTATCGTCTGCGATTACGTATCTCTAACCCCATCGGAAGATCGAACTAGCTCAAGTAGGAACTCCTTGATCTCGTCTTGGCCCCACGTCGGTCAAGGTGGGTTGGCAACCTAGAGGGTATGTAATCTCGCGTCCCCAACGTCTACATGTCCTTATATACGCTCACCGCTCAGACCGCCAGCTTATTGACCACATGACTCCCACCATGGCTTCCAGCCGAGCTTGCCACCACCACCAGCATGACACTCGACTTTCAAGAACCCCTTTTGCCTTATGGGAAATACATGCGCCGCCAGCATGCGCGTTCAGAGCTTTGGAATGTTGGCTTTATGGTTCCTAATAGATTCCGAGTGCAGGAATCTTCCAAGGGTCCGTTCCCTTATGCTCTTCTATGATTACGGTCAAGCCTCCGAAATACACTGTCGCAGACGGCAATTTGCCATAGTCTGGCAGCTGGCGACACATACAGTTCAACTCTGAGCCACGCAACCCTGGGTACTTAGGTCGTGGAGCAGCTGCTTGTGCGCTTTGTAGAAAGCCGGACTTCGGCGAAAGCACAGGATGTGTAGAAGCGTGATGGACGATCGTATGGTCCGGAAGAATCGCCTGTTGAGTGTCCTCCAGCGAGAGGTGGCGATCGAACCCGGATGCCGGATGGTCACGTGTCACTAGTCGTGGCAAGATTACTTTGACTAGCTCGGTGTAGTTCAGCATTCACTCTGCTACTGGTGGCTTGCATTCTCTTCCGCTACACGGGAGAGAGAGACAACGAGCCGATTCTCGCAGCATCTTACTCCTCGTACCTCCTTGTCATGGAGAGCCTGTCTGCAACGCCCAGGACGCCTGCCACGATGCTTACGAGTCAATGTTGGACCGAGGCTCGACGCGAATATTGCTCGCGAGATGATTTAAGCGGCTGGGTTGAAGTTCCAGCACCGAAAACAGCAAGCATGCTAGCAGCGCTCAACTCAGCGGCACCTTCCTCTTCACAGCCCTCATCGCGAACAGCGTTCCTTCCCTCCCTGGCGGCCTCCCCACTTCCGTCACGATCATTCTTGCAAAATCCCTCAACAACCAGTACGAGCTATGCGCACCCAGCATCGTAAGATACTGAATCTCCAACGGACCTCCCCCGTACCGTAAGAAGTAGTCAATCTGCCCGTTGTCATTGAGCAAATACATCCGCTTCTCCGCAATCTCCTCTCGCGTGAAATTGTGCGTCTCCATCTCCACATTTGACGGCAACCGAGGTAGTGTAGGTGCCTTGGAAGTGGCGGTTGATGAGCCGGCCCCAGCGAACCAAGTCGTGCTGCCACGGGCCCCGAACCAGCCGGCTGTGGATGTTGGGATGTAAGCAGGCTTGATGGAGGCCGAGTAACTGGCGTCAACGGCGGCATTCAGGCGGTAGCTGACTGGGTCGTAGCCGTTGACGATGTTGTAGAGGTTCTCAACAGCTATACAGCCATACTGCCCTCGCTCTCCGCAAATGCTAAGTTGGTTCGAGGCTGGGTCGGCGTTGGCGGCTGCAGATGGTTGGTCCAGTCGAGGAAGAAGTTGGGCCTTCTTCAGTAGCAGAAAGAAGCCTGCGGGCGAACCTGCGAGGAAGAGGTTGGAGGTGTTGAAGATGAAGTGATCGATGTCTTCGTTAGCAATGTCAATTGCTGCCGGGTCGTGCAGCGACTTCGGGAGGACGGTAGGTTGCCGTGACAGTATGTCAATGCTTAACACGCTACCAAGCGAGTGTCCGATAATGTGTACTCGTCCATAGTCTGCAAAGCCTGCGTTGTTTTGACACCAAAGCTGGTAGACACGATTCGCTTCTCGCACAACAGCTGCAATCATCTTCGGCTGGTGGTGCGATAGATAGTACGGGATGTCTGACAGAACGTCGCTAATGATGTTTCGCACAGACGGCAGCGTTTCGGGCGTGATGTCAGCAAGAGTGAAATCATTCGCATCCGCACCATCACGATAGCCGCCTTCCTCAAATGTAAGCGAGTGACGCCAATTCACAGGCAAGACCATAATCCCACCCATGTCCTCACGGAAGCGAGCCTTGACCTCGGGCGTGCCAACCTGGACGTTGACGTCGCGTCGAAACGCATTCATCGCATGGGTGAAGTGCCAGCTCTCCATGCGCTGACTCAACATCTGACCGATGCCGTGGATAACGAGGACGAGGTCAGTGACTTGCGGCCGTTCAGCTTTTGCAAGGTCCGGGTCGGTCTTCCGTCGTGTGCGAGGCGGCACGCCCGAAGACGATGTTGCCACGCCTTGCTCCGCTCTCTCAGTGGTCGTGGTTGCTTTTGCTGGATGAAGTCTGTCCCATACACCTGGGTTGAAGCCACGCACGACAGGGATCCCAAGCTTGTGGCCTTTGCGGATATAGTTTGCAAGCGGCCTTCGACCGTAATACGCTGATGGCAGTAGAGAAGGCTGCAGTAGTCGAGCTTCTCGCTCGTTGGCGTATATCACACCATAATGGGTGTAGCTCCGAGGTGGCCCTCCCCGGCCATAAAGGGTCGTGCCTGCTGCCTTATTATCTGCGCCGCCTGGTCCTGTAGAGATGTCAATAATGTCGCATGCGGCTTCGACAGCCTTGTCGTGTAGCTGCTCAGGGGTCTCTAGAGAGCCTTCAAGTAGGTTGGCGGTCGCATTACGTAGCAAACTGTCCTGACGATTTCGCGTACCACGTCTGCTACTGGGCCGACTATCCGATGCTAATGGCACTTTCTCCGGCCACAGCTTGTGCATGATTTTCACTTCTCCTGCCGCGCCAACTTCCACCGCCGACTCCAGCTCATCCTTCCACGTCTGCGTCCAAACTTGCAACTCCACGTACCCAGCTTCAAGCATATTAGCCACAGCTGTCTCCACTGGCAGCATGGTGTCTTGATAGAACCATGTACCGCGCACCACCTGAGCGGTATCGTGTATCGGCACCCAGTATATGGGCTGCATGATAAGCTCAGGCATATCCACCTGGTGCAGCCTGGAGACGCCGACAGGTACACTTGTCCGTGGAGTAGGATCTTTCCGTCGTTTCTCTGGGGCAGGACTGTGTTCGACTAAATGCGAGGCGTCTTCCCAAGTATACGTATCATGTTGCTGTGGTCTCGGCCTTGCTGGACGCTCATCCATGGTGCGCATTTCACCGATGCGCTTGCCTGATGGTGCCCGAATGAACGGCGTACCTGTGGTATCCGGCAACGCAGCAGGCTCAGCACTACTCTGCGCCTCATCAGGTGGTGGACTGGATGCCTCTGCTTCAGTTCGCATCTCTACCTGGCCGAGACTCGCTGCCGCCTGCCGCGCCAGACTCGATCGTGGAACTCCAGGCTTCGAGCCAGAGCTTCGCCTCTCACTCCGAACATCACGAACCGTCCGGGAGCCTGCTCGGGCTCGGCTCCCTTCAGCCAGAGTAGGCTTCTCCTCATGCTCCTCATTGTACTTCAAAATCTTTCTCCGGAGCTCATGCCATGCCTTATCTAGCGCAGCGTTGTCGTATGTCGAAAAAGGCTTCGGTGGCTGATTTGGCGCCGCTTTGCCGCTTGTAGGCGGCGGGACTGGCGACAATGGATCGTCTATAGGCAGGGGGCTGGTATAGAAAAATCGCGCCTCTATCGGGGGTGGTGGCTCGGTGCGATGGAGTACTTGTCTAACATACTCTTGGTTCGCTTGTGCACCCATTCTTCAATACTGTAGACTTGGGCGAGTACAACTGTATCGCAATTGAGCCTTACTGCACCATTACCATCAACAGGCGTGGGAGTTTGTAAGATCTTTGAACAGATCTACTCTCCCAGAGATATGGATTGGCTACTGCAAGATTGACGTGGCTTTCAAGGCAACCTTGTTAACCGTAAGCCAACGCAGGTACATGTACGCACACGTGTGGCCACCATTGTCATACCTCACTGTGCTATAGCACGCGGCCCGCAGATGCTGACCATGGTAAAGTGCGTAGCACAAGTTCTATATCAGGAACTGCAAATTATTTGCAAAAGCCATACAGTCAGCACGAGACCGGGAGAAACGCGGTTCACGCGACTTGGGCTTGAAGGCACGATGACGCAGCAGCGAAGCATCCCGCCATCCCTCCACTATAGACTCTCAAGCTGCTCATAGATTCATCAAATAACTTGAATTGGACCATCGAAGCCAAAGGCCCCGGTATTAGGCAATTGTTTCACAGCACTACCTTTCCAACGCGCTCAAGATGGCTTTCAACGGTGTGCGTCTCTTCCGTTACGCACTTCTGGGCGAAATCGGTAGCAACGTTATGGGCGCACTTCCCTGCCTTCTCGCACCGGAGACAGTCCTCTCCTATCTGGTCAGGGGGCCGAATGATATCACGCCAGTAGCGAAGAGCCTGACGCAATGGTATGCTTGTTGCCACCCTCGGTTTCAGCGTCCCACTAACCGCAAAGTTAGGTTCGGCGGCATGATTCTGACCGCCTTCACCATACCCATTATCCTCAGCTACCCCAATCCGCGTCCCAGCCAGGGAGGTGACCCTCAAATTGTAGCGTGGCGCCGTCTTGCGTACATGACGCTTGGCGCCGGCGAGGTCGGCCTTGGCACCATAGCCATGATACAGTTTCTTCAAGGCGACAGCGGCTTCACTGACAGCGCGTTGTTGGGGGTCATGGCATTCATGGGTGTTTTCTCTGCCATGCGCGGTTTCTTTCTCTATGCGAGACCCTCGTGGATGGAGGCCCAGGAGAATGCGAAGAAGGCGCAGTAAGCTCTGCGCTCTTCGCGCGTGGATGCCTGGCGATGGACGATGTACGAGTAAGGTCGTACGTTCGCACCCGCTACGTTTGTGGCTGTCTCATTGATGTTCGTAGCGAGTAAATGTGCGGCGAATGTGGAGTTGGCGAAGGCGGCATTAGCGGAGACGGCGTAAAAGCAAAGTACATGTAGATTGTACGCTTTGCATCGACATTGTAATGGCCAGTGCTCTCACCCGAAGCGTTAAACATGCGTGTCCATGGAGCCGCGTTACAACGGACTGATAGGCTTGCTATTCAGCTGTAGCAGTAGCGGGCGGGGTGCTCATAACCCCTCTGCCAAACCAGTCACTGATTGTGCTAAACTTGCCGGTGCTCCTTTGCATCGCATCGAGGAATAAGTCGTTCTTGGCGGCACTCTCTTCTTGCGCCCGTTTGATCTGTCTCACAGTCTGGTTTTGTGGTGCGCAGATGGGACATTCAATCTCTTCGGCCTCACGACCGTCTGCGATGTTCAAGCAGCGCTGATGGAAGCTGTGCTTGCAAAGGAAGTGCACAGTCGGGAGATCGAGCGTCATGCCGCACGTCGAGCATCTTGTCGCGCTGAAAGACGTTGGCTTGGTGGCAAGCTCATCGATATCCTGCAGCTTTTGTGCCGTGTCTGTTCGATAGGAGTTAATCAAGCGGCGGTTGGCTGCAATCTCTGCCCGTTCCTTTTCCACCGTGGACGATAGATACTTCTTTACCAACCCCATCGTGGCCACGGCGTTGAGACTGAGTGTCTGAACCACTTGCAGCGGTGCCATCAGCCCATCTTCTTCAATCTTCTCAAGCACCGCGCTGACCTCATCGCCCGCTTCCTCTAAGATCTTGGGCGAGCTGGTGAAGTAAGAGAGCGCAGCAGGATATAGCTGTGGCTCCTCCGGCCCGTACTTGTGTAGAGCCTTGATCGCGCCTCTTGTGTCACGTGCCGTAGTATAGGAGCGGAAGACATCGAAGCGCAAACCCTGACGCTCGCTCACCAGCACCGTGCCGTCTCTGAACTTTTCAAGATCGGACAGAAGTAGGATGTTCGACGTGTCGATCGGTACATTCTTAGATTCAATGAGTTGCCGGGCCTTCCGTTCCCATTCCGTCTTGTCTTCTGCCCGGGACTGATTTGCCTTGTGCAGATAGATTTCGAACAGTGTGGTATAGAGGTCATTCTTCTGTCCATCTTTGATGTCTTCGCTTGCAATCAGCGCTTCAAGGAAGTCGACAAACTGCTCAGGATGATCTACGAACGCGGAGAAGGCAGTCCGCGGCTTCGGCACGTCGTAAGCAATGAATTCGCCGGGTGTAGTGGTCTCGACCACCTGCGTTTTATTCACGGTCGTTGCTTGGCCATTTGTGGAGGGAAGGGAAGTAGTGCTCATGCCCGGTAACGGTATCAAGGCCGCCAGGTTCTGCACAGCCGATCTTGCCACCGTGCTGAAGCCGACGGTTTCCTGCTGGGCCGGGGTTTCCTGCACTATGACAGCGTCCTTCTTCGGTCTATAGTGCCCAGTAAAGTAGTCGATGAACAACTGCGTAGCCTCGATTGGACAATGCTCAAGGAGAACCGTTCCATATTTCATGAAGTTCGGATATGCATCCTTCGGGTCCAAGCGTACAATGTATGCCATTGCTTCCGCATACTTCTTCAGATCCTCGATGAGAATATCAATGACCAGTCCATGCTCATTGTGCCGTCTGGCAAGAAAAGCGGCTTGGTCGTAGTAGCCGCCTTGTCTGCACATCACAATTGCAGTGTCTAGATCAAACCTGAGCTCACCCGGCTGCTTGATGAAAGCTTCGAGCTTATCCACATCTTTGAGCTTGGCATAGCAGTTCAACAGTAGGGTTGTGTGGTCTGAAGTTGCCTTGCCTTCTTCGTGCAGCGCCTCAAGGTACTCTATCAGGTTGCGCAGATGCTGATTATCGAGAAACTTGCGGATGATCTGCGACGGCTCGGTGTTGTCGATGGCGCGCAGGTACTGCTGCATGGCAGTATCATAGTCTTTCTTCTGGTACAAGTAGTCGCCATAACGACGGAAGATAACGTTCTGCTGCACAGCATCGACTTTGTACTTCTGCGCCAAGCTGATAGCGAGCACGTAGAGGTTGCGCTGATACAGGATCTCGAGCTTTTGCTGGAATGTCTTTTCATGATACCTGTACAGCTTACCATCAATCATTAGTAGAAAAATGTCGCCCCAGATACTGAGAACGTTGTTGACCTGACTTGACAACGCCTCCGAATGCGCGATGAATTTCAGATCAGTGTTCAGGACGGTGAAGCTGGTGGAATTGAAGATGCCCTCAGCCTGACTGCCGCCAAATGCGCGCAATGCGGTCGAAGTGGCAGAGTTGTTCTTTGGTGGCGAAACGATCAGGACATAATCCTTGCAGATGCTGACCAACTTCTTTGCGCCTTCATATGCATAGGATGCTGCCTTGCCGCGCGGTCCGTATGTGTAGATAGCATCGTCTCGCGCGACAACAATCTCATTAGACTGCGGATCGAGGGTCATGCAGCCAACAGCACAGCCGTGCTCGTCTAGGGTACGGGCCGGTGTACCTTGACCCTTGCCAGTGATAGCGAGTGCTCGAATGTGCGAAGTTGTTGCAATGTACAAAGCGGTGGCATTGGCTTCACGAAACTCGAGTCCGGTGATCGGCTCCTCGGTTTCGAACACGGTCCGCTGCTTGGTTCCTCGATCGTGAATAAAATCGCCTCGAACCACCGTCACGGCACCGTTTGCAAAGCCAACAGCCAGCTGGGCTAGGTCATGAGTCACAGCGAAGCCGGTGACTGGGAAGTTCTTCCGCCCATTTTGCACCGTCAGCGTAGACAGGCACTTAGGGTACCCGGTCTTCTTCTCCGTCTGGTCCAGAGTCCAGACCTTCAGCTCGGGCTCATGAGACAGGGTTTCGGACAGCGTCAGAAGGTATGTCGTGGCATGAACATGCTTCACGTGAGTCACACTACCAGCCTCATGAGCCTTCCATGATCGCGACGGCTTGAAGCTATGGTCTAGCAAATGGACTGTCCCTTCTGGCGTGCCCACAATGACGTTATTTGAACCAGCAACTATACAGCTCACTGACCCTTGCTAGCAGTGGTGTTAATATATGTATGATTGCCGTCTACTCAAGTGTACTTACGTCCAACGAAATCGTGCCGTCTCCTTGCGGCAGGCGAACATGGGAGACATCGAAGAAGCGGAACGCTTTCCACTGCAGCAAGTCAGCTTTTCCACACTATGGTGGCCCGGAGTACTAGGAAGCTACCGATGTCAGCGCCATGCTATCGAGCCATGAACCAAAAGCAGACAGTTGTTGTGCGCAGCAAGAGATTGTGAGCAATACGGGCGTTATATGGAGAACAGTTGAAGTAGCATCTGGCGTAATCTCTATACCGAGGTCACGTGCTCAGATGCTTGGTCGCGTTTCTTGCGCGTCCAGCCACCTTCCGCCAATTACTGCGGCTCGTCAAACACACCAACATGTCCTTAACACCTACGCAGCAAGCTCTACCTGACTATTGCACCTGACATCTGGAACACCATGGCCATCTAAAACGTCGCGGATGCGGGCTCTCTTGGCTTCAAGTCTTTCACGGCATCCCAATCATACGCGTGGCTTTCTCGAAATACATACCAACAGCACATACTCTCCCCACAGACATCCAAACGTCCACCATCCTCTACCCCTCTTCCACCGTCTGGTGGCTGAGCTGTGTCGGGGTTGCAGCTCGAGCTGCACTTTTGCTTGTCACGGAGCCTCCAAGACAGTCATTGAGACTTCATCTCATTACCACGTCAAGGCCGGCCGAGTACATGCCGAATCTGGTAGATGCGCGGAAGCTTAACCCTAAGCGATACTCTCGGTTGAAGTTTTACGGTCCTCTTGCTATGGCAAGGGAAGCTGCTGGCTTCTTCGATTAGCCCCCGCCGATCTTGACTCGTTGGGCGTTGCCCTCGAGCGGCAATCAGCATGATGGTGAGGCGGGGGCGAAAAGGTTGCTGGAATGTCCGGTCGCCATTAGGCGGTAAATGGCGGCCTCATGCGTCAGTTTGGTAAGATTTCCTCTGGGGGCGCGCGTCGAGGTTGCTGGCCGGACTTATTCTCTGATCAAGCACAGGCAGCTTTGGCACATCAATGCCGGTCGAGTGTATCATAGACTGCGTCGGCGACTTGATGTCGGAGTGATCCCATATTGGGACACTCCTAAGGATCTTCGCAAGCTGCTTGCATTGTTCCAGAGTGGCTTGCTTGATCACCGTAAGAGTCTGCTAAGCTGGATGCCGGTCAGCAGGATGAGACAGGCCGTCGACGTATTGTGCATCAGCACCTTGAGTGGTGTCTGTCGCGACTGGATACCCTGTGCGTTGTTTGCTTCTGAAAAGCAGGGAGAAGAGCATGGCAGCACGCTCGAGCCAGCGTTTCAGCCTACAGACTGACTGTGCAGTTTGACCCGCTCGGAAGCGCTCCGCGTCACACTTGCCAGAACCATGCATTGCATGTTGCGAGGTGCACCGGACTTACATACGGAAGCGGGTCAATCTGCACGGTCGCCCGAAAGGGTTCATTGGCATGTCGTCAGCTCCGGCACTCTCGCTGTCCTTGCCAAACCAAACAACTTGCATGGGTGAAACGTCGTGACAGGTGTCTTACATCGAGCGGAGATCTGTCCGCCACAGCTTCCGGATCCAGTACGCACGCCGTGAGGCAGGACTCTGGCCTTGACACGCAGCCGACGTACTCTGGCTGTGCTCGCGATGAAGACGTCCTGTACATCACTCACATCGGCCACGCTGACCTTGCATGAGGTCAGAAGGCCAACCACGTTCAGCTCTGTCCTCGTCCGAGCTAAAAGTCCACAGCCAGTATCACGGCATTAGCCATTGATACTGTTCGTCTAGCCTAACCTCATGAGGAAGCGGCGATTGTCTGATCAGCCGTATCAATCATCTCCGTCCACTGTTCTCGAGTGGATGTCGATTGATGAGCGCCGAACCACAAACCAAAATGCCTGCCTTCTGATCTCTTGACTGGACTTGCAGAGCAGCCTCACTACATGTGAGACGGCAAACGGTTTTTGCAGATGTACTTTGTCCGTTTGCGCTTAATGCAGAAATGCCTCTCTACAAAGCCTGCTTACCGGAGGTTTAAGGGATGGAAAGCAAAGACTTTGTCTCTAAGAGTGCTGCTCATCTACAAAAAGAGAAAGTCGTTCCTGCGAAAGCGGGGTGTGGGATGCCTACGAGGGACTTGAGACGACGAGGGTCTGTTGAATTGATGTCGGTGGCTGCTGAGAAGTCTCAGCTTGATGCAACGGAACGATGGTGCCTGCTTGCCACGTTGGGTGTCGTCGCGACAAGACAAGGTGGTTCTTCTAAAGCCATGACCCGTCGTTGTCTGGCTCTGGCGTTGGTGGGGAACGTGATGTCTGCCGGGTAGCCTGATCACCATTCGCGCATAGCGGGACCTCTCTTGTGTGAGGATCAAAGCTTAGGCTTGTCTGCTGTGTCGTGTCTGCCGGCCTTGCTTGGTGACGCCGCTCCGCCTGCTGACGCTCAGATGCAGCGGTGAAGGTGGACGGGGAACGAAGGGCTGCAATCTAATCAAGGCTCCTGGGAGCCGAGGCCATCTTCTTGATCCTGCGAAGGGGAGAGTGGATGGCTCTTTGATCTTTTATACGTCTTTCCGCGCCTGTCTATGAAGGTTAACGGCTAACTGCTCAGCTCAGTAACCTTACCGACGGACTTCTGTCGGTCCTCTAAAAGACCATGGCGAACCATACAAGCATGAATTCATGGCAGATACGTACGCGTCGTCGCAGGTTCTTTCTCCTCAATCTACCGATTATCGCCCTGACTAAAGCGTGCAGATCACAATAACTACTCCCCTCGGACAAACGTGACACCCGAGAGAGGTGCTGATTGCTTCTGCTGGGCAAAGATGTATCGACGCCTGGTTGCCACATGCGAGCAAAGAGTCAGGATCAAGTACGAGATTGTGAGCTCATAAATCTCTCTACGCATGAAGGAGCTGCAACAGATGGATAGTCCATTCGTCGCACGGCGGCCTTGAGACTGCCTTGGGCCAGCGAGGTCACCACCACAAGGATGCGTGCAGTCTGTCCTTACCGGGGCGCATCTCTCTGGTCGTTGGAAGAGTGGATGATCACTAACCTTGCGATCTGCAGCCAGCCGCTAGCAGCCGTCCTGGCAAGCCAATCGTTCGCATCAACCTCCCCTCCTTCGATTGAAATTCGGGTGGCAAGTAGCAAGTTGCCGCGGTATAGCCGAGAAAGCTTGGTTCGTGCTTTCGCTGCACAACCCCGCGATAACCAGACCCAGCGAGGTTAGCCGAATATTTAGCTGCAGCCCTTCACATGCACCTTCATGCAGACGGCTCACGAGGAGCGGCTGGGTAACGCTGCAGTATGCGATAAGAGGGCCAGCTCGCCTGAGCTGGACCCATCCTCGCGTCTTGTCCGCACGGTAGGTGGTTGACGATCCCTCATTCTGCAGCGTGCGGATTTCAGAGTAGGTGCTGTTTGCAGGTTGGTAAGGAAGAGTTGGGGGTTAGTTGCAACGAACACATGTCTGCTCTCACCGCACTGGTCCTTGCGACCGTGCTGTTCTTCGCGGCTGGCGATGCCGCAGCAAACCAATACACTGTCTGGGCGACGAGTATCTTCCACCGAACAGGGGAGCGCACGCCTGAGGTGCTCGGCTACATTCCAACCACTCTTACCAGCTATGGCGCGCAACAGGTGCATAATTCAGGAACTTTTTTCCGCCAGCGCCACGTATCTTCGGCCAGCACAAACCCGGTGAACAGTGCACCAATTCAAGGCCTCAGCAGCAACCGCGTTGATAATCTGCAGGTCTTCGTTGGTGCGCTGGACGAGCAATGGACTGTTGCCAGCGCGCAAGCCTTCCTGCAGGGTTTGTACCCACCATACACTCTCAACGCTAGCACGGCGTCGTTGCTTGACCCTACGAGCATTCTTGCGAATGGCACCTACGTCGAGAACCCGCTGTCAGGCTATCAGTACGGTCAAGTGCACAGCTTCGGTGGTTACGACCCAGAATTCCCGTATTTGGGCGGTTCGCTAGACTGTCCCGCTTTCGATATCGCCGCCGTTGAGTATGCCAACACGCCGCAGTTCGCAGCTGTTGAGGCAGAGTCTCGGCACATCTACCAAGCGATCGGTCAGCCGCTTCTGAGGAGCGTGCTTAATCCATCAGCGTGGGACTATTTCAATGCTTACGCCATTTATGACTATTTGAACTACCAGAGATCACACAATGCCACCGTTGCCGCCTTGCTCAGTCAGCCACAGTACATTAACGCTACGACGAAGGTCAGCTATTTCGATCAGCTCCGCTGGTATGCGGACCACCAGCAATGGGCGCAACTCACTAATCTGACGGCACAAAACAACTATACAGGCAAGAGCGAGGCACTTCCGGGCAGGATTAAGGGCTCTATATCGACGATTGCGGGTAACTTGCTGGCGGCGAAAATGCTCGCTCAGCTGCAGGTTGCGATCCAGACCAGCGGCAGCTATTACAAGTTCTCTGCGCTGTTCGGCGATTTCGAGCCTATGGTCAGTCTGTTCGCGCTCCTTGGCCTGCCGAACATCAACAGCAACTTCTACGGTATTCCAGACTTCGGATCGGTTGCGGTCTTCGAACTCTTCTCCTACACCAACAACAGCATGAGTATGCTATTTCCATCGACCAGTGACTTGTGGGTACGATTTTACTTCCGCAACGGCTCTGGCGGAACGAATGAGACGAGCGGCAACTACCAGTCGTACCCTATATTCAACCGTGGGCCCAGTCAAACCGATATGACGTGGCATGACTTCCAAACCGGCATGTACGGCATCCTTCTTGCGGACATTGGGAGTTGGTGTACCCAGTGTGGCGCGACGAACCTCTTCTGCGCGGCGTGGAACAGCTCCGATGCAACAACGAACACGACTGACTCAACGACCTTCACCACGCAGCGCCAAATGAAGCCGGCGATTGCGGGTGTTATAGGCGCAGTTGTCACCCTCGTGGTTGCTGGCCTGGTGTTTGCGCTCGCCATGCTGGTTGGCGGTGTGCGCTTTCACCGAACGGAGAGAAGGTCTAGAAGCGAGCTTGGCGGGTTCAAGGGCAGCCAAAAGCTGGCTTCAGACAGAGACCTGACCAATGTACCGAAAGGCGGGGCAACAGTCGGCGCATCAATAGAGCGGTCGCCGGACAGTCCTCTCAGCCCGATCGGACACGAGAGAGTCGGCAGCTGGGAGCTAAAGCAGGCCGGGACTGATAGGCCAAACATGGACCATGTTGCAGACGCGCACTCGATTGCGCCTTCGGAGGCTGATGACGGGCTTGATCCGTTTCGTGAGCCGGTCAAAGCGGATGAAAGGGTATGATATACGATTGTACGTGAATGATCCGCAGAGCATGGTGTGCCATTGAGATACGTCAATCTCAGCAACGCTGTCATGCAATAATCGTACACATGATACTCAAGCTTGATTGACAAGGCTCTGTGTATTCGAAACCCCTGTCGCGTAGCCCTGTTTCTCATGCTCATATTATGCAAGGCAATCGCGGAGCTGCGTGCAGTCGAGTTTAGTATCTAATATGCCACAGGTAGAGGCAACGCTGACTGACCTTGACCACTCCTTCAACATGCTTGGTACTCCTTAACGCCTCGCTTGTTAGGTAACAACAGTCGAACTTCCACGAAGTCGCCATGGCTACGCCTTTGTGATCCGGTTGCTTGGTCGGAAGCGAGTCGCTTCCCGGCAGATGCAAGCATCACCGCCCTCCACCCTAGAGCCTTTTACTCCTCCATCTTCACATCCCCGTTTGCATGTTTCTGATTACGTCCAGATATCCAGAGGACGTTGTTACATCTAGCACGTATTAGCGCATGCTCTTTCTGTTCGTTTGGTTAATGTCTGCAGCATACCGTATAAGCACTTGGCCCAGTGTGCCTCTACTGCTGCCATTCACCCACTCCTCCGCGCCACTAAGCTGAACGTTCATGTAGCTGTCAACTGACACTAAGCGGCCTGTGTACTCAGTCTGACCCCATTTGAGGCGGATGGTGACTTCTTCGTTGACGAGCGACTGCAGCATAGGTCGAGGATTTAGCGGTACGAACTTTGAGGTTTTGTCAGTTTGCGCTTGCTGCAACATGCTGGACGAAGATGCTCACAGCCATGATCGCGACTCCTGGAGACAGCGCGAGGCTATGTCAGTTGTTCTTCGAACGGATGCGGTGATGCACCAAGTTCGCGAACTGACTTGCAAGGTGAAGCCTTCGGAACGCTTGGCGAATTTTGAATGACTCGTGTCAGTATAGCCACCTTCAATTATGCTTGAGCCTCTACTTCTCCTTCGTCAGAGAGACGAAGCGTAGAGTGTCACCATGGACGACTTCGAGCAGCTAGAACTGCTCTCGCTGGTCAGCAAGGTGACGTCGGAAGTCAACAACTATATGGGTATTGCGGACAAAACCATCGCCGAATTCGTGATAGCAGAGCATGCTACCGCTAAGACCACCGCCGACTTCCGTGAGAAGCTGGAAAGTGAATATGAGTTTCCACAGAGTTTGACAGAAAGCATTGATCGATTGATCAAAACGCTTCACCCAAAGTACAGGAAGGCCGCGCAAAATGGTGGTGGCGGTGTTATATACGATGAGCGCAACGATGACCGGAGCACGAAGTTCAAAGGTCTTGCGTTACCAGACAAGGCTCCTGTATTTGATGAAGGAGACAAGGAGAATGCTATGGATGACACATTTGCGATCCTCGAGTCCATGGCCGGGCCACCCAAAGCGAATGGTCGCAAACGAAGTGTGAGCCCAATCGAGTACCGCGAGCGCGAGGATCGCTATAACAAACGGTACCGGCGGTCAAGGAGTCCTAATCACAAGAATGCTCACAAGAATGACGAGTTTCTGTTTGAGGATGAATTTGGTCGCACGCGGTCTCACAGACCTTCCGATCGGCCTGAAGAGGATGGCCAGAGGCGCAGCAAGCGAAGACGGGGCTCATTTGACGAGCCACCGCCGCTAGAACTTGACGAAATGCCGGTTTTATATAAGGTGTATGATGGCAGGGTCACGGGCGTCAAAGACTTCGGCGTCTTCGTTAATCTACGTGGCGTGAAAGGCAAGGTAGACGGCTTGGTTCATGTGTCTGCCATGGCAGACTACAAGGTCAATCATCCATCTGATCTGGTGGCAAGAGATCAAGAGGTCAAAGTAAAGGTTATGAAGGTGCAGGACAAGCGCATCAGTCTCAGCATGGCCGAAGTTGATCAGGCTACCGGCCAGGATCTGAACGCAGGCCGACGGTTGCAGACCGCTGGCACTGGAGCGAATGCTGTCGGTCTGAACGGTGCTGCCGACACCATTCCTGTCGTCGAAAGTCATGGAGCTGGCAGAAAGCAGAAGAAGCGCATGACTAGTCCGGAGCGTTGGGAGATTCGGCAACTCATCGCTTCAGGCGTGATCAAAGCCGCTGACTATCCTGATCTTGACGAAGACTATACCGTAGCCGCTAATGGCCAGGAGATTGAGGAGGAAGAAGACATTGACATCGAGGTTAGGGAAGAGGAGCCGCCCTTTCTTGCGGGCCAGACTAAGCAGAGTTTGGAGCTCAGTCCCATCCGTGTCATCAAGGCGCCAGATGGAAGCATGAACCGAGCGGCTATGCAAGGCGACGTCTTGGCGAAGGAGCGGCGAGACTTGCGGCAACAAGAAACGCAAGACAAGAACGCCAAGGAAGCCGCGAAGACCGACCTTGGCCAGGAATGGAACGACCCGATGGCTCGTGAGAGACGCTTTGCCTCAGATCTTCGCCAGGGTGGTCAAGCTTCTGCGAAGCAAGACATGCCTGAGTGGAAGAAGATTGCCAGTGGTCGCGGTGAGCTCGGCAAGCGGACGTCCATGTCTATCAAGGAGCAGCGAGAGTCTCTCCCGGCCTACAAGATGCGTCAAAAGTTTTTGGAGGCGGTTAAGGAGTACCAACTGCTTATTGTTGTCGGTGACACGGGGTCAGGCAAGACTACGCAGCTTACGCAATATCTTGCCGAAGCTGGCTACAGTAACAACGGCATGATGATCGGCTGTACGCAGCCTCGTCGTGTGGCTGCTATGTCCGTGGCGGCTAGAGTATCGGATGAGGTTGGCTGCAGGATCGGCGAAGAGGTTGGCTATACTATCCGATTCGAAGACAAAACTTCAGATCGCACGCGCATTAAGTACATGACGGACGGTATCATGCAGCGAGAGATTCTACTGGATCCAGAGTTGAACAAGTACTCGGTCATCATGCTGGATGAGGCTCACGAGCGCACCATCGCGACGGACGTGCTGTTCGGCCTGCTGAAGAAGACACTGAAGAAACGCCCCGATATGAAGCTCATCGTAACCTCCGCTACGCTCGATGCGGAGAAATTTAGCAGCTACTTCAATGAGTGCCCGATATTGACCATCCCAGGTCGGACTTTCCCTGTGGAGATTATGTACAGCCGAGAGCCTGAAAGTGATTACTTGGACGCTGCTCTTACGACAGTGATGCAGATCCATCTGACGGAACCACCTGGCGACATCTTGCTATTCCTGACCGGTAAGGAGGAGATTGACACTTCGTGCGAGATCTTGTACGAAAGAATGAAGGCGCTGGGGCCAAGCGTGCCTGAGCTGATCATTCTTCCGATTTATGGCGCACTCCCGAGCGAGATCGCAAGTCGCATCTTTGAGCCCGCGCCGCCCGGAAGCCGTAAAGTCGTTATCGCGACCAACATCGCAGAGACGTCTATTACCATCGATGGCATCTACTTCGTCGTCGATCCTGGCTTTGTGAAGCAGACGGCATATGATGCTAAGCTCGGCATGGACAGGTTGCAAGTTACGCCGATTAGTCAGGCGCAAGCCAAACAGAGAGCTGGTCGGGCTGGCCGAACTGGTCCAGGCAAATGTTTCCGACTGTATACGGAGAGTGCATTCCAGAATGAGATGCTGCCGACTACCATCCCTGAGATTCAAAGACAGAACTTGGCGAACACGATTCTGATGCTCAAGGCCATGGGCATTAATGACCTGCTCGGTTTCGATTTCATGGACCCGCCGCCGACGAACACCATGCTTACGGCGCTTGAAGAGCTGTATGCGCTCTCAGCGCTGGATGATGAGGGTCTGCTTACACGTCTCGGTCGACGGATGGCCGACTTCCCAATGGAGCCCGCTCTCGCAAAAGCGCTTATCATGTCCGTGGAGCTGGGCTGCTCGGAAGAACTTTTGTCGATCGTGGCCATGATCAGTGCGGTTCAGACCGTCTTTCACCGGCCAAAGGAAAAGCAACAGCAAGCAGACCAGAAGAAAGCTCGCTTCCACGACCCAGCCGGTGACCACCTCACCCTGCTGAATGTTTACAATGGCTGGAAAGGCTCCGGACGAAGCGACCCTTGGTGCTTCGAGAACTTCATTCAGCCTCGTTCTATGCGTAGAGCGGAGGATGTCCGTAAACAGCTTGTTCAGATCCTGGATCGTCACCGACTGCGCATTGTCTCCTGCGGCCGCGAGACAACTCGAGTACGCCAGGCGCTGTGCTCCGGCTTTTTCCGGAACAGTGCTCGCAAGGATCCGCAGGAAGGGTATAAGACACTTGTGGAAGGCACGCCAGTGTACATGCATCCTTCTTCTGCGCTGTTCGGGAAAGCAGCAGAGCATGTCATCTATCACTCGCTGGTGGAGACGACGAGAGAGTATATGCATAATGTTACCGCGATCGAGCCAAAGTGGCTGGTTGAGGCCGCCCCGACATTCTTCAAGGTGGCGGGTAGAGATGGCATGATGAGTAAAAGGAAGAGAGAAGAGAGGATACAGCCGCTGCATAATCGCTTCCAGGGTGAAGATGAGTGGAGACTCAGCGCGCAGAGGAGGCAGGGTAGGGGTGGTGGAGGCACTTGGGGTTAATCCTCGAAACGCGGCTGCGATGGTTTATTCACACTACAGCATCGCGTGCGGAGTGAATTGCGCCGCTTCCGAATTAGGTGCTAGCTTTAGCTTCATCCTGGCATGTCTTGTTAGGAGCTTCACATTCACTGGCAGTGGAGGTGTTACTGGCTCTGGTGAACCTGCCGCAGCGAAGTTGTCCGGGAAGACACTGTCATGCAGACTCAGCAACAGTACAAGCATCATCGCTTCCGACATGACGGCACGTCGGGCCTATTTTACCCACCTGAATGAACACTTCGAGAGGTATAGCTTGAACGACAGTGCCCAAATCATCAACCAAGCCGGAGGACTCATGACCTTAGCCAGTCCCCTGCATCTCCGCCGCAGCACAGATAACCACTCAACAACGAGCCCAGAAGGCGGGCCTACCGTGATTGACCGCGATGACGCCGTCACGGAACGAATGCATCAGATCCTCGCATCCCTTGTGGAGATTACGCAAGACTCGCATCCCCACCTCTCGAACCAATACACGATAGACACTTTCATGTTACTGCTACAGACGTATGACCGCGAGCCTGACCATCCGCCGTCCTACGCCGCGCTATTCCCAACACGAAAACGCAAGGCCGACGAACACGATTTGAATCCATCCACCTCCGTCAAGTCCAAACGTATCCGCCACTCACGGTCTCAGACCGCCGCCAAACGTCTGCTAGTCGTACTCCGTATACCGCCTACACTCGAACAGCTGCATCACCGATGGCAGCGGACGCAGAACAGATTCCAAACGGAGCGCGCACTCCTTCCTCCATCGCGATACGAATTCTTTGCGACGTTATTACACCGCATCCACCACGAGATCGCGTGCAAGCTTGCCAACTCAGGTGCTTCGGGCTACACTCGTCAGGAGCTGGATGTGCGACTCAAGAACCTCGACGTCTTCCTCGACTGGGCGGTTCTGCATGGTATAGAGCTGGGCTATGACTATGACTGGATGTGGACTGAGCCGCGTATGCCTGCGGTATCGCCATCTGAAGAGCATGGCTTACCGTCAAGCGCGGAGGAGGCGCCTCTTCCATCTTCTAACGAGCACGGCTTACCCCCGTTTGCGGAGATGGAGCTTTCACCCACTGATGAGAACGACCCTCCTTCGACTGCGGAGGCGCATCTTTCACCGTCGGGTAAAGCTGACGGACCTTCAACCGCAGACGCGGATCTTTCGGATTCTAGCTGGGAAGAGATGGAGTTCGAGCTGGTAGAGATCTCCGGCGGAATTGCGTTATGTGTCGCTTGTTTGTTCGCCTTGGCGTACTTACTGGCGAGTCGGTGCACACCGTGGGCTGAATGAACGAGGGATGGAGGGCATGGGCGCTTCACTAGTGGGAAAAAAGGTGACAGCCAGTTGGTCAGCGAAGCTCCCACGCGGGCGCACGGTTGGATGTGCAAGATCCGGGATAGAATTGGACGTCAGATTTATGTAGCTTGAAAGCTCTGTTCAAACGCTCCCGAAGCTGAAGGACCACCCGCCTGCCCAACCTCCACACTCTAAACGGCCATCCCAACCTCCACATCCCTCGCCTCTCCCTTCCGACTCCTACTCCCATCAACCACCTGCCCACCACCCACCGTCGCCACCGACCCCGTACCAACACCCTTATAATCCAGCACCCCCCTCCCCACAACCCCCCCAAAATCTACCCCCACCTCCTTCAGCAACCCCACTTGCTCCCCCACAACCCTCACACACTCCCCCCAGACCTCGCCTCCCCTCTCCACCCCTTCCATCCTCCTAACAAGCACCTCGTTGAACTCCTCCACCCTCTCCCTCGCCCAAGCTACCACCGCACTCCCCGCGCTCGGAGCAGGAAAGGCCGCATTCCAGCATCTCAACGTATGCAATAACAAGGTGAACGTCGTGTACGCCAGCGCGTGTAGATACGGTGGTAGTGAACCCGTGAATGGGATTTGGCGAGTCCGGATACGGAGGGTTTCTGTTCGGGAGGTGAGGTAGCGGGATCGGGCCATATCTTCGTGTCCCAGACGGGCGAGCCAGGAGGCATTTGTTTTGGTGCGTTCGAGGCCGGAGGAGGTGTTGATGAGCTGGCGGGCGATGTTGTGGGCGAGTTTGGTGGCGCGGGAGTCGATTTTGGTGGTGATGATTTCTTGGGCGGTGGCGTTACCTTTTATACCTCTTGCCAGCTTCCTCAGACTCTCCACCCGGCTTACGGCTTGCTCGAAGCGTTGGAGTGCGATGTCGATGTCGAGGGTGTCGATTTGGCCCTCCACCCAGCGGATACTTTGTTGGCGGCCGTCGACGTCGATGAGGATGCTGTTGCTTCGACTCAAGCCACCCAGTCCACCCAACTCCGCTTGACGCGGGTCACGACCAGCACGCATCGCCAACCCCAACTCATCCCCCACCCCGAACCTCCCCCTCTCGCCCTGCTGCTGGGTGGACGCAACAAGCTTTCGCAGATCTTCCTGCGCTTTCCTAAAGGCGACAAGGAGACCCGCCTTCTCCGCGGAGTCGGTGGTGGCGTAGGTGAAACTTTCGTTACCGGCGCGGATATTGATGGCGTTGGCAATGGCGGCGTGTTCGCGTGTGTGGGAGTGAGTGATGGATTTGGAGTGGTGGGAGGAGATATCGGCGAGACTGATGTCTTGAAGTGGCCAGCAGCGTTCGGCAACGAGGGTGCTGGTGCTGCTGGCGGGTTGATTTTGGCGTTGGGGGTCCGTGGAAGGTTGGTTTTGTTGGTATATAGATGTTCTGTTGCCTGGTTGAGTGGCGGCGTTTTGATTGCTGGATGCGGCGTCTGCGCGCTTCTTCTCGCTTGAAATGAGGAGATGGTCGTTTAGCAACACTAGAGCTACTCTTCGTCTCGGCTTCCAGGTCGCGGCATTTAGCTCCACCCACCGCTGGCTCTCCATAATGATGTGGCGGCCGGGGATTGCGGGAAGATACTTCTGACTGCCCTCCACCCGCTTCCACAAGACCTGCAGATGGCTCGTCCACATCGCTTCGAGGTTGGCGACGCTACTCCTATTCGCGCGCTTCCTGTCCGCAATGACGCTCAGCCTGCTCCCAGCACTACCAAAGTCATCCGTGCCACCCGCACTCGTTGCGTGGCCGAGTGCAGAGGTAAGTTCAGACATCAGACTGCGAAGCATACGCATCTCCGACTTTAACCGGTCGGCTTCCTTGGAGATTTTGACGAACTGCGTGCGGTTCTGGTAGACATTATGCTGCAAATCCGTGCTCGTATGCGCCTTGACATTCTGCAGCTCGTTTTGAAAAGCGTGAATGTCGTCTTCGGTGGCGTCGGACAGCACACTCTCCACATACTTGTCGGCCTGCAGTTGGGGATCCTTCAGCGCGCGAGGGTCGACGCGTAGTCTTCCTGCTCCACGCTCCGGGCTACGACCATCTCTCGCCGGACTCCGACTGTCTCCGCGCGCATACTGGGCTGGTAGGCCGGGGACGGCTGGCACGGGCGAGCCGTCTGGGTAAGGGACACCGCCGGCAAACCTGGTACTGTAACGTCGCTTGACCAAGTCGATGGTGTTGTCTCTCCCGCCTAGACTGGGTCTTCCTTCCCGCGGTCGGGGCACGGCGAGATTACCCGACGCGCCAGAGGCGTCGGTCTGCGTAGTCCATACCGAAGGGTTGCGACTGTCGGCGCTGCGCTCGCGCGGTGCGGCGTCGGGCTGGATCTGGCGCGGCGCGGAGATGGTTGGACGGGTGGTCTTCTTGCGACGGAGGGAGATGCCTTTACTCTTCTCCTCCGACATGATGGCCTCTCGTTAATCAATGTTGATTAATCCCTTTGACTCTCTCATGTTATGGTCAATGGAGCCACGTGCGGGAGTGACGGAGATGGATGAAGCTTGGGCCAGCTTCATCCCAAGCCAAAAGTAGTCCTCCGTTTAAGAATCACTTCGATTGCATTATTTACCATCACACGACCATTCGGAAAGGTTGCTATACCCAAACATTGTCGCCCAACAACACGCGCGCCGCTACAAACTCTGCTTTTTACATACCTCCCACCCTCCATCCTCCCCCCATCATGGCCTCGACAACCCCCTCCCAAATCTCATACACCACCCTCGCCCTCGCCTCCGCCGGCCTTCTCGCCACCTCCGCCCTAGCCTACGCCCTCTACTTCGACCACCGTCGCCGCACCGACGCCGACTTCCGCAAACACCTCAAGCGTCAACACAAAAAGGTCCACAAAACGCTCGAGGCCGAGGCGAAATCTGCCGAGCGCTCCCAAAAGGAAAAGATACGCCGAGTAGTGGAGGAGGCGAACGAGGAGGGATTCCCTCGCGACCCGGAGGAGACGGAGGGGTATTTCATGCAGGAGGTTGCGAGGGGGGAGGGCATGTGCACGGATGGATCTGATCCGGTTGATGCGGCCGTGTGCTTTTACAAGGCGTTGAAGGTTTATCCGCAGCCGAGGGAGCTGATTAGTATCTATGATAAAACGGTGCCGAAGGTGAGTCTTAGTATATCCACGATATTGTGGTGTGAAAGGAGAGGGGATGTGGAAGCTAATTCGCTAATGACAGCCTATACTCGACATACTCGCCGAGATGATCGCCGTGGACCCGGATATCCATGTCTCGGGCTCGAGCTCCGATGCGGGAGGACATGCTACTGTGGAGTAAGATAGAGCCGTTGCGCTCGAATCGTAAAGGAGCGGGAAGATTTCGAATGTGTTGTTGATAGTGTAGGCTGTAAGGGAGGATGGATGGGAAACAGGTCTTGTGGTACCATAACGGTAAGGCATGGGCAGTCGCATCATCTGGCGCATCGCTCGCGAGTAGGGCGCAGGGTCTCATCTCAAGCATTGCCGGCTGGGTGTGTATAAATCTGTGCATCTATCTACTCATATGTTCACAGGTTCCTTCAACATTGCGTCACGTTGTTCGCGTGCTCGTTTAGCAAGCCCGGAGGTCGCAAACTGTTGAGTAGAGTGTCTCGATAAGTCGAGTGAAGGAAATGGGCGGCCATTTGCAGTGGACAGCCTTGCTCTGTGACCGCGTGACCTTGAATTCTTTCAAAGCAGCAACCGACCCTTTCTTTCCCATCATTGATTCGCGAACCTCACAGATACATGGTACCGCGAACAATGCCAACAGCACACCCGGACATGGACAACCTTCCGCAAGGAGTACAGACTCTGCCGCCCGAGCTTCACGACGACATCATCTACGCAGCCGTCTTCACCGCGGACTGCAAGATACGGGACATCAACGCCAGCCACAAGCCTCCGCCTATGCTCGCGATTCATCGTGCACTTCCGTAGAGTCCGCAGACCCGGACCTACTCTGGCAACGGCGCTGTCCTACAAACCGGACGTGGAGTTACATGGATGATCCTGGTATGGAGTTCGGCCGCTGGCCTAGGTGCATCCTGGTGTCTGATCGACAACCCATCATGCATCTTGGTCTACGTTGTTACGCTTCTGGGTCCGCCCCCGCTCTCGCACTCACTTCACTTATCTGCGTGGATCATCGAACGTCGAACGGCGTTGGAAGCAGGGGATCTGACAATGCCAAACTTCACTTTTTGCCCACCTGTGCCAAGCCTGCGCTATCGAATGCATGCACGCCGCGCATGTATCATCTTCCACAACGGTCCAAGAAGCTTCTTGGCCGGCAGCGGTCACTTTATTGAAGGCTTGAACACACGCCGGTCATAGTTCGTGTAGCACCTAGCTTGCCGGTGGTAGGTCAGCCCACCACCTAAGCCTTAGGCTTGTCGGCGATGCTGTACGTCCTGTTTATGATATCAAACGGCTCTAGCTAATCCCTTATCTTCTTTCTTTCTCTACTTCGGCCGCTTTGCTCTAGGCACTTCCGGGAATATAATGAGTACATCGAAATCAGATTGATCCCTTACGTCACGGCAGGTTGCGACTGACGGAAGGCATGAAGTCTTCTGCTATGAATAAGCCGGATGAGCGAGTTGTTTGTTTAGCTCTAAGAAGCGTCTTCACCGGAGAAGACGCCAAAGTCCGCAGCTCCAAGGCAATCAAGAAGCAAATACAAATCCATGCGCATAGGCCGGACGTTCAAGCACTTATGCAAAGTCACCATCAGGAGCACGTGTATCAAACAGCAAAGAACCTCCTTGTAGAGAATGTCTTTGGTTCCAGTCTGCGAGCGAAAATTCGCTTCCCAGAGGTTTTCAGTACCTCACCGGCTCAGAGTGCAGAACGAGAGCATTCGGAAGAGGAGGCGGCCAGATCGGAAGCCCACGCTATTAGGAACGCCGCAGAAGGTCACTCAAATACCGTCGAGGCAAATAGTACTAATCGTGATGCTGCTACCGAGGGACACGGGTTCAAGTCTTTGGGTACAAATTGTTGCCGTGAACGTGTCCGACATACGCCAGCTAATCTAATTCAGGGTCTCAAGAGCGCAATGAACACTATTCAGAGCTTCGGATACCGTCGCTCTACCCCATATACGTGCCGTTCCAAACGCAGCATCGTTTGACGAACAAGATACAGAAGGTGTTGGAAGATGCTTGCTTCACCTTTGCACAAGAGCACTTGGGTGCAGAACTCCGTAAGAACGGGTGGGAATGTACTGAGCAGGTGGAGTTGAACGTTTGGACTCGGACTTTCAAAAGTGCGCGATGCTTGGATGAGACAGCTCTCACGCTCAGAATCCCACTCTCGGAGCTTTTCGAATCAATCGCAGACTTAAGACACACTGCTGTACACCGGATACAGGTGTCAGTGAATCGCCTTCTCCAATTCTTGGCTGATGCAGAGGCACTCGCAACATTGCTCAACAATGACCACGCCGCGGACTACGTTGCTCGTCAACGAGGCAGGCTAGAGGTTCTGATCGATGAGACCAAGCGTAACAATGATATTCTGAGGTATCGAGCTGCAGAGACCATACGAGAACTTAACGACAGAATTGCGGACATCAGGAAGCTCCAAGAAGAGGCAATCGAAAGCATGCTTAGGGACGACAGGGACTTTCGACAATCGATCGTTGTTGACCTGGAGACTGCCATGGACCTCAAATCGTCCAAGCAACGAGAGGCGCCTGGTGAAGAGTGCGCGACATCGTCTACAGCCGAACGAATGGTGGAGAGCTCCAGCGACGTCGAGATTGAGTGTGAGAAACACTACGGCGCGCTGATGGATTCTCCATGAAAGTACCGTTCACGACACTTCGGGGGCCCCCACGTGGAGCTGAGGATGCTCTTGTACTCAGGGGAAGCATCAGGAATGTGGTCATCTTCGGTCAATCTCCGGGAATACACGATGATCTTGTCGGACCAAACATGGGAAGGTCTGCTCGGATAGCACAGAAGGCGACTGGACAACACTCCGCCATACGAGCAATCTGGGCACGTGGACACTCATTCTGCAGAAGCATACCATGAGTGGATTAATGTTGAGCGGTCGACAAACAAGGTGCAATGTTGATTGATGAGGAAAGTTAGCGGCACAAAGAGTTCACGAATTATGGAAGATTAATAATGTTGAATCGTCAAAGGTCCTATTGCCACCATATCGGGGAAGTCTGTGCGGAAAAGAGAACATGCAGGAGACCGCACAGATTCAGGCATTCGTGCATTACAGAGGCATGGAGTACCGTTGGAATAGGTACAAACGAAGACATAGCAGTGCTCGGACCGCAATGCCTTGCCGCCAATCACGCCTCTCGCACCTTTTTTGCCAAGGCTTATCACGGCAGCGACGCAATTTCCCAAGCGCAAATCCGTCACTGGCCGATGTCACTAAGGCATGGTTGCCAAAGCTTCATCAAGACCATCCGCATCAAATTCGGTCTTTTCAACAAAAGGCAGTGGCATCTTCGGTCAAGCGGGCGCGACTTCCTTCTTCGGCGGAAAGCTTCCAAAGGACTGTTGGCGCTACGACTGCACACTCGCTAATCGCCAAACCTGTCTCGTCTTTGCTGCATTCGAGGCCCGCCTCAACACCACGATGATGGTGGTAAGGGTCAAACCAAAAACTTCCCTTGCGGGACAAAGTCTCACCAAGCACGGCTAGGTCGTGCCGGCAGAGGCGCTGTTTGTGAAAAGGCAACATTCGAGCTTCACGGAGGTAGTTCCATTGAACGATCCGGTCCGTAGTACGCAGGATTGGAGTGCAATTGGATGGTGAATTTGTCCTGATGTTAATGCTCTCCAGTTCTGAGCTATCGGTGATGGCCGCAGCGTGTTGGTGACGCTTCGCAGTCGGTCCTTTACGAGAGCGAGGTGTGTTTGCTCTTGGCACCGCGCCTGCGTAGGCGCAGACACATGGCTTGGGCAGTGTATGTAGAGGACCACGGACCTGCGCCGCTCTGGGTCGAATGGGTGACGCTTGGAGCCCGCGCACTACGAGAGCACAGCGTAATCTCTGAGAACGCCACTTTTGCGTAAGCGTAGGCGACAATGTCTGGGCGCTGTCATGCAGGAAAGCGAAAACTCAGCTCGGATAGCCCAAATAACTCTCAACAGCTTTGACAGCATCTCTAAACTTCATCGCATCCATCAAGATCAAGTGACCTTGCGGCCTGACTCCCAGATCTTGGAACGCTCGCTTCGAATCACTCGCGCCTTCGTCGCCTTGCTTCGCGTAGTCGAAGCTGCAATGCGCGAGTGCATGCTTCTGTAATGCTTCATCTTCGGGATGGAAGTAGAACGTCTCCGCCGCGGAGGTGGCGCTTGCTTTCTTCTTCTTCGCCGGCCTTTCCTCGCCAGCGTCGAGCTTGGACGCCACTTCCTCGTACGTCTTAGAGAGGATCAGGTAGTGCGTGAGAGCTTCTGATGAGCCTTTTGGACTCGGAGTCTGAATCTCCTCAAGCAGAAAGTTGTATAGTGGGGGCACGACTTGATGCGGCATATTGATCAGCCTTTCCGACAAGATCAGGCCAAGCTTTGACTTTGAGTTTGATGAAAGCACCTCCCGCAGCTGTCTTATGCCTTCGACATCTGCGGTCCTCTGCTGTAGATACTGCGTAAGCTGCTTCATCACGGCCTTCTCCTGGTAGCGATGGAGATCTAGCACGGTTAGAAAAGCAAATGGATCGCTTTCTTTGCCATCGCATTTGACGACCGTGCCGAGCTCAGGCTGCGCGAGGATGATGTCGGCAAGTTCGGAAAGATCGAGTAGGTCGTTGTCCACGTCAAAAAGCTGACGGAGCAATGTCTTCAGGCCGTGGAAGTCGATTTCTGGGTCAAAGTCGAACCATTCGAAGTCCACATCAATGAGGCTTGCATCCTGTCAACTATGTCAGTAAGCAATGTTGTAAGTCGTTCGAACCAATAGCCTACATCGCTTTCATCGTCCTCCTCCTCGCCGTCAACGTCCATCTTGTCTCGGGTGGGACGCTTGTCGTCGCCATTTGCTTTCCTCTTCGCCATGGAGTCAATCGAATCCCGTGAAAGCGCAGTGCCGGTAGGTTCACCGTCGTCAACGAGACTTCTTCTGGAAACAGGAATGGAGTGTCCTCGGAGCCAACGCCGTAGAAGTCTCACTTCTCCTCAAACGGAAATTCATCGAATTGCGCTAGTGGCGCGGAGGAACTCCGGCGAACAGAAGGCGCTGCCAAGAGTCGCGTGAGTGAACTTTGCCAGGGGAGGCCGAGGGAGCATTCATCCTTGTCCACTTCATTGGCATTTGCATTGCATTGCTTGCATACCATTCTTCGACGACTCTGCCTGTTCTAGGGTGAGGATATCGGGAAGCGGCGTGTGCGCAATACGACACAATGCTCGTTCGATCCGCTGGACGGAGACAGCGTCGTCAAACTGCGAAGCTCCTTGCGGCCTCCTTTGCTCAGCTCCAATTGCCATGGCTGGCCCCGGCGCAACTACGCTGGAGCACCTCTCAGGCTGCCATTCATAATGAGACGTTACCTCGCCGTCGCCGACCGAGCCCCAGTCGGAGTCGGCAGGCGAAGACGCAAGTACGACACCTTGCCACCGCAGCAGACAGCGCTCCCGTGTCTGTCCACAATGCCTCCTTTCCACCTGCTGGATATGGCGGCGGCTTTCGCAACAAGGCGGACGAGAACGTTCCGTGGGCCAAGCAATCCTTACAGCCTGTGCGGCAACCGGGCCAGCAATTGTCAGTGCTGCGGCCGTACGACAACCCAATCATCATTAACAAATCGACCCAAAACCCAGCAGCATTGATCAAAGTGCAGAACGGAGTACAGGGCACCATCGCCGACCTGCTGCAGCATCTACATACGAGTTTGCGCATTGGTCGCTTCAACCGAGTCGAAGCCATCATTCAGAAGCTGGCGGCACAGAATGCTTCCTATGCGCCTGAATTGCTTCATGCACACACTGCATACCTCGAAGAACGGCTGAGGGTGTTGGCCATGCTGGACAGGAGGTCGACACAAGCTCAGCATGCGCTGGCGACCATGCAGAAGTGGTTCGAGATTGAAGTCCGCAAGAAGAACGTCGAGGTCGATGCGAGAGTATTAATCATCATGATGAGGGCTACCATGCGTGCACTTGATGGGACGCAGCGTGATAGGACGTTGCGAAGGTATGCGAGTATCGCAGAGTCACTTGGTCGAGAGACTCTGGACGAGGTGCTTGAGTCTGAAGACTACGATGACAACGAGTTCACTATACTGGGAAGAGCTACCTCGACCGTTTACGAGGATCAGAGTCTGGAGGAGGCTATATTGGCGGATCCGGAGGAAGTGGAGCTCAAGAAGGAAGAGCTGCCGCAGTATCTGGCGCGCACCGATCAAGTGGATGTGGGTGAGCTACCGCAGGTCATGGAGACCGCGCAGAAAGGAAGTGGGCTGTCCAACATCAAACAAGCCATGACCAGCTTCATCAGTCTGCCACCACTACCCGCAGATGCACCACTTGAAGCGCAACGAGAGCGAGCTTATGAACGTCAACGGCTGATGGAAGAGACGTCTGTCGACATTGCCATCCAGCGGTGGCGTGAGGCGGACGATGAGCTGAGAAAGATTGGCATTTCAACACAGCTGCAAAGTAGGCCGCTTGGCGCGCTAATGTGGCAGTGGTACCAAGCGCTCTTACCGGCTTTGAAGGAAGAGCTCGCGGAGTGTAGGAAAGTCATGGCGCAACCTGATGGAGCGAAGGAGGAGGACCGCTCATTTTACGCACCCTACCTGGAATTGTTGCCCATGGATAAGGTCGCAGCCAACACCATCCTCTTTGTCGTGTCTCGCTTCGCCGGCGGCAAAGACAGGCATACGAAGAAGTATGAGGTGGAGATGAAACTGAGCCATCTCACCACGAGCCTGGGAAAGCAGCTTGAAGCTGAAGCCGACGCCTCTAGATCGGTTGAGCAGATGAAAGAAAGACGGCAGGGAGGCAAGATCAAAGCGTCTAAGCGAAGGCAAGGAATGTTCGCAAAAGGCTTGAAGCACAAGAAGGGAGCGAATTCGACCTTGGTGGAGTCCGACGACAAATGGCCGCTCGACGCGAAAGTCAAGCTTTGCGCAATGCTCATTCAGAAGCTCAAGGAGTCGGCGCAGCTGCCCGTCACGCGCGAGCATCCCCGAACCAAGCAGAAGATCACGCAGCTGCAGCCGGCATTCCTGCATCGCATTAAGTACGTCCTAGGCAAGAAGGTCGGCATTGTTGCGCCGAACCCGGCTTTGATCGACAAACTTGAGAGCGAGCCAATGGGTAGCGTCATCGCGAAGCGCATGCCCATGATTGTCGAGCCGAAGCCGTGGACAGGCTGGAGTGTGGGCGGATATATCCACTACGCAAACGATGTGTTACGACTGGGGCCGGGCGATAAGAGCGGCCGTGATTACTTCCATGCTGCGCATAACAAAGGCGACATGACGCAGCTATACGCCGGTCTCACCGCGCTTGGTAAGGTGCCGTGGAAAGTGCATCCGGATGTCTTTAGGGTTCAAATTGAAGCCTGGAACTCAGGCGAGGAGATCGCAAACTTTGCGCCGCTGCACCCGCAGATTGACGTACCACCCGAGCCTCCGGCTGGAGACATGGCGGAGCGCCGCAACTGGTTGAAGGCCGTTGATGATGTGGAGAATAAGCGCAGTGGTGCACATTCCAAGCGCTGCTTCCAGAACTTCCAGATGGAGGTTGCGCGGGCGATGTTGAACGAGACGATCTATTTCCCCCACAACATGGACTTCCGCGGTCGCGCTTACCCGATCCCGCCGTATCTTAACCATATGGGCGCGGATAATGTCCGTGGTGTGCTTGTCTTTGCGGAAGGCAAGCCGCTTGGTGATAAAGGTCTCAGGTGGCTTAAGATTCATTTGGCGACTGTTGCGGGTTACGATAAGGCGAGTATGTCGGAGCGGCTGCAGTATACCGAGGACCACTTGGACGATATCTACGATTCCGTCCGCAACCCGTTGAATGGTCGGAGGTGGTGGCTAAAAGCCGAAGACTCGTGGCAGACGCTTGCAGCATGCTTTGAGTTGACCAAAGCACTGGACTCCCCGGACCCTACCAAGTTCCTCAGCACGCTACCCATCCAGCAGGATGGCACGTGTAACGGATTGCAGCACTATGCCGCGCTAGGTGGTGACGAGATCGGTGCACGGCAAGTCAATCTCGAGCCCGGTGATCGACCGGCCGATGTATATACCGCCGTCGCTGAAGAAGTGAAGAAGGCCGTCGCTAGAGACGCTGCGGCAGGAAACAAGATCGCCCAGAAGCTTGATGGCCGTCTCACGCGGAAATGCGTGAAGCAGCCCGTCATGACCAACGTTTACGGCGTCACTTTCTACGGTGCCAAGGCTCAAGTGCAACGGCAGCTGGAGGTCCTGTTCCCAGAGGTTTCCAGGTTCGATGACATTTCGTTGCAGAAGATGTCCCTTTACGTCGCTACTGAGATCTTCAAGGCACTTGGCTCCATGTTCACGGGCGCCCAGGCGATCCAGAACTGGCTCGGGCAATGCGCAGACCGGATCGCGACGTGTCTGACGCCGGAGCAGGTCAAGCAGTTGGTTGCGGAGTCAGAGGGTGAGGGTGAACCTCCTCAGATGTCTGGATACATGCACAGGAAGCTCAGATCGGAGGCGAGGAAGAAGGCGAAGGAGATCGAGCAAGCACGGAAAGAAGGAAGAGATATCGAAGCGGAGACTGCTAAGGCGGCTCTGCAGGAGCAGAAGAAGAAGGATGGCACGCCGCTGAGCCGAGCTTCCAAGATGCATAAAGAGGCGAAGTCGTTGTTCAAGTCGACGGTTGTGTGGACGACGCCGCTCAGACTGCCGGTGGTACAGCCGTATCGCACGAGTGCGAGTAAGGGTGTTGGTACGGCGATGCAGACGCTCTATCTCACGAACCCGCACGTGTGGGATCCGGTGAGCAAGCGGAAACAGCTGCAGGCTTTTCCGCCCAACTTTATCCATTCTCTGGATGCGACGCACATGCTATTGTCGGCACTGAAGTGCACGGAGATGGGCATGACGTTCGCTTCAATCCATGACTCTTTCTGGACTCATGCTTGCGATGTCGACCGGCTGAATATCTTGCTGAGGGATGCATTTGTGGAGATGCATAGTGAGAACATCATTGGTCGTCTGCGGGAGGAGTTCCAGACCAGGTACAAGGGCTGCATGTACCTCGCCTCGGTGCAAGCGAACAGTAAGGTTGGCAAGCAGATCACGGCGCTGAGACATACGTGGAAGAAGGACCCGACCAAGAAGAGCGAGCTTGCGATGGAGGCGGAGAGGTTGCGACTGCTGAGTAGCAGCGACCCGGAAGAGGTCAAGAAGGGGCAGGAGATGGTCACACCTGGCAGCATTATGGCCGAGCACGGCGACGAGAGCGCTTATGTGAAAGCATCCGAAACGGCTGGTCGGGCACTGGGAGAGGTTTCCCTTTCGGCGGCTGACGTGGAGGGCACGAACAGTGATGCTGATGAAGTATCCGATCCTACGCTTCCGGAATCGGAGCCTGAGTCGTCGATCGAGGACGATTCAACCGATGCGCTCGCAAGCGAAGACGGCAACGGAAACGGCAGCGCCATCAGCGACGAAGCTCAGCACGATAGGCTCACCTTAGGGAACTCCGATATCTGGCTCCCAACCAAGAAGTCGTCCAAGGCTGTGTATGTCCCGAAAACACATGTCTGGATGCCGATGAGCTTCCCAGAGATTCCAGCCAAAGGTGCTTTCGATGTCACTAGGCTGAAGAAGAGCACGTACTTCTTCCATTGACAAGGATGGATACCAGGATACGTCGCTGCCGACGGCGGTAAGAAGGCCGTCATGTACAATATGACGGATGTAGAATAGAGGCGTAACAAGGCGACAGGGGTCTTGCCGGAATTGCAGGCATTTGTGCAAGTAAGCTGGGAATGTGATGAGTAGACGATGCTGTAGCTTGTTGTAAGATGAGACGCTACCCCTACAATGTCCGTGCCTTACTATCATCGCCTGTTGCACGAGTCGTGAAACTTTGATGGATCAGCTGTATGGCAGGGCCCAGCACCGCCGCCTCACTGCAGTTCGCATATGCTTCAAGCGGAATCCGACGTCCTGGCCCTGGGCTCGGCAGTCAGACGCATGCCTGCATTTCTCCTGCAGGTCTGAGATCGGCAGATTCCTTGTAGTATTCAATCAAAATGTGACCTGCAATCCTTGCTGCGTTGGGTAATGGCACGCTTAGACCGCTGCACTCGTTCCTGCGTGAAGGTCAACTGCTGTGAGGCCTCTCCAAACTGCAACGCGAACTTGCCCGAGTGTGTCAAGCTTCACATTGGTCCGCAATGTCAAGCAACTCGAGGTGGGCCCGCTGTTCCACAGCATGGCAAGACACGTGGGTTTCCGTCGAGTGCGTGATTTCCACGTGACGGCCCCGTGCAGTTCTTCGGCTTTTTAGGTTAGGCGAGCTGCAAGCCACAAGGTCGCCTGGGGGCAAACGAGGGTCCTGGTTGCGGGTACGACAAACGACCCCCGGACATGCATTCCGTGATTTGGTGTCGACCAGGGAGCTCGCAGGCGTGCACCCGGCAAGGCGGGCTGCCGCACAGACTTCCAATGAGGAGGGTAGCGAGGGTTTGGCTGTTTTGGCGTTTACCTGCGTTTCGGTCTCTCTTGTCAACTTCCCGATGTTATGGTACGTTGTTCTGTTGCTATGATGGTACGATTCAAATGATCCCAATAATTCCGAGGAACCTGCCAGCATCTCGACGCGTCGCATCGCTGCCAATTCTGATCAGGCGCGGCTGCATTCAGCTCTCAGGTTGATCGATTGAGGTCATCCCGACGCCACACCTATTTGGCTTCTCTTAAATCGCGCGGTTAACGCACTAGCGACGAAAGGCTGAACGGACAGGCTAGCCCAACAGCGGGCCGCTACTGATTCGCATTAATTGGGTTGGTGGTTGATCACTGATTGTAATCCTCCCGGTAGCGGCCGCCAAGTAGTCACCCAGTTCATAGCCGCAACCCTCGGGTCGCTTTGTGCTGCAGTCTCTTTGCCTCCGTATGTGAGCCGCACTGCTCGCTCTGTCGCAGTGGGCATGGACTTGGAGGCCCGTATGGTTAGGGGTACTGTGGACTGCGGTGGGCGTCGTGAGAGCGGCAGATGGTCTTCACGGCAGGGTGTTACCGCGGTAAAGAGGAGAGGGTCAGTGAGGATGGGCGGCGTCGAGGAGGGTGTTTCATGTCCCGGTAAATCGTTTGTCGGGAGAGAGAGTGCAATACTTGCACGGCACTCTTCATCAATCAAGTCGAGCATCGCGACCCATTGTGAGCGCATCCGGCCCGCTACTTCTTCAATATTCCAGGTCGATGGGAGCGCCTCGAACGTTGACGCCCGCAGAACCTTCTCACCACTGACGTCGCGACGAGTTGGCTATACTGATGCTAAGACGAGACACTTGTTCAAGCAATATGTTCGCGCGGATGAGCCATGTCGATGGATAAATGACGAACGTGCGAGCAAGCTTCGCCGCGTGGAAAGACCAGTACGCATAAGGATACATCGGATCTGTCACCTTTGTCAAGGCCGCTTCGACAGCGGCAAGGCATGCCTCAAGTGCAAACATGTGCGCTGTGCAGACTGCAAGAAGACGCCGTCTCATCGTGTGCCCGCGACCTTGGACGTGGCCAAGCATGAGAAGCCGCGAGAGGATCAGCACCTTCAGGCGCAGGTCTCTACAGATCTTTCTGTGACTCCAAAGGACTCAACAAACCCCGCCATAGCTCTTGCCGACAACTCGCAGGACGATGTCGACACGCCGTCGGATGCAGAAACTGGTCTTCAACCCGACGATGGAAGCATTTTTTATCAATTGACTAACTACGACACCCGTTCTCGATCGCCTACCCGCGCCAAGCGCAACATCTTCGACCGCCTTCCACCCAGCTTATGTCCCTCTCAACCGACGGCAGGGAAGCCGCCTGACCGGAGTCCAGAGAACCCCATTAGCCTTACATCAACGGCGCAACGTGTCTATCGCAAGCCTCGACAGAGGGTGCGATACTCTTGCGATCAATGTCAGGCTGCACTTGTCGGTGATGCACAGGCATGTCAGGCCTGCGGTCATGCTAGATGTAGCGACTGCGTGCGGAACCCGTAAGTGCTTCCCCTCCACAAGTCGTCACTCGCCCATGCTGACAGTCGTCTAGCTTTAAGAAGAGCATTGCGACTCCGGAAGCAAGCGTCCTTCCAATTGTCTCCGAGCGCACATTGCAGTCTGCGGAATAACCTGGATAGGCCATGCATGCGGTCGATCTAAAAGTTGGCCAACTACAATAAGACGGAGCGGAATGTAATTCTTACGCACTAACGCAAATGGAATGGCATAAACAGACATGCCCAGCAAAACCATATGGCACCTCATAATGCGCGATGTAAAAGATGACGGACAGTCCACGGTCTGCTCGCTCCGAATCTCGCAAGCTTCTCATCGTTCATTAATGGCTGTCGTTGTCCGACATTGTAGCTGCTGTGCTCTGTTGACAACTCATGGTGCCACTTAGTCCCGCTGCTGCACCACTCGTAAAATTCGTCGTTTATCCATGGGACACCACATGGTTCGAATATGCGATTGGAGTTCCCAAGAAATCAGGTACCGAACCCTTCAGCACGTGGCTGGCAGCACCAGCAGCGATACGCAGTGCTTTCTTTGTCCCCGTCTCTGCTGTGTACTCAGGTGTTCCTTTTTCAGCAATGTACGTGCTGCCGAATCAGATCGAACAGAGATGGAGGCGCCAGGCTCCAACGAAAACCTGGTTAGATCCCTTGGTGGCGCACTTAAGGCACGGAAAGTGGAGACGATCCGTGTTCGCTAAGAGACTTTGCTGAGACAAACGGCCAAGCACTCGAGGCGGCTTTCTGTCCCGGCCCGTTGTTTGAGTCATTGGCTGCAAACTCACCAGGGGTTCTGCGAACATTACTCCAACTTCCGGCACGTATTCTTTGATAATATTTGGTTCAAGATATGTGAGTGGCACAGCCAATCGCGTACATTCGCGTATACTTCGTTCATTATATAACATCTATTATACGTGAGCTTCCAAAACCGACTAGTCTACATCTATAGCAGGTCTGTTTCCAAAACTACGACATCATGCTACTACTCTTGCTCGGCCATTCATCGCGCTTCTGCGTTCGCACGTACAAGTTGATCGGTCGAATGAGTTGGAAAAAGGGGTCGTAGTCTGACTCCGGTTCGCCTTCTTTCAGCCAACGGTATCTCCAGACGAGCTTGCACATGAAGATCTTGATTTCCTGCAGCGCAAAATTGAAGCCGATGCACATCCTCTGCCCGGCGGCGAACCTGTGATGTACGGTCAATGATTGAGAATCCTGAAATCATCTGTCAGGGCGACTTACGGGACGTAGTCAGTTCTTCCGCGATTCTTCACCCTCTCGGTATCCCATCTGTCAGGGTCGAACAAGTCCGGATTGTTCCTGCAGCACAATGAGTCAATTGACGATCCTGAGCCTGTACCGCTCGATCATACTGACCATATCTTGGGATTCATGTGGATGTGGTGTAGAGCAACAATGACCACATCACCCTTATTTAACTTGTATCCACCGGGAAGTATGACATCTCTTTGTGCGGTCCGGCCGGGCTGATATGACGGATTGTGCCGACGTTGCATCTCCTTAATGTATTTGTCCAGCATGGGAAGGTCCTCGAGCATTTCAGGAGTTACTTCCGTGTCATCGTTGAAATCATGATCAACCATCTCCTGCAGCAGACGTTCCTGCATGCCGTCGTATGCGACAAGCCCATAGACCAACCATGACAATAGGGAAGATGTCGTTGTGAAACCCGCGCCAGCTGCAACTGTCAGAGCCGCAACCATGTTCTTGACAGGAAGATGCTGTCCGTCCGCGTCAACCGCGCGGGTGAGGTAATCTATGCTATGTCAGGCCGCACGAGATATAGAGTGTTGCTGCATGGGCACTTACCAATCACATCAGCAGACTTCAAAGCAGCGTCTTGCAAAGGCAGATCTTCCGTCCCAGCAGCGGTCGCCGCATGAATCGATGACACGATAGTATCGCTAATCTGTTGCTGGAGATCGCGCAGCCGCTTCGGGTCCCCAAATGGAAGTTGGCTGTACCACTGGCCCATGGAAGCTATTTTCTTGTTGATTGAAAGCAACTCCGCCATCGCCAATGGAAGGCGGTGGAAGGGAGTGTCCACGCTCTCGAAGTGGTGGAAATCCTGTCCGAGCACAATCTTGCCGACGGCCGCGGAGCTAAGCTTCAGCATATATTGGTAGGGATTCCAGGCTTCGTCTCTGGCACTGAGCTCATCGAAAACAGGAAAGGACACCCGGACCTCATCGTTCCTACAGTAAACAAACAGTGTAAGTCGAAGCCTTACGCACCATAGAACTCAATACCTACATGATGGGCGCATAATGTCTCACGGCTTTTGGACCCAACGCGGGCGGTAAGAACTTGTGCACCATCTTCCAGCTGAGTGAGTCAGCTTGGGGTCAGTGAGAGTATGCAACTAGCTCGATCGGCCTTACGAACTGATGGTTGGTCAGCCTAGATATGATGCAGCGTCGGACAGTCATGTGCTTACGGGTTATGTGTATCCGACAGAAACACGCCTGCGGCGTCCTGCTTTATGGGATGGAGGGGGTGGTCATCAACAATCTCTTTTGAGAAGAAATCACTTTCGGTAAAGGCGATTTGGGCAAGGATTGGGTCATTCGTTTGGCATACTGTTTTGCCCATGTTGGTTGTCTTGAATATTGGGCCATATTTCTCGAACAGCCGCTGATTGTTTCCAAGATGGTCCGGATAAACTGGCAATGAATGTTAGTCGGCGCATCACCACGGACTGAAGGCCGCCCACCTTCAAAATAGTTGCCCACGTATGGGAGGCCTCGTGGACCCGGGACTGCACGGACGGCATGACCGTCTATCGTAATACCCACAGGATGTGAGGCATTCTCAACATCGTGAAGGTCGGGAAGGTCTTCGTTCTCGGCCTGAAAAGCAATGCCCTCTGCTTGCACGACTCCGTAAACCGCCGCTATAGAACGTTTCAATTCATCTATAGTATTCACAGGTGTGATGTCAACGTCGATAGCAGTGCTCGGCGCACTGCCGTACAGATAGAATTGTTTGATGGCCATGTCAGGAGAATAAAGAAGTCTAGCAACCCACCACTTCGATCAAGAATAGATGTTCTTCATGCAGTTGGGCAGATTAGTAGCTATGGGAAACGGTTTGTACTACTCGAAGTCAGGCATGTTCCGCCACCACGCTCCGATTCGCTTTTTGCCATCAACGAGTTTCCAATCGGCGCTGCAGAAACGCAAGATCTGCCTAGCTCCACACCACGGGTGTAATTCAGTCGCAACTACTGCTTGGCGAGAACCTGTGGCGAGCGTGATATGTCAGGTACATCATCCTGCAGAGCATTGAGTGGAGTCGGTAGGAACTAAGGCTATCAGACAACCGGGACGATGCACCTTGCGGAATCACCGGATCCATCGCAACAATTAGCAGTCTTGCCACTGCCGAAGGCTTCCGAAAGACAGGAGAATGCAGCACAAGCAGAACATGCATGAGGTGTTGTCGGAGTTGAGAGCATTATTGACTGTGCCGAGGCTGCTGCTGCCATGACAACCGAGGCTTGACCGTGGTTGATCTTCCCACCAGCCACACTACACTGCTGCCTCGGCGTGCCACTGATCCGGTTATGTGATGTTGAGCTCATCAATTATGGACTCTGACGTTCGACCTGTCGGACATGCCTTGTTCGATGGGGCCTCGGATTACATGATCGAAGTCAATTGTCCGGACGAGCAGTCCAACCAAGGAACGTGCTGCGCTCGTTGAAATGCATCTACATCTCCACACCGGGCATTTGGAGGTTGGATGCAAGGGAGATATGTGTGTTACCGTCACTCGTCCTCGACAAGCTGTGTCCTTCCATTAATCGCGGGTCACGCATTCTAGGATAGCACTACTGCGATCTCTTTGCAATGGCAAACTCTTCAGACCGTAAAGAGTTGAAAGCGAGCTGGAAGCCTAAAGCTGAAGTGCCTTCGCTGTCGCTGAAGGACGTTGCGAAACATAGCTCAAGGAACGATCTCTGGATTGTCGTTCATGGTGGAGGTACGGGATCTTTTCCGTGCCCTATCAGCTTGCTACCCTGAGACGCTGACAATACTTCTTGCCAAGTCTACAATGTCACAGAATACTCGAGAGACCACCCGGGCGGCTTGGACGCTCTCGCTGAAGTAGGGGGAACGGACGCAACCAGCGCATATGAGGATGTGAGTTCCACGGCAAGATTGGCTAGGTGATTCCCGCTAATATCTGCTGGCGACCTAGGTTGGGCATTCTGAAGATGCAAGAGAGATCATGCAATCTTTGCTGGTGGGACACCTTGAAGGGGCGCCAAAAGCGTCAGATACATCGGAAGACAAGACACCCAAGGTTCAAGTTGTTCGCGCCAGTCCAAACGGCGATGGAGAACAGAAGACATCTAGTCGTTTGTTGGGCCCTAGGATCGAGCTGGCGGCCTTTGCTGTCGGAACGGCTGCGCTCGTCTACTTCGTCCGCCATACTAACCTAACCATACCGTCTCTCCCCCGCTCTATGGACTCGAAGCATTCCGGCAGCGGAGGGAGCTTTTTGCAAGGATTTTTGCTCGCAAGCGCAACTGCCGCTGTGATTGGCGTTGCATCCGTCCGCTACTTGTCCAATGTCGTCAATTTCGACGTCGACTTCTCGAAGCTGCCAGCGCACAAGACTGCGTCGGAGCATGTTCCTTCTTCCGACTACCCTACCGGCGTGCTTATGCCGCGAACTTACCGCAAGTTCGCTCTGCGAGAAAAGGTCGAACTATCTCCCAACGGAATTTTCCGCTTCGTATTCGACCTACCTACACCCACGTCTACGCTCGGTCTTCCTATCGGACAGCATATCACCATCCGCGGCGACGTTGAGGAGCATTCTGTCACCCGCAGCTATACCCCAGTTTCGAACAACCGTGACCTTGGGAGGATGGAACTTGTCATTCGCATTTACCCAGATGGTCAACTCGGCAAATACCTGTCAGCGCTGCAACCTGGGGACAAAGTCGACATTCGCGGACCCAAAGGCGCCATGCGATACCGTAAAGGCATGAGCACGCATATTGGGATGGTCGGGGGAGGGACGGGCATCACGCCCTTGTTCCAGATCATCCGAGCCGTTTGCGAGGACAAGACAGACAATACGAAAATAAGTCTAGTCTACGCGAACCGATCAGAGCCTGACATCATGCTCCGCAACAGGCTTGATCAGTTTGCCAGAGACGTCCCCAGCAAGTTTCAGGTGTACTACGTGCTCGACCAACCGCCTGCATCCGGCTGGCAAGGTGGAGTTGGCCGTGTCAATAAGCAGATCTTGCAAGAGAGGATGCCGGCGGTCTCTGACAGTACCAAGATCTTAGTTTGCGGCCCGCCCCCCATGGTGAACGCAACCAAGAACAATTTGATCGATTTGGGGTTCAAGGAGCCCGGGAGTGTGAGCAAGATGAGCGATCAGATATTCTGCTTTTGAGACTATGCTTCTCATGCAGCTTGGTAGGTGGACAGAGGTGATAGAGTGTATGAACAGCAGTCTGTGACTCCGATAGAGGCGCTCTTGGCTCTGCTCAGCGTTGTGTTGAGACTGAAGTTGCACTCTTGCCCGCCAAAGTCGAGTAAGGCTACATCTTTCGTCCAATCCCTCACCTAGTATCTCAAAGCCAAAATAGGTGGTGTGTCTCTGCGCACAACACGTCTGTCTGCACAACGGCTGTAATCGCAAGCATCATCATTGACAACACAGCTCGACTGCTTTGATACGACAGCTCACACATGCAGCCGCCGAATAGGCAATCCCTCGGCATCGATTTTGGTCGTCAATACAAGCAAGCAGACTTTCCGCAGCCTTCCGGCCCGCTCCCTCGGCGCCGAGGTCTGAACCGGGTAGGCTCGTGTATCGCTCAAGCATGTGGCAAAATGCTCAATTCCAAACCGACACCAAGGTTTGTTGAGGCACGCTTGACGCCATATGTGTCGCGACTGTCTGGACTGCGGTTTCCAATGCCGTCATCTTCCTGATAGCACTCTCGCAATGGAGATTGCACGCTGCCGCGACAGCCCGATACGCTCCACCCGTGCCAGTGACATGGTTGCCGTCATCCGTCATGCACTGGTCTACGAGGCGTAATCCAACAACAACGATCGGCGAGGCAATGGCAGAATCTGCCTACAGCCATCTACCTGTCCGTATGCTTATATTCGCACACGCGTGCTTTTGGATTGGTAGAGTCGTCGACCTTGAAATCAATTCCTTTCGCCTACCCCTCGTTCTGTAAGCTGTGAACACATCATTGAACATCTGGCCCGCGTTCAAGATGGCAGGCAAGTGGTCACCACCAGCCAACTGCTCCGAGAGGCCCGTCTGTGTTCTAGGCGGAGGCGTGCTCGGTCGCCGCATAGCTGCCTGCTTCGTCGCGGCCGGCTACCATGTTCGCATCCGTGACCCCTCCGCGAAGTCGAGGGATGCTGCGGCGCAGTACATTAAGGAGAATCTGTCCTCCTTCACTGCCATTTTGCCCCAGCCCGCCAAGAGGCAAGGGTCTTGCGAAACCACTGACGACCTTGCTGCCGCGGTGAAGGACTGTTGGATTGTCTTCGAGGCGGTGCCAGAGGTATTACCGATCAAGGAGAGCACTTTCGCAGACCTGGAGCAACACGCTCCGCCTGACTGTCTTCTGGCTACGAACAGCTCTTCGTTCAAATCCGGCGACCTGTTGTCAAAGGTCAAGGATGTCACGAAGGCGCGGGTGTTGAATACGCATTACATGATGCCTCCCCAGGTATGGGTCGATGCTGTGACGTTTTGACGTTCTGATGACTCACCATAAGACATTGTGACTGATTGGTTTCAGAATGTGATCGTTGAGCTGATGACTAGCGGGCATACTGATCCGGAGATATTCCCATTCGTAGAGGCACGACACAGAGAAGCGGGTCTTCATCCCGTCACAGCCCTGAAGGAGTCTTCCGGTTTCATATTCAACCGCATCTGGGCTGCGATCAAGCGCGAATGCTTGTCTGTGCTTGCCGAGGGCGTCTCTACCCCAGAAGTAATAGACAGTATCTGGAAAGAACAGTATGGTAGTAGAGTGGGGCCGTGTGAGATGATGGGGTGTGTATTTCCCGGCCTTCGACGAAAGCTTTCCACTGACATGAACTGTAGTGCGTTGAGACACTAAGTTCCCTGTTAGGAGACCCCTTGCTCCCTGAGGTTGTACTGACAGATTTGTTGTGCTCAGATAGCGTGGGCCTCGACACCGTGGAGCATATCGAGCAACATTACGTTGACGAACGTGGCCTCTCGCCCAAACCATTGCAGTGGCTACAGAATAACTTCATCAAGCAGGGGAAGCTTGGACAGAAGAGTGACGAAGGCGGGTTGTATCCTCCTCCTACTCCTGGCAAGCGGACCAAACTCATCTTCCTCAACACCGGTTTGAGCGAGCCTCTTGGCGACAAACCCATGGCGCAGATCATGAAACGAGGCCAGATTTTACAGATGATCGCGGAAGATCGCGCTAGCAGACCAATCGCACTTGTCGAAAATCAGGCCCTTCCGGACGGCATTGATGTGTGCGATGGCAGGATGTACTGGACATGTATGGGCATTCCGGCCGAGAATGACGGCACCGTTCAGTCTGCTAAGCTCGACGGCAGCGACATCAAGACCGTCATCCCTTCGGGCCAAGTCCATACGCCCAAGCAGTTGCATATCGATCAAGTGTCCAAGAAGTTATACTTCTGCGATCGGGAGGGGCTGAGAGTAATGCGGTGTAATCTGGACGGCTCCGAACACGAGGTTATTGTCCAGACCGGAGACTGGAAGTCGGAACCGGACAAAGCGAAGGTTCAGCACAACTGGCCGGTTGGCATTACCGTATCCCGAAAGCTCAACAAGTTCATGTGGACGCAGAAGGGAGGCTCGAAAGCCTCGGATGGTTGGATCTACTCGGCAGGTCTAGAAATGCCCCAAGGTAGTACCGCTTCCAACCGGCAGGATATCGAAGTCATACAGAAAGGATTACCTGAATGCATCGACCTTGAGATGGAAGATGACTCGGGTGTGTTGTACTGGTCGGACCGCGGTGAACTGCCGTTGGGGAACACTTTGAACAAGAAGCAGATCATTGGCGAAGCGCCGGCGGCCGAGAAGGCGCTCGGTCGTCAGATCGTAAGTACTGTCACTACGTCACGTTTCGTGCCACGGTCACTGATGGTATGAGTTACAGATTGCACAAGGTCTCGGTGAAGGCATCGGGTTGAAGTTTGACCGGGCGGAAAACTGTTTGTATGTTGCTGACATGGCCGGCCGGCTGTGGAAATGCAATCCGGATGGAGGGTTGAAGGAGAAGATCTTCGAAGGTGCCACACACGCTTACACGGGTTTGTCCTTCGTTAAGGTGTGATGGTCGTCATAATCTACACTACAATTATAGACATAAAAGCATAACGTCCATTAAGACATATACTCATAGGTGGCTACCTTGTCAACACCGCACTGCATCTCATGCCTGCTTCACTGGCTTCACCATGCGTAGTAGTGAAGGGATCCGTTGTCTTTTGCTCAGTCCCACTCTAAGTGGCACCCTCGACGAGCTCTTAATTGGTGAATGAGATGTTGGACTTGACTTCGGCGGCTCATTCGCAGGAATCAGGTCTTTAGCCGAAGGCATCGGCTTCTCCGGCGAAGGTGTTGGCTCTTGTGTCGGTGGTCCAGTTGGTTTAGGAGTTGAGACGGCGATGTTTTCGGCGTCTGGCCCAGAGGCGGGCGCTTGACTCACTACGCTCTTTGGCTCGTCATTGCCGTCAGCACTGGGAGAAGGGGCACTCGTCGATTCTGGAGGCTGCTCGGATGATGTTTTCGTCTGCGCCGCTTTGGGTGGACGGCCTCGCCCCTTCCTCTTCGGCGGGTCATCGACCTCTTCGGCGACCTGAGTCTCTTCTTCTGGTGCATCCTGGAGCTTTGCTGCCGATTCACGAGCATTGTTAGAGCAGGCTTTTGGCGGACGACCACGTTCACGCTTGCCCCTAACCTCCGGCTTTGGCCCGTCTTCTGGTAGCGCATCCGGTCCATCGCTGTCCTCTTGCTCTGCTCCGATCTCATCATCCTCGGCAGGGTCTTGCTGGTCGTAAAGTGCCTTACACCGCTTCTTTTGCGAACAGGTCATTCTAACGTCCTGTATGCGGCTCATAGCGCCCTTGCGACGCGCTTGCTGCTGACTTAGACTCGGCCGCTGCTGTGAGCTTCGGAAGTCGACATGGTCTTCGAAGATAGTAGTATGGCTGCGCTTAGTCTTGCACGACGACTTCGGTCGTACTGCAGGTTTGACGAAGATCGCTTCGTCATCCTGTTGCTTGGACTGTGATGCTTCTTCGCTGCATTGCGACTCTGCCTTCTGCTGGTCGTCATTCTGTGTGTCGCTCCGCTTGTCAGCCGCCCCTATCAGCTCAGTCTCGCCAACATAGTCAGGTCGTGATCCATCAGCATCACATCCTGACGAGCCCGGGTTGACAATACCAACAGTCGTACGCTTGTGCGACCCCACACCTGCTCGCAACGCTTCCGAGAAGTCTGTGGAGACCTCTGCCGCACTGTCGTGCATAGTCTTCCTGCGCTTCGGTTTACCAGCCTGCTCCGGCTTGACAGTAAAGTCAACAACTTCTTCTGGCATCTGCGTAGCACGGCGCCGGGTCGGCCTTGGCACATACCGCTCTTTTGGATAGCCAATGGCTTGTTCCTCGGAGTTTAGAGGCTCGCTATAATTCGCTTGAGCCTTACGTTTTCGGCCCTTTAAAGGTTGCTGCGTAGGCGGCGTTGTTGATTCGGATACTGTATCAAGTTGGACAGGCATCGGGATCTGCACCACTGGACTAGACAGCTGCCTTCGTAGTGGACTCGGCTCAACAGCTACGTGCGATTCGACGGTCGCTACAAATTGCGAAGCAGCACCTTCTTCGTGGACCTGCGTGGTCGTCCGTGCCAAGGCCGATGCCTCAACACTCGCTTGCTCAACGTTCGCAGAGACTACGTGTTGTGCCGCATCATCTGCAGTACCGTGCTGGTCAGCTTCCGCAGCGGAACACGCTATATCGCCATTGGTGAGCACATCGGCCGCAGCTTTCATCGCTGGTGTCTCCTGAGCCGACACTGACCAAGGGAAAGACGAGCTCTTAGATCCTTCCGTTTCCGCGGGCCGCAACGCTGACGTGGTAAGACCGTGCTTGCTGCTCAATGCATGTTCGAGCATGCGTCGCTGCGACGAGGAGTTGTCCACTGCAGTCGTGCCAGAGTCTCTGAACATGACGTTGGGCTCATGCTCGATGAAGTCGCCTTGCAGTGACCCGGCAGGAAGTCCGCTCAACGACGCTGCGGCCGAATGCTCGCTGAACCGAGCCGAATGCGAAGACCGCTGAAGCTCCGTATCGTCACGTAGAGCGGCAACGATACCTTCTTCGTGGGCTGATGTCGTCGTATTGTGCTGCTCAGAATATGTCTTCAATGTCTTCGTACGCTTGGTCGGCTTTTCCAGGCCTGCAGACGATGCGGGCTCGTCCAGCATTGTGTGCCTTCGTTTACGTGCGGAGTTGACCATTGGTGATCCAGTAGCTTCATTAATCAAGGCAAAATCCTCGTTAGATTGAGCGAGCAGTGCATGCTGGGCTTCCATGATTTGTTTCTCGATACGCTCAGTGGAACCTGTGCTTGGTCCGGAGGCACTGCGCAGCACGCTTGGAGCAGTCAATGCACTTGCATTAATGCCTCGAGATTGATCTGCCGCGAGGTCATCGTCGCCATCATCGTCGGAGTCTGCAAGCACAGCCGGAGGCATTGTGGTTCTGTGCAGATGATTTGAAGTCGAGCATATTTTGGGGAATTGAGGTGCAGTCGATGGAAGACGCGTTCGGCGCGTCAACCGAACGCGCCAAGCATCCGCGCTCACGTGGGCCATGCTAAAGTGGTTTTCGGCAACATGAGATTGTCCGCGCGCCTTTCCGTTGACACGCTTTGTATGATGTGCTACACATGTAGCAAACTGCGCTGATACCATCTTCCACATCGCTCTATATACGCCCAAGACCATGCATGTTAGCCGCGCCCGCCAAATCAGATCCGATCACCCTACGTGTCACTACCTCATGTACCATCACGCCTCTCGTGGCATACACAAATATAGGATGACTTTACGTTTAGCCCTCGAACTCCCTAATGTTGCTGTTCATCTTGCCTGGGATCAAGGCCAATGGCACAATGCCAGAAACATGCATCTCCGGGCCAAAGACGTGCATGTTGAGGCCCAGCTCCACACTGACAGCCTTGATGTTCTTGAGACCTTCCTGGTAGTTGGGGCCGGCACGGCGAACCCAGATCTGCACGTTGTGCTCGACGAGGAGAGGAGCGACCTCGCGAAGAGCGCGGATGACACCCTTGAATGTGCTTGCGACCTGCATACTGTTAGAACTGACCGTGCCTGATAGTGATGGGAGGACATACGTTGGTGAAATTGGCAATACCGCCGCCAATGAACAGAACCTTGCCGTCAGGGTGCATCGGTGCCCGCAGCATGAGGTCGAAGACAGTACGTGCGTAGTTGAAGGTCTGGTTCTCCGTTGGCGCACCGGAGTACTCGCCGTAGTTGGCAAGCTCGGAAGCGAAGCCAGCAGAGGCAATGGCGTCGGAGTACACGACCGAGGCACCACCACCAGCGACGAGTGTCCAGACGCGACCCTTGCTGTTCAGGATGGTCAGCTTGAGCGACGCACCGGTCTTGGCGTCCATTTCCGCAATGTAAGCCTCCTCCTTGCTCAGCTCACGGCCGAAAGGCGCTGGGAACTCCATTGGCGGGCCAACGTCGATCTGTACCTTGCCGTCTGTCTTGCTCGGAATGACTGGAATGCCGAGAGCTGCAGGCGCACGTGCAATGGCCCATTTCGAACCGCACTCGAACTCGGCAGTCTGGTCGAGCTTCGCTGCCAAGTCGAGGAAGTGGACTTCAGCGCTCGTCTTCTCTGCATTCGGAATGGCAACGAGCGGGTTGATCTCGAGGTAGGTGAACTGAGAGTCAACGTAGACGGCGTAGAGTCGGGAAATGAAGTCGACAAGTACGTTGTGCATGCCCTTCGGCACTTTTGATAGGAGACCCTTGGCGATCTCATCGTTGCTGGGGTATGCACTGAGGTCGACTGGGATGAGCAGCTTCTCCGCCTTCGCATCGACGTCACCGACGTCAACACCACCCTCGTGGTAGAAGAGGATCCAGTCACCCTAGAATGGCAGTATCAGCACCTACTCCCGAGTGGACAGGACAACAGTGGCCTACCTCGCGGACGGAGTTGATGTTGATGTAGTACTCAGTCTCCTGTGCATGCGGCACGAAAGGCTCAACGAGGAAGTTCCTCAATGCACCTTCAACGTGCTCAACCTTCTGTACCTTGTTCGCCCTTGCGGCGATCCACTCCTTCGCCTCCTCCCACGTAGCATTGAGCTTAAGCAGCCCAGACTTGCCTCTCCGCTTGATGAGTTGATCTGGCTTCGCAACGAACTTTGAGCCTTTCACGAGCAGGAAGGGGTACGTTGCCTCGGCGGCATCAAGCACGCCCATCACATCATCGTGCTCCTCGAAGTGGATCGTTGCGAGCTTCGCGGGCGGGTTGTGTGTAGCTTGCTGTGGTAGTGGTGTCGGCTTGATGACGGGGGCGCGAGTGAGGTGGTAGTTGAGGATGGCCTTGCCGTCGGCCTCGCATATGGCTTTCGCAGACATGTTGGAAGGTGGGGTTGTTTTGTATCGTCAGAAAGCTGTTGGAGCAAAGCTGGTGTAAGCAGAGGTAATGCCAATGACGATCTACTAGTTGAGACGCGAACAATTCTGTATCGACAATGGCAGTCTGCAAGAGTCGGGAGTTTCTGGGTGATGCGGGCAACAATTCTTCCCCAGCTGCAAGCGGTGAGAAAGCTAGGCCAAGCTGACACCTCCGACTCTCTTGATGCGCTCTTCGCTCTCCGGGAGGCTGATGCTGCGCTGACGACTCTCCTGGCTCTTGCAGCGTGTTATCGTACTATTCTGGCTGCTGTTGCCCGAAATGCCAACGACCGTTGCCCACTGCGGAAATTGATCGTGTGGAAATGGTCCTCTCACAACCGTCTATACTGCCCCTCGGACGCGATCGCGCGCTCGGACTTTGGGCGCAAGTCCCTGAGATGCAAATGCTAAAATAGATCTTGCGGGCCGCTTTGCTTGCTTACCTTAACTTGAACGCCGTGGGAAGCGTTGTCGTATGCTGGGATATTGAGGATTGCTTGCTCGTCCGGCCAGGTAGGATGCAGATAGTGTGCCAAAGGAAGTGGCAGTACGAGCAATAGCTGCAATAGGATCTCAGCTTACACCTGCCTCGAGAGAAAAATCATGTTGGATACAGCCCCTGCATGCTGGGTCGCGCTGTAGCTCGGCGGGCTGCGGCAAGGCTCCGTTGGGGTAGACTGTCGATCGTTGCGTGGAGTCAACCCTGCATCATGACGCCTCAATATTTTGAACAGACATTGTACACCGTACATGGTACATCTACGGACAAAGACGTACTCCGGAGTCATTCGCAAGCTATGAAAATTACAACCACTGTGGTCGTCATCCTTGAGGCTTGCTGCAGTGTTGCAGCGCTCACATAGACAACATTTTCTTGTGGTAAACAATCCATATGCGGGGCACGTCCGAGGCGGTGTAACATAAAGTTCTCTGTGAACGACAAGCACGCGAGCAACAGGGTCAAATCCCGAGCGCCACCGCAGGGCTACGAGCCTGTGCGCCATGTTCGTTCGCCGTCGATGATAATAGGATTTCGTTGACATCGCACGGTTCACCGTCGGTGCCAGAAGCAGTAGCACCTGTACCGTTTGTTGGAGAGCCGCACACCTTCGGCTTTTGGAAAGAATAGCAGCTGAAGGTCCTAGCGTGCAGATGATAGCGCCTGGGTGCAGGCAGGGGTAGGAGAACCCGCCCGCAGCTCAGCAGCTCGTCGGTGAAAGTCAACATCGGAAAGTGGTCATTGACATCGTCTCACTTTGGCCTTCCCTCCACCCTCCCACATCTCACACTCAGTGCGTGAACACACCAGTTACGACGCCTCCGATTGTAAGTACCTTCGTTCCATGTTAACGCGAAAGAGGTTCATGAAGGAGGAGTTCTGCCGCATCGCCCCACGAAAGCTCCAAGTTTAGCCCACCGCTCTTGTCAGCATTAGTTGTCGAAGCTGCAATTGCACGCAGACAGACTCGGCGAGATTCTTCGAAGCAGCAGCGGCCTAACATACATCTGCTGCAGTCTCTCCCGCATCCACAAAACACATCACTTGACATCGAAGGCCACCATGGCAGCATCCTCCCTGCCCAATGGCGGCATGACCAACGGTGTCGGCGCCACGCCCAGCATCAACGGCCACACTGAGAACGGCCTTACTGCGAACGACAACATCCAGAGGTTCGCAGCGCCTAGTAGGCCTTTGACTCCTCAACCCCAGCACACACTCTTCCACCCGAAGACGAGATGTTTCGTTTAGTAAGTACTCTGCCGCAGGCGATCCGAGTGTTGCAATTGATAAAATCGGCTAACCGCACTACAGCGGCCTGCAACCCAAGGCCGTCCAGGGCATGCTCGACTTCGACTTTATCTGCAAGCGCAAGACTCCCTCGGTAGCCGGCATCATCTACACGTTTGGTGGCCAGTTCGTCAGCAAGATGTACGTCTGAGCCTATCACTCTACGTCCTTCAACGCGAAACTGATTGTATGACAGGTACTGGGGCACCACCGAGACGCTGCTTAACGTCTACGAAACGAGCGAAAAGGCTATAGCCAAACACCCTGATGTGGACACCGTTGTGAACTTCGCCTCCTCTCGATCAGTCTACCAGTCGACAATGGAGCTCATGGAGTTCCCGCAAATCAAATGCATTGCTATCATTGCCGAGGGTGTGCCAGAGAGGCGTGCACGAGAGATCGCTTTCGTCGCTCGCAAGAAGGGCGTCACCATCATTGGCCCAGCCACTGTTGGTGGTATCAAGCCAGGTGCGTTCAAGATCGGCAACACAGGTGGTATGATGGACAATATCGTTGCCTCCAAGCTGTACCGCAGGGGCTCTGTTGGCTACGTTTCCAAGTCCGGTGGTATGTCGAACGAGTTGAACAACATCATCGCAAACACGACCGACGGTGTGTATGAGGGTGTTGCCATCGGCGGTGACAGATACCCGGGCACGACTTTCATTGACCACATGCTGCGGTACCAGTCCGACCCCGAATGCAAGATCCTTGTCTTGCTCGGTGAAGTCGGCGGTATCGAGGAGTACCGCGTGATTGAGGCTGTCAAGAACGGCACCATCACGAAGCCGATCGTCGCTTGGGCTATTGGTACCGTTGCTAGCATGCTGAAGACGGAGGTACAGTTCGGTCACGCCGGCTCTTTCGCCAACTCGCAGCTGGAGACGGCAGCGATGAAGAACGAGAAGATGAGAGAGGCGGGCATTCACGTCCCCCAGACCTTCGAGGAGCTACCACAGCTGCTCAAGCAAGTCTACGACAACGAGGTCAGGAAGGGCAGCGTCAAGCCTGCACCAGAGCCGGCCGTTCCCAAGATCCCAATGGACTACAGCTGGGCACAAGAGCTTGGCCTCATTCGTAAACCAGCTGCCTTCATCTCAACCATCTCCGACGACCGTGGCCAGGAGCTGCTCTACGCTGGTATCCCCATCACAGATGTTTTCCAGGAGAACATTGGTATTGGTGGTGTCATGTCACTCCTGTGGTTCCGCAGACGGTTACCCAACTACGCCGGCAAGTTCTTGGAGATGGTACTCATGCTTACGGCTGACCACGGTCCGGCTGTGTCTGGTGCCATGAACACCATCATCACGACCCGTGCTGGCAAGGACTTGATCTCCTCGCTCGTTGCTGGTCTTCTTACCATCGGTAGCCGCTTTGGTGGTGCGCTTGACGGTGCCGCTGAGGAGTTCACCCGCGCCTTCGACAAGGGTCTGAGCCCGCGTGACTTCGTCGACATCATGAGGAAGGAGAACAAGCTCAGTGAGTACAGCACATTCACATACTGTGTTACTAGGCTAACGTAAACTTCGCAGTTCCTGGTATCGGTCACCGTGTCAAGTCCCGCAACAACCCCGACATGCGTGTCACGCTCGTGAAGGAATACTGCAAGAAGACTTTCCCCTCCACCAAGCTCCTCGACTACGCCCTCGCCGTCGAAAGCGTCACCACCTCCAAGAAGGACAACCTCATTCTCAACGTCGACGGTTGCGTCGCCGTCTGCTTCGTGGATTTGCTCCGCAACAGCGGTGCCTTCAGCAGCGAAGAGGCTGAGCAGTACCTCGACATGGGTGTGCTGAACGGCCTCTTCGTGCTCGGTCGCTCGATCGGTCTGATTGCTCATCACTTGGACCAGAAGAGACTGCGGACAAATCTCTACAGGCATCCGTGGGACGACATCACTTACATGCTCCCGGAGCTTGGCAAGGGTGCGCCAGGTAACGAGGGCCGTGTTGAGGTTGATGTTAAGTAAGCCTATGTCGTGGCGAGCATGGTTGTTTTTGGCGTGGCGTATACTCAATAATGAGGTGTTTGGAGACGTTGGCGGGAGTCCGGGATGCGAGGCACGAAAATCAAGTAGAAGTGGCCATCAAGGCACTTTAAGTGTAGATCAATGATCTTTGCCGCAAGACTTACTCCTTGCTCGATCCTTGCCATTATTCACATTGCGCTCCTTGCTGTACACGATGCATGGTAATGTTCTGCGATTCACCAGCCTGAGGGCAGCCGAGTGGGGCGCCTTAGGCAGGAACGGACTGCATGATGCACGTCATAACCGAGACTGGATGCAGTGGGAATTTGTGCGTGATGTCTCGTGCTCAGTCCTCCATTGGGAGAACACCATATCACAAAGTAACCCCAATTCATTTTCACCAATACAACTGACAAGATGAGCGGCACATCTTCAGTCGGACAAGGTTCCGTCTACGAGCACGGCGATCAGGTACGCATCTATCTCACATCGCTACGCCTTCTCGTGCTGATGGGTTACGAAGGTCAACTACAAGGACAGCGAGATCAACAAGCGTAAGGAAGGAGAGAGGTTCAAGGAGGGTCAGCCCAACTCCCACAAGGCAAACGATTCAAAGGATGAGCGATCCATTGCCAACAAGCTAGCGCGCGAGGAGAAGCGGTCAAATGAGGCGGATCAGAAGGACGAGGAGACCAAGGCTTTCCAGAAGGACAATACGCTTCCGGTATGTTGCGAGATCAAGGCTTGTCAGCTTGCTCGAGTGCTAATTCGTTCGTAGGCCAAATTGCACGGCAATGAGCCGTCGAAAGGTGCGAAGATCGACCAAGAGCTGAAGGAAGAGGAGGAAGAGATCCTGAAGAAGAAGGGTGCATTCGGGCCAAAGTAATGATGGCGGATCGATTGCAGGCCTGTGAATGTAAAAGTGTTACGGGAAAGGCTTCGCGAGCCTAAAGGCCTCCGTCGGTAGCGACCTCAGTATACCCGTGTGCTGAAAGAGGGCTTAATCCCGTGGGTCGCGAAGGTGCCGTATCCTCATTAGCTGTGCGGACCAACTGCGAATGTCACTGTGATAGCAAAAGCATGAGGGTCGTAGCATGTATAGTCGCGCCAAGCTCAACATGAATGTTGCTGGCTGCGCCACAAAGCGCCACGACTTGCGTCCTTTAGACCTCAAATGTCTTGAAGCCCGTACAAATGTGCCCTCGACGTACTGCTCGAATACGTGTGAAGTGTGTATATGCCGCTTGAAAACATGAAGCGTGCTGAATCGCACCGCTATGCCTTGTGCCTGCGGACGTATTCCTAAGCTGCACTGTGTAATGAAGCAAACATACCAGCCTTCAGAACGTCGCCGGATACATTCATTCATGCTGCCGACATGAGAGGCCATGGGACAGGGATACTCAACAACTCTCCCGACGGGCCCAAATGCGCTCGAATCAGCTGAATCACCCGACCTCATCTTTGAGAAGCCTTTAGGCGGCACTCGCTTCCTCCGTACTGTGCGAGCACGCCACCAGGCTGGCGTTGTGGTGGCCAAAGTATGTGTCAAGGCGAATCCCAACATCTCCTTCAAGCAATATGCACGAGCACTTCGGCAGGAACGTCAAGCGCTAGCGGACATTCCAAATGTACTGCCCTACCAGCGCATCCGGGAAACGAGTACGGTAGGCTTGCTCGTGAGGCAGTACGTCCACTCGTCGCTATATGATCGCATCAGCATACGACCCTTCTTGGAGACCATCGAGAAGAAATGGATTGCGTTCCAGCTCCTCTGCGCTGTGCGCGACTGCCATGCACGCGGCGTGTTCCATGGTGACATTAAGTCGGAAAACGTGGTGGTCACCTCGTGGGGTTGGGTGTACTTGACTGACTTCGCGGCCACCTTCAAACCGGTCTACCTGCCGGAAGACAACCCTGCCGACTTTTCATTCTACTATGATACATCTACGCGACGAACGTGCTACATCGCACCGGAGCGCTTCTTGGCCGCTGGCGACCAGCAAAGGGAGGACAATGAGGTCCAGTGGAACATGGATATCTTTAGCCTTGGCTGTGTTCTTGCGGAGCTCTTCACTGAGACTCCAACCTTCACCCTGAGCCAGCTGTTTCGCTATCGTAAAGGCGAGTATGATCCCACGGTTTCTCTACTCAACAAGATCGACGACGACCATGTCCGGGCGCTCATCGCAAGCATGATCCGCCTCAACCCGGAAGACCGATGGCACGCGCAAGACTACCTTGACGAGTACAGATCGAAAGCTTTCCCGCTGTATTTCTACCAGCATCTGCACGTTCTGATGCAGGAACTGACCGACCCGACATCCGGCCGCACGTCGGTGGCGCCCCGCGAAAAGAACAATGGAATTGCTGACGACCGCATCGATCGGGTGTATGAAGACTTCGAGATGCTTGCCGTGTCTCTAGGTTACACGAGCCCGAACTCGCCGTCCGAAGTGGCACCTACAAGCTCCGTGGGCGGACTGTTCCCACTACATATCGACCTGCCCAACAATCGTCACACTGCCAATCCGTCACTGATACCGCGCGGCGAGAATGGTACATTCATACTTCTCAACGTCATCACTTCGTCCGTCCGAAGTGCTGGAAGGGCGTCCAGCAAGATTCGGGCTTGCGAGCTTTTGTTAGCTTTCGCCGAGCGTGTGCCTGACGAAGCCAAGCTTGACCGCATACTACCCTACGGCATGCCATTGCTGGATGATGCAGACACGATGGTCCTGGTCGCTGCGCTGAGAACAATGACACAACTATTAGCCTTGGTCACCGTGGCATCTCCAGTCAATTCCTTCGTCTTCACACAATACATCTTCCCGCGGCTCCAGGCCTTTGTCAACACGAAGAACTTCAAAGAGAAACCGATAGTGCGTGCGAATTATGCAGCCTGCCTCGCCAGCTTGGCAGAAACGGCTTCTCGATTTCTAGACATGATGCAAGCTTTGCGTGCAGAAGGATCGTTACCTTCGGCAGGCAAGGACGCAGAAGATGGTACGGACGAGTACGCTGCGTACCACGACGCTTATGACACAACTCGCCTCGAAGTGCTCGAGGCGTTCGAGGCCCAGACCAAGGTCTTCGTCACGGACAACGACACAGCGGTACGGCGGGCATTTCTCCGCTCAGTGCCGAGCCTGTGTGTTTTCTTCGGCGAGGCTCGAGCAAGCGACATTATCCTCAGCCATCTCAACACCTATCTCAATGATCCTGACTGGCAACTGAAGTGTGCATTCTTCCGCACAATAGTCGGCGTAGCTGTCTATGTCGGCAGCGCTGGCTTGGAAGAGTTCATCCTGCCGCTGATGCTTCAAGCGCTGGCAGACCCTCAAGAGTTTGTCGTAGAGCAAGCACTGCGCTCATTGGCGAGCATGGCAGAGATCGGACTGCTACAACGTCCAAAGACATGGGAACTCATCGATACTATCGCCCGCTTCGAGCTTCATCCTAACGCCTGGGTTCGAGAAGCTGCATCGCACTTTGTCTCTGCTGCGACGACACACTTGTCAGTGGCAGATGTTCGCATACTTGTCTCGCCTCTCGTCCAACCATATTTGAAGGTGCCACTCAGTACGGCCTCGGAGTCAGAACTTCTTGATGCACTCAAGAAACCTCTCCCAAGGACCGTGCTGGATCTCGCGCTAGATTGGGCTAAGCGGGTGGATAAGGGTGTGTTCTGGAAGTCAGCAAAGGAGTCGAAGCAATTGTCTTACCGCGGAGTCGCTCAGATGCCTCCCACCTCATCCGTCGCAGATCTTGGCTCGAAAGTCATGAGTAGACTTCCCAAGACTGACGAAGATGAGCAATGGCTCGGTCAACTGCGTAATGCTGGCATGCGGAACGAAGACGAGATGAAGCTCCTCGCTTTCCGCGAGTACCTCTGGCGAGCAGCACAGCGAATGAAGAAAAGCGCAGATCCAACGACTGACAACGCATACGAGCAGATCGTGCAGCTGTCAAAGCACGGTCTCACCCCACAGACTGTCATCTTCGACAACTCTGTTGAGAAATACGAGCAGCGCATGCAGGACCAGATTCACGCTGACAAGACGATTGCGGAGGCATTGCAAGAGGCCACCGACGCAAATGCAGGGACGGTGATGAAGCAGCTATCTGTCAACGGGATCGGTAAGGGTATCGAAAGTCGCAAGCCTGCAGCGAGCGAGCCGCGAAGATTATCTGGCCTAAAGGAACGGAACTCGGGCAGTCTCTCGTCCTCGCCAAGCTCTGGCATAGCCCTACTACCCAGAGACTCTGAACGTACGGCACGGCACAGAGGCAATGCTACCGGGCTGCTGACTGGTGCCGATCTGCGAAGCAAGGCTCCGCCCGATGTGGCCACCGACGATGCAACGGCGGCTGGCAGGCTCGACACACCTTTTGTGGGAAGCCGGAGAACCTCGCCGCGGCCTCACCGACCGAATAGGTTGGAACGAGCAGCAAGCCAGCAAGTGGTCCACAACTACGCTGGCAATGACCCGACAATACTTAAATTGCTCGATGCTGTCTATGTAGAGAACTTTCCTGCAGACGCTGCAGAGTTTGGACCTCTGATACAATCTCCTCGACGTGGCCCTATTCTGAACGCGAACACTGTCCCCAATACCGATTCTAAGGCTAAACAAACTACGTGGAAGCCAGAAGGCGTGTTAGTAGCAGTCCTCGGAGAACACACGGACTGCGTCACGCGCATCGTTGTGGCTCCGGACCATGTCTTCTTCCTGACAGGCTCTGATGACTGCTCGGTCAAGGTTTGGGATAGTGGCAGGCTTGAACGTAACGTAACGCACCGTTCCCGCTTGACGTACCGGATAGGCCAAGGGGTGAAGATTACAAGCTTGTGCTTCGTCGAGTCCACGCACACCTTTGTCTGCACAGGCTCCGATGGCAGCGTGCATGTTGTCAAGGTCGAGTGCTCGGAGGTAAATGAGTCAGTGAAGTATGGGAGACCACGCACACTTCGTCGTTGGCAACTTCCTACAAGCAGTCCTGGCGAGTATGCCGTGTGGTCTGAACACTACCGCGGCGAGTCCGCCAGCACGCTTATGCTTGCCACCAACCTCGGCCGCATATTAGCCGTCGATCTGCGCTACATGACAGTTATATATGATCTGCTCAATCCACCTCAGCACGGTACGCCGACATGCTTCTGCTTATCTAAGAGACAAGAGTGGCTTCTTGTCGGCACGGCGTACGGAGTGCTGGACCTGTGGGATCTACGCTTCCGTCTGCGTCTGCGGTCATGGGCATTCCCTTCGGCTACAGCAATCACACGACTACAACTCCATCCTAGCAGAAAGTCGGCGAAGAGGAACAGGGTATGCGTAGCAGGAGGCACCGCCAACGGAGAAGTGACCGTATGGGATGTAGAAAAGGTCATCTGTCATGAGGTCTACAGACCAGCGGTCACGCAGGCTACAGATCGACTACATTTGCGAGATTATGAACTGCGAAACCTGGAGGACGAACGGTCTGATGGCTTGCTGAGCCGTATCGCGCGCGCCGGTGCGAGCGACGCAAAGCTTACCGACCCAACTGCTGTCGCTCCTGTAGTGACGTCGTCACTCTTCTTTGGCCTGCATCATACTTCCAATGATGCAGAAGCGGCGCATGCCTTTGCACTCACTGGTGGTCCGGACAACAAGGTCCGCTTCTGGGAGTGCGATCGCGTGGAGGGTTGTCGGGTTGTCAGCGGAGCTTTACCCGAGGACAAGCCTCCAACTTACACATATAGCCAGCTCGGCCTTGACACCCGTGTGCTGTCCGAGAACATCGCGGAGACTGACCATGCAAACGCAGCGACCTCGAGTGTTAGCGCTGCGGAATCGAACAAAAGCGCGCCTAATACGTCGCCCAAACGGACTGGCACTGGGCCCAAGGTGGCCGGCAAGCCTTCGCGATACGAGACCATACGTACATCCGCGCAGCATCTGCTGGGAGGGCATCTGGATGCAATCACGGACGTGGCACTGCTCGAACGCCCGTTTGGTATGGTGATTAGTGCGGACCGCTTGGGGCAGGTGTTCGTGCACCAGTGAAAACGGTGGCAGGCCGACTTGCAGGAATAATAGGGGCAACACCATGCATGCTCGCCTCGAGGGAGACGGGACGAACGGAAGAAGCACCCAGACACTTATGACTAGCGATGGATCGTGTCAGACACCACGCGGTGTTGAGTAAGGAAGCATTTCAATTGACCAGTTTGAGCTCATCATGTCGAACCAGGTATAAACTTAGATCAATACAACCGCGGCTTCCCGTGGACTGGTCACAGCATGTGGTAACACACAACCATATCAATGTGTATCTGGTAACAACATCTCCCTTGTGCAGTGCATCCCGAGAAACCACACTCTGTAACACGAAACAACCCGAAGCACGACATAGCCGTCACCGACAACTTTCAGTCCGGCCTTGACCAGCTCCCGCATCAGATTCATCATGTCCTCAGAGAAAATGACCGCCGTTGATGCCTCCGCACCCAGTCCATTAATGTAAGCTGCCTCGTTGCCACCCTCAATGAGACCATTTTTGCTATCGAGCTGAGAATATCGCAGGCTATAATCCGGCAAGGGACAGGCTCGCCGCGCGTGCTCAGTCGGCCGGTGCTAAGAACGCAAATGCGGCAAGTCGTCGCGGCGGCGGCTCAAAAAGTATCGGTAAATGCTCCCATGCCTGAGGGCCCTCGAAGGGCGGCAGCGGTGATGGGAAGGAATAGGCATGCCCTCATACTTCAGACTCCCATCATTCGAAGGTTGTCTGTAAGGGCTGGCTGGTGATGGTGGTCTGGCGGATCAGTACATAGGCCTACCGGCGGAATAGCCATTTGAGGGTCCCTGAAGGCTATGAAGCATACATTTTTGAAATGGTGGTCAGTCATTGCTGCTGCAGCAAAATGTATCCCGGTCTAGTGCGAACATAATGCACACCCGCCATATGCCATCAAGCCCGTCAGTTCCCGCGGCACTAGATCATGCACCTCCGATTTCGTGTGTTGAATGATATATAGCTCCCTGATCGAAGTTTCTGCTGATACAGGTGCATCAAGCGACACCATTTACGAGCGACGCGGAGACACTTTGACACCAGTCTTCGACAATGACTCGCCGATATGGCGAATTCAAGAACAAAAGGTGTAAGATCTGGAAAGCTCTGCAATAGCGCGGTCAGGCGCTCCGCCTTAAGCTCGCGGCCGTAAAACGCGAGTACGTGTGCTACGGCCGATCCACATCCTGGTATTCGAAAGATGGACCGGCAGCAGAAGCCACCGTGGCAGCTTAGTCGCAGTTCCCGGACCAGGCGAATGTATGCCCAGTCATACTATTGTAATGAGGAAGGCTTCAAGTTTTCTTCTTGGCACCTCGTGAGGAGGTGGCTCCGCACACTGCACCGGAGTTATGGGGATAGGGTTGTGCAGCTCTGGATGGGCCGATACCGAGAAGAAACACCACTGTGAAGACTTGGGTAGCGCTACGCTACTGCAACATGGTCAAAGAAGGTCTGAGCGGCAGGTTTGCGGAGAACATCTACATCAACACTGCTTTTGAGGACGAAGTCAAGCGCCGGTGGAGGACTTGGCCGGACATCGCCGCATGGAGGGAGACAGACTCGCAGTCACGCCGGTCGACAAGCATTATCCTGGTGGACTCAGTACGAGTCTAAGCGAGAAAGCGAGCCGCGGAAAGCCGAAATGATTTTCATGCCAGCACCGGCCAAGAGGAAGGCGCGTTAGATTGTGGCTTTGGAGGCCAAGCAGGTTCGCAAAGGCTGAAGACCATCCAGCAATCGCAGCCAGTGGCTGCACGAGTGGTAGCAGTGTTAGCAAATTTGGCGATTTGTACTCTGCGTTGGTAAAGCTCCGGGCAAGCGTTTCAGGGAGTCCAAATGGGAAGCTTCGAACGTTAGTTGCAGCGTTGTCCTGTACAATAGCTGCGACTCATCTACAACCAATACATCACCGGTCCCTTCCCAATCTTTCCTCGCCGTCCTCTACCAGCTCATACGCCGGCCTAAAGTGCTCGCCACCCTCTCCGCCACCTGGGTCATCTCTCAGCGCCGGGTTCGGATGCGTATCCGTCGTACCACCCAGACTCGTATAGCCAAGGTCATACAATGAACAATACGGTATATCCAGATGTCGTATGAACGTCCATATCTCAGCGTAATGCCAGTCTATTACCGGGTGTATTCGCATGAACGGCGGCCACCCTCTATCTGTAGGATCAAAGTGCTTCAAACTCCCACCATGAGGGTCTGTACGTCGTGTGCCGACAAAGATCGCTTTAACATTCTGGTTGTCCTTCAAGTAGTCCGCAAATGCTTCCATCATCGGCTTGGCGTAGCGTGCCAGGTTTAGATGGTATGTCCGCACAGAATCCTCGACGAAGTCATCGACTTGCTTGAACGGGTGTGTGGATACTATGTAAACGGAGCGAAGCGCTTGAGGCAGCCTGGGGGGAGGAGGGTGTGTGCTGTCGTTTGCTGAGCCGTTCGATCCAGCCTTCTTTCCTGTGAAATGCACATGCAGGGCACTGAGGTATAGGATGAGCAGCACGAGACAGTCCTTGCCGCCATTATACGACAGCGACAGCTCATCTAGACTTCATGCTCAGCGGTCAGCTTCCCTGCAAGTCTAACCTGCACCCTCAGTGTACCTACCTATACCGCTCCAGCGCCTCCTCTAGGACCTTGAGAGACAGTCTGCTCTGATCTTGTACATGCCGTAATCTTTCCGTCGCCGGCTCAGCATTAAGGAACGCCTCAACTCTCTGGTGCACTCTTGCGCATAGCTGCGGAAGCGCTTCCGGTGGGTCCTGGGCTATTGTTACCGTGTTGCCATTTTGATCGCTTGCGACTCCGAGAACAGGTGCTGGCATTACTGAGATACGGTGGCATGAAAATAGGTACTTCAGCAGGCCATTTAAACGAGTGAGTCGGATACGGAAGCGAGATGTATACTGAGCCGTAGTAAACAGAGATGGCTGTAGTCAGCCGGATTCGTTTCGGACCCTGATGAGGCTTTGCGGTTCGCCGATGCCGAGGGGTGTATCACATGTGGAGGAGATTGTCCTTCTACATTAGGAGGGTTGAACGTTGAGATGCTCATGGAGCAGTACACTGCGCTTAACGACATTGCTAAAAATCGCAATCAATATGCTGAAAGCGCCGTTCAAGCACTGCTGTCACCGCTTCCGTTATCACCATCCGATACCGCATGCATCCCGTTCAACCACTGCCTTTCCACCCATATGAGCTCCTTCTGCTTGACCCTACCCAGCTCTCCAGACTTCGTACTCGGCGCTCTCGCCGTCAGCATCCATCTTTGTCCGATATAAGCGCCAGCGTAGTCATACCACTCCACCAGGCCATGCTTGGCATACCGAGGTAGCAGTAGCAGCTGTCTGCGTTCCTCTGCGTATCGTCTTGCATGGTCGTCCGCTTTCTCCTTGCTGTCATAGGAGTACACACTCTGGGACACATTCATACTGTCAGGTGAGAGCGGCTGAGGAACGCTTTCTGTCTTGACGTGGTGCATGACGACGTAGACTTCCCGCGGAGGTTTGACGCCGTACAATGTTGTCCGGCATTTGGCCTTGATGAGACTTGACTTCGGCCTTGGTTTGGTGTCGGTGTGCTTCCGGACGGATTGGAACAGACGTCGGACCTAGAGATGTCGCGGTGATGGAAGCGTGGTCTTTGCAGGTTGTGTATCGCGAATGATAACACCAATAATGGCCTTGTGAAGGGTGGATTTGTGAAGCTGACGCCGCGAAATAAAGAGCGGATCAGTGGATCTTGCTGCCTGGCAAGCGTGGAGGTAGTGAATGTCTACTACTGCGATATCTTCACCCTCTGTTTAGCGTGTTGCCACTCCCCTTTGGATTAGCTTCAACATATTCATCCCATTCTCTTGCCTTCATCGTCTCACGATCAGCAGCCTCCATATCATCCTCATCTACTTGCGGCTGAACTTGGCTTTGCGGTCCTCCACCGTCGATCATACCACCTCGCCGCCTTTCCTCCTCCAGATACTCGTCGATGCTCATGGTAGGTAAGCTGTGATCGGGCCGGAAGACGCCGTTCTGGAACTCTTGGCGTTTCGATGTAAGGGTGAACGGTCGTAAGGGTTTGCCCGATCTGTCCAGAAGCGGGCCGCGAACGTTGGCGTTGAGTGATGCAAGAGGGCCGTCTAGGCGCTCAGAGTAGGCACTGTCGTTCCTGGTGCTACGTTCTCGTGCATCCGGACCACGTTGAGTAGCGAGGTCTGGGGGCGGTGCCGGTGGCGCAAGAGCTAGGATTTGCAGCTCTTGGCTGATGCTCTCAAGCTGCTGAAAGGTCCGGTGCGTGCAAAAAGCGATTTCAGTCAACTGCACCTCTCGTGCAACCGCCTCATCATTCTGAATAACAGAAGGATTGCTACGGAGGTACTCCAATTTCTGCTTCAGAGCCTTCTCGTCCTTGAAGCGCTTGATCTTGGCATCCCGGCGTGCCGCGGCATCAGATGTGGAGGTGGTACTAAACGTGTTAGGAGACTCGTGGTACTGTTCCAAGATCGCAGCATCGGTCTTGCTTAGGAGGTCGTAGTTGTCCAAGTGCCGCAAGAAGCGTTCATAACGTGCTTGCGCTTTCTGAAGGTTGGCTTTGCGCTGCGAATGGTCGTTGAGGCGCAACAGCAGTTCAGCTACTCTGAAGTTTAGGAGCAGATATTGCAAGTCTAACGTTGCGATGTCTTCGAGTGCCTCGTTTGGGCTAAAGAGAGATAGGCGATCGACTATGCTCAGACATTCTTCGTAGAGGCGGATGGCGGCGAGGACGTTCTCCTGAAAGGCCGTAGTATTGGTATTGCCAAACGACTCGGTGTTAGCACGCTTGGTTTCGGCCTCATCGTACACCGATCGTAGAGATCGTTCTGCTGCCATGTTGTGTAATGTGTTGTGGCGTACGAAAGAGGACTGGCTCTCGAGTGTCAAGTCTGGTTAGCATGTGGCGAGCTGTAGCCGGCGAGCGGTCCGTGCCCCGGTGACTGAGGGGGTGTTATTCGTGCAATCTTCACGACATGGCTCTCCTCAACATCACTGCAGCAATGCCAGCGGTCGACTTACTAAATGCCCACTCGGTAGACTCTGTTGCCGTATACTAGCCGGCAGCAGCAACAGTAGGTCGACTGACGACTTCTCTCATGCCTGCTTCAACACGCTGGCTGTCGGAGTCGCGTCACGCTAACGCACGCCTGCTTGCTGCCGTATGCGACAGACATTGACACGACCAGCGTTTGCTGACAGCTCACATTATCTCGAACATACACTCCCCTCGGCGCGCACGCAACTTGCGTCGCCGAGATGGTCCATCACTAACGCTGCTATATGTTCGTCCTACACTGACTGCCAAGCACACAATCATGGCGGACCAAAGTGCCGCGGTGACAGAGAGTAGAGATCTGCACGAGTTCAGCGATGATGAGCTCCCGCATGCGCCGGCGTCGCTTACTGAGCGCCGGCGAGCACAGAAAGCAAAGTTCGAAGAGTGGCTTACTAGCACAGATATCTTGGAGGCGCTGAAGCCGAAGGCGAAGAATGTCGACGCTAAAGAAGCCGCTGATGAGCAGCTTTCGATCGAGAAACTGATGGCCAAGCAAGGCGCCGAGATCATCAAAAATCCACGAGAATATCAGTGGGAGCTTTTTCAGAGAGCACAGAAGTCCAACACAATCGCTGTTCTTGATACGGGCTCGGGCAAGACGCTCATTGCTGTATTACTGCTGAAATGGATCATCGATGTAGAATTGGAACGCAGGGCAACTGGTGAGCAACCCCAAATTGCGTTCTTTCTCGTGGCTAGCGTCACGCTCGTCTACCAGCAGCTCGCTGTTCTTCAACAGAATCTGGATCATCCCGTCGCCAGGGTCTGCGGTGCTGATGGTGTCGACAACTGGAGCAAGGCAAGGTGGATGAAGCTGTTTGTGGAGAACAAGGTGATAGTTGCTACTGCTGACGTGCTGCATGCGTGCCTTGCGCACAGCTTCATTTCCATGAAACAGATCAGCTTACTCATCTTCGACGAGGCACATCACGCGAAGAAGAACCATGCCTATGCACGGTGAGTAGTCCCCTGTCGCACTACATCAGCACACCAATGCTTCGCTCCGTCCTACCTTGAAATCATGCTGATGCCTGGTCAGGATCGTCAAAGACTTCTACCTGTCGGAAGACGAAGGAAGGCGTCCAAGGATTTTCGGCATGACGGCAAGCCCGATTGATGCCAAGACAGATGTCGTCCAGGCAGCAAGCGAGCTCGAGAGCCTGCTTCACTCTCAGATTGCAACGACCGCGGACATGAGTCTTGTCGAGGCGGTCAAGAAGCCGAAAGAGCACGTCTTCCAGTACGACGCCTTGCCGACCACTGGCTCAGAGACCGACTTTCTGAGATCCATAAAAACTCGTTTCGCCGTACCGGCAATGTTCGACGGCATCTGCAGGCAAAGCGTTGAAATCTCCAGGCATCTTGGCCGGTGGTGTGCTGATTTGTACCTGGCCAATGCTTTGTCTGAGCGAAAACTTCCTCAATACGAGCTTGAGGCGGACAGGAAGTATTACTATCGAGACGGAGGAAAGCGGGACAGTCCGATGCTTTCCGAGAATGAGGACAGCATCAGCACATCTCGACGCACGCCCATCGAGATAGCAGTGGGAAGCAATATCTCGCAGCTTGACAAACGACAGGCGGTCATACGCGCCATCATTGCATTCGTGGAATCGGAGCAGTCAAAGCACGCGGCAATACGAAACGAAACTGACTTTAGTCCGAAGGTCTTGGGATTGAAGCGGTTCTTGGCTCCAGAGTTCGAGACTCCAAGCTCGCGCCGGTGCATAGTGTTCGTAGAGAGACGCCATACAGCGCGGTTGCTCAGTGCGACATTCAAGCGCTTTGGCGTGCCAAATCTGCGGCCTGGCTTCCTCGTTGGGGCCAACAACCCGGAGATGGACGAGGATAACTTTACGACCCCCATGCAAGTTCTCACCATGGCCAAGTTTCGCAGCGGCGAGATCAACTGCCTGTTCTGCACTACGGTCGCCGAGGAGGGATTAGACATTCCGGACTGCAACCTGGTAATACGATTCGACATGTATCGCACAATGATTCAGTACGTGCAGTCCCGCGGCCGAGCCCGGCAGCGTAATTCAAAGTTTCTGCACATGGTCGAGAAGGGCAACTCTGTGCATGCCGAACTGCTCCTCCAGGTTAGAGCCCAAGAGAGAGCCATGCGACGCTTTTGCCAATTGCTACCAGAAAACCGGAGACTGTACGGTAACGAAGGCATCTTGGAAACTCTGATGACGAAGGAGAAGGCGCTTCGTACATACATTGAGGAGTCGACCGGCACAAAGTTAACATACGGAAACGCGCTTGTGTGCCTCGCCAATTTTATCTCTTCAATTCCAACAGACACAGACGATATGCTGCAGCCCACCTACATCGTCAACAGCCACGGCGAGAAGTTCGTCGCCGAAGTACTACTGCCCGGCAACGCTCCGATCAGGTCTGCCATCGGCAAAGTCTGCACGAAGAAGCTTCTCGCCAAGTGTTCTGCCGCGTGGGAAGCATGCCGTGAGTTGCGTAGGAAGGAGTATCTGGACGAACATCTGATGCCAATCTATCAGAAGAAGCTACCCGCCATGCGGAATGCGCTACTGGCCGTCAACATGAAGACAACCAACATGTACGTTATGAAGACGAAGCCCTCTATGTGGGAGCAGACAAGAGGCACGCTACCATCCAAGCTATACGTGTCGATGATTGACTTTCCAGATGGCCTGGAGCACCCCAACCGACCGCTTGCGTTGCTCACACGGCCTCCAATGCCGCACTTTCCGGCCTTTCCAGTCTTCTTGACTGACGGGCGCCCTTCAAGCGTGCGATCTTCAGTTTTCGATCAACCTATCGGCGTCAACGAGCAACAGCTCGACAAACTGTCAGCTTTCACATACCGCATCTTCAAGGACGTATTCTCCAAGACGTACGACTACCAGCCTGCACATTTATCGTATTGGCTTGGACCGGCCAAAGCGGGCCTCGAATTAAGCAAAATGAGTGGTAACGCTCAGAACTTCGAAGCGAGCAACGCCATAGACTGGGCGCTAGTTGATGAGGTGTTCACGCACGAGGAATACAAGTGGACGCCAGGGGCAGACTCAAACTTCCTCGTGGACAAGTTCGTCGTGGATTCGTGGGACGGCAGCCGCAAGTTCTTCTCCATCGCTGTTTGTCGGGATATGAAGCCCCTGGACCCTGTTCCGCCGGACACAGCGAAGGCCAAGTGGGATGCGAACATCTTGGAGTACAGCAACAGCCTCTTCAAGCAGGCTCGAGCACGCCGAGAGGGCACCTGGAACCTTGACCAACCCGTCCTTGAGGCTGTAAAGATCCTGCTTCGTCGGAACATGCTGGCTACACCAGAGAAGAAGGAGCTTACCCTCCGGACGAAAGCCTTCCTCTGTCCCGAGCCTTTGCGCATCTCTGCATTGCCTCCAGCTGTGGCGACCTCCTGCTTTGCCTGGCCAGCGATTATTCACCGCCTAGAATCATATCTCATAGCGCTTGAGGCTAGCAAGATGATCGGCGTGGACTGCTCACCTCAGATGGCGCTCGCAGCAATGACGAAGGACTCCGACAATAGCGGTGACCATGACAAGCAGGAACATATCAACTTCCAGCATGGCATGGGCGAAAACTACGAACGTCTCGAGTTCATCGGCGACACGTTTCTGAAGACCGCCACGTCCATCTCAACGTTCATTCAGAACCCGAACGACAATGAGTTCGAGTTTCACGTCAAACGGATGCTGATGCTGTGCAACCAGAACTTGTTCAACGTGGCGAAGGAGCTGAAGCTCTATGAGTACGTCAGGAGCATAGCATTCTCTCGACGACTCTGGTACCCAGAAGGCCTCAAGCTGCTTGAAGGCAAAGGCGCGAACAAGCAGGAAGAAACGTCCGTTATCAAGCACTCCCTTGGCGAGAAGACGATCGCAGATGTATGCGAAGCTCTCATTGGGGCCGCATATGTCACGCATGATCGGCCCGGAGACCAGTGGCAGCCGAGCCACTGGGAGAACGCTGTCCGTGCCGTGACAAGGCTCGTCAACAGCGCCGATCATACAATGTTGACGTGGAGTGACTATATCGCCGCTTACGAGAAGCCATCGTATCAGACTGGCGAGGTGTCTGCTTCGCAACGTGATCTGGCGGAGAAGGTTGAGCGAGAGCACCCGTACCACTTCAAGTACCCTCGATTGCTACGTTCAGCATTCATACACCCGTCCCAGCCGGTTATGTACGAGAAGGTACCAAACTACCAGCGGCTGGAGTTCTTAGGGGATGCACTGCTGGACATGGCAAGCATCGCGTATCTCTTTCACCGCTACCCTGATAGAGATCCACAGTGGTTGACGGAGCACAAGATGGCAATGGTCTCGAACAAGTTCTTGGGTGCCGTGTGCGTTAACGTCGGCTTCCACTTACACCTTCGCCACAGTTCTGCTATACTGCAGCATCAGGTAAGCCGAGCAATGAGGGTCCGTTCGCGGTTGTCGGAGAGTAGCTGACCGATTAATCTTCAAGATCGCCGACTACGCTATCGAGTTGCTAGAGACGAAGCGGGTAGCTGGTGATGCCAAAGACTACTGGACGACCGTCTCAGATCCACCCAAGTGTCTTCCCGACATCGTGGAGGCGTATGTGGGAGCGGCCTTCATCGATTCAAATTTTGACTACAATGTAAGCAGCACAATGGGTAACTTCACACACAATCTCGTCTGGGATGCAGCTAACCTTGCTACCATCAACGTTCAGGTCGTGCGAGATTTCTTCGACATGCACATCAAGGGCTACTTCGAAGACATGAGCATCTACGATACCTTTGCGAACAATCACCCGTGCACGCATTTGCACAATCTCCTCCAGCAGACCTACGCGTGTCAGGAGTACAGACTGATGGCGAAGGAGCTCCCATCCGTTGACACGGTGGACAGGAAGGACGTGGTGGCGGCAGTGATGGTGCACGATGAGGTCGTAGCTTTCAGCAAAGGCAGGTCTGGGCGGTACGCAAGATTGAGGGCGGCACAAATGGCAATTGAGGTGATCGATGGATTGGCGCCATTTGAGTTTCGTAGTCGATTCGGGTGTGATTGTACGTTGATGGAGACTGCTGAGAAGGAGACGGTGAACAATGCAGCGCATGCTGATTGTAACGTCTGATAGTGCGCGGTTGGTTGGTGCACTCGGCACAGCCTGCCATGTGATGGCGTGCTTCGCGCATAAGCTCAAGCCGCAAAACTTAACAACGATGGCACTCCGGCTGAGGTTCCTACTGGGCATGGTTTTGCCTCGGCATGCACGACCTTGGCCGCTGAGACAGCCATTCAGAGTCTCGGCGTCAGTCTTCGCAAAGCAAAGTCTAGCTTGGGACACGGTTTCTGCGATTCGTGAGGATGTTCATCAGTTCTCTTTCGTTCGGGATCTCGTATCCATTGCATTGCAACGAAGGAAGCCTGACCGGAAATTCCGCGCTACCAGCATCCACACTCGCATTTCATCCTTAACGCGGGCACACTACAGGCGGCCACCGCCGTGATCAACGAAACGCAGGTGCAATATCGCTCGCCTTAACCGTCGTAAAAGCCAAGTGAAGGTCGATACTTCCAGGTTCTCCCTCACTGCAACAACACAAAGGGTCGAATTTCTGCTTTCGTGGGGCTGCTGCAAAGCTCATATGTTCCAGATCTGGCCTATATTGCGTCTCCTCCGTGGCTAAACATTGTGTGAGTGCCACACTGCCATCCAAGTTTCGATGCCGCTGCTACTGGCAAGTAGGGCGCATGATCAACTCCAGGTCCTCCCCCTGATCTAGGCCGTTACTGTAGGGTTCGTCTTGTGACTGATCCACAGCTACAGCGTAGATCTAACGGCTAGCGTCCTCCCTTGGCAGTCCCAGCGACGCGGCATGGGCGATTCAACCAGGTACTGACCATCCTACTGTATAGAAGATAAGGAAGGATGACAAGGTTGCTTCAGGCGTCCCAGCTTTGCGATAGTGAGCCGAGATGAAAGGTCTTAACGTTGCGTGGGTAGAACCTGGTCAGGCACGCGGCATCTGTCGGATGATCCTGGTCGTGATAGGGCAGACGTAGACGTAGGGCTTGCAGGGATCACCGCATGGCGCTCAAGCTCGAGCCAAGCGTTGCGTTCTTTGCGGACGTCGCCAGATTCTCGCCCCGACCGCATCTGATGCTTTGTCCGGCCTTTCTGACAATGATTTGATATTGGTGCTGCTTAGCCCGCCGGCACCTTATCAGCGTATGCTGACTACTTCCTAAAACGAGGGACCGCTGCGGCGCCCACTACTGCCACCAGGTAAGTGAGAGGGTGGGGCCAGAGAACGGCCACCTCGAATCCCACGTTCAGGGCTTTTCGTCACCCTCACTGCACGCTGTCACGCTTCTCTTCAGACCAGAGTACGTGCTGCTGTATTTTCCCACACCAATCACATGGCAATCCTGCATGTGATCTGAAGCTCCCAACATCCTCACCTTTGACAAAGATGCCGCCATACAGATAACCATGTCGGAGATAGCAGCGGAAACACTTCAGATCGCAAGTCAGCACTAGTCCCAGCCGTGAGAGAGATCACTTCGCGTGCATCTGGTACCTGAACTTACCCATGCCGCAGCTGCTTGATCCGTTCAAGCTCGGCCAACGCACTCTACCATGAGCGCCAGGACGATCAAGGATGCCATCAGAGCGCTGCAGGCGCAGTTCTCTGCGCCCAAGATTCCGTTGTCACTGCCCGCCGAGTCACGACGCTTACTACAGGGCTTCGTGGAGGAGCACGAGGGCACCATCAGTGAGGATGAGTCGAGCCATGCCAATGTCGAGCTGAAGACCTTCTGGGAGCGCTATGTGGGCGACAACCGTGCCAAGTATGGTGCTTTTGTGGGCGTACTACGAGAGCTACGGCCTGTGATCAGGGACGACACGGACTTGTTTGGATGGTGGCAGCTCGTAGTTGAGCCCGTCCTTACGACACCTGGTCGCAAGGCAGCGCTCGAAGATGCTAGGGAGTTCCTGCTCAGCGTGATGGTCAACAGCGACCATGAAAGCCCAGGACAACAGCGTTCGAAGGTTTCCACGAGGCTGATGACTGACCTGCTCAAGATATACCAGGCCCGCACCCGTGGTGTGACCGACGAAGATCCGCTCATTGCTCCCGAAAATGCTCAGATCGCGCAGCAGGTCGAGGTTGTCCTGGTCTCGTATGGCAGGAGGCAACCCAAAGAGTTCTTTCACCGCATAGATGACCTCATTCTGTTCAGCGACAAACGCATTCAAGGCTTGACGCTGTTGAATTCCTTCTTACGCTATCAAACGCCGCACCTCTACCTTGTGAACGATACTCCACTGGTCGAAGACATACTCAAATGTCTAATGAACGACACTTCGGTTACGGTGCTCTCGGTGGCACTCAATGCGCTGATCATGCTCTTGCCGCACATCCCAGGTCAACTAGGCCCGCACCTTCCCCGGCTTTTCTTGGTTTACAGCCGCTTTCTGTGCTGGGAGCGATTCAGTCCGCTGAGCACCGAGGCGCAGAGGGACACGGTAACTGACGACCGTGTTCCGTCTGGATCCCTGGATGACCATCGTGATATCGGGATAGAACATGCTTGGGAGGTGGCGAGGCCAGAGGAAGATACGGTGGAGACGTCACCACCCGAGCTTCTAACGTACTTCACGTACCTGTATGGCATGTATCCGCTAAACTTCATGAGCTATATACGGAAGCCCAGGAGATACCTCAAGGACATCGACTTCCCTGGAGCTGATTTATTTGACCTTGACCAGGGCGTCATTCGGGCCCGCTCGGAACAGTATCGTCAGGTGCACTTATTGCACCCAAACTTCTACAACCACGTTATCGACGAGGAGTTCGCGGATCCCAAGTGGACACAAGCGGATCCAGCTGATGTCGTCGCCGAGTGTACATCACTTTGTGTCAGCGCCAAGCTGTCTTCACTACCAAGCCCAGGACCGCCACCGACAGGCAAGCTCCCACACGTGCCGTCACTGCCCAGTCTTGCGAACAAGTTCCCGCCTCCGCTATCTCCAAGCCCTTCTCATGCAAGCTTTCGCTCTGGTAACAGCTGGCGCGACACACAGTCTACGGCCGTAGCTGCCAGTGTGGATGACGGAGACAGCCCTAATCGGCCCAGTGGGATGCAATCGGAAGACGAGAGCGTGCTGTCTCTGCCGCGGTCGCGACACAGGCCCAGCCGCGCATCGCCTTCGCTTGATGATTTCCCGCACCCCAGTAACATTAGCTACGTACTTCCGTCAAAAGACAGAGAGGAGTCTCCACCGCAGACCAACCTTACCTACTTGCAACGCGAGAATACTTTGCTTCGCAACGACCTCAACTTTGAACGCTGGCATAAAGCACAGTACTCAGTGCATATCGGCCAGCTCATGCGCAAAAACGTCAAAGATGCAACAGCTGAAGCTGAGACACTCAACCTCATCAACGCGAATCGAGCACTCAAGGTGCAGCTTGATCAGCTACGTAATGCAAGGGAAGCGACAGTCAAGGATTCCGCCCTTACGCGCAAGCAGACTACCAACCTCGAAGCGAACCTGACCGAGCGCTTCATGCAGATGAGGAAAGAGCAGGAGACGTGGCGTGCTGATGCCGAAGAGCTCAAGCGGCTCCGCAAAGAAATTGGCCAGTATCGCGATGTCTTACTAGCGACTGAAGAGCGTGAGTTGGCGAAGACGCATCGACTCGAGATCGTCAAGCGCGAGCTTGAGAACTTGCAGAACATCGATCAGGAACTTCACCAGGCGAAGACTAAGATTCGTGAGTACGAGTACCATGAGTTCGAGATGAACCAGGCAAAACGTGAGCTTGAAATCTTGCAGCATGAGAAGGAGGCACTGCAGATGAGAGTGCAGCGGTTTCAACACGAGAACGAACGAACACGCCGAGCATACGCCGATAAGGTCGCCGAGCTCGAAGCTCAATATGAAACAGGCGAATCCATACCGCGCCGTGGCGCAACGCAGACGCCTGGTCCGGACGTCCAAACGGTCGTGCAACAGGCAATTGCCGAGAGTCAAGCGAAACTGAGCCAGCTTCGAAAGAAGCACACCGCGCTTATGGAACGGTACAGCGACCTCGAAATGGAGTATGAGTCTGTCAAAGCCCAGCTTGATGCCGTGCTTGGCAATAGCAGGCCTGGTGGCAGCAAACCCAGCTACCTGCAGGGCGGAGACGACGACAGCTACGATTTCACAGCTTCAGAACATGGTATGAGCGGTGCTCTTGGCCAGCGGGACGGCGCGCGTAGCACGATGGGTGACTTCAATGCATTCTCCGACAATGCCTACATCTCGAGTGCAAGCGAGCCGAGTAAACGCCACTACCATCGAAATATTGACGGTGTCATTCCAGGATCGTCTAACGACATTGGGGGCCTGATGGCTTCTCCACCCATAGGGGGGTTGATGCCGGCGTCGCCTTCAGCAAGCGATGCTGTGTTGCACCGGGAGGCCGGATTAACCTGGAAGCCAACGCCAGCGGGCAACAGTCGAAAGGACAGCCTTGCCTCGAGAGGTTCCAGTGCACTGGGCGTAACCTTCAATCAGACAGCGCCGTTGAGAGAAGAGGAGCTTGGCAAGGTTCGCAGCAAGGGTGGCAGCAGTGAAGCGAGTCTTGAGGAAAAGCGGAAGGCGAAGATCAAGCCGGACAGTGAAGTCAGGGTGTATGGGAGAGGTAAGCCAGTACACGCATCGCGCGCAATGTCATTCGACTAACATATCGTCTAGGCGGCGCCCAGAACATCAAGATGAAGCCCGGTAAGGAAAAGGACAGAGACGGTGCGGAGTCGAAAGCAGAAAAGAAGGTGTTCAGAGGCTTGAGGAATCTTGTCTAGGAGACGGGGTCTTGTCAAGCGTTCGTTCCTCCGCTGGTCAAGAGGCCTTCAAAGGCAACGATGAATACGAGCCGTTCCGAGACGTCGAACGAAGCGATGTGGGGCGTTCCTCTGCTCGGCTTGCGTTGAGCGTCTTTGTAAGGCGTCGGCAAGCTATGGTTCATGATACCCTGACCTGTTAGTTGATGAGGCAGGTGTTAGCCGTAAGGCGCACCGCAATGTACACTAATCGTGCAACGAAGCCATGCTCTCCAATTTCCGTATTCCTGATATGCACAGGCAGCTCTTAGTATCGGCAAGACGCACGGAAGATACTCAAGCGGACTAAGCTACATCCTGTGGACCGTGTTGCGGCCGCCTTTTTAAAGTAGAATACGAAGTAGTGTAGAAGCGGCAGAGCGGTCTGGTAGCGACCACGGCTAAATGTTCGTATATGCACGGGCCGTATCTGAGCACCGTCAGCGGCGGCCCTCGTATCCAGCGCCGCGGGTTCTCAGGCTTGATGATGGACCGACCACCACCAGCGAATCGACACCAGTAGTTGGTATGCTTGGTACATGGCTTGGTGGCTAGACGACCGTAGTGACCGCGCACAACCTGTTCCGCCGCCCGCGGCAAGCCGCAGCCTCAACGGAACACCATCCCCACTCCACCCTCTTATATGGACTGGCGGGGGTGATGAGGTGCCTCGTACTGTACCCACACAGGGTGCAGCTTCCAATGTTCACGTAGTCCAAGCTCAGCTGCATTAATCCTCACTGGAATGGCAGTTGTTGGCAACATCGCTTGAGGGATGCCAGGTCTGGTGCGGACATAGGCATTGGTTGGTACCGGTTAGACTGGGCAGCATGGAGCTTTTGGTAAGCGATCAGAGTGTGTACGACGTAGGCTGTGCTAACGTGTACGTTGGAAGGCATTGCTTATCCTCTGCATATCAGCCATCACCGTACGCGCCGTCGACCCAATTATTGTGCAAGAGCAGGAGTTCATCAACGCCGTATCTCATAATCGATTCGTAATTATAGGCATAGACTACCAGCCAGGTGGAGAGGGCGCATATGGAACGGGGAATGGTGATCCTTTGAGCAACGCAACAGCATGTCTGCGGGATGCTGCGCTCATGCAACAGCTTGGGGTGAACACCATCCGCGTATACAATGTCGACCCTATTTACAATCACGACGATTGCGCATCCATATTCAACTCCGTCGGCATCTACATGCTCATCGATGTCAACTCGCCATTGTCTGGTCAATCACTGGATAGGTCAAATCCTTCCGGAACATACACAACCAACTATCTCAACCACACATTCTACGTTGTGGAAGCGTTCAAATCATACCCGAACACATTAGGCTTCTTCGCTGGAAACGAGATTATCAACGATGTCACTACCGGTCAAGCTAATCCACCGTACATCCGAGCAATTCAGCGTGATTTGAAGAACTACATCGCTGCGCACTCGTCACGGACGATACCCGTCGGTTACAGCGCTGCAGATGTGCGTCCAGTGCTGCAGGATACTTGGGCGTACCTTCAATGCAATAACGCAAACGGCAACGGACTTGATCTCTCGAGATCAGACTTTCTGGGGCTCAACAGTTACAGCTGGTGTGGTGATGCTACTTACACCAGCTCCGGGTTTAACCAGCTAGTTGAGATCTTCGGGAACACTACCATACCAGTGTTCTTAAGCGAGTATGGATGCAACAACCCAGAGCCACGTCACTTCAACGAGGTCCAGGCGCTGTACGGCCCGCAAATGACGGTAATGTCTGGTGGTCTCGTGTATCAGTGGACGCAAGATACGGCGAATTTCGGCATCGTGCAGGCTTATAGTAACGCCACTGTTCAGCTCCTAAATGATTACAACGTACTTAGTGCGCAGTATAGCAAGCTCAATATCGCCTCGCTCGAGTCAGCGAACAGCACTGCCACGAGTCTCCAGCCGCCGCAGTGCAACGCGAACCTGATATCCGCCGATGGCTTCAGCACGAACTTCAACATACCGCCGCCGCCTCCTGGTGCCGCCCAGCTGATCTCTTCGGGCGTCCCGAATCCACCCTCCGGAACGATCAGACCCGTCACGCAGACAAGCGTGCAGGTTGCCGTATATGCGACGGATGGAGCGCAGATCCAGGGATTGAAGATACAGGCCGTCTCTTCGGCAGAACATCCCGGACAAGCCGCTGCGATATCGACAGCTTCCGCATTGGCCACAGCTGCCGCGTCAAGTGCAGCTACGAGCTCGAGTGCAGCTACCAGCTCAAGTTCGGTCACCAGTTCAAGCATGGCTACTAGCACAGGAGTGGCTGCCGGCTCAAGCGCGGCCACCAGCTCAAGTGTGGCTACGAGCACAGGGGCGGCCTCGAGCTCAGGAGTGCCTTCGAGTTCAGCGACCGCTACAGGCCCAGGAGCAGGTACCAGCTCAGGTATGGCTAAGACCTCAAGCATGGCCACCAGCTCAGCGGCCAACATTGCGACATCGGCCACTGCCTCTGCAGCTGCAGCCGCAGCCAGTGCGACCCGTACTGGTGGTGTCAGGAAGATGGATGCCGGGCTAGCAGGCAGTGCCTTTGCCGTAGCCGCCATGGGCGTGTTTGCTTTTGCAGTTTGAGCGTTCTAGCATAGCGAGATAACATGATGCAGGCACGAGATACTAATATGCATAGCGTCGTCAGCAGCACTAGTCTGTTTGACGACGCAGTCTAACGAAGGGTGCACGGTGTACATACTCTGATAGCGACCTGGACATATGGCCGGAGCGTTCAAGCTTTCGATCTTCCACCGCGTGGTACGTCTCGTGCGCACGGCGAACATATACGTATCAGTAGGTACGTTCTCCTGATGAGTCCTATGCTGACTTGTCGTCCTTGATCTCATCTGCAGCCTCGACATGGTAAGGTCCCACGTCGCGAAGTTTCTCGCCGCCATAATTGTCCTCTGCGTCATGCTCCTTGTGCTTCTCGAAGCTCTCCTGCACCGGCTGAGACGGGCCAGTCAAAGCATGCAAGCCCTTTTTGCCATCGGTGATGAACAGATCATCGACCTCCTCCAAGGTCAGATTCGAGGTCTCCGGATAGAAGAAGTACACAAGCGGTATGAATGCAAGGTTCGTGGCCATGAAGATGCTGCATCGAATCAGCACATGTCTAAGCGAGTTCACAACTTCATGACTTACAAGTACGCCTGCCAATTCAGCTTACCCAGAATGGTGGGTGTGATCATAACAATAACGAAATTCTGGAACGTCGTTAGTATCAAGGACATACAGTCTCCAAAGCATCGACTAACCCAGAGCCAGTTGGCGGAGATACCAACGGCTGTTCCCTTCGCACGAGCGTGAAGCGGTAGGATCTCCGGCACGTAGACCCATGGAATGCAGTTCGCCGACGCTCCGAAAATGAACATGTACGTAAAGAAGAATGCCACGCTTGCGGAGGAGGTTGCCTTTTGCATCTGCTCCGAATAGCCTCGTTGGGTATTGAAGCTGAGCAAGACTGCAATGAGCATCATGCTAATCGCAAGTCCCAAGGAGCCCCACATCATCGGTCGACGTCGTCCCATCTGGTCCAGGTAGAAGGTTGGAACCAGCGATCCGAAGAAGAACATAGTCTGAACACAGCCGCCGATGACTTGTGGCAGGATGCCAGTCAAGTGAACATTATCGCGCAGCGCCGTTGGGACGTAGTACACCACAAGGTTGATGCCACCGACCTGATTCATGAATTGCATGCCGTAGGCGAGAAAGACGCGGCGGCCTGTCTGGACTCGATCACGCTTGAAGAGCTGGCTCCATTTGTACTCCCCAGTCTGGCGCTGAGCGGCAATACCATCGAGAATCTCGGTTTGCCTGCTCGATTGTCAGCTACGGCTCTCCTTCCGTCAGAGCGAAGAAGCTCAACACACATCTTTGAGACTTTCTCGCCGTCAGGCGGCTCATCCCAAACATCGCACATCACTTGCAATGCTTCTTCGTTCTTCCCGTGCGCGTATAACCAACGAGGCGATTCCGGCAAGCCAAAGACAAGGAAGATGACGAGGAAGGCAAAGATGCATTGGCATGCAATCGGCACTCTCCACGCGACTTGCCCACCCACGAAAGACATGCCGAGATCGAAGAAGTAGCTGATTACAATGCCGACTCCAACGAACAAAGGCTCACTGGATACGAGTCGACCACGGCGATCTGCGTCGCAAAGCTCGCTTTGATACATTGGAACCTGCAGGCTGTGATTAGTCGGAGCCGTTACCATCAGTTCAAGATGGCGTATACCGTCGATGTCTCAATGCCGGTACCAATACCTGTGATATATCGAGCAACTAGTATCTGCGGCACAGAATACGAAGTGCATTGTAGGATGGCGCCGACGATCTTGGACTAGTCAGCATCCGCGGCAACGGAGAGACATCGCCAAGCGTACAATCCAACCCATTGCGATCCACATACACAATCTTCGTCCGAGCTTCTCAGCGAAAATGAAGGCCAAGATGCATCCAGAGAAGGCGCCTAGGTTGTAAATGCTAACAATAATGCCCTCAAGCGCACTGGATGGGTGTCCAAAGGTATTCAACCAGTCCTCGTTGCCGACCAGTCCAGAAAAGACACCTTGATCGTAGCCAAACCTGTTCGACTGTTAGATCGTCCGAACGATTAGCACCGTCGTAGTCAACCTACAAAATGAAAGCCATTTGGCACCCAACCATAATGGCTGTTTGAAGCCGCCATCCGCGGCCGAACAGATTATATTTGATCATGTTAAGAGTAGCTCGTCAGACGGGAATGTGATGAAGCCGAGTAAGGAACGGAAACAGCACGCCAATGGCCTCGCGCTCGAGGAATATCATCTTCGCGGATAAATCGAGCCGTAGATCGCTAGATGTTAAACCTTGAAAGGCCATGTATGACGGCGTTTGTGGGGGAAGGAGCGCCGTCCCCGGGCAGATGGCACCACGTGAGCGTGGAGATGCGGAGACTATAGACCAGATCAGGCGCATCTCTGCACCTGCATGAAACTCGGATCAGCTCCACATAGATGCCGATATGTACCAGACGTCCCATTATTTCAACGTGAAACATATTCTGGTCAGCATTGCAGCATCGCCATTGGATGCACTACGGATATATCGATCTCTCCTCCAACTACTCTGTGGTCTACCGAGGTCCATGCCAAGCCCTACAACAACGATGATCGCATGTATCTACCCAAGCATACAAAGCAGTGGCATGGTAAGGTATTTGGCTCAAAGCAGAAGACGGAGTGTTGACGAACAGTTGGATTGCATGATGATTGCATGATCCTACGCATCCTCAAGACTGCCCAGCAGCTCATGCATCACGAATGGCGCTGCGATGCTCCCATGAAGGCCCGATACTATCTGACGCCTTTCATCTTTAACCTGTACTCATTGCCAGAGTATCCGCCCGGGCATCGTAAGTGAAGCGTGGACACCGTCCGTCTCGGGTCACATTTCCTGGACACGATAGTCTGTCACGTGTATCACATGTAGGAGCTTTGTGGACGTTCGCCATAGTTACCGTACGGCATCGCGACGCAGCATCCGCGTGCTGGCCACCTGCCTACCTCCGATCTCTTACCTCTCTCAACATTGCTTGTCAGTAAAGGCTATGCTGTTACTGCCAGGTTCGTGACCTGATACTGTGGCTTCCATACACTGCTGATTACCTTGCTAACGAGGGCGCATCGGCACATCTGGTCTCACAAGGGACAGACACCACGTTGAGCGCGATAGCAAGGCTCAGTTCATGAGGCGCCACGGTGAATGATGCCTCTCATTCGTTCGAATGCTGCAGGATAAGCCGTAGTCAGTCCCAACAGTGAGCTGCTAACAGCACTACGGGTATGCCGCATACAAGCTGCTTCGATGTCGGCGTTTGAAACGGAGACATAGCCCCACAACCCGTGTGGAGACCCCGGGACTCAGCTTAGCTTGGGATCCGCTGGCGTTCGACGACAAGACTTCCCGGATCCACCGGCATACCCGTTCGAGCCGGGCAGAGAGCCGCGTTGCCGTATGACCTCCCCAACGCTCGAGACGGAGATGATCCACTTGGTGAGGATGACAAGACTTTAGCACCGTGACACGAGTTGCCATAGAAAATGGGTACGGCCTCCCACCTCCAGCGAGTGGGTAAGCCCAGGTACGCTGCTTCTCGAGTCATTCGCCATGGACCAACTTAGCGGCTGGCGCATCGCCAAAACGCTAGAGAAGAAGCAACTCCTACTGGCTATCAACTGCGTTGCAGGCCTCTCGATCTTCTTCTTCGGCTACGATCAGGGTAGGTAGAGCCTCTCGCGGTTGTGTAAGGCATAGCTGACCGGGCCATCTCGTGATCGCCAGGTATGATGGGTGGCGTGAATAATGCGGCGGACTATATCAACTTGATGGGGTTCGGATACGTTAACGAAGCTGGTGATCCTATCGTAACGAATTCCCTGCTTCAGGGTGGTATTGTATCCGTATACTATCTTGGAACGCTCTTCGGCTGCCTGCTGGGCGGATGGGTGGGCGACAAGGTTGGCAGAGTCCGCACTATTGCCTTTGGTGCTGCTTGGGCCGTTGTGGGCGCATGCTTGCAGTGCAGCGCCCAGAACCACGACTGGATGTAAGATGGTTTAACGTTCGATGTCTATCACGGTGACTGATGTTCCTGCAGGATCTGCGCTCGAGCTGTTAATGGCATAGGGACAGGCATCTTGAATACGATCGTCCCGGTCTGGGCCACCGAGACTGCCGAGCATACATCTCGTGGCCAATTCATTGCTATCGAATTTACGCTCAACATCTTCGGTGTAGTAGTGGCGTACTGGCTTGAGTTCGGCTTGAGCTACGTCGATGGAGGCAACTCTGCCATTCGGTGGCGGTTTCCGATTGCCTTCCAGATCATCCCGCTACTGTTCCTTTTCGCCGTTTCCTGGATCATGCCAGAGTCACCACGCTTCCTCGCCAAAGTCGGCCGAGACAAAGAGGCCCGCTACATCCTCGGTCGCCTGCGAGGTGAAGACGCTGAAGGCGCTGCGAAAGCCGATGCCGAGTTCCACGACATCAAGAACGTCGTCATTCACGAACGCAGTACCGCAAACCGCAACAGCTACATCTCGATGCTCTTCGGTATCGGTTCCGGCAAGCTTCATACCGCTCGCAGAGTGCAGCTTGTGATTTGGCTGCAGATCATCCAAGAATGGGTAGGAATTGCAGGCGTAACTGTATATGCTCCCACTATCTTCCGCATTGCCGGCTTCAGCAGCGAGAAGAGCCAGTGGATCTCCGGGCTGAACAACATCTTCTACATGTTTGCGACGCTCATCTGTGTCTTTACGCTTGATCGTATCGGCCGCAGAAAGACGCTGTATTGGGGCTCAGTCGGGCAGGGCCTTGCCATGTTCCTTGCAGGCGGAATGTCTCGCCTCGGTCTGAATGCTACAGCAGCCGGCGAGACGGCCAAAGCTGGCTCGTACGGCATCGCTGCCGCGTCGTTCGTGTACATCTTCACCTCTGTATTTGGTGCAACTTGGTTGACGGTTCCATGGCTATACGTAAGTTTTAGACTCATACGCGATGAGTTTGGTGCTAACAGGTTGGCAGCCCGCCGAGATCTTCCCGCTCGAAGTCCGAGCCAAGGGTAACGCTTGGGGTGTCGTAGGCTGGTCTATCGGCAACGGATGGCTTACACTCCTGTGCCCAGTGATGTTTAATGCCATCGGCGAGAAGACGTTGTACATCTTCGGCGCATGCAACGTCATCAGCATCCCAATGGTGTGGGCTTTCTATCCGGAAACGAACCAGCGGACATTGGAGGAGGTGGACCTACTCTTCGAAGCAGACTCGCCGTGGGTGTGGGACGCCGAGAAGAACTTTGCACGCCTCAAGCAGGAGCATCCGGAGATGGCGATGGCTGCCAGCCGTGGCAATTCGATTGCGAGAGTGACGGACGTCGAAACCGGTACGAAACCGCCCGGGGTGGACTCGGAAATGCAGTCGGAGGTGGCGAAAAGTGGTTGAAGCTCGACTCAGCCGCCATCGTTTCATCCGTCGATACTTGGTCATGCATAATGCGGCCTCTCTACCCGATCTGCAAGCCCAGCAAGCATCGGCGCTGTGGAGATATGGTCCATGAAAGCCCCGAACCGTACAATTATCATCCTCTGCCAGCCAGTAGCGGCTATCCTGCCCCTGAACCTTAAGTGCACCAGTGTCCGTGGCTTGCCGTTGGGATTGGGAGGGAGTTCGTGCAGCAACAGTGCCCATGTGAGTGGGACACCGTACCTCTCACTGCGAAACACCAAAGCCTGATTTTCCTCCACCAAGGCAACTTCGAGATAGTCTCCACTGCTAAAGCCATAGACTGGGTGCCCTTCACCGGCGGATAGGTTCTGAAGCTCCAGCTTAATAGTGCGGGTTGCGAGCCAGGATGAGGGCAGCCATCTCTCCCACGCGAACGGTAGGTACCACCCGCCACGGTCTTTGCCCAGCTGGACGAGCCAGGGGTAGAGTCCTGATGATGCTGCTCCGACGACTCTGGTCTCGTCGTAGAGCATGACTGGGTTAATGACGATATCATCGCCGGCATTCGGCGGACCTGGTAGATCAGCCATGAAAGTGCGGTGTTCGAAGTTGTTCGGTAGAACGTGGTGAGGTGCCTGTCGAGACCCCGCACTTCCCTCTCAAATAATGCAGTTTTCGGCGCGCTTTCGTGGTGACCGGAGAGTGCTGGCTGTGTTCCTGGAAGGCGGGATGCATCCACCCAGTCATTCAAGTATCAGTTGGCTGTAGTACGATGTTGTCGATGAGTCTCACTGCCACCTTGTCGCCACCCAGGCCAAGTATCTCGCCGTGGTTAACAGCTTCAAGCGGTAGCATCTTGATAGCGCCACTCAACACCGCCCCACGCTGCTCATCCACCATCGGCACCTCCTCGAGCGTCTCGGGGTCCGCCAAGCTTAAGTAGTCGACTTCGAACATGGCCCTCTCACTCGCCGCTAACCCATCCTGCTGCTCACTCATCTTGTTTGTGACATCCCAAGCCAACGCCAACATCTCATCTCTACCCCGCCCTCCCATTACATACGCACTTTCTGCCGCCCGCAGTGCCTGATGCAGCACAATGCCGACCTTCCGTCTACGCTGACCAAGGTACACATTCCGGCTGCTCATCGCTAAGCCGTCCTTCTCCCGCTCGGTGGGCACGATGCGGACTGCTGTGTCCAGATGGAAGTCCTTGACCATCCGCTTAATTATGACCGTCTGCTGGACGTCCTTCTGTCCGAAGTAGACCCGCTCGGCTTGCACAATATTGAAAAGCTTCATGCAAACTGTTGCTACGCCCCGGAAGAAGACCGGCCGGCTTTTGCCTTCCAGTAGATTGGCAAGTGGTGTGATTGTGACGAAGGAGCCGGTGCCAGGGAGCGAGGAGTCCGGTGGAAGCGTAGGGTACATGGTCTTTGTCGTTGGAGCGAAGATTGTGGTTACTCTACCCTTACCTGACTGCGCCAGCTCTTCGTCGAGTTTGGTAAGACGTCTGATATCTGCGTCCCATGTTTTCGGGTAGCTATCCAGGTCCTCGTTTAAGCCGAACTGGGTGGGATTAACGTAGATTGAGACGAAGACCTCATCATTTTCGGTGGCCGCTTGACGCGCGAGTGACATGTGGCCCTCATGTAAGGCTCCCATGGTCGGCACAAGCCCAACTGACTTGCCATCGAGCAGCAACTGCCGGCGATGTTTGCGTAGTTCTGGGATATCTCGGAAAACGTGGAACTCGCGAAATGAGATTACGGTTGGCTTGGCATACTTGTAATAGCAGCTGTTGCCTTGCCCGAGTATTGATCGAAATGTTCGCATACTGATTTGTTGTGCGGACCAGACCGACATGGCGAGGACTTCCCGTTCTGGACTACGTGTGATGCGCCTTGGGATGCCTACGGGTTCCCTCCGGTACCTTGCCTGCTCATGACTTCACCGTAAAGGGTCAAGTATCATCCTTCGTCGGTGCAATGCCAGCAGGACTGTCGAGGTGCTGGCAGTTGTCGGAAGATCGGAGTGGATATGTTAGGAACTACCCGTCTGATACACGCTCGAGTCATGCGAACTCTTGGCAAGGCTGAAACGCAGCGGATGTTTCGCCTTCTACCATCTGTGCATTGCAGCGGCCGTTGCTCGCTCTGGCATCCGTCAAACCTCACGGCGCATTCACTTGCACGCGTGCGGTCGTTCGGATCATGCCGGCTGAGCTACTGCGCAGACTCACTCCACCCTTCACCGTCACGCTTGGGAAGTCCAGACCAGGCTCACGCAGACCCTCGACAGAGCGCGCATCAAACGCGAACATGGCGGTGCAGCAACAGACCTACCTGTACCTCATCGCCAGCAGTGACGAAATCTACGAGAACGACATTCTGCGCAACCCCGGTGGTATCAAGCCATGGCTCGATTATGCGAACTTCAAGCGACAGTACGGCACACTCTTGGAGCAGTCTTTCGTGTTGGAACGCGCAGTCACGGCACTGCCACGAAGCTACAAGCTGTGGAAGCTGTACCTCGAGCTCCGGACGAAACACCTCAAGGGGAAGAGCCCGTCAAACCACAGGGTGGAGTTTCAAAAGGTCAATGCGCTGTTCGAGCGCGCCTTAGTGCTGCTGAACAAAATGCCGCGCATTTGGGAGATGTATCTTGAGTTCCTCTGCCAGCAGCCTCTGGTGACCTTCACGAGACGGACCTTCGATCGGGCGTTGCGGTCCTTACCCCTGACGCAGCACAACCGCATCTGGGCGCTGTACCGGCCTTTCGCGAATTCGGCGGGTGGAGAGACGGCGGTGAGGATATGGCGGAGGTATATGCAGATCCATTCGGAGCACATGGAGGAGTTTGTTGATCTGCTGGTGCGCGAGAAGAAGTACAAAGAAGCTGTGCAGCGGTATATTGAGATTCTGAACAATCCGCGCTTTCAGTCAAGGGAGGCGAAGGGCCCACTGCAGCACTGGACTGAAATGCTTGAAGTACTGATCGACCATGCGAGGGCGATACCTAACCCAGTGCCAATGCTGGACGGGACGACTCTCGCGGTGGAGGCGATCATCCGCTCCGGCCTCCAGCGCTTTCCGGACCAACGCGGCATTCTGTGGGTAGGGCTGGCACGATACTACATCAACCTGGGCACCTACGAGCGCGCCCGTGACATCTTCGAAGAGGCCATCACGACTGTCATGACCGTGCGTGACTTCAGCGTTGTCTTTGACACCTACGCCGAAGCAGAAGAGGCGCTCATAGGCATCAAACTCGAGGAGTCTGCGACGCGTCAACAGAAAGGCCAACGCAACGACGACGCCGATCTAGATTTGGACATCCGCATGATGCGCTTCGAACAACTCATGGACCGGCGGCCGTTCTTAGTCAACGATGTCCTTCTCCGGCAGAATCCACACAACGTGAGTGAGTGGCAGAAGCGCGTGGCACTTTGGGGCGACAACAAACAGATGGTGGTGCAAACGTACACAGATGCCATCGCCGCCATCAATCCTAAGAAAGCCGCAGGCCGCTTTCACGAGCTCTGGACCAACTATGCCAAATTTTACGAAGCGGGTGGCGATCTATCGACCGCTCGCATAATCTTGGAGAAAGCGGTCAAAGTACCCTACCGCTCCGTCTCCGAGCTGGCGGAGATGTGGACCGAATGGGCGGAGATGGAGTTGCGGAATGAGAACTTCGACCAAGCTGTTAATATAATGGCCACGGCGACCAAAGCGCCGAAAAGAAGTAACGTGGATTATTTCGACGAGACGCTGAGTCCGCAGCAGAGAGTGCATAAGAGCTGGAAGCTGTGGTCGTTCTACGTCGACTTGGTTGAGTCTGTGTCAAGCTTGGACGAGACGAAGAAAGTCTACGAACGCATCTTCGAGCTCCGCATTGCCACTCCACAGACGGTAGTGAACTACGCCAACCTCTTGGAGGAGAACGGGTACCACGAGGATTCGTTCAAGATCTACGAGCGCGGGCTGGATCTATTCTCCTACCCCGTCGCTTTCGAAATCTGGAATCTGTACCTCACGAAGGCCGTGGATCGTAAGATCTCCATTGAGCGACTACGAGATTTGTTCGAGCAAGCAGTCGAGGACTGTCCGCCCAAGTTCGCTAAGACCCTCTATCTCATGTACGGCGCCCTTGAGGAAGAAAGAGGCCTAGCGCGGCACGCCATGCGCATCTATGAGCGTGCCACCCGTGCCGTAGCGGACGAGGACCGGATGGAGATGTTTGAGTTTTACATCACGAAGTCCGCTTCGAACTTTGGGCTTCCGTCCACCCGGTCCATCTACGAGCGTGCCATCGCAGCGCTGCCAGATAAGGAGGCCGGGCAAATGTGTGTCAAGTTCGCGGAGATGGAGCGGAGGCTGGGAGAGATTGACCGCGCGAGGGCGATCTACGGGCATGCGAGCCAGTTTTGCGACCCCAGGGTCGAGGCAGCGTTTTGGAGGAAGTGGGAGAGCTTCGAGGTTCAGCACGGCAATGAGGACACCTTCAAAGAAATGCTGCGGATCAAGCGATCCGTGCAGGCGCGGTTCAACACGGACGTTAATTTCGTTGCCAGCCAGGCCATTGCGCGGCAGCAGGCTATGCAGGCTGGTTCGAATGGGGACGCAGATGCTGAAGGCGAGGTTTTGGATGGGACTGGTGAGAAGGCGGATGCAATGAGAGAGTTGGAGAGGCAAGCGAGGGCACCTATGGGGTTCGTGGCGGCTAGTACGGGGCCCGAGGGGGCGAAGAGGGAAGAGGCATTGATGGCGAGTCAGCCACCGGAAGTGACCAATGAGGCCGAGATTGATATCGATGAGGATCTGTGATCTCGTATAGCAGTTACTCACTTGCCTAGCATCACGGCTGAAGATGTCGGTGTACCTTGGGAGTCCTCTGAGTGCAGTCAGTTCGACATCGATGCAGACTCGCCGTCCTCAGACGCTTTAGGAAAGTCTCAGCTTTCCGCGACTGACCACTTGGACGAGGCTGTTAACGAGCGAGTCCGTGGACGAACTAAGCTTGTAAGCGATGATTCACTCAACGAAGCCACATGTTACTTGCGTTCTTGGCTCCAAGTGGATATTTTCAACAAAGCCTTTGCTACACGAAACCTTCGCAACCTTATACAACTTGGTGGAAATGGCGCGCACAAGACAAATGCGAGGAAGAGCACGGGTGGAGTACCGCCTAGAGCGAGACCGAGACTTCGAATACACGATCCGAGAGCACCGTCGCGGCTCCCGGCTCGCGCAAAGGGCGAGCCGGCCGCTCGATCACACCGACAGCAACACTGCAGACTCGAAGGAGGCACGCCGCGTGGCAGTGGTCATGGGCAGGAAAAGGCCGTTCTGCAGTACTCGGACATCATGAATGTGATGGTTTGGTGGGCGATGGTTTGGGGGGCTTTGCAAGCGAGAGATGCTGGATACCAAAACATTTCAGACTTGAGGAGCGCGACGCTCAGTATACTTGCTACGCAGTACTGTCCCACCGCTAGGACGACTAAGAGCTGTCTTGTGGTGATGTGGAGAATTCTTAGATTGCCTCACTACGGAAAGGATACCGGAAGGTTGAGGACTTCTTTGCGTTCGCCCGCGAAAGAGGCCATGTATGCGCCTGGGTGGATACCTGCTGTGATGGTAAGAAGAGTAGTGTCGAGCTCAGTGAAGCTATTAACCGCATGTACACATGGTATGAAGGGGCTGGATTATGCTTCGTCTACCTGCACCACATCACTCTTCGAGCGGATCCGGAGCGTAGCTCATGGGTTTCACGCGGCTGGACACTGCAACAGCTTCTAGCACCCGCAAACCTGCTTTTCCTCAACCAGGCGTTGAAGCCTTTCTTCTTAAGGAAGCAAAGTGCCCGAAATCTCGTGAAAGCTACCGGGATTTCCAGATAGCGGTGACACAAAGCGGTAGATGGTCTCGTAGAATGGTGTATCCAGATGCTGGATAGAACTGAACCAGTTCACAGTCTGAAGGGTACCACTAATACGACAACAATGACCGTTCAGAGGTAACTTGATCGATATCTCGTCTGGGGAATAGCGGACAGAGAAACAGACGTTCTTCCAGAATCTGGTACAATCAGTACAAGTGACATTCTCGGGATCGATCCGCCATGGCGGGTGTCGTGTCGTTCCAAAACTCTGTAGGACGCCTTCTAATACTGACGACGGAGTAGCCATATCAGCCGTCAGACATAGGCTCGGCCACCTTACGCCGACACTTACGGCTATTGCGTTGATTACGTGCCAGAGAAGTTCTGAGCATTTTATCGCTTGTTCTACCTGCTTGACATGGCTCTACGCTCCAGTTTCATACACCTCCAGGACCTTCCGCGGTAGCAATGAACCAGCCTAGCACCTTCGCTGCGATCGGAACGATCACTTGGGGTGCCAAGCGTGCCATCAGTGTCCACATGCCATGTCAGCCTCCTCCGAGGTCATACTGTCCAGCTTCCGGTCTACTACTGCCGTAGATGAATCCTGCCACTTCTTCGAGGCCACGATCTTCTCGGAATGATCGGTAAGGGTAGATACTTGTTCGGCAATTCGGGGCTTGGCTGCATCAGCAGAGGCTAGGGAAAGGCCCACAACATCTTCTGCACCTAGTGGGCCTCCTTCCGCTTCATAGGATGCTAATCATCGTTCTCGACAGGAGCTAGGGCCTTCCGGGACCGCGCCACAGCGTCCTACCAGGAGACCACCAATAGCTTGCGCTCGCCTGGAAGACGCTCGCTAGATACCGGCACGCTTGATCCAGTCGCAGTGGCGTCGTTTGCATCCCGAAACGGATTGTGAGCTTCGCGCTCTGCTAGCTGCTCAAGTCACCAAATGGGTCTTCATCGTCGTCCGCGCTTGGGGTTCGCAGCATAGGCGCTGCTTTAGTGGAAGTACTGACCCCTGAGCCTTGGGCCGTCATGCTGAAGGCGTGTTTGAGGAGGAGAAAAGACATCAAGGTGGCTGTCTCCTACATATATGAGAGGTTGAAGCTGCGTTAGAGTCTCCAGTACCCACTGTAGCATGCATATTGGAACGGATGAAGTCCACGCGCGCAATCAGCAGCAGGCGGTGTTTTTTGCCTTGCAGCAGAGATAGTTCGGCGATCGGTGTTAATGCAGTCCAGTGCAGTGCGTGCCTCGAAGCGACAGACGGTGTTGAAAAGCCAACGAAGACAATAGACCTCGCTGTGCCGAACACATCATGAATGGACATAGAGTGTGCCGTAGAGCGGCCTGTGCAAGCTAGCTAAAAGCCTCACGTGGCAAGCAAGACAACGCAACAAGCCTGGTTAACGTAGAGACGCTAGGACGCCGGCTTTGAACGATACGCCAGCGTGTAGGTGGTATTGGAAGGCTGAGCGACCTGTCTGTCGGCCTGGGTTCGTGGAGCTGCCGGGTGACGAGAAGCACATAGCTCGTTGGATATTGCACCTCTGAAGGTCGAGTGTTTAAGATGCTCCTCGATGACCGTTCGTATACTCTCATAGGGCGGCGTGCCTTTGCCGAACGTTGAGGCAGCATTTCGAAGGTTCACCCGCAGCTAATATGGGTATCAGTATGCTTCGGTGCAGGCGACAAAGAAGCATCCTTACAATGGCCAGTAGCTCATCGTCCGACATCGTGGCGTCCATATCGTCCGAACTGGAACTGGGGGGTAAAAGCGTTCAACGAAGACAGCACTCGACGCTTCTATGCTACGTTCCACCTCGGAAGCCAAAAGTCTAGGGTGTGCTACTACACCTCAAGTCGCATACGCTTCCCTCTGCTCCGTTCATTTACTGACTCCATTCCATGATGTTGCGATATTGGCTTCAGAGCTGCTAACTTCGCCGTGATGCTGCATAGGCTTAGATCAAGAGGCTAGCATGGCTTCAGCAGAGCTCTCCGAAGAGAACGACATCCGCCTCGCAATTGAAGGCTGCGGCCACGGAACCCTCCACGCAATCTACGCCTCTGTCGCCGAAGCATGCAACGTCAAAGGATGGCCCTCAGTCGATCTGCTGGTCATCGGCGGCGATTTCCAGTCTGTCCGCAATGCTTACGATCTCAATTGCGTTAGCATGCCGGCCAAATACCGCTCCATGTGCGACTTTCATGAGTACTACTCCGGCAGCCGGACTGCACCTTACCTAACCGTCTTCGTAGGTGGCAATCATGAGGCCTCGAACTACTTGTTCGAGCTGTACCACGGCGGCTGGGTAGCACCGAACATCTACTACCTGGGCGCAGCCAACGTCCTCCGGCTTGGATCGTTGCGGATTGCGGGCATGAGCGGCATCTGGAAAGGCTACAACTACCGAAAGCCGCATCTTGAACGTCTGCCCTACAACGAATCCGATCTGAGATCGATCTACCACACCCGCGAGCTGGACGTGCGGAAGTTGCTGCAGATCCGGACGCAGGTCGATGTCGGTATCAGCCATGACTGGCCGAAAGGCGTGGAATGGAAAGGTAACTGGAAGCAGCTCTTCCGTTTCAAGAAGCATCTCCAGGATGACGCGACAACTGGCCAGCTTGGTAGTGTGGCTGCGCAGCAAGTCATGAACTGGCTGAGGCCAATGTACTGGTTTAGCGCGCACTTGCATTGCAAGTACGCAGCTGTGGTGGAGTACGACGAGCACGACACAGAGGCCCAGCAGCCGTTACCGGAAGCTGATCCTAGCAAGTCAGCTGCGAGCAACGAAAGGGGGATCGATTTGGATGGCGAGGCCGAAAACTTGGCGAACAGTGACCACATGGACAACCGTGCGGATGTGCGTGGTGTAAAGATGAACGGTAGCCACACGGCGGAAACGATTGGTTTGCCACCCACCGGCAACGCTGATGAGATCGATCTTGAGCTTGAAGACGACGTTAACGGCGTTGCACCCGTGGCCCCAGGTCAGGGTCTCGACGGTCTTCAGGTACCTGTGGCCAGCGACGCTCCCATCAGCGGACCCATTTCATCGGCAAATGAGGCTCGCGCAGCATTACCGGCCGCTTTCAACAAACCAGCATCGATCGCCAGCCACGCTGTAGTCCCTATTGAGCATCCTCCCAAGATCAGCAACCGAAGAACCAACTTCCTAGCGCTCGACAAATGCCTTCCAAACCGGCATTTCCTCCAACTTACGGCCATCCCCAACCACTTAGATTCCTCCATCACCCGTCCACTCAAGCTCGCCTACGATCGCGAATGGCTAGCCATCACCCGCGCATTCGCGCTGACTGAGCCACCCGTCTTTGGCGATCCGGACTCAACAGTGCCGAGATCGAAGTCTCAAGCGGAGTACAAGAATCTGATTGACGAGCAAATGCAGTGGGTTGAGGAGCATCTAACCGAAGTTGATATGATTATACCGGAGTCTTTTGAGGCTACAGCGCCAATATATGATGGTGGGGATTGGACTTTGGCACAGTACAGTCATGTCGCTGAGTATCCGAACCCGCAGACTGCGAAGTACTGCGACTTACTGAAGATACCGAATGCGCTGGAGCTCAGCGAAGAGCAGAGGTCGGCGAGGATGGCGGCTGGACCCAGACCTGACACGGAGGCTAAGAGCTTTCGCGGTGAGAGCAGTGGTCGTGGTCGTGGTCGAGGCGGGTTTGGTCGCGGCCATGGTCATGGTGGTGCAGGGAGAGGGAGGGGTAGAGGAGGGTTTCGTGCACGTTGAGGCAACGAAGCTCAGGGAGTGGTGAGCACTGCTTTCCCGAGACGTCCAAGGCTTCCAAACGGGCGGCAGAACGGAACGGCCGCATGCAATATGGTACTGCTGATGATTGGGCAAGACGGATGAGCGCAGGCCTAGGCGCTATAGGTCCGCATCCAGTCTTCTCCTTCGCAAGATACAAAGGCTGGCGTACCATCTGCAGATGGTGTCTCCTTTTGCACTTAAAGGAACGGAAGGCCGTAATCAGCGGCTCGAATGCCGACCACCTCGCTCTCATCTCCGCTTCTGGCCCCTCTTCCTGCTCCCTCCATGCTTGAATCCAGGCCTAGGACTCTTGCTTCCATACAGCCTTTCCCTCCCGAACGCAGCATCAGCGAGCCTCAAATAGCTTACCACACCTTGGTCAACAATCGCAAGGATGACGTTCTTATACCCGTGTTTCAACTTCTGATAAAGTTGCGCGTCCTGCTTAGGCGGCTCGTAAGGTACCGCCTCCATCAAGCTACTCAGCTGCTGCAAGCTTGGCACCTTGGTTTCGCGAGCATTGACTACGGCTATGCGAAAGTCCGGCGTGCCGGGAGAGGACTTCTTGAACATTGTGGTGCCGGGTTTCCAGATATTGTACGTTACGCTTATAGAGGAAAGAGGCTGGTGCAGGTCGGTTGGAATGGTTACTGGCAAGTTCGACGGTTGAGGTCGTTGAGTGGTCGGGTCGTGGAATTGGACGAGGGCGAGACGACTGTAGATGTCGGCGTAGCTGCGGTAGAGCGCTGGTTGCAACAAACAGCCGTCACGGCCATGATGCAGTCCCTTGGCTCCTCGTGCGAAGAAGGCTCGTAGCCATTGCAAGGAATGCAGACCAACCCGCCACGTTCTGTCGGGTAATGGCGGATAGCACTCCGTACCAGGAGATGGCCCGGAGCCGTTGAAGTCGGCCGATCGCAGGACGATATATCCTGCTCGCTTGAGACTGGAGTAAACAATGTGACGTTCCAGAGTCAGCGTGCCGCCAATGCACATAGCATAAGCGGCCTGCACGCTCATTGGCAGTGCTCGATCATCTTCGTCATCCTCACTCACCGGCCAGCGAACATCAATAGTCCCTCGTTCGAGAAGGTAAATGAGTTCTTCCGGCAGCAACCATAGCCGTTGACCACGTCGTTCGTCGTTGCCTAGTGGATCTTCCAAGGCCGAAAGGACCTGGCCCATCCTGGCGAAGAGCGGGCCCTTCGGGTTGTAGCTGTAAGCCATGTTGGACTCGGGGTGGTAGGTCGCCATTGTGTACCCTTTCGGCTGGTGCACCCGTTGAAACGAGAGGGCATTATGCATGGCCTGCCGAGAGGCGGCGAGGGTGTCGGATTGGAGATTCGTGCCATGCTGTTCAAAGTCCTTTTCGCCTCGCTTCGGGATCTTGACCTCATTCGTTCCGCTGGCAACACATCAGTTCTTGCCCAATCCGAAGTGTCACTCAAAACGAACGACAAAGCAGAGAGAAAGCGGAAATCTTGCGTCTCTTCGGAAAGGTCAATTTCATCTGCAGTTGGCGCGGACGTTAGCAGGGCGTCCTCATCCAGGTCTGCCATTTCGTAAATGTCGTAACTGGACGTTGGCTGTAATATGCTGCATTCGAGTAGGTGCTATCGCGACTGGCTGTTTGGCAAGCGAATTACTTTGCGCCCATCCAATGAAGTGAACCGCGTTTGTGACATTTGTGACATGTCCTGCAAAACCGATACAGTTACTTAGTGCCGGAAGAACCCGAGCCACTCAGCAGTCGACATTGACAGCCTTCAAGGTACTGAACTTCCGGTCTTTGCTCTCATCAGTCAAGATGCCATCTCCGGCCCTCATAGCGCGCCTTAGACATTTACAGGAGTCTTCCGAACTACTCGTACTTTCCTCGCCGGCAGCAGCTGCACACTTACGGGTCACGCGAAATGCGGTGGCGGAGGAGCAGATGCAAGATGCTGTCCCCATAAACGAACGTATCTGCCATGCGTGTGGTGATCTGCTCATCCCGGGCTGGACATGTACGACCACCAACGACGATTCAAGACGGTCGCGCAGAAGGACCAACCGTACGAAACCCGGAATGCGCACAATCCGATGCGATCGCTGCAATTCAACAACTTCCCTTACCTCTGCAAAGCCCAGCGGAAGTCAGCTGCAGGGAAGTGCCATCGACTCAACTTCCGCGATGCCCAAGCCTCAACTTCCTGACCCTCCAATACCAGCGGTTGAAGTGTCTACGCGCCCGAGCAGAAAGGCCCGGAACAGCAAGTCTACCCTGCAATCTCTGCTGGCGAGTCAACAGAGCAAGAACGGCCCCAGCATTGCAAAGCCTGGACTGGATCTGATGGACTTCATGAAGACGTAATAGATCGCCTTGGCCAGAAAGTCGTGCTGATGAGCCGTGGGCAAGCGAGGTTACCCAGCCCCATAAACAACACTGCCAACCCATTCACCCTTCTCACCCCATTCAGTCGCTCGGACGACCATGACATGGCTTTCCCTCTGCACACGCGACAGCGATACGGAAGACAACGCGTAGGCCCGCATACCGTCTCACGACTTCTACACGCTGCGCTTGGTCACGATTAGGTAAGCGAGCATTATCGATAAGGTGACCTCTGTGTCACATTCAAAGTTTTGAAGACGCGACGTGAGCGGTACACACATTTCTGCGGCGCACTCAGACTAAGCATGGCGGCACCGTCTGACGCTCCCGCTCTGACGGGCGCCTCGCTCGCGCAGGACCTCTTCGAAGATATGGGACGCAAAGTCAGTAGCATGGATTCCGGACCTCAAGCGAACGACCACGCAGACGGCGACGACGGTGAAACCGAGCAGAAGGTGGTCGAGGAGATACCTTCTCTCTGCATGAACTGTCACGCCGACGGCACCACTCGCCTTCTCCTCACGCGCATACCTTTCTTCCGCGAAATTGTCATCATGTCCTTCGCCTGCGACGAGTGCGGCTTTCAGAATAACGAGATCCAATCAGCGGGTGAGATACAGCCCAGGGGTGCAAAGTACGCCTTCCGTGTAGAGAGAGATGCAGACTTGCAGAGGCAGGTGGTTAAGAGCGATATGTGCGTCTTCCGCATTGAAGATTTGGACTTGGAGATACCGGCGGGCAAAGGGCAGTACTCAAATGTTGAGGGGGTGGTTAGTGGTGTGAAATCGGATTTGGAGAGCAACCAAGCAGAGAGGATGGAACAGATGCCGGAGATTGGCGAGCAGGTGGCTGGGGTGATACGAAGTCTGGGAGATATGCTTGAAGGACGCCGGTATCCGTTTACGGTGAGTGCTGATGATTCAAGCGGAAATAGCTGGATTGAGCCGAAGCCTGGCGAAGCGGCAGGCAAGTGGGTCAAGAGCGAGTACAATCGGACAATGCAGCAGAACGCCATGCTCGGTTTAGGCGATGATGGGCCCATGCCAGGCGAGCAAGCATCCTCACAGCCTACTTCTGCGCCAGATCCCGAGATCAGACTCGAGTATCATGGTCATAACCTAGTAGGCGGCCAGCCAAGTGCCGACGCACCCACCACCAACAACGTCGATGTCTCCGCCGACGAAAATATCGTTGAGCACCAAGTTTACTCCTTCCCTGCGTCCTGCCCCGGTTGCACGCGCCCTTGCACCACCAACATGAAGATGGTGAACATACCCTACTTTAAACAGGTGGTGTTGATGAGCACAGTCTGTGAGCACTGCGGCTATCGCTCGAACGAGGTCAAGACAGGTGGAGAGGTGCCGGAGAAAGGGCGGAAGATCACGCTGCGCGTGCGGAGCCAGGAAGACCTTGCAAGGGATGTGCTCAAGTCGGAGAGTGCGAGTTTGATGGTGGAGGAGTTGCAGTTGAGAGTTGAGCCGGGCACAATGGGCGGGCGCTTCACCACGGTGGAAGGTATACTGACCAACATTCGCAAGGACTTGCGTGCGCAAGCGTTCGGACTTGAGGACGGGGATGCGCCATTACCTGCGAATGGCGTCGGTGATTCTATATCTGCTGACTCGAAGCGAAGCTGGGATCAGTTCTTCGATTCGCTCACGGAGGCGATCGAGGGCAGGAAGCAGTTCACATTGGTGCTGGAGGATCCCTTGGCAGGGAGCTATGTGCAAAGCTTGACGGCGCCGGAGCCCGATCCGCAGATTGAGTCCGTGGAGTATGACAGGACCGAGGAGGAAGAGGATGAACTGGGACTGAGTGATATGAAAACCGAAGGCTACGAGGTCCGTGAAGCGGAAACTTGATGGAGGCACGACGCTTGCTTGATGCATGAACGGCCACAGGAGGTCTGAGTCTGAATCTCATTCTTATGCTCACTGTGTCGTAAGTGCTATGCCTTTCCTCGAACACGCTTGACGTCGGCAGAATATCCGCCACCATGTTGGTTCGGAAGCTGCTCAGAGGTTACAATTACCCTCAGATGCTTTCAAGTACAGTGGACGAAGCTATACCGGACTCGCAACATCGAAAGAAATGTGGTCAAGGCGGCTGGGTGTGTGCAAAGAAGCTCCGCAGGGGTTAATGGAAAGCGCAAAAAGCAACCAGCATGCATGCAGCGTTGCGAAGGAGCATCTGCCGGGCGGCGAGCATGCTTCGCCGCCTCCCTTGATGATCTCGGCTTCAATCTGTGGCTGATACCGCATCCGGTGTTCACCACTAACGTCATACATGCTTCTATCCCGGTGGTACCTCGCGATGCAGTACCAGCACCAGCACCAGCAGTGGGCACGACAGAACCGCACTTGCCACCTAGTGCTTCGAATATGCCTTTGCTAGCTTCTCAGTAGCACGTGCAATCACAAACACCCACTCCCCTCTTTCTTTGCAGTCCACATTCCACATCCGTCCCGTCTCCACGTCTTCAACAAGGGCGCAGTCTCCCTCGTTTTGAGCATTTAAAGTGATCGATATCTGCCTGGTCGATCGGTAGGCCGGGTACAGTCAACTGCGCAATCTGCAAAGCAGCGGCAAGTCGAGCCTAGTAGGTAAGTGAGGGATAGTAACGTCGGCTCGTTGACCACCAGACTGCCCATAGCACGATTGTGGCATTGTCAACAGCGGCGACTCGTACGGCGTTGCAGCCTTCTACACTTGCCGGTAAACGACAAACCTGTACTGACCGTGTCGCGTGCCCGTGGCTTGAGTGTCACGCATCAGTCTCGTTCTGGCGGTTGGGTGTGGTGCAGCCTTGGTTTCGCTGTTCCGCGCTCCTCTTGGACGCCTCGACACGCCGACATCGACTCGCCGAAAAGGTCACGAGTCGTTTCCAATACTCCCCGATAGCCTTCCCAGCTAATAGGTGGAAGCTGCACCTGGCTCGAGTCGCCGACGGGGAACGTAAATAGCACAAATGTTTCCCGCCGAAATTTGACCTTCAATCGAAGTCCTTGGTGGCTTTGATCTGTATTGATCCTTCAGAGGATCGGCGGGCATCATGATCAGCTCCCGAAGGGCGGCGAGGTCGCCTAGAGTAGGAGCGGGTAGCTCGACCCTCCATTCTCGGTGTCCGTCGGCCAATCTGAGGTAGGACTTGCTCGGCGGCTGGGCTGAAAGCATATTCCGCCAGCTTCTGGACACCCTCTGGCATGCGTGTGACTGGTCGATGCGATTCCCAAGCGGTCAATGCTGGGAAGGACATGTAACCGTCCTTTACATGAAAGCGCAGAGCGTGGCCACGGCATCCACTTCCCTCTTCTCCATCAGTATCATCGGCAGAGTCGACCACATCCCAAAAGTGATCGTTAAGTTGGGGTACCAATTCGTCGCCAGTCTCGTCGTGAGATGGTGGAAGGTTCGAGGAAGAGAGCTTGCTGAATTTGACGGGAGCCTTGTATGATACCGAGGATGCACTTGCGTGTACGCTGAACGAGGAGGAGGTCTCGGAATGGCAGTTCCAGTAGTATTTGCTCACGGAGATCGACAGTACCAAACACCTTGGCGGAGGCCGACATCATAGATGGGCCGCTCTGTAGTCTTACTATAGCATCAATAACTGCGTGGTGGGTGCTGGCCGGGTACAAGTCTTCCTGTTGATGGTGGTATGCATCAGTAGAGCTGAATAGATTACCGGTCCGAAGGCGATGGTCGGTGTTTTAGAATCTGCCACATACAACCTTGCGGTTGTGAGTGTCTACATAACTGCATTCACTGTTCACCTCACGAGCGGGAACTCGATGTCAGTTCCAGCGCTTACATCCTGCGCCATGCCGTACTTGGGCTCCACTCGCTGACAGCGTTCACATGAGCTCCGGAGCGTATGCGTACTTAGGAACATGGTGATTCGCCACTGGCTAAAGTACGCTAAAGATATATACAAAGTCGTAAGTCGGAGCTTGTAGCACCCTTGGTCATGTCCACCCGCCACATCTACGGTGTGGTCTTGCCCATGGCAGCCACGAACTCCTAGACGCCGGACAGATGGTTCATTACTGCCGCAGATTGCTCAAGACTGGTGCGAGATTATACCGTGTGCAAGCGCTGTTGCACTTGTGCTTTTCACGTCCAGATTTAGTAGGTCGATTTGATGCTCTGCGGCCTCATCATGTTGACAGTCACAGAGCTGGATACAGGGCGCAACGCCCACTTGCCGCTCCTTGGGTCCCAGCCCATTTCGGCCTCGACTCCTTCAATCCCGGCGTCCGCGGCCGTGATATCTTGAGACTCGTCTTCGCCGAAGCCGGAGTAAGGCATGACGTGGATGCCGTCCTCGGCCAAACTGGCTGCCACGTCTTCGCGAGAGATGCCACCCCATGACACTCGGCTCTCTCGCGCCAGCGAGTTGCGGCTGCCACCCCACGATACATGGCTGTTATTGATGCCAGAAACTTGCGAGCCAGTGAGGTGGCGCATGCTTTGAGATTGGCCGAGTTGTGACTTCTCGTTGCCAGGTTCGCCAGCGAAGGTAAAACCACCGGCGTACGAGAACGGTCCTTTAGCACCGTCCGGAACGTAGAACCGCCTGTCAATGCGCACGATGATCCAAGCTGTTACAACGCACCACTCAATGGTGAAGTTGAACAGGTAAAAGCAAGCTTTGCTAAAGTACCACGGATGCGGTCCGGTAGTGTAGTTAATGGGAAGATAAAGCGTGGCGCAGCGCCAGCAGGCTCCTAGACTGAGGAATACAGCGCTGACGAGAACGATGACAACTTTGCCGCGCATCGACCAGTCGCCGAACTTATCCATGGGCTTCATGCCACGGATCTTCGGGTGCCGCCGTGCAAGACACGAGATGCTGACAATTGGAATTGGTAGGAAAGCGACAATAGCGTAGAGAGTCTCGCCGTAGATCTGAATATCGCGGATTCTGTGCAGAGCAGCGGCGTTGAGAGTGTAGAACGAGTATATAACGGCCACAATTAGGGTCAGAATAGTGCCGATAATGATGACGAAGAGTGCTGGAAGTGCGACGCTGAAGGGCTTGGACCAGCCAAAGTGAGGATGTTGAGCGCGGACTATGCGCTGCGAGAAGACGAGGTTCGCCAGGAACAGAAGGATGATACCGGCGTAGACAGCTACCATCGATGCTATGCCGATCCTAACATTGGTGGGATGTGCTGACCATGCTATCCGGCAAGAGTTGGCGAAGATTCTGGTGAAGCAGAAGCCTGACAAGCCCTCGTTAGCAAGCATCGCCTACGCTGTGGGATTGTGAAGACCAACCAAACAGCATGCCGCAGATGATGAACTTCTTTCCTTTGTGGGCATTGTACTTCAGCAGGAACATGTGCCCAGCTCCGGACAGGATGAACAGGAACAAGAAGACCGCGCAGATGGGCGCATCTGGAAGTATCGTGGGCGTTTGCCCGAGTGCCTGTTCCTGTGGCGGATATGGAGCGCCATGTGCCAGCGCTATTTGGTAGGCCTGCTCCTCGGGGCTTGACATTTTGATGCTGTGTTGTCGCTTTTCGCGACGCGAGGCAAGGTGGTAAACGTATGTAGATGTAACAACAAGTACAATTATCAAGGAGACAGCGAACGAGTACACAAGACTAAGGTTGGAATGGTGATGTCAGTCACGATGAAACGATGGAACAAAGGCTGGGAGCACGACGGCTGTAGTAGTAAAAGCGGCCAACAGCTTGTCAGGGCATGCGAACAGGAAGTAGTACAATCCGTACCAAGCTATCGCATACCAAGGTTGGGGAGCCGAAAAGCCTCCTGGCAAAACATGCAGATACAGGTGGCGCATCCCGGTATTGCGAGCGGCCCGGCGTCGAAAGTAGGTTTAGATCGGGCGGGAGGCTGCTTGGATGACGAGATGACAGTCGTCAGGCTGGGGGCGGCACAAGCCGCGCATCAACGAGCTGGCTCTTGTTAGCATGGACTGCTGAAACAGTACGAGGATTCCATGGGTTGAGAGAGCTGCATCGTTCGTAGAGGGGGGCGAGTGAGACCAGTGGGAACTGAAGCCCGCCAAGCGAAGAACAGGTGAACCAGTGGACGCAGAAGGATAGACTTTGATGATCAACGCCGTGCATCTATTCTGAGCTCCCCTGACTCTGCCGTCTGTCCTTGGGCTCCCCTAGATAACATAACCAGCTAGCAGACTGAGATTCGAGGAGAGCTGCCTCATGTCAAAGACTGCAGTCAAAGCAGTAGTCTTGTCGCTCGAGCTATATGCTCGCGCTTCTGTTGTTTTGTGCTTTCCATCTATCGTTGAGAAGGCTGGGGGTTGCCCCCGGATCTAGCACAAATGCTCTAAGTGGGTCTATCTCAAACGCAGCAGAGGATGACGCTAGCCCAAAGATAGCCAGCCGTTTGCGATCGATCTCCAGATGTGGCTGAGAGCACGGTGACTTCCACAAAACGCCTCGCACACACCCCGTCGAACATCTAGACTGTGATGTGCAACCATAAGTTCCGCGAGGCTGCGGGTGTGGTGAGGATGGTATGTAAGGAGGAAGTGCGTAGGCGCAAGGGTGCAGAAATTGAAACCTGCTGGACGGTCCGTGTGAAGTTGGTCACGTACCTGCATACAGGACGTCGGACATTTTGCAGATCGTAGTTTCGACGCAATGTAATAATAGGGGCAGCCAAAGGCTCTCTGCTGGCCGTATAACATACCGAAGTCTCCCTGTGACCTAGCGGTCGTCTTTGCTTGTCATATCTTTCTCTGCAAACAAATGACCGACGTATAGCATACGACAATATCCTGCAAGGCAAGGGCTAGCCAAGGTATGCAACAAAGCATGCACGTGCTGTGCCTGCATCGAGTGGAGCACTCTACGCCGACATTGCTGACATATCCGCAGTCTATCTCTCAATCACATAGCATACCAAGCATTGCCGAGTCATCACAATGGCACGCATACGCGTTTCCGAAGGCAATCTACTGCCTAGCTCGTTCCGCTGGAAAGATCTTCGTGCCTGGTACGAGTACCACTTCAGCCCGCGAACCGCTTGGCGACAAGTCCAGTAGGCTGGCCCAAACACTGTTGGAGTGAACAATCTGGAGTTTGATGGGTTTGGGTTGAGGTTACGGCGGTGCAAGATACCACATGATGTGCGCCGGACGCGGGCGCCGGTTCGATTGAGATATGTTACAACGAGTACTGGGTGGTGATTGCGGCGTTTGGTGGGTGATTACGCTCAAGGCTGTGCGGCGCTCGACTTGGAGCGCAGGTTTCGTTTCTCTTGCTTCGCACGAATCCGACTCGTGGTAGTAGTCGGCAACCCTCGACCAGTAGATGGTGGTTGGAGTGGCAACATATGGCGACGCCGGCTTTTCGATTTTTGTTGCGCAAAGTTGGGTAGTGTCGTTCCCCATCTTAAACATTGTGCCAGCACCTCAATGCACATCAACCACGCTCCTCCCACTCCTTAACCCCACATCCTCAACCAACGCTTTCATCTGCGGCAATAACTCCGGTATTCTGAACGGCTTCGTGACCACGCTATCCATCCCTGCCGCCAATGCCGCCGAAATCTGCTCGCTGCGCGCATTGGCCGTTACCGCAATCACAGGAACATGACTGCGGATCTTCCCGTTCGTTTGCTGTTCGCGGATATGCCGAATGCATTCCAGCCCGTCCATGGTCGGCATTTCGAGATCGAGGAGGATGACCGACAACGGTGTAGGAGTCGTCGCCTTTTGGTCGACGCAAAAGATCGAGGTTTGCAGAAAGTCGAGGCATTCGAGCCCGTGGTTGGCGACATGCACGGTACAGCCGGCGCGACGAAGTTGTTTGCTCATAACGCGCTGATTGATCACATTGTCTTCGACGACAAGCACATGTAGATTCTCGTCCGGCGCCGACTCTGCAACGGTCTCACGAGTGCCATTTGGTGTGACAACAGTCGCTTGTTGTGCACCCGTGGCGCGCTCAAGGCGGTCCGCACGGTGTACCGCTCCACTTTGTCCGCTCGACTCGTCCGACAAGAACGTACTTCCTCGCCGTTCATACATCACAGGTGTGGCAGAGACACTAGGCGTCCTCACCTTCCTTGACCTCTCTGCTGAAACTTCAGATTCCGTTTCCGCCACCCACCTCCTCACCTTCACGAAAAACGAGAAAGTGGTCTTCCCGTTGCCGCTCGACACGCCGATCTGCCCACCTTGCAGCTCGCAGAGCTCTCTGCTGATGAACAGGCCCAATCCGCTACCGCCGTATTGTTTGTACGTCTTTGGACTAGCCTGCGAGAAGCGCTGGAATAGCAGCTTCATCTCTTCCTCACTGAGCCCACGGCCCGTATCCCCAACTGAACATTGCAGGTAGAGCTGTTCGCCACGGCCCCAGTCTGCATCGGCCATTTGAGCCTGCCGTGCATGGCGTTCAGGAATATACGTGACGCCATTCTGCTTGTCTGCCGGTCGCTCGCGCGAAGCGCCGAGGCAAATCCTGACCTTGCGTTGATCAGAGTACATGGTGAATTTGATAGCGTTTGTGAGGAGGTTAATGATTACTTGCAGCAAACGGCTCGAATCGACGACCACTTCATCAATTGCAAGCTCGTTGTACGACGCTTCAACGCACATGGAAGCCTCGATGCCGGCGCGTAGGATCTCACTTTCGTACATCTTCAACGCCTTCGTGACAAGTCCTGGCGGCGCGACCTTGTCGGGTGAGATGACGAGCAAAGCGGCGTCGAGCTTCGACAGCGTCAGAATGTCGTCGACAATGCGCTTCTGGTGTTGCGCGCACAGAATGACCGTCTGCGCCGCATCTATGATTTCGTCCGCCGTCTCCGCCGACAAGGTAACCGACTCACCCAGGATGGGCATGCCTGAAGTTGTCAGCGTCGAGACGATAGAATCGGCGCTTTGCAAAATGGCGCTAAGTGGGTTCCGCATCTCATGGCTGGTCATGTCGATGAAATTCTCGCTCTGCCGCTTGTTCTCCAGTGCCTCCTCTAACCGCTGCGCGAGCAGCGTCTCGCTGAATTTACGAAGTGAGATGTCGGTGAGCCAACCTAGCACGGCGGTGACGTTGCCGTCGCTATCCGTCTCCGGGACGCCGTTGGCCATCAACCACGCATCTCCCGTAAGCACCTGACCCGTAGCCTTATCCACCGACTGCCATGGACGCTTCAGGCGATACTCGATTGTGGCGGGTCCTTTCGTCTCCACTATGTTCCGCCAGCATTCAAGCACACCAGGTAGGTCATCAGGATGGATTTTATCTTCCCAGTCCAGTTCGGTGGGTGACCGCACGGCATCCTTGGCGCCAGACACCCCAAGCATCTCCATGTACGCATCATTGACGTGCACCGGCATGCCGTTCGTTTGAAAGTAAAACATTCCAATCGGAGTGCTCTCTGCCATCCGCTGGAACCTGGCTTCACTGCGCTCGGCCTGCAGTGTGGTGATGCGGAGTTGCTGGACAAGCGAGTCGTTCATCTCGTCTGCCACCTTTTGCGCTCGACGCTGCTCCTCCGGCATTGTGATAAGTGTTGCGGTCTTTGTTAGGACGTCGGTCATCAGGTGGGTCCACATAGTGTATTCTTGATCGTACGGTGTCCGTGGGTTCAGACCGAAGACAAGCACACCGAGCCTCTTGTCACCGATCGCAGATATGATGGGAGTGACAATCGCAGTGCGTATCTCGTCGCCGCCATACGATCTGTCCGGCGTCGCGTGCTTCAGTAAGCTGGGTAAGGAACCGTCCTTGCTAGTCATTATCACTTCCTTCTTCGTATTCAACGCTTCCGCACACGCTTTGGTGACGGCGGATACAGAGCCATCTTCAGCACAAGCATGCAGATCGAAGGATTGCAGTACGCTACCGTCATATAGCGGCATACCTACCGTACCAACGAGTGCACACTTCTCGGGATCGTCGTCGGCTAACTCGCTCCGGCTACCGCGATGTTGCACTGCGTAGAGTAGTGCGTACGGGACGTCATGACCGGCCGCGTCAACGCCACGAAGAAAAGCAGACCACAGTTTGTCGAGACTGCTGGCTTCGGCAATATGCTTCGTGAGAACGAGCATAGACTGCCTCCTACGCTCACTCCGAACAGTCTTCGTAGTCTCCACCACCTCATCTAGGACCCCACAGGGTCGTCCATCCGGTCCCATGACGGGTAGAAGTGAAAAGTCGAAGTAACTCTCTTCGACGAAATCCTTTCGGGTCATCATAACAGGGAGCCGTTCGAGAGACATGATCTGGCCGTCAAAAGCTTTGTCGATAAGGGGGCCAATTCCCTCATATACGTCTGCCCAAGCCTCTGCAGCCGGCTGGCCAAATGAACTAGGGTGTTTAGGTTGGATGAGTGGGATGCAGGCCTCGTTGTAGAGGAAGGTCCTCTCTTCGCCCCAGAGAACAATTCGTGGCTGTGGGTTCGACATCGAATATACCACGGCCGATCGCAGATGCTCCGGCCAAGCACTCATGGGGCCTAATTGTGTCGTGCTGTAGTCGAAGTTCTTGGCAAACTGAATCCATGGTGAGAGGTTGGGCACATCGTGGCGAGTCCAGTCGAGAGACCGACCTTGTCCAGTTGGAGATTGAATCAAGCTGTCTAGCTCGGGCACATACTGACCTTTGCCATGTTGTTGGCGGAGGGATCCCGCCGGTGCTCCGTTCGCTTCGGTTGGAACGGCGAGACTGCCGGTACAGACGAGAACATGCCACTCATTGAGGATGCATGTTCTTCTCCAGATCCGGCCACCCAAGTCAATCGTTTGCGTCTTCAAGTCGCCATAATCACGTCCTCTGGTGTGGTGGCGTAAAACGTCGTGCAACAGGGTCTTCGCCTGCGGTAGCGCCTCGAAGTTTGGATTACCGTACAATATGTCGCCGTCTTTGGTATACACCGCACTTGGCCTGTCGTCATATTCCAGACTGGCAACTAGACCTCGCAGCTCTGCCGGCAGGTTCAGATTGAGGATCTCGGCGTCGATCATCATCGCCGAAGCACCCCGGTACGTAGACTCGCTTGCAGCCACTTGTGGCATTCACGCGCAAATCTGCACGACTCCAAGTCGGTCACGCTTCGCCCAACGCTAACACGCTGAACGGTACTTGTCATAGCCGGTCGGAGGCCAAAGTCATCATGGCATAGCGAGAGGCAAGACGGAGGTGCGAACAGCAGAGTTGGGGGCGCGCATGCGGTACATCTCCGGCCAGAATCGAGAAAGCGAGATGCAAGGGTGATGCGCGTGGTGCCGCCGCCTGCAGTTGCCGCGGGCGGAAAAGCTTGTCTCACGTCACGGGGCCAAGGCGAGTCAAGAGAGGAGCATTGAAAGAGACTGCGTTGCGACCGTGAGGTGTGCATTGAGTCAGCATCCAAGAAGCAGCACGCATCCGCAGTATACATTGCTCCGCGTGACAGCACCTGCTCCCGTTCCGAGAGTGTCTGGCGCAGGTGACCCCCGAAACGGCACAGTACGTAGGGCGCTCGCGGTGTACCACCATGAAGCCTCGGTAGTCCATTCTCCATACCAACAGCATGGATGGCGAGTCCTCAGCGCAAAGAGAGGCTCGCCTGCGTGAACTATGGAAGCGGCTGGACGTCAAGCATACTGGCACCCTCGACCTGCCCGCGCTCAAGGCCGGCCTACAGTCCATCAACCACCCGCTCAAGGACGCCGATACGCTGGTCCGTGATATGCTCACCGCCTGCGACATCAACCACGATGGCCGTATAAGCTTCGAAGAGTTCAACCGCTTCTGCCAACAGACCGAGCGACAGCTGTGGAATTTGTTCCAAAGCATCGATCGCGACCACGATGGCAATCTAGACAAGAGCGAGTTGTCACTGGCCTTCGAGCGGGCAGGCGTGGCAGTGAGCAATGCGCGACTGGATCGATTCTTCAGCTACATTGATAAGAACCATGACGGCAGCATCGATTACGGTGAATGGCGCGGTATGTGTGAACTTCCGGTACACAAGTGAGGTTGGCTCGGCCGAGAAACAGTCAAGCCATCGCAAGGCACTGGATTTGGGCTGACAGCTTTGCGCATGCGCAATCGTAGACTTCCTGCTCTTCATCCCTGCCTCCGCGCCCGGCTTAAAGGCCGTCTTCACATATTATACATCGACCGTCAAGCTTTCGTCTGAGGGTGATGTGAATCTGAGTGATGAAGCGCTCTCGGGCCTTGGTATGACCGTTGATTTCCTTAAGACTACCCTCTTCGGTGCTCTCATCCAACTCGTGCGCGAATCGTATACACCACCCACCAACGCCGAACCCACAACATTAAGGTCCAGCGATGACACTACCATGAACGACACCACCAGGGACAACGGCATGAACACAGCCATCTTCGACAATCCAGCCACAGATATCGGCACCACAGACGACGATCCATACATCCCTACCAAGCCCGCCCGCCGGAAACAGCACGAGCATGAGCACGACCGCGTACCGAAATCGGAACTGGAACTGCCTCAGAGTCATTGCGAAGAAAGAAGGATGAGGCTGACGGATTTCGTGCCCAACCCAGGCTACTTCGTCGCCGGCGGTCTTAGTGGTATCACTAGCAGAACCGCAACGGCCCCGCTCGACCGACTTAAAGTGTACCTGATAGCGCAGACGGGCAACGCGCAGGAAGCAATCCAGGCAGCCAAGAGTGGCGCCGCCGTCACCGCAACGAAGCATGGCGTAGCCACATTGTGGAATGCTTGTAAGGAGCTTTGGGCGGCCGGTGGTATTCGGAGTCTGTTCGCAGGTACTGCATCCTCTCCTTCCTCAAACTGACAATTGCCGTCATGTGCTTATGCTGATGGATGAATGTAGGCAACGGCCTGAACGTGATAAAGGTCATGCCCGAATCCGGCGTCAAATTCGGTTCGTACGAAGCCTGCAAGCGCGCCGTCGCGCAATTCGAAGGTCACAACGACCCCAAACACATCTCGCAAATCTCCCAATTCATGTCCGGCGGCACGGCCGGCATGGTGGCGCAAGCCGTCGTCTACCCGCTCGACACGCTCAAATTCCGCATGCAATGCGAGACGGTGAAGGGAGGCGAGCACGGGAACCGGCTTATCTGGCATACCGCGGCCAAAATGTGGAAAGCCAACGGCATAGTATCCTTCTATCGCGGTCTGCCCATGGGCCTCGTGGGTATGTTCCCGTACGCGGCCATCGACCTCTTCACGTTCGAGTCGTCCAAAAAGTATATGGTGAAGCGGAACATGAAGTTGTACGGGTACAAGCACGAGGAAGATGCTTTGCCAGGCAACTTCACGTTGGCATTGATGGGCGGATTCAGTGGAGCGATCGGCGCTAGCATCGTGTACCCCATCAACCTGCTGCGAACGAGGCTGCAGAGCCAGGGCACGGCAATCCACCCGCGAACATACACTGGTATTGTCGATGTAACGCGACAGACCCTGAAGGGAGAGGGTGTAAGGGGGCTGTTCAAGGGCTTGACTCCGAACCTGCTGAAGGTGGTACCCGCGGTCTCGATCGTAAGTCCAAGTTCCCACAATCTACGGTCTACTGTCTACGTGCTAACAAGCGTGTGTGTACTGCAGACCTACGTCGTTTACGAAAACTGCAAGAAAGCGATGCACCTGCATTAAGCATCCTTCTACTCAAACCAATACTCACCTGATGGTACGACACAATAGATTGTAGCACTTTTAGGTTGCTTGAAACCATTAGCGTGCGTGGGGATGGCGTTAGGTGTGTTGCCGCCGTTTGCGCGGAAGAGCGCAGCTCTGGAGCATCTTTGGGGTTGATACCACTATGTGATCAAAGGGAAGGCGTTGCATAGACTGATGAATGCGATTTGAGCTTAACCTACGCCTTGAGCGCTGCCGACCTGCCTGTTTTAATGGGTAGACAAATGCCCCGGGCAAATCCCTTTCCCTGGTGTGACACATATCATTCACCAACGTACACTTCGCACCCTCGAGGGCTCCTCCCTCCCAAGAGTTGGCCACGCTATCGACCGTGTCATGATCGTAATCCAGTGCGGAACGCCTGGTCAACCAGTGGATCCTGTGCGCTTCATCCCGTCGTCGTAGCCTAGGCGCAATGACAACGTCTCGACCGTTGGGCACAGCAGCTGCTTCTCATCTTCGCCATCCAAGTCGAGCACAAGCTCGCCGTGTGCATCCACAAGGTCCGCAAATCTGGCTCGAAGGAGACATCAGGTAATGAAACCTGCGCCAGCCCCGGTCATGGCACAGCGCAAGGTCAAGTGGACTCTCGTTGCAGCCACGAGCTCACCCACTGCATGTACTCTTTATACCACATCAATGCCATCGTCAGTCATCTCCGCAAATTGTAGCTTCATCAACAATCGATCAACTCCGCCGCCTTTCCAAGGCTCGAAATCGCTCATACCGTTCAGAGTTCTCGGTAGATATCTGAGCGATCCGATGCGCTTATGGTTTAGCTGTCGCAGTCTATTGATTACAGACCTTCTGTCACTGTCGACCCTCTTCCTCGCGCGGTCCAGCTCGAGCGCAAGACGCTGCTCCTCCTCCACGGTGTAGCTGCTCTGGTCGCCGGCTTCAACTTCTACGTCAAGCTTTTGCTGTATGTCGACCAATTGAGAGATAAAGGCGATGAGTGCATCAATATTTCCGAGAAGTGAGCGGAGTGCTTTGGTGAACGACGCATCGGTGAGCAGCAAGGCGTGCGTAAGCGCTGCGAGGAATGCACGGTGAGCTGCCGCCAAAGTCTCTGGATCCCGTTGCGCTACATCGGTGCGCTGGCTGCGACCAAGACTGACTCCGGATCCGTCCACGTCGGCGAAACAGGTCGGGTTTTTCACCCAAAACTCGAACTCATCACAGGACTGCTTGACGACTTCGCCTTCCATGTAGGCAGCAGTCTCACAGACGAGGAGATTTGCTGCGGTGCAGGTAGCCCACAATTTCCGAGATTGTCGAGTCCGAGTCTTGATTCGGGTTCGTAATTCGGGAGCCATCTTGAGATACTCGGTTGTAAGACGGTCGCGCCGCACTGTACTTTGTCGCCAAAGCTCGGAAAGCTTGACCTGAGCCCGTCTGATGGCCAATAGGTAGGCGTTGATGACGGAGTAAGTCTCAAGCTCCCTCAGGCTCAGGAAGAGGTCAAGTGGCGGGTCGAGCTTCATGCCGAGTGTCGTGCGCGCCGGGAAGAGCGCATCACTGAACAGATGGCGAGGTAGATTATCTGCCGTGTCGTGCAAGCTATTTGACGAGCTGGACCTGTTTATCTGAGAAGACACAGCGAGCGTCAAGTGTTTCGCGGCGTATTCGGCTGCGTCGTCCCCATCACCGTTGTCCCTAGCAAGAGCTTTCCAGGTCCTAGTCAAGGTCTGTTGCAGCTCCGCATCGTTGATCACAAGACCTTTAAGAGCCTTTTCTGGATCTTGCTGCCCAAAGCGACCGATGCTCCGCTGCCTTGCCTGCAGCTCCGTTTCTGCTTCTTCAATCAAAGCCATGGCGAAGTCACCATGGTCGAGCAAAAAGTATCGCCGGAGACACAGCAGTAAGTTTTCGATACTGTCCATCGGAAGGAGAATCTGCAGGATGTTCTGGAAGAGTGAGACTCTGATGGCGGAGACAGCGCTTGTAAGCTGTGAAGGGATGATAGGCAGACGCAGAGACGTGAGCTGTTGGAGATGCGCAGTAGCAAGCTCTGCTCCATCCACTGCAATGCCGATTGGAGGCTTGTGCATAGGGCGCTTCACTTGATAGAGCGATTTGCCAATAAACAGAATCGAAGATGCTGTCTGGGGCGCAACGAAAGTAGGTAGTAGTTGCTGGTCTTTGCTAAATACGACATGGTCGCCTTCCGAGTCGGTACTCATCTTGATGAAGAAATCATGAGCGCCGTGTGACGGTAGCTTACCAGATACAAGCCAGGAAGATAGCTGCCTCAGCCAAGCGGTTTCTGCAGCTCCGCTAAGCTCCGCAGCCGCCATCTCAATCTCTAGGAAGCCGGTACTGGCTTGTTCACGAAGGTAGTTGATCAAAGTTGCTCCGTTGCAAGCCTGATGCGGTTGGGACTGGCTCTCGCCTTGGGCTTCTGGCTGCACAAAGCGAACAGTCTTCCACAGCCACTCCATCAGGCAGTGCCACTCGTCGAACTCACACACAACACTAGCAAGAGGTACGATGTCGTAGGCGCCGACAAGCGTAGCGTCTTGTGCCAAGATCCTGCTCTCGACAATCAGGATCTTCTGTTGAAAGCGGGCCAGCTGCTTCTCACGGATAGATGTCGCCACGGCACGGCAGATGCTCGATTCATGGTTGGCAGCAATATCTTGAGCATGGTGCCGCAGGAGACGATGAAGTCGCGCAAGCCTCCCTATTGGCTCTAGCAGCGCGGCTTCTGAAGGTGACACCAGTTCGGTCACGCCAGTTGCTCCAGCCTTGTCCTTTGCCAGTCTTCCCGGAATCTGAACATGGTCGAAGAGCGGCGAGCGATGGCCAGAGAGAGCCAGCAAGATCTCATGCAACATCACGGGCGGTCGTCAATCGTTTTCAAAGCTTCTTGCCCGCATGGCAGCGGAGACGCGTCGTTTGACACGTCAAGTTGATGTTGGCTATTGGGTCTCCAAGGTTGATCAAGGTCATCGTATCCAACGATGAACTGCATTCATACGAGCTTGCGCCGGGTAGGTCTTGGTCCCGCAGGCAATAGATACTGGACGGAATTCTCAGGCATGTTCGTGACTGCCTTAATAAGCGATGCCCAATGGCAGTGAATAGACGCTTCGAGGTCGGGCCGTCATTTCAGCCGGTGGCAAATGCGGGGCTGAAGTGGGCTGGATCACGGGTCAGCCATGCAGCTGCAGGACACGGCACATGGTTCAGGTACCCTCCACTCCTTCTTCGCCCATCTCCTTTTCGACCACATCCAGGAACGCCTTCCCACCAGTATCCAAAGACTGTCGTGTGACCCCGCCGACATCAAGCAAGTCAACTCAACCCGATAGTTACCTCTATCGACCGCAGTCATGCAGAGCATCAACAACATGCGCGAGAAGCTGAAGCGCAAGCTCTCACTCCACGATAAGAACCGTATGACCGCTATAATACATCATTAAGCGATACTTCATCTGACAGAGCATGACAGCCCAATTCGACGACGCGCAAGACATTGACGACGTCGACGAAGAGACCCACGGCCACCTTACGCGTGACATGGAGCGTGCCGAGGCTTCCGACGAGCCTCATGGCAAGCCAGGCAGCTTCTTGAACCGACTCATCATGCACGGCAACAAGAAGACCGAAGAGGAGATCTCACGCGAGCAGGCGTTGAACCCGGGCAAGGAGATCAACCCGTACAAGGAGACCTACAATGAGAACGCCAAGCCACTGTCTGGTGACACTGCTCTGCGTCCAGGCACCACCAGCAACACCGTCTCGTAGAATGGGCGGGTGAAGAAGTACTCCGGCTCGCCGAAGAAGACCAAGCATCCTTTATCGGTACGGTATAAGGGCACGAGAGCGGCATGAGTGCTTGGCATAGCGGAGGCGTACCCTCATCAGTGATTCTGGCATGACAACGAAAAGCAGCTGAAGCCGTCTACGAAGGTGTAGCTACTGTTATAGACAGCGCAACGAAGGCATGAAAGCGAGCAATCGATGACACCTGCTGCTGTGAAATCAGGGTTAACTCTCAATGAATGCTGCAATGTGCACCACACGTCAATCACATATACAGTAGACAACCCGCATCGCCTAAAATAGACGCCGGTTTCGTTCAGGTCGTTCTCATACAACTGTCATATCCGGCGCGCTAGAAGTATGCAACAGGCAGTGTGCCGCTTTTGTCGTCGTCAAGTTCGTCAGTCATTTTCCAGAAGGCTGTCGGACCAGCGGGACCATGCAAGTCGTAGTCTCTGCGAGTATGTTAGCCACAGGACGAAGGCCAAGACTTGACTGAATGAACACACTTGTCGAACCAGTTGCCGAGGACACCACGAGCTGATTTAAGACCGCCAACTTGGATGCCTTCGGATCGCCAGCGCTCTTCGCCGTGAAAGATGGAGAACGTCGTCCAACGAATCTCGCCTTCAGGAGTCTGGCGGACGGTTCCTACTCCTAATTAGTTGCCTAGGCGTGATGATTGGAATGAAAGGCTTACCGCGGATCTTGCTATTGGCATTCGGGTCCCACGAAGCATGCAAGCTCTTAGACGTGCCCCTGAAATGGACGACAGGCAGTCTTTCGCCTACGAAGTTAGACCAGTCCATGCCATCATCATCGTCGTCGTCGTCATATTCGTCACCACTGCCCGGCGGTTCGATCTTCGTAACTTGGAGCTTTATCTTGATCAGTCGAATGGCTACAACGCATCAGCACGCCCTTCCGTTCCACGTACAGTTTCTGCAAGGTCAATAATACCTTCGTCCGTATCGATTGGTGCGCGTGGCTCGTCATCCGGAATCCGCGAGCTGAAGTTGAAAGCATAAAGGTCGTTGTAATCGAGGAAGCAAACGACGCGCATCCATGTACCGCTTACGCCGTACGGGTCCTGTGCATCAAGGGACGCAGCAAGGGATCGAATACGTATCATCTCTTCGTCCATGTCGTCCTTCTCCGGCGCAGCAGATGGAGGCAGGCTAAGGTACGAGTTTGGCGTTGCGCCGACGAAGGGCTTGTGCCATACGCGGGGCCAGCGACCGTCAGAGCGTTCGGTGAACTTGTTGAGATTGTAGCCTAGGACGATCATGATGGCTTCTACTCGCTCCCAATCTATTCGATGCGAGCCGTCGTCCATGAATGGCCCCCACAGCGTGTTATCAGTGTACTGTCGTAAGTCATATACCTTGCTTCGAGCAAAAGCATGGGTAGGCAGTGGCCGCATTTGATTCCGAGTACATGCTGATGGCGAGAGCTGCATATGGTGTGGTCGATGGATTGTGAACGAGGCCCGACTTGGAATGTGGTCAATGGGTACGCCGAACAAACAATGTAGCTTCGCCGAGGCTTGCTGAAGCTCCCGAGTGGCAGCGGCCTGTTGGTTCTCATTGCCCGCTCGAGAGAAGAGCGAGCTTGAGCAAAGAAAGGTATCGATGTTGGCCGTGTCATCGAAATACCCGCTAAGAACCTGCAAATTCAATGACTTGTCTGGATCCGTACATGCTGTGTCAATGAGGTGGTTGATGTGCTTCGCAACGAAGCCTAGTGCATTTGACTTCGACTCCCGGCTTTCGCTTTCAAGAATGCGTTCCAGACATGTTAAATCACGGACATTCTGCTGCCAATCGGGCTCAGCATCTCGTGTAGAGTTGAGAAGTTCGTCGTATCGACGAGTATATATGTCCTTATGCAGCAGCCTATTGCCAGAAATGTAGTCGTTTACAGCCCGGCATGTTCGGCATAAGGTAGCAAGATCCCGCGGCTCGACCTCGACGAAGATGCAGTGGAGAAGCTCATGGCTGAGCTCGAGCAGCGCTGACATGCTGATGCAGAATCAGCCGCGTGATGCAACACCAGTCTTGTATCGCGGTCGAGTGTCACTGTTGATGCTGATGTTCACGCCATAGCTCGTAGATAAACTCATGGATGTAAGCTCGTTATATCCGAGGCGGGGGAGAGAGAGGGAAGGTCAATGCTCGCGGAATCGTTCTTACCTTACCTATCTATATGCCAACACTTGACATGAAAATGACTACTCAAAAACTGTCTGACATCGACCTTGCTGCATCAAAAGCTTGCGACACAAGATAATCAGATACTCTCGCGGCCTCCAGTATAAGATATCAGCGATCTGAACATTGACTCTCCGCTCGCCCAAATATACTTCCATCACCGGTCCCAATACCATTCGTGACACTCTTCAGCAACAGCAACCTCCCCTCGCCTGCCTCGCAGCCCTCCTCTCAGCCCGCTCGCGCTTCTTGCGTGCGCAACATCCCTCGTAGGCAGGAGGGCCGGACGGTCCGGCTCCGATACTGCCGTAGCTTCTGGCAATGACACCACTACCAGAAGCGAGAACGACGGCTTCCCCATCTCCTCGAAAGTCGTCAGGATGGAACTTCTCCTCCCAGCCACGCTTCTCCTCGACCATCGGCTTCTGCTCAGCAGAAACGACGGCCCGATTGGCGACGACATCGTGGTAACTTGGCGGAGCGATTCCGGCTTTCTCGAGAGCCTCACCATTAGCCCGGTCAGGCAAGGCCTCCACCGACACGTTGCGTGCATAGTCCGAGTCCGGTGATTCTCCTCGAGCGATGGCGAGGGCTTGCTTGGCAGCCTTGTGCTCGCGGTACTTCTCGTAAGCCTTCTTGCCGAGGACAGCGAGGGCGGAAGTGGACTGGCCACCCTTACGTCGGCTGCAGCACATATTGACGGTTTGATGTGGGAAAGTGGGTGATGCTTGCGTGTGATTGATGCGCAGATGTGGTGAGTCGATGCTGATTGGCTGTTCGACTCGGACTTGACAAAGGTGAGATTGCGTGTTTGTTTTGCTTTCTCGTCGCAGTTCTTTGCTGCTTGGTGTTTTGGTGTGATGAATTGTTGTTCATTCCTTTGGAAACACCAGCTCATATATATCCTTTCTGCTTGCGTGCGGTATTCCGCCCGGTAAGTCTGGTATGGCGGCGTTGTTCCTCCGCACTGAGCAGTGTGGGGAGGCTTTCGGCCGTGAGTGCAAACTGCGTCACAAACCTCGCCAACGCTTCCCAATGCATCCTGGTACGCTCGCAACACAGTTTCAGAGAAGCTGCCCGCTGCCTGCAGATCTATACTACGGGCGATTGCGTCCAAAAAATCAGTAAGCATTGGTCTCCGTATCAAGCGGCTTTACCTGGGAGCTGCGGACTGTGGCATCTTCAACCCATAGTCTTGCCCGATTGGTTAACACGCTGCCTGTCTGTTGCTAGTCGCTATGCAGGCAGCTAGTAGGATCCCTACTTCCCACTTGGTCACAGTCTGTGGCACATCCTCTCGTCGTAGGCAGGAACCGCCCAGTCAGAGGAGGTGAACAGCATTCGACGGCGCTGCTGTATGTCTACACAACCCACTATATCCAACAGACAGCGTACGACAGTCCGTCTGTCTCCCGACTCTACGACGCCCCGAACTCCGCTCTATGTCCATACCCAGTTCCTTTTCATCGCCAACCCACACACTCTTAATACCTTAGCTTCCCCTTCTTCTTTCCTGCCTCCTTCCTCCACCACATCCGCGTCCCTCCCTCCTCCGCGAACCTGCCCCCTCTGCGCCGTCTCAATCGTCGTACAAGCTCCGCCCCAAACTCAACAACCGGATACATCCACACTACCAGCACGCCCGCAACCGCGAACCCGAAACAAACAAAAACAAAGGTGACGTCGCGGCGCGACCAGACAATGAGTAAATGATAGCGACGCGCGAGTCACTGCTCCTTTTCGTAACCCTCGGGGAGGGTCATTTTCTGCATTTCGTAAAAGCGTTTCGTGCCTGCCATCATCACACGAAGTCAGATCACATCCCAAGACACCGACCCGTAAGTGGGTGAGAGATGCGGACTTACAGCTATACCCATTCCAATCAAAGTTATCGCTCGGATTGCAATGGCATTTATGCTCCATCCGGTACTCGGCGCCCGTCGGACAATGCATAAAAGGGACATGATAATAGCCAATATCGTTGAAGAAGTGAATCTCCTCCTTCCTCAGCATTAACGCGGCGGCAATCGAATGCACCGGCGCATCACCCCATCGTTCGTAGAAGAATCCGCCTTCTTTATCCAAATGCTCGAAGTAACTGATGTACTGTTCTGACCTGAGCCACTTGAGCGAGCCGATCTCGAAGTTCGACCAGAAGTGGCAGTTGTTATATGTCTCCCCGCCGTCGTCCGAGATCCATTCCATGCCGTTGTTGTCGGCGATGTGCTGCGCGTTGTTCTTGATCCACTTCTTCGTGCTGTCCCATAGAGTGGGGATGGTATCCACGTACTCGTACAGAGACAAGACGAAAGAGTACTTCTTCTTGTTCTTCACCATGAACTCGAAGGGGTCGTAGTTGATGTCGCAGAAGAGCTCGATGCTCGGCTCGACCCGCCAGTACCATTCGTAGTTCATCATGAGCGGGTGGCGGAAGAAGAAGCCGGATTCGTACCTACACATATGGCGGTAACTGACACTATCACCGTAGATGATCTTGCGCTCGTGCATATCCTCCCGCACCGCCGCGGCCTTTTCTTGATCGATGAAGTCAGGAAAGCCCCAGTGATAGCTGTCGATCTTGCCATAGCGCGTGTTTCCTGAGACTAGAGCGGTGGTGACGGAGATGAACGTCTCGTCGAACTCGGCGTCGTTGAGGAAGACCCAGTCGTAGTGGTATTTGCGGTTGAAGCGGTCCTCGACTTGGCGGATGGAGCGCGCGATTTCCCAGACGTCGCTGTTGCGGGCGAGGGTGACGAAGGTGGCGTTCATGCGCTCGCCGGGGGCTGTTTCGCCGGCGAGGTGGGTCTTGGAGCCGTAGTCGGGGTTGGGGGAGGTATCTGATGAGGAGGAGGTTTGCTCGGAGGATGCGGCGGTGGTGGTTGCGTCTGCCTTGGCGGCGTCTACGGAGAGGCTGTGTTGGGCCTGTGATTGTGAGCCGCCATAGATGCTGCCCTGGCCTTTCAGGAGTTCGGCGGTCTTTTGTAGTTGATCGGCGGTTTGGTATCGGGCGGTGGAGGAGGTGAAGAAGAAGACGGTGGCGGCGACGATGAAGGCGAGGAGGATGTAGCGGATGTATCCTACCATACGACAAGTACAGCGGTCAGCAACCTCTCTCAGGCAGACAACGAGGAGGAAATGTATGAAAATGTTCATACTTTGTGAGCCGGCCATCTCGTCTGCCCTGCTGTTGGTGGAAGATGCGCCGATGCGCCGCTAAAGTGCTGTCACTCGCGACAGCTGTCTCTTGCCTTTCCAATGGCGTGTCGAGCGGATGTTGCGCCGGCGCAATGGCAATGCGCAGGTGGATGTGAATTGGACTGCGCTGCCAGGGGAGAGAGAGAGAGAGAAGCCCTTTGCGGAGACGCTTTCTTTGTCTAACGCCCGACACGGGGATCGTTCAGTCAAGCCAGCGTTCGGACCCTTATTCTTTGCAGCCAGACAGCCCTTAACGAACATTCATTGGAAGCGCTGCAGGATGGCGAAGAGTGCGGTTAATATTGATGAACCGTACGGCAGAAGAGCATTCAAGCCTAGGTAATGAAGTGTTGCTTTTGGTTCATTAGAGTTGCGTTGACAGAAACGTGCATTCGTATTCGACCCACACCACACCCGCGAACGCAAGCTGCGGGGGCAGCCGCTGTTGCACAAGCACAAGCACAAGCACAAGCCTCCGCAACGCAACGCAAGGGCACATCCCTTTTAGCAGCATACCTGCACGGTCAGAATTTGCTGCCAGCCTTCAACCAATTCTGGCACGAAGTCTACAATATCTCCATATGTGTGTGTGTGGGGTCTGGACGGCGACGTCAGTATCAAAGCTGTATTCCCCTATCACTACATGGTTGACCTCGTCGTATGGCGTAGTATAGCGTACGGCGTAGTATAGCGCGGAGTTGGTGGACCACGTCTTGTTGGAGGCCTGACCTCTGCCCCACTCACGAACAGCTTCAACGCCCACAGCTGCAGGTGTGCAGTCGCTTGACCATAATGTCTTTCTTCGGCTTCGACACCACCCTCCCACGGGACCGACAGCAGCAATCTTCCGGACGAGGCATGTTCGAGCAGCATGATCCCTTTGCTGGTCTTGGACAGGCCGAGGGTGGCGATGATGGCGAGATGCTCAACTTTGAGGACACCTACGATGGGCTGGGGCGGAACCTCGACGAGTCCGGCGACACGTTCAACGATGATACCTTTGGCGGCGATGAGCCGGTCACACGGCAGAGCGTGGGCAAAGACTTTGACTTTGCAGGGCAGACGGCGCGGGCGATGGATCAGCATGGCCCGCAGTACGGCCGGGCACAAGCACAGCACGCTCCGCCGCCGAAGCCGACACGAACGGGCTACGAGGCGTACAAGGAGCCCGAGTATATTCCCAAGCTAGAGGCTGATGCTTCGATTTGGGGTAGGCCAATGGGTAGGAAGCCAACGGCGGCGGGGGGTGAGCAGCATGGCCGAACCGACAGCTCGGCGGGGAAGAAGATGATGAGCTTGGAGGAGGTAGAGGCGATGCTCCGAGCGCAAGCGAAGCCAATACCACCTGCCATGTCAGAGAATGAAAGGCAAGCTCAAGGTCTACGAGACATGCTAGGCGTCGCGTCTCCGCCCATCAATCCCCAACAGCAGCCGCCGCCATCAGAGCAGCCGAGACCGGTGCAGATACTGCAGCGTCCGCAGCATACCACGCGGCCAGAACCGGTCATTCAGCATCCGACTCCGGAACACCATCTAGGCGCATCTCAAGTTCTGCAAGGACGATACTCACCGCAACCGCCTCGACCTCAATCACGAGACTTTCACGCCCAACCCCCACCGCAGCACGTGCATCACCAACAACAACCGCAAATGCCTGTGCAGCCTCCACGCGGTCCAATGCAACATTTGGCACACCAACGCGGCCCTTCCTACAGCGGCCCGCCCATAACCCAAGCCCAACAAATGATGCAAATGTCCGCTCCCGACCGCGAAGCCTACATGGCCGAAGAAGCCAAGCGCGCCAAACGCAACCACAAGATCTTCCTCCTCAGCAAGAACAACGGCCTCATGACCCCGCAGGACAAGAACTTCATCACCCGCATCCAGCTGCAACAACTGCTCACCGCCACCGGCGGCGTAGACAACGAACCCGGCAGCGAAGAGCAGCTGGCGGAGGACTTCTACTACCAAGTCTACGCCCAGATCCGCGGACCGCCACGCAGTAGTTCGGGTAACGTGGGCAACGGACCCAGTCAGTTCGCGCAGACGTATCTGTTCCAGACGGGCAGTCGCTACGGGTACGGGAGAAGTAGGCATCACCCGCGCGGTGGCGACAACCACGTCCAGCGAATGGAGCAGCAAGTCGCTCGTGCGGTCGAAGCGGCGAAAGCGAGACCGAAGAATAAGCAGCTTGTCGTGGAAGGTTCGCTGGGCAAGATCGCGTTCAGCAACTCGAAGACGCCGCGTCCGTTGCTTAATCTGAAGCGGCCGGATTCCGAGGCGAAGATGAGACAGCCGGTGAAACCTGCTGCGGTCTTTGATCGGAAAGTGGCGTTGAGGGATATTGAGAAGATGTACACTGTACTCATGCGGCTGGAGGACCATGAGCGCAAGTTGCCGCCCCCGCCGAATGAGGAGAGTAGTCCGGAGGTGATTGAGGGGCATATGCGGTGGCGTAGCGAGATGCAGCTGCTCAATCAGCAGTTGTGGGAGGCACTGAAGGTTATGGAGCCCATACAGGCGAAGTGAGTAGCCGTGCCTCGCGTCGTATCTGGATTGACATATTAACACGCATCGCAGCCCAACGTCACCCCACCCGTTCATTCAGATATTGTCGCACAGCAAAGGCAAAAAAGCCATCCCCCGCGTCTTCCGCCACCTGGACGACCAACAACGCCTCACCATGCTCACCCTCATCGTCATCCATCTCGACCAGCTAGACGTCATCCGCGACGCTTACCCATCACTGGACAACAGTACTCCGCTCCCGCCCAGAGTCCGAGAAGAGATCGAAATCTTCACCCAAGCTGTCATGCCACCGCTCTTCAGCTACGTTAACGAAGCACCGCTCAACATCATCATCGGTCTGCTCGGGCTGGTCATGGATCGTGTACACGTGCAAGGGATCGTGAGGACGAAGGTGGGTGTGAGTGTGCTTACAATGTTGGTCAGCCGGGCGGAGCTGGTGAAGCAAGCACAACAGCCTGCACAGCCGTCCCCGCAACAGCAGGAAGATTGGTCGCAGTGGGCTCACCTCTACAACCGTCTTTTCGATACTGTTGAGCCGGTGCTGCCTTACATCTTCCCTCCACCTTCCGCCAGTACCACCACTTCGTCGGCTAGCACGCTGGACTCGCAAGCATCCGACGACGTACACGTCTGGCAATTCCTCGCCGCCATGGGCGTGGGTGCTTCTCCAGACCAGCAGCAGAGGTTAGTCCTGGGTGTCAAGGAAAAGGTTATGGAGACCGTAGGCGCGGCAAAGGCTTTGCCGGAAACAGAGGCGGAGGTCAAGGATCGGAGGTTAGGGGAGGTGAATTTGTTCATGAGGGCTATCGGGTTGGATGTTGAGTTGCTTGGTTGATGTTGCAGTGATTGAAATGGTCGTGGGAAGAGCGCAGCGTGCTTACCCAAGCAATTAGTGGCTTAATGCTTTTCGCTTCATGTATGGAGCTTTTCTATTGCAGCTTGCTGCTCGCTTTTTGCACTTGGATGCCTGGCTCGTCTCGCGGCTATCTTCGATTCGATTCGTCACTGGCGCTCACGACACAAACGCTGATTTGAGGGAGAACTCTAAACGTCGACGCTGCACGGTTGCCTGACATACGAGCGCCGTACGGTCAACCGCACGATTATGTTCAAGCACAACGTTCGAGAAGCATGCGGTCGAGAAGCATACGGGCAACAAGCATACGGTCAACAAGCATACGCTCAACCGCACGGTCATGCACGGTCGGCCGCGCGATTACGCACACGACTAATCGCCACGATCAACTGTAACATGTTTTAAACACGGTCAAACCGCGCGCTCGACCGCACGGTCGGTTGTACGGTTAATAGCACAGTTAAGTACACTAGCTAATAGTAGGATAGTTAGTACTTGTACTACTATAATCATTTAAAGGTATAACTAAGTTATACTATCTAGGACTAAGAAAAGTCGTTTTTAGGTTTAAAAAGCTTAGATTTAGTCTAAATAAAGTTAGTAATAGTTTTTATAAGCTCTTCTACTAGAATAAAGTATAGAAAAACTAAAAATATAATAAATTATTAGAACTACTAAAAATAAAAATAAAAAATAAAAAATAAGAAACTTTCTTAAATTTTAATTAGGGACTTAAAGTTTTTATTAATAGTCTTATAGTTTATATAGACTTTATACCCTATAAAAAGCTTAGGAAAATTATAGCTTATATTATAAAAACTTATATAAAGCTTAAAAAACTAAATCTAACTAAATAGATTAAAAAAATAGAAAATTAGTTTATAATATATATATATTATAATTTAAAGCTATAAAACAATTATTAAATAGAAGAGAAAGCTAATTTTAATAAATATATTTAATATAAGTCTATATAAGATAAAAGAATATTAAATAAATAGATCTTTAAATAGAAAAGTAGTTTTAATATAAGGCTAGAAGTTTTTAGGGTTAGGGTTAGGGTTTCTATATTAGTAATAAGCGAGGCTTATCTCGTTCCTATAATAAAGGAATTTACGACCTACTTAAAAGAGAGTAACGAGTTATTATAGAGCTATTCGGGATATATCGAAATATTATCTAACTCCCTCGAATATCCTACTTATCTCTAATAGACTTTCCCGACTCTAATATATATACCGGTTAGTAGATAGCTTATACTCGGATATATATTATCTCTTATCTAGAGTATAGCCCTTAGAGATATATCCTTATAAGTCTATCTAAGAGATCTAGAGTTACTATATAGCCTTAGTCTTTATAAGAGTATATTTACTCGCTACTACTCTACGGGATTACTAGGTTCTCCGTCTACTATTATAATATACTTATAGTCGCTATATTAAACTTCTTTAAAGGATTATAGAGTTTTATATATTTTTATAGCTATTTACTATATCGGAGGACTTAAGATCTACTAGAGAGGAGTTATATTATACTCTTACTATAGGCCTTCTAGAGTCTTCGCTAGATATATATATAGAGTTACTATTCTATATTATACTATATAGATATATTACTCTATAGTAGTAGATAGTCGAGTTTACTATCTAGTAAATTCGATATATTTAGTATATCCTTCTAGCTATAGATATAAGGTTTAGCCTCGTTTTTAGAGTATAGATATAAGGCTTTATAGCTAGTCTTAAAGATATATATTAATATAATACTTCGTAGTAGTAACTTATATTAAGAGTAGTAGGTTTAGGCTTTATAGCTAAGCTAGGTACTTTATAGTATAGTAGCTATAGTAGATATAAGGCTTTATAGTAGTTAGTCTTATAACGAGAGAAGGCCGACAAGTATATATATTATAGTAGAGAGTCTATAACTATAGTAGATATAAGGCTTTATAGCTAGTAGTCTTATAACGAGAGAAGGCTAATAAGTATATATATTATAGCGAAGGGTCTATAACTATAGTAGATATAAGGCTTCGTAGCTAGTAGTCTTATAATAAGAAGAGGCCGACAAGTATATATATTATAGCGAAGAGTCTAGTTTATAGTCTTCTCGGACTAAGCTTAGAAGTAGAGATTAAGAGCGAATATAGGAATAGAAACTATAGCTAATTACTTATCGGAAATATTACTATCTATATACTTATCGCTCTAGACTATAGCTAGATTAGCCTATATATATCGAAGTACGTCGTAAGTATAACTCTACTACTTATCGTTTAATAAGAAGTCTATATCTATAAATAAGCCTTAAATACTAAGCACCTTTTACTATATCTATTTACGAGCTCGGTCCTACTAAGATAGCTAGCGAACTAAACCGTAGTATCTATACTCTTTGTCCTCTCGGTAGAAAGGACGAGATATAGTAGTATACTTATAGCTTAAGCGGAAATACTAGACTCCTTATTAATACTAAAAGAATATATTCTATATATAGACCGATATCTATAGTATATAGTCCGTATTAGCTATATCTTTTCTAATCCGGCTTTCCTATAGTATATAGAAGGCTAATAGAGTCTATTAGATATAGCGTACTAGTCTAGTAGTAAGGTATTTCTACTAGAAGTAGTATAGAGAGATTCTATCTAGTATATTCGCTTCGGTCTTAGCCTTCTATAAAGTAAGCAATTTGCTCTCTTATAAGCCCCTTCGGAATCTACTACTATCTAGCGCTAGGCGAAAGAGTAGCTAATAAAGAGGATTAGTAGGATCGGTATACTATAGATCGAATAAAAAAGTTATATATAGTATTTTAAATCGGTACTTAAGTATAGAGAGGCCGAGAAGATTCTACGCTAGTCGCTAGTTATACTTACTACTTACTATCTACTATATTAACTCCTTCTACTTCGCTCTAGCTCCCTCCTACTACGAAGTATCCGAGACTATTTAAGCCTATACTAGTAGTACTCTATACTCTAGAATTAGCGCGAGATATTCGTAGAACGCTTATAGTCGGTTTATAACTCTCTAGGTTCTAGAGTACCTTACTATAAATCCTACTCGGGTAGTTACGTAATCTAGTTATAAGGCAAGGAGTACTTCGAAATTAATACTATATAGTATTATTAGAAAGCCTAAGTATCGATACTTAAATATATATAGGATTATCTACTTACGCTAATTAACTAGCTAGATTATAGTAGTACTTAAGATATAGCCGTATTTAGAGATATTAACCTAGATCCTATTCTATATATACTATACCTCGACCTTGCCTAATATAATCGGGATATCTATCTAGTCGCTATATAGTAGCGCTCTATTATCTATATAGAAGACCCTACTAGATAGATATATTATATCTATATTTAGGTCCTAAAGTAGGTCGTCGATAAGGACGTTCTATAGAAAAGATAATAGTAGTAATCCCTATAGGACGCTTCTTATATATAGGAACTACCGGGATATGCCTCTATTCGCTAATACCTATAAGTAGATATCCTATTATAATATATCGAGTAGATATATTAAGTCCTCTAGATACCCCTATTTATATAAGGCCTTATAGAGAAGATAATAGTCGACTATATTAAACGCTATAGTAAAGTCGAGAAATACTACGCTAGCGTATAACTCTTACTATAGTATAGTATAGACGAGTGTAGCTAGAGTTAACGTCGAGTAGTTAGCTCGAAATCCTACCTATACTAAGTAGAGGTAGAGACCTAGAAGTATAGTTAAGCGCTCTAAGATATAACTCTCGAAGATCTTCTAGAAGATATATATTACTATAATAGGGCGTACGTTCTAGATTGTTTTAGTCTCGTTAAGGTCCTTTATAATTAGAGTTATATCGGTTAAATTCTAAGCTTTAGATATTCGCTAGTAGAAGAGATAGGCGTTATATAGAATAGTTAAGAGTACTATAAACGATATCTCCTATAGCGCTTTTAGAGCTCGGATATAGATACTATTAGCTCTATATACTTTAGATATATCTTATCTATCGATAGCTTAATATATCTTCTTTAAAGTAAAGGCCGAAAGAGGCTATTAATCTATATCGAGCCTATTATCTAGTAAGGAGTCGGGTTTCTAGAAGGTAAGGTATCTCGCCTCTAGTATATCCGCTATCTTATCTAGAGTACTCTATATTAGGTCGTTACTATATAGTAGCCCGTTATAGATATTAAGGCTAAAGATCTTCTTTATTAAGCTAAAGTAGAATAGTTTCTATATCGAAGAGTCTTATATAGGCTTAGTCCGAGTATAGTAGCTAATATCTAATATCTCGTAGTATATCCGTTAGTAGATATAAATAAGGTAGTCGTTTAGAATATCTACGTTATACTACTAGGTTAGAGTATTTTCTATACTAACGGAGCCGCTCTACTATATCTTAGTTAGACATTTAGAGACTTTCGGATTATATAGTATATCGATATAGAACCTTAATAGAGTAAGTAGTATATATCTAGAAGTCGCGGGTTCGCTTAGGCTTAAGATAAGTATATATTTGTAGTCGGTTAAGATTTATAGGCTCTAGTTACTTAAGATATAGAGTAGATTAGATCGGTACTCTTAGCGGATAAAGTAGTAGTCCGTCGTAAGTCGCGGCGTAAGATAGTATTCTAGAAGAGGACTAGGGCCGCTATAGGTTACTAGTCGGAAGACCGCCTTTCGCTAGGCCTATCTATTTATAAGTAAGACTCTCTCTCTCGGCGTCTCTATATCTATATACTCGTTATAGTAGATATTAATATTACTTAGAATAATGTCTACTATATCTACTCTCTCTAGTATCTCCCTTAGACTGTTATCTAGTATACTTAGTAGAAGATAGATACTAGCTATTATCGAGGGTCTTAGAGTAACTATTAGTATTACTACTATAACTATAGATTTGCTAGTAAGTCGAACCCGAACTACTTCGAATACTAGTAAGTAAAGCCCGCTATTATATTATATACCGGTTTTTGTCGGCAGTCTAGATATAAAGGCAATTATAGCCGATATAGCTATATATCTCTCGAAGCCTATATACTATATCTTTATAATAAAGATTAAGTCTAGCTTACCGAATATAATTAGAGCTAGTAAATACTTCTACGTCTCGTAGTCTAGTCCCTATATATTTATATATATAATCTATAAAGCGCTACTACTTAATATTACGTCGCTCCGGCCCCCTCGATTATATATCTCCTTATAACTACGTATCTCTACCCTCTATAAGCGACGAAGCTTTCTCGACCTCTTCCGCCTTATTATAGCTATAGTTACTACTCGACCTCTAGAACTACTAATATAGAACCTACTAGAGATTAATTCGTTTATAGTATAGATAGAGAAGATAGAGCTTAATCTGGCCGTTAAACGGGTTATAGTTAAAAACAAGTCGGGCTTCTATAAAGCTAATCGATATATACTAATAGTGCTATAGTATATTATACGAGTTAGTAG